AGAGAGATGGAGAGAGATGGAGAGAGATGGAGAGAGATGGAGAGAGATGGAGAGAGATGGAGAGAGATGGAGAGAGATGGAGAGAGATGGAGAGAGATGGAGAGAGATGGAGAGAGATGGAGAGAGAGGGAGAGGGAGGGAGAGGGAGGGAGAGAGAGCCCTAGAGGGAAGTATAGATATTTATCCGAGTGCTCATAGGACGAAGATCTACCTAAGTACTAGGTAGTAATTAAGAAGGTACAAGAGTCCCTAGATACTATAGGGCTGATTACGGCGTAACTCTACCCACCTGGGCAACAAGCTGAGATAACTGCGAAATCTATAAGTTGATGTCCATTGGAAGGTTTCGGGGAACATAGTATTTATTCCAACCATTTATGTTATGAACACCCGGTCAGATGACCATGGCTGTTCACTGGTGATAGACAGTACACTACAATGATACTGGAGAAAGGATCATAGAGCGTAGGTGCTGGCATGCGTACATAAGAAAGGAAAGAACTGCATTGACTCTCACCCGTGGACGTCTTTTGAACCCAAAAGCCAGCACCCAGCGCATTCACGCTTCATGTGGCACACGTGGAATTCACTCTTTCCATCAATCATGCGATCGAGTTGATGCGGCAAAAATTCTTACACAGCGGTGCTGACCAGAGGGTGCTTTCGATCATCATGTCGTGTCATGCATTTGGCAAAGTCATTAATGAACCGAATCGGAAGATCAATTTGTCGACCTTGCGATCGAAAACTTCACAGCTTCATGCTAGGAATGGACAGGTGCCGTCTCAAACACGCAGGATGGAGTGTGTGATGGAGAGAAAGCCTGGCTTACAGATGGGCCTCAGGAGGAATCATTCCAAAAGGATGGAGCGCCAAGCCAGGAAATTTTGAGAGGACATCAATGGCTGGGATAGTCGGGCGTTCGAGTCGCTCACCCGGCATGAATTTGGCAATTGTTTGGATTTCGGCTTAGCATTGGAGATCGAAGACCCAAAGACTCAACTTGATGATACGCTTGGCGAGCAGATGGAGGAGGATACATGGGGAAAGACGGAAACGACTCCTGAAGGTTAGGTTCATGAGCTGTCACACATAGGCAGGACGTATGGACCTTGAGATATCCCAAGCTTCTTGACGCTCGAATCCGAAGAGAGTGCAGCTAGTCCCCCTCCAAGGCTCCATGTGTTCGCCTCGGGGGAAACCATGGGATGGAATATGAACGAGAGCACCGCAAACAGCGCCGGGTTATCATCATGTCTTAGTCCGCGGGTGGAGTTGATATTGAACAATTGTAACCTATGTTTCCCAGCTGCTAACCAATAGATAGGCAGGGGGTAACTGGGCTGATGTATGGATAATCCATGGTGTTGTTATTTTTCTCAAATATTTACCAAGGTTGCAGGATCCCAATTAAACCAATCCAGGCTATCGATCCAACCTTCGAATGTTGCCCAAGAATCTCCACGTACGCTTGGGCTCGATTCTCGCACGGTACTTATTTGACGCCTGTCGACATATGAAAGTCAGAATTTGATCAGAAGGGGTAACACGAGAAGGTGAAAGGAGGTTGTGGGTGTAACATACTGTACATGTTCGAGGATCTTGAAAGCCTTCGTACAGACAGGGCTACTGTTTTGAAGTTTCTCCATGCGAGTAACTGTTGCGTTAAATTCGTTCCAGTACGGCGTGGAATCAAATGTGGACGGCATGCTCAAAAGACATGATACCAACGCAACTGCACCGTGAAGGGCGTTTAAGGTGGTCATGCCTCTGACCAACCACCTGAAGTGGCGAAGTCTTGGCAGCTCGTAAAACTCACGGTATAAATTGAGCAAGGCAAAACTCGACTTGATACACCGCTCTCGTGAAGGGGCAAGGAATGTCGAATGTTGGGGGTTGTGAAAAGGCTGGTGGATAAGTAGATATAGTTGATGTGAATATGTCTGGAGGATACACCAGTGGGCATAGCTTGCGAGATCCAAAAGACTCGGAAGGCCATTCACCAGGAAGGTCGAGTCCCATAGCCGTTCCTCCGCGGCTATCGCCGCATCTAAAGAATTCAAAGCAAGCTGGTCGAGTTTTGAGGGTCCAGAGATATGGCTACCAATCTGTGCTGAGAGTTTGAAAAGCCGTAGCTTGAATTTCATCAAAGACATCTGTGTAGGCCCTGAAGTTCTCTGCAAGATGCCATTCTCGTGAATATCATTGTCATGAGCATCCGTTGGCATCTCGGCCTTGATGTTGAGAAGAAATGACATATCAACATCACGAAAGAGAATAGCTTGGTAGGTGTGGAGCATGAGAATACCAGCCCAACATCTTCGGCGTCGTTCGGTTTCAATGCAGCTCAAGCCTTCTGAGTTGACATTGCAACGTAGTGCAATCCCCATATTTAGAGCCATGCCGAGTAATATCCATCCTCGCTCAACACCCTCACTATGAGAGACAGAATACGTCAATATCAAGATAGTCTCTAGTGTGTTAAGATCGTGACAGATCAGGAATTTGTCCTCGGCAAGACAGGTCAAGGAATTTCTCCGAAGCCGATGAACCGTAGCAGATATGTCGTTATCATGCAATTCCTCTGCATGTACATTCAGCAGGACCATGTCCCCGGGATCAATAGCATTCAATGTCACGGAGCATATCATGAATAGCAGTGCCAACCAGGAAAATGTTGCCTTGCTGGGGTTTTGTAGAAACGCTGCGTACTGTTTTTCAAATGTCGGCCCATGCAGTACGTGAAACAGCGGAGACAAATGTGTAAAATATTCCGTGATCAAATATTCACAAAAGCTGTTAGATGGTAACTGCTGTATCAAAAAATCCTTAGAGCCCTGAGATGCAGCCGAGAGAGGCACAAATAAACTCTCCAAGGCAGATGAGGTTTCATCTCGATCAACGGTAGGACGTTGCAGGACTGCATCCCATCGGGCATGGCTGGAGGGCGGGTCTTGGGTTTCAGACAGCGATGCCTGGTGTGCCACAAGATCTTCGTGGAGGATTTGAGCCGATGAATGCAGAAGTGGGGGTGTCACTGTGCCTCCTGCTGCTAGGGCCGGCTGGGGCTGACTCGGCGTTCGCGATCGCGCACGCTCCACACTCGCGTTGTTGGGACGGCGGAAAGAGCATTCTGAAAGGCAATTTCGCTGCCGGCAAGTACCACAGGGATGTTGGCGGTCACATCGGAGCTTGGAACGTCTGCACGGCTCGCAGCTGAGAAATATGCGCTGTTTCCGGGCTCGGCGCGTGGGGGTTGACTTCGGGGCTGTTGATTGGCGATCATGTGGGTGACTCTCATCCAGGGAGGATGCCGTACTAACGCCGAGTTTGTTCATGGTCACCAGGCACTAGATGTTGTATCGGGGAAAAGACGGAGATTTCAAGGGAAGGCTGACGGATAGCCGATCGGGAAACTATGTCCGATCACGTGACGTTCAGGAAATGCTCCAATTTTTCCAAGGTTGTCATCTTCGCTAGTTTCATTTCCTTGACTAGCTATCGGATGGCTCAGTACCTAGATAGTCATGAGATGAGCTCATACACAGCTCTTTTTTAGCCTTTGTTTCCTGGATCATGCCCTCGATCGCATCCGCTACAGAAGGTCTGTTTCCAGATAGGTACCCTTTGTGGGAAGTCTCCAGCTTTTCAAAAGCCTCTTTCTATAGATTGCTGGAAGAAATTAGAGGGAAGGGGAGAAAAAGAGAAGGGGAGATGGGGGATGGGGGAAAGGAATGAGGAGAGATGAGAGAGATGAGAGAGATGAGAGAGATGAGAGAGATGAGAGAGATGAGAGAGATGAGAGAGATGAGAGAGATGAGAGACATGAGAGAGATGAGAGAGAGGAGAGAAGAGAGAGGAGGGAGAAGGTAATATATGATTTCTAAACTTAGTGTTTAAGGCCTTTGACATTAATCTCGGCCTTCCCCTCTGGATGCCACCATCGTAGACATTGGACCTTGATCCGATCAAACTCCGTTTCTGTAATTTCCCAGCTCCCAGCATTTGCCGAAATTACTGTACTTGCCGGTGGGAAATGAAAATATGGTAGATATATCTCACTGGGAGAATGAACCAGTGTTTGCTCGGCATGCAACTTCATTGAAAACTTGCAATTCTTCAGGTCAAATGCATGACTTTCCAACTTCCCATGCACGCGGATGGGACTTGGACGCACAAAGGCTTCTGCAGCACGATAGCTACGCGTCCGAGCCGAGCTATTTCGAAAGGAAATGCCAGGACTTGGCACCTCTCGTGATTTGAAGGAGTTCCTCCATCTCTGGGACATGCTGTCTGATTGCTTCTCTATAAGCGTAGTTTCGGGCAATTTTGAAAGGCTTGTGGTAATGGTCCTCGGCAGTTCCAAATCGTCTTGCGAGTATATTGAAAGATCTTCTCCGTTCCACTGATCGCCACCTTCATGGTCATTCTACGCATATTAGCTTAGTCTCATCCGCCCTGATCCAGAATCCATCCTTGATTATACGTACCTGAGCCACGTAGCACCACAGAGTAAACCCGTTGGAGGAACTTCCTTCCAAGGCGAAGTGATTGGCATCCATTGCTTTTATTTGGCTAGTATAGTCACCCGAGTTGAATGCATGCTTGTCATCGAGGTCGTATGGAATACCGATCTCGGTGAAAATGAGAGGGTGATGGCCCATATTCCTTAGGCTTTCGTCTCGCAAAAACCGAAGCTGATCTCGGAGGCTTTTCCGAATCGAGCGTTCTCCAAACTTCAGTGCGCGGAAGGGATAACGGTGGGTGCCTCGGAGCAAACCGATGATATCAAGGTTGTAAAGGCGGTTCCTATCCATCAGGATTTGTATCAGTACATAGCGTCGACCTTTTTGGGGGTGAAATACTAACCAATGCTTTGTTAGAAGTGTCAATCCATCGTAGAAGTGGACAGCATGTACCATATTCGGGTCATCATCTGCTGAGCCTTTGATATTTGGTGGAATCTCCATGACTGGTGGCTGGCAGAACATGATGACCCCGCCACAAACGCTGCGGATCGCATGTTTGTAGGACCTATAGTGAGTTAGAAAGTAGGAATTTGTGAACTTCCCATAATCGAGAATTTCGCCACTGTCGGGTCTTTTCGCGAAGTAATCTTTCTGGAGTAGAACGCTTTTGCTAGGGTCCCAAACCCCATGCTGAGCCCAGATGCATTCACCTAGCCGCCAGCGAGGATCGCGACGCCAGGGAAAATGACCTTCACTGTATCCAGCTGGTAACCAAACAGAGGCCCCTCTTGGGTTTATAAGCTCTTCGCCTATTTGGCGAGGACCGAAGCTTTTGAAAGACCATGTGGCAACCTGGCATGGTTGTCCGGACCCAATGAGGATACCTTGAAATGCCGTTGGAGACGTTCCAAGCTGTAAGTGTTGCTCGTTTGGGATTTTCGATATGTCTTGAACACCAATCAAGCCTCTATGGGGCTCGTTCAAACTTTCCCATCCAATTACCACATCGCCTTCGAGATCACCAGCGTCGTGAATCTTCTGCGCAAGATGCTTACAAGCACCAATGAAATGGCTTTGTAAATAATCCTGAATGTTCATATCGTCAAGGATGGCATTTGGCGCAAAGTCTCGCCCAGCCCAGAACAAAGTAAACATTGTTTGACAGACGAGTCTGCTATAGTTCGTACACCAAAGCATCTTAGGGAATTCCGTAGGGTTATCCAATGCATGCTGCGAGAGCGCTGCTTGAGTTGCTTGAAAGTTCCGTGGGTTGAGTCCGGCTGCGTATAGCGTCCATGCGGGGGCACCAGACCCTCCTGACAACCGTGACCACTGGCAAAAATTGGTTAACATTGTATCAATACCAAAGTAGAGTATTCACTCACAACATCTTGGTGGGGGTCCATGAATACGTAGAACTGATACTTTTTCGCGACGCGAAGGACATCGATGGTAAAGGCAAGCCATTCTTCATCATAGATGCCAGGCCCCGAATGTTCGATAGCTTCCCACGTGAATATATAGCGAATTGTATTATAGCCCCAGTTGCGTAGTCGGCTGAAGTGTATATCGGCGTCTTTCAGGGGGAAAGGTCGCCCCACAAATGATACATTATTTCCATTGAAGAACTCATCATGGTCTTCGGGAGGGCGGTTTGGCTCTTTGGGGAACTTTGCATCACCAGCCACGTTGATTCCTCTCAGGAAGACTTCTCGGTTTTCACAATCTCGGAAAGAAGTTCCCTCAACACGTAGACTATGTTGATTCATGATAAGAAGCAGGTCTCATGAGCCCTCCGATGGGTGAAATGAAGTGAGTGCGACGGAGGAGGAATGGTTTGAAGTGAGAGAGAAGCAGAGGGATATGGGAACAGACGAGAACTTAAGCGGAGGGGGGTGGGAAGCAGACGTTTTGTCTAGAAGTATCTCTAGCATTGTCCTAACGTTAGTAGACTTGATCTGAATGCCTGGGTGTGACATCACCTGCAGAAGTCTCAGTGCTCCCGCTGCCGTTGGCTGCTCGGTACTAGTATACGGAGTGTCGGATTCAACCGAGGATACATTCAGAGCGAGGCAAGAGTGTGTAATATTGGCACACTTTGCAACACGCCGTACCGTGTGCGTATTAATTGGTATCCGATCAAGATATCCTTCCACGGGTACCCGCCATCCTCGGGTCCATGGATGCGACCCCGGGACCCTGCAGACATCCCACCAATCAAAATCTCTTCTTTACGCGGAAAGATCTTCGGGGCTCCACCCGCCCGCGCGGCGATCCCGGAAATACCGAGCAGCTCAGATCATTTTCACCCGGGCTTGTTCTACTCTGTACGGAGTACGAAGCATGCGTCTGGTACTCCGTAAAGGGTTCTCGAACCGGGTTTCGGAAGCGGAAATTGGCCGGCGCCGCTACGGTCACGGTTTCGCCCTCATGTTGAAATTCTATGTTTGGAATGTTGTGCCTATTCTTTGCCACGCCCTATTGCTTGTTGCCGCATTTACAACTCGAGATTGGAGGCGATGTGCATCGGTTTTTTCTCTCTCCGGACCGTATCATCCTCCAGGGTCGCTGCTCGGGGATACCTTTTGAGGTAATCTCATACCAATCAACAATGCAAAATAGTACTGGCATCTGGAAGTCCCAGTCCGGAAGCCCTGACGTGACGCGAAGGAAATCGAAAGGATCGCATGGAATTCATTCTAGGTGGCTGTGTTTGCCTTGTGGTTGACGCGGCCAAATATCCGTTCAAGCTTTGAAAAATACTCCGTACACTTTCCAGGGTTCAGTTACCCGGAGCTTAGATACGGATACGCGGATAGGAACACATTTGATTGGTCTCTGAAAATAGACTACGCGGCTGTACCTGGTGGGGATGTCACTCTGCTAATTCTTCTAGCCATGATTTGAATAAGATATAAAAGCCACATTGAAAGACCCTGGGGTAAGTTCATCTCAGGGCTGTATATTAAACACAGCGAACAATACTTCACAAACCCCACAACATGGCGAAGTTGGAATCTTTGAAGAGCGGATATTATGTTTGGCAATATGTGCCCTCCATCGTTGCCGCAGTCATCTTTTTGATTCTCTTTCTCGCCGCGACATCCTTTCACTTCTGGAAGATTTTCCGAACCAAAGTGCGCTTCACCCTTCCGTTCGCCATTGGCGGTATTTGTAAGTTTTATATCGGCCCGCGATCATCCCCTCATGTCTAACCACTAGCGATCTAGTTGAAATCATTGGCTACGCAACGCGAATTGATTCCCACAACAACACAGGCAAGCTGATGCCTTACTGCATCCAAGGTGTCTTTATTCTTCTGGGTCCAGCCCTGTTTGCTGCATCAGTGTACATGGTTCTTGGTCGCATCATCCGCTCCGTCAAAGCCGAGAAGTACTCAGTCATTCGCATAGACTGGCTGACGAAGACATTCGTTCTCTCCGATGTCCTCACATTCTTGCTTCAAGCTGGTGCGTCGGGGATGATGGCCACCAGCAGTCTCACCAACATCGGGCAAGCTGTTGTAATTGCTGGTCTGGTCTTGCAAGTGCTCAGTTTCTGCTTGTTCATCGTGACCGCATACGTCTTCCAGAGACGGATCCGTGAACATCCAACGCCGGAGGCCTTCGAAGGCTGTGTTCCCTGGAAGCAGCATTTGAACAGCCTGTATGTTATCAGCGGACTGATTTTAGTCCGATCCATTTTCCGGGTCATCGAATACGCCATGGGGAATGAAGGTTATCCATTGAGCAATGAGTGGATGTTGTACATCTTTGACTCGGTCCCCATGATCATCGCTATGGTGATCTTTGCAATTTGGTATCCGAGTGAACTCCAGCCTTTCTTGGGCGATGAAGAAAACGCTCCTAACGAGGCTTTGGTGACGAAGGCATGATAGAAGATCGGCAGGAGTACAGGTGTTTATTTCTTTCTACTTTGGACTTATTTGTAGCTACCTTGTTATTTTTTGGATTTAGATTTCCTGTTGCCTTCACGCATCCTTCGCAATAACGAAGGACCCTTGGGTCATTCACATGATAGACAAGCAAATGAGAGTTGAACTTAACGACGCCTATGACAATTTGCATTGCCAATTATGACCATTCGGGCCTAACGCTGATGAGAATAGTTGCATCGATTTCTCGCGATATAGATATGCGGGAGCCTGACAGAGATAGTATACCATTTACCTAGGTACTAATGCTCAATGATATTCCACATACAACTATGTTGCAAGTCAGTATGAATAGGCATACTCCGGACCTCGTATGTTGCTTCTCCACAATATAGGTAGGTATTTCTTAATTTCCATTCTGATCGCAATCGAAAATAGACCTCTTCCCATACAGACTATTTTCATGGCAGAGCCTGGTAGCAAACTCACACTTCGGAAGTGAAATTATGACCAAAATCACGACCCCACAGAGCTCTTCATGGAGCTTCCTATGTTTCAAAGCTATGTATGTTTAAGCGGACCATTCCAACAACTGAAATCCACAGTCTCGTATATCTACCAATCAAAATAAGTCAATCCCGCGTACTTCGTCCCGTACACACTCATATTGACTATGGGGAACCGCTGAACCTGCTTTGCAACAACCGAGGCACCCCGGGGTATTGCCAACGACTCTGTTATTATGCCCAAGAATAGAAGGCAGGCCACCACAAGTTGATGGGAGTGGGGATTTTTTGGACCCTCCGTTACTCTCTCTTTCTCTCTCTCTCTCCTTTTCTTTCCTTGTTGGTAATCCTCTCTGACTAGGACATTTTTAAGGCTCGTTAACTCCATTTTCCAACCAAAGATCCTATCCATCTTGTTTGCTCCGTACGATGGTACATGTCGACTGGTACGCACCCTCGTGAGTGCAATCGAAATGAGGGCCACAATTTGATCGACATGCACACTGCCGAAGAGCGATTAGCCACATCTTCGCCAAGAGTGGGTACTGTGGGGAATCGGGAGCTTTCCTTGGGACATCTATGTCTACATTTAGATGAAGGCAGGTGACACGCAAGCTGCCTAAATACAGGCCCCTGGCTGAAGTCGACCTTAAAAGGAGAGTGGCCTGTATATGTCAGTTGATCTTTTTCTCTTCATCTGCGCAGCACTTTCAAGATGTTTCTTACTCTGAGGGCAGCGCTTGTCGCTTCCTTTGCTGCCTGCGCACTTGCTCAACAGACAGTTGACTTTGATCCGTGTTAGTATACCCAACGCTATGGCATCTGGATTCTCTCGAGGCATAACAACTACCTGGTTTCTGAACTCTCAGCTAACCCGACGTTCAGCGGACGATGCTATCGACGCAATCAAATGGAAATCCTCAAAGGCTAAAGCAAACGGTCTCATAGAGAGACTGAACCTCACCGAAAAGGCGTCGATGGTCACCGGAACAGCCAATGGGCAATGCATCGGAAATATTCCTTCGATCGAACGAGTCGGGTTTGGGGGCCTCTGTTTGTCTGACGGACCACAAGGCCTGCATCTTGCGGACCTAGCAAGTGTCTTTTCTTCGGGCCTGACTGCCGCCGCGACATGGGATCGGGAGTTGATTGCGAGACGAGGCGCTGCCATGGGAGCTGAATTCCGTGACAAAGGGGCCAATGTCATGTTGGGGTTTGTCAATCAGTCCTTGGCGTTGAGTTATGCACATGCTAATATCCAAATTCGCTAGTCCCTCAACTGGCCCACTCGGTCGCAGTCCATGGGGTGGCCGCAACTGGGAGGGATTTTCTCCAGATCCATACCTCTCAGGTGTCGCCATGCAAGAGACTATCCGCAATGCCCAAGCTGTCGGCGTCCAAGCTTGCGCCAAACACTTCATCGGCAACGAACAAGAGACACACCGCACCAATGAGCAAGTCCAAGGTGTAGATGTGGATGGTGTTTCCGCCAACATCGATGACCGAACAATGCACGAACTTTACCTCTGGCCTTTCGCCGATGCCGTGAAAGCAGGCGTTGCATCGTTTATGTGCAGCTACAACCGCCTTAACATGACCTACACTTGCGAAAATTCACCTCTTTTGAACAAAATCCTGAAGAAAGAACTGGGTTTCAAGGGCTACGTTATGTCTGATTGGTTTGCAACACATTCAGGCGCCCGGGCCATCAATGCCGGCCTGGACATGAACATGCCCGGCTACATGAGCGAAACAGACTTCACTCATTCCTACTTTGGATCAAATGTGGTTGCAGGTGTTGAGAATGGAACCATTTCCGAGCGTCGTCTAAACGATATGATTGCGCGTATCCTGACACCATATTATTACTTCAACCAGGACGAAGACTATCCAACAATCGACCCATCTTCTTACGCGGTGAGCGAAGCGACTTATGGACTTCTTTCTCCTGGTGCATCTACTCAGGAAGGTCGTGATGTTCGCGGAAATCACTCCTCTTTGATTCGGGACATGGGGGCTGCTGGGACAGTCATGCTCAAGAATGTGAACAATACGCTTCCTCTCAAAACACCCAAGATTATTGGAGTCTTTGGAAACGATGCCCCAGATGTTAGCTCGGGTCTGCTTTACCCTAACAAGGTTGACGGGTTTGAAATGGGGACTCTCACTGTTGGCGGTGGCTCTGGCAGTGGCCGTATGTCCTACGTGGTCTCCCCCCTCGAAGCCATCAAGGATCGCGCGAAGAAAGATGGCTCTCGTGTGGTCTACCTGACGGACAACCAAGTTATTGCCAATGGTGAATTCAACAGCATCTATCCCAGCCCCGATATCTGTCTCGTCTTCCTCAAAAGTTGGGTTCGTGAAGGAGTTGATCGAACTTCATTGGAAGCCAACTGGAACTCCACTCTGGTGGTTGAAAATGTCGCATCAATCTGTCCTGGAAGGACAGTCGTCATCACTCACAGCGGCGGTGTTAACTCAATGCCATGGGCAGATAACGACAATGTGACTGCCATTCTTGCTGCACATTACCCCGGTCAAGAATCCGGTGATTCCATTGTGGATGTGTTGTGGGGAGAAGTGAACCCATCAGGAAAGCTTCCTTACACGATCGCGAAGAGCGAAGCCGACTACAATGCACCTATTCTCAACTTGACAGGAGCAAGCAGTACTGACTCAAACGCCTGGCAGCTGAACTTTACAGAGGGGTTGATGATAGATTATCGTCACTTTGATGAACAAAATATCAAGCCCTTGTATGAGTTTGGATACGGTCTCAGCTATACATCATTTGATCTTGATTCGCATGTTTCGGTGAAACACCTTCGGACAACAAACCAAAGCAGACTTGATCATCAATATTCCAAAATCACCACCAAGAGTGCTGGTGGCAGCTCCGATCTTTGGGATACGATGATTCAGGCTACTACAACGGTTACCAACACTGGTGATGTGCCTGGTGCTACGGTAGTACAGCTCTATCTCTCCTATCCAACCAACGATATGCCACCGGGAACTCCACGGAAGGTGCTTCGGGGTTTCGAAAAGACAACTTTCCAGCCAGGGGACCAGAGGGACGTCCATTTCTCGCTTCGCCGTCGTGATCTTAGCTATTGGGACACCGAGACACAAAGCTGGAAGATTCCCAAAGGGAATTTCCGATTGAGCGTTGGTTTTAGCTCGCGAGACCTTCACTCCTTCGCTTCTTTCAGAGCTATCTAGAGTCTCAGCTGGCAGCATGCATTGTCCTTTACATAAGGATGGTCACTTGAATAGCTGCGCTGGGAAAGCCATCACACTTCTTTTTTTCACAGTCATACTTTTTGGTTCCTTTTTGCAAAAAGCAACCCATATTCACTGTTACATATCTTCTCGTCTGTCCGATGTTTCTTATATCTCTTCTGTCGTGGTTTCATCCTAGTTGGTCCAACCTTACCGGATGCTTTGCCTCAAACTTCTTGGCTCTCTTTTAGTTATACTCTTCTTCGAATTGGCGGTCCTCGGCCAATTGAACATTCAATATTATTTTCACTCATTTACTATTCCGTGCCCAAAGCTATTTAGTGCAAAACAAAAACATATTTATACAATAAGCTTCGTGATTCTGTAATTCAAATTGATGAAAAAGAGCAGACTACGTGTAATGACGAAGACCAGAGCCCTGGAGATGAATACCACTTCATCATTCTAGGCCCACCTGGGCAATCCCTACGTGAGGCACCAGTCAATCTCCACCCGCAACCCACCACAGGCAAATCTCTCGCGCCATCGTGTTCGGGAATTCCATTGAGGCGCATGTGGAGCCACCAATCAGAGGCCATTCATTCCGCGTGTTCGGCACAGACCCGACCCAATCACAGTCGCCTCGCCCCGTGTATATGCACCAACACGGCGTAATTTTGGCACCTCATGTCCCCTACGAGGTATTGCCCAGTGAAGATTACATACCTATCTGGAGGTCAGTAACCCATCAAAGCCCCTTTGTTTTATCTGTGCTACCTAGCGAGGCTTCATGTTGCTATTTTCTGATCCGCGGCCCAACCCACTTCTTGCCCGCTGAGTTGTGGGTTGGGTTCTTATTCGGCAATGAAGACGCTACATATAGAAGAATGCTGTCTCCCGAGGTCTACCTAGCAGCTTTCTCATTTTCAAACCTCACTCGACGATCGTTGTTTCTTTTCTGTTCTTTTTTTTGTTTTTGATTCAGACTGCGCCTTTCAAGACTACTCTCTTTTACATTCCTGACCTGTCTTGATTTGATATTCTTTATCTCTGCTTCATCACTCATCACTGTGCACGCTATCCGGTCTGGTATTTCAGGTTGCCTTAAATTAGGGACTATATCGCTCGCTCAGACCTCGAGACAGAATGGGCACTTCGGGGTACTATCCCTATGAGCCGAGTAGCGCAGCAGCTATCATTGCCATGCTTCTCTTTGGAGGAAGTGCGTGCTTTCATCTTTGGCAAATGTGCAAACAGAAGACATGGTTCTTCACTGCTTTCCTTATTGGTGCCTTCAGTGAGTTCTTTGTGGCGGGGAGGTCAATCGCAGGTCGAAAAACTAACGAACCTTCTACCTTAGTGATGACCTTGGGCTACATCTTCCGATTGTTATCAGCGCGGAAGCCTGACAGCCTCGTGGCTTATGTTTGCCAATCAATGTTTATCATTTTACCACCATCGCTCTATGCTGCAACAATCTACATGACATACGGTCGAATTGTTGTATATGTCGGTAAACCACATTTGTCCATCATCGCTCCGCGCAAAGTCACAAAAATCTTCGTTCTCGGGGATACTTCTGCCTTCCTCCTGCAATTGGCAGGTGGTGGTATGCAGACTATTAATAGCATGCGAAATCTTGGCCAAAAGGTGTTGATCGTGGGTTTGGCAGTTCAGTTGATTTTCTTTGCATTTTTCCTCTATGTGTCTATTACTTTCAAGCTTCGATTGCGTGGAGCTGGATTTGATTTGATCGGTGGCAGATGGCCCCAACTTCTTCACACTCTGTTTCTCGTGTCTGCTCTGGTCATCGGGCGTTGCATTTTCCGGATCATCGAATACGTTGGTGGAACGGACGGTTACGTCTACTCGCGTGAAGTATTTGCGTACCTTTTCGACGCAATCCCAATGTTCTTTGTGCAGGCGATTTTCCATTTCGTCCACCCCGGAAAAATCCTCGTCGGAAAGGGTTCCACTGACGACGACTATGTCAACCTTCAAGAGTTTTGATATCGAAATGTGAAATGTTAGCCGAGAGGCTAAATGGAAGAGTTAATGTGCGCGATGGTGAGCTCGGTGGAGGGTGGTATATATGTACTTCACACAAAAAGACCTCGGGAAAGATAGTTCCAGTCACATTTCAGAAGCACGGCGAATCATATGTCAAGCCACATCCCAGTTGTGCCTGGCGTCTCTAAAGCCGCTGTTCATGTGCCCAGATATTTTATCTACCCTTTGAGGTCCCAAACTTTCAATTGATGGATGTTAGAAGGATCACCTATAGCTGAGAATCTGGGAAACTTTGAACGATATCTACAACAGCCTTGAAAGGCAAACTCAACAGAAAAGTTAAGATCAAATAAAGCTGAATTCCTTCCCTAAGCTTTGTTTCACTGCACAGTGCTATGGAAGTGATTTGTCAGTTCCCTAGGGCGCCTGGCGCTCCAACCTGCACTATACCAGGACCTAACCCGCCCGACAATCAAACCAAATGAAATTTGAACTGCACCGAAGAGCCACCAGACACTTGACGCGTTGCACCCTTGAACTGAAAGCAACCCTTGTGCGGACAGGCCGAAAATTGTCGCAGTCTAATCTCTCCCTTTGTCCCTTGCGGTGCTTTGACTTTGATCATGATATAGGTGTCTTGGAATACCAACGACATACTGATGGCCCCATATGGAGTAGGCATAGTTGATTCAACATGACCCAGGTCAAAGCCCATGTATGCTGGCTCAACCACCCATGTCTTGAACCCGAATTCGACAGGTCTTATGCCAGCAACGTACTGAGACATAGCATATGTAGCAGCACCGCCCCACGGATGACTGAGTGAAGTGTACTGGCCTAGCCCAGGATTGCGCTCTTGGTTCACGTACTCCCAGCTTGCACCTGAGTAAGTCTCATCATTTGCGATCCTGGCGTCCCAGATATTTTCAAACAGGGTTGGGCACTTTCCACTTGCCCATATTGGAGGAGGGCAGGAAACAAGAAGCCGTTGGTGTTTGGCGAAATGTTTGCCGTGGGGTCATTTGAGTCAACCGTGGTAGCATCTTTGAACCCTGGACCAAGCCGGAGTCTTGAAACATTGTCGAGCGATGCAAGCGCCTGGGATTTGTTGGAGACACCCGAGGTAATTGCAAATGCAGTTCCAGCCACAGAAAAGTCGTCGGGCTTTGAGGTAGACACTGAATAAAATCCTGACTTGTCGTTCCAGAAACGAGAATTGATTGAATCTTTCAATGACTCTGATATCGAACGCCAGGTTCCGGCCGAGGAATTATCTCCCACAGCGGAGGCAACAAGCGACATACCGCTCAGTGCTTCAACGGCAGCCGCGTTGACAGCAACGCCATCCGGCGGTCCGAGAAAGGCGGTATGGTAGATGGAAAAGTCTATCAATCCCGTATCGTTGCTGCGTAGCTTGATCAACCAGTCCACAGCTTGACGCAATGAGACCCAGGTGCTTTTTGCAAACTCCACGTCATTAGAAAATTGCATATAGGACACAAATGAGATGAGAGCGAGGATATGATAGTCCGGAAGAAGATATATACCATCTCCGAGACCACCACCGACCGCAAATGTGTTCGGCGGTACTGATGGCGCATACCCAAGAGAGGGTGACATAGGAAACTGACCAGTGCCAAGCTGATAGGCAAGTAATTGTGAAAACGTGCCTTTGATCTGATCTGCTCGCCCTGTCGTTGCACCGATGATTCTTACGGTATGCAAGAAATCCCCTGACCACACTAGACGATCTCGTCGACCACCGTCAACGCATGTAGAAAAGAAGTTCTCATGCACGCCGTACTCGGGCAGCACCTGAGTAGAATTCGTGAGGGAGTTTTCGTAAATCATGCTTCCTGTTGAACTTTTGACAACAACATCACGGAAGAGCCCTGACTGATCTTGCCAAGCTCCAAATCCAAAAGATCCATATGTGGAAATGGATGCGCCATCGCCCACATAGTAGTCGGACAACGATACATTGAAGATCATACGGTCATTGATAGCAACGGTCAGATTTCCTGCTCTTGTGGTACTCGAAATGCGATACCAAGTCCCTTCCTGAATCTCGAATGGAGCACCAAAGGTATCAAGAAGATAGGAAGTTAGCGTTGTCTGATTGGCAAATGCCACACCATAGCCCAACGTGACCGTTGAAGGGGGAAACAAGGTTTTGTTGGTGTTTTTGAACGTTGTCTCCGCAGGATAGTTTCCAGCAAGGTTCAGTTGCATCCCTCCCCGAGAGCGGATACCGAAATTATACCCCATGGACCACTGAAGACCCCCTCTGACAATCTTGGCATCGAATTCAAGGGTATAATCACTGAAATTGTACGCCGCCGCCGTGTAGCTTGGGACGCTGCTTGAAATCAACGCGCCGCCATGGGATACGTTCCAAATAGACCTCTGAGTTCCCTCATCAAAACACGCCAAAGATATGGCGTGGGCGCCAAGATTCCAAATTTTGTTGTATCGAGTATTTGATGAATTGAAAGTCCCGGTAACTTTTGTGTTGGTTTTGGATCTAGCGGTCGATTTGAAGGAAACACGCCGAAAGGTCACGGTACCATTCGTCAACAAACGCAGTGTTTGCCAACGCTGCCCCCCTTGAAGCAGTGATGAGCCGGTCCATCCCGGGGTAGTCAAATTAAAAGTTTCGAGTCGATAGGAATTCGCCAGACTTGACACAAATGTGCTCGGGCCATCACTCAGTGGTTCATGGAGCCCAGAGAACTGCTCGCTATATTTGAGTTCCACTTCACACGGCCCGGATAGAGCTGTCACTTTAAATAAAGGCAGTCCGGCTACATGAGTACCGTAGTCAAGAGTCGCAAGTGGAGCAGTGCTGTTTAGCGTAAACTCGTGGAATTCGACGACTGGAATCTTTGGTTCATGTCCCACATTGAGAGCGACCGGCGTGAACGAGACATGCGAGGGACCTAAAATCTTGTGTTTGAGTATGAAAGATACGGAAATTTGTCAACGGCGCTTACTGTGTATTGAATTGCCATCGACTAGCTTTGAAGTTATCAGAAGCTGCACGAGGATAATGGCAGATAGCATTTCAAACACAGTTTGATCAGTTGATGTGTTGGAGTCAAAATATCTCAAGATGACCAACGAGATCTGGAAGATGCAGTAGGATTCTTACACTCTTTAGTCTTTGTGGTTCAACTGGGGGGCAACACGGATTTCACTGTAGATGCGTCATGTTCGATGTAGTGCCCAGGTGTACTGAAAGTACCCTCGTACCCGTCTCTCTAGTCGCCACACCCATTTGTCCGATGGCCTTGGCGATTCCTAGGGTCTGACACACCTTGTCCGCGCTGTGTCAGACAGGCCTCGAATTCGAGAAAAGCCAGGGCGATGAGTTCGACCAATCACAGGGGTCGCTATGCGCGGAAGTTTGAGGTGGGGACTGATTTGCGTTGAGGTGGACTGTGCATACGCGGATAGAAACGCCATTCATTTGTCAATATTCCGTACCGTCATTCTTTCAAGGGTTGTGGGTCGTCTCAAACTCCCTCGTTTGAATTGAGGCTGAGCGAAAAACTATTCAGAGCCTACAAGAACGGATCAATGTCACATGACATGAGTGCCCATGAGTGTTCCGGTTTTCTTCTTTCGGTTTCCTTTTCGCTTTGATCTCTTGGGGATCTCTCTCCTTCAAGTTTTTCCTTTCACTTCTCCTCCCGACATCATGCCCACTTATCGCAATGAGATGCCGTTTGCTGTTGAAATAGGCAGCATTTCAATCCCGAGGTGGGGCGGGCCCACTCTACCTGATTGGTTGGCCCTAAGCAGATCCAAGGGTCCATGGTTCCTCATCGGCCGTCTGCATCGGGACTAGTGCATATCGATAGCGTCACTGCCAGGCTGAAAATTATTCCAAAAGGACCTCAGGAGTGGACTGGCTTGACCTAGTTTCATGCGGTTTCCACAGCTGTGTCTACTTAAGGTTGCACACATACCTCCTCATGTCGTCTAGCTCAACCAATCTGCCATTGCAGCAGTCCAGTCTGCCCAACCCAGACATGGAGGAACCTCAACCGCCAAGATATTCCGTCCTAGAGGCCGCTGGGTGGCCGCAAGAAAGCTGGAGTCAAGAGGGGGCAAAGGTCAAAGGTATCAACCGTTCCAGCTATGTCGCTTTGCGTCAAACATTCACTGACTTCTCGCAGATGATGGCCGGATTGAAGTAGACCTCGATTCGAAGCTCTGTAGGACAGTCAGCAGACTGATTCCAGCCTTGCGTGAAGTACCGAGCACCCCAGAGCCACCGCCAACTGTGCCGGTAGGAGTTACCTGTGAGCTGCAGCTAAACATCGTGATACAAGTTGTCGGCAGTCGAGGTGACGTCCAACCATTCATCGCATTGGGAAACGAACTTCAACTCCATGGTCATCGAGTGAGACTAGCAACTCATGGAGTATTTCAAAAATTTGTTCTTGATTCCGGATTGGAATTTTATCCCATTGGAGGTGATCCGTCCGAGCTTATGGCATATATGGTAAAGAACCCGGGTTTGATTCCGGGAATGAAAACATTGCGAAGTGGTGAGATTCAACGCAAGCGCGCAATGGTTGGCGAAATGCTGAATGGATGTTGGGATTCATGCATCCGGGACGATCCGCTTAGCAAGGTGCCCTTTGTGGCAGATGCTATTATCGCGAACCCGCCAAGCTTTGCTCATATTCACTGTGCGCAGGCTTTGTCAATCCCCTTACATCTGATGTTTACTATGCCTTGGAGTAGCACGAGGGCATTTCCACATCCATTGGCAAACCTCAAATACTCCAATACCGAACCGAAGATCGCCAATTATCTTTCATACGGTATCGTCGAATGGATGACGTGGCAGGGGTAATTTTACTATATTACGCTTTCTCTATGATTCTCATGCTGACCTCCATATCATCTAGACTTGGCGATGTTATTAATGATTGGCGTGCAAAACTCGATCTGGAGCCTATACCGGCTACTGAAGGACCCTGCTTGACTGAGACGTTGAATGTGCCGTTTACATATTGTTGGTCCCCAAGTCTTATGCCGAAACCTTTAGATTGGCCGTCTAATATTGATGTCTGCGGCTTCTTTTTCCGCTCTCTTCCTGACTATTCGCCTGCACCTGAGCTCGATTCTTTCCTTCGCAACGGGAGCAGGCCGGTGTATATTGGGTTCGGAAGCATTGTCATTGAAGATCCGGTGGCCATGACGCAAATGATTCTTGGGGCTGTGAGGACCTTGGGTGTTCGTGCGATAATATCCCGTGGTTGGAGTAAACTTGGAGGAGAAGACGCAGTATCTGATGATCAGGTTTTCTATCTTGGTGATTGCCCCCACGAATGGTTGTTTCAACACGTTTCCGCCGTCGTGCATCACGGTGGTGCAGGAACCACAGCATGTGGTCTTCGCTTTGGCAAAGCCACTACTATCATTCCGTTCTTTGGAGAGTTCGTTGACCCTGATATGTTCCGCTGTTAACTTCTACTAAATATCTGTTCAATAGTCAACTCTTTTGGGGCAACATGGTCGCATCATGTGGACTTGGCCCAAAGCCTATACCATATCAGTCTCTGACCACAGAAAGCCTAGCTGAGGCTATACGGTTCTGTCTTCAGCCTGCAGCCCAATCTGCAGCCGAGCAAGTCGCAAATCGAATGAGCCATGAATGTGGTGTTTCCACGGCAGTTGAATCTTTCCATCGGAATTTACCAGTGGCGGATATGCAATGTGATGTTCTACATTCCGAACCTGCTGTGTGGCGGTTCAAGAAGAAGTCGAAGTCTCCCATCCGCTTATCAAAGTTAGCTGCGGAAATTTTGATCCAACATCACCGCTTCAAGTTAAGCGATCTCCAACCGTGAGCTGCAGTCCACCCCCAGGTATCGCACTACAAACTAAACAAAGCACCTTGTGTTAGCTATGAAACTCTTTCGGTGTATATCCAGAATCGCCGATGGGATCCTGTCACTGGTACTGCTTCCTCACTGCTAGGGACAAGTACCGACATTCTCAAGGCCACAGGAGACATCGTTTACCGTCCATACGAAGAGTTTCGTCGGTCAGGAAATTCCCAGCTTCCACCACCCGAACCCTCCTGCTCGCGATCTTCCAGTGTTACTTCCGCCGCGGAAGTAACTTCTCTAGCGCCTTCGGGAAGAAGCTCTTCTAAGTTGAAAACTACGGGCGCAGCAATGGAAGGCTCTGCGAAAAGCCTCGGAAAGGCTGTCGGCTTTTGGTATAAAGGTGTTCTGATCGATATGCCTTTGGCTGTTAGTGAAGGCCTGAGAGCCGTGCCCCGACTATATGGTGAGGAGGTCCGGGATCATGGGGACGTGCGTGACTGGAAATCGGGTGCCACTTTTGCCGGAAAAAACTTTGTTCATGGAATGGCAGACGGCTTCAGTGGTGTCATCACTCAGCCATACAAAGGGGGACAGAAAGAGGGAGCGAAGGGCGTGGCGAAAGGAATTGCAAAGGGGACGCTCGGAATGACAACTAAGGTCTCATCAGGTCAGTGCATTCCACTCACGATTCATCCCGGGGCAACTGCTAAAGAGGGCACAGCGGCATTGGGACTCGTGGCATACCCTGCCCATGGCGTGATGAAAAGCTTGTATACTGCAACGCATTCCAAGACACGGAAACTTATCATACAGTCGCACATCCATGAGGGAAAGTATCTTGCAGAACACTCAGTCAAAGGTCAACAAGATCGACAGTCTGTGATACGAAATTTCGAGGCTGCATACCGCAAACCTGTTGATGCTGCCAGCTTATCTTCTGGCTGATCATCATCCAGCCTTTGGAGGATTACATTTGTATGGCCAGAATTGAATCTTGGAAGCCTACTGCCCAGGTGTGCTACAGTCGATTTTGGACCCCCTTATATATCACAGAAGCTCACCATCTCCTGGTTGCGCATAATTAATTGACCATTCACTGAAATCCATGAACTAGACTTACCAACCTTGAGGATGGGCTACACAACCTTGAATCCCGCTTTGATGTCGACTCACCGGCACTAGGCAGGTTCCCATATTACTTCAAGAACGCGGCGATTATTTAATGATTGTGGTACTATCAGCTTACCTCTAGCTTCTTCGCTGGCTCTGTTTTGCTGTGTCTCAATAAATTCCTGAAAGCTTCCCCATACTTCCTTTTTCTAACCTACTCAGAGTTCTAAGCCCTCATAATCTCCCAGACACCTGCCCCACAACGGAAAGAAAGTTTTCATGGTGAAGTTCAAACTCCGTTTTCCAGATGACGCACCAGGTTCACGGCTGATAGCATAACAAGGTATCCACAGAAAACAGAGAATAACATAATACTACTCGTATGAGCAAAGTCCAGATGTATGAAAGCTGCACTCGAGAGTATCACAGAAATGAATGTGAGATAGCCAGTGACTTTTGTACTTCTTTGAAGGTTTCAGTTTCGATATTCCCCGTCCTTAATTTGATTATATGTGACTTACAGGGAATTGCACGCGGCTTCAAATCTTTTCGTCGAGCCAAGTCCCCGGCCAAATAGACGGAGAACTACAAATGCAGCAGTCATATATGCCACCACATGGGTCGACATATGTTCGACTGAAGGCCTCTTTTCAATGTCGATACGGAATGTTCTCAGGGCCATGAAAACGAAGGCCTCTGCCGTGATTTGGGCTGCGAGTACTGAGAAAGCTTGTGCTTTCTCATGCACGGAGAGGATTACCAGCCAGCATGATGTGAAACAGCATGAGAAAGACAGCACTACTTCCAAGGTTAAGGTTAGTAACATGTATACCTAGTACTGAGCTTGGTGGATCGACAAACCAGAAGATTGGGTTCCATTATAATGAAGCCCATCGTAGGTTGCAGTTGATATGACATGGGGTGTGTTTGCAATAACCAAAGTGTTTCCAAGCAGCCATAAAGCACATGGTAAGTTTTGTAAGACATTCGTCTGCTTTCGTTGGTCGTACGAGATCAACATCATACAAATGAAGACTCGTACTGGCACAAGATGTGTTATGTAGTCATGTTTCTCAAGCTTCCATATTGAAAAATGGGTTAAAAGACTGATGCAGACTGATAACAAGACGGTTTTGATGTTGCTTGCATGTGTTTGGATATCTTTGATATGGCAATTTGAACTCATCGGCTTGCAACACGGGTGGCTAGAGAGATTGCGTACCCCTCTACCTTTGAAAAGTGATAACGCTCAAGTCAGAATCCGTGTCAAAATCGAGCCTCCAGCACACCAGAGCAGACTTACGCCATTCAATTGTCATTTTATAGATTACCTGAGATTTGTGAACGATTATTGAAATATTGATAGAAAATAGAACCAGGGCAAAAAAGGCAAAATAGATGCCCTGTACCCACATAAGCCAGGCTCCGACGCAGTGCCAAGATACCAGGTAACCAGAGTAATGGGGCTTTTCAGGCCCCGGAGGTCTCCCATTTAACGCTAAAACGGTATCGCCAACCGTGGAACCGCTAGGGGTTTGGAATAGAGTTTGCCCTGTTAATCAACCGACCCATCCAATGAGCACCTTCTAGTCCCGCGTATTCAATATTATCCGCGTAGATATGGGTCCTGCCGACGGGCAGTACTTTTTATATACATCTAAGTGGAGAACCGACACTCTTTTCTAAAAGATTCACGGCATATCCCCGGGGCCGTATTCGTGTTACAAGAAAAAAGGTGGGTATTACTATTGAAACGGTGAATTATTTACCAAATCGCTAGCTAGAACTGCTCCGTACTATGTGACACCACCTGGAGTCAGCGGTTTGCGGACGCCAAGACCGTAGTTAGGTATCGCAAGGGCCTATTTTGAGGGAATTATGGGTCCCCAGTAGCCGGTTCTTGGCTGGGTCGGGCCCTAAGGCAAAAGCCAAACTCACTTCATCGCAAAAGTCCAATGTCGGCCTCTAGAAAAGTCACTTTTTGTGTCAAACAAAGAACATAAAAGGTGTATTTGCTGGGTTTCAGTAATGGTACCTTTCCACTTCATTTTCCGCATCTAATAGAATCATCAGCTCTTCCTTCCAGGGGATTTGGTCTATCTCCTCTTTCTTCCTTTGTGGAGGTTATGCTTGGAGAAAGAGAGAAAGATTGAGAGTAAATTAGATTTTTGGTTGTAAAGGAGAGGAAGGGAGGGAGAGGGGAAGAGGGAGAGGGAGAAGTTATTTCTAGGCTAACTAATACTCACGTACTTCAGACTGGGAGCGGAAGTCTTGCTTCTCTCTCCTCCGTCTTTTCTTTACTCTCCCTCTCTGAGATCACACCTTTCCTCTCACTCCCGCCCTTCTTGGTCTCTTTCCCTCTCTCGCTTTCCTCTCTTCTTGATTCTCTCCCCCTTCTCACTCTTCTCGAGGTCTCTCCTATTGTACTCAAATCTTAAGAGAGCTATAGCCATAACTAGTTCAGTTGCTGGTCATATTGATCTATCTCCATGAACTTTTTTCGAAAGCCGAAAATAAAACGGGAAATGTCATTTATCATTCAGGTGAATATCGGTGAGTTATTTGTGTGCTCGGTTGACTATAGTTCCTCCAATATAGGGCCCTCAACTTTCTTGACCTTTCGTCCCTCCCACCACGACATGATACCTGCCAAAAGGGAACTGAAACAACCGAGCCCAATGAAGAGACCAACTCCGAAACTTGGTCGACTTTGGCTATCATAAGCCCACATGAAAGTAGCCATACCAATCTGAAACAGACTATTCAACAACATATTGATCACCACAAAGTCCATTTTCCACCGGCTGGTAGGTGAAGCAATCTTGCCCGTTGAGGTCTTGCGAGGCGACTCTTCGCCGGCAGCTTCCTCGTCGAGATATGACACCGTCATTCGAAACCAGCTCGCATTTCGCCTGGCGAGCTGACTGGTGGCTTCTTTCGATCTTTTGCCTGAGCCCAAACGCCCCATCAGCAACCAATATGTATCACGGAATCGCCACGGCGCCAAGCCCCAAGAGGTCAAACAAAACAATCCATTGAGGATCTGCGAGTCGATCTCTATCCAGACCTCTTTGCGATCTTTGCTCATCGTGCCAACGTCCAGAAGAAGGAAAAACAGCATAGCACCCCAGGCGACAACATTCAACCCATAAATAGCGATAAAGAGGCCTGTAGGTGTGCACAAAAATCTGAAAGCCGCGAGAAACACATCTTTACATGCTGACTTCCATGAAGCATGTGGGACATGGTCGATTCCGGCCCCCAGGCAATCTCCATCCACCCCGCTGAACAATTTCTCCGCTCGACCCCCGTCGCATTTGGACACTTTCAGGGTCTTCTCATTGTGATTTGAATTTTGAAATTCATCTTGCGTTCCAATACGACGTACGCTGCGGCCGTGTGCGTCAAATCCCACCTCGTGAGCAGATGTGAGATCGGTGCTATTTGGAGCGTGCGCGATCGCTGTCCCAGTGGCCTGCCACATTCCACCGGCGGGGTTGAATTCAAGGAATTTCATGGTAGTCGAAACTGAGGCGGAGCGCAGTGATCGTCTAATTTGATGTGATGATCTTGTCGTATTCATTTGAATCATTTCTTCATCGGCCGACCCCGAAGCTTGTTCGTTGGCAACCATGCCCATATTCAGTCACCAATGTGTGCACCCAGATTTTGGTAAGATATAATAATTCCTTGGTAGAAACTTAGGGACTGTATCGTTGCAAGGTTGAATCAAAGTGGTAAGGATGCAAGATCGAGACCGGGTGCATTGATCTTTATGTATTGAACGATGTGACGAGAATAGCAGACCTGGCTTTAGAAAAATCGAAAATGGTTCCAAAGATCCAGGTCAAGCAGTATCAGATTTTAGGGTCCACATATTGTTTTCATGGTCGACATCGCAGGATCAGCTTCCAAGGTCACGGGTGGCAAACTCTAAAACGCCGAACCTTAAATGGCTTCCCAGGTTGGAACGTTGGCTTTCCAGGGTCCACGGGTATTGATCAACTGTATTACATGTAATGAATTTATTGAACTCGAATTTGTTATATTACTTCGGTTCTCAGAATCAGTTGAAATTCTTGACTTGAAAAGTACACGGAACAAAACGTAACTCCACTATAATACAAGATATATATCTTCCAAGCCTCTAGGACTCAATCTGTTGACGAAGTCCTGATCTGCCTCTCCAAAAAATGCAATGAGGATAATGTGAGGTGATGATAAGTAGGTTCGATGATAGAAAGAAAGGAAGAAAGAAAATCGGAAGAAAGGAAGGTCGAAACATGCACTTCAAATTCAACTCGTTGAAGGTGGAAATGTGCTGTGAAATAGTACCTAGGTATCTTTCGCGCTGATCGCGGCTCAGTTCTCGGGCGTCACCCGGCAAAGCAAACCTGTGTTAAGGTCATTGTTCCACAGGTCACTGCCAACACCGCTCCAAACAAATAAGCTCTCACTCGGATCATATTTGCGTTTGATGGTGAGAAGCTTGTCGTAGTTCACGCCGTAAAAGTCTTTTTTCCAAGTACTGCTGAATGGATTGCCCTCGTTCATGTAGGCACCGGTATTAGGTGCCCAGTCTCTCCAAACAGGCTCCTTCACAGCCTCGTACCAGGAAGCACCAGCTTTCAGAGACTCACTGGCATCACCTGTCGCATTGATCGATGCTCCCAATGTAAAAACATGGGCGTATGCGCTACGCCAAGCAGGGACGACACTTCCGCGCATGTTCGATGGGACGTCAGCTGGTCCGCGACCTCCTTGCAATCCGAAAAGCAACATAGTTCCCGAATCTGGGTTCTCTGAAACAAGGGCTCGCTGGAGATATGTCTTCAAATCACTGCGTGGGATGTCCGACAGCTCTCGTCGACCCATAAGACGGCTCGTCATGAGGCTGACCGCGCCAGCAGAGTTGCTCGTTAGAGGTTCAGGCTTCACAAAGGACCAGTAGCTTTGGTCTGTCGCCGATTGGTATGAGACATTGAGGTGACTGTGTTGGTCATGGTTGAGATCTGTGATTTTGGCTGCCAGCTTATGAACGGCGGCGTCCATCTGGCTAGCACTCATGTTCAGGCCTACCAGCCCAACCACTGCAGCAACACCAACTGGTGCTTTGCTAAGTCCTAGAGCCATCGCTCTCATCTTCGTGTATGCGGTGATGTTGCCATTCAATCCATCATCCATAATTTCCGGAATTGAAGCAACCATCTCGGATAAGGCATCCCAGGAGGCCTTTTCGCTTGCATTTGTCGATTCAGCTGCCCAAAATGAAAGGCTGCCCTTGGCCACACTCTGTGGGATAGGGTGTGTCTTCAGAACAAACTCGGTCACCACTCCATATTGGCCTCCTCCACCGCCACGGACCGCCCAAAACAGATCCTGATTCTGCATGTCATTGGCAACGAGCCGTTTTCCATCGGTGGTAATCAATGTGACTTGATAGACCTGATCGGATGCAAGGCCGTAATGGCTAGACAAGAATCCATGGCCACCATTTTGGATTAATCCTCCAAGGCCAACAGTGGGATCTTCACCACCGACGACAGCTCGGTTTGATTTGTGAGCAGCGGAGTACGCTGAGCCCCAGTTGTTGCCACTGCCACAGATCAACACATCCGCTGTTTCATTGCGGCCTGGCACGTTCCATCTGCTAACATGTTTGGTGTGTTTGAAGTTGTGTGTCCAAATAGAAAGTGCATTCGCTCCAGTTGATCTAGGTTAGGTTAGTAAAAACCACGAAGGCTTAATATTGAACAACATACCGGCCATTCAGATCATGCCCTGTCCCTTTGACGACAATCCTGATATTTCTTTGTGAGGCCCAATTCATTGCTGTCGCAATATGGGCTTCGATAGTGGCGTTGACAATATACCTCGGCAAACCGTCGACATTACAACATTTCTCCTTGGAGTAGCCGGTAGAGTCCTTAGGTACACATGAGTTGTTTGTGTAGATTGGATAGTCGATGCTCTCAGGCCAAGCAGAATGGTACGCTGCATATGACCACTTGTCTGTCACGTCCGAACAGTTTTCAGGCGAGTTGAATGGGTTGCCAGGATAGCAAGATGAGGCCACCGGGGCTGTTTTTATCAAATGACCTCCGATAGAACGATTAAGAGCGAGCCAATCCTCGGACGATGGCCATGCCGGGCTATCAGGCGAATTCTTGCATTCCCGACGAGCCCAGGCCGTAGCTGTGAAGGCCAGGGACACCAAAGTAGGTTTCAGCAATAGCATGATCGAGGTTGTGATCGACAAAATTGGAATTGATTATCGAGCTGATCAGTGTTACGGGATTCCTGATCTTTATAGAACAGTCGTAGAAGTGAAACCAGGGGAAATCAAGTATCCTCAAGTTCGTTGTTGCCTGCAACAGTAGCAGGATAATCCATATTGCTCCCGAGCCCACAACTAGTCGTATTCGGAAAGTTCTATGATCTACAGGGTAGTCCACTATCGTATCAACATATTCATACATACACGCACGTTACGGAGGATGTAGATCATTTAGGACGAGAGATGAAACCAGTTAGGCTAAAAGGCAATGAAGTGGGGCCCGACCCATCCCTCAGCCGCACCAATCAACGGCCGATATTTCCGCGTAACTGGTTGGACGTGATGTGCCGAGTAACAACAACCTTGGAAGTTACAAGATCGAGCATCCACTGGCGCAAGACTACTACAGTAGTAGTATCTAAATTTTCAACTAGCACTACTCCCAAATATGGAACCAGCAGTCCGATAAATAGTGATTTTTGGAGTGGGCAGAGTTGGCAAGACTACCTAGGTACCTAAGTAGGCTTGACTCTTGCTTAATTTGTCCAACTTGACATTTAGCTCGTTACTACCTAGGTACACATAATCTTGTCATGCGGACCAGACGCGCCATCAGAACCTAAATTGAATTTACGCTAATGATGCATCGGCGATCCGTACCTTAAACATATTCTTGAACCTACTAGGCAGGGAGGAAAAGATCTCTTCAATTTGGTTCCAAAGTTTCTTTGAGGGGAAGAGAAAAAGAAGGAGAAGAAAAAACCAAGTACTATCATGTTTGCCACACTCAGCACCTTCGGAAGCCTGACATACTCGGTATGGTTCTAACTTTGGAGAAAAATTGATGCTCGTGTTCGTATTCATACGTCAGGCTCGAGGGGTACGACAATGTCGGATATCTTCTATCTAGTAGGCAGGCGATGTCATCCAAGGAGCAGGTCCTAGAACTTCCAGAAAGCGAGGATCGTGATTGGCTTAGTGATCTCCAATGGTCCGATCCGAAGTCTCAATGAAAGGCGGCACATCTGCAGGTTCGGGTATTCTGTATTGTTTTACTGCAATTGGCCCGCCAACTGGGCAGTGCTCGAGTATTTGCATTGTCAGCTTACCCAAGGATTGGAACGAATCAGAGATTCCAACTGGAAATGCTACTTTACCGTATAAAGGGCAGAATGTGAACTTCCTAATCCTTTACAAAACGCCATCCTTCAACTTGTGTTACTTTGGAACACCCGGGCAGCCTATTTACTCTACCTTCAATATGGCAGCAATTTCCAGAAGAACACATAAGAAATCGAAGAAAGGTTGCGTTGACTGCAAGCAGCGGCACATAAAGGTACCAAAACATCATCAAGAAGAGAACCCCATGAACACGAAAATAACAGTATTTATTCAGTGCGATGAGGGCCACCCAGTCTGTGGTAATTGCAAAATCTCCCAGCGTGACTGTCGGTATAAAGACATGCTCGTACCGCAATCCACAGAATCCTTGTGCTTGGAGAATAGAAGCAAGAGAAGTCTCCAAAAAGAATCTGAGAGCTATAGCTCTACTTCCTTCTCGACTAGCTCTGAATTTGGGGAATATTCGGGGTACGGGGAAGTGAATATGCAACATTTGGAGCTTTTTCGACACTTCGCTGAAAAGCATCCCACCTTCTTTGGCTACAACAATGGCACGTTCGGAATCTCTAGTTCTGAAATGACTGGCATGATCCTTGCTGCGCCCTATACGGTATACCAAAGCCTTGCTCTGGCGGCCTTGCATTTGAGTGTTACCCTTCCCGCTCGGCGACGAACTCTACGAAAGCATGCAACTGATCTTCAACGACATGCTCTGGCCAAGTTCGAACGAATGGACCCTAAGCTTGATGCTGGAGATTGCGTTTCCGTATTCCTGTTCAAGTCAATTCACGCATTTCACGTATTATCAGAAAAGCTTACGAATTGCTCCAAAAGCTTTGATGGATTGCTTGAAGATATCACCGACGTGATGCGATTACACCAGGAGGTCCATGCAGTTACCAGAAGATCATGGGATTCTCTTCTGCAGTCAGCACTCAACCCGATACTACAAAGAGAATCTAAGACGCTGCATCATGGATTACCTGGGGCTGAATGTGAAGAACTTCTCGCCCGTGTGCATTCGGCGTCGATTGATCTTTCAACCAAAAAGGTCTACACGGAGGCCATACAATCACTTCAAGCAGCATTTAATGGAAGTCGAAGTAGTGGCTCGGGGTCGTCCGCGATTGGACCAATTATCTCTTGGCTGGTGGTCGCTCCTCCGTGCTTCATGAATCTTATATCAGAAAAGCGACCAGAAGCACTTGTTATTCTCTCTTATTTTGGGGCTCTGTTACACATGCACAGGGAGATTTGGGCATTTGGAAACGGCGGAGGATACATCGTTGGATCTGTTACATGTTTTCTGAATGATTCGTGGAGCGCTTGGCTGCATTGGCCAAACCAAATCTGCCGAGATTGTGTCGCGAAGATATATACTTGACCTCTTCGATCGTTGCGTGTTTTTATTTACCTAGTATGGCATATGTAATTGCCTGAAATTGATTGACGCATTGGAAATGATGTTTTAATGTGATGGACTTTCTTCAATTTCTAGTGTCAATTTAATCGATCATGGTCTATTTTGGATCGCTAGAGATGAAATCATTTGGCCAACGTAGCCAATTTCTCCACGATGGCCCTAAGCAATTATTAATGGAGGAGATGAGATAGATCCCACTATCACCGAAGGTCCACATCTCTTTATGGAGATGTAAAAGAGCACCAAAGTAGGACAAGATCGCAAGTGCCTCAGGTCGACGTTCTGAGAGAAGATCTATATACCCAGGTGGTATTATCACCGGCCATGAAATGATTGGCCCAACGGCGCGAAGTTCCGCAGATGTTGAGCGACTCCCATTGAAAGCCTTTTGCAGATGTTCAATCGTAGTTTGATAGATCGATCGGATTTCCTGGTCGTTTTGAGTGATATTCACCAGAGACAAGAGCTCCGTGCACTCATCACCGGTAACACCTGCATCTAGTGTTTTGCCTTCCTCGTCCAGAAATGATTTGAGCGGTGACTGCAAAAGAATATGCCATGACTGATTCGTCACAGCCCGCACACCTCGATGCATTTTTAAGGACTGAATGAAGTTTTCAAGAAAAGTCTCGAAGTCGGACGGTCGAAACAAAAGGTTGTCACAGAGCACGTGCAGCGCAAGTATTGAGGAGAAAAGAAACATTGGAAGACAGGTTTGGGGATTAAGGTCCAACTTGGCGCGGTTAAACTCAGACAAGGCATGCGTTTGTAGCTGAGCTGCATGACGATGATATGATTGCTGATCGTCTGTGCGGGTGATGCTTAGATGCAACGCAGATAGTGCAAGGATTTGGTTCATCAGATACGGCGCAGTCAATGCGCATTTTGTCATCTCCATGGCAGAGTCTCCCCAAGGAAACTTGTCGAAGCCAAAGAAAGTCAAAAGGTCAGTTATAAAATGGTGGAACAATTCCAGATGCAAAATATTGACTGGAGGGCTGTCCTCTGTCCCGACAGATTCCGCGGGACTCGCAGGCTGCGTATCTTTCTTTTTTGTAACAGGCTTTTGACGGGGACGCTGTACCAGAGAATGGGCTTTTGACACCATATCCTCGTATGAGCAATGTCGCCTTGAAACATTGCAATTGACACACTTTGGGCGGGTCTCGTCGCACTTTCACACGTAGTCAGCCTCCCCAAGTTCAAACTGGGACTGAAATTGAGTTTTACTGGACTGAGATACCTTGACGTGGCGTCGTTTGCATTCCACACAGCCTTTCCTTGATTTTTTATGTGCTTTCCTGGGGCAAATCGTGCCCTTCCCCGCGTGATCAGACATGGCCGTAGTTGACCACCTGGGTAGAGCTTTGAAATTTGTGTACCAGTGAGGTTTGAAGATAATTGCAACACGAGGCCAGGCTAGTACGGGTGCGGCAACTGCATCGAGGCGGACAGGGTGGCAAAATGATTGGTTTGAAGGGGAGATTTCTCCACAAAAATGTGATGCCGAATTCCTAGTGCTTCGTAGGATCGTCCGGGCATCCAGCTCAACCGGATCATTTAAATCCCGAGATATGGGATGATCAAGTGTAATCGAGATCGAGAGAACTGTGAGTTTCAGCTTTAAAATGAGTTGATTCTTCTTTCAACGAAAGATGGAGCGAGAGAGACGGAGGGAGACCTCGGGAGGCGACCTCTGAGGTCCAGGCAGCGAGATCAGCTGACCGTCCACAACAGACACCAATTTCAGAAAGCAGGGGGAAACGCTTTAGAGTAAACGTAAATAGGACAACAAAGGATGGAAGAAGATGGAGAAATTTGGAAATGATTTAATTGCTCAGGAAGTCTATCTCTGAGGCTAGTTAGCTCTGAAAAAGTGGCCGCTAACCTGGAACCTGGAAGCTAACCTTAGAGCCCCGGGGATAGGCCAAGGCACCAGCCCACAAAGCCCAGAGCCGATACTGGGTTGGGCTGTGGGCCCGAGGTCAGGGACCAACCCAGTCCACTGCGGGACTTTGGTTGTCTACGAGTTTCAAGACAAAAGACAGTCCTAGTGGTGATTATTATTGCCAGGTCATCCTTCATGATCTCTTCTGCTTGGATCCAGAGCTCGAAGGGCCCCGAGCCTCAGTACTGGGGGCCAGAGGAGAATAGCCATCAATGATGCGTTAAAGTTGTGGAAATTTGGAATTGAAATCAAACATAGCAAAATAGATAGCAATGCCTCTATCTATGCCCTCGCTTTACCCTTGCCTTTGCCGGATGGCGAGGAGGGGGCGAGGGATGGGAACTCTTCCCATTCCTCCTCCTGCTCCCGACTCTTTCCCTCAGCCAAACTCAACTGAATAGCAAACTCCAAATCATCCATTTCCTGCTGTCTGCTGCCCTCAGCCTTGTCCGCTTCAGGCGATAGATCACGATGCCGCACACGCTTGGCGTATTTGATGGGAATAGATGGCGAGGCATCATAAGACGGAGTTTGCTCGTCAAGGAGGCTTAAACGAATTGCCTCCGCAAGTTCATCGTCGACAGTCTCATCTGCAGGATCTTGGCACGGTGAGGATGAAGATGAGATCTCACCGGGGCCCAGAGAGCTAGGCCCGACGGTCTCGAACGAAGTACTGGTCACTGAGCTTGATATTGCGGCGCCGTCGTTCGCCTTGGCGACATCGCTGGAAAAGGCTTCCTCGCTGAGCAGTTGGGCATATGCGAGGAGCTGTTCTTCGTCGATGTCCGAGCCCAGTAGGTCGACGCCGAATCGTGCACTCAGGTGTGCTCGTTCTTTCTCATCTGCAATCTTCTGGCGTTGCATCTCTACTCGCTCATCTTCAATGAAGTCTTCGATTGCACCTCGGCCACTGTTGTTGAAACGTTGACCCTCTCCGCCTCCGTTGCCCGTCCGCATGAGGCGCCGCAGGCGGCGCTTGCTGGTCTTGTACTTATCGGCACCAGTGGAGCTATAGGACCAGTAGCGTAGGTGTGTGCCTAGAGACACCATACCGCGAAGGATCGTCGGGTCTGTGTCGAGACAGACAGCCCCCGTGGCATAGTAGTTGTTGCCAACCCCCTGGACAGAAGCTTCTGCCTGTACAAGCTGACGACGGGCGCGCTGGGAAAAGCGAGAACTGATTGTGCGAATGGGCTTGGTGGAAGACGCCAGGGGATCCCAGGCTTGGACAAGGCCATCGTTGCCACCGTGTACCAGGTACAGCGAGGTGATAGCCAAACATGATATCATGGGCGACTCCGTATGAATGATGCGCAGTGGAGAAACGCATTTGACTACATCGGCTGACCTTGCCGCCGGCGTTCGAATGTCCCAAACAAACACGGAGCCCGTACTTGTTCCGACCGCCAGGTATCTAGCACGTTGCCCAGGAACCTCCAATGCAGACCGCGGCTGATCCATATGTGGTAACATGGGAGACGATGAGGCGGACGAATAGGAGCTTCCAGACATTGCCAGAAGAGGATCCTCTTGCACAGTGAGTGTCGCAAAAGAAGAGACATCTAGCGCGCTCGTGCTGACTTCCACAGACTTGCGATCGCCAAAAACAAACTCGGAGATACGCCACTCGAACTGATTTGAGTTAACCTTCGACAGAGTTGAGGCCCGAGAAGGCGGAAGACTGGTAGGAGGCTGCGGGGCTGGAACATTGACAGGGCCGCCGAAGATTGATTTTGGATGTTCCGTAGCTTGGAGGGGCGGGGTTGGTGTACTCGAAGAACGTGAATCAGACCGAGAGGGGATGCGCGTGAAGCGGCGAATCGACGCGTTCTTGTCTTCGCTCGAGCCACGAGCAATTACAATAATAGACTCGCCGGCCTCGGGGCCATCACCACCCGCGAAGTCCACTTTAAGATCACGCTCCATATCCCAGCTCTCACAAACCTTGCGGAAATATTTGGGTTTGAAAGAAATGAACTTCTCGATCTCCTTGGTTTCAGCGGCGATCTGAGTTTCGCTGAGACCCATGGAATTCGAAGATGATCGCGGACTATAGCTTCCATCGACCAATTCGCGATTGAATGGATCAGGACGGGCCACGCGTCGGCTGGCTTCAACCATATCCCAAAAAACGGTCCTGCCGGTCATCCAAGCGATCTCATCGAGTTGCTCAGCATTGAGCTTCGCCGTCAGTGGGATTTCCGGAGCCCGAGGAAGCCCAGTCAGATAGAATATTTCGCCAAGGGCATTCAGCGCAACAGCCCAAATGCGGCGGTCTGAGTGCCGTTTGGGTGAGAATTGCTCATCCACTGCAATGCTGATGATGGGCACACCCGGGCTCAGAACCCATCTGGCAGTGACCTGGCCCGGTGCGTACCGTTTGTCGTACACAGGATGAGGCCCGATGGAATAGGCAGTCACCACACCCGACGATGAGCCAGACAGCATACCGATCAGCCCTTGGGTCATTTTCAGCATATTAGAGGATTTCGCAATCCACACCGAGCAGGTCGCCTGCGTAATCAGGTTGATGGCAGGAATGCCGAGTGAGGGATGAGAGCCCAATTCTGACGCTCCCAGGAAACGGCCGCGCTGCTCCGTCGTTGAGATGAAGTAGCTACGTCCTTGCGGACATGCTTCGCCGTATATCATACCATATGGTTGGCTGACATCCATGACATTGGGCATGCCAACCAAATCACCCGAACCGAGGCCATACTGAGCCTCCCCGGGAAACAGGTCGGCGAAATGGCGGAACATTTGATGGTCTGAAATGCCCCAGGTGCCAACCTTCACGGTTGATGGGTCACTTGCAGATGCAACACCCTGCTCTGCCGCACCATGGATAAAGAGAGGATCCTTTTCGGCACTGAAGGTCGCATGGATGTGACTAACCGGGTACTGGAGCTGCGAAGTGTATGTCGCCACAGCGCTTCCATGACGAGCGCGCACTGAGCGTACATTGCCAGCCTTGGTGGGATCGAACTGCGCTGGCTTACCCCGCGACAACGATCGCATCAAACGAGTACGTAGGATATACTCGCTGCGCCAGGATGCCAACGCAGTTAGCCTGGCGAAGAACCGCCTGTCTGACTGGAAGTCCGCCTCATTAACCGCGTTGCGCCGACCGTCTTCAACGGTTCGAGGTCCGGGGAAAAAGCGAGAGAAAGCGACTCTCCACGCATGAGGCGTCGTCACTAGCGCATGGAATCGGCGTGATACCAAAGTTATGGCGGACAAGGATTCGGGAGATAGATGCGATAGTATGTGGGTGAGGACCTCTGGAGATTGTAATGATTAGCGCAAGTACTGGGCCGAGGGTTGCAAGTATCTACCATTTGGGAAAGTCTCAATAGCTGTCTCGGAAGGTTCCGCGAACGCTACCCGGTGCACATTTTCGTTTGATTTTCTTGGGGGAGACCCGGCATTTACTTGCTGGTTCACTCGAGCGGATGGTGGGGCTGAACGGTCGTCGTTCAGGGACGTGAGGTTGTCTTGTGTTGGCATGCTCGAGACGTCTGAGGAATCTCTGGCTTCCTTTCGAGGAAGGCCAGAGACTTCAGCGTCATCGAGGTCATGTCCATGCTGGGTGGAGCAGAGATTGATCGGGGATGAGTCAACGGGGGGCGTATTTTGAGACACGGGAGTTGGCTCTGGTTGCATAAAAAGGTCTTGAGGGAGAGTGATAGAGATAGCGACTGAGCCAGCGAGTTCTGGGTCAGTCGAGATAACAAATGGAGGAAGAAGGGGGCGACGAGGGTGTTGTTGAGGGACAAAAAGAAGAGAAATCGGAGATCAGAGGCGATTCGGGGTGGCCAACCCGCAGATTTCGATATGGCTCATCATTGCTCATCTTCCCCGATTTCTTTTCTGCTGCTCCAATCAACATCACTCTGGTGTCCCCAATAATCTTTTCACTTTTATTTCCAATACTGCTGATCCGCTTGTTCTCCGAGACCTTCTCTCCAATACGTAGACTTGCTTCCGAATGGCCGCTATCGGTAACGCGTCTGACACGTGACAGCGCGACAGGCCCAGCACCTGGGTAATTAGGCGTCACTCCGCGACGTTTAACGTGACGGCCATTTGATTGTGAGCTGCTATGGTCAGCCTACATCATTACCTTTAATATCTCGTCGGTCTCGAACCAAAGTGACGTTACATATCATACTCCGTACGCCGTATACACGCTCGATTTACCAACATGCCTAGAGCAAATGGTAAGACACTTCGAAATCTGTTTTCCATTCCACTCAAGTTGCTAAATGATTTAAGAGGCGGAGACAATCCGCATCCTCATCTCTACGGACAATCATGTCGGCTACAACGAGCGAGATCCCATTCGCGGGGATGACAGCTGGAAGAGCTTCCACGAAATTATGTGCCTAGCCAAGGAGCAGGATGTCGACATGGTACTCCTAGCTGGAGATCTATTCCATGAAAACAAACCGTCGCGCAAATCCATGTACCAGGTGATGCGGTCCATTCGGATGAATTGCTTCGGAGACAAGCCGTGCGAGCTAGAAATGCTCAGCGATCCAAGTGAAAACTTCCAGGGCGCTTTCAACCACGTCAACTATGAGGATCTGGATATGAACGTGGCTATCCCCATCTTCTCCATTCATGGTAACCATGATGACCCATCTGGGGAAGGTCATCTGGCCGCACTCGATCTCCTGCAGATATCCGGCCTCCTCAATTACTATGGCCGGACCCCGGAGTCAGACAACATTCAGATCAAGCCCGTCTTGTTGCAAAAGGGACGGACAAAGCTCGCACTTTATGGAATGAGCAACGTTCGCGACGAACGGCTATATCGCACTTTCCGTGATGGCAAGGTCAAATTCTTCCAGCCATCTGTCCAGAAGTCCGATTGGTTCAACCTCATGTCAGTACATCAGAATCACCACGCGCATACGGAAACCAGCTATCTGCCTGAAAATTTCCTGCCCGAATTCCTTGACTTGGTTGTGTGGGGTCATGAGCATGAATGTTTGATTGACCCCAAGCTCAACCCAGAGACAAAATTCCATGTAATGCAGCCAGGCTCGTCCGTTGCTACTTCATTATGTCCCGGAGAAGCTGTGGCAAAGCAGGTCTCAATCCTGAGTGTTACTGGCCGAGAGTTCAAGAATGAGCCCATTCGACTGAAGACCGTGCGACCCTTCGTCATGCGCGAAATTGTGCTCTCCGAGGAAAAGGGTGCTCAAAGGCTGGCTCGGAAAGAGAGCAACCGAACAGAAGTGACCCGACTGTTGATGACCATTGTCGAGGAACTGATTGAAGAGGCCAACGCAGAATGGCTGGAGATGCAGGGTGAGTCCACTGATGAAGATCCGCCTGAAATTCCTCTTCCACTTGTTCGTCTGCGCGTGGAAACTTCCACGCCTGAGGGCGGCGCCTACGAGTGTGAGAACCCACAGCGATTCTCCAATCGCTTTGTGGGCAAGGTCGCCAATGTGAACGACGTGGTGCAATTTTACCGCAAGAAAAAGACAGCAGGCACACGCGCAGGAGCCACATCTGTCGAAGAGGAAGCGGCGGTATCTCATCTGTCGGCCTTGGACACAGTGAAAGTTGAACAACTCGTGCGCGAGTTCTTATCATCACAATCGCTTAGCATCCTCCCACAAAACTCGTTCGGCGATGCCGTTGCGCAATTCATCGACAAAGATGACAAACACGCAATGGAGATGTTCGTAAATGAATCTCTCGAGAATCAAGTGAAGCATCTGTTATCTTTGGACCGAGACGACGATGAAATGGACGAGGAAGAAGGAGAACAGAGCTCTCTTTCTAATGCCATGGAGAAATACCGCGGTCAGATGGAAGACATGTTCTCCAGGGGCGTGAAAAAACGCACCCGGGGAAAGAAGCGCTTCAAGCCCAAGCCAGATGGCTGGGACTCCGAGTTTGATGGGGCCTGGGAAGATCAGCCTGGTGCATTGATTCATTCAGACAACGAAGGTGGGGACAAGGCCGAGGAAGAAGCTGGAGAGGATGGAACATCGCCAGGAACCAGCCGTGCCGCACCGGCTACTCGTGGCAGAGGTAGAGGCCGGGGCCGGGGTCGAGGTGCTGCAGCCAGCGCGCGAACTACCAAGGCTAAGGCTGCACCTGCAGAGAGAGCCACAAAGAGCCGTAAGAAGCAGACAGTCTCAGATGAGGACTCGGACGTTATCATGTTGGAGGACGACGATGATGACGCAGGGCCCCAAGTCATCTCCGATGATGACGACGATTCACAGGCACTGTTTGTCAAGCAGCCTCGCACTACTGCTGCGAAACCACGAAAGGCTGCCCCGGCTGCACCTACTACCCAGCGTCGTGGACGGGCAGCCGCCTCGCCGGCTCCTTCTTCGGCCACTGTTGCTGAGACGGCTCCCCGCCGAGCCACTGCTCGATCAGGGAAATCTCAGTCTACCCTGAACTTCGCCGGCTCACAGGCAAGCGCAGCTCCGTCATCGCGACCCAGTCGCTCCACTCGGAATACCAGTATCATCAGCGATGGCGTTGATGGTGATGATTCCGACGATGATGCCTTTGAGGAAATGCCCACCTTCAACTCCAGGCGGCGCAAATGATTGATTTACTTACGCATCTATGGAGTTCTCTGGGGTTTGTGGACCATTTTACCCTACTAGGTATCGTCACGGTCTTCAAGTATATTTTCACCGACCGTCTTTTCTTAGCTAAAAAATTTCCTGATAATATTATGGAAGCATTTTCACCCGATATTGAACTCTATGGATTTCTGCTATAAAAGCACCTCGAATGTAGCCGTGTCCATAGCCCTGGAGGTTCACTCAGTGCACGGTGTCCCTGGTAGCACTTGAACATCCATTGGGAAAGATCGTATTGGTTCACACGGTGTGGAAGAGCTGGACATTGCGTTTGTCCCACCACACCATTTGGCCTCGACCGGCATCTGTGTGCCGAAGCGCGGGTGCCTGGGGCGTGCGCTTTGTCGCCCTTTCCAAGGTCCACGGGTTTTGAGGGAATTCCCGAAGTCAAGGTCCTGGTAAGTAGGCACTTTATACATGTTTCCCAGGGTGGATTCCGTAGCTGCTATCTATTGTCTTTACATAGAACTGGGCTTTGGGGAATAGATGTCACTTGTGTCTCAATTCGGGACTGAAATATGTGAATGGCACTCAGCAGACCACTGAGGCAGTGTAAAGGGGTATCGTAGACTAATCACATTGCCCTGTGCATATGTAGGTTTCCTGAAAATGAGATCAATAGTCCCGACCCACGCTCGCGGACTCCCTGTGAACATCCGCCGTGGCCCACGGAGCCCCGTGGAAATGACATCAAGAGACAGCATAACTATGTGCAACGGAGTTCGTTGTGATCGCCCCAACCCCGCATTCCTCGGCAGAAGCCAACCTCGGCCGCATGCTTTATATACTATGCAACTGAAGCTTCAGAGTCGCTCAATCGATGAAATTGACTATTCCTGAAAGCAAAATGGCTACTCAGAACCGCCCGATTCGAATTGCAGGTATCATCATCTATCGGCGCATTATTGATATTCCAACTAACGTGGGAACCAGGTGCCTCCGGCTCTGCCTCAGACCGGCGTCGAGCTATTGCGGAATTTGCGCATAACCACCCGACCGATCCTATCGATGTCATTACGGCGGATTTCATGAGTGAGTACAACATGGCAACCTCTGCGGGGCGCCGTGTGGAACAAGGAACAGAGGGAATAGCTCCCGCGTATGAACTTTCCTTCCTGGAAGCCTTGGAACCAGCTCTTGAAGATCTAGCCAAACATGGGATCAAACTGGCTGTGAATGCGGGTAATACCGATACAGAAGGTCTCGTCAAGGTTGTGACGCAAATGGTTCAAGCAAAGAAACTCAATTTGAAGGTGAGTTTGATCCATGTCGATCGTTGTGGCTGTTTGTATTAATTTGCTGGTAAGATCGCCTGGGTTTCCGGTGATGAGGTATTGTCAACCGTGCAGAAAGGATTGGCTTCTGGCACAGAATTCCGCAATGTCTATACAGGCGAGCTGTTGGCGGATTGGTCTTTCGAGCCCATTTATGCCCAGTGCTACCTCGGTGGACTTGGAATCGCGCGCGCATTGGCCGAGGGCGCTGACATCGTGCTCTGTGGTCGGGTATCAGATGCTTCGCCCGTCATTGGTGCTACTTACTGGTACCATGGCTGGGGAAGAGATGAGCTCGACAAGCTCGCCAACGCATTTGTGGCGGGCCATCTCATCGAGTGTAGCAATTATGTCTGCGGTGGCAATTTCACCGGTTTCAAAGAGCTTGAACATACCGGTGAAGGGTGGACGAATATTGGATATCCCATCGCCGAAATCTCTGCCAAGGGTGAGGTTGTGATCACCAAGCAGGCTCATTCGACGGGCGGCGCGGTCACCGTTGACACCTGCACATCGCAACTGCTGTATGAGATCCAAGGACCCTGGTACTACAACTCAGACGTCACCGCGATCCTTGACGGCATCCACTTCTCCCAACAAGGGGTCAACCGTGTGGCTGTCCACGGTGTGCAATCTGGGCCTCCTCCGCCTACCACCAAGGTCGGAATCACCGCACGAGGCGGGTTCCAGGCCGAAGCATGGTGGTTCCTAGTCGGTCTGGACATCGAAGCCAAGGCACGCATGATGGAAGCGCAGATCCGTCGATCCCTCGCTCCATTCTCCGACCGGTTCACATCCCTCAACTTCGACCTCCTTGGCACGTCTGTCTCAGACCCGCAGGCTCAAAACCGCGCCACGGTTCCACTGCGGATTGTCGCGCAGGCACGACAGGAAGAGGACCTTGCAGCCACGCGCTTCATGAAACCGATCTTCGACAACATCATGCAGGGGTATCCCGGTGCGACCATCCATTTGGATATTCGTCAGGGCCTGCCCCGGCCAGTGTTCGAGTACTATGTGAGTCTAATCCCACAGTCGGCAGTGCAGCACCGTGTCCACTTGCCGTGGAAATCCACCTCGACCGTGGACATCCCACCGCCTCCACAGACCAAGACATATCCCTCCCGCCAGCCCTCACAGCCCTCTACCCACGTGGATAGCCCTATCGACCTCGCTCGCGGCTTCGGTCCCACTACCCGTGGTCCGTTGGGTTGGATCGTCCATGCCCGCTCGGGCGACAAGGGGGCCGATGCCAACTGCGGGTTCTGGGTGCGCCATCGGGACGAGTATGAATGGTTGCGCGGGCTGTTGTCTGTGGCGACCGCGCAGGAGTTGCTCGGGGATGAGGGGCGCCAGAACCCACAGTTGGCCATTGAGCGGTTCGAGCTCTCTAGCTTGCATGGGGTGCATTTCTTGTTCCGCAATCTATTGGATCGTGGCGTGGGCGTTACGACCACCGTGGACTTCTTAGGGAAGAATGTGGCGGAATATCTGCGGGCGCGGCACGTTGATCTTCCCGTGCGGTTCCTCAACCGCGGAAAGTTGTAGTGGACTTCCGCTCACCGCTGGGGACCGCCAAGGTTGTTCTACTGTACTAGTACAGTTCAGTAGAATATTCTTGCCATTGAAATCAACTTTGGAAGGTCTATAGTCTCCGTACATACGCGGGCAGTCTCAGAGTATATTTCCGCTAGTACGGGACAGAGGTATATCAATACGAGGGGTGCATACATATACACAATGCACATTGTCAGTCTGCAGAAGTAAAATCGACCAATTACCCAAATGAAACATTAGTCAGTTCTTTTAGCGCTTATTCTCGGCCGATTAGAGCCTCTGTGACTAGTGAGTAGTCACCTCGTCGTTAGTATACACGGGAGTCTCCAGTCCCCCACTTGACCCTCGGGGGGACATTGGTCCGCCATAACATCACGGTGATCACATCGCCTTTAGCCCGAGGGATGTAACAAGCTTGTCCGCTCTAGGCAACTCTACCGCCTTCTACCCCATCCCATTACGCTTGGCTTAACGTTAACCCGGTTGACATGTACTGATACTACTTTGGGATGAATAGACTCGTAGATCTGTGCGCCATACTCCAACTGACACTCGGTTTCAGACCGAATTATGCCAAGGCCACACCGTCATGGTATTAGAGTTGCGGAGACCAATAAGGCCGAGGATAATGAACTCGGGGACTTTCATGCGGTTCCGCATGTACCATACGTGAAACCGAAAATTACCACAGCTTCCAAGGTTCGAGATCCACCCCAGTACCCCGCATCGAAGGTCTGCGAAAAAAAAAGACGCCTATATAACATTGGAGTCCTCCTGTTCTTTCTCCTCCATTATACATCTGTGATACCCCATCATGTCTCTCTCTACTACCATCAAGACCCCTCATCTCTCTTACGAGCAGCCCCTCGGCTTGTAGGTGCTCCCCCGCCACCATGATATCATAGCTAACCAATGCAGGTTCATTAACAACGAGTTCATCAAGGGTGTCGAGGGCAAGACCTTCGAGACCATCAACCCCACCACCGAGGAGACCATCACCTCCGTCCACGAGGCCACCGAGCAGGATGTCGACATTGCTGTCAAGGCCGCCCGCGAGGCCTTCGAGGGCGCCTGGAAGCAGGTGATCCCCTCCGACCGTGGCCGCATGCTCACCAAGCTGGCCGACCTCTTCGAGCGTGATATGGACACCATTGCCGCCATTGAGGCCCTCGACAACGGAAAGGCCGTCACTATGGCCAAGGTCGACATCGCCAACGCCGCCGGCTGCCTGCGCTACTACGGTGGCTGGGCCGACAAGATCACTGGTCAGACCATTGACACCAACCCCGAGACTCTCTCCTACACCCGCCACGAGCCCGTCGGTGTCTGCGGTCAGATCATCCCCTGGAACTTCCCCATTCTCATGTGGGCCTGGAAGATTGGACCTGCCGTTGCCGCCGGTAACACCGTGATCATCAAGACCGCCGAGCAGACCCCTCTCTCCGGTCTCTACGCTGCCAAGCTCATTGTTGAGGCTGGCTTCCCTCCCGGTGTCGTCAACGTCATCTCCGGTTTCGGTCGCACCGCTGGTGCCGCCATCTCCAGCCACATGGACATCGACAAGGTCGCCTTCACTGGTTCCACCCTCATTGGTCGCATGATCCTGCAGGCCGCTGCCAAGTCCAACCTCAAGAAGGTTACCCTTGAGCTCGGTGGCAAGTCCCCCAACATTGTCTTCGAGGATGCCGATATCGACAACGCCATCTCCTGGGCCAACTTCGGTCTCTTCTTCAACCACGGCCAGTGCTGCTGCGCCGGTTCCCGTCTCCTGGTCCAGGAGAGCATCCACGACAAGTTCGTTGCCCGCTTCAAGGAGCGTGCCGCCCAGAACAAGCTCGGCAACCCCTTCGAGGGCGACACCTTCCAGGGTCCCCAGGTCTCCCAGCTCCAGTTCGACCGTATCATGGAGTACATTAACCACGGAAAGAAGGAGGGTGCCACCGTTGCTCTCGGTGGTGAGCGCCACGGTGACCAGGGTTACTTCATCCAGCCCACCGTCTTCACTGATGTCACTCCCGACATGAAGATCGCCCAGGAGGAGATCTTTGGTCCCGTCATTGCCGTCACCAAGTTCAAGGATGAGGCTGATGCCATCCGCATTGGTAACAGCACCAACTACGGTATGTTCAATCCATTACTGCCATACATTTCTCAGTCTAACGGTTTCCAGGTCTCGCCGCCGGTATCCACACCAAGAACATCAACACTGCCATCCGTGTCTCCAACGCCATCAAGGCCGGCACCGTTTGGGTTAACAGCTACAACATGATCTCCTACCAGGCTCCCTTCGGTGGCTTCAAGGAGTCCGGTCTTGGCCGTGAGCTCGGCTCTTACGCCCTGGAGAACTACACCCAGGTCAAGACCGTCCACTACCGTCTTGGCGATGCTTTGTTCTAAGCAAATCGCAAAGAAAGAACAAAAAAAAAAAAGCCAAAAAACCTAAAAAAAACTGCAACAATTATCTCGGTTGGGCAATCTAAGCCAATGATTTGATGATACATGATTGGAGATTTGTCTTGTACATAGTATGAATTCAAGAACTAGTTCTCTTGTACCTGGTATTTTCCACCGTATCTTCCTTTGTAGTGTCTATCTAAATCTAGAACGTTCATATCAGTTACACCGTACAGCGCCAAAAATCATCGTACTCCCGAGTCCTGCAGTTTTGGATCCTCGGGGCAAAGTATCCCGCTCGGTGCATCTCCCCCCGAGCCTGAGGTCCGGGTTTAAGCTCGGCCGCTCGGGTTATCTTGATTTTCAATTGATATCCATGGACTGTGGGTCAATTCAATAAAGACAATGCTTGATAATTGGATTAAATCGATGTTACAAGACATGGGTATGCAGTATGTACTGAGCTAAGAATATACAAATGGAGATGCTTCACAACCCTGGCTTCTTTCCCATGCTCCGTCACGCTCCGACTGCACCGAGTGCACTGACTGTGACCCCGTTCGGCAACTCGAGACCGAGAGGAAGTCCGCAAACGAACTTCTCGGCCCAAGCTGCCCCGCGCTTTGCGGCGAGCTTCTCTTCGATGTCTCGGTACATATCATAGCTGGAAAAGGCATTAGCGTCATGCAACAGGTCTGTGGAACATGCGTGGACTTACGCATTCATCTCCTCGATGGTGAGGACCTTCTTCGCATCTTCAACCTTGTAAGTTGGGATGTTCTTGTTAACAGAGAACCCTAAAACATAATCAGTACTCGGTCACGACAACTTCCAAACATTTCCAAACTTACCAATCCGCTCATTTATATTATACGCCGCCTTCGCGGCCGCACTCTGTACCCTCGTCACGCGAGGCAGTCTCACTTCCTCATAAACAGCAAGTGCTTGAGCGATATCGCCACGGAAATAGTCCCTGTTGAACAAGATCCCCAGCGCAGCAGCATCTTCAATAGCCATGCACGCCCCCTGGCTCTGATGAGGCATCATCGGGTGTCCGGCATCACCTAGCAAACAGACATTACCGCGCTGAAGATAAGGATAGGGATCATGCACCCAAAGACGCCAGGGCTTGATCTCCGTCCCGATCTTCAAGTGCTCGAAGACCTGTCTGTCCAGCTGCGGGTATGGGTTGAGCAGCTCCTCAACAGGGCGCTCTTGGGCTCCCCAAGCCTGTGTCGAGTAATCGCCTTGCTCACGCGGGAAGAAACAGTAGTATGAGAGGAGTTTTCCGCCGTTGCAGGGGGATAGGACGATCTTGTCCCATTTCCCTTCTTGGCCTCCCCAGTATTCGAGGGCGTCGTTGGCGGCGTAGTTGACTAGGCCTAGTTTGATGGCGTCTTCGGTTTTGACGTTCGTGTGTAGACAGCTTTGGTCGGAGGGTCGCTTTGCTGGTGTGATGCCGAGAATTCCGCGGACGGCTGAGCCGATTCCGTCGGCGCCGATGATGAGATCGTGGTGGGCGGTTACTCCGTTCTCGAATGTGATTGTGCCGTTTGCTAGGTCGATGTCGTGGCACTGGTGATATGTTAGTACATGGTTGTGATTTGATCTTCAGAGGAAACTCACCTTGTGGTTAACCTTCAATATCGCGGGGGCTCCCTCACCCTCGCCCATTGCTGAATCCTTCAGCATGGCGTGCATGTACTGTCGATGGAACATGTTGTACACATATCCCCAGCGCTTCTCATAATCCTCCAAATCATATACACTGACCGGCTCGCCGGTCTTCCAGTCTCGGTTGATGAGCTTTTTCAAAACAACAGGATCACCCTTGGCGATATCAACATTCCACTCATGAAGCCATCGGGTTCCGTTCGCCGCACAGGAAACCGAAGCACCAACTTCGCCTGCAAAGTCCGACTTCTCGTAGATGGTGACATCGTGTCCGGCGCGGCGCAGGGCAACAGCAACGGACATGCCTCCAATACCGCCACCGACAACACCCACGCTGAGACTTCTCCAAGACATGTTTGATATTATCTCTAGAAAAAAGAAAACACAGTTATAGTTCGATGCAGGTGTCAGAATATCGAACTAATGCGGGACATGCATCTTTTATAACGCTCTTCTTATCTCTGCTCGTGTTCATGATCTATGATCATGGCGGATGGTGCACCTGTCGGTCGGCGGGCCGCGCACTCATCCGCCAGCATTCCTTGGTAACCATCTCTCTTCCGCTTATCTACCATGGTTCAATCCGAATCCGACGGCAAGCCATGTGGAAATGGAAATGTGGAGTTCACGTGTATTTTTTACGCTTATCTCAATGACATCGTCGCTGGGACGGTGTTGCGTCGGTCACCGGGTTGCACCCTGGCCAGGATGAACCTCGCTCTTATCCGGATCTAACCGAGCAAACTATACTTATGGCGCAGGTTGGCGTTGGGAAATTATGTTGGTTTTCGATTGCTTGTTGCTTTTTGAGATAAAACAAATAGAGGAGCAGGAGGAGCCAAGAGTAACTTAAAGTCACTCAGCTCTATTGATTTGAGTTACTTCTGGGGAATATAGCATTATATGCAAGTCTTGGATTCTTTTTATCAAAAACTCAAGTCTATGTAAAACTGGTTATGCATACAATTTACTATGAAGACATAGGTCAGTCGGCTATAGAGCAAAGGTGCCCTGGAAAGTGACCTCCCACTACCTAGTCGCGACACTCTGAAGTCTAGTATGTGTACTTTTTTTTAAAACTTGAAGAGAGTGCTTCGGAATAAATTAGACCTTGGAAGAGCACTCAGATCAGTCAGGACTGACAAAGTGAGCCAAATTAAAGGGGCCGGACAGGATGGGAATAGTCCTATAGAATCCACGCCATGCTTAGCCTCCACTGCACTAATTTTCCATCCACATTCAGTCAGATTTAGTCAGATTTAATTTCATCGGCCAATCCAAACAATGCATGAGACAGCAGTTTCTGCAGCTACTCGACAACTCTGCGAACCAATCGCTTCTCCGACCCCACCAGCAAGCCTAGCAGACACTTCAGGATCAGCCACCACCAAACCCACCATTTAATTCGACGTCCACATAACCTCATTCCAATAGCTTCGGTCGCAAGCCGAATCAAGCCCACGACAACCATCTCAAAAGTATTGGGGGCCAGTTTCAGCCATCGAGTAGCAGAGTCCGGCCGCGTCATCCCTGTCCAAGGTCGTCACCCACACGTGCAATTGTCAGATCGTAGCATATAACTATTATACCCCAGGCGCGCCCACCCAAACTCTCTGCCAAAGCTACTCGAAATCTAAAACCATGAGATTCAGCTTCCTTGCCGCTCTGGCCATGGCCTCGCAGGCCCTGGCTGTTCCCCACGTCCTCCAGAAGCGCTACCCGAGCGGATCGTTTTCGATTCTCGCCTACGGCGTCGCATCTGGGCCTCTGAGCGTGTTTTACTCTGATGGTAGCTCTTCGCTTCATCGCTGGAATTCTTCAACTAATATCCGTATCTAGGACTCGCGTACGTGGGCGATGCTTCGAAGTGGGAGTCTGGCTCGGTGACTACTGACGTTACATGTATGGATATACTCCATTCGTATAAGTCGCGCGTACATTTGCTAATCAAGAACCAGGTATTTTCAATAACACGCAGGTCCTGGCCACGGCGTCCAACAAGGACTATACATTCGACAATGAAACCTTTTTGTACATTCGCCCTGTGGAGAACGAGGTCTTGCCGGTGGGATTTACTGGCAACGACAATGACACGCCTGATGATGCGGTTGCTGGATCTTTCCTCTTCTACGGGACTTATCTCATGTGGCAAGCTGAGGATGGGGTGCTGAGTGATTCATTCCGTTTGAAGGAGACCGATGTCAGCGATATCTATCAGCTGTATTGGGATACCTCGAATCTCTACCCGGCTGGATATTTGACTCCGGTCATTAAATCATCCGTCTAGATAGAGTGGATTGCGGTGAAAGTCTCTCCATTGGCAGTAATATTTGTACAATAATGTGTGAAATTCGCCTCTTCCAGCTCTTGAATGGAATGTGCTTCGTTAATCATAGTGTCGTAACTTCTTATATAGCAGCTGACTCGGTGAGAAATGGGAAACTATCCCACAGCGGTAGATCCATTCCCTCCCAGTCAAATAATGCGCCGTCGATCGCGGGTGGTGTGACAGTACTTATCCCGTCGTCCGACTGCAACCACGAATACGAGGGGATGCTTTGTGTCAGTAGTGGGGTGTCACCAGCCTGTTCATGGACTTCGCTTTGTCTCCGTGGAGTCGCTGGGTCATCACTCAGACTAAAGATGCGACTGACATACTGGCTTCTTCGCTGTCGGGCTTGTGCTGCAAGTCGTTGGCGTTGCTGGTTAACGGCGGCTTCGAGCATGATCGTTATGTCTAGATAATGCGCTGCCTGGGCGGACTGTGACGCCAACATTCGCAATATGGTCATAGCGCCACGGAATGCTTCGTCGATTTCGGTGTCTATGTCACGGTGGGCGAACATGGAGAAACCGAGAACTAGCGCTGCAGCAAATATGAAAGCTCTAGTTTGGAAGTTAGTGCGGATGTTTTGAATGCCTAAATTCGGGTACAAACTTGAGGATGCACATGTTTCGAAGCATGAGGCCAGAGTCGTAGACCTCTATACATGTTTGTAGCATATAGACAGCCGAGTCTATACATGCAGCTGCTAGTCGGGAGTGAGCGGGATCCTCGTCCGGTGGGTCGCGGGAACCATTTGCTGATAGATTTTGATGAGTTTGAGCCAGCCGAACACTCAAAGCGGATATGAGGAAAGGGCGGGTGACTAGGATCACTGCAAAATGATATGAGCATGCGACATGCATGTTTCCAAGCGTGTGTCTCTGAGCGATTCTTTCACTTTCGCGCCCCAGAGAAGATGTTCTCAGTGAGTAAGGCAGGCACTCGCTCCAGCTATTCAACTTCCTTAGTAACAAGTCCGCCGTTTCAGCTGATGCAGTCTTCTCTCCGTAAAGACTGGTTACAATTTCATCAAGGATCAGTGATAGATGATATGAAGCTGCCAGTCCAGATTCGGTCTGTGTCGTCTCTACCAAAATCGGTTCCTCTCGATGACCAGACAAAAGAGGTGAGGTTGCCGATGGCCTGCCCAGAATCGCGCTCACAAGTAGGTCGAGAACACAAAGGCTCGTCCACAACTTTGGTCTGTGGCTTGTTAGTAAGATGGCCCCCAAATTTGATACCGACATACCGCTGGTCGTTATCATCACGACTTGTTGATCCAGAAGTGTGCTCATGTAGTCCCAATGCTACCGCTGCTCGCGATGCGACACCCAGATACATAAAGGCCGCATTGCGGCGGCACGCGCCAAGCATGTAGAACGACAATAGTATGAAAATCCGAACCACATCCATGCTGGGGTCTTCTAGAAAATTGGCGAATGCTCTCTGTTGGCCGCGCGCGGCATAGAATCTTTCTGCTTGAAGTGTTTCCGGGTTATTCGCCTGTGTCTGGGCCCCGATAGCGACCATGAGATCGACTATCGCTGTTCGGGTCTTCTCCCGATCGGATTTCGGGTCACCTGAGCTAGACGATGATGTTAAAATGTTATCTTTGCATGCTAGATTCAAAAACCCGCTGGTCTTGCAGTGTGTCAGTATGTAAACAAATGACTATCGGGTCGGCAGCTGTCTTACCGCCGCTTCATAACTCTGGATGAAATGACGCTTTTCGTCGACATTGCATCGCTCTATGGAGAAGTTGAGTAGATCATGATGTGCTTCCGTCTCTAGCATGTCCTCGCTTCTCTGAGAGAATTGCGAGGGACCAATATGCTGTGTCACAGTGTCACGGAGCAATTGCAAAAATGACAATGAGGCTGCTTTTCCGACATAGACTAATCTCATTCAGTACGCGAGCCACACTATGATCAAATTTAGAGCCACATACCTCGATCACCCTGCAGGTTGCGGAGCATCCGCGGATGCGTCCGATGCGGAGCCTCAGGCGAATGCGGCTCAGCCTCCGGCGACGCAACTCCGGGATCTGGCGTTGTTTCCTCGTGGGTCTGGGGTCTCAAGGGGCTTTCCAGATCGATTCCTGATTCGCTCCATGTCGGAGCTGCAGGTCGGGACGCAGTTCGGCTGCGGAGGCCTGGTAGGGACCTGAAGGGAATGCATGATCCGCCACGGCCTTTGTGCAAACAGTTGCTGCACGGGAAAACCCCACTACATCTTTTCTTGGATTTCCGACATGCTGTACATGCGGTATTCGCTCGTAGTCGATTCTCAGGATGTACCTTGGGGCGCGCCATGCTTGCGGAGTTTCGAAGTCGGGGGGTCCCCGCAGATAAAGAGGGTGCGCGGCCCGACCTCGGGACCACTTCCGACCTCGGGTATTCCTATCATGTGGATTATCGTGATGGTTATATGAGTTCACTTAAGCGTTGTAAGTATTTCTCGGGTGCAGATCGAGACGTCCAATCTTTGAACATTTACCTAGTCAATAAAAGTGCGTGGTGGTTGGAATGTGAAAACATATTTGTGATCACATGGTCAACTTCAACCGGTTACACCTGGGCATGAGATCGTATTCGCTCACTAAATCCAAGTTCCAGGACACAATTTTGCTTTTAGAACATAGTGAAAAGACAGGTGAGTGGGGGATCTCAGTAAAACAACCTTGGAAACGCTTCTCATCCGTAGCAGCAAACTTCCCGCACTTTCCAAACTTGGAAGGTTGTTTCGGGGTGTGTCCATAGGGCATCATCACGGACAATGGGTTTGATCCCATTTCTTCCGCCGCAAGTATCCCTCATATTTGCCTTGTGGCAATTTTGTAGCCAGATGCATGGTGGCTCAGTGCGTTTCTTGATTATGGCCACCCAGTCACATTCCAGTCTTGCGCAATCGCCAGTCTGGGCCACGGTGAACGCGATGCTCATAGATTCAGCAGGTACAAGGGCATGAATCATACCCTGGTAGCTTCTCTGTGCGCGGGACTTTGGCTACAGTAAACTCAACTCCTACCTAGTCCCCCAAATGCCTGTGGGTATGGAATCCCTTCCGGGGAAATGTCGGACATAAGCTCATTCGGTGAAAGACCGGGATCCCTTTCGGATCAACATAATCGAGAACCGTATCTTCGTAGTAATTTGGGCCGTCCTCAAGCACATTTGAAGCTATTTGGCACGTCAGGGAGCGCAGATGGAGATAGCCCTCGTGGACAGCCTGGTAGATTTCCAGTATGGGAAACACTCCACATCCACTGCGGAACTTGAGAAGCCGCAAGTTTGACGGGAGAAGCATTGCCCAGTTCAAAGCTGGGGCTGACTCGAGCTAGAAACATGAATGTCTCCGATGAGAATTTGTGGTAAGATTGTGAGTGACTGAAGAGCAGAAAAGTTGCTAAGGTCCATTGGGTCTTCACATTCATTGTACTGAAGGTCCAGGTCGAGAGGTTTTAAAGATGAATACTTGGATCTGAGGGACTCAATGTATAATTGTCGATTGCTCTCCCCAACGAGCCATTGGGCGGAGGCTTCCTCTTCTTGCCCCTTCATTGTGAAATGTTTGAGTTGACAAGGGTAGCGGGGCATGTTTTTGAGGTCTCTTGGCGTCAGATCACAGTTCAACAAGGCAAGCTCTCGAAGACGGGTTGATCGAAAAGAAGTTAAACTCTCGTCCAGGGATCTCACTTGAAATTGAGCTCCTACGATAGTCAATCTCTCGAGACCAGGGTGATGAAAAAGGGACCCATATGACCCGACCCCAAATTCACTCTCATGAACGTAGTCAAGGCTAAGCGTAACTATATCTATCAGTACCTTGATTGCCATGAAGGGATCAGGTACAGCCCACCGGATCGCAAAGCAGGGAGTGTTTCTTGTGACCGGCGCAGTAGTTGCATGTTGCTAGCCTTGTCCCACGCGAACCAGCTTGATGTGATGATCAACGACTCTAGATTCACGAGTTTTGAGAGAATAGGCTCAATATCTTCCGGTAAATCGTCGGTCTCCTCTTCGAAATCATGGTAATGAATTTGTAGTTCTCGTATAAGAGAAGTCAAGTACTGAGAGCTCACGGCTGTCTCCAAGAAGCAACTCATGGATTTCGGACTCCGAATAGCTACCGAATGGTGAAGAAAAGGTGCTGCGATTGTGTGCAGACAGCGACAGGACCGAGATAGAGCCTTCAGAGTGGTCACTGAGTGGGGAATTAGGAACACGATAGTCTCGAGGAGCTCCGGGGGTAGCTTGAGTAGAGAAAGTGGTTCATTCGTTCCGTATTCAAACCCAGGTTTGCCGTCAATGTAATCTCTTTGAAGTACCTAGGTATTTCCGATGCTTCTGGGGTTGCGGCTGAGCTCAACTGAGATCGAAACTGGTACATTGTAGAATGGTCTCACTTAGCGCCCGGGGAGGTTTGATGTATCTGACTCCGTTCGTGAATGGGAGCGACTAAGGGCACCCAAAAATTACTCAGGGCACCCACGCTAGGGTTTTTTTTTCCAAGGGACCGTGAATCGCCTAGACATGGCAACCCTAGATTATGTAAATACTCACTCGCCTCCGGGCGCACTACCCAATATTGAAACTATTCCCAACCCCCATTCTGGACCTCAGCCATAATTCCATATCAGCATGTTTGTTCCATTCCAAATTAAAACAATGAGGCTGATTTTGAACATGCATCTAAATGCATTGATTAATCTATCGAATCTATGGAAGTTCTCACCTGGGCAGTATGCTGATGTATCCGATGTATCCCCCTGCTCCGTGAAGTCTGCATTAGGCTGATAATTCGATTTCTTTCTAGCACGACCCGATGCTCGAGGCTTCTTTGCCTGCCCCCCTAGGGGTCGTGCTAGAAAGAAATCGAATTCTCAGCCTAATGCAGACTTCACGGAGCAGGGGGATACATCGTATATTTTCAACACCTGGATTAAGGATGCGGTGAGAATTTTCTTCCTTGTTACACGAAGCATTTCTTCCATCAGCGGGATCCTGGATCCTCAAGAGATTCGAATTGATTGCTGGAAAATCGTGGACTCGAGACGAAGAAGCATAGCAAATAGATCCATAGTTGAGGATCCAGGATCCCGCTGATGGAAGAAATGCTTCGTGTAACAATGAAGAAAATTCTCACCGCATCCTTAATCCAGGTGTTGAAAACAAAGAGGACCAAGGGATCATACTGGCCGCCATACTTATTCTGGAATAACACCCAATTCATATGCATTTGGGGAATCCTACTCGTGTCCTGACAAACGTTGAGTCTTCTGGGCCGATGATATGGATATGTACATGAAAAGCTGGCTCTCGGGGTCGTCTCAGACCTTTCCTGTACTATGTGCTGTGCTGTAATAACATGGTGACCTAGTGTTTACAGGATTACAAACCATGCACACTACCTACATAGGTATGAATGCTTGCTGGCTGGGCCTTGACAAAGTCTTACTACATACGACTCAAGAATCTCCCTCGGGGCTTTTGTTCAGCTAAATTGTCAAATTGAATCGTGGTTTTTTCCGCTTTTACTTTTCATTGTCAATCTTGAAATAACTTCGATCTCAATCAAAACATGTTATATTTTCTATCCCCGGGTGTCGGAGGTATGCCTAGGGGCAGTGCCACTTGCTCCCTCTGTTCGTCCAGGTGTTTTCCACATCTCGTTCTTTCCTTATCATTCAGATCTATTTATGTATTATGAGCTAGAGCTTACCGTTGTGACAAGACCTTCCAAGGCTCGGTGTGGTTACATGATACACGCAGGACGCCACGGAGTGCGTCTATCAGGAAGGCCGGGTTGGAATTGATATTGTGAGCGGCAGCGTTAGGAGAGGATGCTATGGTGACCTGGGGACGGCGCTCTGCCCGTGACAGGTCCAAAGCTACCTAGGTAGTATAGAAGGGCACTGCCGAAAGCTGCGTCTGATGAGCGCGACGCGGGGTTGTGCAAACGGGTGGAAGCAGAGGTGAGAGGCTCTTGGGGTAAAGTCCGATCTTAGTTGCTCTTCAAGCAATACCGGCACCTGGGTTGGGTGGTAGAAGCGCACGCGATCGCGACAAGCGATTTACAATAGATGGCTAATCTTCGCAACAACGACTAGGTGAAACCGAGTCAACACAAGCCCTGGAGAGGATCTCGAGTGGATCCTGAGGCATCCGTCGACTTCAGCCGCATTTTGAATGTGCCTAACTAGTTAGTTGCCTTGTGACACCTGAATATTCAGGCAGATACACTGGGAGTGTTTGCTCTCCTTTTCTCTCTTTCCATTTGTAGACAACTTTCGACGCTCTTTTCCCCCTTTGCCTTCTTCATATGTCCGCTCTCTCTCTCTCTCTCTCTCTCTCTCTCTCTCTCAGGCAGATTTTCGATTAAACAATTGCTTTCGGTATACACACGATATCCCGACCCAAGAGAATGCTAGGCTGTCATGCCACTTCTTGGTACGGAGTCCTCCGTGGGCCTTGGCGGGTTGAAGCACCGACGATCAATACGAAGCCAACCCCGCGACCCTGAAAGAACCTTGGAAGATTTATCATTGACATCAATCTATTACATGAAAATGGCGGCCTCTGATTGGGCCGTTCGACGATGGCAATCTGAGAATGCGGAGAGATAAGTGACAAGTACCGAATGAAGTGAGTAAGAGGAATAAGGTCGACAAGCCGAAATGCCCCGTGTGGACGACAGGCCGTCGGGCAAAACGAGAGTCAAGATCACACCAAGCAACTGCGGGAACTCTTATCTCGCCCTTGTTGGACCAATCACAGCCGCCCACAGCCCTAAAAAGTGCCGGAACTGATAACAGTCGCCCCAATGAACGTCGACGGGTCTCTGCATGGAAGTCGGAAAATATCCATGTGGGAGCTGTTTACTCCAGATTTTGACTGCGTCGTTATTACGCTTATCGGCCACTCCAATCGCGGGTCTACGTTCCTATCGACATCGCAGGGTTCAATCCCGTGCGAATTCGGAGCTGATGGCTTTCACTTATATCTCCTGGCTCTGGCCCAGTCTGGAATCTGGAACGACGGACAAGAATTTTACAGTAGGCTAGGATCTAAGCCTACTTGATATCCTACCATTCAAGCATAGGTCATTCATAGGCCCCACAACAATGGCAGAGACATCGACCTTTACGGCCCCACTGCCGCAAAGCTTTGGATATGGAATTATCATTGGACTCGGCTTTGCTTTTGCATTGCTGATGATCTTCATCACCTGGGCTTTGAAGCGGTATGTCTTACATATCGTCCCAATCAATCGAACTTCCAGGCTAACGATGCATTCCAATAAAGATACCAGAATGAAGTCCAAACATCTGAGATGTTCTCGACTGCAGGACGGTCCGTGAAGTCTGGTTTGGTTGCTGCAGCGGTGGTGAGTAGTTGGACTTGGGCTGCAACCCTTCTGCAGTCAACTGCTGTTGCATACAAATATGGCGTGTCGGGTCCTTTCTTCTATGCTTCGGGTGAGCGACTTCGTGGATACTTCGCGGCTAGGGAAAAAAAACATCCTAACAGATTCTTTGAACAGGCGCCTGCGTCCAAATCATCCTATTCGCAACGTTGGCGATCGAACTCAAGCGCCGCGCACCGAATGCACACACTTTCCTGGAGGTCATCCGTGCCCGCTATGGAACAACAGTCCACATCGTGTTCATTGTCTTCTGCCTGATGACCAACATTCTGGTCACTGCTATGTTGCTGACTGGTGGGTCCGCTGTGATGACTTCGCTGACGGGTGTGCCTACTGCCGCAGCCTGCTTCCTGCTTCCCATCGGTGTGGTGCTTTATACCCTCTTCGGTGGTATCAAGGCAACCTTCATCACAGACTACATGCACACCGTTGTGATTCTCGACGTCATCTTCCTCTTCGCCTTCTCCGCTTATGCCACCAATGCCGAGCTGGGTTCTCCGTCCAAGGTATACGATGCATTGGTTGCGGCGTCTAAGCGCCACCCCGTTGAGGGCAATGCAGAGGGCAGCTACCTGACGATGAGATCCAAGGAGGGTGGTATTTTCTGGATCATCAACCTGATTGGAAACTTCGGTACTGTGTTCCTCGACAATGGCTACTACAACAAGGCGATTGCTGCCAGCCCTGTGCATGCATTCCCCGGATACGTCATCGGCGGACTCTGCTGGTTCGCAATTCCATGGCTATGCGCTACAACGATGGGTCTCTCTGCGCTGGCTCTGGAAGGCACACAACGAATGAGCTCCGAGGATGTCACAGCAGGTCTGGTACTTCCCTTCGCGGCCGTTAAACTTCTTGGCTACAGTGGCGCCGTTGCAACTACGCTCATGATCTTCATGGCCGTAACATCCGCCTTCTCTGCTCAACTGATCGCCGTGTCTTCGATCTTCACCTACGATATCTACGGTGCCTACATCAACCCCAGCGCGAAGGGCAAGAGACTCGTCTGGGTCTCTCACATGTCCTGCATTGTCTACTCGATCATCATGGCCGGCTTTGCAACAGGCCTCTACTACGCCGGCATCGGCATGGGATACCTCTACCTTCTCATGGGCGTCATCATCTCCTCGGCCGTCTTCCCGGGCGCCATGACTCTCCTCTGGAAAGGACAGAACCACATCGCAGCAGCCGTCTCCCCACCTCTCGGTCTAGCAGTCTCCCTCATCGCCTGGCTAGTAACAACAAAGAAACAATACGGCATCCTCACCGTCGACACCACAGGCGCCAACTACCCCATGCTAGCCGGCAACGTCGCAGCCCTACTCAGCCCCGTGGTCTTTGTCCCCATCCTGACCTACGCCTTCGGTCCCCAAAACTACGACTACGAGTCCATGCGCGCAATCCGCAAGGTAGACGACACCGAAGTGGCAGCAGCAGCTCACGTGGATATCGAGCTCGTTCCCGGTGAAGCGACAAACAACCAAGACGAAGATGAGGAGGAAACTCGCCAGCTGAATCGCTCTGCGCTCTATGCGCGCACCCTGACGATCTTCATGGCTTTCTCCTTCTTGATCCTCTGGCCGATTCCAATGTACGGTTCTTCGTACGTTTTCAGTCAGAAGTTCTTTACTGGTTGGGTCGTTGTTGGCATTTTGTGGTTGTTCGTTACCACGTTTGGTGTTGTGGTGTTCCCGTTATATGAGGGACGGGCTAGCATTTCTCGTGTTGCGCGGATGATGTCCCTTGATCTTATTGGGAGGAAACCAAAGGTTTACCGGGGTACGAAGGGGGCAGATGATGTTGCTACACCTTCTGGGGTTGCGACGCCGACTGAGATCGAGAAGGAAAAGAAGACTATGGAAAGAGAGGTTTAATTGTGGAGACTCTTTGACGGCCACTGCCCAGTGGATCCTTATGCTTAATTTGTGCTTGTTATGTTCATACCCCTAGTGTTTTCAATTCGATTTCTTCTTCATGTTTGTGAACCCGCTCTCGCTGCATATAAGGGGAAACAGAGACATCGCCAAAACTCACACACCAACCCAAGATCTAAGCGCTTCACAATTTTAGACTGTGGCTGAGCAGTCGGGGATCTTGTGCATGTCTATGCAGGTAAGAGCACGGACGCAAAGGGTCCTGCCCTGCAACCTCAGCAGGAGGTGGAAGTGCAGAGACACGCAGTGAGCAAAAACAGGGTCTTTATCCGTTCCTATGTTGCAGGCGCCCTCGATATCTACATGAGGAGTCGAATCAACGCTCTATGCCTAGCCTTAGTCGGTGATGACCTCATTGGCCTAGTGATCGGCATGATGATTGCCCAGCATTGTGCAATGGCGCCCGATATGGTAATGGGAGAGATCGGCGGGTGGAGATCGTGCATGAATATCAAAGCGAGAGCGAAGGCAGAAAATTCGATCTGCTGATGTGGTCTTATATCCTGGAACATTGGGATCTGCATTCAGTGGTGATCTGGCGGAGCAGGGGAGTGGTTCAAAAATGGTCGAGGCATTGTGTGGGGCCAGTGTTGCTTTCCAAGGTTGTTGGCCTCTCATGCTCCACGCTTTAAGACCCCCGGAGCCTCGACGCCTAAATTGTACAGAAGGTGGGCTCAAGCAGGAGGCACGAATTTATCGTCACCGCTCCGTATTTGATGGATGTTATTGGAAAGCTTGGTTGAAAGATGAATGAGTCCCAGAGAAGGCATTCTCACTCCATACGCCAGAACAGCAAGATTGGTTTTAAAAGGATAGAAATTCGGTCAATGGAGACCTTCCAATGCTTGTATTTCAGTTAAATGAATAGGTCGTCTATATTAGTGGTTATCCAATCTTGATTCTCCCCGGCCTCCAGGGCTGCGCATGTGGGCTGGATCAACCATGTCGCCTAAAAAGTAGGTCCACGCGCCCTACCCATCGTGATATCCTCGATCGCACAGATTAAGTCATAACAAATTTCCTCCGAGACCACGCTGTCTGCTTGGTATTTGTCGTGTGTCTGGACAAAGTGCCTCATCCACTTCGCCGTCGTCCATAGCTCTCCCGAGGCCCTTTTAGCCACGAATTCCAAATAGCCATCAAGGACATTTCTGGTATGGCGGTCAAGATTGACGGCATCAAGCATGGAGTGAACCAGGTATATCAATCCAGGGAAGGGATCAGACGAGCCCCGTGGATTCTCATCAGAGCCGCACATAATTTCCTTCAGGCTCATTTCCCTATGCCCATCACCCGAGTTTGAGTCGTCGGTCTCGTGACCAGACAAAGGCGAGCCTGGAGGACATTCCCCTGGTAGTACATTCTCCCTGAACCAGAATTTTTGTTGGTTGACCGCGTCTCTCATCACGGCTCGTCGCATGTTCTCGGCAACAAGTTCCATGGGCAGATAGAAATTCAGATCGAAGTATGAAATGGCCCGACGCATCAATGCCATGAAGACGACGAAGGCGGCATTTTCGAAATCAGTCATTTGTACCTCCATCGGACGGAATTCCACGCGCCATCCGATATCACTTCCATCTGGCGGGGGTTTGAAGCGGATATCGGGCCACATACTACCGATCAGAGCACGGAAGTGGTATGTATCGGATGGGGAATCGGGCTCAAGATGATTCGGGTCCACGACTAAGTGGTCGAATTTTAGCATATGGGCGAAAAATCGAGCGAGATCAGTGTCCATTCCTGCCTTCTCGAGCAAGGCTAGGTCTTCTGTATTCCCATTGCCATATGATTGGTATTCGCCGAGTTTATTGTCACCATGCCCGGCATACATGGGACTAAATGACCACCGCATTTGTGATGCGATCGAGTTCTCGCCCATTTTGCTCTGTGTCCAAGGTTAGTATTTGGATGTATTAACGAAGGTTTTGATGAATACCTGACTCGTTATCTCTTCCATTGAACGATCGTCATTCAGCGCATTGGTAACGTGCCAGCGACAATCAGTGTCGACCAAATAGCCCTTGTAACAAGGGCTCCCCGCTGTGAGAGCCAGCATGAGAGAGCTTAACGGACACAGTTGATCATGTAATGACCGTGCTTCGCGTATGTTCTTTGCTTGGAAGGTAGCCTGTAGCCCACAGGCTCCACCGCTCCACGAGAAATGGTCGACATATACGCAGTTGGGAGCTGGGCCGGGGAAAGAGGCTGGCGTTTCTTCCTTTATGTGACTCCAATCCAAAGACTGGTCCTTTAACGACCGCGCGGTGTTCTTGTCTTGGAACACCGGGATGTTTGCTCCTGCAATAGTGCCCCGGCGACCTCGCAGATTATCGGACAATACTTTGGAACGTTCGAAATGGCTAAAGAGATCTTCTGACATGGCGTGCGAGTATAATCTTTTGCTGCTCATGGGCTCGGGGGTGGTGAACTTTCCTGCCCCGAGCCGGGGGAACATAGGAATAGTAAGTGGCAATTCGTCCAACCCCAGGCAGGCCTGAAGTGCAGCCCGGCTATATTCCGTCAGTGTAATTCTCGATATTTCTCCCTTCGCTTGACCCTACCGATCTCTCATGTCCTTTTCCACCGGCAGCATCGATTTGAAGTTGTCTCCGTATGGGGGCTCGGCTACCCCTTCCACCATGAATATCATTGACTCAGGATGTAGCTCAGATGTCATCTGCGAGCTGTGTGATTGGCGTCAACATAATTGTACTTGAAGCCTTTATGCGACGGATCAAACTTACTTTTGATATAATTCCTCCCATTTCTTCAAAATTTCTGGCTGTTTCAATGACACTGTAGCTGTTTTGTTCTGTCGATCCAATGAAACAAGAAGGTATTCGATCTGTAGTGCATGGTTACTTCGTTGATTCTTCCCAAGTGATGTAGCGGCATACTTCGTCGCCCCAAAGTGGCGGGAAATCCTCCAGATCCCTATACTGTTTCCAAAGCAAGATACATTGCTGTTTGGTCAGATTTGTAATTTCCACTAAGCTGGATTTCTCACCTCCAAAGCGAGGCTGTGTAAGTGCGCTTTATTGGCGGCAATTTCCTCCCAAGAGAGACTGTACCAGTTAGCGATTGACAGCCAGTCAGACTAGATCACTTACAACTGGGCATCTTTGTCTGCAGTGGTACAGCCCATATTGAGTCGGGGACGATCACACAATCTGTTGGAAATCTTTCGCAATCACATGGCGGGGAAGGTTTATAAAGAGGCATCAGCCCCACTGAAATCCGGGTCCATAACATCACTTCCTATGATCAGATCTCCAACTCCAAGGTTACCTGTACTCCGTATGCAGTGTATCTTTGACCCCACTTCCCCTCTACTCCAATGACGACACAGAGACCGATTCCTGCAAGGAATATCCATGCCACCAGTGGACCATAACCAGCGGTGAGTACCCAAGGGTAGCTGCTCAGTGCATAACTACATAGGTACTCCTTATATAGTTCTGAATCAATGCTGCCACACTAGGAGCTCACAATCTTGAAAACGTCATCAAGGAGTTGTGATCTGAAGTTTCAGCCACATGTAAGAGTTGCAAACAGGTTGTCGCGTCGACTCACATCGCTTCGGTATACTCTTGCACAGCGCATGGTGAGAACATCAATACAATATGCGAAATGTCGTAGTCACGGTGTTACCCTATCCATAGTTTCTTTGGCTATGTGCATTCATTTCTCGCTGATATAATCTATCCGGCACGAATAACATTAGATCATACCCTCGAGGGCTTTGGGGAACTTTGGAGCATGCCTTAAAACTGCGGATGCAAAAAAAAAAAATGCAAAAAGAAAGAGCAACATGGGGATCGAACCCATAATCTCTTGAGAACTGAACCGAAATCAAGCGCCTTACCATTAGGCCAGCTGCCCGTGCTTATCTAAACAGCGAGTTCTCACAAAATATGTGCAACAAACATTTGCAGAACAAGATCCAGAAAAGGATTGTGTTTATGATTTCCAACCTCCAGGGCTTTGCACTTTAACGACTACCTAGGTACTTGTACTACATTCATCATCGGGGTCAGTTGAAACAATCAGCGGTATACCCGGTCTGAAGGCCCCAGCTTCCAAGGTTGTGGGTAGCTTGGGCGACCCTTTGAAGATGTCTCAACTGAATATATATCTCACGGAAAGTTCAGAGCTGTGAGCGATCCCAAGGTGCCGAGGTGATGACCCTCAGTCTTCAACCAGAACCTCAGACAAAGACCCCAGAATCATTCACCTGGTGATCTTAGAACTATGGACCTCAGTTAACCCCCCCGCCAGCTCACCTACAGCCTGCGCATAATCATCCAGCAACCCCTCCACGCTCTCCGGAGAGTAAAGACTATCATCAAAACACATCCGCACAAAGAAGCCATTCGTCGGGAGCAAGGTACACTCTACAAGGAGTCCATACCAGTGGAAATGCCGCATCTCCCGAGCTTCAACTCGAGGCCCCGAAAGGATCGGCCCCGGGAAAGGGGATTTCGAATCCAAAGTCAACCCCTCTGGAATCGGTTGAATCACAAGCAAAGTCTCGATCTTGTCACACGCGGCGCGCACTTGGTCATCAATAGCACGAATACGCTCCATACCGTCATGCTCGAATGGAATCATGGCTGTTGCCTCGTCCTGGATCTGGGCAAGGAATTGAGCCGGGTTTTCCTCTTGCAGGGAGGACATGCGGACACGGATTGGCGTGTGTGCTAGAGCTGGTGCGACCAGTGCGTCGACGCCAGGAATATGGATGTTGCGACCGGTCAAAATTGTGCCGAAGATGACATCTGATTCAGGGTTCCCATGGTGCTTGGCCAATGTGCATGCCCAGGCTGCGCGGACAAGGGATGCTTCCGTTAGTCCGTGCTGCTGTAGGGCTGGGACTGCGCCGGCCTGGAATGTCACCAGACGTTGTATCCCGGAGTTGGCATATGGTAGGCTGCCAGATTTGATTTCTGAAGGCGAAGGCTCATTGAATCCAGGCGCAAGGGACAGATAGGTTTGCCAGAACTGATTTGAGTCATCTGACAAACCACCTTGGGACTGATGTATCTTCCCAAGCAGTGTCGCAAAAGTCAGGTTGACCGGCGGAAGTGGAATCGATTGGTATACAGCATATATCGATCCAAGGATCTGACCCAATGAGATTCCATCGAAGATCGAATGATGCATCGTCAATATCAGGTGTGTTTCATCTGAGGTGATCGCCCATCGCGCGAGTGGCCTTCCCAAAGACGGCCTCTCCCGAGTATCAGCCTCCAAATACTCAGCGATAGACGCCGGCCGCTGCCAAGGAAAATCTTCCTGAACCACGACTTGAAGGAGCCTGCCTGAATCTTCAACGATTCTAGTACGGAGTATGGGGAACCTTTGGAAAATTCGGGCACATGCACTCATGTATCGCGGAATATCCAGGTCATCAGAAAGCTGAATGACTTCCTGGCCCATCTGGGTCCGCTCGGTATCGAGCGAATCCCGCATCATTTCTTCCTGATATGGAGCACAGGGATAGATATCTTCGACTTTCTCAGAGGCAAGCTCACATTGCTTTGCCGCAGATTCTACCAATTCTTGGATGGGAACATTGCCGTTCATCATCAGCTCGAACGGCGCAACATGCTTGGTTTGGATGAGTGGTCGGAGAAGCGTCGCCTGTTCTGACAGAATTGGAGACTTGAATACATCCGCGACCGTAAGAGTCAATCGCAAATCTCTTGCTGCAATGTTGACAAGTCGCATCGCTGCTAGGGAATCTCCACCCAGGGAAAGAAAGTTGTCAGACCGGCTGATGCTTTCAATATTCTTTTCCAAGACCTGCGCCCAAAGTCGCAATAAGCCCTCTTCAGCTGGACTTGAGATATCAACAAGAGCAGAATCCACATCGGACGCTTCATCTGATTTTAGTCCCGGATTCACGTCGTCAAAATTGATCAAAAAGTCATGAGAGTACTGCGTGCAGAAAGTACGGAGTGCCTTGCGATCGAGTTTGCCAGAAATTGTTAATGGCAATGTCTGGACGGGGATGAACAGAGAAGGCATCATATATACCGGCAGAGCCTTTTCAATCGGGATCTTAATATCTGAAACCAAGTCTTTGAACTGTCGCCGTGCGTTTGGTGTCAAAGTTGCCACATTCTGCAGATCAAGTCCCTGATCCCAAGTGATGAAAGCAGCTAACACCGATGCATTAGAATCCTTAGGAGATGCGAGCTCCACAGCAACAGCAACTTGGTCAGATAAAGCTTGATGTAAGCGATATTCAATTTCGCTCAATTCGATTCTCTGGCCTCGAAGCTTGACTTGTGTGTCCTTGCGACCTTTGAATAACAAGGTGCCCTCGGTGCCATACCGGGCCAAGTCCCCTGTCTTGTAGAATTTGGTCTTGTAGGGATCTGGCCCAAAAGATGCCAACCAGCTAGGAGGCTTCGACAAGAACACTTCGTCAGTCTTTGCCAAGTCATTCAGATAACCTCTTGCAACCAGTGGTCCTTCGATGAGTAACTCTCCAACGGCGCCAACGGGCATCAAGCGATCATGATTCTCGGGGTGGACAATCCAGGTCCGGGAACCTATGCCGTGTCCGATATTTGACACAGGCGTATGCGCAGAAAGCTCCGGCTGAATCACGCACCAAATTGTGCACTCAGCAGGCCCATAGACATTCCTGAGAACAACCTTCTCACTCCAGATGTTGACGCACTGCTGTGTAGCTGGTTCACCTCCTAGTGTGAGTTGTTTCAGGCTTGGAACCTCCGATGGGGTCAGAATGCTCGCCACCGTCGAAGTCAAACACGCTTGATTAACCTTCAAACGATTGATGGCACCGGAAAGATCATGAGAGCGCTCCCAGTCGGACGGTATACACACACAGGCACCGTGAGTCAGTGCCGTGAAGATATCACCAACACTGACATCAAAAGTATAGGCTGCGTATTGGAGGACGCGAGATCCGGGAATGATTCCCATAGCATCAGCCTGTGCCTTGACACTGGTAGATAATGAAGCGTGCTCAACGAGAATTGCCTTTGGAGTACCTGTGCTTCCTGATGTGCACACAACATATGCCGCATTCTCGGGACTAATACCCTGGCATGAAACAGCCGTTTCTTGCTGCGCGTGATCTGGCTCAGCGGAGAAGATTTTGCGGTCGATGACCATTAAATCGCATCTAAGGTGAGATTCCATGACCAGACTGTGTGTCTTTTCAGAGCAAAGTACCAGTCGTGCGGCTGTTGTGTGGACCATCGCTCGTTGTCGAGCAGCAGGGTGCTGGGGATCGACGTGCAAGAAAGCTCCTCCTGCTTTCACCACTGCCAACATTGCCACAATCGCCCAAACAGACTTCTCAAAACAAAGCACGACGATTTTCTCTGATGCGACACCGAATTCATTCTGTAAAGTTCCAGCCAACCGGGTAGAAAGACGACCGAGTTCTCGGTAGGTCAGCTCGCCATCCCACGCAGACACAGCGGGAGCATCCGGCCTTGCGTCAACTTGATCCTTGAACAGCTCGTAAATAAGGCAATCTGTCTTTTCAGGATAATGCGAATTCCATTCTAGAATTTGCTGGTGATCCCAAATGTTGAAGAGACTGAGATTGCGGACTTCGATATTTGGCGTCAAAAAGACGGCTTGGAGAGCACTTTCCAAAGCTCTGGTGAGCCGGAATGCCTGACTTGCAATCTGGGAATCCGAGCGCCAGATCAGACGGAGCTGAGGCTGCTCTGTAGATGGATGGAAGCACATCCTTATTCCCATCCCTGTCTGTTGAATATCGTCAAAATCATGTTCGCTTCAAAATATCACGGCACTGGGGCCTCACATACCTGGGATCCAATTGGACTCAGATTATCGAAGCCGAGATGCCTCTTCACAACCACCATTACATTGGTAGGTATCTGTTGGGTGTCCTCCGGTAGCTGATCATGAGACAAATACCGGTGAACAGATGGATCATTCCATCTCTGAAGCAATGAGATGATAGTATGACTCTCATCCAATTCCAGAAGTTCCCATTTCATGCCATGGGCGCTTCTTTCCGTGCTCTGCTTCCGGTAATCAACCGTGCTCCAGCATACGGATGGTGTCCCCAGGAAGGATTTCAGGACTATGGCCCAAGCTAGGTGGATAACATCGGCCTCTGGAATGTCGTATGCATTCGCCAAGAGATTCAAATGCGAAGGAAGAGCAATCGAAGCAGAGAAGTCGGGGAGATTTCTGTCGTCATATAATAGCGTAGAGAGGGAAACACCCGAGTCTGCTCTCGCACGACCTTTCGTAGGATACATTCTGATGTTCTGAAAGGTATCGAAATGAGAGAGAGCTTAGAGTGTCAAAAAGCAGATGCTGCACAATGATAGCCACTTAAATAAGGCTCTCGTATACATAGTCACAGAGAATAAGCGGGATTTTGGGGCGAAAAAAAAAGCCGAAAAATTACAGTTCAATATATTATGAGTGATATGAAAGTCATCTAGAGACGAAATGACAATTACAAGGCAGAGCCACAGTATTACTTCGTACATGCAGCTCATCCAGAATGGGAACTGGGGCGAGCCCAGGTCAGCACTAAAGACGAGCAGGGGTCTGCCCAGGCGGGGGACTCACAGGCTAATTGCTACAAATAATCGAGCAACATTCAGGCCCAACATGCTCATATACTATCTCTTTTCATTATCCATTGAAGTATGAAAGCCATTGTCAGCACCACCCCCGGATCAGCGGCACTCGTCCATGACAGGCCGCTTCCCTCTTTGCGAGATGGGTATCTACTCGTCAAAACACAAGCCATAGCATTGAATCCAACCGACTGGAAGCACATTGAGCTCACCCAAAAGCCCGACGTCCTATTCGGTTGCGACTACGCGGGTATCGTCGAGAAAGTCGGACCTGGCGTCCCATCGCATTTCCGCATTGGTGACCGCGTGGCTGGGTTCGTGCACGGAGGCAACTCCCAAGAGCCCGAGGATGGTGCCTTTGCCGAGTACGTTGTTGCCAAAGCCGATATTCAAATTCTCATCCCGGAGAGCATGAGTTTTGAGGAAGCCGCCACGCTGGGAGTGGGCATCACCTCAGTAGGACAGGCGCTTTACCAGACACTGAAATTACCTCTCGATACACTTTTACTCGAGGAGTCAGAAACGGACAGCAAGAAAAAAGAGCCTGTTCTCATTTACGGGGCATCGACAGCGTCTGGAGTCCTGGGTATCAAATTTGCCAAACTCTCGGGATTCGCCCCCTTGGCTGTCTGTTCCCCTGACCACTTCGACTTGGCAGAGAGACTTGGAGCTGTAGCAGTCTTCGACTACGCTGATGGCGAGGAGGCTGTTGAAGAGATACAAGACTACGTCCGGAATATGGGCAAGTCTCTGTTGAAAGCCTGGGACACAGTGTCGATTCCATCGAGCGCAAAGTTTTGTGGCGATGCACTGTCCCCTGGTGATGGTTGCCAATATGCGTCCCTGCTTCCAATCAGATGTCCCCGGTCAGATGTGACTAGCACCGTGACAATGGCCTATACTGTTTTTGGCGAAGACTGGGCAATGGGGGCCACTGCTTTCTCGGCGGACATGGTGGACGCGGAATTCGGCCGGCGGTGGTGGGCCTCGGTGCAGGAACTCGTGAATCAGGGTCGTATTCAGACACATCGGATCATCATTGGGGAGGGTGGGTTGGATGGAGTTTTGGGAGGGTTGCAGCAGCTGCGAGATTCGCAAGTGCGTGGTGGTAAGCTGGTGTTCCGTATTTAGATACCAGGAAAATTGTCAAGGAAGCGAAGATGGAAACATTTGAATTGATTGAGAGATTGGTTTGCAAATCTTCCAGTCCCCCAAAGGCCTCTTCCTGCTAGCTTATTCTAATTACTTTGATTCTACTCGCGTTTCGTTTCCTCGTTGACGTGCCAACCATTCGCAGACGACTCCCTGAAAATCCCGGGGCTGGTAGAGACCACATGTTTCAGCTATCATATTGGACTTCCGGTGGGAGTTGACTTCCAGGTCTTGGTAGAGCATGTCGACATACTGTTCAAAGGATTAGCGTAGTATTGAAGGATCCAGCACATGGAACTTACCGGCAGGAAATCAAATAGCGCGAATGGAACTTTGCGTCCACAGATGTATCGACGGCGAATCCAAGCATTGATTCGCGCGACTTGGTGTTCGCGCTGTGTTGTTTCTGGCAGTTTTAAAGAGCCCGTCAAATAGGCAGCTGCCCATAAAGCCTGAGCCTCGTAGACAATCGGTGCCCCAGCCGTGCGAAGAAACCCGACAAATGCTATGGACCGCTCATGGGATGGGTTTTCACTGCTGGGTGCTATGAAGCGGTAGAGATGATAATCATCTTCACACCGGAGGGGAGCTGGGGGAATCGGACATGTTTGAAGGAGCGGTAGCTCTTTCAAGATACTCGAGTCCGCTGCACTCTGAAGATCCGTCCATTTCTTTTGAGACTTCGGGTCAAAGGATGTCTTGGACGGCAACCCTACGGCCAGTTGGTCATCTGGAGCAAAGAATGAATGTCGAGCATGCCAGCCAGTGGCGCAAACCACCAGATCGGCAGACAAATCACGTCCGTTGCTCACTGTGATGCGCTTGCCGCTTCCAAGACCTGTGATGGTGTCCCTGTGTATCTTCACTCGCTCTCCAGAATGAATCTCATCCCACAGCTCCGGGTGTGTCATGACCCCCAGTGTCGCAGGACTCCAAAATAGGCTATCTAAGTCCAGAAGAGGTTTCAAGTGTTTCCCGTTGGGACTCGAATCATACCCCCAGGAACGCTGAAGCAGATACGCCATGACGCGCCAGAAAATGACGATAATGAGCTGCGCCCATCTTCTAGCACTTTGATGAATAGATCGTCGCCACCACGAAGATTCATTGGGGGACTCAAATGGATGTGGGGAGAAGAGAGAGAAGAAGCGAGTGTTGTTGAGCCGGAAACTTGGTTGCCCTAAGATGGAGAGCGGCGTCATCATCGACGGCCCTCCACCGGCATCCCGAATCACCCAGTCCACCGTCTTTCCAGCGCACAGCAGCAGGTGAACTGCATCAAAGGCCGACTTGGACCCTCCATACACGACAGCATGGCGAAGGGATGGGTCTGAAATCCGATTGACGAATTCCGGATGACCGAGTGCCTTGCTATGAAGCACCTCGCCTTCAAATTCATCCCGACCAGGAAGGGAAGGGATGAGTGGCTCCGATGTCAACCCGGACGCGATAATGATCTTCCTGGATTGAATCTGCTCGCGTGTACCAGCAACGGTGACCACCCAGTGGTCAATCCCATCGTCTGCTAGAGACGCTGGGTCCCGACGAATGTTTTCGATCCAAGTATTGAGGCGCAGGCGCTCAGTGAGCTTGAATTTGGTTGCATATTCCACGAGATAGTCATGGACAGCTTTGCTTGGGATTCTTCCATCTGGGAGCACAGACTCCTTGCGCATTGGAAGATCCGAGAACTCGAAAAGCCCGTGATGTGCCTCGGCGACAAGATGAGGATACAGACGCTCCTCACTCCAGGTGCCACCAATACTGGAATCACCATCCACAATGAGAACTTGAGCGTCAGGACATACTTGAAGGTATGTTTTGGCGGCGACGAGCCCGCACCATCCTGTAACAATGAAGAAAAGTGATCAACAAGAGAGTTCAGAAACAGCATTGCTTGAAGTACATACCCGCACCAACTACTATCAGGTCGTACATGGTGAGTAGTTGATCGTTCAATTGACCTGACCTTAGAACCGAAGGTCTTACTTTCTCATCTTCTTGAAGACCACCAGTGGTACCTGTCCTGCCAACTCGATCAGCTCATATTTCCACAGGTGCCGTCCTCAGTCAATCTGACCTCATCTGACGATGAATGTGGATCTTGATGCAGACTAACGCGTCGACCTATTCAGGCAAGGAAAGCGCTCATAGCACTGCCACAATACTATTTAGATGGAGTCAAACGCAGGCAACAAGAACCGATCACCTCTTCATACTGACAACGTACGAGCGCATCATCCAACCGTACTCCGTACGCGATCCGCTTCAGACAAAGTTCGCCGTCTCCATTCTTCTGCCCCCAACGATGCCTCGTCCAATTACGAACATATTCCTCGGTCTCGCCGTCTCTGCAGTGGTGGGGGTCTGGGGCATCTTTTCTTGGTATGCGGGATTCGAAGAGCTGGATGCCATTGTTGAAAGATATCCCTCAACGCAGATTGCCGGATTAGACCAATTTCCCGATCTAGATCGTGGTCTCATGTCTATGGTGGCATTCAATCTTCCGGTAGTTGGCCGAGAGCCTGCGTTCCCCGCCGGACGTCTCTTCATGGGACAGTTTTTGGCCAATGTTTTTGCCATACCCATCATTCTGCTTACCGAAGGCTCTCGAGCCGCACCAGGTAGCTTGGCACGACAGTGAGTTCTCTCTACGCGCCTTTTTGTTCTTTCTTGGCATCGCATGAGGTGACATTAGGACTTGGGAAAGCGGGCTAACGGACTTTAGCTCAACTTTGTGGGGGGTATTCTCCCAGCTAGCAACATCAGCAATGATGTGTCCACTATATGGGATTGCCTTGGCGCGAAAATCCGGCCCTTGGCATATCCAGTCTCGGATTCAGCATCCTACCTGGCTTGTGATCTCCAGCGTGCTGATCGGGTACGGAATACCAGCCGTGCTGATGTTCGATCCACTCCAGTGGGGTATCAAGTTACAGACATGGGGAATTCTGGCCTTTACTTTCCACCCGATGTGCATTTCCTTGGCAGTATTCATGCAATGCACTCTCTTCAACAGGAGGGTCAGATCTGCTGGCCCCCTGCGAACTGGGCCGAATTCGACCATCCCGTACGTCTTGGCGGGGGTTGTGGGGGCCGTCGGGCACTTGGGGTATATCGGACTTAGCCTACGGGATGGAATCGGATCGACCCCAGCCCCGACGCGGGCCGCGCAACTCGTGCTTATGTTCTTGCAGATCGACTACGCGCTCACGTTCGCAGCCTTGTTGACACTGGCCTGGCATGAACTGAGGCACGATCAGACGATGCCGTCTTGGCGTATTGCTTCCTGTTTGGTTGTTGGATGGGTTTGCATTGGACCAGGGGCCACACTTGCAGTGGCCTGGGCCTTGCGTGAGCGGTCAATTGGCCAAGGAAATCAGGGGCAGCGGAAACAGATTTGATTCCGTGCCAAGGTTATCTACGTGGTACATGCCAGCAGGGGTATCGATGGGCGCGTACAAGACTGTACGGTATGGTACGGAACTTTACGATCTTGTACGGACCAATACCGCGGGGGAAAGTGGGGCGTCAGAAAGGCTCCGCGGCCCGCTAGTGCGCCATGCATGGAATCCGTGGGAGTACCCGCGGGGTCAAATGGGGTCAAGGTGTATTCAATATTGCTATCTAGCATTTCTAGCTAACAAACTCATCATTTAGCAGTAGTTGTTTGCTCGGTAGGCGAAGACAATATTTCCGAGAGCAGCACGCCTCGTTGAGAAACAAATTCTTCCATTTCCTCCCACAATCGTTGTTGTAAAGCCTGGCCTTGCGGACTTTCCGCGTATTTCGACAGTCTATGAAGATATGTTAGTTCGGTATCAGAAATAAGCCATCTCGGCCTATTTTTTTATCTAATAATTTTTTTTTTTTTTTTTTTTTTGCTTTATACCACAATGAAAAGTGTATCTTACCGGGTCGGCTTTCCATCACGTAAATAGGCTCCGTGCATGTCGGAGCCTTGCGCCGTAGCTGCGAAGATGTGTAAAGCCCCACCCTGCTGAATGGAGCGAGCGGAGGTCAATTGGATTACGCGGGTCATCACGTCGTTCGGGAAAAAGTTAGAGGCACAGAAACCCGGGGTGGTGATGACCACAGTAGTGTCGAGTTTCGCCGCGTTTAGCCTAAGAGCAAGTTCTTTCCCAAACAATGCAAGAAGAAGCTTGGCGCGGTAGTACTGATCATCTGCACTGCCAAGTGTTTTCTTTTCCCGGAAGATGGTCAATATTGGCAGAGTACTTTTGTTCTCAGTTTCGGGAAGATCAGGGAATGTCGTCCAAGCATGTCCCTCGGAGGTGACCAAGACAAGACGGGAAGCATCCCGAAGTAGAGGAAGCAGCCTCAATGCGAGATAGGCAGTGCTGAGAAAATTGACCTGAAACAACGGACTGTATCCGTCGTCGGTCATCCGGTCATCGTGACCAAAAAAGCCTGCATTGAGAAGCGCCAGATCTAGACGGATCGAGTTGGCATTCAGCTCATTCACGAAGCGGTCCACAGAAGAAAGATCTTCCAGATCCAACTCAGCCACCTGCACCGTAAGATGAGGCATATTCTGTTCGATCTCAGTCTTGGTGCAGTTAGCTTTGCTGAGGTTTCTCGCCCCAAGGATGAGAAGGCGCGGACCCAGCTGGGCGAGCTGGCGTGCTGCTTCGAGACCAACGCCGGATGTCACCCCAGTGACTAGCACAGTCTTCGAAGCAAATGAGATGTCCGAGCTTATGAGTGGTGGATTCCCCGTGAACTTTTGGCGTAACGCATATGGAATGGGGCCATCGGACGAGAAATCCCAGAGAGCTGGGTTGGAGACTAGCATCCTCAGTGGTTCCGGAAGAAAGGCAGACATTGTGTGGGTATCAATATCGGAGGGGCTGTTATCGGGTTGATGGTAGACTAAGGAAGACCGTAGGATTTTAAAATGATTATTATAAGCGATTGATGACGGACTAAGCCATTCCCAGTAAGGCTGATGCAAAGTTAAACACCCACTGCCCGGGGCTGTCGGTCTTTGGGGCCTTCAAGGCTCCGTGTAGAGTGAAGTCAGCTAACTTGCTGTCAATTGGTACTGAATGTTTTCCAACAAAGTGGACTGCACAGTGTATGACTTTGATACTAGCTCAATACAGACTGCGGTATCAACAATAATATCATTTATCTAATTTCTATATTCAGTCGGGTGCACATTGATTAATCTATGAGCTCTTCAGTGAGCTCGTAGTTGCTGAGTGGCTTGTTCTACACTTGGCTGCATCAATGTAGCTTGGGGGCGATATCTGATGACTTGGCGTGATACTGTAGACTGACAGGCACTGGGGAGAGGGCCCTAATACTCACATCCGGAGCCGCTTGGAGCTTTGTGGTAGAATTACGGCCACCGAGTCTGTAGTGAGGATACGCAGCCTCGACAAGTATAAGTGCAAACGCCTTGTACCCCGAAGATATAAGAACGATCTCAGGAGAACTTCATCACCCTCACAAATCTTCTTCTTTTAAATCTTCGTCGCAGCCATGAGCTCATGCAATGGTAGCCCCGAGCCTGTCGCCATCATAGGAATGGGTAAGTCAATGCATCTCAGTTGGCCTCGGGACTATGAATCTTGTCTGACAACTCGACAGCATGCCGCCTCCCGGGAGAGGTCACCTCGCCATCAAAGCTATGGGACCTACTAGTTGAGGGGAGATCAGGTCAATCTGATGTTCCCCGTAACCGATTCAACGTTGATTCCTGGTACCACCCCGACAAAATGCGGCCGGGTAGCATATCAACACGAGGAGGTTACTTCCTTGGCGAAGACGACTCTTACCGTCAATTCGATCCGTTCTTCTTTGGGATCAATCCCAAAGAGGCTGCCAGTATGGACCCCCAGCAGCGAAAACTGCTGGAGGTCGTATATGAGAGCTTTGAGGCGGCCGGTGCTCGTCTCGAGGACGTTTCCGGCTCAAAAACAGCTTGTTATGTTGGAAACTTCACATGGGATGTTGGCCAGATGCAAGCCCGAGATATTAACCATGGTGCTCCATATCATATGACAGTATGTGACACTCTTCTTTTTCGATGACGAGTGAAGACATGAATATTGATCACTGAACCAATGTCCAGGGTGGCGGTTTGACAATATTGAGCAACCGAGTAAACTATGTGTTCAATCTCAAAGGCCCAAGTATGACAATTGACACGGCATGCTCCAGCACAATGTATGCTCTGCACCTGGCCTGCCGCAGTCTACAGGCTGGCGACTCCTCAGCTGCCGTGGTAGCCGGCACCAATTTGATCTTTGGAGTTGAACAGCAGATTGGAAGTGTGCGGCTCGGTGTCCTCTCCCCAACCTCGGTTTGTCACACTTTTGACGAGACCGCGGATGGATATGCGCGTGCGGAGGCTGTCGGATCTCTGTACCTCAAGACTTTATCCCAGGCTATTGCAGACGGCGACCCAATTCGCGCAGTCATCCGAGGCACATCGATAAATGCGTGAGTTTTGCGAGGATATGAATGTATAGTCCAATTGAGTGTCAATCTAACGTGAACAGCAACGGCAAGAGCCCAGGAATCAGTCATCCCAGTGCACAAGATCAAGAGATGGTCATCAGACAGGCATATGCCAGTGCTGGTCTTGATCTAGAAAAGACGGGATATTTCGAGTGTCACGGAACAGGTACCCCCGTCGGAGATCCGCTGGAGGTATCGGCCATTGGAAAAGTCTTTGGCGATGTGCGAACTGCCGATAATCCTTTGCTGATGGGGTCTGTGAAAACAAATCTTGGTCATGGAGAAGCAGCCAGTGCCATCTCTAGTTTGATAAAGACAGTTCTCTGCTTGGAGAAGGGGGAGATTCCTGCAACCATTGGGATCAAACGATTGAACCCTGCCCTAGACCTCCGCGACGGTCGGTTGCAGATCGTTCAGAAACTATCATCGTGGCCAACTGCACAGTCATACCGCCGAGCCAGTGTCAACTCATTTGGGTATGGTGGTGCAAATGCGCATGCTATTCTGGATGCAGTGCAGTCATATCTGAGTAGTTTGCGACAAAATATCCCAGCATCTCTCCCGGCTCCTGAGAACATCGTGGCGAAAAAGAATATATTGCTGCCATTTTCGGCCCACAGCGAGTCGACATTGGAGAAAAACATCAAATCTATTTCCGCCGACTTCCAAGATGATCTTTTCCTCCGTGACCTGGCACATACCCTGAGCGCGCACCGCAGCAACCACTCCGCACGGGCGTTTACTATCGTCCCTGGCGATTTAAATGTGGCTCAGCTCTCCGATTCGCTGAGCTCGGACAAGCTTACAACTGGAACTGCCATGGGCGCGTCTCCAAAGCTTGCCTTTGTGTTCACTGGACAAGGCGCGCAATGGGCACAAATGGGCCATGGATTGGCCCAGGAGTATGCCATAGTGCGCCGTACCCTGCAAAATCTGAGCGACATCATATCGAAATTACCCAACGCGCCGGAATGGAACCTCCTCGAGGCTCTTGCCCAGCCAAAGTCGAAGAGTCGCGTCAACGAAGCGGAGCAATCGCAGCCTTTGACTACGGCAATCCAGATTGCTATGGTTGATCTCTTGCGCTCCTGGGGGGTGAATCCGACGGCCGTCGTCGGCCATTCTTCTGGTAAGAGTACTGGCTTAATCTTGCCGAGCAAACGCTAATCTAGTTGAATAGGAGAGATCGCAGCCGCCTACACTGCCGGGCTCATTTCGGCCGCCGAAGCCATCATCATCGCATACCAACGAGGCGCAGCGACAGTGAAGAGCACACAGCATGGCGCTATGCTGGCTGTCGGCATGGGCCCCGAAGAGGTCGTGAAAGTCATCGAAGATATTCCGGATATTGGTATCGCGTGCTACAATGCCCCGGATAGCGTGACCCTTAGTGGCACGGATGAGGCAGTTGATGAGGCACGAGGTCGCTTTGCTCGTGCTGGTGTCTTCAATCGAAAGCTGGTAACTTCTGGTAATGCATACCACTCTCAGTTGATGACCGAGGCTGGAGCACACTATGAACAATCACTTCGGGAGTGTCTTCTTCCCAATGACCCCCCTTCGGCTGGCCTTTCAACGGTCACAATGTTCTCGTCGGTGACCGAGGAAGAGCTTCCGATCGTCGATCTCGACTACTGGAGGAGGAACCTTGAATCCCCTGTGAGGTTTGACCAGGCGACCCAAAAACTCCTCAAGGCGCGCTCGGAGGTAAATGTGGTGATCGAGATCGGCCCCCATTCGGCTCTGGCCGCGCCAGTCAAGGCAATCCGCTCGAAATTGGGCTATACCCCAGAGCGACTGGAGTATATGTCAGCCCTCAAGCGTAATACCGACTCGGTTGAAAGCTTGCTCAAGCTGGCGGGATCTCTCTTCTTGTCAGGATGGCCTATTGACCTCTCCACCGTGAATGCGGACGAGACAATGCACAAGGATGATGATGGCGCTGAGAGTATCCAATACTCGCACGGCGCTTTTATCAAAGACCTTCCCACATACCAGTGGTCCTATGATGAGGAGCTTCTTTGGAACGAAAGCCGTCTCAGCACAGACATCCGTTTCCGTTCATACCCTCACCACGACCTGTTGGGAAGTAGACTCCCCGGCACGTCTAATGTCTCACCGGCGTGGCGAAACCTCATCAACTTGGAGAATGTTCCCTGGCTCAGGGATCACAAAGTCGGTGATGATATTGTCTTCCCAGCCGCTGGATATGTTGCCTTGGCTGTCGAGGCTATCACTCAGATCCGCAATTCGAGTATCTCTGGCATGAAGGACGTTTACACTCTGCGTGAGGTGAATATCAAAGCCGCGATGGTGCTCAAGGACGGGCTCAGCACAGAACTGATGTTTGATCTTCGGGCTGTGCCTAGCCAATCTGCCACCTATCACTTCGCTGTGAGCACTTTCTCGCAGGGAATCTGGACAGAACACGCTACTGGAGCGGTTCAAATTGACAACGAGAGCACCGATGGTAAGATTGGCTGTCGCTAAAATTTAGAATCCGCTAACATTCAACAGATCGATTGCTGTGGCCCGATAACAGGAATGTCGGTAGTCGCGGTGGCATGAACAAGAGCAGTTATGATCGCCGTTGGTATTCTGCAATGGACAAAGTTGGCTTGGTTTATGGACCAGGCTTCAAGACTCTTTCCGACATTCGTGCTAGCCCGGATCACCAGCAGGCGACCGCGGAGGTTTCAGGGAGTGCCACCGAAGATTTGATGGGTCGCCAGTCACAGTACATCCTTCACCCTACTACCATCGACGCCTGTCTGCAGCTTTCAATTATCGCCGTTCATCATGGCAAGCCTGAAAGTCTCAAGAAGGTTTATCTTCCTGTCGCAATTCAAAAATTGACGATATGGCCGCAGAACAATGTCGGGGAGCTCCCTCTAGCAGCCTGTGGACGTGGACACCACCGCGGGCTTCGATCAGTTCAGACATTTATTGATCTTTCATCGCCAAACGAGAAACCGATTCTTCGAGCGGAGATCTCATTCTCATCGCTTGAGACAGCAGCCGTTGATGAAGGAACAAACAAAAGCCCACAGCCATACACTAGGTTGGTTTGGAAGCCGGACTTTGATCGCATGTCAAATGCTGAGGCCAATGTCCTGTTCCACGGTACTCAAGAAGATATTTCAACCTCCAGGCACTTTTTCTCTGCCCTGGAAGAAGTCACCAGGCTGGCAATTCGGAGCAGTGCGGAGAGGCTTCCGAGCGACCTGCAAACAGATAATCTGCCTAGCCATATGAATAAATTCCTTTCATGGCTGAAGGCAGAGGGAAGTGCTCTGTCTGTGAGTGAAGGGCACGATGGCTTGACAGGGAAAGGTCTCATTGAAAAAATCGATTCCATCGTCCGGAAGGTCGAGCATACTGTTCCCGAGGCCGCCATGGTCGCCCAGCTCAACTCTCGAATGCCAGAGATTCTATCTGGGTCTGTGGGTACATTGGACGTCATGGTTGAAGATAATCTACTGTCAAAGATCTACGAAGATGGCTTTGGTCAAGTTGGTGCTTATGCCAAACTGAGCAACATCATGGAGCTGGTGGCCCACAAGGACCCTCGCCTCCGCATTCTCGAGCTCGGTGCCGGTACTGGTGGTGCGACGAAGCCGATGTTGCAGGCCCTCCATGGAGACACCTCGTTGCCAAAGTTCGAGAAATATGACTTCACAGATGTTTCAAAGGCGTTCTTGGGAGTTGCGCAGGAGAAGTTCCAGGGCTACCGAAACCTGGATTTCGGGATTCTCGACATTGAGAATGATCCTGTTGCCCAAGGCTTTGAAGAAGGATCATACGACATTGTCTTCGCCTCCAACGTGAGTTTCCATTCTTGAAAATATTTGATTGAGATTTAGTTGACGTATTCCTAGGTTATTCACGCAACACGAAATGTTGCCTCATCCCTTGGCAACTGCAGAAAGCTCTTGAAGCCCAATGGCAAGCTCATTATCATTGAGACAACCAAGCAGCGACAAGTTACTGGCTTTATGCTCGGAGCACTGCCCGGATACTGGCTAGGTGCGGACGACGGGCGACCATCAAGCCCATTCCTGTCCAAAGCTCTGTGGCACCAGAGATTGCTCGATGCTGGGCTTTCGGGAGCAGACATAGTCCTTGATGATTACCCGGAACCTGCCGATTGTACCACTTTGATGGTGTCTCGCAATACTGATGTTGCCCATCAGAACGGCACCAACGGAGTTAATGGAGTGCATTCATCCAATGGGTCGACTCACGCCAATGGCCAGAACGGTACCAACGGAGCCAATAGATCAAATGGGGTGAATGGGTCCAACGGCAGTCATGCCCCAAATGAACAAAATGGCTTTAATGGGGGCAACGGCCACCAACCACCCCAGGTCACTCTGGTATGGAACGATTCTTATCATTTGTTTCTTCCTACTTCCGCTCGCTTACTGACTATGCTCGTAGCTATACCGCAACAAGCCCCAGCCGTTCCAGGAGAAGATTGAGCAGCATTATGCAAAGCTTGGCATATCAACCCGGTCAATGGCTCTGGAGGATGTTCCCTCACTGCTTGAGCATGATTCCCGGACCATCATGCTTGGTGAGTTGGAGGGCCCACTGATGGCACGTATGACTCCAGGCGAGATGCAGGCCATCCAAAGATTCACTCAACTGGCGGCAACCGCCATCTGGGTTACGAATATCGACGTGCTCCAAGGTCAAGATCCGGAAAAGTCTCTGGTATTTGGATTGGCAAAATCTATCATGACCGAACAGCCATCTTTCCATCTTTGCAGCGTGGATGTTGATATCGCCGATGGGCAACCAGGTCATCAAAGCAGTGTCGATCTCATTGTGGACACCGAGATTGCATTCCACAAAGACCCTAATGGTGAGTTAGATACAGAGTTAATCGAAAAGGACGGTTTGGTCTACATCAGTCGGTATGTGACCGATGATGCGGAGAATGCCAACTTCGAGCGCCACTTCTCTATCAAGCCGACTGCCACAAGCATTGTGGAGAGCGACACTTCAAATTATTCCCTTGAGTTTGAGAAGGTTGGGCGCCTGGATAGCTTCTATTTCAAGGAGCAGGCCCTGGAGTCACTCGGCGAGCATGAAGTTCTCCTAGATATTCAGAGTGCTCCCCTTGATGCTTTAGTATGTGGCCCTTTTCCAGTGTCCCCTTAAAAAAGGCCGAGCTCATATCTAACAATCTCTCTAGTCAATTCCAGCTCTCAAAGGGCAAACATCCTCTCCATGCTTCGGCCTCGAGATGGTGGGAACTGTCCGTGCTGTTGGTCCTCAGACATCGAGGTTGACGAAAGGAGATCGAGTATGCTGCTTCTATCCTCACCACTTCGATACGGCAATCATCGTGGATGAGCGTCACTGTGAGCTACTCTCAGTCTATGAGCGATCCGAGGACCTCATCAGCCAGATACACCCCGTTGTCACATCGCTGCATATCGTTGAAACGTTGCTGCGATTACAGTCCAAGGATCGAGTGCTGATTGACTGTCGCCACGCACATCTTGCCTACGTGATCTCGCAAGTCGCTCTTCTAACTGGATCCGATATCCATGTTACTTTCAACTCCAAAGCTGGACAGGCTCTCCTCCAACAGCTTGGCGACAAGGCTAGCTTGGTTGATCGTCAGGCTGTATTTCACAAAGCCTTGCTTGATACCTCATTTGATGCCATCCTAACCGACGCCAAGGGAGGTTATCAGCTACTCGGTAATTCCCTCAACCATGGAGGTCGCATCACCGTCTTGTCAAACGCTGTACCTGGTGATATGGCAAGTGCGGCAGTATCATTCCTCAACAAGGGCATCACTATCGGGGTGTTCGATCCTATTGATGGATTCGCAGCCGCGTCTCTCCAAAAACCCAGGTATGTCATGAAAGGTTCTATACTATACGCGAGACTAATAAGTATGTACAGTTCCTTAGCCAAAGCACTGGATCTTCTCCGTCGGAATGTCATCCGCCCTGTGCTTTCTACGCAGTATGACCTATCTGACTTTTCAGAGGCCATTTCTCATATCTCTCAAGAAGACTTTGTTGGAAGAGCGGTTCTGACTCGTGCGGCGAGCACAGTTGTTCCCGTGCACACAGTCACTGCACCATTGGTTTTCAACTCACAGGCTTCATATCTCTTGATAGGTTGCCTGGGTGGTCTGGGAAGAAGCCTTGCGTAATTATTCCTTTCTCTCTCCTTCAAAGATGGGAAACATACTAAAATTTCGAATAGGACATGGATGGTCTCTCGTGGTGCTCGTCATTTCATTTTCCTCTCTCGCAGTGGTGCCGATAAGCCAGAAGCGACTGCTTTGGTGAAGGAACTTGAAGAACTTACTTGGACGCAATACCCAGATATGACCGTACAGGTTGTTCGTGGCGATGTCTCAATCAAAGAAGATGTCAACAGAGCCATTCTTTGTGCCAAGCAGCCCATCAAGGGAGTGGTCCAGGCTGCCATGGTACTCAAAGTAAGACTATGGTTCCTATTCGATCCATCGCGAGCCACGGCTAACTTCAATTCAAGGATACACTTTTCACTGAAATGACTCTGGGTCAATTCAACCAGGTCCTCCATCCCAAGATGGTAGGCACAATCAACTTGCATGAGCTACTTCAAGGCCATGACCTCGATTTCTTCGTGATGACCAGCTCCGTGCTTGGCGCGATTGGCGCTGCCATGCAGAGTAACTACTCTGCTGCAAATGCATACCTTGACCACATGGCACGTCATCGCCAGAGCATGGGACTGCAGGCTACATCCATTGCATTGGGCATGATCCTTGACGTGGGGCACGTCGAAGAGCATCCCGAGGTGGAGAAGGCTCTCAAGCGAAATGGCATGTACGGGATCAGTGTCGACGAGTATCTCCTTATGATGGAGTTTGCCTGTCGCCGTCGTGATCTCGGCAGCGTCTCGAGCACCCAAGGTCCATTCAAGTACGATCCCTGTGCGTCTGCCCATATCGTTACTGGAATGGATCCTACTCGTGTCTCTCGCGCAGGAGGCAAGTCTCTCTGGCTGAAAGACAATCGGCTGCGCAATCTTGTTGCCGCACTTGGCGGTGGAAGTGAAGGGGATGTTCTTAACGCCGAGCAATCCGGAGGCGCAAACACCCGTGAATTGTTGGAGGCTGCCCGCGCCGAAGGAGGGGAGACTGCTGTCAAGTCTGTGATCTTGGGATTGATTCTAGCAAGATTCTCCAAGTTGGTTCTCTTGCCCGTTCAAAAGATTGACCCGGGCAAATCTCTGGCGCACTATGGGATGGACAGCATGATTTCAGCAGAGCTGAAGAGCTGGGCATGGAAGGAGTTTACAGTGGACTTGCCCTTTTTGGGGCTACTGGATCAAGGTCTAACCTTTGATGCACTGGCCGATCAGGTGGTGGCTCTGGCCGATACAAAGTCCAGCTGAATCTAGTAAATATCTAGAACGAGAATGCTAAATATTTCGAGGCCTTTCAGACAGGCCCCAGAAAACGCCCTTGACCTCGACAGTACCTAAGAGATACTGAGTCTTCAATACCCCAAATTCATGATCAACTCCATCGCTTGGACTGATGACTGCACTCACTATTCATTCTGTTGCTCCCACGGCCACCGGTAATCATGATACTAGCTTCCAGGCGGAGCCTAGTATATCAAGACTCTATCCAATTTACAGATATCAACGGAATCCTCTAGACCAGCCTCTACTACTGTTCATCGTCTAATTTACCTATTGCGGCTCTGGTGGTTGGATGCACACCAGCACGTGATGAGACAGGGATGTGATCCTTCGCCCCCAAAGTCAACGGTTGGATCACTCGGGATCTTTGATGGCCAAGAGACTAGCGGATGCAGGTAAGCGTACGGAGTACGAGTCTGCTAATCGCGTAGCGTTGCCTGATAATTCTTCTTGTTCTTGGCTTCACTTGGCGTATGCAGGGGGGTTTATACCAGGCTGGTATTTTACAGATGGTGGTCCATACCGATTCATACAGTACAGTACGGTCACAGCCTGTCACGCCTAAATTGCCTGTTTCGGCTCCGATTGGCCCAGAAGGGAAGTACAGATGTTTGGGATGGAAACACCAAGAGACGCCAAGCGCGAACGTACGGTGTATTCCAGCACTTGTCCCTTTGTCTGCCTAAATTGGATTTTTCCCCTTCCATATGCACTGTGCTCTTTTCTTACTCGCTTTTTTTCCTTTTCGTTCTCATTGGGTTTCTCATTGACCATTCACCCTCCGCGGCTTACTGGGTACTCCGTACTTCGTACATCCTTTGCTGCTCAGTACTCGCCATGTCCAAGCTATGGATTGGAGCCTACGCCCTTCTGGCCTTTGTGGCAGTTGTCGTGTTGAATCTCATCTACCAAGCCCTCTTCCGCGCATTCAACAAGACCAGGCCGCCACTGGTATTCCATTGGGTTCCCTTCGTGGGCAGCACAATTCACTATGGCATGGACCCGTATGACTTTTTCTTTACGTGCCGCGAGAAGGTAAGCAACCGATTGCGCTTTGGCAGCCGATGGGAGCTGATGGGATTTTTTTGATCTAGTACGGTGACATTTTCACCTTCATTCTTCTCGGCCGCCCCACCACTGTCTACCTCGGAACCAAAGGGAACGAGTTCATTCTCAATGGCAAGCTGAAGGATGTCAATGCGGAGGAGGTCTACAGCCCTTTGACCACTCCGGTCTTTGGGTCCGATGTCGTCTACGACTGCCCGAATTCAAAGCTCATTGAGCAGAAGAAATTCATCAAATTCGGTCTCTCCCAGGCAGCGCTTGAGGCTCATGTGCCATTGATTGAGAAGGAGGTTGTGGACTACCTTGCCATGTCACCCAACTTCCATGGAACGTCGGGTACCGTGGATATTTCATCGGCAATGGCAGAGATCACGATCTTTACCGCCGGCAGCGCTCTCCAAGGCGAAGAAGTGCGATCCAAGCTCACCACCGAGTTTGCAGTTCTCTACCACGATCTGGACAAAGGTTTCACTCCAATCAATTTCATGTTGCCGTGGGCTCCTCTACCACACAACAAGAAACGCGATGCTGCACATGCACGCATGCGTGCAATCTACGTTGACATCATCAACAAGCGCAGAAATGCCGGCGACAACGTTCCCGAGAAGCTCGACATGATTGGAAACTTGATGCAGTGTACCTACAAGAATGGTCAACCCTTGCCAGACAAGGAGATTGCTCATATCATGATCACACTGCTCATGGCTGGTCAGCACTCTTCATCTTCCATTAGCTCCTGGATCATGCTGCGTCTCGCCTCGCAGCCCAACGTTGTCGAGGAACTCTACCAAGAGCAGCTAGCCAACATTGAGCGCACGGATCCCAACGGTCCCTTGCCACCTCTTCAGTTCAAGGACCTTGACAATCTCCCCCTGCATCAGAACGTGATTCGAGAGACTCTTCGTGTCAATGGCTCGATTCACTCGCTGCTACGAAAGGTGAAGAACCCAATCCCAGTCCCTGATACCCCTTATGTCATTCCGACCTCCCACGTCTTGCTCGCTGCACCTGGAGTGACAGCTCTGAGTGACGAGTACTTCCCGAATGCTATGGCCTGGGACCCTCACCGCTGGGAGACCCAGGCTCCAGAGGAAGACAAGAAGGAGGACATTGTGGACTATGGATATGGCGCGATGTCCAAGGGTACTTCAAGCCCATATCTTCCCTTCGGGGCTGGCCGTCATCGTTGCATCGGAGAGAAGTTTGCCTACCTCAATCTTGCTGTCATCATCGCGACTATGGTGCGCAATATGCGATTCCATAACTTGGATGGCAAGAAAGGCGTACCTAACACAGATTACACGTCCTTGTTCTCCGGCCCACTTAAGCCAACACGAATTGGATGGGAGCGTCGGACAGCCAAGAACATTTAATCTTCTGCTCTTGTTGTCAATTCACCTTCTCTTTGCTTCCGCGGATGGCTATGGGGTCAACGCACATCCTCCTGGGAGCAAGATGAAGGGCCAAAATTCGCCAGAGTCTTTTCTCTTGACAAAAAGCCCACATAATTACGCTAATATTAATTGTTTTAATGAGATATTTTTTGCCTCCAGATATTTGCTGTAGTTTTAGTGCTTATCTTGTGCGATTTTCAAGGAATTGAACTTGTTACAAGATGTTCATCAATAGGCAGCCCCGGCTTACCCCGTCTTGGCTGATATCTGGGCCTCAGCTTTACGTACATTACACCAAGTATCGTCTAGTAAATTATCTCGGTGGGGGGAGGCTATGCATATGCAGTCAAGTGCAGAGTGAGATTCGCGGCCTTGGGACCCAGAGAGTCGGGAGGAATATAGGTGAGGCTTTTTTGGTATTCTATTTTCTATTTTATTCCGATATTCAATTTATTGAAATGGCTATTGCTCGAATAGGCGGAGTGTGTGACTTGCTGTGTCCGGTCAGACATGACTATAGCTGGAGACTATAAATTCGAAAAGTCACTCCGGCATGGACGGCTACAACCCTTCTATCTTCTCTTCCTCAAATTGTCCATTGATGTTTCCTGGTGACTCTCATTTTACTTCTCTCCACAATGACTCTTCAACCAACACCTGCCGATATCGGTGCTATGTACGATGAGTACACCAGCCTCTTCACCGATGTCATGGCAGGATTCATCCACGTCGGATATTGGGAAGACCCCGAAAGGCAGGACACAATGGAGGTAGCCACTGGACGAATGACTCAAGAAGTCGGCGAGCGACTTTCCTCCTCAAAGGGCCACCAAATCCTTGATGTTGGCTGTGGCACTGGTAAATCTGCCGTTCAAATTGCCACAGCGCATGATGTTCAAGTCACTGGCATCACCGTCAGCAACCACCAGATCGAGGTTGCTCAGAACCTGTACGAGAGCAACATCAAGGCTGGCCAAGTGAAATACCAGTACGCAAACGCCATGGACATGCCATTTGCCGATGCCACCTTTGATGGCGCCTATGCCATCGAGTCGCTGGTCCACATGGACGACAGACGGACCGCACTTTTGAACATTGCGAGAGTTCTTCGGCCCGGTAGCAAACTTGCTATTGCGGACTTACTTCTCGACTCTGATTGTCCTAACCCTGAGGCCCTTGCGCGATTCCACGAGCTGTTCCAGGTTCCTACTATGCCCTCTGGTGAGGAACTACAAGCCCTCCTCCGTGCGACTGGCTTCAAGGTCCTCGAGTTCACCGACATCAGAGATAATGTCCGACCTGTTTGTAAATTCCTGGAGCAAAAGGCTTTGTCACTTGGTGGCGAGGTTGGGGACAAGCTTCTGGAAATAGCAACAAGCATGGCAACGCTGAAAGAGCTTGGTTATGCATTCATTACCGCAGAACGCATATAGGAGCCAACCTAGCCTGGAGGGAGATATATATTTTGACTGAAAAGCGAGACAAACGCGTCAACATTACCCTTTCTGTGTACTTGAAGAATTTCCAACTTTGTAATTCATCCGCCTCGAGCTTTGACGAGGTTTCAAAGCCCCAAATCCATAGAATGATAGCCTTGGGGGCAAACGCAGCCTTTACCTAGGCACTACCTAGGTATTTTCCACTGCAGTAGACCAGGCTGAGCTTCAGAGGGCAACCGAGCAAGAAAGTGAAAAAGAAACTCTGAATTGGAGTTATGATGCGATAGCTGAGAAATATATTGTACATGCCAAATAAACAAAGATTACACTCAAATCTTACCACCGGTGATTTGCTCTCCGAGCTGCTTGACACGCTCCTGCATGATGTCCCAGCGGGCACCCTCATTTCTGTGGGTCTGGTTGACAAGGCTGTTGACAGTGGGAGGGTTGCCCAGGTTCCAGACGTTCTCACCGGGCTGGTGGTCGTTGCGCCAAGCCTTGTTCTCGCCCTCGGGGAAGACGCGGTCGATCTCAGCGGCAAGTTGCTCCTCAGTGGTGATGAAAGAGCGAGCATTCATATACAATTCTTGGAGGTCCGCTTTGCGAATAGCCTCTTTCTGGGCCTTCTTGGCTGCCAAGCGGGCTTGAGAAAGCGCAAGGCGCTCCTCGCGGTTGGGGTCAGGCAGAACCGGCTGCTTCTGAGGCAACATGGCCGCGATGGTCGAGGGACGAGTAAGACGCTCGTCTTCACGCTCGGGTTGTTGGAGAATGCGCTCTCGTCGGTCCTGGTTCTCACGACTGCGGCTGACCATCCTTCCTTCTGCGGAACGCTTGCGCGAGTACAGGTCCCGGAGACCCTCGCGCAGGTTTTGTCGGCGCAGCTCCGCCATCTGGAACCTCCATTCCTGCTTTTCGGGTGCACTGCTGAAGGGGTTCACTTCCCGCTCGGACTTGGGGGCGGGTGTGGCGGCATCGAGGTATGCTTTCTTGGGCTTGTCTGTCCGGCGGGCTGGGAAGATTTCACGGGGCACGGGTAGCGTACCACGAACATGAGGCCGGGTGGGGTTTGTGGGTTGAACGATCTTGGGGACATCGATGAAATGAGGGGATTCGGGTCCGACTCGAAGGCTGGAGGAGGTAGCAAATCCGCGGACCTGCACGGAGGCAGTCCGGCTGTTGCGAAGAGCAGACATGTGGTGGAATTCGGGGCCGTGGAATTGAGTAACTCGGGTTCACGGCTTGGTGTGACGAGGATACCGATGGTCAACCAACAACAGCACCAATTGAACAGAGCAGCCTGGCGATAACGGTATAATCAGGAGCAACGCGGTCAGTCGAAGAAGCGATTTTCTGGTTGGCCCGTGCACGCTAGTTCTTGGCGCCAAAAAAAAAACTTCCTTCGCCGCCTTTTCTCTTCCTTCTTCTTTTCTTTGCACTCTGCCATTCTTCGTGTTTGGTCTTGCCTCCGATTTTTTTTTCGTCAGGCACATACCTTTCTCTTCATATTCCTATCTAGTACTTCATCATGGGTACAGGAAAGAAAGAGGCCTCTCGTAAAGAGAGGCAGGGAAAGCCCAAGGATGGCATGGGCAATGTCAAAACCAAAGGTGAAAATTTCTACCGGTATGTACGTCCTCGAACAAATCACAAGTCCATGCTGACAATCATTTCACAGCGATGCCAAGAAGCTCAAGACCTTGAACATGTTCAAGGATGGCAAGGCTCGCCGTAATGCTCAGGGTGAAATCACCGTGTCGGCCAGTTATCAATCCAGAGATCTGCCCACAGCTCGCATCGAGCCAAACCGTAAATGGTTTGCGAACTCCCGAGTCATCTCCCAAGAGGCCCTCACCTCGTTCCGCGATGCCGTTGCCGAGCGTGCTTCCGACCCTTACCAAGTTCTTCTCAAGACCAACAAGCTCCCCATGAGTTTGATTCGGGACGGTGATGGAATCAACGGTCTCAAGCAGCACCAAGCTAAGATGGCCATCGAGACCTCCCCCTTCAACGATACCTTCGGTCCCAAGGCTCAGCGCAAGCGTGTCAAGCTCGGTGTTTCTTCGCTCGAGGATTTCGCCGGCGAGTCCGCTCGCTCGCAGGACAGCTACAGCAGGAAGAACGATGAAGGGTTCCACGCTGATGGAAGTGCGATCGTTCGCGGAGATGACACTGCCGCGGTCGAGGACTTGGGTCTTCTCACTACCTCTCGCGAGTCTGTCTTCTCCAAGGGTCAAAGTAAGCGTATCTGGAACGAACTGTACAAGGTCATCGATTCTTCCGATGTCATTATCCACGTTCTGGATTCTCGTGATCCCAATGGTACTCGTTGCAGAAGCGTTGAAAAATACATTCGCGAGGAGGCACCCCACAAGCACTTGATCTTCGTGTTGAACAAGTGTGATCTTGTCCCAACAGGTGTTGCTGTAAGTTTCATGATCCATATCTCATTCTGCTGCGTTTTCGTTCTTCACTTTTTTTGCTTTTCATCCCCCCGTTCCATCGCTAAGTCAAGGCCTTTTCCTGCGACTCATGTCGTGCATGACTTCGGTTGTGCTTTTTCTCAATGGAACTCCGTCTGTTACAGCTTTGGTATATTAACGCTGGCCCGCACCGAATTTCGTTATGAAGCTAGGTTGACTTGCTTTCGTCTTGAAGGCCTGTCGCAAGGGCCAGACGTGTTTTGTTTTTGAGTTGAGCTCTGCTTCTGCCTTTCTGGTGGCTTGATAGCAGAGCTCTTAGTAACATCCCACACATTCCTTTTTCAATGTTCACTCATTGCTGGTAACGGATTGCTAACTTTGCATCTCTACCAGGCCGCTTGGGTTCGCCATCTCTCTAAGGACTACCCTACTCTTGCATTCCACGCCAACATCAACAACTCTTTTGGTAAGGGTTCGTTGATTGCTCTGCTCCGCCAGTTTTCTTCCCTCCACTCCGATCGGAAGCAGGTCTCGGTTGGTTTCATTGGCTACCCCAACACGGGCAAGTCGTCCATCATCAACACTCTCCGTAAGAAGAAGGTGTGCACCGTCGCTCCCATTCCCGGTGAAACCAAGGTGTGGCAATACATCACCCTGATGAAGAGAATCTATCTCATCGATTGTCCTGGTGTCGTTCCTCCCAACATGAATGACACCGAGGAGGACATTCTTCTCCGCGGTGTCTGCAGAGTGGAGAACGTCGAGAACCCTGAACAGTACATCCCTGCTGTGCTCCGTCGCGTCCAACCTCGCCACCTTGAGCGCACTTACGGCATCAAGCACCAAGAGGATTACCTCGAGTGGTTGGCACTTCTTGCCCGCCAAGGTGGTCGTCTCCTCAAGGGAGGTGAAGCTGATCTGGATGGTGTCGCCAAGATGGTCATCAACGATTTCCTTCGTGGAAAGATCCCTTGGTACACACCCCCACCCAAGGGCAAGGGCAAAGATGGTGAAGAAGAGGAAGATGGTGTTGATGGCCGTGAAGGCCGTCTTGGCGAGATGCCTCGCAAGCGCAAGCTTGACGAGAACAACGAGCCTGCCGAAGATGATGAGGCCGAGTCTTCCGATTCCCAGCCCGCTGAGGAAACGGAGTTCGAGGGTGTTGAGAGCGATAACGACTCCATCGCCAACATCGAGGTCAGTGACGTCGAGAGCGGCGAGGAGGATTGATTGATCCATCCTCGACTCCTTTGGCACTTGTGTGCCTCCTCCAGCCCACGAAACAAAAAGGCATCATGCCGCCATGAGGCCAGCCATGCCCCTCTTGAAACAGACTTTGGCTGGTTCCTCTTTCCACCCTTGCCTCGAGCGGAGTTGGCTCCGACAGGGTCGCAGGCTACGCCATGCTTAGCCCTGAGACGTGCTTGCCACTCTACCAATCCGCGTCACCACCGTGGCAGGTTCGGTCATAGAACTGTACCAACATTGGGGCCTGGTGTATCCATCACCAGCTCCACCTCAGATACCCGATTCACAAGGAATCACCATGAATGAAAATAATTTGCCTGCAGCCCCGATGCCTTGTTTCTTCACAATTGATCGTAGCCCCAGCTCCGCATGGCCAAGTCGCCGTACTCACACCGAGTACTGGTTTCTGGCTCGACACATCGACATGGCCGACACTTGACCTTGAAAGGTATGTTTTCTTTTGCCCCTTACACCTTGCCTAGCGCTCCTCCGATCATATGATGAGAAAAAACAATCCGAAATTCTATGTGGATCAAACCTTTTTATTTTTCCAATTGTTCCTGCTGAGATCAACTTCACTTCTTGCTTGAAACCCAATTATTCTCTCGATCATACCACTGACTTGGAATAGGACCTTGCCAAGATGCTTCATTTGTCGACGCTATTTGCCCTTATACAACGGTTTGTCAAGCATGATCCCCGGTGCTTGGCATCTCGTCCACGGGTGTAATTGAATCAGACAACGTCATCTCCTCTATTCCACTTCATATTAGTGTAACCTGGAGGTTCATGTAGAAATAACTTGACATTGTTCCTTAATCGAATCACGTTTGAGGTCCACCCTTTCCCGTCTTCTCTTTCCACGGTGCCGGCTGCGCCAGAATAGGCCTCAGTGCATTATAATCCCGGCCAGCGGTCGGGACCATCCTCAGGAGATCAAGAACATTGAGTCCACTTCCAGGATCCCGAATCGTTGGATCAGCCCCGGCAGCCAAGAGGATTTCCACGACCTCGTAATTGAATCTCAAACTAGCTATCCACACGGACGTTGCCCCGACACGGCCACCCGGCGCATTCACGTCGATATTTGGATCCGCAAGTATGGACTTCACCACAGGAGCCATCCCGAAAGAGCTCGCATAGTACAAGGGGTGTGTGGTGTTAATCGTTGCCCGATCCTGTTCGCGCGAGGCGGTCTGTCGAAATAACGTCTGTAGCCATGTACCATAATTACCCCGGCCTGGAAGGAACCTTGTGTTGAAAAGCTTGTGGATCATATCCAAATCGCCAAATCCACACGCTGCACCGTGCTCGGGCCAATAGTTTGCAGCATATGTTAGGAAGGGGTGATTGTCCCGCATTGCCAAGTGATTTTTGATGTTGTATCCATGTGCGAAATTGTCGAGGCACAGGTAGGTCAGACACTTCTTCATAATCTTTAGATCTGCAGTTGTAGGATCGAGACAGAAGTAGTCAACTCTGGATGAGCGAATCCAGTCGGATGTCAAAAAGTCTTTGACAGATGCGTGAGCGAGGGTCACACAGCCTTCTTGGTCTTCTGTGATGAGGCCTTGACATATTTGGAGGAGAATGTGTGGAGGGACAAGCATCATATCTTCGTCTAGAACTTTGTCCGTCTCTTCCAAAACGACGATTTCGTTCAGTCGACGCAACGTCAGTGGTTTCTTCGCGAAGCTGATCCAGAAGAGAGCTTCACGAGCGATCTTCCAATCTGCGGGTGCTATTCTCCCCAGTGTGCTTGCGTAAGTTTCTCGCAGAGTCACTGGCAGACTTCGGAGTGCTTCGCGCATTGCTCGGATAGAGCGCTGGGTACTTAGGTTATCCAACGAGAGCTGAACCCAGCGGAAGCTGAAATATGTTAGAGCCTCAGAATATCATAGCCATAATCCACGGTCACTCACGAGCTATCTGCATTGCGTAGAAGGGTCTTCTCGATCTCCGATTGGAATTTCGGGGACAGGCTTCTGAGGGTCTCATCGGTATTGAGTCGCCATCGAATGAATATATCTATATCCCCGCGCACCTCTCTGCTTATGTTCAGAACCGATCCACCGTGGTGTCTGGAGACCAGTGTATTAGTAGTTGTGATAAGCACGCGGATATTCGAGCATGAATTCGCGAGCCTGACAAGGGATTCTTCGATCAGGTCCATATCGTTGCTTTCATTGACTGCGTCCACCAAGAGGACAACCTGCGTTTTTCGGGAAGCACAGTTCACAATAGCAGCTTCGAGAGTACTGATCTCCACCGGAAAGCGATGTGCTTGACTTTTCGGGACTTTGTTGTATGTAGACCTGATGTCGTCTAATATAGAGGGATCCGCACCAGACAACTGGGCCACGAGCGATCCAAGGACATTTCTCGCAACCTGGGATGCATGATCACCGATCGTGCAGTAGAAATAAGCCACGCATATAGATGGGTCTTGAGACGAAAGCGAAGTAAGCTTGTCTGCTGTCTGGGCACTAGAAGAGTCAGATGGCACAAGGCAGATTGCCAATGAGACTCACAACAGTGTGGTTTTTCCAGTCCCAGCTATACCATTGGAAGTCAGTGGAGGGCCGCCAAAGGAGACACGGTCAGTACATACATTTTCCCAGAAGGAAAAGAGCTCGATTTTCCTCTAGTAGAGGATTTTCTTCGGTCTTGAGGAACTCCATCAAGTGGCCCGACAAAAACCAATCACCAGTTCTCATACGATACCGCTTTGATACTCGCAAATGGGCGGTCTCTGGACTGACAGGGGCCATCCATTGCAGCAACTCTTTATTAGCCATCTTATTACGCTCGCGCTCCCGAATCTGCAAGTCTTCCTTCAAGGCGACCGTTAAATCATTGATCTCTTGTTGTATGCCTTGGTCCGCGGTGTTATGGTCTGCCATTAGAACCAATATCAACCAAGATTTGACCCTCTCCAGCTTAACGAGATGCTCATTAACTTGCTTTTGGGTAAATGGCCAATTGAGGTTCCGTTTGAGATGTTTGAATTTGGTCTCCGGTGTCTCTAGATCGGCAAGTAGTGTTCGAATAAACTCGTGTGCCGTGTACAGCACTCTTGACATCACGTCCCGGTCAAAGAAAGGCAACTCGGAGCTCTTCTCATCGCATTGGGCCTGCTCTGTTTGTGTCGCAAGATGATCCAGTATCCCCTTCAGTGCAAACACCTCTTCGCTGAGCCTCCGCACTTCGGAACTTGCGCTCTGCACGGTTTTCGCATATTGAACGAGGCTGGCCAGCACATGGCTGACCTCAATCACCAGACCAGTGATGGATATAGGGTCCATTGCAATTGCGACACGCACTCGGGCCAGTCCCACAACGATAGTTTTGTTGGAAATCCATAGTGGGATGTGTGCTGTCAGCCGCACGAGTATCCACCGAAGCACTAGCTCCGTAGTTCAATTGTTTCATCTTTCGTCACGGCCCAAGTTGGGCGATCGACACAGCATTTCGAAAATGTCACCGAGTGATCGTCTTGACTTGATTCTCAAAAACCTGCTGAGAGAAATCTGTCCAAGAAAGTGTTGTTGACCCAAGTTCCCCAGGTGACGATTTCATCTGTACTCACCGCCCGGCCAAACATCGTCATCGATCAGACCGCGTTTTCCTGTTGAACATGCCCGCCGACATGTCGATGGTCCCTTATAATGGGGGAAACCATGTTGTATTGTGAGTATGGTGAAGATATTGCTTGAAAATATGCTTACTGTCATAGGCGGCACAATGACTCAGTGGTCGTGTTTGATCACGATTCACAACAGCTGGTGCTCCGCAACACGTCAGATACAGACCATGGAGATATGGAGCTGACCAACTGCCCACTCTGCCACCGGCCGATGAATGATACGGGCAGAGGACAGCCGAGAGGGAATGAAGAACCAGAAGGCGAATTTGTCAATCCGAATTACTTTCGCATGCTCGACAACAGCCTCCCGAGCTCCGCAACCTCATCGTCTCCCCCATCTCCGCGCCGCCGTTTAGTGCAACCCGCACTCCCGGGCGGACCAACAAATCAAAGGTCTCCCGAGCCGACCTCAGCCCCACAGGGTATATCCTCCGCTGCGTTCAGTCCAGATTATTTCAAGAGATTCTTCGTGGAAGAGCGGGTGTTGGGGAAAGGCGGAAAAGGTGTGGTGCTCTTGGTGAAACACGTACTGGACAGTGTGTCGCTGGGTCATTACGCTTGCAAACGTGTACCCGTTGGTGATGACCATGAATGGCTGGAGAAGGTGCTTGGCGAGGTACAGCTTCTGCAACATCTCTCACACCAGAACCTGGTCTCGTATCGCCATGTCTGGCTCGAGAATGCCAAGATAAGCACATTCGGCCCCAGTGTGCCGTGTGCTTTTATCCTGCAACAATATTGCAATGCCGGTGACTTGCACGATTATATCTGTGGCAACGTGCAAACATCAACCACCGCGCAGCAACTCAAAGATCGCCTTCGCCGGAAGTCAAAGGGGGAACCAGACCCTCAGTCTGACCTGGGTGGACCTCGCAAACTTCAGCTTGACGAGATCTACTCATTCTTCCGTGACATCACTTCTGGGCTGCGCTATTTGCATGCTAGTGGGTACATCCATCGTGACCTGAAACCGAACAATTGCCTCCTTCATGAAACTGGTGATGGAATCAGGGTGCTTGTCAGTGACTTCGGCGAAGTCCAGCAGCAAAATGCTCAGCGGACGTCCACTGGCGCAACTGGAACGCTTTCATACTGCGCACCCGAAGTCCTCAGACAAGAGTACCCTGACGGGCCCTTCGGCAATTTCACCTTCAAATCTGATATTTTCTCTCTCGGCATGATCCTCTACTTCTTATGCTTTGCAGCTCTTCCGTATGCGAATGCCGACATATTGAATGAAGAGAAAGAGGATCTCGACCAACTTCGTGCTGAAATCACCAGCTGGGCTGGGTTTGACCATGCACGAGCTATTCGTCCCGACCTCCCCGAGAAGCTTTACCGATTCCTAGAGCGGTTACTGTCCGTTGATCCAGCCCGACGGCCATCTGCCGAAGAAGTTCTCAATGGGATTCAGGTCGGAGCAAACGCAAACGATAACTTCCGTTTCCGAAAGCCTAGCACGAGTTCACCGAGTCCAGACATGCCTGGTGCTCGAATTCAGCCCCTAGACCCTCGACCATCTACAGAGCGAACTCTCTCCCCCATCAAAAAGCTTCCCCGAAATCCAACATCCTTCCGGCGCGACTCGGGCTTTGGACTCGACTCGAGTCAATTCCGCAGCAACACAGCGCCTGTCTCTAACGCCGCCGAGAATACCTTGAGCACAGGTTCAGATCGAGACATCGTTGTTCGGCACCGTCATTCAACTTCACCACCAGTGCCTCAGCATTTGCATGACCAACCACCCTCTCCGCAATTCCAGCCTCAACCTATTCCTCAACACCATCTCCTTCCCCCGCCCCCAAGCCGCTTTCCTCTTATTCAGTCATTGATATCCTTCACTGTATCATCAACCGCTGTACAGACCGCCGTATTCTTTGTCAAGGTCGAATCCCTTCTGCATCCCTGCTCCCCACTGGCTGTGCATCCCTGGGTTCTGTACCCCCTTCTGCTCTCTGCGGCATTGACTTTGAGAACACGCAGTCTTCAAGTGCAGTTACTTGCTGCTTTTGTCCATCTGCTAGTACTCGGCCTAACCTACCACTTCGGTGGGCTTTGTGTTTGGCCTAGAAGGGGGCGAGATGAGCTCTGAAAATGCTGCTTTTTATGCATATTTTATTTTCGATTGTTCACCATGAATCATGCCTCGATACCTCTTAACGATTGAATGAACTTGTTTGACTTCTTCCAGCTCTGCTAGTTTCCTCTTTTTCTTCATCATCAGCTGCTGCTTCTTCTTCTTCTTCTTCTTCTTCTCCACCTTGTTTCTTTATTGGTGATCTATAACCCACACTACCTGTCTCACCAGGCCCGATACTCTCATTTTACGTAGCTATTGGAACACGCTATCAAAACAGACATTCAGTTCCGAGATCATTGCATCCAGCAAGGGTGGGATTTTGAGCACATTTGCGGTTCGATCACACAGTGAAGATAGTCCTGCATGCATTCCAAGGCAAACCATCTCAAACCCGCTCAATCCCCGCTCTTGCGTCGGGTCATGATTTAAACTCGTCATGATATTCAACTGCCAACTCAACAGCTCGAGACATATTATACAAAATTCCATCTCAAGTTCATTCGAGTCCACTATCCCACTATGTATCATAAGGCATGGCGGAACCCCATGAAATATTCCACCCATTTATATCACACAAGAACAACCCCAGAGTCCAAAGCATATCATTCGGAATCGGATAAATCATGGCCATCAGCAAAGAATCCCACGCCGTATGACATCCTCGGCGTACGAAAAGGCCAGCCCTACCACAAGAGGAAATATTACAATCTTGTCAAAGCATATCACCCAGACCTCAAGGGGTCCCCTCAGCTATCCCGAGAAACGCAAACGCACCGTTTTCGCCTCGTTGTATCAGCCCACGAGATTCTGTCAGATACCACAAAAAGAGCTGCCTATGATATGTACGGGGTCGGTTGGTCGACGCATTCCACCCCGACCCGCGGTGATCACCTATATCGAAGACCTTTCAACAGGAAATATAGCCACGAAGACGGACACAGAGATAACATCGACGCTTGGAAGTTTCTTTCGAAACATAAAGACCTCCTGCGACTTTTGGCTGTGATTTTCACATTTGGTCACATCTGCCTCTTCCTAGTCACTCTTTCCAAGGCGGAGATCGAACTGAACCGGATAGACAAGACTTGTCGGGAATTGATTCTGCATCGTCAGTTGCGCTCGCTTGACGCACCTCTCTTGTTGCAGTTGGAGCGTTTTCTGCTCCATAGAGACCCGTCTGGAATGGGACTTCGGCCGGAGGAGCTGGAGTCTTACCGTGCTGTGTCGCCTTTTTGCATGTATTGAGGATTTATCTTAATTTGATGTGTTTTATTTGACATTCATTTCCATATCACAAGGTAAGATGTAACTCCAACCCCATTGGACATTCTACAAAAAGTAGGAAATTCGATATCAAATCAAGGGTGCGTTGAAGACAAATATCACCTGGAATGTGAAACCTCCGTTCAGCCCCCTTCCTCGTGCCTCCTGATCAGCTTCTCCAATCAATCTCCTCTGGAGCTAATATTCCTATTCATGATGGTTTGAAGGTCGCATTCTACACTTGGGCCGTCACACAGCGACATTCGGAGTATCTATTGCACACCTCTAAAATCTCGGCCATCCTCAAGACCTTCCGGGAACAATTGAAAAACATGGCCATGAACCAGGCCATGGATCATAGCTCACATAATTCGAGTACCTCCAGTTCCATGGACATGGGAATGCCTTTTGTTTTCTCCACCGACACCAAAATCACCATCTTCTTCCGTGGGTGGACCACCTCGTCAATAACACAGTATGTCCTAACGCTGGCATTTCTGTTCATCCTGGCAATGTTGAACCGTTTTCTCGGAGCTTTGAGATCTCAAATCGAGCGAAGATGGTCTCATCGTGAACTTAATTTGCGCAAAGTTGAGCCCGATGGTTCAGAGAACCGACCGATGAAATCAAAGCGGAACGGACTCCCTGTTTACATGCAGGCCAGTCAGCGCTCTGAAGAATCTGTGTCCACGATCAAAGAAGAACCGCAGAGAGGTCGCTGTGCTTGGAAATCGAGCGGGGCTTGGGGTCTTCGTAAAGATGGCACGCGGGCAGTGCTAGAGCTTGGTAGGGCTTTTCTTGGTTATGTTTTGTGAGTCATTGTTCACCTTCATCTTAACAATTTGGCTAACAGCTCATAGAATGCTGGCTATCATGGGTTGTAACGTTGGAGTCTTTGCTGCGGTGCTTCTTGGAGTCTTTTGTGGCGAGTTGGTTTTTGGAAGATTCACGCAGGGAATGGCAAGGTGATGGAAGAAATTATTCATGTAATAAAATAGTCTGTTGCAGCATTTGATGTGAAAAAGATGAAGAATATGGGAAGAGTAGGAGCAGGTGAAATGATATCTCATAAAATTCGAATGCAATCACATACACAGCACCTCGATTGAAAATGGTAAGCGAGAGGTAATACCTACCCACCCGATCATGCGCTGCGAATGTAGCCTTGGAAGATATCAACTAGCAATCTGGAAAGACTAGCCACTTTCTCCTTCAGACGCAATACTCCACCTGTGGACGGGTTCCAGCGCAAATTTCCTATAATGACCAAGCCAATCGTCGAGGTATATTCACAAGATTGGAAACGGATCACAGTACCGAAGCCGTACCACCTCCGTCCTTGTTACCATGGCGCTCAGAGGGGGCCGGTGATGGGATCCGAATCGTGCATAATGTGGATCCTAGAATACACTCAGACAAGCGAATGATCATATGGGCTTGCTCGTAGTATACCTTCAAGTGGAACCATGATAGCCCACACTTCACGACAGTTGCAATCCGCTCCACGGATATGAACGCAATTTGCTAAAGGCCGGCCCGCTTTGGGCACCCTCTTCATCGGGCGATCATAGTGTGCACATTTAGAAGAACGATGACCTCGGATGCATGATTCACTGCCAGTTGGTTGAAGTGAGAAAATATCCAGTGTTGGCCAAGATGGAAGCTTTACCAAGACCATTTGTCGCCCTGGGAGTCGAAAGGCATTCTAGACTTGTCTTCTGGAGAACAATGAAATGGGTACGAGTAAATGAAATGAGATCCGCTTTTGGGCCTACTGGCTTGGCCTCTATGAGGCAAACCTGTTTCATCTAAAAGACCCAGGATATAGACAACATTTTCGCTCAATTCTGCTCAAACGGACGCTTATACTCTTAGTGTGATCTAATATATTCCAGGAAAAAGCCCCTTGCTTTCAGGCATTTGGGAGATCTTTCTGCTGCGCAAATTTCATCCTACTCCTGTCAGCGAGGCCTCGTAATAAAGGGAAATTGACTCAACTTGTTATACGTGGGAATAAGCGACAGGGGCCCGTTTGGCCCCAAGACACCATGTAAGGTCATCTGGCGAGACCCATGAACGCCAATAACCCGTATCTCCAAAGTTGCTCAGGAACACATGCATATGATACAGTTCGGTCCCGAGGTCAAGTAGCGAGTATAGATTTAAGTGTTCTTTTGGCTGAAGCAACCAGGCTACTATCATTATTTACCTAGGTAACCCCGGGAGACACCGAAAAAGCATTTAGATGAGAAAGTAGAGCTTCCCGTTGTAGCTCGTTGATTAAAATATGTAGTGACAATTTTCTCCAAGGTCCTCAACCACCTCAGCAGTGCGCCCACCGACTATCAGCAGCGATGCTTCCCAGCATAAAGGTTCCCAGCCAAACACCCGCAAGTACCGAAATAAAGTATCCGACATTCATCGTCATCACCGCCAACATGCTATGTCACTAGTCAGCACCTAGAGCTTCAAATATATGATCGGACAGACCGAATGGGAATACTCACAGTAAATAGGCCACACCTGCCAGGACCATTTCGAACGTTGCCCTTCCCGCCGCGGGGTTCACCCGCCATGAAGACCAGCGGTGACTGACCTCCTGCATGCTCGATCGTGCCCCTGAGAGAGTCTGAGGGGGTTTGCCCGCTTCGACGTGTGAATGTAGCTGAGGCATATGGTGGTGGTTACTGTCTGTCCAGACACGACCCTCGAAAATCGGTTTCAGGGCCAGAAGTACGCGCAGGATGACGGCCAGCACGATGATGAATATGCAAGTGCCGGCGTACTGCCCTTTTGTGTCTGGGGTCCATTCGGTCGAAAAGAGAGGTGTTTTGAAAGAGACGAAGAATGTCATTGCCATGTCTGCCATGCTCATTGACATACTATCCCCATGTGACATGGACATTGAAGACGAGGTTGATGTGGCCATCGACATGCCTGTCGACGTCGCTGTGGACATGGACATGGTCATGTCGGACATATCGGACATATCCATTTTGGCGGTTGATAGATGTTTTGATATGACAGGAGCCTGAGACGGATAATGTAGTAGAAATACGTAGGAAATTGGGGTATGACGAGAAGAAGAAGGCCGAGCAGATACCCAAAGCAGGAATAACACGGCCTCTCCCGAAAGTCCACATGGGTCGATCTCCACAGCCCACGCGTCCGAGCAAAGGAAGCGATTGGTCGGACCACAAAGCAGAATGGGTCCGCTAATGCGGCTGTATCAAAACCTTCTCATTCTTGCTCAGGCTAACTATGCCCCAGCCAATGAAAACATGCTCTCTGGAAACTCCGAACAAACGATAAGCTTGAACACCTCGAGGCAATTTGAGCACAGCGTGACCCATCAGCCCAATCATTCGATCCGAAATTGCCGTCAAACGTCCATTGACTAATCCAGCCTATATCTATGGACGGAACTCCAGGGCTGCTTGGGAATTGTCCGACTTCACATCTCTCAGGCACTGCCTACAACCGCAATCATGCAGATGTCAGGCCCCATGAAGATGGTTCCATTCCTGAGCCAACCCGTCATGTTACACTCAAATCGGGATCCGGGGAATTGTACCATGACACCGGAGCAATGCGCTTACAAGTTCTCGTACTGGGTATTTTGGTATGAAGCAGATCACCGCTATGCCCTGCCAACAGTGGCTTTCTTTCTTGTTGCAATCATCCTATTCACACTCGGGAGAGTGATCTCCAATGTGACGCCTCAGGGGCTGAAGCGGAAATCACTCTGGTCACGGCTGGTGGCTGGCCTTCGATTCCTCTCGTACAAGAGCTGGAGCATTCGGGGATGGAAGACACACTCTCTGGGGGCTTACTTGCTCGCAGGAGCAGGTGCGGTCTTTTTCCTGGGTGAGTCCATATTTTCAGAGCAACTACCGTGATGAAGAGTAACTCACACTGGATTGTAGCAATGACCCTCGGGCCACGTCCTTACTACTGGCCCAACACGAAAGAGCTTAGTTTTGGAAATTCTCCTCCTATTGCTACCCGTGCTGGGTTCCTGGCTCTGGCATGTTTGCCTTTCTTGATGTAAGATGATCAACTCCCTGAGCATTGAGCCCTAAAACTGACACAATTCAGTGTGCTAGGTGCCAAGGCAAACCCGATCACCGCGTTGACAGGAATCTCCCACGAAAAATTGAACATCTGGCATAACTGGGTCGCCTGGGCGATGTTTATTCTGGCTTTGGTCCATACTTTCCCTTTCATTGTCTTCCATATCTGGAAAGGCGACTTGGTGGCATCGTGGAGCGACGGTGGTGTCTGGGTCACTGGTGTTGTTGCCCTAATTGCCCAGGCTTGGTTGACTTTCATGTCCATTCCGTGGATCAGGTACGATTCGTTGCTTTGCTGACATGCTCCCTCATTTACCTCTACATCTACTCACGCTAACTGATTTGTCCTAGGAATCGGTACTACGAATTCTTCAAAGCAACCCATCTTTTCATGGCCCTCGTCTTCGTCATCTTTTTCTTCCTCCACTGCGATTTCCGAATGTCCTCGTGGGACTACTTCATCGCGACCGCAGTCATGTATACCCTGTGCTTCCTCTACTCACAGTGCAAGACTTATATCGAGCATGGATTCAGGCACAAGGCCAGCTTAGTCCCCGAGACTGCCGACACTCTGAAAGTGACTATCGATACCAAAATGACCTGGTCTCCAGGTCAGCACATATTCATTCGGTTCTTAACCTGTGGCATGCACGCACTCACAGCTCACCCATTCACCATATGCTCGGTACCTTCGAAAGACCATAATAACCAGCTCGTGTTCTATGTCAAGCACCGCGGCGGCTTGACTGGACGACTCATGAAAATGGCCGAGAAGAGCCCCGGAGTCAAAATTCCTGTCATGTTGGAAGGACCTTATGGCGGCATTCCGGATAAGAACATCGATCAATTCGACAAGAGCCTTATCGTTGGAGGCGGCGCTGGCGCTGGCTTCACACTTTCTCTGCTTGAGAACTTCATCTACCTCACCAGCTTCGAGGGGTACAAATCTGAAATGAAAGTTGTGGTCGCAACACGCGACCCAGGAATGCGAGCGTGGTTCATGCAAGCGGTGGAAGACATTGCAGCCAGGCATTCCCGATCGGGCATCATTGATGGATTATCCATCGACATCCATGAAACGCATCATGAGCAAGGCTCGGAGACGGCTCTCGACACAGTTGTACAACATCCCAAATCGGAGAAGGACACCCTCGATGGCGGAGAGCGCAGTAATATTGAAATGCTGGGGATTCGTTTCTTCACTGGTCGCCCAAATCTACCGGCGCTCACTCGGGAGTTTGCCAGCCAGAGAGACTCCTCTGTTGCTGTCGTGGTTTGTGGTCCTGCTTCTATGAACCATGACGTTAGTGAGGCTGCTGCTGCGGCGCAATGCAGGATCCTCGCCGAGGGAGATTGTGCTCGAGAGGTCTGGCTTCACACTGAAAGCTTTTCGTAAGTTCGATCCATCATGTCTCATTCTATAGCCTACTGACATTCACCTAGATACTAAGCATTCCCTCGGCCGCGATATTCCCAAGCGCTGGGTTATTTATCCCAGGGTAGACCTTTTCCAACTTGTTTTGTAATTCGATAGTATTAATCAGTTTATACCCAGGAGAAAGAATGCCATGCTCTTGGCTTGATGTGCGATTCAGTTCCAAGGAAAGAGCATATGGGGCTCTGCCCTACTGATCACTCCAAGGTTGTATTTCAAAGTAAAACATATGGAATTTTTCACCTAACACTTTGGCAGCATCTTGTCAGCTCAACCTTTAAAGTGTGGCTGACCTTATCACTACTCATCACATGCCGGAGAGAATCGCCGAGCTAGTGCGCATGAGTGGCGCCTCAGAACTGGTTGCGGTTGGTGTAAATAACCTGCGGGTGCCTTGCTACCTGAAAAATCTGGCAACTATCCTCGGTCCAACTGAGGCGTGTGGCGTGGCTCATCTGTTCATATTCCTGCCCTACGATTCGGCTGGATCCCGCTACCCCATAAAAGGAACGCATTTTCCGATGACTGCAGCATCTCCAGAGCTTGGAACACCAAATTTTCCATTTGCCTGGAGCTTTTCCAAGGTTCCTTTTCTCTTTTTTTTTAAAAAAAATCTTTACTCGGGGGGTGGATTGGGACTTTGTTTGTCTGCTTCACGCCTGTGGTGTCGTATGCGCCTCGTCCCATGTTAAAGAAGCCTCTTGGAAATGCGTTAACCCCGGGGAACTGTAATTGCTGGATTTCCCCTTTCATGCTCTCTCTGCTTTTTGATCTCGCAGTCAAATTTTGATTCAACATGTCATTCGGCTTCTCAATTGGGGATATTATACTTTGTAGTCAAATCACCCATCGACTCTTTGTTGCAGCAACCTCAGGTCGAAAAGATGCACCTCGCAAGCTCCAAGAATTGGAGCACATCCTATTCGGTCTGAACTGCTCCTTGGACCATTTACAAAAGGCTTGCCAGGCGGGTCTGTCGAATTCGAACAACGATGTCAACATGCATCATCAACTAAGAACGATGCTACTATCCTGTCGCCGAACACTAGAACAGTTGGAGACCGTGACGGAGCCCTACCGGCAGGCGACGGAAGATCCTGTCTCTACTCCAATAGACATCAAACACCCTAGGAAAGCTTCGCGAGAAGTTATCGCCCATGTCAAGATCCATTGGCGGAGGTTCCTTTGGGACTTCCAGGGAGAGACGTTGAGTCAATATCGATATAAGCTTCAGTCTCACACCGATTCAATCAATCTGATGCTGGGGTCGTTGATTTGGTATGAGCATGGCCGTGGTTGATCTGACTCGTTTCACCTCTAACACATTTGAAGGTCCGCGACTCATCGTATCGAAGAAGATGGACGGCGGCGGGATGAGAGAATGGAGGGATTGTTGCATCAAGCATCACATCACAACAGTGCATTGTTTCATTTGATATCGAGCAGTCATCATTCCACGAAGCCTCGTCGCGCATCGACACTTCCCGATATATCGTCTCTCCCGATGTCGTCGTTGCAGTTTGTCTCGCCTCTATATGGGAGAGCGTAGATGCCACCTGGAAAGAGCGAGAGGGGTGCAAGACAAGACCAACTCTACGGGGCTCTTATTCAAAGTCATTGATCGGAATAGGTTGTCAACGGCGTTATTTTGGTAGATAGGCGTTTGCATGTGAGAATGAATATAATGATACTATATGAAACTCGGGACACATCAACTGATAAAATGTCGAGCGAGAAAAAAATAAACCGCATTTCCACCTGTTCGAAACACATGTCAAACCGAATCAAGAAGAATAAGCTCGTAAGTGCAATGAACCTCCGAAGAAGAACGAGCACAATACAAACAAATCCGCAAGAAAACAGCCAAACAGAGAGACGAAGGATATGCAGCCAGAGAAGCCCTCATGTTGATCTAGGACTTCAGTTTATCCAGTGATACCATGGAAAAGGTATGCACCTTGCCGTATTCCCGCAGATTTGCATCCACAGGAAGCTGAACTCCAGTTGGTCGAAGAAGAAAGGAGAAAGAGAAAGAAAGAAAGAAAAAGGGGCAGGGGAAGCTTTTATAGGACTACGCAAACAAACAAGACAAACGCCTTCGGATTTGGTGTGCAAGCACAAGTCTATATGCAATCATTCGTACAGTAGCTGGTCCACATCACGATATATCTTAAATACTTAACCGAGCCGAGAAGCTTTGAACTTGCTCACTCGCTTTGGTGGCTCTTCTGGATCGGGTGGGAGAACCTGCTGATCCTCTTCCGCCTGCGCCGGGTTCATGCGCTGTTGCATACGGAAGAACTCCGACGCAATCTGCTTCTGATGGAATTCTTCGTCGTAGTGGTCGATTTCTGGAGCCTTTGCGGTACCTGATCTGACCTGCCTTTCAAGGACGTTCTCGGCTAGAGTGCGGTCTTGAGGCGGCTGGGGTGTCACAGGCTTCTCCACGATATCCATGATTGGCGCAGAGAAGGGCTTAGGCTCTTGGGGTGTTGCAGGGAATAGAGCGGGTGGTGCCGCGGATGGAGTTGTGTTTGCTTGTTTGCGAAGACGAGACTCGGTGACTTGGGAGGGGTTTGCAAACGAGGCTCCGGTGGTCACAGGTTCGCTAGAAGCTGGAGCATTGCTCCTGGCCGCCTTGAATCGCGAGGTCTTCTTGGGAACAGAAGGAGTGCTGGAGGTTTCCGAGTCTTGAGGCTTGCTTGTGCGTTCGACGATGGCGTCAGCGAGAACAGGTGGCTCATCTTGTGGAGGGCTGGTCTTCTCGGCTGGGGCCGGGGGCGCCTGGGCTGGTGCAATGTCAAGATCGTCTGCGAAAGCAACGCGCTTCTTCGGCTTCTTTTTGGTGGATGACTCATCCGGGACCTCAGGAGGATTCTCGATATCTTGCTGCACCTCCTCGGGGAAGGTTTGGGTGTCTTTGCCCATGTTCATCAGGCCTCTGGCGTTGAGCTTTGCTTCCAGCTCCATCATCTCTTTGTGATAATCCGCCGGAAGGCGAGTGCGAGACCTGCCGTGTTCGTCCTCATCTTCCTCGTAATCATCATCATAGTCATATTCTTCGTCGAATGAAATGTCACTCCCAGACTCGTCCATTTCCAGTTCCGCGACGATAGCGCCAACCTCGTTGATTCCATACTCGAGCATTTCGCGGCGGAGTTTGGCTTCTTCGAGAGATTCGTCCACATCAGTGACGGGCGGTTGCTTGCGATCTTCATCGGTCACCAGAGACTGGGGCTGAGCAATTTTTATCTCGTTCACGGGGGCACCATTCGACTGAGGGACTGCGTTTTCGCCACTGAGGGCCTGTGCCTGTTTCTCCGCTGCCTGCGAGGTTCCTGGCGTTCCAACTTTTTCCTCGGCCTTGGGCTCAGAGGCAGCAGGCTTCTCCTGGGTATCATTTTCCGAGATGTCCTTGACACCGGCCTTTTCCAACATTTGGAGCAACTCCGACGCCTGATTACCGGGAGCATTAATGGAGCTTGAGACGACATTTCCATCCTCATCAAGCTCCTCCATGATCTCCTGCATTGGGAAATCCGCTCCCTTTTGCGCCGAAGGCAGATCGTTCGTGTCCAGATCGTCCCGCTCATCTTGGGCCTTACGCAGCCTCTTTTCCATGGTCGAGACATTCTGCTTGACATAATCGATTCTCCGCCCAAGAAGATCAACCACCTGACCGCGAGATCGTGTCACGCCCTGCGCCCCGAGTATCGTGTGCATTTCCTTCTCGTCTACCAAGGTGCCGCCGAATTCCGAAGCAACGGCGAGGAAATCTTCGGTGGAGGCGTCATCATCAAGATTGCTGATTTCTTCGCGAACACCATCGTACTCGGCTTCCCAGGTGCGCCAATGGTATAGCGATTTCTCGAGTTGGAGGATGTTTTCTTCGAGAGTAAGGCGCTGCTGCTCGAGAGCGTCGAGATTATGATTTGGGACTCCCATTATTTGAATGAGAGATGGGCAGTGACCACTACAGCTGACACTCTGAGTGAAATGAAGGAGACGAAGAGCGCGGAATCGTCGGCGGCGAAAAAAAAAGTCGCAAAAAGCCGAGTCGGGTATCTGGTCCGTGCGCGAGATTGCTTATCAGCCTCCAGGCTCAACTCCGGAGCTCTTCTTTCTCCAACGCCACTCTATACTGACCATGGCCGCAAATGCGATGTCCCGTCGGGATGAAGACGGTAAGCTATTCCATGACCCTTAGAATAAACTGGACTAACGGCATGCTATTTCAGAGGTCTGCCCCGTCTGCAAGTCCTCGCGATACCTCAACCCGGACATGCGGTTCTTGATCAACCCGGAATGCTACCACAAGATGTGCGAATCCTGCGTGGACCGAATCTTCTCATCTGGCCCAGCCAACTGCCCAGTAGCTGGATGTCGAAAGACGCTACGCAAGAACCGTTTCCGCACTCAAACCTTCGAAGACATCAATGTGGAACGCGAAGTAGATATCCGTCGGCGCGTAATGCAGATGTAAGTTCCTGGGCCATCATCAGAGCAAACCCGACTAACAAAATCAAAGCCTAAACCGCCGCGAAGAAGAATTCGACACAAAACGAAACTACGACGACTTCCTCGAACAAAGAGAAGAGATAATCGCAAACCTAGTAGGCCGAATCGACGTCTCCAAGACCGAAGCACAGCTCCAGAAATACGCATCAGAGAACATGGCATCTATCCGCGCAAACCAAACCCTGGAACAAGAAGAGGCCACATCCTTCCAAGCCCGCATATCTCTCGAACAAGAACAAGCCCGAATTCGCAGACAGGCCGCACGCCAAGAATACGAGATCGAGCGCCGCGAAGTCCAAGCCGGCCGCGAAGACTTCCTCACTCGACTGGCCTCCGGCACATCTGGAGACGCAGCAGCTATCGCGCGCGAAGGCCACAAGGTCTTGTTGAAAAAGTCCTCTGCACGCCGCAGTGAGGAAGACCGAATCCGGCAGAAACAGGCTGCTTTGCGCTCCGAACCTGCGCGTGGAGCGGGAGTGTCTTCTGCTGCGGATACGGGACTTGTTAAGGGTTTGCGGAAGATCAAGACTCCCGAGCCGGAGAAGCCCTACGATCCGTTTATGGGGTATGTGCCCGAGAAGAGGGATTACTACTCTCTTCAAGAGTCATATCCTTCGCAGTTCCTTGATAATTACCGCAATAACATCAGTGTGCTGGCTGGTGGGTATGATCTGCGGGAATACTACTCGCGGACGTTGCTGGAGGCCTTCGCGGGCTTGAGCTGCTTTGTTGATGAGGAGATCACGCAGCGTGATGCTGCTCGAGCGTCGAAGCCGGTGGCTACCGAAGGTGCTGCTATTGCTGCGTGTCAAAGTGGTACTGAGGGTTCCACTTGATCATATAGACTTGGGGTAACTAGATCATTGACATGCATCTACGGATGGTGTTTGGTTATAATTCATAGCGATGGCGTTTGGATTTTTCGGCCGCGGTACCGGCCTCACTTGACTGTTAGTACCTAAAAACATTGCCGTTGATCTGGAATATGAAACAAGGTTGTTACAGCAGAAAGAAATTATTGCGATCCTGATAAATTTCTCGATTTACGTACACAGGCATGTTGATCCAATTCAAGGCCATACTACGGCCACAATGACATTTGAGTATCGCTATCCAACAATCCATTATTCAATCCAGTAAAAATAACGCAGATTCAACCTGACTCCAGTAGTCAACGCCAACACCAAAGTGGTCAAAATAATAACAATCGCAAATTAATGCGACGTACAGTACAGATCAATGTCCAAGAGAAAGGTGGCCAGTCATCTCGCCAGTGCTTTCAATGCCTTCCCAGGGAAGATCTTCTTCCTCGTCCAAGTCAATCTGGCCGTGACGAGAAGACTTGTCGGTTGTAGCAGTGATATCGGCGTGACCAACATCAATTCCAATAGACTCCAAGGTCATTTCCATCTCTTGCTCCGTCATCTCATGACCATCCTGCTTCTGGCCCTCAACGACATCATACAGCGAATAGATCTGATCAGCCTTCATGTCAATGTCCTTGAAGAGCTTGTCGATCTTTTCTTGCAAGGTCTTGCGGGGGCGCTTGCCGAGAGATGCATCAAGCTTGTTGTAGGCGGCTTGGTAGGTAGCAAGCTGCATTTTGAGGTGAGAGAGCTCGTCCTCGAGTCCCTTGAGAACAGTGGCAAGTGCAACCGCTGGGGGTTGCGAAGGGCGAATAGTGGGCTCGGGGTTGTAGACTGATGGCTTGGGCATACGTTCTGAGACAGGAGCCGGTTTGGGAACCTTGACTGGCTCATGGTTGCAATCCTTGGAGTGACCCGCGCAGACTGTGCAGTTCTTTCCACTGTGCTGAGCGATATTGTCCAAAGCCTTCTGTGTCTCCTGTGGTAGCTTGGATGGATCGTTCGCGGCCAAGTCGACGTGATGAAGAGTGATGTCAGGCAGGATGAAGGCCGATGTCATTTCAGGGACATTTCGCTGCTTCTTGCGTTGAGTAGGGGTTGGCAGTGAGTGGTCTGAATGACGTCGAGTGCGCTCGGGGATTGGCACTGAAAGGCTGCTGTCTACCTCCACGTTGGCTTTGGAGGCGGTGGTAGTATCTCCAATGGCTGACGCTGGGCGCGGAATCTCTGCTTTGCTCTCACGAATGGAAGACTTGCGTGGAGCTGGGTTCTTCAAAATGCTCTGTCGAGTTGAGTTGATAGTTTCAGTAGGGTTGGTATCCTTGGGGTTGCTAGAGCGTCGCTGCTTTCGAATCAATCTCTCTTCCTCCAATGTTTTGCGCAAGCGAGCAATTTCATTTTCGTCAATGAGGCTCAGCAAAGTGACGTCGCCTGTTTCAGAGGAGGCCTTAGTTTGATTGGACACTTCTGGCTCAGTGGTATCCTCGAGAACCACTCGCTTCACGCGCTGCTTGCTGGTGTTTGGTTGTTTGCGAGTGCTCTTCGATTCGGAAGAGCGAGACGAGTGGGGCTTTGGTTTAGATGCAGAAGTGCGTCTGGATGATACTTCAATAGAGAAGAGGGCATCATCAGCACGTTCTTTCTCGAGTCGAGAGATCTCCCTGTCGACTTGGGTAGAAACTTTAGCGCGGGAGTCATCCTGGCGCTTTGTCTTGGTTTGCGAACGGGCACTCTTCGATGTGAGATCCTTGGTGCTTCGGCTCATATCTCCGCTAGGCTCAGTGTAGACCTGGCTTTCATCGGCATCAGAGCTAGCTTCGGTTTCGGCAGTATCCTGTTCACGAGATCTGCGGCTTGACAATTGCCTGATGTGAGACTTGAGCTCCGAGTTTTCAACCTTCAACTCTTCGTTCTCTACCTTGAGTTCTCGGCCCTCCAAATAGGCGGCACCAAGTTGGGTGATAGCAGACTCTCTGTCATGATTCAAGCGCTTGATGGCAGACTCCTGAACTTGGGCCTTCCGATCAGCAATGTCCAACTGGTTTTGCAAGGCCAGGTTGGCGGCTTCCAATTTTTGATTCTCTGCTGCCAAGCGTTTCGATCCCTTCTTATACTCATTATCTTCTGAATCATACTTTGTTGACTGACGAGGCTTGCTCGACTTCAAAGTGGCGTTCTCTTGGCGGTAGCCGTCCATTCGCTTCTCTGCATCGGATTTAAACATTTCCAATTCTGCCACTTTGTCCTGAAGTAGCCTAAGGTGAACGAAGAGTGCCTTTTCATCCTCGGGGACTGGGACGGCATCCAGTGGCATGTGTTCGTGGGGTTGAGAGACATCAGTGTTGTCATGGAGCGGTGAGACGAATCGAGTAGAGCGCATCTTGCCCTGGCGCGAATAAACGGGGGTGCCATCTTCGTAAACACCAGAGACAAGTTCGGAGATATTAGGGAGGTCGGGGAGGAGGAATGATTGGTGGGTCATAGTATCGCCAACAATGTTGGCATTGGCATTGCCTTTGCGGGGAGTTCCAGAGTTGGATGTAGATTTCCGCATTTCTTTTGCGTACGCCTCGCGCGAGGCTCTTTCAACAGCGTCGGCAATTTCTTGTGAGGTATTGGCGTTTCCAAACCGTGTAGAGCGCGTCTTCGTGGTAATAGGGGCAGGTCGTTCATCTTCCAGGAATGAACCCTCATAGCTGTCTCGAACCTTGGCATGCATGTCGGAAAAGGTGCGACGCTGGTCTCGTTGAGTCTTGGACACCTGAGGGCTCATGGTCTCCTTCTGTGCTTGGGTAGCTCGGCGGACTTGAGCGTTCTTCCGTAGGTTTTCACTGGCTGCGCGACGTGACGGACGCGTTGTTGTGGTTTTCTGTGGTGTGGGGTATTCGACCCGGATGGCTGGTGAAGAGGACCGTACACTGTTCTCGAAGCTCATCATAGAGTTTCGCGAGTCGTCGCGTTTTTGATCGGCGGCACCGCGTCCCATTTCGACCGACATTTCGAGGTCGCTGTGTGAGAGGTCTTCCTCCATTTCTGGTTGTTCTTCCTCTTCTGAGGTCTGTATTTGGGAGAAATCGGGGAAAGCACGGTCGAGAGTGGAGGTGTCAATATCGTAGTCGAGCTCCTCGTCGACGCGACGCGTAGAAGTGCCCATTAATTCGTCGTCCATGTTTGTGAGGGAGAACGAGTCATCATTGTATGCCGAATGTCTGTTCATTGCAGGCATATTGGGGGAGTTGTGAAGTTGGAGGTTTGGGGAGGCTGGTTTGTTTTGGAGGAAAGTCGGAATGTTTGGGTCGCGTCTCGGCAACCCCGGGAACCCTGATTGGCCCCTGCTCCCCACTCCCGAAGTACAGAAGCTCATTGTTTTGGTAGGTCTTGTTCAGTCTTCAGATGTTGCAGATGGTTTAATATCTCTCGTGGAAGATAAAGAATTGAACTCTCACTGCATCATGATCTGGCGCGAATATTGCTTTCGGCTTGAGTTTGAATAGTCATGGATATTACGTGGGCTTTATTCTCTACCTAGTTAAAACCCAGGATTCATAATCTTCGATTGTAGTACGGAGTATTCGGCAGAGCAAATTCTTGACATCTGCTTGTTCGCTCTATCGTTGTTGATAGTATGATGCCTAGGTACAACCTTGGAACAGGCACAACATATTACCAACAACGCCCTTCCAATGCCCGCTGATACTAACCTTGGAACCTTGAAAGACACCTGGGCACTACCCTAGGGTAATCAGCGGTGGCAGCCAGGTTTCAGCGTGTTCAAACCTGTATCTACTATCAATGTTATTATATTAATTGTTAATTAAAAAATGGAAAAAAGCAATTCAAAGAATCCTAACCTTCTTTTGCGGGTCACCCTCGGCCAGGTCCAGATATACCAGCAGTTGCGAACACACCCGTGGACGTTTTGGGGCCATTGATTAATCGCGGCTAACCCGGGGAGTTATTCACCGAAGTAATGAATTTGAAGAGTTGGGCTCTCCACTGACCTCAAACTGATCATCCCAAATAGCGGTATACAGTAGAAAGGGCCTATACTAGTTGCATTAGTATACACCCGGGAGGGAAGGATCGCTGGACATCAAACACGCCGTTGTGAAGGTACCTTAAGCGACCTCCACTTCCTCATTAAAAGAGAGTTCCTCGAGGTATCTTATTGGTACTATCAAACACTTAATATGTTCCAAGGTTGCTTTGGGCTGTCCACGTGCCTTCCCTCAAGAGACCAATCAGCGTCATCAAAACACTCACGGGCACAGTTTGGCCCAACCTTGCCTTGAACGTTGGACATTCAAAAGTGGACTGATCTTCCCCCTCCGGATCCTTTTTTGCAGGTTGCACTGTGCTATACCCTGAACGCAACTGCGCTGTTGGCAATGGCATACTCGCACAGCCATGACAGGGAGGAGGAGAGTCTGCTGGGGGATCGACACAAATATGCTCGGAAGCGATCGACCTCACCGATGAGGCCTCTGATGGCCCTGGCGTTTGTGGGAATCTTGGTTATCGCGGCTGTTCACTCCATGACCGGGACCGAATACGAGTCACATTCCACAACAGAGGTGTCCAGCCCACACAGTGATGAATCTACCCACTCCCTCGTTTCCAGGTCGAAGAGTACCTCGCAGAACGGACGTGCTTGTAACACCGTCAATGGTGGGTATCAGTGCAACCCCGCGATCTCGCACCAGTGGGGTCAATACTCGCCCTACTTCTCACTATCAGAGGAGTCAGTGATTCCCGACGATGTACCTGGCGACTGCCAAATCACATTCGCTCAAGTCATCTCTCGCCATGGTGCCCGATATCCATCCAACAAGAAGAGCAAAAAGTACGGGGCTCTCATCGATGCTATCCAAGCGAATGCAACTGCATACAAGGGCAAAATGGCTTTCCTGCGCTCATACGAATATAACCTTGGGAGCGATGACCTGACAACTTTTGGAGAGCGTCAGATGGTTGGTTCGGGGTTGAAGTTTTATTACCGCTACGAGGCATTGACCAGACAAGCTGTGCCCTTTGTGCGTTCATCCGACTCTGTCCGAGTGATTCAATCCGGAGAAAACTTTATCAAAGGATTCCAACACGCAAAGTCCCATGATAAAGATGCCAATCACCGACAAAAGAGTCCCGAGATCAGTGTTATCATTTCCGAAAAAGAGGGCTCGAACAACACCCTCAATCACGCCGATGTCTGCACAAACTTTGAGAACAGCAGCCTGGGTGACGATATTTCTGACAACTACACTGCTATCTTCTGGCCTACCATCCGTGCTCGACTTGAGGCGGATCTGCCAGGTGTCACGCTCGAGGATGGCGATGTGACCAGGTTGATGGACTTGTGTCCCTTCGAGACTGTCTCCCAGAGCCACAACTTCACTAGCATCTCGCCCTTCTGTGATCTATTCACTGAAGCCGAATGGACGCAGTACAACTACCTTCAGTCACTGGGCAAGTACTACGGCTACGGAGCAGGCAATCCTCTTGGTCCATCTATGGGAGTTGGATTCGTGAACGAGCTCATCGCCCGGCTAACCCGTACCCCCGTGCACGACGATACGACCACAAACCATACCCTTGATGCCCCTGGTGCTGCCACCTTCCCCCTGAATTACACCATGTATGCGGATTTCACGCACGACAATGGAATGATCCCTATCTTCTTCGCCTTAGGGTTGTATAACAACACTAAGCCTCTTCCTCCTACCCACCTGCAAACTCCTGACAAGGCGGATGGCTATTCGGCTGCTTGGACGGTGCCCTTCGCTGCTCGCGCTTATATCGAGATGATGCAATGTCGCTCGGACCCAGACCCAGAACCCTTCGTCCGGGTTCTTGTGAATGACCGCGTCGTCCCATTGAAGGGGTGCTCCGTTGATTCACTTGGACGTTGTCGCCGAAAGGATTTCATCAACGGACTGACCTTTGCACGCTCGGGAGGCAATTGGGACCAGTGTTTTGACGAAGACTCGTGAAGGATTCGTTGCTTTTTGGCGTACACCTATCGTTAACTTGATACCCCTAGCATTATCCTTATGTACTTCTTCAATCCAACCCCTAGCATATAGGGCTTGCTTGAAAAGTTTCCGGATGCTGTTTCCTAAGCGTCGGAATAAGCATGCCCAGTCTCAGAAACAATGTCATTGTATCCAATATGTAAAGGCTTCAACGCAGACAAAGGCTAATGCAAACAGCCCCCAACTCCAAAAGCAACATCACGTTTTGTCCGCTACATATTCCACGCTCTCCCATTCCTTCCACTCCGCCTTGTCGGAGAAAGCACCCAAGCCTCCCAATCAGGCAATCGCCTTCGCATAACCCTCATCCCATCATCCCCCAAATCCTCCACCGCCAAGCCCCTCAGCTTCTCCACAGAGTCCCGCCTCAACAGCCCCCGCCTCCCTCTCAGAGCCGGTACATCAGCCGATCCCACCTCCGCAGTCCCCGCAGAAACGGTAAGGGGAGAAGGAACGCGTGCCAAATTCCGAAATGGCCCAGAATCAGATATGTCCGCACCAGTAATCGGGGAGTAAGTATTGCTATCATAGTCAATATCCCTCAGCTCAAGATGTTCTAGGGCCAATTCCTCGCGCAGAACGAGAAGCACATCACGCCAGAGTCCGGTGCGCAGGGAAATTTCCACGAGCCTCAGATCTCGGAGTTGGGTATGTCGGCGTACGAGTGCGATGATGTCGCTGGCATCTAGGCGCCAACCTTGGATGCTTAGTGTTCGCAGTGCGTTCCGGCGGACGTGTTGAAACATTGAGTCTAGATTGAGGACCGGAGGACGTCGACTCAGGAAGCCGATGTGGATTGCGGTGAGGCTTTTGGCTGCCATGAAGAAATGATGGAGGGAGGGTGAAAGGGAGTTGATAGTATTTGCGGGATCCGGGGGTGATAGCATGTTTATGTCGAGGCTCGTGAGATGGGATCCCATTGCGGATAAGGATGCTGCAGGGACATGGAGGAGATTGAGGATAGCACGGGGGCTGATTTGGGGTGCTGTAAAGCGGATCTTGGAGTTCGAGTTCAGAAGCGCAATGCCCAGGCTTGTTATTGCCCGCGTGCAGGCGGGTTCCCAGGTGAAGGATGCCGTTTGGTGGTTGCGCATCGCCAGGAAAAGGTTAGTGTCTGCACCGTCTTGTAGCTTGAGGAGAGTGATCTCTTGTAAGGATGTTAATGCTGCGAAGGCGATACGGAGGCGGGATTGGTCGTGGTTATCGAGGGTGAGCTCTGTTTGCTCACGGTATCGGCGACTATGAACTCGAAGCGTTGGTTTTTTGGTTCCGAGCTCTTGTATGATGTGAAGCCACCCTGATCATTATTAGCTACAGTTGTTTGTACCCGATGTGGGATAGGTATACCGCGTCCTTGATAGAATCCCCGTACCATGTATGTGAAGCTCTTCACATAACACGCTAGCTGCATCTCTAGCAGCTGATCTAGTCGCCGAAATCCATGTTTGGAGAAACGTAGAGTGAAGCGAGAGAACCTGTGAGGAGTGCCAATCCGCATGAACCTCTTGGATACCAGACGGAAGCGATCGAGGTCGGAGGCTTCCCCAAAGGTATCACTGGATTCATGGCTCTTCCCAATGGGTTTGGTGTACATCACCCGGGGTGGGTCGAGGAATGATGCGATCTCACTCAGTAGTTCATCGGCGAGATCGTGAATGTGACGTGGCTGATCCATGATCGGCGCGCGCAGCCGACCCATCGGCTGCTAGACCGGCGCAGCAACATGGAAATTCGAAGGAACTGAGGGAAAATCCGCAGCTCTTGACCGATCCCTAAGACCGGAGAGACAATTCACGGAGGGAATTGGGAGAGGGGGGGAAAGCGGCATAAAAACAAAGAGCTAAGAGTCGAGGCTATCTTCCTTATTTCTCCTGCATATCTGCATGTATGCCAGATACACTAGGAGACTGGACTTGTCGCACCATCGACGCATGGCGAAAGCTCTCATCCTAACGATCGTTCCGCGACCGGGGGGATCATCACCCGGACTTAGCGCCCAATTGGCATAGACAAGCCGAACCCTGTAACCCGAAATGAAAGGTTTCATTGGCGGCGAGGGCAGCACAGGGAATCACATGATTGATTGCTTCTGCGGCCAGCCAGCGCGAACCTGCAGCGGGTTGTTTAACGAGGGCGAGTCGAGTGGTTGTGGAGGGTTGGTAGTTGATGCAGACCCCGCCTCCAAGTCGTCACATCATGCAGAGTGACGGGTCTTGCGCATTGTTTCTCTTCCTCGCCTTCTCTGCCCGGGGATTGGGGGAAAATGGCCGAAAGAAAAACCAGCTAATGGATTCATGCATGTACCGGAGACTATCTACAAATGCTTGGATATACGTTTCCCATTAGACCTTTGCGAGATGAGCCCGGCGCCGTCTGATCTCAGTACTGCTGATTTTGCTCTCCAGGTCAGTGGCTGTGACTGATTCCCCGGCCTGGAGTACATCCACTTCGAAGACCGTCAGAGCCTTCCAGCCCTTCTTGATTCGTTCGTCGTTGACCGCGGCTCCCCCCGAGCGAGTCTCTCTAGACACGACAATCACATCAATATCTTCTTTTGTGATGGTGGGGCCAAATGGATCTGAGATTTCCACAAATTCAAAGGTCAGTTTGGGTTGGATCTTAACGAGGACAGTCTTAGGTGTATCGGAGCGTTCAATCCCGGGTGATTGGCCCCCTGGGGAGAAATCCATAATGCCCGCGAGGAAAGAAGCAGTATTCGTCCAACGCTGCTCCCAATCCTCGAGGAACTCGGAGTGCTTTTTATTCACAAGGAGTGCATCTCCAGTCACCCCAACGATCAAGCGGGCTTCCTGATCAGATGGGTCCAAGGCGAGTGCTTCGGCCGTCAGGAGAAGCTTGTGACCGAGATGAAGGTGGTCAAATGTACCCCCCACAATCACGGATGAGTGCAGGTGAGATGGTTGGTTGTCAGGAATTAGCAAGGGTGCAGGAACTGTCCAGTCAGGATTGCTTGTGATGGCTTGCGACCGTGCCTTCCAATCAACCGGAGATTGAGCTCCAGCAAACGAAAGAGCCAATTTTCTACCGAGTGAATTGCCAAGATGGAAGATGTGATCCCACTCGCGTCCAGAATTCGCCAGTGTCCGCAGGTCGAGGACGGGTCCAAATCGAGGGCTATCAGAGGCCTCGGCACAAGGGTTCCCATTCACTTCGACAAATACCACCCGGGCATCGATTCCACCTGGGGCGTCAAGCTCAATACTGTGCGTTGCACAGATTGCACCAACCAGACTATACATGCTCGTCAGATATTGCTGGAGCTGTGCAAACACCTTGGCCCGAGGTTTGCCCTCGGCAGGGATAGGAACAGCCAGTGCAATGTCGAGCACATATAATTTGGAACCGTCCAAGCCCTCCGAGAGCTTTGTAAAGACATCAATTAAGGATGGCTCAAAGGTCTCTTTGACCTGCTCAAAAGAGAAGGCTGGAGGTGGGGGCAGCAGTAGCAATGCCGAGGGGTTGCGGTGGGCGGACATTGTGTAAATCGAAGATGAAGCTCAACGATGCTAATTCACTTTCAGTCGTACAAGAGTAGAACTCCCGAGTAAAACCAAACCAGATGCAAACCGCAAAGACGAGGCGATCGGATCCATCTCCGCCAAACGACTGGAGTCCCCGAGCTGGAAGGGGCTTACTCAGCGTGGTTGATGGCACCGCCCTCTCTCCTTCATGAGAATACCATTGCGAGAGTGTCCTGGCAAGCTGGAATGATATCTGGCTGACACCTCTCTGGTCGGAGCTCTCTCGAAGCCCAGTGCGCAAACCCACCTCATTCCCCAACCTCCCTCAATCGGACAGGTGGAGCTCTCGATCCATCGCATTCTCCCCTGCATACACTGGCGCTTGTGCTGTTCAGCCCACACCATGTCGAATCCCGCCTCCTACGACTCCCATCGGCGGTCAACTGTGTTCAGTCGGCAGCCTGAGGAACTGCACATGCCATCTTCAGGGCTAAACAACCCGAACCTGTCTCGTCAGTCCTCCTCGCATGATTACCCAGCCACTCCAGACGCAGGTGCCCGACTTCCCGCGATCAATGTGCACTCGAGCTCCCAGTTCGGAGGTGATGGAAACCACAGCAGTACCGCACTTCCTGGAGCCCTGCAGCCCGGTAATCGCCCCCCAGCCGTATCGATAAATACCGCCCCATCGGTCGTTCCCACCATGCAGCCATCATCGTCGCAATCGAACCACCGCGCCAGTATGATCAATTCGCACGGACACTCACGATCCAGCCCCGCGGGCTTCGATCAATCCATCTACAAGCAACATGGTGCGCCGGACGGTTCGAAATATCCCTCATCCCCCGGCGGGTTCCCACCTCATACCCCGCAAGGCTCGAAGTACTCGCCCCTCGGTCTGTCAGATATCAGGCCTTCGGGCGAGCATCTTCTGAGCGAGGCACTCTTGAACCCGGGAATTCCATCCATGCCCGTGAACAACGGAGACAACCAAGTTCCCACCAATAGCAATTATGTAGCGCCATGGCCAATCTATGCGGTGGATTGGTGCAAGTGGCCCATCGCAGGGAGCTCCGGTTTTGGAGGAAAGCTAGCGATGGGAAGCTACCTAGAGGACAACCATAACTATGTTCGTGGCAATCGTTCCTCCCATGGATTAACATGTGCTAATCAAATCTTAGATTCAAATCGTCGACGCACACTGGACACAACCAGATCCCGATACCCCAGATGCCGCTGCCGGAGAGATCAAGCTGGACTACGTCAAAACTGCCGAAGCGACCCATTCTTATCCCGTTACTCGCATCCTCTGGGAGCCGCCATCGTCCCAGAAACAATCGACTGATTTGCTGGCCACATCAGGAGACCATCTTCGGCTATGGTCGCTGCCAAACTCGCAGCCTCTGCAGAGCTCGAATTCCATCACCCGCCCCATGAGCCAGCGGGAGACCCCCACCACCAAGCTTTCCCCGCTGGCGTTGCTGTCCAATTCCAAATCCCCCGAGCACACCGCTCCCATCACCTCTCTTGATTGGAACACGATTTCACCCAGTCTGATCATCACTTCCAGCATCGACACAACTTGTACTATCTGGGACATTCCCACCCTAACCGCAAAGACACAACTGATCGCCCACGACAAGGAAGTGTACGATGTTCGATTCTGCGCCAACAGTGTCGATGTCTTTGTCAGTTGTGGTGCAGATGGCAGCGTGCGGATGTTTGATCTGCGCAGTCTCGAGCACAGCACCATCATCTACGAGCCAACCGACAAAAATGAGAAAAGTGAGTACCAACCCAGATCATAACCGGCCTCAAAAACTAACGTCATCTTCAGCGATGAGCCCAGGAAACTCCAGCCCCCCTGGTCAATCGCAGACAGGTCTCTACCCACCTCCACTATTGAGAATCGCAGGTATGAAAAGAAAATCATCCTCAAAATGAGAATCACCTATTAATCCCATATCTAGCATCACCACACGATGCCCATCTTTTGGCAACTTTCTCTCAAGATTCAAGTGTCGTCCGAGTTCTTGACGTTCGCCAACCCGGCCAAGCCCTACTGGAATTGAAGGGCCACTCCGCAGCTCTGAACTGCGTAGAATGGTCCCCAAGCCGCCGTGGCATCCTCGCATCCGGCGGCGATGACAGCATGGTCCTCCTCTGGGACCTGATCAACCAACATAACGCCGCCCCCATCTCCTCCCCACCTACACACCCTACAGGCGCACCGCCATCGACAACCTCCGAGCGCGGCCCGGCAGCCGTCTGGCAGAGCGAGTACGAAGTCTCCAATATCAGTTGGTCCCCATCAGGTGGAACCAACCACTCCGGCCAACCACGTGAATGGCTAGGTGTCTGCGGGGGACGAGGTCTCACAGGGGTTTCCTTATAGACCAAAAGGCGTTGGATTCATTTTTCCTTGAAATGACCAAATTAGATCTCCGTCTCTGATTTTCTTTTTCTTTTTTTGCTCCATGAGACAGCATCCGTCTGGCTTCTGTCTATATGTTTTACTGGTGCTTTGCTGGCTTACCGGCATGGAAAAGAGCTTTATACTGGCTCTTGTTGATCTGATTTGGTGGCCATACTGACTTAGTTGGTACGAGTGAATGAATGAATGAACTATACATTGAACTTGGATGAGACTGCGTCGTATATCGTTCTGAAAATCTATGCAACCAGGCTGTTGAAGACACGAATTTTGGGGCTACCCTTGGCCACGGAACCGAACCAGTGGCGTTTGAAACGGGATGTATAGGACTAAGTCTATAGATTCTTAATGGCCCCTGGTGAGCGATCTATCAAGAAAGAAGAAATCTATGTAGCGGTAAAAAAATAAACGACTCGCCAGCGAGGTGGTATCATAATGGAAACAAGTCGGGTCATCACACACCCCTTGGGAAAAGCAATCCCGCCACAAAAGTTCTAGATACAGATTTCAGTCCACGTGGGAGACCATAAGGGTTGGAGGACGCGGTGTCGGCTCTCTGGATATCAGACGGTCTTCAAGCGAGCGCGCAAATTTGACACTTGGAATGTCCACAGCTCGCCAGAAGACATCGCCCAGCCAGATGGCGATGGGGAGACAAATGAGCCAGCCAATAAGGAAACCAAGGCAATACTGAAAATTCGTTTCTTTGCCAGTGATGTTCCAAATATTCGGCATGAGGGCGTAGCCCAAACAATGGAGGACCGGGCCATGTACTACATAGAAAGCAAATGAGATTTTCCCAAGGTATTGGGAAAGAGGGTTGGTGAACAGTTTCTGAATGTCCGGGGAATGGTTAATGGAGAAAACGATGATGGCCGCACCGATAGTTTGAGCAAAGCGATGGGGCTCGGGATATGTGTATGGAGTAACGTGCCACAACCAGCTGTAGAACGGAGTCCATTTGAAGCCGATGTTTGGACAAGAGCCGAAATACAGTCCAACCACAAACAAGGAGTTCCATAGCCATCGGCGAGACACTCTGAGTGTGGTTTTGCTCGAGCCGAGGCGAATGGATGTCTTTTCATTGTCCGCTGCTGGCCTTGCGGGTTGTTCCCAAGTCCCATGGATGAGATCCACTTCGGCCATCAACATGCCGAACAAGAACAAGACGATTTCCCAACGCCCGTAGCGCATGCAGAACCAAGTCAGACCAGAGACTAATGTCATGCGTACAGATGCGATCAGACGCGACGTTCCGATGATGACGACGAATAGGATAAGCGAGGAACGGAACTCGAGAGGAATGGTCCACAGGTGCGGGTTGTAGTAGTTATAGTACAGTGCGTAATCGAACGGATTCAATAATGTGGCCACAGTGTCCCACAAATCGTCACTTTGTTTCGAAAACGATTTAAACACACGCGGGTGCTGTTCATTGGTTCCAAGAATAGTGTGGCCTTCCTTGATAACGGCATGAGAGTAATTGTACAGCCCCAGCCGGACAGCCACAAAGACGCAAAAGATGCCAGCAAGAGCAGGTATGTAGAGGCGAAATGCTCGACGGAAGGTCCCCGATGCCAGCGTAGTGAAGGTCTGATCGAAGGACCTGCTCCGGATCGTTTTGAGCGGTTTATATGACAGAACGTAGCCTGAAAGCACAAAGAAGATGGCCACCATGATATGACCGGATATCAACATGTGAACGATAGGTAGCTGATGAATCCCGAAGTTTTCGCCCGCAAATCCCCATCCGATTGCGACTTTCCACGTGTACGTGAATAGGAAATGGAAGTTGAAGACCAGAAGGCAGGCCCAGCCGCGCAGCCCATCTAGAGCAGCGATCGCATGAAGCTTGGACTCTTTGGGTGGCTCGCCACCTACCCAGTGCTGTAGGAAACTCGGCGTGAGCGCGACTATGAGATTGTGCCATGTATCTTCCGCATAAGCCAGCCAGTCCTGTTGCGACATTTTCGGTACTGCTCCGTCGGGGTGTGCGAGAATATTGGAGGGGTGGAACTTCGAAAAGTCATCCCACCGCGATGTGATATTCGATTTGGGTTCTGCGCTGAAGGCGGACTCGAGGTCTCTTCGAGGGAGATCGGAGGCCGAAGTGGTGGCCCGATCTTCGGCTGATTTCATGATGCTCTGCAGATCGATTGCGAGTGGATATTTCGAACTGAAGACTCCATGTGCAGTTCCAAGGTGGAAAAGAAGTATGTAGGTCGAAGTAGGTGTCGCGAAGCGCAAGGAGACGCTTTGCTTCCCCCGTCCTGCGAGGTCGAGCAGTGATGCGCGCTGAGATTGACAAAGGCTAAGTGCAACAGATACGTCGGAGGGTATCTCCAGAGCTATGAGACCAGACAATTCTCATTAAAATCAAAAGGAGAACGAAGTGCAAAGAGTTGGCGGAGTGAAACGACGCAATGACGAGGCACGGCAACACCGCCGATCGATTGCCGCTTTCGTACTGCCACACTGCTTCGTCTACAACGGAAGAATGCTTTCGTGCATGAGAAGCTCAAAGGAAATTACAATGTCATCTCTCTACTAGCATATTTTGGACAAGTCTTGACTCCAGAAATATAGATAAAACTCATTGTATCTCAATATCCGAATCATCAATGCATAGAAAATGGGCTTGTTACTTCAAGCAAACGAGCCGCCTTCAGAGTTCTCCTCAACATCACCCAGACTAGCATCGCCGAAATCTTCATTGTTGCTTGTATGACTCGCACCCATATCAACATCGCCGGTTTCACGACCAGAAAGAAGTTGGTTGGTAGAGTTGTTCCCGTCGGATACGTCGTCGTCAATGACACCCTCATCCACACACAGGGACAATTTTTTGAACTTTTCGACATCATCGCGAATGCGAGCTTGGATTGCACGAAGCTCCTGCTGAGCGGCACCCAGGTCCATTGGCTTCCTTGTCAGGGTTGGATCATTAAGAGGCGACTTTTCCCGAGTTTCAGAGGTTGCAAATCTCACCCTCTGAGTTCGCACTGAAGGGAAGGACGACTTTGGCTGGGATTTAGCATTGGATAGCTCCTCTTGAGCGGCACCCAGATCCATTGGCTTCCTTGTCAGGGTTGGATCATTAAGAGGGGACTTTTCCCGAGTCTCAGGAGTCTCAGGGGTTGCAAATCTCACCCTCTGAGTTCGCACTGAAGGGGAGGACGACTTTGGCTGGGATTTAGCATTGGATGTCTTGGAAGGATCCATCTCGGGGCCAGAGGACTTCTCTGGGAAGATGGAACTGTCGATGTTGCTGGCTTCGTCCCCGCTCAAATATCGCTGATACCAAGAGTCCAAGGGCCACTTGGTTTGACGGAAACTACATATTATGCCGGTCAAGTACCAGCAACTCATACAGCTGCCCCTTGGAAGCTGGCCTCTTTGGCCCGGGCTTCCCTCATCGGGAAATCCATAATGAATCACACACGCTTTGAACATGCCCCGACCTCGGGAGCATTGGAAACACTCGCTTCCCTCTGGCGCCTGCATACCGGAGCGTTGCGCCAACGAGGCAGCAAGCCGAACTTTGGCGAATCTGGGGGCTGTCTGTGTAGGGCTAAAAATTGGAGGCCGAATCCATTCCACATCGCGAACCGGCTGTATCTTGGCGAGCGCAGTATGCAATGGAGTGGCACAAGCCGAGAGACGTGGGTTTCCCCGCGCATCGAACACCTGCTCAACTATTACGCGTGTCAGACTGGAAACATGGAAAGGAACATAGCCGCTTCACGTATGGGGGAAATGGTGCGCATGATACATATGTTGAATACTTTGTTCGACAAGAATCCAGACGGAGGTTCTTGTTGGCTGTCCGGCTCATCCATCCTCCGGCGCTTGTTCGTTAGAGCTACGAGCGGCGTTAGATTCTTGTCGTGCAGATCGAAGAGACCTTGGAAGTCAAGCTTACCGAGAGAGTTTGATGAAGTTGAGGCCATGCTTGATGAACCAAATGTCCACGCTGAAATGGACGCAACGGGAGGGTGGAAAAGAGTTTGATAAAGTGTCCACAAGAGGGAGGTAATATATATACCCTACTGACATCAAAGGCCTTGTAAACTAGGCCCCGAAGCAAACAAATGTCCCACCTGGGCATCCATGGATGCAGAAAGAAATTGTGAGTAATTGAGATGGCGATTCCAAGACTCACATATGAGACCTGGGAAAGCCAACGGTCTACATATATACCCTGTAGACAGATATAATCTAGAAAGTTCAATCTGCTCTCCCATCGTGAAATGGACAGAACCCTACTCTGTAGCCCTGATATATAGTTCCCAAAACGGCCTAGTGCCTCAGGCGTCCATGCCAAGACATCCTCGTCCAAGATCACAACCGTGGCCTTTCACGACCTCAAGATGCCAGATCTGGTGGTCTGACAGTATGGGGTGATCCAGTCGTAGAGAATATGGGTAGTGATGGTCCTGAAAGATAGAAAGCCAGGAATCGTACATGTAGCAAAAAACCAAAAATGTATACTCCGAATGCAGTTGAGCTTCAATTTTCGCCCATTTTCGAGCTCCCCTGTAAAACATCCAAGGCTTCAGCTCGTTTCCCTCTTCGAACCCTTCAGAGGTGAACTATATTGGGCATAGATGTTAGTTCCCTAAAACGGCGATGATCCTCTCTCCCTGATTCGCGCAATTCCGGTCGAGAACTTCTCCCTTCTTTGTTCATCCGCGTTCCTTGTCCCGCCGCTATCCTGCTCTCCGAGTTCTTGCGACAAGGCACTGGATGTCGCGGTTGTCTGTCGCGTGTATCTTTCTATAACAGTGCTCGCGTGGAAAGGCGGTCCCGAAGTGGGTGCAGTCACGATGGATTTGCGCACGATCATGAACACCGACGGCGCCAACCCTCCACCTCCCAACTCGGCCAGCTCACCCGTCTCCGATCAAACTCCTCAAAAACGCGCAAAGAAGTCTGCTTCCTACTCCGAATACTCCTCACAATCCTCGCAGCCCCTACTGCAGCAGCACGCTTCGCCAGAGCGAAGCTCTCCCTACGCATCCGCCCAGTCGCCATACCACCTCAACTCGGGTCCAACGATCAATACAGCAGTTAGATCCCAGCGGAGCTCAACTCCTCCACACGTCTCCACGCCATATGGTACTGCCTCGCGTGATCCATTTGGCGCGTCAGTATACGGATCGCATCCCCAGCACCCGGGTGCTCCTCTTGTCTCGCCTTACACACCACAACCAGCGAGCGCAGGGCCACAGCATCCAGATCAGAAGAGCTACTTTGCTCCACAGCGATCACAGCAACGCTCTCAATCACTTCAATCGGTGGTGACTAACCCCCGAGGTCCACCCGAATCATTCCGCAGCCCCCCTGCTGCATCGCAACCTCTTCCACCACAATTCTCACCATCCGCCCATCAATCCGTTCCAGGAACTCCCTTGGGGCCTCCTCCCACCTTCGCCTCCCGCCAATCGCCCTCGACAATTCGCCCGCCCTCCTCCGCATTCGACGCGCACGATTCTCCGCACAATCCCCTATCCAGTCCAAGACCCGCTCAGGAGGTCCAGATACGCGACCACATCCAAGCACAACCTGTGACACACATCCAATTCTCTCCGCACAGCTCCCGACCTTCAGAGCAAACGCCTCATCCCACGATCCTGCAACGAGATTCACTGGATAGCGGCAGTCCGCACACAGCCTCGCGCCACAACAGCATCGCCGCAATATCTGACCCAGTCCCGTCTGGCTCAATTCGCTCCTCCGAAGATCGAAATTTCATTGATAGTCCCACCACACAAAAGCCTCACACGACAGGGTTCAACCTCCCTACTTCCCCTATTGTACCGGCCAGTCAGATGAACAGTTCCCCCTCGACTGCCACCGCTGCCACTCGTGGAGGTGCCCATCCGTTGAAAATGGAAGTAGACAACGAACCACAAGCCGAGCTGCAACAACCCAGGCAGAAGAGGAGAAGATACAACGAACCTCCGATTTTTGCGCAGCGAACGGCTCGCACCAAAGGTCGATGCCCCATCATTCCCAACCCGCTACCCCCAATTCCAAAAGATGCCCGGCAGAGCCAGCAGGAGATATGGGCCGGGGCTGCAAGCCGACGATCCTCCTCAACGGTGGTTGTCGCGGCCGCGGCACGCAACCGTCCACCCGCTATGCCTTCACCAAGAGCCAATGTACCTCCTGCGCCGGTTGCGCCGGTCCCTCCAGCCCCTCGGGCAACTTCTGCGCAGGAGATAGGCTCGCTGGGACCGTGGGAGCCATCTATCACTGGTGTCATCCCCTATGAGGAGATTACCAGGACTCTGGGCGATTTCTTGTTCCAACATGTAGTGATGAGAACCGACGTAAATGCCGGGGATGCGGGCGCAGTGGGCCAAGGAACTGTGATCGAAGTCGAGGCGAAACTCGGTCACATCATCGACATGGACAGTAGAGATCGAATCCAGTTGCCCGTCTTGACCGAGAGCGTGATCAATAAGGAAAACGGGCGGTTCCGGACATCATTTGAAAGCAAAATGACTGTTGTAAGTTCAACTCCTGACCAGACCTCGAAGTGAGGCAATTTGCTCATCTCTCCCAGGAACAACACCGAGCCATGAACAACTTCCTCAACCAAACCGTCAAAGCATCAATGCCGCAACAGAACCCTTCCCGAATTCCACTTCAATATGTACACAAGAAAGAACGCGACACCTTTTACGAGATCCAGGCCGCAGAGCTCCCCCCGATCATCCGCCAAAACTTGAACCCGAGACATAAACCCAAAGTTCGAGTTACAACCGATGAGCGCACGGGTGAAGTCCTGGCGAAAATTGTGAAATGTCGAGTCGCAGATATGGATGTTTGCAGTCCACGGACAACGGTTGATTGGCGAGTCAGCGTGAATCTTGAAATGGAGTATACCGGCGACATCAGCAATCTTCCTATGATAGATCCTGCCGTCACAAAAGGAGGGCGTGGTGATCGCATCAAAGACCGCATGAGCTACCGCCACTTGGCATACCAAGTGGATTTGACACAAGTGGCCAAAAATGATGTAAGTTCCGCGATCCCTGTGTTACCACGAAGCACTCTTCTGACCTTATCGCAGCAGCAACCAGGTCGACATGAGTTCGAGCATGAGCTTGAGGTCGAAATCTCGGCTGCTGAGCTTCGTCGCCAGGGTGAACTCGCTATCGCCGGTGACTCGCAGAACCAGTATGAGGACCTTGTCAAAGGGTTCGTGGATAATATTCGCGTCTTGGCGAGGGCTGTGCCTCCCTGATTCCTTTCTCCCCCTGTATTACTTATATCGTATTCGATTATTCCTGTTTGGTTTGCAGGCATGGGTTTTCACTGGGTATACAAACATACTGCGATAGACAGCGTGTAGCAATTCCTGTGTCATGTCTCAAGTCGATTGGTCTCGATATCCTAGCCTATGCACCCCATTCCCAACTGGATTGAATCGCCATCTCAACTTATGTATTACCAGAAGACGCACATTGCGCTCACATCGTGAAAGTGAAGAATATACGTCTTTTCACTGCCGTCTATTAACAAGAGCATCCACAGCGACGAGCCATATGTACTTCGCGCGGATCTTCACGCTAAAATCACCCCTCAAGACACGGATTCCCCCTTCCAGACGAAACACCCTGGATAGTAGCTGAGGCATTAGCCAGCTGTCACCTCCGACAATTGGACTTGGGCAATCATTCCTGTGACAGATTAGGACAGCCCTCACGACAAGGGCGGCAGCAGTGCCCTAACTTAGTCCCGTCGTGGTGACCATATTCCCACGAAGTCTTCAAGATCGAACGAGTTCATCGTTTCGTCAGATATGCATATGAAATGCCGCAAAAATTGCTGTACCCCATTCACATACTGGAAGCCATCAAGTGTGCCTAGACCGTCGACGGTCGTTCTGCGCTTCGACACAGGAGATTGAAAAAACATCTCGCTCTGGCTCTGAGACACATGCTACCATTCTCAGCGAAGGTATATATACTGAAGTATTGATATTTGCGATTCCCAAAATGGCAGTTGGACGAACCTCGGAAGACCCGCACGATCTGCGCCCCCGCAAATAAATGCATCCGCTCCTCCCGGCTGCACGCTACATGCGGAATGTCGACGCGCTCACATACTGGGTGCTGGACGTGCAAGCGGCGGCGACGTCGCTGCGATAACGGGCGGCCTGGGTGTCGGAATTGCAAAGAGCGCGGGGTGGATTGTGAGGGCTACGAAGTTCGACTGAAATGGGGTGCTGGCATTGCGTCGCGGGGCCGCTTCACGGGGGCTGATAAGCCGGTTCAACACTCTGTGCCTCCGAGACTGAGGGGGAGGCAGAGAGATTTGGAGAAAGAGATGCGGAAGGAGAAAGAGGGCCCTGGTCAGTGTGCATTGGTGTATTGGGATTTGGTACTAATGCTTCGATAGCTGGAATCAACTTAGATGGTCCAACGGCAGATGAAAAGGCTATCTTTGATGAGTGTGAGTTTATTGCCGTGGTGAGGCTCTGATAATCTGACAGTGGTAGTCATGAACAATGGCATCAATACGCTTCATTCAACGACGGCAAGAGATAGCATGCTTCATCCACGACTACCACAGCTTTGCCAGGACTCACCCGCTTTGTTTCCTATATGTATTTCGTTCCAGCTCGCATTGACAAGCACTGTCATTCCTCTTTTCTGCGAGTACTTCGACAAGGCATTGAGGACCTTCAGGTCCGAGCTGGCATGCAGCAAGACCCTTTCCGATGCCACTTTGACATCGGGACTCCTGTTGTGTAGTATTGGCGTGCGTCATATCCTGTCATTACTAGCGAAATTCTGACATCGCCCAGCTAATGCACGGCTTGCCCTGGACTATGCATCTAGAGGGTATGCACCGAATCCTACAAAGGGACGGCCTCGGCGTAAACTGTCCGCCCACCCCAGCCTTCTTTCGCATCCATCTTCTTGAAGTGATGGGCGTGATGGACATCCCTTGTTTTTCTATTGGTCGTCAAAGCCCACAAATTGGTATCTGGCGCCGATACTGTCGGCCTGCTGCGCCGAGATACGGCGTTGAGCCTGTCAGTGGCCTACCTCGCACTTTACTCGACATCTTCGCTGGAATTGGTGCAGAGACCACAGAACAGTCATTTTGGGACTGGTCTGGTGAACCGGGTAGCTTTCCACAGTGCTACCTGTGGGAGGCTTATCGTCTGGCTGGTATTCTAGCATTACGGAGGGGAAACGACCCTGTGTCTTCTCCTGGCAACATTACGACATGGCGGCAGCCTGCGAAATGTCCCGCAAACACTACCGTTCTTATTTCACGTATACTGGCTAGTATTGATGCTCTTCGTCTTGCATCTATTGAGCGTCCACTTGAAGATGCATTCATCGTGAATGCAATACTCTTTCCTGTCGTCACCGCTGGCTTGGAAGTTGATGTGCTATGTCAGAAACCTGACTGGCAACAGTTGATCCGGAACAGTCTGAAAGACTCTAATCAGTGTGATATCCTTCTCAGTCTCCTGGAGGAGCTATGGCAACAAGCAGACCCGGGTCTAAATGTGCATGACCTGGCACGGCAGAGAGGCATCGAGATGGGATTGTTATGATGAACAATTATAATCATCGACACTAGTCAAGAATGCAAAATACCCAAGACTCTTCCTGGTCGTGGATGCTCTACCATTGATGACTGTCACAGTACGCCTGGACGAACCATCACCCAATGCCTGAGAACTTCCTGCTCATCTACCAATTCAACCTCTTCAACAACCTCAAAACCAAACCTTTCATAGAACCCAACATTCTCCTTCCGCGTGCATTCAAGATAAATCGGCTCATTGTGGACATGCTCTAGGATCCATCTCATTACACCCCCACCCAGTCCGCGTGATTGCAGCGAGGGATGCACAGCAATGACCTCCAGGTACCATAATTTGTTCCGAGCATAGATTTTCTGCAGCAATTCTGCGCTGCTCTCATGCTTATCGAAGAGGACATCAACCCGCTGAACATGGATCATCAGAATCGCCTTCCAAGGTTGTGTCCGTGTACAGCCGGGATGACCTACCTTTTCACTAGCACCATTGTCATCCGCAGGCTTCAAGCGATCCAGCACCCACAGCTTGCAAGCTAGCCATATCCGCTGTATGGTCCAAGGTTTTCGTCCTGGTGGTGGGAACAGAAACACCACAGCACCAGCGTCATCACCGGAGTTCAAGTCTGTTTCAGAATGCGGAAATGTCGAGATTTCAGGCTTTGACACCGATGATCTTGTATCAAGATCCTTACGTGGGCATGGCATCGCCATCTGCTGCACGCCTGCTGATCTGAAGACCTCTCCTTCAAGAATGATGCGCTGGATCCGTCGACATTGCCAACTCCATGTGCCATGGTCTTGTTTGATCCACGGACTTGCATTAGGGCGCAGCCATTGTATCAAAGGATCCGACGAGAAAGATCTGTGAATTGTTCGCGCGACTGCTGGAATGAATTGCTCTGCAAAAGGTCATCAATCAGCCCATTTGTCCCAATTTCCGACATAGAAAAACGGAGATAAGAAGAATAGGCAACAACCATGGTGAATAGGGAAGAGCTTGACATTGACCTGCACAGAAGACATCCTGGCTTGCGAACAATTGCGACCAGAAAACTTTGTGCAAAGATAAAGTGTCCGTCCTGACAGTGTACCAGGTAAGAATGTCCTAGCGAGCTGATATATTTGTCTTAATCTCAGCCACAACTTGAGCTTGCATGAGCTAGTGCCCTGACTGGAGAAGGTTGCGTCCACCTACCGCTTATGGCTAAAGGTTGGTTCTTTGACAGCCTACATTCCCAAGGTTGTGGTTACAGCGCAATTCCCCATTGACGCCTCTTGGGGAGCTTGTCGCTGCGAAAAGCAATGAACTGCTGCGATTTTCACCGAGCTGCTCGTGTCAATTTGATCAAGTGTCAGTCACCGGTTATCGTTGTGAACAGCTCCTTTGCTGCTGCCCGTGATATACATTGCTAGCCAATGAAGACTTCGACAATCCTCTTATCAGCCTTCAGATGAATCATAATGATAGGTATCTATTAGGGTCTGGAACTGCGACCTTTAATGAAAGTGCTACCTCAAGACACCCATATCACACCCCATTCTTGTGAGCAGTACATTTGAGGCTTGGCGACCAAACTCTAATCATACTTGAAGATCTATATCTAACAGTGTAATTTCTCAATAAGCTCTCTATAACAACCAGGGCACTGTTGCTATTCTGTTCGGTTGGGACTCGGTCTTTGTGATCGCTATAAGCGCTAAAGTCTTGTGTAAAATTCAACAGCAACCTGATTGAGCTCAATTGCCAATCTTAATTGATGAACTTCGTCTTGGCTGAACTGCTTTTCTTGTTCATAGAATCCCAAGGCTTAATATCACACACCAACCCCAATTAGGAAGGCCGACGCAACGGCGCAGCATGGAGAGCGGCGTCGATCATGGGCCTCGGAAGCCGATGATCGAGGCAAATCTGAACACATCCACATTTCTATGCTTGTTACACACTTTTAGGGCTTAATGGCTTATCTGCCTGGGCTGGGAAACCTGGATCAAAGATACTTCGAAGATGTATACAATCGTGGCGACTAGGGCGTTGAGTTCGGAGCATGTAGTCCTCAGTTGGCCTAAGGGAGAATTGATACTTTCATTTTACTCTGTACGAGAACAGTGAGCCAGATTTTGTGTCCAACGCGTTCTTCAATTTGTTGTTATTGACAATTTATTGTTGTTTCTTCTTTTCTTTTCTTTTCTTCTCTTCTTCTCTTCTTCTCTTCTTCTCTTCTTCTCTTCTTCTCTTCTTCTCTCTTTTACTCCTTCACTTCTCACCATTCTTCTGCTAAGATTCTTACCTTCCTGATTCATCACTCTCAATCGCGTAAACACATATCGTGTCCATGGATCTCGGGGTTCCACGAGAAAACATGGCAGATCTTCAGGGCGCGTCTTTCGACGAACTAGAGCAGCCGCCAGGCACATTCAAGCTGATTCGAGGTACGGTTCCTTCTTCTGCATATACCTAGAGATTAATTCTTAACTTATTGGTTACAGCTGATGAGCCTGGTGAACACGGTCAACAAGTCATCCTCCTAGACCCAGTCCCCACCTCCGACCCAAATGAGCCATTGGTAATTGACACCGCGAAGCTCAAATGAGCAACTTATCTGACATTGGATACAGAATTGGAGGACACTTCGCAAATCCCTGAACTTCACTCTCGTTTTGGCTATGACGGTACTCGTTTTCACAGCGTGAGTCGATCCAGTCCTGCCATATCAACCCCATGTCAACATACTGATGGAACCTCTTAGTCTGTCCATCCAAGCCATTTTCTGGCAACAGATGACTGTTGACATGAATGTCTCTTACGAACAGTTGAATCAAGCAATGTCTGTCAACTTTGCCGGGCTAGCCACTGGTTGCGTTTTCTTCATCCCATTCGCGAGAAAGTACGGCCGACGACCCATCTACATCGTTTCCACGGCACTGATGCTGGGATCAACATTATGGACGGCGAGGATGAACACATTGGCAGAGTTGTATCTCACCAACCTACTTCAAGGGCTGGCGGGTGCTACCAATGAGGCTATTGCTGAAATGACCGTGAGATAACCCCATCAGACGGCAAGCCCTCACACTGATCTTGCTACAGATTGCCGATCTCTTCTTCGTACACCACCGAGGTACCATGAATGGGTTGTACATGAGTTGCGTGATGATTGGAGTAAGTTTCATGGTGAATAAGTATCCAGAGACCAATGCTAACTGGCAGATAGAGTTTCTTGACGCCCATGGCTGCCGGAGTCCAGGCTACCCGACAAGGATGGCGGTCATCCTACATGTCAATGGGGCTGTTCAACGGCGTGTTACTCCTTTGTTTTGTCTTTCTCTACGAAGAGACAAAATACGTTCCAGTATTAATCAGCCAAACTAGAAGCCCGGAGGAAGGCAGAACCGACTCCGCGGATGCCCAGGCTAAAGATAACCCCGTCTCATCCACATTGGACGATCCTGCTGAGACCGAGACAACTGCCTCCACCCACGTCTTAGACCATACCATCCCGCTCAAGTCATGGCGCCAGCGATTGACCCTAGCAACGCCATCCCCAGAACCACTATGGCCACACTTCTACCGCCCAGTCCAAGTCCTCGCCTTTCCTAACGTGGCGTTCGTTGCCCTCCAGTACGCCTCCTGTGTCGTCTGGCTAACTGTGATCTCCAACGTTTCGTCTTTAGCTTTCCCATTGCCTCCATATTCCTTTTCGCCGGAAGCAGTCGGCTACACTGAAACTGGTCCCCTTATTGGAAACATTATTGGCGCGGTATATGGCGGATACCTCGGTGACCGATCAATTGTGTATTACGCACGCCGTAACAATGGCTACTTTGAGCCTGAGATGCGTCTGTACATTCTGCATATCCCGGTGATCATGCTGGCCGGCGGCCTGATCATGTTTGGTGTTACCATCTCGAAAGTAAGGATGGTCAACCAGACTCGTAATTCAGTGCATGCTAACTTTCAGTAGGGACTGCACTGGATATGGCCAACCATTGCGGGTGCATTTTTCGGCTTCGGTCTGGGTAGTATCAGTGACGCGGTATTGGTTCTCGTCATGGACAGTTATCGCGATGTATGCACTCTATTTCCATAATCCTGAGAGGATTTTACTAACAATTGGTTGACAGATCACCGGTGAAGCATTCACAGCGGTGACATTTATGCGTAACGCAGTGAGCATAGGAATTCCGTTTGCGATCACACCTTGGATGGAGCGCCAGGGAACTCAGAATATGTTTATTGTGTCTGGGTTTGTCAGTCTTGCTGTCTCGGCGACCATCATCCCAGTGGTGCTCTGGGGGAAGTTCTATCGCCGTGCTTCGGCGGCTCGGTATCGCGAGCTGGTGGAAAACCAAGAAGAATAGCTAGCGGTAGTGTTGGAAATGTTGATCACGCTGGCCTTGGGCCCAAAAACTTCGTACTTTGGGGACGTGAAGGTCCCACCCTGGGGCATTTGATCAGAATTGTCGGAATATCTGTAGTTTCCAAGTGTTCGATTTCGAACGCAATCGACGCTAAATGAGCGGGCGTCTCCTTTGAAAATCCGTCAGCTTTCCCAGTTCAACTTGTCGAAGTGACTGGGAAAATCTAGATCATACACAGAGGAAATATCAAAAGAGATTCATTGAGACCTCGTTCATTCATGGATCTATCCACTAGCATCATAGGGAAATGGCGCCAGCTGCCCAAAGAACAGTAATCCGAGACTGCCCTACAGACTAGCCCTGTGAGAAGAGTCGACAACCCTCGGAAGTGCAGTACTATCCAGTCTCTCCTTAGAAGCAATCAACTGCTTCGGAAACCATCCAAGATCAGCATCAGACTGGTCCAGTACCCCATCCTCAGCAAGAAGCATAGTCGCCAATGCTCTTCCACAAAGCCATGACTGAACCATCCCCTCACCCCCAAACGCCGCAGAGATCCATTCAGCCCCATTTCCATGTCCGGATCTTCCTGTCGCAGAATCGGGCAGCCGTCCCACCCATGGGAATCCATCTGATGTAAATGCCATATTACCCGTCCACATGGCCTGCACTGGACGACCAGTAACTTCACCCCAGTCTTCAAAGAATACGGGAAGGGCACCAGAGAGATGGATGGCGATGAGCATGCTCAAATTCGAGTCCGTTGCGATTCCCAAGTCTGCCGCTCCGGCGAGTTCACCCTGGGCGAATCCACCTCCGAGCATCATCTGCCCGCTAGGGAGCTGCGTGAGATAATCGAAGCCGCGGTCGTGGTTGAAGATCCACGAGTGGTCGTTTGCTTGGTTCGGGAATTGATCGCCGGGTATCTGGGCGGACATCTGGCCGCGGACGGGGAAGATGCGGCCTCGGAGGCCTGGGACGAGATGGCCAACGTGCGCATTGGTGCAGTGGATGACATGTTTGGCGAGGACTGTGCCTCTGTCTGTTTCGACTTTGTAGGGTCGATCTGGGGAAGCTGAATCATGAATTGCTTTCACGGGAGTGTGCTCTTCAATTCGGATATTCTCCGGGTATTCTTTCAGCAGATGTGCTAGGACACTAGTCACGAATTTGTAGGGCCATAGAGCACCGGCAGGGCCTGCGATGATTCCATGTGCCCGATCGAGATGGAAGTCCTTTGTGAAGATGAAGTGAGTATCAATTGATGTCCGAGAGGAGATGTCCATACCTTTGGGATTCCCTCGCCCTCAAATGAAGTCCACTCAGCAGCTTCCTCTGGCATTTCCTCTTTAAATTGACGAAGACGCTTCAAAGCCGCTTGCCACTGCTCTTCGCTGAAGTAAATACTCAAAAATTGAACCTTGCGGGCTTGTGATTCCTCGGAGATTCCGAGCTCTTCGGCAACCGCCAACATCTCATTCAAGTGGGCAAGTCTGAATCGTAAGATTCTCTTTGCATCCTCCACTCCGAATGAATCAGCCAACTCGGCATAATCATCTCCTATTTCCAGAATGTGACCGCCATTGCGACCCGTAGCGCCGCTGCAGATACCGCGTGCTTCCAACATCAAGATTGACGGTGGGTTGGCATTTCCCAGCAAGGAGCGTGCTACAGAAGCACCAGTGATACCAGATCCAATGATCACCACATCAACCTCTGTTGGAAGAGTTGGGCTTTTCCGTTCGAAAGTTCGGGGGGTTTGTAGCCAGAAGGACGATGTTGTTGCGGATTGGGGCACGCCGGGATCGGAGTACATTCGATCGATGGCTTGCTGTCTCGCCGAGGCTGGAAGTAAAGGATCCATGAGGATTTCGTTGATAAAAGGCATTTTGGCGATGAAGTGAAGATATTGATGGTAGGAATTGGAGAAGTGAGGAAGTGGGAGAGAATGGAGTTGAGAAGATATAGAAAGTGAGGAGAAAGACAGGACTAGACATAATCTAACTCTTGGACCTACTCTTTTCGTGTTCTACATCCTCCCAGTGCAGTGAGAGTTTATAATGCGCCGGTGCGTCGGCCTTCCACTTTGGGGGCTGGCAGTCGAAGATCAGATAAGAGGATATGCGATTACTGCGATCCTTAAGTGCTTCTTGTCCATCTATGTCCATAGCTTTATGGATGCTTGTCGACCGTCCTGTATACTTGAAGGGCAAAGGATCTCAGAGTGAACCAGCCCTAGTTAAAGGAGTCCAGGGCTAATAGTTGGAATCACTAATATATGGCGCACACTTGTACATCCGAAATGAAGAAGCCCTGGATACTGTATTTGCTGAAGAGCGAGGCTCTGTTTCATTCCTGGGGCTATATTGAATGGCTGTTATCGATCTAGGTTCTTTCTCACCGTGAAACACCCGCATCACAGAGGCTACAGGGCGCGCTCCGCCACAAGCAATTTTGGCAATTGGTTTCACCGGGAAGTCCGGCCTCATAGTCTCCAGATACATCACGAACAATATTGTCAAGGTCCGTACTCGAAAGGTGACCTCGGACAGTACCTAGTCCTGGACTGGAGCTGCCGCCCAATGTCAGCTTGCCTGTCGCCCAAAGGAATCGAATCCAGCATTCTCTCTTCCCTCCTCCCTTATATAGCTGATCGGCTCCTGTGCTCGTCAGATGGAAAAACAATCAATACCTCGGCATCGACCGCAGTGGTGGAGAGCAACCACTTGGGTCGTGGGAGCAGTGGGTTTAGTGGGTCTCGCGAGACTCCATCGTTTCGCGGGCGACCACTTCGGCCTCAGCATCACTGGTGCTAGTGCTCGGGTTGGTTCTCCCTATGGCAAATTTCCACTAGAGAATGACCCCTTTCATTTTCTGCCATGCACAAATTCAAGCTTTCTGCCACCACTCGACGACCCCCAACCTCAGCAATCATGGGCAGCGCGATTCGACCCAAACGCAGACCACTGGAACTGGGGCCAGCCTAGCTCAAATGGCATGAGGATTGACGACCCCTACGCTGGTCGTGGTATTTACTTATGTGGCTATCTCGACTTACCGCTCGACCATCTGAACGGCTCGGAGACTCGAATTGTCCGTCTGGCTGTGACCAAGTTCCAAGTCTCGGGCCTGGCTCACCTTGGCGCACCCGATGCTTCATTCAATGCCGGTCGCAAGAGTGCGCGCACCATGATCATTGAGCCCGGGGGCCCTGGAGATAGTGGAACTTCTTATGTCTGGGCCGCCGCTGAACAACTCTCGGACCGTTTCAGTGACGGACAATTTGATGTGCTGGGATGGGATCCACGGGGTGTTAACATGTCACTCCCGGCCGTGTCATGTTTTCCTCATGATGTGCTCCGTGACCGATGGTCGCTCCTCACGAGGCAGTACCGCGAAGTAACAAACCCGATGCACCAGTTGGAGATTGCCGATGCCATGAACGACGCGATGTTCTACGCCTGTCGGCAGCGGGTTGGTGATTTCGGTCGCTTCATCAGCACAGCGTCTGTTGCGCGCGACCTTGAGGCAATCCGAAAAGCACTCGACGAGGACGAAGTAACTACGTATCTAACCAGCTACGGCTCGGGAATCGGTCAGACCTACGCCAATATGTTCCCTGACAAAGTTGGCCGCATGATCTTTGACGGGACCGAATACGTCAAGGACCACCGCCTCTTAGGCGGTTTTGGCTGGACATCCCTCGGCAATACCACAGACGCTTGGAACGACGGGTTCTTGGGCGAATGTATCAACGCCGGCCCTAGATGGTGCGCTTTAGCAAAGCCGCTCGACAAGGACGACCCAGTCACCCTTGCGCAGCTAGAAGCGCGCATGGCCAAGCTCCTAAGATCGCTTATTACTCGGCCAGTTCCCGCATACACAGAGCACGGTGGTCCATCTTTAATCACATACTCTGCGCTTGTGGGCGCTCTTTACCCAACAATGTACGATCCGAACGGATGGCCAAACGCCGCACAGATGCTCTACGAGCTCGAAGCAGGAAACGCAACCCTTGCAGCTATCTTCCTCGACCGTACCTGGGGTTATAATCCCACACAATCATCGCCGTCACATCCCTCCACACGCGAACTCACATATCTAGTCATTTGCGCCGATGCCTACGACGCCCCACTCCCAGAAGACGGACTTCGGTGGTGGGATCAACTATGGGATAACATGACAACTCAGAGCTGGATTGCAGGCAATTCTCGCTTCTCTGATGTTCTGCCCTGTCGATACTATAACAAGTATTGGTCTAGTCCTGCGGAAGTATATCGGGGCGATTTAAACCATACTCTCAAGACGCCGGTTTTGCTTATCGCCGCGGTGTATGATCCTGCAACACCCTTGCGGAATGGAAGAAGGCTTCTTGGGGATATGGGCCGGAATGCGCGACTGATTGTTCACCATGGGTATGGACATACTTCTAGGTGGGATAGATCGGACTGCACGGACCTGATGGCGAAAGCGTACATCCTGCATGGAATACTTCCCGACGAACAGGAAACCGACTGTTATGCCAATAAGAAACCCTACGTGCCTGTATGAGCGAGGATGGTGTATATTGGTATAGTGTGATGATTTGAGACCCATGGTATGTCTACGGGTAGTTTGTGCGAGCTTTCTCTCATTACTTCAAGGTTAGACTGCCTGTTGACGGAAATACCAGCCCCAAATAGCGACCAAAGGCGAAATAATGCAGGTGTGCCTTGACCCGTCTCTGACACCTGGCAGTCACCCCCTCCCGGGAGGCCGGAGGGGTCTTCCACAGTGTAATGCAACCTGGGGATTTTGGCAGTCTATGTACCTTTAGTATGGGTTCTTCATACAAAAGGTACTAAATTTTCGGATTTCATCTCTCCGGATATCTCTCTCCACGAAAACGACAAAAGAATCTTTACAGAATAAAAATCATTACTACAATGTCCCATGGGTTCCATTTCTATCCTTTTGGTCAACTTTCATGTAAAGAAAATGGTTGGTTGTGGAAATATTCTTTGGAACGTCGCGATATATCCATGGATACCTCTCTGAGGGTGTCCAAAACAACAGGGTATTCTAGTCCGAGGTCGGCCACGAACTTGATCCACGGCTTACCCGGTCAAGTCAAAAATTACTTTGCAAAATGTTCAAGTTCAATCATGTTGATTTGATGATTCGTAAATAACGTTGCAGGTAAACATGCGTCAAGAATATACGTCAAAAACTCCCGAATTACGACGCCGTTTCCTAAGAGGGGAAACCCCATTCCCAAACCTTCCAGAGGGCGAGGCGAGAACTGAAGATGGCCAGACTGACTGAGTCTGGCGTGTGAGTCTCGGAACTGAATAAGCAATAATAATGAATAGAAAAAAAGACACAGCCGAAAAAAAGTGTCCGAGGTCGAATGTTCGAGGCGAGTCGGCTCGGTCGATATTGGACGTGGGGATGTGGTGACAAGCGTGGAAATCAAGAATCGATCTCCATTCCCATTTCCACGCCTCCGCTCAGTCCGTCGAGGGTCGGTTGGTGGTTGGACAAGGCTTGTTGAAGGAGGGGCACGCCGGTGTCCACTTTGTTGAAAGAGGCGGGTTGCGCATCGGGTCGGTCGTTGGCAGCGAGGGGGGCAGCACCCTCGAAGATGATGGGGGTGCTGCGCAGATTTTGGAGGCAGGCTTCCCAGGAAGAGGCGACCAGCTGGCCTTGGGTGAGGTCTTCGGTAAATAAATAGAAGGCAGGAGAGATTCCGGAGGTGGGGGTTGCAGCCACGAGGTAGGCGTTCAAAGCACGGCTTTTGATCAGCATCTGCGAGCTGTGCAGATGGGACGAATACTGGTTGTCAATGTATTTGGTCCAGCCGCGGACGGCGGGGGCCATGTCATCGTCTGTGCTGACGCGTTGCCAGCCGATACCAAGGAGTCGGGTGGCATCATCGACTAGAGGCTCGTTTGGAGGAGCAGGAGTCGCACTCAGAGTGCGGTGCTGATCATCGGTGCTAGGATCATTCAGGCGTTGACGGATGGACGACAGTGCAATGTCGTCCAGGCCTGGAGCAGATTGATCTAGACGCTGAGACTTGCGGCTGAGGTCTGCGGCATCGGACTGCAACGCGTTCGAACGCGATGAGATGGGCGCTGCAGCCGCCTGTTTTGTCTCAGCCTCCTGCTCGTACCATGTGCCTGTTTGACTTTCTGCGGAGAGCGCGAGTCCAGTCTGAGGATTCAAAAGCACCATTCCTTCTCCGTAGATGGGCTCTACCTTGGGCTCTGGGGCTGGCTGAGGCGCTGGAGGAGCGCTTGGCGCGGTGGCCTCCTCGAAAGTGGCTTCATCACGCGATCTCTTCCGGGAGGGCTTCGGGGCCACGGGAGCAGCGGAAGCGCCGAAGCTGGAGGGAGCAGCCTGTGCGGTGGAACCGTTGGAGAATATTGGGCCAGCGTTGGCGGGATAGCCGTTCAAGCTTCCTGAGTTGAGGAAAGAGGATTGCGACGGGAACTGAGCAAAGGCGTGTTCTTGGGGAGGGAGGACCGATGCCGGGCCGTCTGAGAGGCGATTGAGCATCATGGAGGGCATTGAGAGCTGTCTTGAACCCAAGACTCGGATACTGTTCTGTTAAGTTAGGTGAGCAAGAGACAAGAAGGTTCAACCTATAGATAGGAAGTCAAGTAATAGATGGAAGGAAGATGTTTCGGTCAAGGTGGGTGGAAAGAAGAAGTAGATCGGATGATGGATGGGAGGATTGGAAAAGAAAATCAAGAGGGGGAAGAAGAAGAGAAATGAGAGAAAAGGAAGAGGAATCATGCGAGAAGGAAAGTAAGAGAGGGTGAGATCAGTCCTGGGGTAGAGAAGAGTGGATGCGCGATGCAAATCATACATTGGCACTTACAGACGAAAACGATAATACGCCGGCGAAAAGCGGGTATCCGATCCACCATGACAGATTTCATACATACAGGATTGAGGAATATGATTGGTGCAGCTTAAGCCCTCCGAGAAGTGGGGCGGTTGGCGCAAGCTGGATCGGCGCCGGTCATTGGCTCGGGCGACGCCTAACCCGGGCTGGACGCCCGGGGGCCTTTGCTGTGGTAACAGTATGAGAATGCAGAGTCAAAAAGTCTATTGGCATACTAGAAACATGAAGGAAAGTCCAAAACCAACACCGGAGCTCTTGCAAAATATAACCAATGTTTGTATGGGGAAGTGTAGGGAAAGAAAAAAGAAAACACCGCCAGGAACACCGGGTTCATGTCACAGAATATATCACAGAAATGCGGCTGGGAAGGGAAAAGGGTTGGTAATAAAACAGATAGGAAAGGAAGCCCCCATTCTCCATCACACCGCAGGGGCCCGGGACAAGTGTCAAAGCCAAGGGCTGTCTCCGCGTGGTACCAAGAGACAGAATGACTCGCACGATGCACCTGGACACCACTGGTTGCACAGCCAAATCAACTCGCACGGTCTATCCTTATCTTTGCTAAATTCCGTCTATAGGAATTGGAGCTCAGGATGGACAGATGCATTTAAGCATTGCCAGAGGAAGCACCACCGAGGTAGCTCTTGACACGACCATAGCCGTCAATGGTGTTGTTGGGACGCATGGATCCAACGAAAAGGAAGAAGACAAGGAGAGCGGCACCAATGACCACAAAGCGGCGCTGGGCGGGCTTGTTGTTGCCGTACTCAGCCCAGGCACGAGAAGCACCGGAGGTGTACTCGCGCATCTTGTCACCGCCAAGCTTGTACCAGACAAGACCTCCAAGGGCGATGGAGTAACCGAAGAACTGCTGTCCGGAGACGGGATCGTGGAAGAACATGATCGAGGCAGCAACCAACAGGATATCCTTAAGGACACCGCACAGGGTCATAACGAGAGAAGAGGTCTTGCCAATCTGCACGGTGGGTTAGCGGTGTGCTTGTGGGGTTCAGGAATCAGAAATGACTTACCAAGAAGACAACGGAGACGTTCAGCAAGAAGGCAATAACAGCGTTGAGGATCAAGATGGGAACACCGACGGCATAAATTTCCGCCATGGTGACCTTGGGGATCTCAAGGAAGAGGGCCACGGCACCGTTAAGAACGGCACAGATGGGGGCAAAGTAGTACAGAGAGACCATGGGGTCCATCTTGAAATCCGCGGAGCTCAAAAGACCCTGCACCATGACCAGGCGGGTAGCCTCGAAGACAATACCACCCAGCTGGTAGAGGAAACCGACCAGGTTGAACTGAAGCTCACCAATGGAGGCAATGACGACACCAATGACGATGATGGAGACGTTGCCCAGCACCTTCATGTTGGCCGGGGCCAAGCCCATACCCCAGGTTGCCAGCAGCACCGCAACGGGGGTAGTGGCCTTCAGCATCTGAATGAAGGAAACACTCAAGTACAGGTATGTCATGTTACCGCAGATCAAGCTCAGACTGAACATCACACCGATGGGGACAATCGCGCGGAGGTAGACACGGCCGGTCATCTTGACCTTCTTGCGGCCATCCAACACCGTGGTCGTGCGAGCGAGGATCTGGGTCATAATGGTAGCGAAGGTCAGGTGCCATGTTGTAAGGATGATGGGGTAGCCTAATCACGGTCTGTTAGAGCAGAACGATGCGCATGATTCCAGATCAACTCACTGAATTGCTTCTTGTGGAGGAGCCATTTGTTGAACAAGATAACCGCGGAACTCAGAGTAATCCACGTCCTGGCAGAAGATTAGCGATGTCCCAATTCCCATTTCCGGGTCATGCTCACGTCACGTAGACCGCGGGGTGGAAGGAGGCGCTGGGCTGCTCCTTCTCGGTGGCGGGGTTGACAGTAGGCAAAGACTGCTCCCGGGGAGTCTCGCCAGAGGCGCGGACCTTCTCGCCTTCACTCATTTTACTGGTAAAAGACTGGGATTGATCGGACAGAAAGCGCTTGAATTCGAAGGGTCGCGGCCGGGATAGGCTTCCTGAGTTAAAGGCGGAGGAAGCCACGGGGAAAAAGTGGAAAGGGAAGATTAAAGATGGAACACTAAATGCTCCGTTAACGAGTGCGACAGGAGTTGGACCAAAGTACTATCATAGGGCAAAACGAAGGAAAGAGGGATTCGTACTGGAATTTCTTGATTTTGGAGAAGCGAGTTGAGTTTTCTGAAATTAAATCGCCAAAAAAGAAGGCAAGTCCAGCGACTTGTTGTCACAACAGAAATGGCCCGGACCAGGCTCAGGTACACTGGGGTTGCAAAATTACCCAGGTACTATGACATCTTTGGCTGAGGCCACCTGTCTTTTTGGGGCCAACCAGCCCGCGGGATTCCTCTTACGTCTCCAACTTGGGGCTCATCATTGGTTGATATTCTTAGCGGTTTCGATGCCGGTATTGGCGAATACACCAACGTCCATGGGTAACTCGTGGCGAGTGTCCCAAGGTTGACGATCTCCACCTGGCACTTCCTTATTCTTAATTTTGTTTCTTCTCTTCTCTTCTCATACATACTAGTAGTACAGTACATTCCTGGCATTTCACGCCCTGCCTGTACTACTAGTATCATCTCGGAATGTATCAGACTCGGTTTGAGATAGAAAACCGACGTAAACAGTGCAGATCCAAATTAACAGAGCATTACGCAAGCAGCTGTTAGCCAAGACCCACCAAGACCCGCGTGCAGCAACCCTCTGGTCCATCCGGTCCCTTACGGGTGGAGAATGCGGCGATCGCCTTCAGGTTGACTCTGACGCCATTCCTGTGCTTGGACCAGTGGGGGAGTCCTAAGCTTTTTGTCCCCAGCACTGGCTCGACGCGTTTCAGGGGAGACAGACTCATTCTCCAATGATTCGAGAAGGCTTCCAAGGACAGATCAACTCGAGGGCAAACTAGGAGAGATCCTCGTGGTATTGCCCGCTTAGGACCGTCCATCAGTGGAACCGGGACGCCTGTGCCCTGAAGTTTCGCAAATCCCGTTCCTTCTACACCAGTCGATCAACTCGCGGTCTGCGGTCTGCGGGCTGCGGGCGACGGATAGTCCTCCGGGAAGGGTTCAGGGTTTTCCCCTTGGGCTCGGCTATTCGATGCGTATGATACCGAATTACGGAGTACGCATGGGCTGTTTCTGTGGAATTCACAGATCTATCACCGTTGGAGGTTCAACCCAAGGTTGGTGCCGCAGGGTAATTTAACCATACCCAGCAACGTGTCGGGACCTACATCGGTGGCGTTTTTAGTTTGGCCACTTTGGATCGAGATTCAATTGCCCCTATCCAGATAGTAGTTCAGTGTTCGCCCCTTTTCAGTAGGGACCGTTGTGATCCGCGATATGATGGCATTCCAGGGACCCTGGATGTCCGCAACGGGAATTTCAATATCAACGCATGCGAAGCCCGCAACGCATTCGAGTCCCTGCTTTTAGCATCATGATAAGCTCTAGACCAATAACGACTTCACCTCAATGTGATATGTTCGCTTTGTTCTTGCCAATGTGATAAGATGACCCTGCCATGTACTGAGTACATACTACTGTCCGTACGCGTCGTTTACTTACACAGCCTCCCCCTGATTGTCCAGATCCAATAAATCCCGTAATCCACGACGTTGAAATATTCAGTTTGAAGCTAGGATTAAAGTGAAAAATCAAATCGAGAAAAATAAAATAATTACAGAAAATAGCCCGCAAGCAATTAAACCAATCTCTCAATACGAATCAGTAAAGCTGAAACAGGCACGTCGTCTCCACCGCCGGGTCCGTTTACCCATAGAACCAAGTGCGTCTAGATACCCTTAGCTTGGCTTGTCACGTTGTCCTCCCACTTCCCCTTCTTTTTCGGTTCCTCCTTCTTTTAACCCTCCATCCCCCCTCTGACTTTTCTGCAGATTCCTGCAGCTGTGCTTCTATGCTGAACGTCGCCCGCAAGACCTTCAAACGAGTCCCCAGTTTTCAGGACCTCCTACAAGGCAGAATGACCCACCCCGACATGTAAGAGAACCTCGTCCTGTTGAACTCGCCAATTCTGACAATTGCTTAGTTCTGTTGACGTTCTCGTCATTGGTGCTGGCCCTACTGGTCTCGGTGCCGCGAAGCGTCTTAACCAACTCGTAAGTCATTCTCCAGTCTTGCGGTGTGCGAGAGGGGCACCGCAGGGAAAAAAGGGGGTGGAGGGGCATCCGAGGTTCAAAAAGCTAATCAATTGCATAGGACAGCGCCTCTTGGTTGATCATCGACTCCAACGAGACCCCTGGTGGTCTTGCCTCCACTGATGTTACCCCCGAGGGTTTCGTACGTTGCGACTGATTCCATTGTTGATTTTCCATTCTAACGCCAAGCGCAGCTCTACGATGTCGGTGGCCACGTTATCTTCTCCCACTACAAGTACTTCGATGACTGCATCAACGAGGCCCTCCCCAAGGATGAGGACTGGTTCACCCACGAGCGTATCTCCTACGTCCGCTGCCAGGAGCAGTGGGTTCCCTACCCATTCCAGAACAACATTTCCATGCTCCCCAAGGATGAGCAAGTGAAGTGCATTGACGGCATGATCGATGCCGCTCTTGAGGCCCGTGTCTCCAACACCAAGCCCAAGGACTTCGATGAGTGGATTGTTCGCATGATGGGTACCGGTATTGCCGACCTCTTCATGCGTCCCTACAACTACAAGGTCTGGGCCGTTCCCACCACCAAGGTAAATATTCTCCCTTCTCCGCAAGAAATTGAGCCAATGCTGACTGTGTCTAGATGCAATGCGCTTGGCTCGGTGAGCGTGTCGCTGCCCCCAACGTCAAGGCCGTGACCACCAACGTTATCCTCAACAAGACCGCCGGTAACTGGGGTCCTAACGCCACCTTCCGCTTCCCCGCTCGCGACGGTACCGGTGGTATCTGGATTGCTGTTGCCAACACCATCCCCAAGGAGAACACCCGCTACGGCCCCAAGAACAAGGTCGAGAAGGTCAACGCCAACAACAAGACCGTTACCCTCGCCGATGGCACCACCATCGGTTACAAGAAGCTCGTCTCCACCATGGCTGTCGACTACCTCGCTGAGGCCATGAACGACACCGAGCTCATGCCCCTCACCAAGCAGCTCTTCTACTCCTCCACCCACGTCATCGGTGTTGGTATCCGTGGTGCTCGCCCCGACCGCATTGGTGACAAGTGCTGGTTGTACTTCCCCGAGGACGACTGCCCCTTCTACCGTGCCACCATCTTCTCCAACTACTCCCCCCACAACCAGCCCGAGGCCTCCAAGAAGCTGCCCACCCTCCAGCTCGCCGATGGCTCCAAGCCCAAGAACACCGAGGCTCAGGAGGGTCCTTACTGGTCCGTTATGCTGGAGGTTTCCGAGTCTTCCATGAAGCCCGTCAACCACGAGACTCTCCTCGCCGAGTCCATCCAGGGTCTCGTCAACACCGAGATGCTCAAGCCCGGTGATGAGATCGTCTCCACCTACCACCGCTGCTTCGACCACGGTTACCCCACCCCCAGCCTGGAGCGTGAGGGTGCCCTCACCCAGATCCTTCCCAAGCTCCAGGAGAAGGGCATCTGGTCCCGTGGCCGTTTCGGCTCTTGGCGCTACGAGGTCGGCAACCAGGACCACTCCTTCATGCTGGGTGTCGAGGCTGTCGACAACATTGTCAACGGTGCCGTTGAGCTGACCCTCAACTACCCCGACTTTGTCAACGGTCGCCAAAACACCGAGCGTCGTCTCGTCGACGGTGCCCAGGTTTTCGCCAAGAAGCAGTAGTTGATTCCCCCCCTTGTTCTTTCTTAATCTAACCCGCTTTCACTTGAGGTGGCGGGATTCTTGCCTTTTTTCTTTTTTTTTGGATACAATGAAATGAGCTCATACCGTCACGGAAAACAACATTTTACGAGGGCGCATTTGAAGCGGCATGAAGATTCTCGATCTTGGTTGGCGTTTCATTTTGTTACTTAACTTCCATTCAACCCTCTGTTTCTCCCGGTTCTGTGCCCAGATGGGATTACTACTTGATATACACCTTATTAGACTGGTTTTGGTTGACGCGAATGCTATCGATGTTGATTCAGTTCATTCTCTAAATTGTAGAAGGGCTCAAAATGTACGGAGTACTGCGTACAGAATAGTACTTAATATTGGAGCACTACGTAGTACGGCGCAATTGGAAATTGATCATCGCAGAGCCTGAACGCCACAATCCCATTGTACATAATCATGCATTGTAGAGTCCTCAATAGAACGCTGTACTTGGAAATAGTACATGGTAGGCTTTGGCCACAGTTGAGTTCGGGATCGACAATGGGTTCAACCATGTACCTCTACGAATGAACGGAATCAGTATCCTCCCCCACCATCTCGCCACTGCCGATCTTGAGGCAATCGCAAAATCACACCGCTAGGACAGCCCAAGACGATCCGATCGGCAGTTGAGCCGGAGATGTCCCGGAAATGCATAGACAGTAAAGGCGACAAAGTGCATTGTATGACCTGCAGGCTGAGCGAAGGACCTATATGTGTCCGCCTGCAGAGTCAGCGGTGACGTCGAGTAAGCGTATGGAGACGCGTCAGGTCCAGGTTCCCACTGAACTATTGATAGACTTGCCGAGATCTTGTCTCAGATGAAGAATGTTCGATTCTAGATTGCAAGCACATTTAAGGTGAGACATTACAGTGATTTCTACTAGTAGTAGTAGTAGAGTACTGGTACTGAAAACTTGCCTGTTGAATGTCTTGGCATATCAATACTTACACTCGGCTGTCAAAGGTCTCGGGTCTCCGCTTCCAATATCATATAGTACTATAATATACTTGATGCGAATGATCGTGAGAGCGATCGGAAGGCGTTCAGATCGCGTTGATCCGATAGAGCTCATGACGAGGTCCTGCCACTGCCGACGAGATCGCCTCCTCGGCCAAGCCTGCCTCGTAAGACATCTTCGACGCTAAAGCTAGGTCCCGGAGTGGGACTGTGGCCGGGCTCGAAGAAACACTTAAGAATGAAACGTGTGGCGAGTTTGCGTCAGAGAGACTGATACATATGTTGTGGCTTGTCCCAAGGCTGACTAGGGTCGAAGATCAAGTTAAAACACGCTGGGATTGCTGATTCTCGCCTCTGTCGGTTCGGGTGAGTGAGCGGTCTTGCCGCTATGGAGCTCGAGTTCTTGGGACGAAGCGTAAGTTACTTTTAGTGGTGGGTCAGTTCGAGAGGAAATGGTTAGGGCCGGTCGACGTGTTCCTGAAGCTGTGAGGTCGGTTTTGGGCATCGTAGATCCAGTGGCATTGCGTTCTGGAGACTCGCTGTTCCGACTCGCTGATTCCGGGTCATTCAGATGGAGACATTCCAGGTCCGCGGCCAGGGCGTAGCGGAGGAAGATCCGTTGGAGATGAGCGTCGACATCGTCTTCTAGAGCGATGAGTGTCGGACCTCGTCTGATCATGATTCCCGGTAGTACAAGCTGAATATAGAAGAAGATGTCTTAGAAAGGCCATCGCGAAAGAGACAAATCACATAGAGAAAGTGCCGTATTAATAGGTAGAAGTCAGGCTCAGCCCCTCAACACTAGACCCAATTTCTACTAAGACAAGCCTCCTGTTGATCCTTCCCCCCTCTCTCTTCTTCTTTTCATCTCTCATCGGATCATGCATCCGCAGTGTTTCCGGTCTCCGTCATAGTGTGTTTGGAATATTCATCTTTGACGCGAAAAAAAACAGAAGAAAAATAACGAGAGAAAAAAAAAACATGAACGGGGATCTCAGTCTATCCCAGTCCCTGGGAGGACTACGAATAGCCAACCCAGACGATTCGCCCCTTCCAGAGGATGCGACCGGGTCAATGGCCCAGCAGCCGTTCGGAGGCCCCGGGTCGGTATCAACACACAATTCCGAGTCGACCTTCCCGCCCGCTCCTATCGAAGTCCCCGAAGAGCGCCGACCTTCGTATATTCCAGACGCAGTGCCCGGTCCATACCAAGCATATGCCCCACCGCACTCAACACCGCCGAACAACCGACCCCTGTCCTCCGTATACGCGAATGGTTCGGCAACTTCCATTCTCCCCCGTGACAACAACTATCGCATACGAACCGATTCCGGTGCTTCCTCCACATCGGGCTCCCAGGCGCGAGTCGACACACGAGGAGGCTCGTCCGCACTGCATGCCGGTGTACTCGCGCGCGACAACTCCCACAGCGACCGGTCCTACCGAACCACCCAGCTCGCCGGGAACGCCCCGGCGGTGATGCGGCAGACGTCTCGGGCACACGCAAGACCGGGCGGCGCGCCTCAGATGGCTCGATCGTCTTATATGGGGGAGAACGGCCCGATGGCTAGTAGCGAGGAATGGCAGGAGCGTGGGGCGGCGGTCTCGGTCCGCCAGGAGATAGATGCGAACGGCCAGACCGTCTCCCGCTTCGTCAAGAAGGGGGTGCGGGATTTCTCGTTCGGAACTACTCTCGGAGAGGGCTCGTACAGTACCGTCGTTCTGGCTACGGACCGACAGACCCTGAAGGAATTTGCGATCAAGATCCTGGACAAACGACACATCATCAAGGAACGAAAGGTCAAATACGTGAATATCGAGAAGGATACGCTCAACCGCCTCACCGAACACCCGGGTGTCGTGCGGTTGTATTATACGTTCCAGGATGAACAGTCACTATACTTTGTGCTGGATCTGTGCAAAGGAGGAGAGCTGCTGGGCGTCCTCAAGCGGATGGTCACATTTGACGAGGAATGTACGAGGTTCTACAGCGCGCAGATCCTCGATACTATAGACTACATGCACAAACGCGGGGTCATCCACCGAGACCTGAAGCCAGAGAATGTGTTGCTTGATTCAGGGATGCACATCAAGATCACGGATTTCGGTACCGCCAAGATCCTGGAGAAGCCACGAGCAGACTCCAACTCGAATGGCATGCCACCTCTCGACTCGAATGAGATTCCCAAGGAAGAGCGCGCCAGCTCCTTTGTCGGCACGGCGGAATATGTCAGCCCCGAACTCTTGACCGATAAAAACGCTTGCAAAGCCAGCGACTTATGGGCGTTTGGCTGCATCATATATCAACTTCTGGCTGGCCGTCCCCCCTTCAAGGCTGGAAATGAGTATCAGACCTTCCAAAAAATCGTCGCCCTCGACTATGAGTTCCCCATCGGTTTCCCTGCCGTGGCCCGTGATCTCGTTGAACGCCTCCTGGTCTTAGATCCTGCCCGACGTCTCCAGATCGAACACATCAAGAACCATGAGTTCTTTACCGGCGTGACGTGGGGACCAGATATGTGGAAGCAGAAAGCTCCTCGTTTGAAGGCCTATGTCCCTCCGGCGCGCGACCCCATCAAGCTCAACGAGAGCAAAGACGGGGAGACCCTGGCCCCGGTCGTCTCAACGGCCCCCTCCAACGCGCCAAATGCCAGCTCTCGCCATCTTCCACGGGTGGTGACCGAGCTTCCACCTCCAAGCCAGTTGGATATCGAATGGTCCCCAGTGCTCAACAAATCCAACGAACGAATTTTGAAGCTGGGCAATTTTGTCGTTCTCTCTTCGGCCGCTTCCCACAGTCCCACGTCCAAGAACAGCAGTGGTGAATTCGAGGCACCGAAGAAATTCTCCCGCTTCTTCTCGGGAAGCACTACTAAGAAGCGACAACGTCTGGTGATGGTCACATCATCCGCACGCATCATAATGGCCGCGTCAGGCGGCGACGACAAGAAGGTCAAACTTGAAATCTCACTTCTCGCTCCAGGGACGAGTTATAGAAGCACGACAGATTCAAAGGGAGTATCCTCGTGGATTGTGGACACGGTAAGTCATCCTTGTGCGAGATCACGGGTCACCATCTAATTCAATATACAGAGAGAGAAGCACTTCGTTTTTGAGGATCCGAAGCCCTCCTCCAGCAGCGTTGGACCAACAGCCGTCCAAGTTCAAGAATGGCTAGACGCACTGGACCGGTCTAAGGAGATGGCTCTACAGCAACAAAATGCAGGCTTCTCCGATGACGCCTACCGTGATCTGTCATCAGGGTTTCCCAGCCCCGCCAACACGCTAGACCGCACATCCGACATGCAGAAAGACGATAGAGCCCCACCATCATCAGGTCGCAATCATCTCGTGAAGCATCAAGCTACCGACTCCGAGTCAACAAAGGGAAGGAAGCGATTCAGCAAGCGGCATTCCAAGAACGGACTTGCGGCTGTCTTCTAGAAAGCTTTGGTTGTTTCTTTTCTTCTCCTTGCATATACCCTTCGGCTTTACCCAGTATAACTCTACTGTCTCGTTTTCCCTGTACTACCTGTCGCATCCCCCGCCATTCCATATTCCACACATATTCCATGTGGGTATGGAACCGCGCATTCAGCTCTCCATATCCTATCTCCTCCTTTTTATGCACCGGCATTCGCGCAAAGATGGGACGTCATCCCACCATATCGGTTTTCCTACCTCTTGCATATTCCAGTGACGAGCGTATTCTGTTTGTGTTCCTAGGGTGACATGTTTCTTGCATTTAGATTTGGAAGGGAGCGCATTTCTTGTTCTTTTTCGTCTTCATTTGACTCATCTTCAGACCTTCCTGTTCTCCGTCCCTTGTCCTTTTCTATGTCCTCTGTTATATATCCCTGATTACCTGAAGCACATTGTCCATCACATTCGGACTTGCTCTGCTCTTTTCTTTTCTTCTCTTTTCTTATTCTTTTCTCTTCTCTCTTTCGGTTCCTGGTGACTGCTCATGTTGTGCTACTGGGTTGATTACTTTTGGATATTGAATTCAAGACTGTCAAACGTATGCATCTTTTCCCGGGCTCTTATATCATTCTTGGATGAAGTGATCTCGAGGTCTCTGAATCGGCGTTTACTCGTTGGTTGTTTCCTTGGGTTATATCGTGGCATCTTGATTCCGTCTTAATTCCTTGACATTCTTTTTGTTTTCTTTTTCTTGTTTTATCCCTCTTTGTGGCAGATAGACTCCTGCGCTCTGAGCAGAAATGATATACCCGAATTTCCTTTTTCGCAGTCATGGATGAATTGAAGCCTCGCGGATGGAATCAATTTGCATATTTACAAGATTGTATAAGAGCCACCAGGGCATTAAGCTAAGCATCTCATCAGAAGCATTGATTCACAAGCATTGTCCCTGAGCATACCCGGGAAGGCAGAAAAGGATACAACATGAAGGTAGAGTCAACTAGCCCCAGAACCTTGGAAGTAAACATTAGATAAATAGCCAGTCGAGCCGCGAATGATCAAGCTCATCAATCCAGTCGAACATGAGATCATCGTCATCAATATCACCAACAGTCTCGCCAAAGCCCTGTCCTTCATGGCGATCACGACGTTTCAAATCCTGCTTCTGCCACATGAGCCGCAGCACCCAAGCAGCATTACGAACATTAGCACTGGTGAGCGACTCATAGAGCGAGCCAAGCTTATCGAGAATCAAAGCCCGCTGCGAAGGAAGACATTCCGCGCCTGCGATAAACGTAGGCCAAATGAGACACTTGAAGTGAGGATCCGAAGCAGGCACGAGACAAATCTGCGTAATGAGATTCGTAGTAATGAGTCTGTGATCTGTTGGCATGCCTACATCCGTCCAAGGTGGCGAGAAGCCTTCCCGTGATCGGGACAAGACACGGCTGGTATACAGGTAGACGGCGTCTTGATATGAGGTTGCCAGTGCGAGACGGTAGGTGAGATCTGGAATGAAGAATACGTCTTGCATGTTCTGGCTCCAGGTTATTGGGTCGAAGTTTCGGATGCCTTGGAGGAGGCTCGCGAAGGCTTCGAGCGTTAGGGGTTGTCCTGGTTGCATTGGGGTGGGGAGACCTGGTGGTTGGGGTTTTGTGGCGATTTCCGAGTCGGGATACCAGAGGGAATGGATGAAGAAGATCACTTCGAGAAGGTAGGCGGGACATCCGACCCAGGAGTTCTCTTCTAGGCGTTTGAGGATTGAGGGGCCCATGGAGGAGGAGTAGAAGGGTTTGGAGAGTGCGCCTGGGCGAGCAAGTGTTGATCCCATTATCTCCATTCTGGGTATTTGGTCAGATTGTGCGTGGTTTGGCATAAGGGGGATCTTACATTAGACAGCCGTCGAGGGCAAATTCGTCTAGGTCATCTAGGATTCCCTGGCCGAGGCCAGTTTCAGGCCGGTCTTTGAGGAGTTTCTTTGCGCCTTCGATATGATAGCTCCATGCCCCACTGCCGGATTCGATAATGTCCAAGAATGCGAGCAAGACGATAGCCGCTAGTGTTCTGCCGTCTTTTTGCATTTCCGGACTTTGGAGATCCATGGATAGTTGGCGAAGAGCGCGCTGCTTGAACTCTAGGAAATGTCGGTATGCTTGTGAAAGCGGCTTCCTAGACCCTGCTGGTGCGACAATGTCCTCAATCTCTTCAACTGACAAGTTCGAATCGGCCGTTGCCAGATTTCCAGAGGACCAAGGCAGGAGGGATGAGTCGGATTCTGAGAGCAAAGAGTAATGCAATGCCCCAAGAGCTGTGATACTGTGGGCGAGAACCGGGGAATGGTTGACCAGTGCTGTAAGATCCCGGAAAGGATTCTTGTGCTGGGAGTAGAGTGCGAAATCGTTCACCATATATTGATTGTCTTTACGCATACGGATTAGCAGAGCCACTTTGCATGGCGGAGGTATATCTTACAGTGATGCACATAGTACCTAGAGAACTGGCTGAGGTCTTTGAGAAGCGGGTCTACCAGCCCCCATGGTGTTGGAACATAGTCAGCGGGAGGGGCACTTCGCGGGATATGCATGAGTGCCGTGTCGTGGTTCTCATGGGAGTCGAGTTCCACCTGTCCGACCTCAGTCCCAGCAATGGTATTGTCCGTCTCAAAGGCCCATCCTTCAGTTTCAGGGCTAGGCTGAGTCCCTGAGCTATGTGAGTCGGCATCGGAGGGAGTCTGGGACTCGGTAATGGAGAAAAACCCAAACCCACTACCGGTCGGAGCTGGATCTTCGTTTGCAGGAGCTACCTGGCGCTTAGGTTTTGTGGGTGATTTCTCCGGGTCATCAAAGCTGCGACCCATCATCTTTCCCCGGCTGGCCACACCTCCTTTCACCCAGACCAACGGTTTCTGGTACCCCAGGCATTCTTTTCCGGCGTCCCGGCACTTGCGGCAAGTGGGCTGGCCATTGTCGCAGATAATGCGACGTCGTCGACAGGTGTAGCAACCTTGGGTCATTCTTTGGAAGCTGTGACAGAAACGAGGTTTCTGGTATAGATAGCGATGCACCGAGCCTGTGAGGTTTGTTCGGTGCCACTCGCCATCGCCGGTAATGGTCAGGACTCAGTGGGTTGACAAAGCCACACGACCATTGCTAGTCGTCCGAATAGTGACTTGGAGTCTGTTATTGCAAAACAAGCCCGTTGAAAGAAGAGGCCGAAAAGGTCGCGGGGGTCTGGGGGCGGTGTGGATAAATTGGGGATGCGATCTCCACATCTTTGCCTCTTGCATTCTGCATCGATGATCCAACATTAACATATATTCACCATGGTCCTGGGCTTTTTGATCCGGGGCTTGGAGGTAATTGTTCTGCCCCTGCCACTCCTATTCTCGCTAACCTTCACCCGCAGGTTTGGCTCACTCTCCGAGTAAGCATGAGTATCCGCAAGCCTTGACTCGATTCGATCTGACAGTCGCATAGCTCCTCCGAAGCCCTATATTTCACCGTATGGTTGGTCGAGTTCACCAAAGGGTTCAATACCACAGACATGGAGTTCCCCTCCCTCCGAAGACTCCGAAGGAAGAACTTGGAGGATCACACCACGAAGCGGATGGTACGCTTGGCTCCAAGACCCCCTCAGGTGCTGTCTCATAACTGACCGCTTGCGATAGGCTTTGACTTCAAGAAGTTCTTTGGCCATTTCAAAGAAGAATTCAAAGACCAACTGAACGGACGCACGAAGAATAAATATTGATACCCTCACGCTTGCTTGACAATACCGATGATACCCAAATTGATTTTGATATTCCCTTGATGACCGAGCCTGCGGTTTTGGCATCTTCGTCCTCGTTTTGACCTTCGAATCGAACCCGGAATGCAGCGGGATGCGCCTTTGGCCCCATGGGGTTGCACCCCATGTCGTCCCCGGAGAATGAACCCAGTACGCGGTGGGATGAAGGAATAATTATCAAGTGCCCCTTTCTACTGTTCCTAGCTGTTTGGTCTATACTGTCCAGCTCGGATTCTATCACTGGGGCACACATCACCCAGGCTAGCGATTGGCCGAATTATCTGCTCAGGGCGCGCATCACCCTGGACACGGGAGACAAAAACCCCGCGTATGTTGATCGCGCTTTTGTCAAGGTCAGCTTCTCACTCTTGGCCGAAAGCCAAGTCTTGACCGCGATGCCTTTAAACTCCGCGATGTCTTCAAATTCCGCTGTGACAGGGACTAGACATCCACCCGCGGCCCTGGTCTTGGCATTTTGGAGGTGCTTGGCGTACCCACCACCTCCAACTGTTCTTTTTCTGTTGCTATTATTCAGCTGAAGTAGAATTTACCCAATCGAAAGGATCTTGCTAGTTCGTTCTGTAAAAGCCGCCGCCCGATTTTCCTGTTAATATGTAACCTTGGAATGCGGTGGGTGCTCGCGGCCCGAGTTCATGACTTCATCCTTTCTCGACGTTCACTCACCTCGACAATATCCTTCAAACATGGAATCGCCAGAGACGCCGAATTCGACAGACAAGAGAAAGCCCAGGACCTGTCCTCATTGTAAACGTCATTTTCGCCGCCACGAACACCTCCAACGGCATATTCGCATCCGTATGTCCTAACCCTGTAAGGAATATGCATGACACGCTAAACAGCCCTAGATACCAACGAGAAACCGTACAAATGCGTGTGTGGTGCGTCCTTTGCCCGCCGCGATCTGTTGAAACGTCATGAGAGTATCGGCCATCCCCCAATCACCCCCTCAACGCAGGGACCCTCACCCGTCACGGTCGATGACAGCCAACACCCGCAACCCCAGGGAGGTGATGGCTCCACAGTCCCTAATCCCGAACCGTTTTGGGGCATTCCTGATCTCCAAAATGAAGGCGCCCCCACTGGCTCCATTGACCAGCAAGCACACTTTCAGGGATTCTCACACGAAGGTATGGCCCCCTGGATGTAATTCGACTACGCATCAACCTTGGAACCGCAGGGTATACTGACCAACTTAGATTCTTTGTTTAATGCCCAAGATCTCTTGGTATTGCAAGACTTGGAATCCTTCAGTCATAACATGGGACTGAGTACCGAATGGGTTCTTCCTACTGAGCCAAGTATTCTGCAAATATTTGCTGGGGATCCTAATTTGAACCCTATGCCCCCCGGCACCTCAACAGACACCACCCGAGAGAACCCTCCTTTCCAGCAAAATCATGATCAGTCTTTGAGTCAGCTTCCTATAGAACGAGAGACCGTTGGTAAGGATCCTCCCCACTGATCCGCACTTCTACCTGACGCAATATAGCGGAGTTTGGTGTCTTAACTCTTCCGATCCTGAGAGTTACCGAAGAGCTTCGCAATCGTTTGCTTCAGGCTCTTGGGAATTCAGAGACAACCATGTTCCAGTCTGTCTTCCCATCATGCCATTCACTTACCAGATTCGTCAATGGATTCTTCGACGGGTTCTATCCTCACTTTCCAGTTGTACATCTTCCAACATTCAGATTGGAGGACACCGAGCCGGAGATCATCTTGTCTATGGCTGCGCTAGGCGCCCAGTATCGACATGAGCACCGGAAAGCAGTTTTTCTCTTCTATGCTGCTAAATCCACACTCCAGCAAAACACTCACGATAGAGAGAGGAGAGAAATGGACCGGAGCCTTTACCCTGGTGATCGGAATTCTGATAATCAAGGGTCCATGCAATATAGAGAAGTCATGCGGGAGGCACGATGCGCTCTCTACCTGATTGCATTCGCGACGTGGCAAAGTGAGCCTGATATTGTACGCGAAGCGTTCAATCTTCAAAGTTTCCTCGCGAGATGCGTACGGGAGTGCTCTTTGGTGGAATCGCATGAGTCACAGCAAGAAGTCCCAAGCTGGCACTTGTGGATAGAGCAAGAGTCAGACCGGAGACTCAAGCTTTTTTCTTATTGCATTCTGAATCTACATGGAATCGCCTTCAGCACGCCGCCCGTGATCCTAGTTGATGAACTCCAGCTTCGTCTCCCATGTTCTTGTTTCGAGTGGATCGCCCCAAGTCCGGAAAAATGGGCCAAAGTTTACAAATCAGGAAATGCTCAACAGATGCATGTACAAGAAGCCTTATCTCACATGATGAAGGGCTCAAATGAGCCGCAGTCATTGAACTCGCAGCCTGTGCCATCTCCTCTGGCAAACTATCTCCTTCTACATGCTCTCATTCAACGCATAATGCTTGTTCAGCAGGCATTTGGTCCATATAATGATGAAGACCAGAACTTACTGAATCGCCAAAAAGAATCTATTCGGTGAGAACATGTGCTTCGAGATTATTTTCAAACGCTGATCCTTGCTCTACAGAAATGCTCTCCACGTATGGACATCTCAATGGCAACGAGCTCCCGAGTCGAGTCTGGATCCCCGAAACCCCAATGGACCAGTGACATTCACCTCAACGGCACTGTTGGGCCTTGCGTATGTCCGACTTGCTCTCAATATAGGGTCATACAAAATCCTTGGATCTCGTAATCCACAGGAGATTGCAAACCGGCTACTCCAAATGCCACGTCTACCAGCAGGGCCTCACTTACTTCCTGCTATATTACACGCAACACATGCTCTAAGCATACCCGTCAAGCTAGGTGTCAATTATGTCGCACGAAGTCATGCATTTGTGTGGAGCATTCAGCATTCAATCTGTGGATTGGAATTCGCAATATTTCTCAGCAAATGGCTGTTCTGTATATCGAACTGCCAAAAAACGAGACCACTCGATGGTATGTTCTTTTTTTTCCCCCATGAACAATTGGGAATATACTTACCGCTGCAGAACATGAAAGTCGCCTCATTAGCTGGATTAGTGATATAGTAGAAGAAGGGAGGACATCAGGCGATGAGGATTTATGGTCCCGGCCAACCCTTTCTTCCAATTGTGCCTATCTCGCTTTTGCGGTGGTGAAACTATGGGCTCGGCTCATCAGAGGAAACGAGCAATGGGCAATATTGAAGATCATCGGACAAGGTCTCGATATTTACGCTAATACCTGCGAGGAAAGGTTTGTAGAGTCTTTGGCCAATTCCCAATGAATGCATTGAATTATAATTCAACTTCTAATGTCGAAAATCACCACTTAGATACAAATTTAGACTTCTTCCTCAATCTCTCTCCAAAATTATATAGCAAGTAGATCCCAATCACGCAGCCAATCGTCAGACCCGCCAACAAACTGCATCCACGACCAACTCCAAGATTCTCGTAAAGTGGTCGAGAAAAGACAACAGCACCGCAAGCAAAGGCACTTCGGGTGAAATCGGTTGCTGCAAAAACACTGGCGGCATATTGAGGGTAGCATGCCGGGATATAGAGGAAGATGGATTGCATCAAAATGAACACACAGCCGGGGTAAATGACGATACCGATCGTTGGCACGATCCAATGCACCTTTGGAGTTGCAGCCCAGCCGAAAAGAAACAGCCCAATCGCCGGGCCAAAGCACGCATACAGAGCAGGGACCAGAACATCTTCTGGTTTCTGAACCGCACCGGCCTTGGCTTTGGGGAGAAAGATCTTGTGGATGTAGAGATTGTACACCGCGAATGATATGATTGACCCGACAACAATCGCGAGAAACGCCAGGCCCATCTCTCCTAGGTTGAACCCGTACATTCTTTGATAAACAATCGGAAATGCCTCAAAAAACGAGTAGTAGATGCCATAGGTCAAAGACGTATACATGTTCAGAAACAAGATTGCCGGGTCCAGGAAAGTGATCCTCGAAGGAATGAGCAGCGACTCCCGAATGACTTCTTGAAAAGATATTCCAGCATGGGAAACGTCGGCAGCAGTCTGATAGACATGAGACTTGTCAGAGTCATGCTCTTCCAAGCATCGGGCACGCCGATGTAAGATCGTATCGGGGTTGGTCTCGGGCAGCAAGAGGAGAAGGACAAGAATTGGACCCGCGGCTATCAGAATCTCCCACATCGAGAAACGCCAGCCAAGCACTGGGATTGCGAATCCAGATACCAGCACACCTATTGCCGGTGCGCTGAAAACGCAGAGTACCCAGGTTGTCATTGCGTGGGGAAGCATGTTCGAGGAGTAGACATCTGCGATTGAGGCGCCACCGGTGGCCAAGCAAGGACTGCCGAAGAAGCCTTGTAGGAATCGAAGGAAGTAGAACCCGATTGCAGTGGGTGCTAATGCCGTAGGAATGCTGATGATGCAGAATAGTATGAAGGAGACGGCGTAAGGAAGACTGCGGCCGATACGCGGGATCTCACTCAACGGGCTGAAGAAGAGAGGACCGGCTCCATATCCCAATCTGTAGTTGAGGTCAGTTTTTTGTTTTCAAAAACAGCTCTGCTGGCACATACACATAGAGAGCAAGTCCAAGCGATGCCTCTGCATTATTCACGCCGAATTCCTCAATGAAAGCATTCTCGCTCGGGGTGTAGATGGGCGCTGCCATGTAGACCACAAAGCTGTAGATGCCAATAGTAAAAAGAACAAAGGCTTTCTTTGGCTGGGACCAGTTTTGAGGGTTATCTTCGTCATTTTCCGAGTACCACTCGACTGGTATCGCCTTTTCGCTCTCATGATGAAGTTTTCCTTGCCAATAGTCAAGACTCTCTTCATTGTACCTCAGCCATGAGGGCTTGCACAGCTGGCGCAAAACTTGTCCGAGGAAGCTGTCCCGTAGCCAACCTAGCGGCATCTTTGTGTGGTACTGTGGACAACAATATTTTGAAATCGAACACTGAAAAGAATCAAATGCTCATATTTAACTCAAAGACACATTATAAATCGCTTTGCAATTATAAATCCCATGCTCGAATTTGTCACTTGCGAGTTTGCGCATCTAAAAGTCGCCGGCGTGTGTGGAGGTGGAGTTGTTTGGAGGTGTGGAGATATTGATCACTCAAGGTGTGGAAACATTTGCATCATGCAGATATGCCTTAGATGGCGGGTGGCGAGCTCGTAAGGCTGACTGGTTTGACAACTGGAGATCCTTGCGGATTACAGGGCTTGGATGCTGTCTTGCTGACTCTGTCAAAGGCCTCATCCATGGATCTACATCATGCCTTATGCTTCCAAAGTCGGTTATTTGGCTTCTAAGACCATAGATACTCGAGTGCACTGACTAGTTCCAATAAACTCAAGTCTTTTCGTGTCGGATCTGGATACAACATTCCTTCTTCTGTAATATGGATGACCAAATGAGTCGGAACTTGGAGGTCTCCACAAGAGCATGGAAATGCCCTGTTTAATACTGTTATGCCTGGCTAGCGCCCGCATGAGATGCAGCATCTATTTATCTACTACTTCTATGCAATTTGTTCAAACCCTCACCCAAACCTTGGAAGCTGGGAATATCATTGCTTGAGAACCACAGCGGTGCCCAGGTGTTATGCTCCCATCCACCCGCCTCTTGGGTCCCGAGGTCAATGAAGGCAAACAGGGGACACTAGAACATTCTGAGCTGTTCTATAAGACAATGTTCTAATATTATGAATATTTACATGGAATTCACAAAATCGCCGTGATGTCTGACAGACAACCCCGCCGGACGTAGTTGAAGGTCCGCGTTGGAGACGTTACCGCATCAAGCGATATCCCCGTCGCCCAATGGGCATCTCCAATGCATCTCCACTGCAAAAAAAAATGTCGATCAGAAAATTGGAGGGAATTACCAATCAGGGGGAAAGCGATGATATGATGCAGTTATAAATGCACGTTGTTTTAGCCTCATAAATACAGTAAACACGTCAAACCTTTCCCCATCATCATCCAAGCCGAATCTATAAGTCATGTCCGGACTATTTGAGCCCCTGCGCATCGGCAATGTCGAATTGCAGCACCGAGCCGTCATGGCCCCTCTCACTCGCATGCGCTGCGATGCCGAACATGTCCCCCTCCCATTTATGAAGAAGTACTACGAGCAACGCGCTTCAGTCCCGGGAACATTGATCATTGCCGAAGCCACCCTTATCTCAGCCACTGAAGCTGGCATCCCTCATGGCCCAGGAATTTGGACCGAGGACCAAATCCAGGCATGGAAGCAGATCACGGACGCCGTTCACGCCAAGGGCAGCTCCATCTTTTGTCAATTGATCGCTCTCGGTCGAGCTGGCAGCCCGGAGCAGTTGAAGAAGCGAGGAAACGGTCTCTTCGCGCCCAGTCCCCTCCAAATGGAGGAGGGCATGCAGCTCCCCGAAGAGCTGTGCGAGGAACAGATCCAAGACATTATTGCGGATTTCGCAACCGCCGCGAAGAACTGTATCCGGGCCGGATTTGACGGTGTCGAGGTCCACGGTGCTAATGGGTACCTGGTCGACCAGTTCACGCAAGATATCTCTAACCAGAGACAAGACCAGTGGGGTGGAAGTGTTCCGAACCGCGCCCGGTTTGGTATCGAGGTGGCTAAGGCATTGGTGGATGCTGTTGGAGCCGACAAGGTCGGATTCAGAGTCAGCCCATGGAATACCTGGCAGGGCATGAAGATGGCCGACCCAGTTCCTCAGTTCTCATACCTTGTCGAGCAGCTGAAGGAGCTCAAGCTTGCTTATCTCCATGTCGTCGAGTCCCGAGTGATCAACAACGTGGACTGTGAAAAGACAGAGAGTATTAAGTTCCTTTTCGATATCTGGGGCAAGACTTCACCGGTGCTTGTTGCGGGTGGATACAACCCCGGCAATATCCAAGCTGCACTTGAAGACGAATACAAGGACAATGATGTTGCTGTAGTCTTTGGCCGCTACTTCATTTCCAACCCCGATCTTCCCTTCCGGCTGAAGCACCAGATTCCTCTGACCCGGTATGACCGGTCTACTTTCTATGCGGCTATGTCGGAAGACGGCTATGCGGGATATCCATTCAGTGAGGAGTTTCTCAAGCAGTAAAGAAGCATTACTTGGTCGGGAGACTGTTGTTACTTGAACGGGGAATAAGAATTATACCCCTGCTGGAAGGAAGAGACCCGATTCCATGCGCTGCAGGCTTTTTGTATTTCCAGACCCCCAATTTCCACGCATCTAAATTTCGTCTAGACACACTCTGATAGATTATGAAAGCATATATCAATCTGCCTCCGGGGTGTAGTCCCATCCACGCATGGGTGCAACGCAGTACGCCCTTCCTGGCACAAGAAGCTTCGTACACGTCGCCGATTCCAAGGAAGGGTTCACTGCCAAGAACAGACTGCTCGTGATCTTGTTTTGTACACAAATCTGTGCGCAAGATTCTCCAGCAGTGGCCACATGCCAACTTCCGCAACGCTCTGTGGTCCCAGCTGCCACCGTCGCATTTTGCGGAGCAAAAACAGCATATATACCGTATCCAGAGCTCTCCGTACCCCAGGGGTTGTATGATGTTTCGACAGGAACCATGTTCTCGAAGTTTCCGGCTTGAGGAGCCAGGCATAGCACGTTCCCGTAAGCCCAAGCTGTGCTGTGAAGATTGGTGCAGTATGTGTCAATCCAGGGGTTGAATTGACGAAGAGCAGTGACGATCTTGGTGCTTTTATCGAACAAGATTTCCTGATTCGCTTCTTCAATGCTGCGGCAAGTGTCATTAGGTTTCAAAACATAGGTGTGCGCGCATGAGAGCGGGAGACACAACTCTTTCCCAACAACGACTTGATCACAATCCCGGATGAGATCTTGATTGCCCATGTAAAGAGCTGCGGATGAGAGGGAGTAGTCAAGCGCAATGGACGTGCAAGTATCGCCGCTTTTCGTCGTATATGTGCTGCCGGCGGGACAAAGCACATCGTCTTCCGGCTCAGCGGTACCGAGGCCTTCTGGAATCGTGGTGTTGGAATCAAATCCACATTTTTCGACCACGGTTTCGAGATTGTTTTTGTAGTGCTGGTTGTAATACGAGTAGGGGCTTGATTGCATCATCTGCAGTTTTGTCTTGTAGCAGTAAGAACACATCTCGTCTCGTGGCATGAGCTCAACGCTCGAGACGACCGTGAAGTTGCTAATGATATCTGATTGAAAGTTAGTAGGAAATGGGACATCTTTCGTGGGTGTAAGCCTTACCATTGCAATACTTTCCACTCGCCGGATCCTTATAGCATGTCTCATTCCAGCCGGTCCACATAGTTCCACCCGCAATTGTAGCTGGGTAATCGAAAATAGTGGCTCCTCCACAGTTTGCTTCAGCGTTTGTGAACCAGCTTGCCAGGGAGTTACCACAACTTGGATCACACACTAGATCGGTCAAAGTATCATTTCCCAGAGATCCGTAGTATCTGGGCTCCCCGAACCGGAAAACAGTGAGATCACACTTAACGGTAGCGGTGAGAGCAGTGGTACATGCATCAGAAAACGTCAACGGAATTTCGTCGGCTTGATATATCGTGAACCCAGGGAATACGCGTTTTCCGGTAGTGCTGCTTGATCCCTTCAGCCAGGCAAGAATCGAGGACATGAACCCATTTTTGTTATCTTTGGCTAGGGTTGGCTTCTCGTTTGAAGGACTGATCATTTCAACGATTGCCTTCGTGACCAGGTTATAAATCCAGAGATCTTGGCTTTCCTCGACCTCAAAGGCCCGATTTTGACAGTCTTCTGTGTCAAGACATGCTTTGGAGTATTTCGAGAACCAACTGTACAGTCCTGCCCCCAGAATGTAAATACTCGACGAGTCCATAATCCGCATAGCCCATGATACTGCACACCCATCAGATGTAGAGGATTCGCATTCGTCAAAGAAGGGGTCGTTTGCAAAGCCGCCCGCGACAATAGGCAAAGGCGCATGCGGATGCACTTGGAAGTATGGAGATTCGGTTTGAATCATACCCATAACCACGCTCTTGGCTTGAGACAACTGGTACTGATAGAGAACATTGTGCTCTGAAGCAGTGCCATAAAGCCAGGTTGGACCTTGACTTTCAATGAGGATTCCGCGACCAGAGAAAATATCAATTTGCGCTTCGTTTTCTGCATCCAAGTCATGATCTGCAACCCAAGCCCAGGAATTCTCGATGTAGGCCGATGCCGTTGGAGTGATATGAAGAAGAGCAGAGGCTGCAATACAATTCATATTAATGCCGCCATCTTTAGGGCAATCGCTTGCCTGTAGTCCGGATCCCTTAGCTCCGCCGACACGGAAATGAGAGTCTAAACAATGAAGTCAGCAACATAGAACAATAAGTTTGACGTTTATGGTGTCTTGAAGTACCCCAAAGTCCAGCTGAGCCTCTTGTGATCTCATGAACGTTCCATTGAAGCAGGACGGCACCTGCAGTAGCACTTTTCACGGTAAACATCATGTCCTGGATTTCCACTACACCTGATTCATCCGGTTCTCCAACCTGAACAACGGGTCGTCGAGCCAACTGGTTTGAAAACCTTTTCCCTTCTCCCATGATCTGTGGCCAGGCTTGTCCTATTACTCGGGATCCAACAGGAATTTTGATGGTGTCGGTCACTCTATAAATCCCGAATGGGACAAAAACGATAGACGACATATTTGCAGCTGCGGAAAAGATGCTGTTCAATGCTGTGGTATCATCTGTCACACCATCGCCTTTAGCACCTGCAGATTTCAGGTTGATAATTTGGCTCTGGCCTATATCGGTATACTTGGGACGACGGCGGGTATAAAAGTTGGGCCTCACGTACGCCAACTCCGTAGATAGAAGAGATTCCACTCTGTCCATGGTAGGAATGGCGGCCCCATCTATGAAAGAGCTCTCTCCATGGGCATTCATAACCCGGCCAAAGGCCCAGTTATCGAGCTTGACCTCGTCTCCACCTGCAAGGAGAACCTTGGAAAGAACATTGTCGGTGATGGAATTCTTGACGTTGAAGAATCCAACGTTTTGCAGAAGTAACGAGGTTGAAATATCAGCGAGCAACGAGGTGACAATACCAGTTGGTGTGTTGGCGATGATTGCATCTACCAAGATGAGTGAACCAAGTGGCTGGCCAGTACTGAGGCTTCCACCCGCCTGTCCTTTTGTCAGCACTTTTCAAAGATGTGGGAATCCGGCACGGAGTCAACCCGTTGCATGGATTGGCTCAAGACTGGGATGGGAGAGGCAGAACGTACACCACCGGTGACAAGCATTCCAGTTTCGCAGGACTCGATTACTACATCTTGCATCGTCCATGCCCAATCCCAGTGAATTTGAAGAGCAGTCTTGCAATTCACAAACACCAAGTGGCTCGTGGTAAACTGTTGGTTTCCAAAGTATGCTCTATGAAGGATGGTAAGCTTTATCAAGGATGCTTGATTTGTTCCGTCTCTTACCCAAAGTTGCCTCCCACGAATGTAAGATCAGCTAGAAAGCCACCACTGCCGTTCTCCATATAGATTCCCTATCCCATTGAAATGAGAAAAAGGTGAAATGAAATCTTCAGGGTTGTAACTCATACCTGTTGAGTGTTTCCCTTGGCGTGCTGCACCATATAAATTTCAATGTTCTCCAGGGAAGTACCTTGAGCGACCTGCCAATGAATTGCACAAACATATGCTGATTGGTCTGTACGCGTGATGTCCATCTTGAAATTTTTGACGCTCCGCAAGAAGTTGTTTGTGTTGAGATACCTGGGTAAGAATTAGCAAGTGACCTCCGAGTGAAAATGTAAATGTTATCATAAGTCTGTTGGCTTCGGGATCGAATTCAAAGGCCAAAGTTCCGGAGAGAGAAGGTAGAGGGGAGAAGGACAAGAAAGAAGGAGAGAGGAGAGAGGTTTCATGACTTTTGGGAACGCAATGGCAAAGGGTTGATCTCACCATCCTTCCGAGTCTCCGACGTAGACATCCGAGGTAATCACACCAAGACCAACAAAGCTTGAAGCAGCCAAGATGGTGGGGAGGCTCGTGGGCTAATTCAGAGAGTCATGAGTCAGTCTCAGAATAAAACTAGGACATCTGGATGGGGAATATCTTACGTCTCCCAACAACTGCGTGTTGTAAAATTGAATGACCGGGCTGCTAACGAGATAGGTACCTGGGGGAAACCAGACCACAGCCGGATAGATGGTACTAGATTTGCAATTGGCACCGCAGCGATTGCCATCGGATATAGCTCGATTGATAGCCGCCGTATCATCAGTAACTCCATCGCCTGGTGGAGTGGTTAGCTTCAACCTCTACAATGTCATCGCCAATTTGCACCTTTAGCCCCATAATCGAGGACGTTTCTCCAAACCTGTCATGTCAATTAGTCTCAAAATTTTGTTGAGTTATTTTGGTCGAACCTGGTAACCCTTCTCTGCGAAAGGACTTGCCCCATTCTGTTCCATGCTCGCCATCCAATGGGGAGAGTCCCTTTTGCCCTTCTCTTGATGAACCTGGGATTGGATCCCCTCGGGTTGCTCGGAATGAGCATATCCTTCCAAGCCATTGGGCCGAAATAACTTCTGGGCCATTGCATTTGTGTCGTTGCTACCCTGGCTCCATTTAGCCTTGATTTTGGCAGCAATCGAGGCGTAATCGACATCCCAATCACTTGGCTTCTCGGACTCGGCAACCTCTTTGGCGGCACTTATGAGAGCAGGGGATAGGGTGTAGCCGTACTTTGGACTCGATTCCCGGGAGATCGAGCCGTTAGTTGATCCACTCTTGCGTAGCTGACCAAGTAAGGCATCTTTTGTAGAATCCAAATAATCTGAAAGTGGAACAGAAGATGTTTTTCTCTGTTCAAAACCAGTACCCTGGAGCTCGTATTTATTGGGCTGTGGATTTTCCACTCGAAGCTTGTTGGCTATTCTCAAAGCCTTCAGAGCCTCTTGTACTATACCTTCGGCGGATGTTGTAGTTCCATGACTCTCTGTAATATTGCGCCGTTTGTCTAGATGATCATGGTTGTAATGAATATGTTGAGAGGTAGATGTGGCAGGCAGCCATCCAAGCAAGACCAGGAAACACAAAAGCCCAACCAGAGGTCGAAGCATCCTGTGCAGCGCGAAGTGAGCCACAGGTGAAAAGGATGAGAATTCTCGAGGCGCCTGGACCCCGGCTCTAGTGAGAAGGCGTGGGGTGGGGTGTTGCCCAACTTATTGAATAATTAATTACTCCAGCGTATGGGTCAGTCTCTCGCCCTAATCACTTCCTAGGTATGCTTTGATGGTACATCATAAAGTACTTCCAAAGTTTCCCCTCTGGTATCTCCTCATATCGGTTCATGTCTGACACTACCGCCCAAGCCAGCACTTTTCTCTATCTTCAAGGTCCGATGTGTGATCAAATTTCATCCTCGTTTGTAAGTACAGTAGGACGTACGTGGATCATGGGCCGCATAACTAAAGCCCGGGCAGCATCTGGCGCTGAAGCTCACGCCAAGGCCGCCAGGGTCCGGGGGCACACGGTTCGGTTAGAGCAGCGAACTAGTATGGTCCACTCACAAGACTAACGCAATTTTGGGACAATCTACTCTGTAATTGCACAACATTTCCAGCGGAACATCGCCGGAAGTCCCTTGTTTACTTTCAATTGGAGTACCAGTACTCCGTACTGGACTATGTCTCCGATCTAGAGTGGCTCCGTAATGTCCCTCGAGCGTGATCGTTTCTACGCTAGTTTATCTTTCATTATTTATTGTGGCTTTCTTCTTTGGCTTTCGGCGAAATGATGGGAAATGATGGCTTGCCATTGGCAGAATTGGATTTATCTTGAAAATGGACTCCATCGACGCGCACCGACTTGCCGACACCTCCAGGACTAGGCATGCAATGGTCCAAACCCTGGTGCGCCAAGGCATAGGTTTGATACGTGAGAACGGAATCTGAAAATCATTAGCGCGATTACACTGAGATTCGCCAAGTCTTCCGCCTCCGCCCATCGCCGACGCCCTGACTTCAAACGTCCATCTTTGCGCGAGGGAAATATCGGTTGGAGACAGAGGAATTTAAGACTAGTGTCATACAGACGGGTAAGGCGATCAAGCTCATGAAAGGGGTAACAATCATCCTAAGATTCCATCGCGATCACCATACGGAGTAGGCCCCAGCACACCGGCGCTACGGAGTAGCGTACCCTTCGTTTGGTGTCTTGGCAAAGAGGGTTCTAGCTTTCTATTCTCTGTTTGTTTGCGAGGTCTAGCTAGTGTTACTAGTGCTGAAAATGTCCGGAGCTAAGCTCTAGGTTGCATCGGCTAGAGCTTGTAAAATTTCAGGTGATCGCCGAGGACTACTATGTAGTAGATCAAGGAGAAAACATACCTAGGTACGGGCTTTCTTCTTGCCGCTAACCCTGAGGCTTTTCAAAAACAAAAATCTCATAGGGAAGTGCTTCCGGAGGAAAGCAGTGCTTCTCCATCATACTATGGGCACGTCCGTATCCTCGAGGCTCGGTCGAATCCTGGCATTGTTCATCCTATGTCTCCTCATTATCCAAGCTGCAGGACAAGACTGCAGTAAAGACATATCTTGTGCTACCGGCTGTTGTTCAAAGAACGGTTACTGCGGGACTGGTGATGACTTCTGTGGTGCAGACTGCGTCGGCACTTGCGACTACAAGTTGGGTTGCGATGCCAACAACCCATGCGAACGAGGTTGTTGCAATAAGTTTGGATTTTGTGGACTAGGACCAGACTGTATGTGCTCATGACGAAACCGTCCAATTTCTTTTCACGTTTTCATCACTGACATTTCACCATTAGTTTGTGGAGATGACTGTGTCGCAAGCTGTGAAAAGAAAGCCGAATGTGATCCGGGATTCGGATCTGAATGGTCTGAGAAATCATCATGCCCTTTGAACACATGCTGTTCAAAGTTCGGCTTTTGTGGAACAACCTCGGAATTCTGTGGCAAGAAGAAGGTGAAACGGCCTTCTTGCGACAAGTCCTCTCACACCTTGGAGCGCGTTGTGGGATATTACGAAACGTGGAGTATCCGGCGTCGATGCCAAAAGCGCTTCTGGCCGGAGAGAATACCTTATGGTGTTTACACACACATCAATGTGGCCTACGCCCTTATCGATCCAACTTCATTTGAGATCATACCTTCTCTGACCGCAGACATCGCGCTTTTTAGCCGAGTTACCCACCTCAAGAGGTCAGACCCTGGTCTTAAAGTATTCATTGCGATTGGTGGCTGGACTTACAACAACCCTGGTCCATCAGCAACGACATTCTCGGATCTGGCAGCCTCGGAATCCAACCAAATGAAGTTTTTCAGCTCTCTCACAAAGTTCTTGTTCAAATATGATTTCGATGGCGTGGATATTGACTGGGAATACCCCGGGGCCGATGATCGAGGTGGTCGTCCGCAAGATTTTACCAACTTTCCTAGGTTCTTGAAGAATCTCAAGGACGCACTTAAGAGAACCGGTGGGCGTGATGGGCTCAGCATCACCCTTCCCGCCTCTTTCTGGTACCTTCAGCACTTTGATATCCAAAACATGAAGAAAAGTGTGGACTTTTTCAACATCATGACATACGATCTTCATGGCACTTGGGATAAGGGCAACCAGTGGACTGGCGATTCTCTCGACGCGCATACCAACCTCACGGAAATTCAACTATCTTTGGATCTCTTATGGCGCAACAACATCCCGTCTGATCAAGTTGTCCTCGGGCTAGCATTCTACGGAAGAGCATACACAATTGCAGACCCAGCATGTACCGAGCCTGGGTGTCTCTTTGTTTCTGGAGCGGAAGCTGGAAAGTGCAGTTCCGAAATTGGTGTTCTGATGAACTCAGAGATCGATGAAGTTATTGTTAGCAAGAGGCCTACGGTGACCTGGGATAAGAGGGCTGCGGTGAAAATGATGACATGGGACGGCGACCAGTTGGTCACCTTCGACGATGCCGATACCTTCAAACAAAAGGCCGATTTTGCGCGAAGTCAATGCTTGGGAGGCCTCACGGTATGGGCAGTCAGCCACGATCACACAAACGGCACATTCTCGCAAGCACTTGGGGAGGCAGCGGAACGAAAGTTCGAAGAACTGCCCGATTACATCGAAACAGAAGATACCATCAAGATCAAGCATGGTCAATGTAAGTGGACCAACTGTGGAGAGCTTTGTCCCGCTGGATGGGTTCTCCTCAAACGTCAAGACAATGACAAAACTCACGATGGCGATTGGATGCTTGATGATGGTGGTTGTCCTTTCAAGGGCGATCTTCGTCGTCTCTGCTGTCCCCCTGACCAAGAAGCCTTCCAATGCGGCTGGTACAATTTCAACAACGGCGCTTGTGATGGTAAATGCCCGAGCGGAATGTTCGAATTTGGAGAAACAGATCGGGAATGTTCAACCGCTTCATGGAATTACCAAGCAGCATGTTGTACCACCGGGCAAAAGAGCTTCATTCGAATGTGATTCTTACAAGTGTCTGGCTGCCAAGTCAGATATTCTTCTCAAATCCTGCAATGGAAACATTGTTCACAAGCAGTACAGGCCTTCCGGTGATAACTCTTATTATCACTGCAATCCGCGAGACTTTCAGGACATCCAAACAGCTGAAACAGAGTCTGGAATGATGCTGTTAGCCTTCAATTCACCTACCCGGTGACAGATAAACTGATTCCATTCCAGAGACTATCTCGATGAGCTTTATAGTGAAGCTGCACAAGAACTCGGAGGTCACATAATTTGCCACTTTTCCTCCTGGGGCCTGATGATCAGGGACTGTACGGGACCCAGCGATGCCACCAACCTGGTCTGTGAAGTCGGTGATCTGGACTGTTGGAATCCCAAATACTCAGTCGACACAGATGCCCTTGGGACTGATACTGATAGCAGGGTGACCAAAAGATTACTTCGCTGCTGAAAACGCGCGACTGCGCCAGACAACCATTCACCGTTGATTGCGGTGTTGACCCAGCCCCAGCCACGGATCCCAGTTGAGTTTTGGTCAATGAATCTGCGAACAGGAGCCGCCGAACAAGGAGAAAATAAGTATTCGCGTGATTTGCGGTCCTCGTTGGTTGATATTGCCTGTTTATCATTTTGTAGCTCCCTCGCCTTCCCAGCCCATGGTATTGGCGTTGTAGGCTTGAGAGGAGCGGTTAAGTAGCCCTCACAATTCACCCACGTAAAGAGTGTCTGTATTGGAGAAGCTAAGAATCTGTTGTAACTCTTGTTGGGCTTAGTGGCTGCGACAAGAAGATGGCATGAGGGATACTCATCAGGCTACCAAACTAAAGATCGCACTTGGGACTCCAGGGAGGTCAGTTCCAAGGCCAGACTGGCCTTTCAAAGTTCGTGAAATGCCATGCAGTCGGCTCTGGAAAGCCCTGGGGATATGTTTTTTGAGCGTTGACGGCATGGAAGTCGAGCCAAACATCTTTGACTGAGTACAATGGATCAGGGCTCGACATGAACTCGTAGAACCGCCAGAAAATCTGCGGTGCGTTGATTCTGACTCGGCCGTCGTAGCCATCCTCATCGGGCTCTGACGAAGACCACTCGGGGTCAATTGCCCAAGCATAACCAGTAAACATCTCGTCGTCATGGCAAACGAGCGATTGCCGAGCTTCGTCGGTAATTAGTAAGAATACGTTCTTGAGGATTCCAGTCCTTAGGTCGCTTCTCTCACGTCGACTCCGAAATTCCCTGGCTTACACGTCAGAATTTGCTTTCAATGATATAGAAAGTAGAATAGCTCACTGGCGAAGGTGGCCGATGTCAGTTTCTGCCGTCTCGAATGGGACAAATTGGGCCAGTTTGAAGTCCTTGATTTTATCGGCTCCATCAAGAAATGGACCCATTTTCAGCAACTGGTTGAACACCTCTAGATATTCGTTCCATCTAGCTATGTCCTTGTGGTGGTAGAATATGAAACCCCAGTATTTGTCGTTCTCTTGATCGATGAGCCTTTGGACCCATTCGGGCGGCGTACCGTATGGCATCTCCGGCTTGTCCTTTGCACGTCTTTCATGGTGTGCTGCCTGATGCTTCTCGAGAAAGACCGCGTTATAATTGCGAATAGCCTCTCGCTCCGGTGATACCAAGGCTGCCTCTTCTGCTTGCTCTTTCTTGGCCATAAGATCGGGCCGGGAATAGGGCAATTTCCATCGATCACCCCGGTCCCAGAATCCTAACATACGGAAGTTGTCACGCATCAGACGACATTCCGGGTATGTTAGGAGCTCTGGAGTCGTGGCAGCCTTTTGGAACAGCTCATCGAGTGAGATTCCGACGGCTTTCTGGGTGGTGGCATCCATTTCTGCGCGAGGCGGCCATTCCATCATTTGGTGCTTCTCCTCAGTGGAGATTTCCGCTGGGGATTGGATCGCCTTATCCCATAGCGGCTCGAGTTGAGCGAACTCTTCCAGCGTCTTTGCCATTGGAAATGAGGGAGGCGATGGTGTTGGGATTTTGAGAAGTGATCAGGAATCAAGATTTAAAGGGTTCAGGCTTGTTCCAAGCCTTTGCAAAATACAATACACGCGCGTATCACAGTATTGGTTCATTGTCACTGGTATTTTTCAATGTAACTTGAGCCCGCAAACTTTCCAAGGTTCCCTACAAAGGTGACCTGAGCCATTCCCAAGCACAGTATGGAGCATGGGGTACGGTGGTAAGAAGGCAGATGCCAGCATGGAGTAAACAGAGGGTGGTTGGGTGCTGATCTCCACACGTGACCAGGGCTACGTCCACGGCCCCGGGGATGCATGGAATCTGAAAGTCGACCGTCACAAGGTAGGTCCTCAGCTCAGGCACATGTGCTTATTCATGTTTCCCTAAGCTGGGCGGGCTTAGATCCGTAGAGGCAAAGCCAAAGAGGCAAAACATCGACAGAAAGCATCCGCTTCATGCCGGTCACCAGCTAAGCAATCTGTTGGCCTCCCAACCACGACAAAATAATCAGACCGTAGCTCGTGGGCCGCAATCTCCCACTTGATCCTGACCTAAGATTATAGATACTAATAGGGGACCCATTCTCTGAATAGTGTGACGACATGAATGAAGATCTGCACCTGAATCCATCGCTATGTTTGCTAGCCGCCAGAACAGGTGGATTTTGACACGTCGTGGAGTCAGCAAACCCTCACATGTTCCAGAACGGGCGGGAGCCCCGAGAATGTAGGCTGCCATTGGTACGCCACTTGGACTCATTAGGGCTAGGGGCAGGAAGAGGGGCCCAATACAATTTTGAGGCATTCGGCTGTGTCGGCTTTTATCGAAATCGGTTGAAAGGGGCCAGGTATTCGTCGGATCAGTGGGACGGGAGGCCCTGCAGCAAAGGGTACAATGCCGTACAGCAGGGTCGTACAGAGTATGCCGTCGAGTAGCATGTATTTTTGGAATATGCCAGCCATTTCCTCATGTTGCATGTAAATCATACGGCTAGAGGCCCGAAGGGGAGATCAGAGGCAGATCATGAGAGTTGCTAAATATGGGCCGGAAGCGAGGGGTACGAGGGCCAGGTGAGCCTGGGGAAGGATTCGTCACGCCCAGCCCACCTTTGAAGAGTTTTCTGTGTGTATCGTATCTCGACGTATTCTGAATTTTAGGACTCACCTTCTGAAAGTCCTACTCCGTACGGAGTACTCATAATGTGAAATACTCATAGTAACTACTAGTAGAGTCACTGAAATATCTAAAATTATATCAACAGGACGGAGTAACCTCAAAGAGCAAGACGTTCAGGCGACCCATAACGTGGTTTTTTATTGGAGCGGCAGCCAATCAGCGCTGCGGATCGCCCGGCGCTTGGCGTCGACTGAGACTAGTGGGGACTAGCGTGGCCTAATCTGGGCTAGTGCGTTCGGGCCAAACAGTGTTTGTTTCGTCGGCCCAAGGTTCACCGTCGCTTTGACTCCTTTTTCATTTTCTGCTTATTCTCGGGTCCTCCCTTGACTTCTTCACTTCCCTCGTTACTGATACACTCGTTCTCAACCATGCGTCTTTCCAGCCTCTCGTTCCTCGTGCAGGCACTCCTGTTGACTGCGGTCGCAGCCCAGAGTGCCGGCGTCGCCGCCTCCAACACTGTGGACGTCACCAGTGAAACCACTTCGTCATCCAGTTCCGAAGCGCCTACAACCTCTTCGACTTCCTCAGAGGCTCCTACCACCTCGGCCGAGCCTACAACATCTGCGGACCCAACCACCTCCGCTGAACCTGACCCAACTACTTCCTCCACTTCCTCCACCTCGACTTCATCCACATCAACCGCCGCTCCCGCAGAGACCACTACCTCTGCCGATTCCACTGTCGCTCAGCCCACCACATCCGCCACCAATGGACCTGCGTCCACTACCAGCTCTGACAACAGTCAGACGACTACGACTCCCACCACCACCCAGACCCCTGTCGTGAAGACCATCACCTCTTACGCCACCAGCAATGGAACCCCCGTCGCCAACGTGATGACCACCACCTCCACCCCTGCCGCGCAACCTTCTCTGAACAGCGACAAGAACTCCAGCTCTAGCGGTGTGTCAGCCTCCGACAAGAAGATCATCATCGGTGTCGTGGTCGGTGTCGGCGGTGCCATCATCATCGGAGTCCTCGGTGTGGTCTTCTGGCGAATCAAGAAGAAGCGCAGCGACCAGTACGGTGACGAGGATGATCTCATGGGCGGCACCGCCGTTGGCTCCAACCCTCGCGAGAAGGCCCCCAGCCCTGCCGCCAACACCCCCTTCAAGAACACACTGGACCAATACCACAACCCTGGTCCTGTCAATGCGGCATCCAACTTCTAAGTTGAAACTGCACGGACTCGACACACGTCGAAGTGTAAAACTTGTACGATCATCATGCTATACTCAGGCGCTTTGGACTGGACAGGCGAGACGGTTGCCTCTTCGGTTGCGGATTTTTTTGTTTGATTCTTTTATTCCCGGGCGTTATCATGGCCCAGTCGCTCCTTCATAGACCGCACTGCACATTCATTTCTGGAGCGTTTTTCTGCAACCATCACATTCATTTTGATCTCGAACTCTGGATCCTCGCGCGACAGACAAAATACGGCACTTCTGCGGTTCTGCCCCGTTTGCTTTTGATTCCCCGTGTCGATGCGCTTGGTTGTTTCCTGTGGATTATCCCATTTGCCTTGACAAATATTTTCTTTCTTTTGCAGCATTAGACGTCAGAAATGTACAGCGTGCTGCAAAGGCCCTTTCAGATATAGTTACCAAATTTGTAATGAGTCCTGCCTGTCAGCGCTTGTTTTGTCTACCCATCCAATACATAGTCTCTTGGTATTACTCTGCACTAGTAGTAGTACGATACTTCTTGAAGAATTCCTGGGCTGTCATCCAGTGTCGATCTTGATATATCGACATTTCACGTGATGCATTCCAGAACGCGTCCGGCACGCGAGATCGATAAGACATTCTGCATATCTCCTTCCAGCCCCTAGTTGAATACTTTATTATGACTTAAACCCTATCCTCAACCATCACCGCAAAAGATCCCATATATTCAAACCCACAAACCCCAAACCAGAAATCCGAAACAGAAGCAGAAAACAGAAAACCGCGCACTTCCGCATCCGAACCATGTTCGCATCACCTCAAACCCCATTCCGCCAAACAGGCCACTACACACCCTCACGCCCATCCCCCCTCAACATCTCAACACCCCCATGGACAATGTCCCCAACCCGACCCACCAACCAAGGAAGAACCACACTCTTCCAAACCGAGCCCGCAACCCGCCACACCCAATCCCAGCTCTCCCCAATCCCCCTCAACATGAACAACAGCAACACCTTCGCACCAACCTTCAACGCACACCCACCCAGCTCACCAAACTCACCGAGCTCACCAACGCGCCCAAAACCCAAATACGAAGCGCGGTACGCCGCGACAATCGCAAACCCACTCAAGACCGGACTGGCGCGCAGCCGGACACGGAAAATGTTCTTGAATCGGGTGCGCAATGATCGCGACGAAGGACGGTTCGAGGCGCGCGGTGAGCAGATGATGCATATGGAGCATCTTGCTGATCGGAGGAGGTGGGAGGAGTCAATGGCGCGGGAGGGAGAGATTGCAGAGCTGGATTTTGAGGAGGATGATATGCTACCTGGTATGTTTGACGTGTATGTTTTGGGACTTGGTTTGCTAATGCGGATAGATGATGCGGATGTTTTGGATGAGTTGATTTCGCAGGAGGATATGGAGATGGCTATGAGGGAGGCGCAGGCGCAGGCGCAGGCGCAATTACAGGGTCAGGGACAGGGATATGCGCATGGGCGTGTTGATCAGTTGCGTGGGAATGATGAGGTTCCGTTCAGTGATGATGATTATGATGATATTTTTATGAGATTGCAGGAGCAGTCGCAGGATATGGATACGTCGTGATTATGGGCGGGTGTTGATATAGGGCTGGTTCTGGTTTGCATGGCGTTTGGGTGTCATTACCTCGGATAGTAGATATGGGCTTTGGGGTTTTATAGAATGTGTATACAGCTAATGAAAGTGCCAATGGCACGGAAACCTTGGGAATTCTTCAAATGTCGGGGTATGTGCTTTTTGGCTTGGATCATATTTCGTTTTTTACTGTTGCGGACAATCAGGCATTCCCATATTAGCAGCTGCACCTCCCAGGTCTCCCATGAGCGGGTTTGAGACCAGCTCCTCGGGCGGACTGCCAGCTGCTTGCATCTGTGATTCGTCGGTAAGTGGCCCTGAGAAGGGTCGGATGAAGTACTCACTTCCTGCATGCGCTCCCAAACGTACTCGCGGCACTTAGGGTCATCATCCGAGTAGCTTCTTTCCTCGAACTTGGTCACGATCTGCTTCACAATCTGAGCCTGCTTTTGGTATCGCTCCAAGTCTTCTGCGGGGACGCTATCACCACCCTTATTTTTCTCCAACCACGGTCCAAACTTCACATCCAGCTCCTTCATAGGCTCGTACAACATCTCCTTATTCGAGAGCTGCTCCATCATTCCCATAAACATCTTAGACAAGTCGCCATCTTCGCCGGCACCGTCCGCACCCGCTTCCACGGCCTTGAGTAGTTGTGCAATCATATCATCTGACAGCTCATCCTCATTGCTTGCGGCAGCAGTCGCCTTATCACCGCTCTCTTTCATCCGGCCCATCGTGCGCTTGATAGCATCGTTGAACGAGTCCGGCTGTTCACTCGACGCACCAGCACCAGCACCAGCACTAGGACCAGGCTGCGTTTTCGGGGCGGCTGGACCCTCGGCTGTCCCTGAACCGCCTTGCTCGGCCATCACATCGGCCAATAACTGTTTGAGGAAATCGCCGGGCGGAACCCCGCTCTCCTCGAGCTGTTTGGCGAACATCTCGGCGCCCTGATCAACAGTCGATTGAACGTTGGGGTCTGCGGGTGCGCCAGGTGCGCCGCCCATCATGTTGGCCATGTCCTGCTCAAGCTGCTTGAGGAAGGCATCCTCGTCAAAATCTGGTGGTGCGACACCAGTTGAGGCATCTGGAGCTGGAACTGGGGCTGGTGCGGGCTGTACGGGGGCTTCGGGCTTCGGCTTGGAGAAATCATCGAGAACGTCTGTCCGATGCGTCAGTGGCATGATCTGCGGGGCTCGCGGATGTCGCCTTATCTGTACCGTCTAGCTCATCGAAGTCTGAATCTTCGTCATTTTCTTCCACGGCCGCTGGCTTTGCTTTGGTCTCGGCCGCCGGAGTCTGGGTCTCTTGCGTGGCCGGTGCCGCGGCGGGGGTCCCCGTCGCGGCCGCCTCGGGCAGGCCTTCAGTCGGCGCGGCCATGTCGAATTACAGAGGGGATTGGAGAGAGAGAAGGGCCTCAGGGCGTGTAAAAAGATCGACTGCGTTGTGTGGTAGTTGGGTCGCAAAGAAAGCGTGGAGATGAGGTTCGGCATGTGATGTTTTGGCGGGGGGCTAATTATCGCCGATCGCCGAGGGACTCGCCGTGCCGAAGGTCGTCGCCATCACCACTTGGGCAGGCTCAGATTGGAATATATCTGATAGCTCCTATGCAGGCCAAGGCAGATCTGAAAGTACGGAATATCAGGGCAGCGAGTTCACCAACCTTGGAAGCCTCCCTGGGAATGGTGCCTGAGGCACCCACCGATCTAGAACTCCATAAATGTCGACTAATTACGAGTCTGAGTAGCCCTAGCGAGAACTGCAGATTCTAGAACTTGGAACCTACTCCATACGTTTCGTATACAATACTCCCCAACATGTGCATAATGAGGTCATACGAGGTTCGCTTGGCAGTTGGGGGCGGGAAACGCAGAAAAAGCAAAAGGCGAAAAATCTGCGTCTCGCGAAGTCCGGGGAACCGTGGCGCGTGATTCGGAACGTCATGTGGTCCGGTGACTGGATGGGGATAGCCTGGACATGGCCGGTATCGGTGTCGACTGGGTAGTTATTCTGTAGTTCTCTGTAGTACTACAGAGTATATACATGAAGTATAGTCTATAGTAGTTGTAGTAAGTACAATATATACTGTACTGTAGAGTATTGACAAACAAAAAGCACATTGAACTCCCCGCAAGGGTGGAACCGCAACGTGGAGACGCCCCGAACGAGTTAGAAAAAAAGAAAAAGCGAAAAAGAGGAAAAGGAAACGAAGGAAAAACTGAACACCGAAAAGTCAAAAGGGCCCCCTCCCCTCACAACTTTTAGTCAATGGTTTTACACACCCTTTTACGTTCCTCTTTTATCTCTTCTCTCTTCTCTAGCCGCGCGTGTGTCGCTTTCCGCTTTGGTCTTTTTGATGGCCTTTTTCTGAATTGATTTTCGGTCGAAACGCGGGGGGAAAAAATAGCAGTCGCAAATGGTCTCAATGGTTGAAAACAATGAGCTGGGCATGGACCCCATTGTCCCCAAGCATGAGCCAGGGCCGGAGGGGTCTATCAGCTCTGTCTCGACCCCCGAGGAAGCTGAGCCTCTGATGCAAGACGCCGCGCAGACGCAGAAACGGAAAGGAGGCAGAAAACCTGTACGTAACAGCTTCGCAAATCTGGGGCCCCGCATCTCAGGCTTGTGTGACGCTCTCGTCGTGCGATACTGACCTAGCCATCCTCTCTCAGATCTATGCCACCTCTGAGGAGCGCAAGCAACGCAACCGCCAGGCCCAGGCCGCCTTCCGCGAACGACGGACGGAATACATCCGTCAACTGGAGACCACCATCAAACGCAATGAGGAATCGCTACAGAGCCTCCAGCAAAGCCACCGCAGTGCGGCGGATGAATGCCTCATGCTCCGGTATAAGAACTCGCTGCTGGAGCGCATCTTGCTCGAGAAAGGTACCGTCGACATCAGCCCCCCGGTGAGCCATACTAACCATCCCAGGCATCGATGTCCAAGCCGAGCTACGGTTGAAGACCGGTGCCCCAGGGGCTCCGGCCAAGAACCCTGCACCACCCAAGACGGCGCCTGCAGGATCCCGAAATCAACGGCACCCTGCAGGCATCGCCGCGAAGCCAGACGCCTTTGGCATCTCACAGCGGGAAGGCGCCTACGGTGTCTCCTCGCCCCAGTTCCAGGCTACTCCAACCTCGCACGTCTCCTCCCCATCGCACGCCAAATCCCCCGGCTTCGGCTTCCAGGGCGCCATGTCCCCGGCCGTCGAAGGTCGCCCCCAGCTGCTCCCTCAACCCCGGAGCTTCAGCCAGGCCTCCCCACCTGCAATCAGCATGCCCCAGACCGACCCAGCAGACAAGCAACAGTCGCGGGGCGCGGCCATGGGCCCCCGGGGTGCGCGGGTCGCAGCAGCCTATTATCCTTCTCCTTTCCAAAAACACTACGACCAACTTGGTAAGCGACACTCACAGCAGTTCAAGATCACCACTAACATCCCCTAGAACAAGAATACGACGCCCAGGCCGACATGGTCGACGACGAGCACGACGGATCCACAACCGCATCCTACGTCCCGGGCTTCACACCCCAGTCCATTGCATCCGGCTCCCATAATATGTCCGGGTTCAATCAGCCCTCTGCAGAAGGAACGCCCAGCGATTTCGGCGCTGCAAATCATCTCATGGGCTCTTACGAGCCAATGCTGGATACAGATCCCTTCGGGCTCAGTGCCAGCATGCACTTCCCTACCCCTTTCAATTATGAGCACAGTTCCTCCCGGCAATGAGCTGAACTCCTAAAATTTTGACTGTTTTATATCTTATTGGTGGTATATGATCATCTCTCAAAAGTTTTGAGCATTGCCTGGCGTTATAACGATTTTGATACCAATCTTCTCTTCTGGCTTTCCTCGGGGATTAATCTTATTACATTCTGTACATGAATCGATTATCCACGACTCCATCTATTTCCGTGCGCATAGAATCTCCATCGATTAACTCTTGCCAAGTACATACCTAGGTACGTTTAAGACCCCCTCTTCGGCCTAATATCATGTCCAGGTGAGTAGCATGAAACATGAAACGAAGTTGTGCGCTGTCTCGGTATATTGGACTCCAATTGAATTGGGAGTGCTACCTAGGTACTACCTAGGTAATAAACGCCAGCATCAAGACAGCCCTGGAGGCTTAGGGTGAGGTATAAGCGGTGGCCTTCCATTTTCCAGAAAATGAAGAGCCAGCAAAGGGACCTCGGAAACAGGGGGAGTTTGGGAATTATTGGGACTGAGCCTCGATATCGAATGCAATTGTAGATTCGGAGGACTCCATCTTCACATTTGGAGGCGTCCCATTGATCATTTGGTATACTCCAGTGGTGGTTCATGTCTGTGAGTTGGCTGTATATATCTCACAAGCTTTTATGGAGAATTCGAAAAATCGGATCTTATCCAAGCTCACGGGGATCACAGCTCAAGAGGGGCTTGCAAGATATGAGGCTTCAGCCTTGAATGTATGGCAATAATATATAAATATTAGGAAATGAATCCATTCTTGGAACTTCAAGTTGGTATGCTCCAGGGCTGTCGCGGTGCGGGCGATGATGTGTAATTATTTCCCCGACGCTATTAGTCCCGCGCTCTCTCCGCAGACTGAACTCCATCCTGAACCTCTCAATTTAACAACCAGCTCCCGAACCCAGTTCCTATATTCAACCTCTAACCCTACGTACGTGCTACCGTGTGCCCAGGTGGACGTCCCGACTTCATCCCACGTCACCAACCTCCCCGCTCCCCACCGTCACCGAACATTGTTGACAGCTCTCTATAAAGCCCCGACTGAACACGCCTGGCGACACCGCTTCGAGACGAGAATTCTCCCCGCACCATATAATCCACCCGCACCACCAATCCCCGAACCGCAACCATGTCGCAGCTCAATTACCGCACAATCAACATCGATGCCTTGGACCCCGAGTCCTCGACCAACTTCCCCATGGAGTCCCTGCTCCCGGCCAATCTTCCCCAGGCCGCATCCGCCAACGATGCAGCCAGCGCCGCGACACAGGTCCGCCAGATGCTGCGCGGCGGTGACCCCGAAGGAGCTCTGCGGACTGTCCTCGACACAGCCCCGCTAGGCGGCGACGACCGCGCCAAGGAGGTGCACCTTGCAACTGTCATTGATGTGCTGCAGGGAATCCGCCAGGGCGAAATGACCCGCATCCTCGAGGGTGTTTGCAGTGGTGAGGGCGGGGCTGAGCGCGGCGATTGCTTGATGAAGTACCTGTGCGTGGATCACTCTGGTTATCAGGGCGGAAGCCAGGATAACATTTACAGACATTGGGAATCTAGGCTAACGTTTGAACTAGGTACAAGGGTATGTCGTCGTCGGGATCGGGCAACGGTGCCCAGTCGCCCAAGAAGTCGGTCTCCCCCCAGGACACAGGGTTCTCTCAGATCCAGGCGCGCAACCTGGGTGAGGGTGGTGGTGGTCAACAGATGAGCGTTTTGCTGAGCTGGCACGAGAAGCTGGTCGAGATTGCTGGTACTGGCTCCATCGTGCGTGTCATGACTGACCGCAGGACGGTTTGATTGGATAAAACAGCATTGGATGGAGGTTCGTTTCTTATGATTTACTCTTGTTATCTTCCTGGTAGAGGCTTGATTTGCATTCCACACGGATGATATTCCTCCCTGGCCGCCTGAAGCGTAATTTTACATTGGATTATTGTGACAATACACTGGGGTTCTTTCACCTGGCCCTTATTTTTGTTCTAGACCTCGGGACCATCGTAGTACACTTCTATATGGTCGACTTCATGGCCTGTCGAAGTCTCCACCGCCCAAGATATCCTTGAGGTTCACGTCACCGCTGCCACGCTGCAATGGCTGGGCCTGGTTCTCTCCCTCCTTCCATCCGATCATGAAGATCAATCGGAACGTCGCGGGAATACCAGGCGCTCCTTCTTCCATGTGCAGGGTGCGATAGATGGCTTCATTAGCCAGCAAGACGTCCCGCGACAATGGCGCCTGGTCTCGGTTCATGATTGCATTGTTCTCGCCCATGGCCTGCAAGTCCTTCATGAGTGCAAAGGTATCAGGGAACTCAACCACGATGTCCTCCACATCCACGGTGAGCATCTTGAATCCAGCCCGGGTCAACAGACTTCCCACATCCTTGACATCCGCCAGAGGCGAGATATGCGGGCTCACACCACCTCGTCGCTCCATATCCGCTAGCTGCAGCGACCCACGTAGCTCGTACAATGTGTCACCGCCGAACATAGCGGCGATGAACGGCGCATCAGGCTTGAGGATAGTGTTTACCTGCTCTAGAAGTGCAGGCAGGTCGTTGACCCAGTGTATCGAGAGCGAGGACAGGACAGCATCGAAGCTGTTCGGGGCATAGGGCAGTGATTCCAGGTCTGGAATGATATCTCGCTGGACCTCGATATCCTTGTTAAATTGCATGTCTTCATCGCGGTGAAGAAGTGCGCGCGATGTCTCCACACAGGTCAACTTCGAGATCTTGCCTGATAGTGGTCGCAGCACATTCCCCTCGGGTCCAACCACATCGAGATTAGGATTCGTGATAGCTTTGGCGATGTTGCAGCTGTTTGCACCGAGGTCAAGAACGTGGGGAAAGTTGCGACTGATATCCTATAGGTATAAATGAAGCTCTGGTTAGCGAGCCCGCTTTCAACCTCGCTGCGATTGCCGCGCCCTTCCATCATGAATTAACTCACCAGTAACCGCTCGCATAGTCGTGTCGCCACTTCATCTTTCAAGTAGTCGACATTCCGGCTTTCTTCCACATTCTGAGCTGCCCGGTCTTTCTGCAAGTGCTTGATTTTGCGATTGAACACCTCCAGCATCGGATTGCCCGGTGTTTGGCTAGCATAGGCGCGGGACGCAATTGTCTGAAAGGCACATCGCCTTGAAAAGTGCGAGCGAAATGTCCGTAGAGGTAACATTGTGGTTGTAGAGTGAAGAGAAGTCCTGCGGAGTTCAGTTTGCGGCGATGACGGCAGAAAATGGCGGGCTTCTGACGTCGGTTGTTGACAGCTCTTTTACCACACTGTGGACTTTGCGCAGCTGGCGACTTGCGCGGGCTTCAATTGATCGATCTCTTGCTTGTTTTCTGCATGTAGTGCGTGCAGACTCGACCGCGGTGAAAGCCATTGCGACGTTGGGTACCTGAGTAAGTGCCCGCCTACTCCTTATGCAGCCGGTCTTGGGTTTATCGCGACGAGTTCTGATAAAAAGTGCAGCACTAGCTTGAACACTACGCGACTTCTCAAGCGAAATTGTTGCTCGTTTCTTTTTCGATCGCTTACAGAACGCGAAGCATGATTTGATCGCAACGCTCGATATCGCCCACCATACTCGTCCCGCCCAATACTTATCACGATGTCGCGCCCGTTCCCCTATACTTTCATTTCCTGCCCCTGTGCAGACACTTCGGTTCCTGATCCAGCTAGGAAACGGAGATCTAGAGAATCACCGCAAAAACAATCGCCCCAGAAACCGGCTCCGCGGCCTAGTACACCAGAAGGCGAGAAGAAAGGACTGGCAGCAGGGCAACAAGAGGATGAAGACGATGAACAGACCTTCGACCCACGCTCCCCGCGGTCTGACTTCTCCTTATACCCCCCAGAACAGCTTCTCTACTGCGAGGAGTGCCACCAGATCAAATGCTCCAGATGCATTACCGAAGAAATAGTGAGCTGGTATTGTCCAAGCTGCCTTTTTGAAACGCCGAGTAGCATGGTGCGAAGCGACGGTAATCGGTATGTCTATACGGTGCGATGATTGCTATACCTTTCTTGCTAATGGAAATACGTCTATAGATGTGGTCGAAACTGCTTCAACTGCCCTGTGTGCACAGCTCCATTGGCCGTAAGTACAATTGAGAATGCGACAGGCAATGGAACCCAACAAGGTCCGTGGGTACTGTCATGTGGATATTGCCTTTGGACGACACTTGATATTGGCATCAAATTCGACAAACCGACAAACATCCGCAGTCAACTCCAGAAAATGACCGACGCCACACCCCCAGCTGCATTTGATCGTTCAAGGCAAGCCTCCCGTACTCTTGAAAGTCTCAAACACCCGCTCTCTAGTGCAGCCTCGGTCGAGGAGCATGCGCGTGATCGTGATGTGGATCAACCAACGCCGAAAGAAGACCCAGCGGCGCCTCCAATGAGTACGGATGCTCGATTCGCAGCCTTGAAGAACTTCTATCGAGCCCAGATTGCCGAGACATCAAATTCGCCCAATGATCATCTAAGCTCCGACTTCGGATTCTCTTCGCCAGGCGCCTTGAACCGACTGATGTCCCTGTACACTTCATCATCACGACTTGGCGGATTATACGGCGGCAGCAAGAAAGCCAAGTCCAAGCCACCCGTAATGCGAGAAGCCCTCACAGCAAGCGAAGGCCTCTGCATTGCGCCAAAAAACGGCGAAGCAGACATCATTGCACGACTTGCATCCCCAGAATGCGGCTGGGAGGGAGTAGCATCATTAGAGCAACGCGCGGCTCAATCACCAGATGCGAGATTTGTCGAGGATCTTTTACCACTCCCGGTCCTTCTTCGCACCAAGCGAGCAAAGCGCTGCAAGTCCTGCAAGCACATTCTCGTGAAACCGGAGACAAAGCCGCAATCCACGCGCTTCCGTATTCGACTCATTGCTCTCAGCTATATTCCTCTGCCAACGTTGTGTCCTTTGGCATTCTCTTCTTCTTCTTCCTTGCCTACAATGGCGCCGACGCCTGATTTGGATTCCCTCGTTCCACTTCGTCCCATTCATGTCTTACTTACTTTGAAAAATCATATGTTCGACCCAGTGCGCATCACTCTCGCAACGCCACCTGTGACTCCAGGCCGTGTCGCTACGAAAGTGACTGTACTCTCTCCGCAGTTCGAGATCGGGGCGAACAGTGACGTCTGGGACGAGGCATTGCAGGGTGCATCGGCGCCTTTGTCGAGTGATTCGAAGTCCGCCGGTCTAGGTCAACGTGGTGTTCCCGAAGCTGGCAAGGTGTGGGACAAAGGTCGGAACTGGACGACTGTCGTGCTCGAGGTTGTCCCTGGTACATTGCCTGGGAGCAGTGCTGAAGGTGGAGATGGCAATCCCGAAACCACTGATGAGGATGTGGTTGCTGTGGCGGCTTCCAAGAAGGATGAGGATGTGCTCGAGATTCCGGTCTTTGTGCATATGGACTGGGACGCGGATGCACAGCTTGACCAGCAGAATCTAGGGAAGTCGTCCAGGGCTGATGACAAGGTGACGAGAGAGTTGGCTTATTGGATGGTCCTTGGTGTTGGCAGAATCCAAGCTTCGTTGTAAATGTTGGAATCTGGATGCTTGACGGTGATATTCCAGCCAGTTAGTTTGTGCTTTGTATCTATCATACCCTGAGTGCGTTTCCTTTCAAGCCCGAATACCCACAAGCCCGTACTGTTCCCAGGTTATCAAGTAACTTGTTCCAGAAGTAGGCAAGCAGATATCAGTATAGAAGTACGCTTAAAAAGCTTGGCCAAGGGCCGTGCCTCAAATGCTCCAAGGATGTCCAGTGTATACCAAAGCTACAATGCAGAGCCATTGCCTACCATGTTCTACAGGGTGAGAGAGAAAATTCGGAATTGTTGAATTGGAATACTATTGGGTATTCCATCCCATCCTCATTAGATCGGGAGAAGAGAGAACTCAGCTCCATCACCTCACCCAGACCCTGAACAGGGCTCACTGGAAACACAAGCAACCAGCATCTGGGGGCAAAAAAAGAAAAGAGAAAAACCGTCAATGCATTTTTATGGAGATCATCTCTTTGGAACCCAATGGCTGAAACTAGCCACAATTCAAAGCTAGGCACAAACCATTCTCCCACGCATCAACCGAGCACATTCCAGCCCCAGCCCCAAAAAAGTCATCAAAGTGAACAAAAAATTCTAAACATACATTTAGAACTCAGCGCCGCTCTGGGGGAACTCGAAGGCGACAGCACGGCCGGTGAGGCGGCGGTAGACCTCGCCGTAAGCGTCGAGGCGGTGGTCGACACCACCACGCTCCTTCTCGTCGAGGATGACCTTGAGGGTCTTGGAGCCGTCCTCCTTGGTGCGGACACGCTTGCCGACAATCTCGACGGGGTAGACGAGGTCAGCGAGGATGGAGTCGTGGACAGCGGTCAGAGTGCGGGAACGGGGACGCTTCTGGGTCTGGTTGGAGCGAGAGTTGACGGAGCGCTTGGGGCGGGGCAGGATGCGGCGCTGAGCAACGAAGAGGACGTGGCGGTCGGAGAACTTCTTCTCAAGCTCGCGGGTCAAACTGGAGCGTTTTGTTAGTTTTCGGGGTTCGTTCGTAAATTTTGGGACCTCCGCGTTTTGGGGGTTTTGCGTCCGAGGTCGAGTGTGTGCTTACCGCTGCTGGATCTTGTGGAAGTTGGCCAGGAGGGGAACGGGGACGAAGACAATGATGGCCTTCTTGCCGTGGCCGACCTCAACCTAGATTGAAAAAAATGTCAGAGTCCGCTTGAATTGGTCGCGCACAGAACGTGAATCCTCCTGGAACGGCGTGTTGCTCTGCGAATATTTTTTTGACATCCTCATATCTCTTCGCCAATGCTTTCCCTTCATGGTGATATAGTTTTTGGCGTTGGCTGTTGTGAATTGGATCCAATCCACAAAAATGACAATTTTACCCCGGAGCATCGAAATCCCCCAAAAATGTTCGCAGGCCATTCCAGAAAAATTCAATTCGTGTGCCGCAGATCTCGGGCGGTATTTCTTACCTCGCGGGCAGAGACGAACTGCAGGGGGCGAAGGGTGGCCTTCAGGTCCTGTGTGTTGCTCTCGAGGTCGAAGAGAGCGCCGGCGATCGCGGTCTCCAGCTCGGAGGGGTTTTGCCGGGATGGCGAGTTGGGGGCGATCTTGTTGATGGCAGCCATTATTGCGAGCGACGGGGTGCTGCGGGAAGTGCTGGTGGTGATGTCGACGGAGGGGAGGTTCGCAGATTGAACGGATGGGAATTTGCTGTGGGATCGGCGAATTCGCTTAGGGCGCGCTACTTCCAATCTGGGTTTAGCGTGTCCGCGTTAGGGCTCCTTGGTGATTGGTTGGCGGGACCCACTATGGCTCTCCCCTTGAGAGGTCTCGATGCCGGCATTTACAATCAAAGTGATGAGTTGGGTAGATTGGAATTGAACTTCACGGAATTTACACTCTAATGACACTGCTGAGGCCATGTTGCCTCTCGGGGAATAACAAATTGTAGGCTATAGGCGCGTGGGTTCCAGCGCAGCCAGGGCAAGGAATTGAAAACAAAAGCAGAAGGGACGCCTGTATCCATGGGGGAAATAATTGCGTGACAAAACGTCTGCAAGCAAAGCAAAATTTAGCAAGCGCAGCCTTCCTTGGCCGTCGCAGCGTTACGATCCCCCAGGTTGACCCTCGAGTCCTCTGTCGACCGCGCGCCGAGCGAGGTCTGTCCAGTACCAGCGCCAGTACCGCGACCGGTCTTCAGACTACTCTCCGGGATGGCATTAGCAATAGCGGTGAAGACCTCAACGACATTGGTGCCGGTCTTAGCACTGGTCTCGAAGAACAACAGACCCTCTTCCTCGGAATAGCTAGTAGCTTCCCGGGTTGAGACCTTGCGGGCGTCGCCAGAGACAGCATCCTGCGCTTCGTCCTCTTCGCCGGTACCTTGCTCCTCCTGTGCAGCTGAGTCGGCACCATCTGTTTCGGCAGCCACCTCGGAAGCCTCGCCGCCGTCATTGGTCAAGTCCAGCTTGTTACCGACGAGGGCAATCACAATCCCAGGGCTAGCTTGACGCTGCAGCTCAGCGACCCAGTGCTTGGCCTTGGTGAGCGATGATGGTTTTGTGACATCGTAGACGACCAGGGCGGCTTGCGCATTGCGGTAGTACATCGGGGCGAGGGACGCGAATCGCTCCTGGCCGGCGGTATCCCAGATCTCGAACTTGATGGTGCGCGTGGGGAGGGAGCATTTCTGCGTCAGGAAGGCAGCTGAAAAGATGACGTTAGTTGACATGCTTGTTCGAAGTACCATTAATAGTTTCAGGGCGGCTGTTGCGGGGAGTATCTCGAAATCAGGTACCACCCGCAACCTTTGCTACTGCTCCAGAAAGTCTATTCCCCGTGGGAAACAATGCATTGCTGTCGTGGAAATTGTGTTCATGGGGAATCCTTACCGCCGATGGTTGGTTCCTTGTTCTCCTGGAAATCATTGTTGACGAAGCGAAGGACAAGTGAAGACTATAGACGGGGATCATGGATTAGTTCCTGGTAATCAATAGAAAAGGGTGAAGGAAGGATCCGTACCTTGCCTACTGCGGCCTCACCCAGCAGCACAAGCTTAACACTGCTGCTTGGCTTCGGGGCATTTGCGCTCGCTGACTCGGACATGGCTGAAACCGCGAACCGAGAGTGAGATGATGATAGACACAGTCAGGATTTCCTGTAGATGATTCTCCTGCGAGTCAGCGATTCGGCGACCAGGCGACCAGGGTGAGGTGGCAGATGAGTTCGGCTGGTAACTGCAGGTCGGGAATGGGGGCTGCCTAGAGGTAAGACAGGAGCTGGAACACAAGGCGCTGTTTCCGCTTTCGTATGGATAGAGTGGTTGAATCCTATTCAAGGAGAAATGCAAGTGGTATAAGCGTTGCTTGATTGATTCTCTGGATGAAGCGGAAGCGGAGGTCCATGATGATGATGGGGGTCCCTAATCAGGATTAGCGTGGTCTCAGTCACGGGAGGCCTTCGACCATCTGTGAACGTTCGCACCTCTCTCTCCTCATACTTACCTTTTCTTTACCATTTCTCGTCTTGAATGCTCAATGGATATCCCAGTCAAGTTCAATTTCGTTATCTAGGATTGCATCTGAACCAACTCCGTACCCGATGTCACATTGGATACCAAGTATGCACCATGATGACATGCAGACAACAGTAGCTCACTATCACTGTCGGGACAAGATTCTTTGGGAATGACGACTTCAAGGCCACGTACTGGAACTTGACTCAAAGGTAGTTCGCAGACCGACAAACATGTTCCTAGCACCTTGACAGCTGTCATCGCAGAATGAACTAGTGCCCAACTGGCCTGCAAGATGATGTCGGGTGCCAGTTAGGTTAGACCCAGGTCAGGCTCGGGAGATCTCTGCCGATGCACCAGCCAGGCCCGCATCCAAAATCGGGCTGGCCGTTCCTGTCTCGGCATTAGTCGGCAAGCAAATCTGCCCGATTCTAGCGCAATCGCGGTTAGTCAGGTACGAGCAGAGTACGACCTTGAAGATATGGGTTTACAACCTCGAGGGTACAACATGCGGTGAAATTGCATGGGACGATGGTGGTCTAGACTGGCCAGGCGAGGAATTTTTTGGAAGAGAATAAGTTGATTCACGCGAACACGAGCTTTGCGCGTGATATATGATACACAGGCGTCAACGTCAGAAAATAGTACATGTATAAAACCAATTCCTCTGGGACAGTGCCCATCCAAATGAAACAAAAAAAAATCAAAATCAATCCAAGAAAGCTGACCGTGAGGTCGAAGCTCTAGATTCTGGTATCAGCGCATGCATCCCATTGAAGATCCGTCCCGTCTATACCAAAACGCCGTAAAACGAAAAAGCCAAACATCGACAAAGGAAATAAAACACGAAAAGCAAGATCAAAATAAGCAGAAGGCACTTTTTGGAGGTGAACCGTGGTATCGAGTCGTGAGGGAGTAAGGTGGTTCAGAGGTGAGGTATTAGGCGCATAGTCGAAGAGAAAGTCGAAAGAAGTGTTCACGCTTGGTATCCGAAAGTAAATGCAGAAGTCGAACCGAATTAAAAATGGGTATAATGGCGAAGCCTGAGGCGAATAGGCGAGAAGAACGAGTGGTCAAAGCCAAAAGAAAAAAGTGGTGTTACAGATGTCTGGCGGATGGTTAGCTTTGATGCCCAATTACGATGATCAGGGAAGGTCTTACCAAAATCAGGTAAAACTCCAAGCGCATATGCGTCAAAAACTCCCGCCACTGTTGGGCGCCAGACAATCCAAAACATGACTGAGCGGTGTAGAAAGCATTGTTGAGTCTGACGGCGATGTCGAGATTTATTTCGGTTGTGGTGGAGGCACGCCAGGCTTCTTCACGCCGGTGGTGTCGTATGCTCCTCGTCCCATGTTGAAGGCAGAGAGGTCTCGCAGGATCATGTTCAGGTCTGCGGAGGAAATCATGGTTAGGCGGCTGAAGATGTTGGGAGTGATGAATGCGGCCAGGGCGAGGAATGGAGATGAAGATACTCACCAAGATGTCGACAGGAGCTTATATAGATCTTTGCTCGGGGAAACAAGCAGACAAACAAAGTCCCAATCCACCCCCCGAGTCACGAAATTAAAAAAGGAAAAAATCGAAAAGGTCTAGGCAAATGGAAAATTCGACGTTCCAGGCGATGGAGATGCAAGCTGCAGTCGGGATCGGAAAATGCAATCCTTTTATGGAGAGCCAGATAAATGCGGGATCCAACAGAATCGTAGGGCAGGAATGTGAGGAAATGGGCCCGACGAATGAGCAGTGTCTCTGCGAGGTCGACAGGTCGCAGCTCGTTGCTTTTTATTTGATTGGGAAATAAAAAGGAAAACGGGAAAAAGCAGAGATTAAATCGAAATGATAAGCGCGAGGGTGGCTGCAGCCGAAAAATCCATGTACAATCGCGATCTGGTCCAGAAAACGGGCAGAAGGGATAGGGAGCTAAGTCGGCAAGGGAGCGAAGGAGAGTGCTCCGGAACTGGTCCCGGTCGATCCGGACAGAGTGCAAATCGACGTATCGCAAGGGAGAAGGAAGGGAGTTGTAAGAGGAAAGCCAGGTATGAGAGGTTAAAAGAAGAAGGGGGGGAATTGCGTTGATATAGACATCGATTATTTAAGATTTCAAAACCAGAATCAATAATACACGATACCGAATAATATAGATTAAAAAAATAATAATCCAGTAAATAGGGAATAGTAAATAGTACGGAGAAAGGGAAAATAATAGATCTCAAATGTCCCCGAAATAGTATGAAAATCAACCAAAACCAATTAAATTCGCCTCTTTGTTTTAGCAGCGGCTCTCCCGTCCCCTGGTCCCGGGGAAGAGGAAAAGGACCCCCTTTCTAACGTTTCTGATCTTTTTTTTTTTCAGGTTCTTTCATTTCCTTCATCCCGGATCATCTAGATCCAATTCCAGGGCAAACAGTGCCAGGTACCGGACCTCGGACTCTGATCTATCACAATCACATCTTACATCTGTCAGGTCCATTGAAAGTATCAGAGCTCTCCACTGAAGCTAGGAACCAAATCTCCGGGCAGCCTTTGTGCATGAGTGGAGTCACCAGGAACAGCCGCAGGGACTAAAAGGGAAAAATCAAAAGGGAAAAGAAAAACAAGACGGATCCAATCACTTCAGCCCTCACCATTTTTGAATTCTTTTTTTCACCATTTTCTCGCGTGGTCGGGCTCTATCGGGGATCCTGCTCACCGTGGAGTCTCAACATTATTACTACACTACACTGTACACTGTAGGGACAGTATCCAGCTGAAGGCGAATTTAATCAAGGCCAGACATCCGGCCTCTCACGCGGTTCCCCGTGCAATAGTCAATTGCGGTCAGACCAGTCGTAAACTTCAGTTTCGGAAAGCCCTTTTTCTACACATCAGAAGCCGTCGCGATGTGGGAGGTTCAGCAGTTTTTATGTCATTCCCGTATCTTTACTCCGTACGGTGATCTAGCCGATCAAGATCCTTCTAGTTGAGGAATAAGCAGGGAAAAAAGGGAAAAAAGGGAAAAAAGAAAGCATGAAAAATAAATATGAAAACAGTTTTGGCGATGCCCCATCATAGGGGGTGGAGCACTAATTACGAAGTGAAATCCCGTCTCGGTTACGTATGAACATTCTTCTCACCTTCTAGCCTTCCGAGCCTCTGGGTCTCATCTGGAAGAATTCACGAAGGAACAGGATCCACCCCCATGATTCCGACGTAATTAAGGGTGCATTCTTCGTCAGCTTCTGTTCGCCACTCTGGAGCCCATGTCACTCGCTTCTCAGAGATGGGCGTTCTGTCCAACCGTGATGCAGAGAGGTGTTTCAGCCTGTGTCCACCACGCCCAAAGGAGGAATTACCTCCATCGGCACTCAATCTGACTTTGCCCTCGTGGAAATCGGGGCTGGAAGATCTGCCGATTGCAGCCTGTAACCGTTGGTAAGAGCTCAAGACCCATTTCCAACGCGACCAGGATCTCGTATGGGCAAGACTCGACCGAGACCTGGATGCCGGAACACGAAACGATAGCGATCCTCCGGGTTTCATCCATTGAAATACGGAGAACTGACATCGTGGAATAGGGGAGACTGATCATCTGTCCGAATAGAACTGGCGATCACAGTGGACCGGCTCCATAAAGAAGGAAAAAACCTGGTAATCACTGGTACGACGGAGTACACTAAACTGCCGATAACAAAATGGAAGGTCCCTAACGCTGGGCAACGAGCTTCCTATTCTTCCATTGTGGAACCTGGTATTACGAGTAGCTCGGGAAGAACCCGTTTTGAATACAGCTAGAACGGCGCTAGAAACGGGAGAAAAAAAACCCTCTATTATCACAACCTTAATACCCCCCTTTTCCCACTTAGGAAACACTACTTTGTATACAATCCAAAGCACCTTGAGTTTGGGCAACGGTGCGTGGACCCGAGACCCAACACGCTGGTTCGTGATTCTCCCGAGACCTGATTCTAGACGTCTACCGTATTCCGAGCTCTCCAGAGTTCGGCTGGATGCATTAGTTTGCAAAACAAGGTTACGCGATTGCATGAACCGGCTTCCACTCTGTTCCGGAACGTCTGAGCGTTTCGGTTCACCGTTGGATGGACACTGTTGCTTTTCTTTGTTTGAAGCCGGGACGATGCCGTTACGACTGCCTGCCTGCATTCGTTGGGACCGGGGCGTTGAAAGAAAGGACAGGGATCGAAAAAACGGTCGTCGCGGATCGACAGCCGGCCGCAGTGGCTTTAAGATTTGCCTTGCAGTGCATTGAAAGGGTACAGGGGATCCCTGAGTCAGATGCATCGAACACCATTCCGCTCTTTGTTCATCTGACAGGCACTGTGGATGTGTCAACGTTCCTTAAATTGGGTGGATACGAGTACCTTGATGGGCGACGTTGGGATTCGGGATTGTTTGTTTACACCGAGGGTACTCCGGACGGAGTACTCCTTTCTTGTTTGGTATAGACTGTGGCTGCCTCATACTGATTGGTTTCGACTGTAAACTACGGAGTACCATCGCCAGACATAGGGGCACTAGGCCGCGGATGTAAAGCCGGTCGATCCTCGATTGGTATGGCTCCATACACAGAAAATTCTAGAAGCACTATATTCACCTGAGTCTCGAATGCCTGTGGGTTACGGAGTACGAGTACTTACGGAGTACGGAGTACGGAGTACAGAAGACAGAAAACGACCAAAACGAACCATTGGAACTGGAACCACTTTCCCCGTCCCGAACCAAGAACTCAATATGCGATCGCTTTTTGAGCCGCCTCAATTCTTGGCTCTCCTTTTTTTTTCGGAGTAGCAGTAGGGAGTACGGAGTACTTTGTCCAGGTCATACGGGGACGTAATTAGTCGCTCCGAGACCCTAACAAAGAGAGAAAAAAGCAAGTCAATCTGGATTTTGTTGACAGGCCCAATCCACATTTTGACCCGACATCCATTTAACTTGCATACAAAAGAAGCGGAAAATGACGATCGCCGCTCCACGGCTCCAGCACCGTTCTGTCGGGAGCGATCGTCTCCTTTTTGGTGGCCGGGTCAGCCCCTGACTTCGGTTGTCACGACATGACGCAGGGTGACTGATCGAGCCAAAGAGATAAAGCGGATATGACCCACGTCGCGATGGGTCTCCGGCTTCTTGTCGAAGGATCCGCGGCCACTTGGCGCATGAACGGTTAATGTTTCCCATCTTCAAAGTACCGCTGCGTCACCTCACAGCTGTACCTGTCTGCTGTGCTGTATGATGTATGCTGTGCACTGTATGACATACTGAAGAGGGAGTTCCCAAAGGAAAATAAAATAAAATAAAATGACAGAAAATCGAGAATCTCCTTCTGCAGTGTCGATCATGGCCTTACTCCGTTCCCGTACATTTGGCATGCAGCTAAATCTCTACAGATTGATAGTCGACTTGGGTTAAATAGTGCATCTTCGCGCTTACTTTACTCTACTTAAAACCGCTAGCCTGCAGATCATGAGGACAGAACTACGGTTGAGTTCTCGATCTTCCCCGAGAGTGATCGACTGCGATCGCGATGTGATTGTCACCCTTTTTTGTTTCCCGTGTCTTGCAGGGCCGGGGAAGAGCTGCGCGCCCTTCCCCCCGAAGCTATCAAATCCGACCTCGATGTGTCACATTCAGCTTCACGCATTTGCATTGGCATTTGCATTTGGCGTGACTTTTGACTTTGCTGCATTTGGTTTTGTTTATTTTTTATTTTTTTATCTTTACGGGGGACGGAGTACACCGCTGATCCCAAGTAACCCAAGCTTCCATTGGTATGCAGGGACAGTGTCCTCAGGCCCCCTCAGGCCCCTACCTGATGTACTATTTGCACTGGAATGACTGCTGTGCATATGCATTACGTGGGAAGAGGCGCAAAAATGACCCAATTCCGGGGATCAGACGTCCCGGTAGGCTGTTCTTGGGATCTCGCAATTTTGGACGCGTCGAACAACTTCCCCAGCCACATAGCCCCCTCTTCAGTGGCAAGTGTCAAAAAGACGTGACCTATGTCACATCGACGGGGAAGCCATGATTTGTATTATGTTATGTACGGGGCGTACGAGGGAGAGAACCTTGAAGATTATTGAATAGAACCCATCGTGTCTCAAGTTTGATCAGCTCCCAGCCCCCGATCAACGCGACAGCTCTCAGCACCGCGAACAAGCACAGTGGTAAGCCATTTCGAACTGTAGAATCAATATCCAGTCAGTAAAGGAAACTCTACCAAAAAAAAAGAACCCCGAATCACGACCGCCACAATCATAATCCACAGCCCCACAGAGGGCAGTCCAGATTATACATTGTGCAATAGTGAAGGTTACTCAAGATCTGAGACATACCTGCTCGTTGGTCTGACAAACCAAAACCCGGGGCCCCTTACTGGAGTCCTTGGTAAGATCTTTGACCGTCTCCCCGTCCTCGGGCCCCTTGTCGTTAGCGGCATCATCAAGCCCCAGTCCCAGACAGTGGCACTTGTCGACCAGTGTCTTCCGCAGGAGGGCGCTCTTCTCGCCGATCCCCCCAGAGAAGACCACACCGTCTATCTGCCCATTGAGCTTGAGGTAGTAATTCCCAATGTAACCGAGAATGCGGTCAACAAATATATCAAATGCAAGCTTATGCGCCTTGGTGGGCGGGTTCGCCACTGCAATCTCGGAGAAATCAGTCGTTCCTGTAAGTGCTTTCCATCCCGATTTTTTGTTCAGAATTTCCTCGGCCTCATTCCCAGTCAGTCGATGTTGATCCCAGAGATGCAAGGTGCTTACCGTGCTGATGTGCATTTCCTTCGTGCTGGCTGGGCTGAGTTTGCCCGCTTCGTTAGTGTAGTGGAATACCAATCTGCGTGTATCAGCTTGATCTCGTCTATCATCGATTAGTGTCAACTTACGATGGGTCGATATCTCCACTGCGGGTTGCTCCGGGTAATCCCGCCAGAGGAGTCAGTCCCATACTAATGCTTTTGTCAGTATATTGCAGGGTGGAGTGATGAATTAATGCAATTTGCACTGCTCTGCATGACTGACGATGTATCGATGGATTGTCCATTTCGGATGGCACAGATAGAGGCCCCACTTCCAATATGCATCACAATGAGGTTCGTCTGTTCAGCTGGTTTGTTCAAGAATTGTGCCACCGATCGCAGAATAAACGAGTAGCTGATTCCATGGAATCCATACTTGCGCAAGCCATTCGCCTTGGCGACTTCTTGGTCGATCGCGTATGTGCGCACCGGTTCGGGGATCGTGTGGTGGAAGGCGGAGTCGAAGAATGTAATGCTTTTGACCTTCGGGAGCTTGTCCCTGCAGTGACGGACGATCTCCAGTGCGGAAAAATTGTGCCTTTCGTGGTGTGAAGTTAGTATGAGCTGGGCCGATGAGCTGCGGAGCGGGGTCGACGGAGATCAAGGATCTGTGCTCCCGGTGTTTGGCTTACAGTGGTGCGAGGTCTTCGAATGACTCCAAGTGATGGTAGGTTTCGTCGTTGATCTCAACTGCGTCGCGATAGTCCCCTCCATGCACGATTCGGTGACAGATATATTGCACGTCGTCGACGCTGGTGATTTCGGAAAGCTCCGGAACTTCGAAACAACGTTTCAAGAGGTAGTTGAACGCATCTTGAGGAGTGTCAAGCTTCTCTTTGACTTCTTCCTTGTGTTTTTTATCGCCTTGCTGGTATTTGAACGTCGGTGGGGGTGCGGTGATCCCGGAGATCTCCGCATCCGCAATGCTTTTCGGGGGGTTCTCCAAGGTGTAGAAGTTGATTTTCACTGAAGACGAGCCAGCGTTGACAGAGAGAATTGATTTCATCGTGAAAGAATCTGCAAGGTGCGCGATGTCCAGAATGGTTTTGCAAGGTTGGAAGTAGGAGTTGCCAACGTATGATGTCAGGGTGGGCATCTTACGGAGTATGACTTCAGGGCTAAATCTTGGAACACCGTTGGCCGTCACTCACCTGGTGTCTTTATCAAGGCTCTCTTTGTTTTAATTTCTCATTTCTCACCCATACTAGTAGTCACCATGCCTGGCGAAGTCATCACCGACCCTAACCCCAAACCACTGCCTTCCCATCTCCCGGACTATGTGGAGAGGTTGAGTGTGACATTGAATCACGAAAACAAGACCCTAGACCAAGATGCCTGTGATTCCTTACTCAAGTTTCGGCGAGCGGCTGCATATATTGCCGCTGGTAAGAGATCTTTCGCGACGGATGTAGACCTCAGCTCATATGATTTTAGCCATGATTTTCCTCTCGAAGAATACCCATCTAAAGGAAGATCTCACATTTGACCACATAAAACCTCGACTACTCGGTAAGTCAGTGGCTATGATGGAAACGAGCATCTTCTAACAATTCTACAACAGGCCATTGGGGAACATGTCCCGGTTTGATTCTAGTGTACTCTCACCTCAACTATCTGATTCGGCAGAGGAACCTAGACATGCTCTACGTTGTCGGACCAGGACACGGTGCACCGGCTCTTCTAGCCGCATTGTGGTTGGAAGGCTCCCTGGAGAGATTCTATCCTCAATATTCACGCGATAATCAAGGCCTGCATAACCTCATTTCCACATTCAGTACACCCTCTGGGTTCCCCAGGTCTGTCAACTGCGTCCTCTCTAAAATATTCACTCTGTCGCTAACGGAAATGCAGCCACATCAACGCTGAAACTCCCGGCGCTATCCACGAGGGTGGAGAGCTTGGCTATGCCCTCGCTGTATCTTTTGGTGCAGTCATGGATAAGCCCGATCTGATAGTTCCATGCATAGTGGGTGACGGAGAGGCTGAGACTGGCCCGACTGCTACGTTCGTCTACTTAAGTACCCGCTTGTCTGGATAGAACTGACTATCGGCAGGTCCTGGCATGCAATCAAATATATCGATCCGAAGGAGTCAGGTGCAGTCCTGCCGATATTGCATGTGAATGGTTTCAAAATCAGCGAGCGCACCATTTCTGGATGCATGGACAACAAGGAACTCGTGGCACTGTTCAGTGGATATGGATACCAAGTCCGATTTGTGGAAGATATCAACGACATAGATACAGATCTTCACTACTCCATGGTATGGGCTGTCGAGGAGATTCACAAAATCCAAAAGGCTGCTCGTTCTGGAAAGCCTATCCTTAAGCCAAGGTGGCCGATGTTGATCCTACGGACTCCCAAGGTATGTACCACATCTGTTCCCTCAAAGCACTCGAGCTGAATCAAACTCTGAAGGGCTGGTCTGGACCAAAGAAACTTCATGGCGAGTTTATAGAAGGCTCTTTCCATTCGCATCAGGTCCCTTTGCCGAAAGCAAAGTCTGACAAGGAAGAGCTTGGTCTCTTGCAGAAGTGGTTATCCGATTACAAGCCACAGGAGCTGTTTACCTCAACCGGCGATGTCGTTGACGCTATCAAATCAGTGATTCCTACTGATGATACCAAAAAGCTCGGCCAGCGCATTGAGGGATATAATGGCTATGTTGCCCCGAACCTGCCAGATTGGAAGCCTTTCTGTGCGCAGAAAGGCTCGCACGAAAGTGCCATGAAATCAATTGGCAGTCTCATTAATCAGACGTTTATCGACAACCCGAGCACCGTGCGACTTTTCTCTCCTGATGAGTTGGAGAGTAACAAGCTTGATGCAGTCTTCGATTCGACGAATCGGAATTTCCAGTGGGATGAATTTGCCAACGCACGCGGTGGCCGTGTGATTGAGGTCCTGAGTGAACACATGTGTCAAGGATTCCTGCAGGGCTATACCTTGACTGGACGGATTGGGATCTTCCCATCCTACGAAAGCTTCCTTGGCATTATTCATACCATGATGGTGCAATATTCGAAGTTCATCAAGATGGTAAGACCATTTCTCTTGAGATCGCACTCCGTACTCACCAAGTCTATTTGACAGGCCCTGGAAACAAAATGGCACTCGGGAGTCAGCAGTATCAACTACATCGAGACAAGCACCTGGACACGACAGGAGCACAATGGCTTCTCCCACCAGAACCCGTCTTTCATCGGCTCTGTATTGAAGCTGAAGCCCACCGCAGCTCGTGTGTATCTGCCACCAGACGCGAACACATTCTTGACTACCGTGCATCATTGCCTTGGCTCGAAGAACTACATCAACTTGATGGTTGGCTCCAAGCAGCCAACACCTGTATATCTGAGCCCCGAAGAAGCCGAGAACCACTGCCGCGCTGGAGCATCGATTTGGAAGTTCTGCAGCACGGATAACGGAACCAACCCGGATGTTGTACTGGTTGGCATCGGTGTCGAGTTAATGTTTGAAGTAATTGCCGCAGCAGAACTTCTGCGTCAACTGGCCCCAGAGCTCCGAGTCTGTGTGGTCAACGTGACTGATTTGATGATCCTCGAGAACGAGGGCTTGCATCCACACGCCCTATCCACTGAAGCGTTCGATACTCTCTTCACCCCGGACAAGCCCATCCACTTCAACTACCACGGCTACCCTACCGAGCTTCAAGGCTTGCTTTTCGGACGCCCGCGTCTTGAACGGGTCTCTGTGGCGGGCTACATTGAAGAGGGCAGTACCACCACACCTTTCGACATGATGCTCGTCAACCGCGTTTCGCGTTATCATGTTGCCCAGCAGGCCCTTCGCGGTGCCGCAAAGGTGAATGAAAAGGTTCGAGTCCGTCAGCAGGAGCTGAATTCCGAGCTTGAAAACCGAATTGTTGGAGCCCGGAAGTTTATCTTGCAGAACCATACCGGTAAGAGAGTGCCATGAATCTTGTGTTGAAACGCGATGCTAATCTTGATCTCAAAATTAGATCCCGACGGCATTTATGACGCGCCAAATTTTAAATAGACTTCTTGAATGTCAGTCTGCTAATATGATTGAAAGTGAGCTTTTGGAAACACAGAATATCGTCTCTTTTCTGGCTCCGTGAGTCATATATCAGACGCATGCTCCAATGTTGTGTCGTTCTTCCAGAGAAGAATGGGCTGCTTAGGCCCGTAGAACAATCGACCGGAAACAGAGCCAGATTAGATGAACGACTCTCCCGAGTTAGACAGGTGACCATTTAAACACCGAGCGTTATTCTCGGAGGAATTCGTCTAAAGGTAAGAAGAGGCAGAAGAGCGTCCTCAGCCCGCAAGAGCGGCGACTGCTCTCGAATGTACATAGGACTGTCAGCGAGTGTAAAGTGGCAGTGGGTGGGCGTTTTCCGCTGTCCTCATTGCCCAGGTGAGATGAAGGGCTCGGGGACATCAGATAATTCAATACAAATCCCCAAACATTCCGAACAGTGAGCAAGTTGCATATTGCCCCACTTTATCAAACACCGTTGACGGGGATCCCACTCCACTGACTGAACAATGAATACGAGCAACGAGAAAAAGGTCATATGTTGCGATTCGAATAGTGCAGGATCTTCAAGTCCAACAACGCTATTTCACCGTAATTCTTCTTTAGCATATATTCCAAGATTAAAAATCCGGCCCACAGGGTTGAGGCTTAATCTCTCTGCCGGTATCCAAGATTCGAGGTGGCTGTCTGTGAATTATTGCAGATATGACTGGAATCTTGGAAATTGGACGCATCAAGACAGTCTGTAATTTCGAGAGTGAAGATGCTACCTCTGGTTTCACGATAAATTGAGGGGTTGGTCAAATCCTAGAAAATTTGAGCTGACTGTAAGCAGTTTCCCACGCCATGCAGGGATGAGTACACCGCAGATTGGGGGCGAGTGAGCACTGCGATAATTTGTCGGATGATGCCATCTCTCTCCGATGAGTGTCAGAGGAAACCGTTAGAAGACCGTTTTGTCTAGCAATCGACATTGCATTTGTACTGTACTGTACTCCGCACTCCGCACGGAGTGTATAAGGATCTTAGGGTGCTGGAATTGGTTTTATATTGGCATCTGTTATGGGGCTGGGGCTAAAATGAGCATGGAATGTGATCTGCCTAGCCTTCAGGGCCCTGGCAAGAGAATAGCAATCCAAATATAAACCTGTAGAGTATCGTAAGCGAATGTGGATCTCGCAACCCCATCACGTACTATCCGCTGCATCCGAGACTATGGGAAAATCTCCCTTCAAACACCCATAATTCCGGTATCCTCGGGAGGACCGGGAGAGAGCTAGAAAGGTTAATGTGCAAATTTCCTAGGACATCTCGAGGCAGTTTGTTATTCGTTCGCCAAACACGATCTCACTGCAGGAGTCCTTCAGGCGCGCCATATCTAAGGCAGCCTAATGAGGCTATGTCAGGGGTTTCCTCTCTGTCCAATAAGTATAACTAAACCCCATTCAACCTTCCAAGATCGAGGTTAGCTCTCTGTACGGAGTAGTCAACGGGAATAACGAAGCCCAGGGCTGAGGCGACACTTGGCAGGTGGTGCGCTAAACCCAAACGGGATGACCTTGCGAGAGAGCGTGTAGTTCGGCCCGAATCTGTATACCTCGCAAGAGTTTTCTGTTCATTTTTCATTGGTTTTGCCTTTGTGATCCGTATCTTCTGGTCCTTGGTAAATGGACGACACACCGTAGGGCGTCTTTTCAGCCCCACCCTCGTGGGGGTTGGGCGGCTCGCAGCCCTGACCTGACGCTCTGTTCTTCCTTTCTTGCTTACCAGCCGGGCCCGGCCCGTTAATAAATCTGCGTTGGATGCTGAGCCAGGCGGGTCTTATCTGCTGCTGCTGTCGCCATTGGCTGTCTGAATGCGGGTCTTATGACTGCTTGGAGGATCGAACGTGGCGGACCTGTACTTAAGACCATGGCTTTAGCCTCGCAAGCCCTTCCCCGATGGTGGGGAAATTGTGCGTCAGTACTCAGCCATGCTGACTCCTATTTAGACAGCTCGTTGTCCGCTTGAGTTAAAGGATTGCTCTACAGTCTTTGTGGTATCATTTTTAGCATCGGACAAAGAGTGTCGTCGACTAAAAACGAGTCGCTTGAGCAATTGAAACCTTCCCTCAATCCACCCGCTTGAAAAAGCCGACACTAGTATCCTTATACTATCTCCGCCATGGTTGATAGGATCCAACTGGGTATTGGCTGTCATGCTTATATCGATGGTGTAGAAACACCATATGGGTATCAACCCTCGCTAGGCGCAGGTATCGCCTACTGCACACTCTTCGGTCTTTCGATGATTCTTCACACGGTCCAGTTTTCCTGGAAACGAACATGGTGGGCTAGTGTGTTCAGTGTCGGATGCTTGGGTGAGTAAAATGACATGGTTTTCTAGGGCATGGTTGCGTCGCGACACAAGCCCTAGCTCGGTACAGGACTGACAGACATCAATAGTCGAGGTAATCGGCTGGGCTGGTCGTACTTGGTCATCCAAATGCCCTTACAACTCAACGGCATTCCTCATGCAGATTTCCACTCTCATCATCGGTACGTCTTGTCGCCTTTGGGCCCTATGTCACGATCTAACATCCCCAAGCCCCAACATTCTTCACAGCAGGTATCTACGTCCTTCTGGGTCGATTCATTCAACTCCTCGGCCGTGAATCATCCTTCCTCAAACCCAGTCTTTACCTCTGGATTTTTTGCACCTGCGATGTCATCTCCCTTGTCGTACAAGCCATTGGCGGCGGCATGGCCTCCGGTGAGGCAAACAAGGTCGGCGGAGACACAGCAACAGGTACACATATCATGGTTGCTGGAATCGTTTTTCAGATGTTCTCAATTACCATCTTCATGGTCTGTGCCATCGACTTCATCCGTCGTGTTATGCGTCGTCGACTCTTGCAGACGGTCACCGGCTCCGTCGTCCCACTCTTCGCCGCTATGATTCTTTCCATCATCTGCATTTATATTCGATCGATTTACCGAACCATCGAGCTGTCGCAGGGCTGGTCCGGATATCTCATTACCCACGAGTCTTACTTCATCGCGCTGGATGGAGCTATGATGATTGTCTCGGTGGCTATCTTCAACGTGCTCCATCCGGGTTGGTTGCTGCCAAAGGAAAAGGCTAGTTCCATGAAACGTGGACATTCGGCTGATGGCCTGGAGATGAACCAGGGTCCTCCGCTTCAATGGTAACCGCGTGTCTGGCGTTCTTGGTCTTGCTTGATTGATCCTCTTGGTGTCGGCTTCTGTCAGATTTCGTTCAAAGCTACTTAGATACCTAATCGATTTTGCTGAATACAATGGGATTAGTACTCATGGTTACTCACAAGCTTTCCCATGAAGGCGCAGTAATCATCTTCGGGGCTTGAAGAAATTGCCATTGGTCAATAAGCTGGGGACAAGACCTCGAGAGGTGAGACACTCAGTACTTCGAGTACATTGAGGATATCAACAAGTAAAAAAAAGACCAAAAACATGAATAGAAAGGTAATCGACAACGAGCCGCAACAAAAAGACATAGACCCTATCATAAAAATAGATGGTCAACGCGCTCTGCTCCACAGCCAAGCAGGAAGGGCCATGCCTGTATCTGCGTCGGCGTAAACATTACAATTGAGCGAATTCGCTGGAACGAAAAATCAATTTCAGAACGTCCACCTCCTCTCGGACCCTTTGTCGTATAATTTTATCATACACCATCAACGGCTTCAATCCAGCCAAATGTTGCCCCCGTGATCAATGCAGCGGTAGCCCAGACCGCTCCCCATGTAGCGGCTCCTTCAATGGACACGTCGCGGATTGTACCCGCGACTTGAACAACAGTGTTGAGTAAGATGCCAAAAGCAAGGGTGACGGACCGAGCAATCAAAACCTGGGTCTTGGTCGAGAGTTTGCCCCAGGTGGCACGATAGACCGACGCAATCAGGTATTCCCCTTCGCGGGGCGAAGGAGACGGGTCGGTTTCTGCGGTTTCTGCAAAATGTCCCGTGGAGCTGACGAACAAGAAATCGCGCGCCGCCCAGCCAGCAGGAATCAGCGTCATGAAAAGCACAGGCAAGCCCGCGGGGCCTGCGTGCGCGGCGCTAATGTCTGGGAGACCCTCAAAATGGACGACCAATCGCGCTGGCAGCCAAGTGGCGTAGCTGGCATACAGTACTACGCTGAAGACCGAAGCTGCCATAAGCGTAGTGAACAGAGTAGTCACTTTGTCCTGTAAGATAGCTCGATTGGGAATGGCGTCGGCTGGGGCACGCGAAAGATCGTGCACGGACGATGGCCGGCGCAAGAGGACGAAGGGAAGTGTCGTTGACACGAGCGTAACGCCCAAGGCCGCCAGCGCTGAAGTTGGGCGGACATGGTAGAAGAAGGATAGGAGGGAATATGTTGGCAGGTGAGTCAGGAATAAGAACGACGCTGCGTCGCGACCTGTTTTTGCGCGGCGAATTGATCAGCTCATGAATGTGGGGTTTGAAGTCGCAGAAACCTCACGGGCCTATTTGAAAGGTCCAAATATGGGAGAAATAGCTTGTACTAACCGTCATATCCTAGCACCCACGTCAGCCCAACCTCAATGGCTCTCCAGCCGATCAAGCCCCCCACTTCCCACCATTCCTCCAGATGCCTGCTGATAGGTCCGAGATCGCCCACTGTGAAGCTGGACGTCAATGTGAACAAGCCAGAGCTCAGCACAAGACTGCTCAGGACGACGAGGGCAAATCGGGCTGGAGAGGGGATGCTCGCCAATGGGGAGGGCTGCGCGTCTGTCAGTTCGCGCGCGGGACTCGTGATGTCGGCCCAAGACACTCGTCGCTTGGATGGAGTTTCAGAAGACATGGTGGCGCTTCCAGAGAGAAAGCTAGCATAAAGCCCCAGGGTTTGGACTGCGTAATATGTCTGTTAGGGCAGGAAGGAAGAGAAAGTGAGAAGGCAGGAAATTGTTGGATAGCGGTGAGCTATGATGTCATCCAATCATCATACTCCATACAAAATTCAAGAAGATTCAACATTTTGGCCCTGAATACTTGCTTCAGGATCTATTTACAAAGAGGAACCTCATAATTCCTCTAATCTTGGTCTCCGCCCTCTGGCTCATCCACAGCAAACTCTACCGTCCCACTCTCGCGCCCGTAGTTGTCGCGCACAACAACGCGATACTTGCCATTATTCCAAAGATCTTTGATAGTCAGTTCACGGGTACGGCCAAGGCTCTCGATATCTCCAATGCGCTCCAAAGTGCCATCCAAGTGCTTGTCGAAGTTTTCAATAGCACAGATCTCTTGGAAAGCACGTTGCATAGGCACTGAGTCGGCACGCACCATCGCTCGCGAGTCGATGGTGAAGATATTCTCGTGGTCGTAGGATTGGATGAAATCAGCACGAGTCATTATCTCACGCGCTTTGTGGAGCGGAATCTCGGGCAAGATATGTCCTTGCTCTTCGTGGTAATTCGAATCCATCTCCTGTTCCAGGTCGACCAGCGCCTTGGCTAGGACCATGGCGGCAGACTGGTTTGTGCTAGTTAGCTTGACGCACAGGTAGAGTATGGTTGAAGCATGTGGGCTGTACTTACGGAGAACTTTTGTTCATCCATCACATCGTCGTCCATTTCTTTTCCGAGGATCCAGCACTTGTTCAGGAACCAGGTCTTCTCGGCCCGGCAGATATCATCGCATGCCTTGGTGACATTCTCGGACTTGGCGACGCGGTTCAGGAAAGAGAGACGGCCGCCAACCTTGTCGTAGACCTGCTCTAGGATTGAGGGGGCGAGTGTTTCATTGTGGAACTGCTGGCGGTATTTCTTCAAGGCCGTCATTGCCTTGTCCTTGGGCAAATCCGTCACAGGAATGACTTCCATGCGAGTCGCGTAACGTTTTAAACGCTCGTAGACCCAGTAGTCGTCACTGTTCAAGACTAAAACAATTTCGGTTAGATGAAACTGTAGGGTAGAGGATCATGGGCGTCTTACTTGTGGTGACGAGACCACTGGCCGCCCATTGCTCGGCACGCTGCTGGATCATTTCAAGCAAATCCTGGCCGTCATGGTCATCCCTGACCAAATGGGTACTGTTGATGATCAAGACCAGAGGAGTGCATCCTTCGCGTCGTCTAGTAAGCGCCACTTTCTCCAACTTGTTGAAAGCACGTTCAATATCCAAGAGGGCCGTGGTGTCCCTAGGTCCACGGATGCTGAAGAGACTTCCAATATAGCTGTATACGGTCATCAGCATTGAGCATGCATAAAGTTTCACAGAACTGACTCTTCGTGGAACTCATAGTCCAAAGCTTTGCCAAGTCGAATACGGAAGATCTCGAGGTCGGCGTGTGCTTCGAACATCGCACAGCTGTTACCATTGATCTTGCGCATGGCCTCCAAGAGCATGGAGGTTTTTCCGGTGCCTTTCTCGCCGATGATGAGATAGTAGTGGCCACTTCTCCGTCCAGCCACTATGTCGTCAATCTTGGGCTGCTCATTGCGTACCACCCAATGTTCCTCATGGCGATATTTGTGCTTTCCGGATACAACACCCGCGACTTCGAGCGCGGGATCACCGGGATTGAAAGCATTGTCCATCTTATCGAGGATCAAGTACTTATAGTACTGGTGGTACCCGTATCCCGCCGCACTTGGATGGTTAGCCGTAATCCCATAAAGCGACCTCGGAGTGTTGGCAAGCCTACCCCAGGATGGCGATGGATGCCGCTGTTGTTGCCGCTGTCTCCATCATTTTGAGGAATGTAGATTTGAAAGTCGGATCGGAATCGCCGTTGCGCCCTTGACCCTTCCCCTTACCCTCGTCCGGATCATCCTGATCGGTGGGATCCGGGGTGTACTGGCCTGTGTTTTGAGGGTTTGAATTGAACCGCTTAGGGGTATACACCACAGCTCGAGGTTGAGGCCTTGTGAATCGATTGATGCCATGTTTAGCATGGGACCTCACAGGAGTAAGTCGGCTCCATATCATCCTGGCTGGAGCTCTTGGCGTTATACTGGAACGCCAAGTCCTTAAGATGGACGAATGATACTTGTAGATTCCAAGGCTGCACTCTGTACGGAGCACTCCGTACGTCGATTGGAAAGTAATTACGTATGGAGTCGGTGGTTCACAAAGCGATCTTGTGACCTGTTCTTTCACGAGAAAAGGGTTAATGAATGTACGGGGACAGGATTTTCAACCTGACGGAGCCCCTGGAAAGGAGTAAAACGAAAGACACTGAGTCGAAGCAAATCGCACAGGAATAATACCAGAGGTTAAAGAGAGACTAAAGAGGGAACGCGAGTGCAGGTCGAAACGAAGAGTGTGGCTTAGCCGCGTCTCAACCAAACTTTGGAACGGTGACGATGATAGGCTTGGCGATCAACTCGGGTATCAACTTCGGCCTACGCGCATCATATTCTATGATACACCTGATTTTGGAACATTGCACATCTGCACAGTGGTCTGTCTGTGCTGGTGAGGTACTGCAGGAAACGTATACTAGTTAGTACTGTACTTCTACGGGTTCCCAGGGTGTGTTTTGTACTCCGTACATGTACAAGCATAAGATGTAGACCTGAAGCCACCTGGACAGCTGGACCTGTGGCATCCAATGGCCGTCAGCAATTTGATTAACCTTTTTATTCCCGAGGACTGAGCTTCGCTTATGGTACGAATGTCTAAGACACCCTTGGACACTCCATAGTTATTCAGTACGGAGTTGTAGATGTCTTTATATATTTCCAACCAAATCGATGCCTCCAGTCATAGTACATATTGTATAGAGTATTCAATAGGGCAACCCTAGTAATCCAACGAGAAATAAGCATTTAAAATGGAAATGACCTCCCACCAATGGCCAGCGTGTTCGCTAATGCACCTGGGCACACTTAGCAACAGACACCTGAGGCAGAAAGGCAGCAAGGCAACAACACCTACAATTGAGTCGTGACGGTTCTTCTGGATCGAGATATAGCCCTACTCCGTAGAGACTTTACTGTCCGCTACACGTAGTTACAATGCGCTCAATTCCCCATACAATAACATCCTGTAGGCTGGGAGACTCTATACTAGACCGGTTGTTTGTGGAGTATCCCTCTCCGCCCCGTGCAATTCCGGAAAAGAAAATGGACCGAGTTTGACCGAATTTTTCTTCTCCGGCTTTCGATTCACCGTCATTCATCTCCTTAGACATTCTCCGTGGGGTACGGGGTTTTTGTTTCTTGCTCAATTCACCTATTTCCTTATTGTACACTACTTTGTTCTTGGTTTCCTGCCCCGCAGGTCTACCACCTTCTTATCCTTCCTTTCCGCTTTCCCGAACTTTTGTCTCATCCGGTTGTCGGTTGTGAGATAGGGGTTGTGTTACGTCGTTGAAGCTTTCCCATATCAGCTAGACATCATGGCACAGTCCAATGGCGACTTGGAGCACTCGAAAGGTACGTGGCGTCCCGGGAGACTCGAGCTTCAGCAACACCGGGGCTCCGGGAAAGGTGAATTTGGTCACGCTGACTCGGAAACAGAGGCTCCTCAGCCTTCCCAAGAGATCGCCAATGGCGAGGCCCCCGAAGGTACATTGGAGGAGGACCTCTCAGGCGGTCTTTTCCAGATCTCCGTGAAGCTTCCGCATGCGCCTCATAAGATTCAAGTGATGGTGGGTTTATTTGGTGCAACGACATCACAGCAGTCCTGACTCTTCCGCTTTCATAGGTCTCCAACCAAGAACAGGTACAGGATGTCCGTCAATCCATCGTCGAGCTACCGGGAACCTTCCAATACACTTGCTTCCACCTCGAGTTCAACGGAAACCGCATCAACGATTTTGTCGAACTGTCCGAGGTCGAGGGTCTCGAGGCCGACTCCGAGATTGTTCTGGTCGAGGACCCTTACACCGAGAAGGAGGCTCGTATGCATGTTGTCCGTATCCGGGAGCTCATTGGTGCTTCTGGGGACCGTGTGGACAACCTTCACGGTATCTCTGCTGGTCTGTCTCTGCACGACGCTATTTCCGCGGACGCTACCAAGGCCACCCAGTCCGAGAAGGACCACCCGCTCTCCAAGTACGACCTTACCGGAAACTCTTCCCTGCAGACTATCCTGCCCACTACACAGGCTCCCCTGCCCAAGACCGTGAAGTCGATTTCGCTGTCCTCGTGGAACCCTGTTCCTTACAACCTCCGCCAAAAGGGTCACTTGCTCTACCTTGTGATTGCCACTCTCGAGGGTGAACTGTTCCAGGTTACTGCTCACGTGTCTGGATTCTTCGTGAACACCAACTCGAACACTCGATTCGATCCTTTCCCGAAGAACGTTCACCCCAAGAAGGGCAGCGCTCACTCGCTCCTTACGTTGATCTCCCAGCTTTCGCCCTCTTTCAACGCTTCCTTCGAGGCTCTCCAGGAATACAACAACGAAAAGGATCTCCTGACCACCTTCCCCTTCCAAAATGCTATTCCCAACAGCCCATGGCTGATCTCCCCCTCCGCCTCGAGCCTGAGCGCCCACCAGCCCGATATCACCCGTTCTCAGGAGAACTACCTGATCTCTGGTGTTGATAACGCCGAGACTCTGCGTGACTGGAACGAGGAGTTCCAAACCACCCGCGAACTTCCCCGCGAGTCTGTCCAAGACCGCGTGTTCCGGGAGAGATTGACCTCCAAGCTCTTCGCTGATTATAATGAAGCCGCAGCTCGCGGTGCAGTCCTGGTGGCTCGGGGCGAGGTTGCTCCTCTGAACCCCACCGAGGCGCGGGACGCCCAAATCTTTGTCTACAACAACATCTTCTACTCTTTCGGTGCTGACGGCGTTGGAACTTTCACCTCTGAGGGTGGAGATGAAGCCGCTCGCGTGGCTGTTGGCAAGGATGTTCTTGGTATTAAGGCTGTTAACCAGCTTGACATTGACGGTCTCTTCACCCCTGGAACCGTTGTTGTTGATTACCTCGGCAAGCGCATTGTTGGACAGAGCATTGTTCCTGGTATTTTCAAGCAGCGTGAGCCCGGTGAGCACCAAATCGATTACGGTGGTGTTGAGGGCAAGGAAATCGTTGCCACCCACGAGGACTTCGTTCCCGTCTTCGAGAAGCTGTCGAAGGCGCTTCGCATCAAGCAGCACCCTGTCTGGGACAAGGATAACAAGCGTCACGACCTCGAAGGCAGCGTTGAGACCAAGGGTCTCCTTGGCACTGACGGCAGGAAGTACGTCCTGGATCTGTACCGCGTGGCCCCCATCGACGTTGAGTGGCAGGAGGCGGAAGGCAGCGATGCCTACCCCCACCGCATGTCTGTTCTCAGACTGGAGCTCGTTGAGTCCTACTGGCGCCACAAGATGAGCCAGTACGTCAAGGCCGAGGTGGAGAGCCGCAAGGCCGCCAGCGCCGAGGCTTCCAAGGAAGGCAAGTCTGAGGAAGAGACCGCTGAACAAGAGCGTGTTGATATTTCCGGATTCAAGCTGGCCCTCAACCCCGATGTGTTCAGTGGCCAGGTTCCCCAGACTAAGGAAGAGAAGGAGCAGTGGGCACAGGATGAGAAGGAAGTCCGTGACGCCTGCGACCACCTTCGATCCAAGATCATCCCCGACCTCCTTAAGGACCTGCACGATGGCGATGTTGGCTTCCCCATGGATGGCCAGTCTCTGACCCAGCTTTTGCACAAGCGTGGTATTAACCTTCGCTACCTCGGAAAGTTGGCTGAGCAGTCCACTGAAAAGGGACCCCGTCTGCAGGCCCTGTCCATTCTCTTGGTCCAGGAGATGATCACCCGTGCCTTCAAGCACATTGCCAACCGCTACCTGAGCAACGTTGCTGCTCCCTTCGTTACTCCCTGCCTTGCCCACCTCCTCAACTGTCTCCTTGGCTCTGATGTCAACGCCACCCCCAAGGCTGAGATCGATGAGGCCATGCGCAAGATCTTCCCCGAGGGTGATTTCTCTTTCGAAAAGGTCACTCCCGAATCGCTCCGGGCCGAGATCGAGAAGCAGGTCGCCACCCGTTTCCGCTTCTCCCTTGCGAAGGACTGGGTCAGCTCCCTCCGACACTTGCAGCTTCTGCGTGACATCTCTATCAAGCTGGGTCTCCAGCTCGGTGCCCGTGACTTTGCTTTCACCAAGGAGCAGGTCAAGGAGCAGGTCATTGTTCCCGTCACCAACAGCCCCACCCACGAGGAGCCCAAGAAGAAGGGCAACAAGAAGAAGGGTGGTGACAAGCAGTCTCCCACCCGCGCTCCGGCACCTGCTAAGCCCGCTACCACTTTCACCGCTGATGACATTCTGAACATCGTTCCCCTGGTTCGCGATGCCTCTCCCCGCAGTGCGCTGGCAGAGGAGGCCCTGGAGGCCGGCCGTATCTCTCTCATGCAGAATCAGAAGCAGTTGGGCCAGGAGCTCATCTTGGAATCTCTGTCTCTGCACGAGCAGATCTACGGTATCCTGCACCCTGAGGTCGCTAAGCTTTACCACCAGCTCTCCATGCTTTACTACCAGACCGATGAGAAGGAGGCCGCCGTTGAGCTGGCTCGCAAGGCTGTCATCGTCACGGAGCGCACCATGGGTGTGGACTCTGCTGACACTATCCTGAGCTACCTTAACCTCAGTCTGTTCGAGCACGCCTCTGGCAACACCAAGACCGCTTTGGTGTACATCAAGCACGCTATGGACATCTGGAAGATCATCTACGGTGCCAACCACCCCGACTCTATCACCACCATGAACAACGCCGCCGTGATGCTGCAGCACCTCAAGCAGTACGAGCACTCCCGCACCTGGTTCGAGGCTTCCCTCACCATCTGCGAGAACCTGTTCGGCAAGGATTCCATCAACACCGCCACCATCCTCTTCCAGTTGTCCCAGGCTCTTGCTCTGGACCAAGACTCCAAGGCTGCCGTCGGTAAGATGCGCGAGGCATACAACATCTTCCTTGCCCAGCTCGGTCCCGAGGACCGCAACACCAAGGAGGCTGAGAACTGGCTCGAGCAGCTTACTCAGAACGCCGTTTCCATCGCTAAGCACGCCAAGGACATCCAGGCCCGCCGTCTGCGCCGCATCAACATGACCCCTCGCGTCTCTGGCATGGGTACTCGCGTCCAGCCCCAGGTTGGCCAGGCCGCCCCTGAGATCGCCCCCGCTGTCACCGATCCCTCTGGCCTTGACTCTCGCAACATCGATGAGCTCCTCAAGTTCATCGAGGGCGGTGATGCCGGTGCCTCGCGCTCCAAGCAGAAGAAGCGCGCTGCCACCAGCAACCCCAAGCTCCGCGGTTCCAAGCAGTCCAACAAGGCATAAATGGATTCTTGAATAATTCGAGCTGGTTGCATTTTTGACTTCTCACCCTTTTATTCTTGGTTATCACTTGTGTTAACAGTCAAATACTATTATCTATTTCCATTGTCATTTGGGATCGGTGGGCAGGCTTGATGAGCGAAAAGAACTGTTGTATTTTAGATCTCTCTCCTCTCTTCTTCTTTTTTTTAATGATGTTTATGGCATGCCATGTCAGGTTGGGATGTCACTGGGCAATGCATGGAAAGGACTCGGTATTTCTGGCCCTCATATCTGGTGCATTGTGTGGTGTCTGGATTGTGCATATTGAGTCATTTTCTCTGGGGGGAACCCATTTTTTCTTACAAATAGTTGGATTTAAATGGAAATACCGAGCTCAGTGGATTTCTGAATATCAGATTTCTGAATATCAAGATACTAGCAACTACTTAAGTACGAGGCGATGTGTAATGCCTACGCGCCGGCTAGAAGGGGCAGTATGTAGTGACCCACCTGACCGCATTGGGCCTAAGTTTGTTTTCTCAACTCTCCGCTTCCCGCGCCTTTGTTCACCCATGTTATCGTTGCATCACAACTGCATTCTTCGCAGTATCTTTTGATCTCTTGATCGTGTATCTCACAATATGGATTATTGAGGACATCCTGCACAACGAGGTTGGTGCTATGCGACGAGGCGCCGAGTCAGGCCCATGCTAATGCTGGTTGCAGTTGTACTCCGTATACTCTAACCAAATATCGTTGTCATTTCACACTTATCCCCCATGGAAAACGTGCCGGTCACTGCAAAATGGGCAAACCGAGTCCTGCGCCCCTTGACCTCCATCTATCGTCGACTCGAAAAACACCAAGCAACTCTCGCCGCCGAGTCGAAGCAACGAGCAGCAGCAGCGGGAAACCATGAAGACCCATATCTCGCCACATCCATAGCGCCAGAGGTGGATAATTGTTTGGAAACGGATGAAGAGCCAGAGAGGGAAGATCCCGTTTGGGTACCTGGATACATGATGCAGCGAATGCGCTCTCGGCGCAAGTATTCGTCCCGACCCGAGAACGATGGACCGAACAGGCGCCACAGATTATCCATACAGAGCCCGGAAGCCTCGCGCACTTTGCCTGGTGCTATTGAGGTTGCCACACCTCTGATTACCGGAAAGCGATGGGAGATGCCTTCAAGTGCGCAATCATGCCGATCAGTCGAACCGGCAAATAATATCACCCCCGATCCCCCATCGCCGGTCTACCGTGGCAGGTCTTCGCGGTACAATAGCCCATGGCGAGACCTGCTTGAGATGTCGGGTGATGAACGCCTTCTCGAAATAGCTATCAATCTTGACAACGTCTTCATGACTTTCCTTCTCAGCACTGGCAAAAGCAGACGCAAATGGGGTCCCGACCCCTTTGATAGAAAATATGACAGAAGAAGACGCGGTGCTCGATCTCTGATGGCGATGGTGGCGCGACGCTTGCCCGAGTACATTGCGAAGGAGCAGGAAGCACAAGATGAACTAGACGAAGACGGCGACGAAGATATGTGTGATGCATACTTCACAGAGTTGGAAGCATACTATGCGCCCCACGGCACAGGGTGGGAGCCACTCCGTGAGGCCGTCCGCGCCCAAGGCATGTATATGATTCGTCGCATGATAAAAGATAATTGGATCACGGATGCGATTGCTTGTTCCATGATTGAGCGTTGCCGAGCCACCGCACCGGAGGAAAGTGATTCCATGCTATCTACACTCATTTCCACTCGCGAAACCTATCCATATCCCCACGCACTGAAACCTATCGCGAGTCCTAACGTGCTGGGCGACCCCGTCTTATTACTTCGGAGTTGGGCTGCTCATGAAACTGCGAGTCGGACGTTTATCTTTGATGAACTTGCAAAGCTTCTTCTACGAGGCGCTCTGCCTCCAGAATGGATGGGAACCAAGCACTGGACGACTTGGATGTCTCGCGCAACTGTTTCCATTTCAAAGCAGGATAGGGACTGGCCTGCCGCATCAAGGTTGATTGAGTCTGTCATACTCTCAGCCAGCAGTATGCGATTCAATGCTCCTGCTGCACCCTGCTTAACCCCAGCACAAAAGGCGCGACACAAGCCAGTCGCTTTTCGTGCTCGCAGGACCCGCACCACATCTACTGAAGCACTTGCTGATCCAAGTGCTGTCCGACTGTGTTCGGCGCCGGTGGAAGATGCGCTTAGCAACCATGTCGTAAGTCTCTTGGCGGCCTTGTGTGGAATACACTTTGCGCGGTCTCGTGCTTCCTTGGCCACTGGAAAATTGAGAAAAACCAAGGCGAGTAGCATAATTGACTATCTTCATTTTGTTCTGCAACAATATGCGAACCCAAAAATCATGGGCTCGCAGGATGCACTCACTTATCATCAATTACTACGACGTGGCTGCATTTTGGTGGCCGCCAGCCTCGTGCAGTGCAGCAATAACACTGTGTTCGAAAAGGAACAGGCTACGCTTGCATCGACAACCAGCGTTGATAAATTCGCCAGCTCCATAGCCGCTCGCCCGGACATCATCAAAGAGCTGGCATATTTATTGCAGCAGTCGTTCCGCTGCCTCAATGTAAAGGGAGGTGGACTGCGTACCAGCAGAGACATTCGGCAGATGGTTTCACAGTTCGCATCTATAGCTGAGACACCAGGAATGTCCATCTTCCTGGGGAATATCGCCACAGAGGTTGCCATGTTCTTCGCCGAAGTAACCGCAGATCCAGATGATCATGTTTGGGCGGTTGAGATGCAAGAGATGGTTACCAAAAAACAAGCCCAGCTGGAGACTGATGGGGAGGCTCCAGAGAATGCTGCGGGCTCAAGCCAAAACAATGGCTTATTCCGCTGGGAAGACAGCATCGGGGAGTGGGTGGAAACTACGCCGGCAACAAAGAAAACAGTCCACCTCGCGCAAAAAGGCCGAGCACCCATGCGCATCCCCTCGAGTCCGGCGCCCTCTATACCCTGCTCTACAGCCTCCAGCTCCCCTGAACCCGGGCCTTGTCAAGATTCTGCCTCCAGTGTAGCCTCGTCTCCGGCCCCCGCCCGCGCTCCCTCGCCAGTCAAACGGTCATTACAGGATATCGATATCTCGCAAATACAACCCAACAAACGACGAAGACATCCGGTGGTTGTCTGTGACCACGCGGAAGTGCGCTCAAGAGAAACAAGCTCTGCCTCAACGCCTCTGGGCTCAAGGGTGGAATCGGCAACCCACCGAGAAATCTTGCGCGAGCGGAGCACCAACTTGGAAAGACGAATAGTCCCCACCACCAGGCTGGTGCCCAAGGTGGTCATCATCAATTCCGAAGCAACGCGCCCAAGCCAGCGTCCTGCCCAGCGCAGCCCAGAGCGCGGCGAAAAGCGAATCCACAGAACACTCGACAGGAGAAGATCTGCTCGCCATTCCGTCGTGCCTCCCAACGTGGTCAGGCGGCGGTCTTCCGATCAACCGGTCATTCCCTGCTCACAAGACAGTGGCAGTGACGACGAACTTAGCTTCCTCTGAGCGGGGTCGCGTGAAGTATCTTAGCTGGCTAGCTGGCTAGCTGGCCCTCGGTGGGCCGTTTGTTAATTTACGTGCCCCCGGACAGAGCTCTACACCTCGGACATGATCCAAATTCGGGTTGATCCATGGCTGCTGTGGCGTCCATGATATTTTTACACCCGCAAACGGATCTATTGATCTTGGAAATGGACCTTGTGTTTGTCCACTGATGGAGCTTGACCACCCAGGAAATCTTGGTCTGTTCTATTTGAGGGAACAGCAGAGTGGATTTGGAGATCCAGGTCCGCTTTTCTTGGACGGGATCGGTGTTTTGGACTTTGTTGTACTCCGTATTTTGATTTGGTTTGATACCCATGGCTTTGGATTGCTGTTTGTTTATTTCGGTTGAGCTCTTTAACCCAAGTGTCTAGAATCCCCGGGACTTGACCTGCAGTCTCCCGTGTGTGTTTGGAGTCGCACCCCTGGAGAAGAATGTTGGACTATTGGACGGATATTGTTCCTGATCTGTAGATGTGGTGACAACTCACTTTATTTGGTACATCCGATACGACTTGTAGAAAGCAGACAGAGCTCCGATGCCTGGTATTTCGTAGGCATCTGGGCAGCAGAACGGTTTGATATGCCGCTGTGAGGGGAAGATTTTTTTAACCCGCGTTTCAGATGTCAAGCCACCCTGACAGCTCCAGAGATGCGGTCTACAGGATTTCTCCAGAATCAGAAACTTCCACCGAAGTACGGAGTTCTCAAAGGAACGGCCGTTGTGGGAGATTAAGGTCTGATATAAATGAAATCCCCCGAGCGCCAAGAAACTCCCCTGGGTATGGAGAACCGAGATTTATTGTGGCTTTGCATTAGCATCTGCCTTCTACTCCGTACCTACATGTCCATAGCGGAAACCAGCGTCCTCGATTTGACATGGGCGCTAAACAGCAACAGGCAGGACCATCAGTGGCCGACAGCTCATAGCCGAGTGTCACAACGGACGCCGCAGCCTCCTGTTCTCCACCGCGGCCACCGCAGATTGGCCCATCAATGCAGCAAGGCCCTCTTCTCAAACAGCCAGTTGGGAGCCAAGCCTTGGGGCGGATCTCCCCTCGGCGGCTGGTGATTTTTCGCCAAACTCTCAACCTGAGTGTTTCAGGATGGGCCAGTCACAGCTCTCATCGGACTCCCCGCCACTCCATGGCCAAGTTGGCGTCGACCTGTCGCATGTCGCATGCTCATCTTCTGGCAAAGTTTGTTGAGGCTATCTGTAATATGGCTGTGTGATTCGATGGATGATTTAGGAAGATCGTCTGCGAAATGGATATCATCCCTTGAGCCGATATGTGGCCCCGGCGCCAAACCCCCTGAGATGCTCCGTCCCTCTCCCGACTGGCAAACTGGGTCAATCCGATCGGTTACATTTATGACATATGGGTCATAACTGAGGTCCAGCCTTGCTTGGTCTTTACAATTTACATATTGGGTGGTCCTGCCACTGTCTCATAGCCTCTCCACTAGCCTGGACACAAGGGGAAACAGTCCTTTCTTCGGCTCTTCTACGGAGTATCCTGCTCGTGTTGACTTTCTTTCTTTCTTTGCGCTTTGTCCATTCCCTTCACCTTGACAATTGTGATTGTCTCTTTCACATACTTTGCCTTTCTTTCTGAGACAATCCTCATTGTTTGGGCTTGGACCAGTTGCCATCTTTAGCCTTTTTTTCCCGCTGTGACTGGATCACCAGCATTCCTTTCGTTGCCCGCCAACAACAGGACTTAGCAAGCATTTTCGCTGTTCATTGGGATATTTCTCGCTTTTTCGCGAGCCCAATTGAAGCATCGAACTCTCGACAATCGACAATTTCACGCTGGTTGTGGGATCTCTATACGCGTGATCTAGGCAGGACCTGTATTTGCATCCAGCCATCCGACGACAGATCCTACACAACTGGCTCCTGTCGACCCCTTGCTTCAATTTTCCTTCAATAAACAGCCTTTGGTTGCAGTGTCACTTCACTGTATCTTCCGAGCCACCTGTGGCTCTGGTCCTGATATCAACTAGTGTCACCCTTCCAATTCACTCCTTTACAGCGAGCTGGTCTCGCCAAACAACTCCCGACTTAAGCTTCTTGACGTGAAGCTTTTTGGTAGGGCACTATGAACTCCTTCCTTTTGGCTATGTCCCTCGCTGGATTGACCAGCGCGTCGGACTTTGAAATCACCAAGCGTGGTGGCTCCGACTGGCACTTCTATGAAGCCGTCAACGATGACTTGGCACGCTATACAATTCTGGCCCTAGGCCTTACAGCCGCAGCCTATTACATCTGGCAGATTGCTTTCCGTTTCTCGCATCACCTTCGACGCCTTGCTAGTTTCAGCGATGACCGACAACGATACTTCATATCGACATCTGATACTTTCTCATGGATCAAGGAGCACATCATCTATGCGGCGCTCTTCCGCACCCGACACAATCAGGAACTTCAACTCTCGTCGGCTATCAACATGGGCACCCTGCCCAGCCGATTCCATGCGTTCCTTGTGATTGGTGTTGTCGCTATGAACATCACCCTGTGCTGTGTGACGACCCCTTACGGAGGCGAGGAAAGCTCAGTGGCCGGCATTGTGCGCAATCGCACTGGTACCATGGCGACTGTCAACTTGATCCCGCTCATCATCATGTCCGGCCGTAACAACCCCCTTATTGCAATGCTTCATGTTCCTTTCGACACATGGAACTTGCTTCACCGATGGCTGGGTCGCATCGTGGTCCTGGAGGCTCTCGCCCACGTGTTCGCCTGGGCTATCCCCAAGGGCAACGAGAAGGGCTGGGACATCGTCGGCAAGGCCATCTTCGGAAGCAGCTTCCTCCTGACTGGATTTGTGGCCGCTGTCGCCTTCGCCGCGTTGCTATTCCACTCGCCCTCGCCTATTCGCCATGCATTCTACGAGACCTTCTTGCACCTTCACATTGCAATTGCAGCCCTTTGCATGGGCTTCCTTTGGGTTCATCTCAATGGGTACGCTGCGCAGACCTACCTGCTCGCGACTATCATTCTCTGGGCCCTCGAGCGTGCTACTCGTTTGCTCATCATTGTCTACCGTAACTGTGGTCGCGAGTCTACCACCGCATTTGTCGAGGCAATGCACGGTGATTGCATGCGTATCACTCTGCGCATGGCCCGCCCCTGGAAGTTCCGCCCAGGCCAGCACATCTATCTCTACATTCCCGCTGTGGGATGGACCACTTCGCACCCCTTCTCTGTCGGCTGGAGCGAGACACATGACAGTGTCTCCGACGAGAAGTCCCTGCCCCTCACAGGCCAGGACCTTCTCAACGTGCCGCAAAAGGAATCCATTTCCCTCTTGGTTCGTCGCCGCACCGGTATGACCGACAAGCTCTTCCAGCGTGCAGTGAACGCCCCCGACTCCAAGATTACCCTGCGCGCCTTTGCCGAAGGCCCATACGGAAATATTCACACAATGGACTCATACGGCACTGTGATGCTCTTTGCTGGAGGTGTCGGTATCACTCACCATGTTCCCTTCGTCCGCCATCTGGTTGACGGCTTCGCGAACGGCACTGTCGCTGCCCGTCGCGTCACCCTTGTCTGGATCATTCAGTCCCCGGAACACCTGGAGTGGATCCGGCCCTGGATGACCAGCATCTTGGCCATGGATCGTCGTCGTGAAGTGCTCCGCATCATGCTGTTCATTACCCGACCACGCAACACGAAGGAAATCCAGAGCCCGTCTGCAACCGTGCAGATGTTCCCTGGCCGCCCGAACGTCGATACCCTCGTTGGTATGGAGGTCGAGAACCAAATCGGTGCAATGGGTGTGCTGGTCTGTGGTAATGGTGGTTTGAGTGATGATGTTCGCCGTGTTTGCAGGAGGCGACAGAATCATTCCAATGTTGATTTCGTGGAAGAGAGTTTCTCATGGTAAACGGTCGTTGATTGTGCTGTTTCATCGGTATATAAGCCTACCTGTTTACTTGGAACTCGGAGCCCTGGAGGTGCTTGGTTTGAGGGGTCGCTGTCATTTGTTCCTTTCATGGACATTCTTTCTTTGGTCATACTTCTGTGTGATCTTTTGTCTCTCTTTTCGTCTGGTCTGCTCCGCAACCGGCTATTTCTTGTATACATTTTTGCTTTGTTTCTCTCATCGGGCAGCGACGTACTCTGTCATCATGAGTGTCTATAGGTAGTTCCAAGGTTGTACATATCTTTGCTACAAGATGAAGGGCACGAATCCCCGCCGTTGAACAATATTATTTATTTCAGAGTTGTACCGTGATAGTGGTTGTAGGCATTATGACATTTGATGCTCTGAAATACTGTCTGAGTGAAATTATCATAGATAGAGCATGGCATGATTGATTATTTGGGGAATGTCCAGCACACCCCGACAGTCTGTTGAGAAAGCATCTGGGCAGGTGTGGTTGAACCAAGATGGTCATCTTCTAAACACTTCCCTCCTGCTTCATGGCAAGACCCATGGCCTGGGCATCAGTCTGGTACCTCTTAAATTTCCTGGCTGGAACCTTCTTGATAAACATCTCATCGAGCTCGGCATACGTTCTGGCAGCAGTCTCTGGCTGATAGAACCACAGATACACCAGAGACAGTGTAGCCAAACCGCCAAAGATGAATGACACCTTCGCGCCGAGGTTCGCCTGATCAGGATTGAACAAATAGGGCAAAACGAAAGACCACATGGTATAAAGTGCGTTCTGCAAAGCCAAGCCAATAGCAATGGTCTTGATTCGCAGCCTAGACGTCGACACCTCAGCCAAAATAGTATATCCCGCCGATCCGATGGTCGTATTGTACCACCAACAATAGACAAGGATCAAAGCAACAGTACCCTTGATTGCACCGCCAGAGCTCGGGTTTGAGGTGTCAGATCCAAGGACTGCCAGACCACCAGTCAGCATGAGAATGATAGTGAGCACGCCTAGTCCGTAGATCATCAGATTCCGACGACCCAATCGATCGATTAGAAAATACGACGTGACATTTCCCACGAGCGACAGAACCTGCTGCGCAATTTGCAACCGGAAGCTCATCTCCGTACTGTATCCAGCGAGTTGGATATAGTAAGTCGAATACCCGGCCATAAACGCGACACCCGATAATGCCTGAATGCTCAGCGGAACAATGGAAATGACCGTGCGACGAAGATTGGACCGACGGAAACATTCCAAGTAGGTGACGCCCTCGGTTTCCTGTCGAATTTCATCGAGAGTAACCTTAATCAAAGCCAACTTCTTGACTCGCTCTTCTTCATTGTATCCTAGTTTGCGGAGACTCTCTAGGGCCTTTTCATCCCGGTTCTTGGACATCAGCCACCAAGGGGATTCGGGCATGAATGCAATGAATGCAAGTGCAACTCCGGCATAGCCATATTGTGCTACGAAGACGGCGCGGTAGGCCCAGCGGTTTGTGTATGTTCCCGTCGTGTTGGTAATGAGGGCGACGACCAAAGGGCCGATACAATAGGCGAGTGCAGTCAGGCAGGTGAGGGTTCCACGGAGGGCAAGAGGAGAGATCTGGAGAGCATGTAATGTCAGAAAACCAGCTCAAAGTCGACCGAGTCATGCCAGAAGACATACCTCTCCCACGTATGTGATCGGGACAGAAGCCAAGGCGCCGAGGGCGAAGCCATTGAGGAACTTTCCACCAAAGAACATTTCATTCGTCGTCGAAACAAACTCCAATGTGACCGCAGCAACGGTGATGAGCAGGGAGATGCCCATGGTCATTTTCCGCCCAATGGTATCGGCGATCTGACCGGAACACAGTGCACCCACGACGGCCGATGCGACAGGTCCGCCACTAAAGGCAGATTGCCATTTCGCCTCGAGCACCCAGTTGCCGTCGTAAAAGTGTCCAAAGTCTTCGCGGAATTGGGGAATACCAGTCACATTGCCCGAAGCTTGGTTTTCAAAGCTCACGAGGAGGACACACCAGACGGCATAGACGCACCATGCAAAGATCCATGGGTATTTCTTCATACTTTGCCACTTGCCTAACTCGCGATCATCTTGGTTGGCAATGTGACTGAGCTGCTGTTCCTCTGTCTTTGCACCTGCATGCTCGACAAGGTCGGTGCTAGGCTTCTCCATTGTTATGGCTGGGGTTGTTCAGGGGTTGAAGAGTATAGACAATGGTGTTAATAGGCAATCTCCCCACAGAAGGGACTTGAGGACCTGTCGATCCCTGATGGGAAGATTCAGTATAAATAAGAGCCAGTCGTCACTTTGATAGCCCGGGGCATGACCGCCTCGAGATACCAGTATGCCGAATTGGGAGCTTCGAAGAGTCGAGCGAGGCGGTTAAACCACCTGAATCCGGGACAGTGACGGTGACCCTAGACATGCAGGATAGGACAGAAATGGCATGATATTCGGGGCAAGAAATGCCGAGTTGCAAGGGGGATACTCATCACTGCGCCACGGTCTGTAAACGGGAACGCGGGGAACGCCACTAACCCCGTACCCCGGATTCCAGAGCCTGTGACTCGATCTCATCGGGTCGACTTCCGCGAGAGTCTCTTCTGATTGGTCTGCTTTTGGCTTCTTGGTTGTGCACGTTTCTTAGCCCGAAGTTTTGCCGCTGGCATGGCAGTCTCTACCCCTTCGTGAGTTCCAACCTTGTGCCTTAGGGCTGTGGCGTTTCGAAACAAAGAATCACACTGAGGCCAGGAGAGGGGCCGCGTGGTCGGGTTTTGGTTGTCTGATATCCAAATACCTCGGGTAGGCTATGGCTTTATTGGCTCGGGGATGTACACTTTCAAGAGTACCCCGGAAGGACCGGACCGCTAGATATCGGTGAACAAAAATCTTCATGGGTAGCCCCGGGGGCTAAATTCACTATGAGCAAGAGACATTTCGTTAAATTTTCTATGGAAGGTAATAAGCACGAGCCGCAATTTGTTACGCTGATCGTGGCCTCAATTTCCTGGCCATCGTCAGAGACGGATACCTTAGGATCGGCATGAGCGAAAGTGGTGAAAGAGAGGCCATGACCGAAGGGGAAAAGCACTTGTGAGCGGTGCTTCTCAGACCGGTCGTAATGGCGGTATCGCACGAAGATGCCCTCTTCGTACGTGACATTGAGCTGTCCGTCAATGTATTCACCGGGGAAATTGCCATGCGCGGGGGCATCTTCAAGCCGGCGCGAAATCTAATGTAGCCATCAAGAAGAAGAACACCGCCGCTCTTGGATGGCTGAAGGGCAATCACCTCTACGGTGTAGGTCTTTCCACCTTCAAAATTGCATCAGGTTTCGGACTCCTTCACTCCCCCTAGGAGGAATGCCATCGAATCGGGGCAATTGTCCTTCTACTCATACACCACCTCACCATCGATGACAATTTGTGAGCGACCCAGTCCTGACATGCAAAGATAGTGGTGGCCACTCTGTGTGGGTGTAAATGAGTAGTTGCCCAGAGGCTACCCCATGACTCTTTGACAAAGAGAGGCAAGTAACTGGGCGCATCGGTGTGTTGAGACGAATCGGCTTTCCCCGTAGCATCATCATTCAAGAAAAGATCCAAAGTCCAGCCAGGCTGGCTGTCGCGGTCAACGACCATCTGATCCATGAGAGGCAGATGACGGAAGGTATGACCACCCTGTGCATGTTAAAACTCGACCTCATCACCAAGAGCAGCACGAAGACTTGCCTCGGCAGTCACCCGATAATGAGGGTTGACAGATGCACTGCTTCTGCCGTGAATCAGGCCCTGCTTACCTAGCAAAACCTAGTAGAACAACCTTCTTCTTGGCAAGTTGCTCCTCTCTCAAGGGAAGAATCCCATCTTCATTCTTGAGAAGGACCATGCCTTGGCTACCAATGGAGCGAATAAGCTTCTGGTACTCTCTTTGTCGATGGATCTCTCCTCGGGAATAGATGGATCCTCGAAGAATCTCGGCTTTGCCATGAGCTCAAGCGCATTGCGGGCGCGAGCATTGGTGGTTTCTTCCGAGACCTTTCCAGCTTTGATAGCCGCGACCACTGCGTCTGCCGTCGGCCATTTCGTGGGACCGGGCGTTTCAAGATCAAGTCCCGCCTCTTGGGAGCCCTCGGTCGAGTTCGTGCCACCACAGTCACTCATCACCAGGCCATTCCATCCCCACTGGCCACGGAGAACATCTTTCAGCAGGTAGGTGCTTGAATCAGCGTGATCGCCGTTCAGAATGTTGTAAGAGGTCATGACTGGAAACTGGGCAGGAGCTAGCTTTTCGACATTTCGAGGAAATGGGATATTATTGTTGCGAAGTTGTCGGCGTAGGAATCGAGGATCATTTCAGTGTCTTCTGGTTTTGCAAGGCACGATGTCATTATTGTTGCCATTTCGTGGTATACCCGGAGAAGGTAGCCGCATTTTTCTTTGCCTGGTGCTTTTTCAGTCTCCAGGCGAGTGATGGTAGTGTGTGCTTTTGTCCAAATCAAAAGAGAACGAGGAGGCAAAGCACTGTTTCGTGGAAGTCGTCGGGGCCGGGGTTAAGGACTTAAAAGTTAAGACCGCGGCGAGGTGATTGGTGCTGTCACTTTTTAACGCCTTTGATTGGACAACCACTTTTTTCTCCCTGATCTGGGGCTGTTGATTGGCTGCTTTCTATATCCACACTTGGATAGTTGAGGCCCCGGGGGTAATTAGAAGACGGACGAATCTCTCCGTCGACGAATATATAAACTGTGTTTTCCAGCTTCAAAAGATCCCATCATCCACATTATATTCAACATGCCTTACCCTACTAGATCCCTTGGCCGCGATGGCCCTCAAGTCCCAGCAGTTGGTCTTGGACTCATGAGTCTCGGTAACATCTATGGAGATGCCGGCTCCTTGGAAGACAAGGTATCCTTCCTCGAGCGTGCCCATTCGATTGGCGCCAGATTCTGGGACACCGCCGACGCATACTTCGACAGTGAAGATGCCGTCGGAGAATGGGTCCGAAGGTCTGGAAACCGTGACGATATCTTCCTGGCGACCAAGTTTGCGCTGAAGTTCGGCATGAACGGTACTATGACCATCCAAAATGACCCCGAGTATGTGAAAGCCGCTTGCGACAAAAGTCTCCAGCGAATGGGCGTCGATACAATCGACCTGTACTACTGCCACCGTGTGGATGGAGTGACACCCATCGAACAAACCGTTCAAGCCATGGTTGAATTGAAGAAGTAAGTCTGGGTGCCTGTAGCACTCAAGAACATGATTCTCACCTCCCTCAGCCAAGGCAAAATCAAGCACCTCGGGCTCTCCGAATGCTCAGCCGCGACTCTACGCCGCGCTCATGCCGTGCACCCCATCGCCGCATACCAAGTCGAATACAGCCCCTTTGCCCCAGAGATCGAGATCTCCGCCATTTTGGAAACCTGTCGCGAACTTGGCATCGCCGTCATCGCATATAGCCCTATTGGCCGAGGCATCCTGACGGGGCAAATCCAGTCCTTCGCCGATCTCCCTGCCACCGATTTCCGTCGCATGCTGCCCAAGTATGCGGAGGAGAACTTCCCCAAAATTCGGGAGCTGGTGCAAGGGTTGAAGCAGATTGCAGAGAGACACGACAGCACAGCCGCGCAGGTTGCTATTGCGTGGGTCCTTGCGCAGGGGTCTGATATCATCCCGATCCCTGGAACTAAGTCGGTGCGGACGTTGGAGGAAAATGCTCGTGCGGTCGATCTGCGCCTCACGGGCGCTGACTTGGACGAGATCCGGGCGCTGATTGATTGTACTGATATTCCGGGGTTGCGGTATCCTGCTGTGTAAGTGCTGTGATTCATGCTATGCTATGCTCTACTGACAGGATTTTAGGATGATGGACTCGGTGCTCGGGGACACTCCGCTGCAGAGCCTCTAAACTGGACTTGTCCCGCGGTCTGATGTCATCCGGGATATGCAAGTGATGGAGACCAATGACAGTGGGTTATTTGGGTTGTTGTTGGGGGCCAAGGTGCCCCGAATAACTGTTCTTTGTCTCTCTGTACAGTATAAGCATCATTGATAGAACTATACTATATTACCCTGTACTATACTAGAATTAAGATCCCCTGAAGTCAATCTGACTGTCAATAAGACACGGCAAGTGGGTCGGGACGTATATCGATCTGATTTGCGCGCAAAAGTCCAAATAATTACCCACTTGGCATCCCTTGGCTGAACGGGGCAAAGACTGTGGGTTATTAGGGGCCGAACCCCGCGAACGAAAAACTCGGTGATTCCTCTTCTACATCCATGACATGTCAAATTCCAGTGACTCCAGTCCAGGCAACTGGATCACCGGCAGTTACACCGGGAACAGCGATGGGGTGAAGATCACCATCGCGACCTTTGTCAGTGTCGCGTGGTATAACGTGCTCGAACTGATTGTCCTCATCTTCCTCACCTTCAAGCGCTATGAGGGCCCCTACTTTTGGAGCATGCTAATCGCCAGCGTCGGCATCCTGCCCTACTCCGTCGGCTACCTGATTAAATTCTTCGACCTCACCTCGGCAACATGGGTCCCCGTCACGCTATTGACGATCGGCTGGTGGACGATGGTAACCGGGCAGTCCTTCGTGCTGTATTCGCGCCTGCACCTGGTGATTCAGAACATCCGCGTGTTGCGCTATGTGCGGACGATGATCATCACCAATATCTTCCTGCTGCACGTGCCCACTACCGTGCTCACCTACGCCGCGAATTTCTCCAACTCCACCACCTCTGTCGCGGGCTACGATGTGATGGAGAAATTGCAGTTGACAGGCTTCTGTGTGCAGGAGGTGATTATTTCGGGCCTGTATATGTGGGAGACGAATCGCATGCTGCGCTTGAACCAAGACCATGTCAGCCGGAAGACCATCATGCAGTTGTTGGCCGTCAACGTCTCTTGTATCCTGATGGACATCGCGTTGATGATTATCGAGTTCATGAACTTCTATATCTACCAGACCACCCTCAAGGCAACCTTGTACAGTATCAAACTGAAACTCGAGATCGCCGTGCTGGGTAAGCTCGTCAACATCGCCCACCAGCACATGTGGCGGACCTCTTCATTCAATCCGGACGGGGGCCGATGTCCCTCATTCGTCGACCCGAGTCGAGCGCTGCATGATTTCAACCACCCGGACTCGCTGGCGACCAGCTCCAATTCGAAGGGTCGGACATCTGGAACCGAAGGTTTGGAGACGGGCATTCCATGATGCGTCTGGAATTCAACCTTGAATCCATCTCTATACTGTTGCGACGCGCGCAACACTCTGCACCCCAACCCGCTGCTCTCTTCAGCAATAAAGGCCAAAACCCCTTTGCATTCAACTGGGGTGTTCTGGACCACTCCAGACACCGACACATGATCCATCACCACAATCCGCAAATTTCTGGCTATACCACCAAGACACAGATAGATCGAAGTTCTGTATATAAGATACCCCGCTCTACGGAGACACGATACCACGAGCTTATGACACTTACCATAATTCCAAGATCCATTTCGGCAATATTCACTACTAGGTAGTTTATCCTGTGCATCCCATCTGGGCAACCTTGAAGATCCCGGTTCCAGGTTTCCATAGAGAATGAGTACTTGACCACTGTGCTGTAAGTAGCCAAGCCCACCGGAACAAACCACACCTGCAAACACGATAAGCAACCGGCAAAGCGCCGGCCAAGAAGACGTTGAAATGCAGAAAAGAAAAAAAAAAACGAACTGCCCGCACTCCAACTTGGAATCCGCATTTTCGTGGCCGGCTGCAGATCCCGAACGCGCCTACAACCGGGCCGGTGCATATCGATAAGTAAACCTCACCTCGGAACAAAATCAAAAAGAGGGTATATTGAAATCTATGTAATTCGTCTGTATATATAATTCTTAATTTAATTGACCATGAAATTCAAGATCCCTTCCTCCGACCATCAAGCTGGTCATGCAAGGAAAGTCGACCTTCAGTATTGACGAACCCGCCAATGCCAAATGCGGGGATAATGCGACACATGCGCAGGAGCGAGGCACCGATCCAGTCGCGGCTGACGCGGCTGATGCGCTCTTTGCTGGGCATCACCTGCGGTCTGTTGTAGAGGTCCAGACCGAGGAGGTGGATGGGGGTACTGATGAGTTGGATGGAGGCGGGGATGGCCAGCTGGGCGATAAGGATTTTGAGGTATTCTTGGGAGGCGATGGAGTCTGGGATGGAGGCGGAGACCATGGCGGGGAGGCTGAAGGAGCCGAAGATGGTGAGGCCGTCGCGGAGGAGGAAGGCGGAGTAGGTTGCTAGTGGGATGCGGGTGCGGCCGATGGAGCGGGCGGTTTTGAGGGAGGTGGAGGTGGATGCTGATGCTGATGCTGATGTTGATGCTGATGCTGAGGGGGTTGGTGTAGGGGTTGGTGGTGGGGTGGTTTTGGGTTGGCCGAAGAGTTGGGCGAATTTGACGTCTTTCCAGATGCCGACTGAGGAGTTGACGAGGAAGGTGGTGGCGAAGGTGGTCATGCCTGCAATGGCGTGGTCGATCTCCGGGTACCATTTGCCCAGGATGGTTTCGGTGGCATTGGCTGTTGCGAAGGTTGCTGTGTAGAGGGACCAGACGAGTAGGCTGGGTCGGGATGTTAAGAAGGTTGCTGGTTGTGTAATTGAGAACCAGAGGTGTCGACGGAATGCCGGGAACATGGGCTGGTTGTAGAATGATTTCTCGACGACGAGTCTGGGCAATACGGTCAGTATCGCATTGGACGTGGGGTTTCGTGGACTTGCCTGTCAAAGATCATGACGGCTGGGGTGATCAGCGTTGCTGAGCCTGCAGCAACGACAACATCGGCGGCCAGCAGCTCGGCCATGCGGCTCTTAGTGTGGTGGATGCCAAATGGCAGGGGCTTATCCTCGAGCTTCTGCGACATGATGCGGGAATGCATTCTATCTTCAAGCGAGGAAAGCGAGAAAAGCGAGGCAAGCTCGGCTCATGGGCAATTTTATAGTTGTAATTGTGTGGTGAATCGTGGATTTCGTAGCGACAGCGTCAAACAAAGAGGATATATGTATATGAAGGACTGTGACTGTTAGAAATGAAGTAACGCGGGGCACACGAGCAGCACTGGGGGACTTACTGGGTCAACACCGCACAACGCTATGTGGATGTTGGGCTATATGCAAGGCAAAAAGATGAAAGAAAAGGTGCAGAGAGTGTGTCAAGTGTCTAGCAAGGAGCGTACGGGGTAGATATAACCGATTGAGTAGCCCTGTGATGTAGTGACCGTATCCTCACATTTATAACATTTATAGATGTTTCGCCCAAAAGGTGAACGCCTCGGCGAAGCGAACCAATCAGATGTCCAACCGGGCCGGCCGCCGGTGATGCGTACGGGCCGGTGATTGGCCGAGAGAGACCGCGATCGACGTTAAAATCAATTCCAGAAAGTGTGCCCTCGTTTACTTCTACTCCATCTTACTAGCACAGTAGTTCAGTGTATAGACTCAACGCATGGGCTTGCCTCAAGAGGGTTCTCCCCGCATTGCTCCGATAGGGACATATCTCTTGCTGCTTCTCTTTCGGTCTCGCGTCTCGAATCTTGTGGAGTGGGGACCGGTTTTGAGATCGGTACCCCTGTCCTGACTAGTGAATCTCTAGACGGTTTCTCATTGTAATAGGCATGATCATCACAGATAAGGATTTCGGGAATATGCACGGCTTATTCGCCTAGGCCCCGGTTCTTCACTAGGATTGGTGTGCTGTCAACGTTTTCAAGGCATTGTTCTGTCGTGGCCCTCACTGAGTCATACCAGTGTCGGTGAAGGGAATTTGGGCATGCACCAGACCCTCGATCACTGGGCATCAACCTGGGAAGGTGGATCTGTTCCCCTCCAAGATGCGAGTCGACACCGCGGGGTTTGGGGTGATGTGTCACGTTTTCTCATATTCTGGCCTGAGGTGTCAACCGTGAATAATGGAGACCCCTGGCTTTCATGTTAGGGGAATTATACCAATTTATAGGGATATTTGCTGTACTCCATACTAGCAAAGGTGGCGCCGAAATGAAAGAAAGAGTTCTTCTATTCTGTACTAGTAATGCATACGGGGCATTCACACAAATCTACTTTCTGCTCTCGAATTAAGACCAAAATCCACAGGCAAGCAGAAGCAGCCAGTCACATAGTCCTGGCCCTGCATTCAAGGCAAGGCCAGAGTGCGAGAGTCACTCGGAGTCAGAGTCAGATTCAGAGCTCATCTCAAAGTCCGAAAAGTAAGGCCGTAACAGATCAACAAGGTCGTCATCCTCATTCCGCTGAGCATATTCCAGCACCATATCATCAATATCTCCTTTCTGAATACCATGTGAAGAAACTTGTTCCAAAATCACCTCAACAACCTCATGTTTGTCCTCGTCAGAGGCCTCAACCAAAGCCCGACAAATTTGCTCTTTCTTCACCTCGGGCGATTTTGCCGGTCTGTCCAAAAATATCTCTACCAGCTCCGTCTTCCCATGACATGCTGCAAGAACTAAAGGAGGAAGCTCGACATGACCATATGACTCTGAGTAGGGATCCGCTCCATGCGCAAGCAGCATTTGCACAAGCTCCCGATTATTAGCACTCACAGCCTCGCTGAGGGCTGAATATTCCGACCCCTCATCGGGCGAGACTCCCTTCGCAAGAAGTAAGGCAACCAGTGACATGTTCTCGCTCTCAGCCGCGAATGAAAGTGCATTACGCGAGTTTCCGTCTTCAGCACAGGGATCGGCGCCCGCGTCTATTAACAGTGACACAACGACTTCATGGCCCTGAGAAGCAGCACAAAGAAGAGGTGTCGATTCATCGTCATCTACTGTATCGAGATTGACTTTTTTCTCCAGCAGAAGTTGGACGATCTCGGCATGTCCCATTTCCGCAGCCCAGGATAGAGGTGTTCGATTGAAGCCGTCGACTGGATCTGCATCAATGCCCTGCTCCAGAAGTAGCTTCACCGCGTCCGATTGGCCGTGGTAAGCTGCATTCGCGAGAGCAGTTTTCCCATCCTTGTCCTTCGCGTTTTTATTCGCACCTTGTGCAAGGAGGAACTTGAAGTCTTCTTCGCGGTCGTCTTCAAGGGTCCATAGTAGAAGCTCACCACCTCCGTTCTTCCTCCAGTCAAAGTCGGGGTTGATGGTTCTGAAAAGCTCTTGCAGTCCATCAAGCCGAGCCGAAGAAGGTGGCTCAGGGTGTAAAGGTAGTCCGTAATCGATCTCCGGGGGCGAAATTCCTTTCAGAACCTGAATTACGGCCTCATGTTCTTGCTTGATGGCCCATAGAAATGGCGTCCGGTCGTATTTCGTGTCTTTGATCTCTGTGCTGGCGTTCCATCGTAGACATAGCTTGACGACTTTGGCGTGTCCATTCATCGCAGCCCATATGATCGGGGTCCGATTTTGTTCATCCACCGCGTCCACGATTGCATTGCTTTCCAACAACATTTCGACGATATCTTCGTGCCCTTGCTCTGCGGCCCAAGACAACGCAGTCCGACTCTGTCGCCAGTCCTTGGCCTCGATTTCAGCCCCTGCCGCTAATAAAGACTTGACAGTGGCATTCGACCCGGCCGCAGCGGCAAGAGTAAGTGGCGTGTGGCCGCAATAATCTCTGTCCTCGACATGGGCACCTGCCTCTAACAGAACCTGGCTGATCTCGATGTGTTTATTGGCGATGGCCTGTAACAGTGCTGTGCCATTTTGAATATCTTTCGCATTGACGCTAGCATTTCTTTGAAGGAGAAGCTCAACAAGGGCCTTGTGGCCGTTCATTGCTGCCCATATCAGTAATGTTCTTCCATTCGAGAGATCGCGTGAATCTGCGTATTTTCCATCTTCTAATGCTTTCTCAATTGTCGCGATTTGTCCATCTTGTGCCGCGCTGATGAGCGGATCGTCGGATGGGAGTAACACGATCGGCATGGTGCGACTGCAGAGCGCAATAGAATGCGTCCCAGATCAAAGGATTTGTTTGGGTTATTATTGACTTTTATGGCTGGCCGCTGTCGGACTTTTTTGAGATGCCAAGACGGGGCTCATGAGGCGCAATAAATACAGTTTTCTGATGTCTCATAATCGCACCAGGCTATCTGATATCACAAGTGGCTCAATATATTCTTTCGGGACTTCAAATTAAATCTAGGCAACCAATCTGTGGAGGAACTATATCAGGGTTTGCTCAGGCTGCAGTGACTCCCACCGGTGAGATCGTCACCCCGAATTTTCAGGCCAAAAATCAGATAAATGCGCCCAGACTGTTGAGAGGCTCCAGGGCTATTTCATGAGTCTGGAACTATAGATCGAATTGTTTTATCACTTTGTTTATGTTCTTTCAAGGTTACACAGAATAAAATCTCCATAAGATGAGCTTTCCAAGGTTCGAGTTGAGGTGACCCGGTATATATACAAGCCACCAGAGGTCACCAACCTTCAACATTTCATCTTCAAACGAAGAGCCCGCAACCGAAAACCTTGGAATTGCATCTTTGACCAGATCCACTGTCGCTCACTGCGGAATAATCTGGCACATTGCGGATGCTTGGGATTCGAAAATTATTAAGTCATTCCAAGTTTGACAATCTCAGCGCCAGCGCCAATTTCTCCGACCAAGAAGATCTTTTGTTGGGCACGCCTAATTTGGATAGAATATTCTGTCCAACTTCTCCCCGGCATTCTAGAAGCCTGGGCTGGGAAAGGCGCGCCCCCCGCGGGCATTTACAGACAACTCATGGGTGACTCGAGTACTTAAGCGCTCGCCATGTATCCAACCACCCTTTCCATCACGGGTTAGATGCTGCGCATCATCAACTCAGCCACGATTTCCATTCCTTGATGCAGCTCCGCCGCGCAGTTGCGGATCTCTTCGACCCGACCTTGCCCATTCCGTACCCGGTTGACCGTCTTATCTATTTGTTTCGAGTTCTGCTCGTTTTCTTTCTGTACCTGGCTATCTCCTATCTCAAGGGGCTGACCGCCTGGTTCCGCCATTACAATGAATACCCTACCCTTGCTCTGGCCTGTTCTCATGGGCGAATCATGCGTTGCCGAATTTTTTGGATTTTGTCGATGGCCCAGTGTCTTTGCAGGGTCCGAGTGACGACGAGACGGTTACTCATCGGGGCAAGAAGCCCGAGAGAAGTGATAGATTCCTCACCCAGATAGATGATCAAGGGAAAAGCAAAGAAAGGATGAGAACTCGTGATCTCTGAGAATTTTTGAATTTCGAGAATAGGAAAAGGCCACTTTCTTCCGGCTGTATACGGGGCTAGCAAGGATTTGGAATATGAGGGAAGTCGAATTGTGAACAGAAATTATTCTCAAGCGAAACAAGCTCCAACATCAGCTATTATAATATTCTATCTGAACGGGGGAGCAAAAGGCCACTCAATCATATTCCGCTACTATCTTAGATCCGTAAACCCGTTGACGGCTCGCTTAGTGGTACGTTCGATTTTTCATTTGGAGTCTGAAGAGAACAATGTGTCCGCTTGCACCCGAGAAATCGAATCAAACAGAAACAGATTTGCATGTATAATGAGACCAGCATAAATAGTACAGGGACCTTGGTGCCCAGCAATTCACATTTCACAGAAGACGCGCGAGATACGCTCAACGTAACTGGACATGAGTGTGGAGCATATCGACAGGCAGCAGGATTATGTCGAATGAGGACCAAGAAGCCTAGCGTGATTGGACTTTGGACTCGAAATGAAAGCTTGTTCGTAGTTCAGCCCTGTAGGGCTGAGTGGGGTGTCCTAGTGCCCTGTCGGATTCCCCTGAATGCAGACTGGCCCCATAATGACGAGAAGAATATTAGTAACGTCCAAATGGGACTTACACGTCATCTTCATCGCATAATGCTGCGTTTTCGACACATTCGCATTGACTGAGGATGAAGGGACCGAAGAAATCATGGCTAGGGCCTGCTATTGCGACCCGGCCGAGACCTGCTGTTTTGGTCTTCAGAAGCTGTAGCTTCAAGTTGCTCTGTGCGGCGTTTGCATTCGGGCTACTGGGCATGTCCAGAGGTAAGTCTTTTGGTGAAGACCGAGAGTAGAGATGCTAAGGGATAGGACTGGATGAGGGTCTTATATCGACCACTGTTGCACAGAATTCCTTTATCAATGAGTTTGACCTCGACGCGGGTTATCTAAATTCCTCCGAGCAGGCCAATCGACTGTCCAACATTACGTCGATGGTTCATATCGGTAGTATACCGGGTGCATTGCTCGCTTTCGTTCTCTGTGAGAGAGTTGGTCTTCTTTGGTCCATGCGACAGCTCTGTCTGCTTTGGATGGCGGGTGTTATTATCGTGATCACGTCCGCCGGGAAACTGGGACAATTGTACGCGGGTCGGTTCATCATGGGGTTGGGAATCGGGCAGGCTGGGGTAGTGGCTCCAACGTATTTGGCCGAGATTTCACCCGCTCATGCTCGGGGAATGATGGTGAGTCTTTTCGCCATGTCGGAGTATATCGGGATCATGATCGGTGTATGTATACTGGCCCTAATTTCGAGGTCACTATCGCTGACTGGTTTAGTATTTCTCGGCCTGGGGTGCCTCGCTGCACATCTCGGACTCAACTGCTCGCCAATGGATCATTCCTCAGAGCGTGCAAATCATCGTTGCGGGACTTCTGATCCTTTCATCTTTTCTCTGTGAAGAGAGTCCGAGGTACCTGGGGAAGACCGGAAATTGGGAAAAAGCAAGTCTTTCTTTGGGCAGCCTATGGGGATTACCTGCGGACCATCGTGAAGTCGTGACGGAGGTTGAAGGCATGAAGATTCAGCTTAGCTCGGATTATACCCAGGACACGAGTGCAACCTGGCTCAAGTCAGTCAAAGAGTTGTTGACAGTCAGAGAAAACCAGCAAAGGTTGTTTTTCGTGATCTCCGCGCAGGTGCTTGCGCAATGGTCCGGGGCGAATTCTCTCACCAGTAAGTAGCACTTCACTCCAGGGCTCGTTCCGATGATCTAGTCTCACCAGATCACAGCATACGCACCCGAGCTGTTCTCACTTTTTGGCATAGGAGGCCAATCCGAGAAGTTATTTGTGACTGCTGTCTTTGGCGCGGTCAAGTTCATCGCATCTCTTCTCTGTGCTATCCTTTTAATCGACCATTTTGGGCGCAAGCGATCCCTCCTTTCGGGTATCTTGCTCCAGCAGATTGCCATGTTGTATATTGCAATATTCCTCACTGTCAGACCTGACTCATCGACCGACGGATCTGGGTCCGTGAAGAGGGCAGCTATCGCAGCCATCGTCTTCATTTACATCGTCGGTATCGGCTGGGCGATGGGATGGAATTCCATCCAGTATCTGATCAACGCGGAGATATTCCCGCTGCAGGTCCGGTCCACAGGATCCAGTCTCCTGATGACTTTCCACTATGCCAATCGATATGGTCTTTCCAAGGTATGCCCGGTGGATCCATTGTAAACCAATCACTCACCATGGTAGGCTGTTCCGTCAATGCTACTCGAAAACGCGCTCCAGCCGAAGGGAACATTCTGGTTCTTTTCTGTGGTGACCTTCTTCGGTTTGGCGTGGACATGGCTGTTGCTCCCCGAGACCGCGGGCCAGAGTTTGGAAGAGACGAACGCTCTTTTCTCTTAGCAACTGTTAAAGACCAGTGTGTTGTGAACACCTGATCGGGTGATCCTGGCTGTTCCCTATCTGGAAGACGATGACGGCTCTCGGTTTGGTGATGTCGACGAGATCCCTTGATGGCAACAAGAACCAACTACTCAGAACTCACAGCGGACATACCAACTGATATCCCAAACGGTCGACCTTTTGGCTCCAAGCCGCAACCAATCTATCATGAGCTATGTTGCCGAATCCAGCCGCGCCATGACCAGTGATCATCACCGTCAGCCTAGTGGGGCAATCCGATTCTGTTCTTGAATAGTCGATTCAATCATCTAATGAAAGTCAACCAAGTCATCATATCTGTACTTATAATACACTGTGTTCTTCGTACAGCCTCCTGTCATATTGGGCGCGAACCCAAGGCCCCAGTGCAGATCATGTCGATCTCTACGGGCTTCGCATTCTGCATTATCGGAGCGCACGCAGAATGTTGGAATTCCCAAGGAAGGGGCATGCTAATGAACACAGAAGTCCAAATAAGATTCACTACTCCTATTAACATTAATGCCATAGGGCGCTGCTTCGGAGCCACACATGGCCAATACAGCCCCGTAGAGCAACGAGATCGATGACAATTCACCAGCAGACCACATATTAGGATACTATCGGTAATGGTGATGCTGATTGAGTTGTACAGAAGTGCAAGGAGAGATCTAAATTCTTAAATCAAAGACTACTCCGTATAGCAGGTAGTAATGAGTGACGCTAAACGGAGTACCCAACTAGGCAATATTGTATGCAAGGACTGTCAATTATAGTGGGGCAATAATCTCTTACATAGTTCGCAATTCCACTGTACTACTACTACAGTATTATTGTTCGCTAAGGTGAAAAGCCAGACCCGACCGAATAACCACTACGGAGTAGAGTGGTGGAAATACGCGGCTCTTGCGCCAAATTCAAGATCGAGAGGCGTAAAAGGGGGTTCCCAGGACTCATGGCTTGTTCAGAACAGAAGCTGAACATGATGCAGATCTGGAGAAATAATCAATTCAAATGCCCTACGGAGTAGGGTAAACACCATTGGATTGGCTGAGAGCAGAGCGAAGAAAAAGAAACCATACGATAAGAGCAAGTCACAATACAGTACGGAGTACACTTCACCCTTCGCGACAGAAGTACCAGTCTCATTCTAAATGTTTGCGATCTCACGCAACAGTCAATAACAGTGCCGATCATGGCCCCTATCATGCACTAGTAGCCCCGAACCCCCCCGAAACAATAACCAAGTGGGACGAGATCTCGGCGCAGATCTCGTGCTTAGCTGCGGGATGCCGATTTTTCGAATCCACCAATCTGATCGGCATCCCAAGGGGCCACGCACAAGGCGTGGGCTGAAACAAGGCATGGGTTGAATTTTCTGAAATAGTCAGCTCTCATGCTTCAACCAACTACCCTCTGGCCGTGTCTCGTTCGAATCGAAGTGGGCCATGTCCTTGACTGAGAAGCCGACCGGGGACTCTCCCTCGAGAATCCCTAGATGGCGTATGATTTTCGATCCCGGCTGTGTTTCGCAGCAGGTTATCGATCACGAGTACAATGGCTCTGGTACTGAAGAAGACCCGTACCAAGTCTCTTGGATTGAGGATGACCCTCGGAATCCGATGTTGTTTTCGCCGCTGTCCAGGTGGCTCATCACGATTCTCGTGGGGATTGAGACGTTATCGGTGGCTTTGGTATCCTCTGCTTATTCTGGAAGCATTAAAGAGATTATCGCAGAGTTTCAAGTCAGCGAAGAAGTCGCTTTACTTGGAATATCGCTGTTTGTCCTCGGATTCGCCGTGGGCCCCTTGTTCTGGGCGCCCCTGAGCGAGTTATACGGACGTCGATATATCTTGATCGCGAGTGCAACGGGATTGACAGCATTTACGGCTGGCACAACAGGATCGAAGAATATATGGACGTTGATTATTCTGCGTTTCTTTGGTGGATGTTGCGGCTCGGCACCGTTCGCTGTCTCAGGTGCTGTCATTGCAGATACCTTTCCTTCCATTATTCGCGGCCTGGCTAGTGGATTATACTGCGCTGCACCTTTCCTGGGTCCCACGCTCGGCCCTATCGTGGGTGGCTTCTTGTCAGAGGCTGCTGGATGGCGATGGGTTGAAGGCTTGGTCGCGTGTTTCTCAGCACTCTTTGCTATTGTGTGTTTTCTCGCCTTGCCGGAGACGTATGCGCCTCTTCTCTTGAATAAGCGTGCAGCTCGGCTTTCTTCTATCACTGGCCAAGTTTATCGGAGTAAGCTTGAGATTGAGAAAGGCGTCAAACACCCGGCAGAAATATTCAAAATTGCCATCTCTCGACCTTGGATTTTGCTTTTCCGTGAGCCGATTGTTCTTCTTTTGTCGATCTACCTTGCGATCATCTATGGGATGTAAGTGTCTCCAACTAGCAGGCGCTGATATGGCTCTTGCGTGCATCTATTCCAAAATGCTAACCTTTGATAGTTTGTATCTGTTCTTCGCTGCCATGCCCATAGTCTTCGACAAAGGGCGTGGCTGGAGCGAAGGAATGACCGGTCTTGCATTCTTGGGCATCTTAATTGGCATTCTCTTGTCGGCAGTGGCCACGTTCCCAATGTATTATCGGTATAGACGCAGAGCCCTCTCGACCGTTGGTAGAGTACCCCCCGAAGCTCGGTTACTCGACACCTTCGTCGGCGCAATCCTGCTACCACTTGGACTGTTCTGGTTCGCCTGGACCAACTCCCCGTCTATACATTGGATCGTCCCGATCGCAGCCGGCATTCCATTTGGATATGGCATGATCACCGTGTTCTTGCCCATCTTGAACTATCTCATTGATGCGTACACCATATATTCAGCGTCCGTCCTAGCCGCCAATGCATCCCTGCGCTCGACGTTCGGCGCTGCCTTTCCGCTGTTCACCACGCCGATGTATGAGAATCTCGGGATTCATTGGGCGTCGTCAGTTCCGGCGTTCTTGGCTCTTGCTTGCGTTCCTATGCCGTTCTTGTTCTATAAATACGGAGCTCAAATTCGGAGGCGGTGTCATTACGCCGCTGAATCGGATGCTGTGATGGAAAAGTTGTATGGGAAGCCTGTTGTCACGAAATCCAGCACCTCGTCCCCGGAACCCGCTGTGAGAGAGTCGCCCTGATCGTCCACTCTATTATTTCTTACTATAATGTTTATACATATTTCAAATATCTGAACAGAAATATCTAGAATAGATTCGGAGTTAAGCGCTTCTCCGCAATTATATAAGCGCCCAGAATGTTCTCCGCATGACTCAGGTGCCTGAACTCGGACCTGAGTTGATCGTTTATATCTCGCGATCTCAGGCTCCGACGCTCTCACGATCTGCATATACCCTTCTTTCTCTCATCATGCCCCCAGTCAGCGTATCCAAAGGGCGCAGCCCAGCACCAGACGACACCTTCACCCAAATGGCCGACACAGACCTCGAATCCATCGGCCGCCACTGCCAATACGAATACTGCGGCCAGCTCGACTTCCTCCCCTTCCGCTGCGAATCCTGCCACAGCACCTACTGTCTAGACCACCGCACCGAGACCGCGCACCAATGCCCCCGCGAAGGCGAATGGGCGCGCCGCCGCACCGGCAACACCACGAGCGCAGGTCCCGCCCCCGAAAAACCCTCCATCTACAACTCCGACCAGTGTGCCCACCTCCAGTGCAAAACCCTCATCAACACACTCAAAGACCCCGCCGTGCGCTGCCCCCAATGCAACCACCAGTACTGCCTGAAGCACCGGCTGCGGGAAGAACACGACTGCGCCAAGGTTACACCGCTGGGGGCGCGGGCGGGGAATGCAGCGCCGGCGGATACGATCAAGTCGATGTTTGCGCGGGTGCGGACGTGGGGCCGCGACAAGCAGCAGGCTGCGGCGAAGGGGTCGTTGTTGCCTGCTCTGCCGAAGATGAAGCCTAAGCCGAATAGTCCGGCAGCTAGGGCGGTGGCGGTGAATGGGTTGAAGCGCTCGGCGAAGGGGGATGCGGGGGTGCCGGCTGATAAGAGGTTATATTTGCATGCTGTTGGGACGGCGGAGACGCAGGCTGCAGAGCCGCCGGCTGGGGACTTCTTTTTTGATTCGAGGTGGAAGGTTGGGAGGGTGCTTGATGATGCGGCGAAGAAGTTGCGGGTCGAGAATTTGAATAATCGGGTCGGTGGGGAGGATGCAAAGTTGCGTGTCTTCCATGTCGAGTCCGGGGAGTTCTTGGAGTTCTCAGAGTCTATTGGTGCTGGGAAGGTGAAGCAGGGTGACACGATTGTGTTGCTGCGTGGTGCTGGGGCTGTTCTTGAGAGCGCATGATGCATTTGCTTCGGATTTGATATCTTTTTTTTTCTCTTGTCTATTCATTTGTCGCATTTGCACAGCCTGATATACCTTGGAGCATATACACACCGCAACGATTTGGCGAAGAGCCGCGCACATACCTAGCTGGGACGCAGCGCAGTATAAATAAGAATCTTGGTGCTTTTAGACAGTAATTCGTACCGCTGTAGGCAGTATAACGTGTAAGTAATTGTGGGTCTTGCTTTGGGAGAAAATGTCCAAATATAGTGTGTATTCGCGGTTCAAATGCCTTCCTATCTTATATCTACAGTAGTATAAGGCATGCATCACAGAACATTGGTATCATACAAACATCATGACTCAAGTGCCCGTGGGCTATAACAGAAACATTAAACACTCATCTTCATCTTGATGATCTTGTGAGGCTTGTAACCAATGACCTCAAACTCATCCTCCTTCCAGCCATCGACCTCTGCGCTGCCCCGGTCCTCACGCTTGATGCGCAGCTCAGGGAACTCGGTTGGTTCCCGAGTGAGCTGCTCATGGAGTGCATCAACATGATCAAGATACACGTGAGCATCACCCATAGTGTGAATAAGAGTACCGGGGTGCAGGTCCGCAGCGTGGGCAAGAATATGAGTGAGCAGAGCATAAGAGGCGATGTTGAAGGGAACACCGAGGCCCATGTCACAGGAGCGCTGGTAAAGGACACAGGACAGTGTACCCTTCTCCGTTGGGCGACCGGTCGCTTCATCAAGCTTCATAGTAGGAGGGAATGAGACGTAGAATTGAGCGAACATATGGCACGGGGGAAGGGCCATCTTCGTCAGGTCAGCCGGGTTCCACGCGCTCATGATAATACGTCGGTCAAATGGGTTATTGATGAGCTTGTTCACAACATCTTTCAGCTGGTCGACGCCCTGGCCGGTGTAGTCTGTCTTTGCATCCACATACTCGGCTCCAAAGTGGCGCCATTGGAAGCCGTACACAGGGCCCAGATCGCCCTCTTCCCGGTGGCCGAGACCAGACTTGTCCAGGAACTCGCGGCTTCCATTTCCATCCCAGATCTTGATCCCGGCCTCGGATAGGGGCAGCGAGGATGTGCAGCCGGAGATGAACCAGAGAAGCTCGGCAAGTACTGCGCGGAGGAAGACTCGCTTGGTGGTCAGGAGGGGCAGGATGGGAATCCGATCGCCGCCTTCTGGGTTGGGCTTGGACAGAGAGAATCGGAGCTGTGGGGGAGCAAAGATTGACCTGGTTCCAGTTCCTGTGCGATCGGGGCGGTGCTCGCCTTCCGAGAGGATTGTACGGATGAGGTTGAGATATTGGTGTTCTTCGTGCGAAGGGTTGTGTGGCGGCGAAGGAGCCGGGCTTGCGGTTGTTTGATCTTGTGTCATGGTGTGTGTGATGCTTGGTCTGTAATCACTGTCAGGTTGAGTGTTGTGAGGCCGTGTTGAGAGAGGAGATGCCAAAGATCGGCGGATCGCGTCGACGCGACACGTAGTCACGTGCGGGACACGATCCGGCTCTCTTTGACTTCATCTTTTGCCGACTACGGAGTAGATTTGCACATACCAATTTACTGCAGAATACATCTGGATATTGCTATGTGAATACCTGAGACTGCGCATGAACAAATTCGAAAAAGTTATGCATTGCAAAGACACCTTCACCATGTATGGTCTATGGCGAGCTTGATTCTAGTAGTCTACCTCGAAACTAGACCCAATCCGCCTAGATGAAAGGCAGAATCACGGAGCTTGGATACTCCTCACTGCAGTGAATGATATGCCTTCCACGATTAAGCTCATGCTCCGGTCTGGGCTTCGAGAATGTCTTGTATTCGGCAATGCTAGGGTATTGACCCCCGATCTATATTGGGTTAACAACTTGACACAACAAGAAGACGAGCGACTTACTCTGACACTGATTGATTCGCCCTCCTCAAAGTCCACACCCATGGCCCAAATGCCTATCTCCAGCTTGACGATCGTTCCTGGGGAGATCTTGTCCTGTCGTGTATGAGGATGGAATGGGAATTGAGGGTGAATGCTGCGCGTGGGATCAATCTCCCGCTGGGAGGCACGTAGGATCCCGACTGATCCTAGATGGAGATTGAGGCTTGCTTGATCTTCCTCGGGGATCTCATCGATGGATTTGATGGGTGTGGCTTCAAATGGGAAATTGAGATGCATGAGATCCTTTCCGTTTCTATCTTTCTTTCGAAGGATGACGAATACTGTAAAGTCATCGCGGTCTTCGCAAGACATGTATAGGACTGCCTTGGGCAACCCGATCAACCGGCTGTCCTTCTCAAAGGTGTAGTTGAACTCCCCGAAGTCATGACGATCTTCGGAATCGTACGATATTTGCTGGGACTCTGCAACGGGGCTGTCTAGAAGTTGCTTATCATTGCTGAGGAAGAATGTCCGATACTCGGTGTTGGGAGCAGGGAAATCCTCGAGAACGATGTCGTCGATGGCTTCGCGATCTCCGAATTGCAGTGCAGACCAGCGAACTTTGGGGGTTTTCTCCCACCCATTCTCTTTGCCTTTGAGATATCGATCAAAGTACAAGCCAAGCTCTTCGGTGGACTGCGGCACGCTGTAAAGCTCATACCACTCCTGCTTGCTGCCCCATTGGATCCATTTCTCAGCATGAGGAACCTCGAGGTATCCACGAACAGAGCCCATGGTGTGAATGGAGCTCACGTCCGATCCTCGAATGAAAACAGGACATTTGACACGCGACATATCGACTCGTTTATCCTCCCAGAAAGCACTAGAAACAGGAGACCGACGATACATCTCCTCGAAATCTTCTAGGCCCGAGTTCTCCTGGCCCCGAACAATGGCCTTTGCAATAAGGTCGAAGTTACTCATAGAGAACCAGCCGCCGCGACAGAACTGCTCACGGAAAAGATCGCCAGATCCCTCCCATGGCGCAATCGCTTTCAACGAAGGAGGCTGCTGGGCCGCAATAAACCACTGCGAGATAGCCAGTGCCGAGTTACCAGCCATCCCAACACTGCCATTACACCATTCCATACGCGCAATGGCTTCCACAACATCGTATCCGTCCTCGGCATCCTGCGTTCCCATAACGCAGATTTGTCCATCGCTGTGGCCTGCGCCGCGCGTATCGACACTGACAATGGCGTAGCCTCGAGGACACCACGTCTGGGGATCGAGACCTTCGAATTTCTCCAGTCCGCTGAGATCAGATGGTGGGACGCAGCATTTCCAGACGCACATCGGTAGCATATCCAGTGCGCTGTATTTCTTTCCGTAGAATGACCAGCTCAGTATAGCTGGGACCTTTTCCGTTGTGCCGGCTGGTCGGTATACATCGGCGTAGAGACGGACGCCATCTCGGACGACGATCTCAATATCGTGGTCGATGCAGATATCGCTTTCCAGGGCCTTGGCATCGAATCCATTCCAGCCGGAGGGAAGGACTTCAGACTTGCCACATTGGCATTCTTGGTATCCATTTTCGCCTGTTTTCGGCTGGGCGATCCGTTTGTATGCAGATTGGACGGGAGGAGGCATTTTGATGGAGGTGGATGATATGAATACGAGTGTAAGATGGAAGAAGTCGCTGATTGAGGTACCTGAAAACAAATATATTGCTTCGTTTATGTACAATTGAGAGCGATCTACCTAGCTCTGTTAGCTCTTCGCATCACCTCCGGCCAAGACGCCATGATCTCCCCCACTTGCCGACGCGTCTGTCGATCCCCAATCACGATGTCTTCAACGGAGTCCGGGGAAGTGGGGAAACTACAGCCAAAGTGGCCTAGCGACTCACTGCAGCTGGAGAGTCGGAAAAGCTCCGGTGATTGAGCCCTACTTTCCAACCGTGTGGAGGTGGGGAAGACAATGTCGATCAGGACATAGTGATTTCTCCGATCAGGCAAGACACGAGGTGATAAATAACATTCTGAATTTCCTCGAATCTACCTGAAGCAGATCAACGAACTCAAAGCCAAGATACAAATCAAGACTTTCCTATTAACCATGACATCCACCAAAGTTGAAGCACCGGCCACCGAGAGCCAAGAGCCTCAATACAACAACGTCGACCTCGTGCATTTTGAGCCTCGCCACTATGGCGACTGGCGCGATGAGTTCCATCAAAATGGATGCGTCGTGATCAAGAATGTCATCAGCCCCGAGCGTGCAGAGTACTACCGCGACAAGCAAATCCAATGGCTGAAGAAGTTCGAGCTTGGATTCGACGAGAACGACGAAAGCACCTGGACAGCGAAGCATCTACCCGTGAGCTTCAAGGGAGGGTAAGTTTTCTCGAATAATTGTCGGCACTAACTAACAAGCCGCAGCATGTACTTTGCCTATGCAGCGCCCCATGAAAAGATGGCATGGGAAGCGCGCACCGAGCCCGCAATCGTGGAGATCTTCGAAAAGCTCTGGGAAACCAAGGAGTTAATCTCCAGTTTCGATGGAATGAACATTTCCATGCCTCGACGCAAAGATCTAAACTGGAGTCCCTGGCCCCATTGCGACCAGAACCAGAACCGCAAAGGGTACGAACCACGAACCCAGACTTTCCCATCGAGTTACACACTGACCGAATCTAGAATGCAAGCCGTCCAAGGCCTTCTCAACTACGCGCCCAACGGGCCCAAAGATGGTGGCCTCATGCTGATGAAAGGCTCATCGAAACTATTCGATGAATTCTTCAAGCATAAGCGCGAATCATTCGATCACGAAGATGCCCCTCCCCCCGAGATCAAGTACATGGACTTGTTCCTGTTCAGCGAGAAAGACGTCAACTGGTTCAAAGAGCAGGGATGTGAGCTGATCAAGGTCAACATGGAGCCAGGCGACTTTGTGCTCTGGGATTCGCGCACTATGCACTATGCCTGCTTGCCGGAGGGAGACCAGATTCGTCATGTTCAGTATATCTGCATGACTCCACGTCGCTTCGCTACGCCAGAGGCGTTGGAGCTGAAGAAGCAGTGCTTCGAGAACTTTACGGGGACTACGCACTGGCCGCATTGGTAGGTTTCTGTTGGATGGAGATTGAGAGATAGTGTGCTAACCTTGGAATTTGTAGCAATATCCGTCCCACGAAGGAAAAGCCTATGCGTGATGGTGAAGTCTGTCCCAAGGATCGGAGCGAGCCGTTCGAGAAGCCAGAATTGACGGATACGGTCTTGAGATTGGCGGGAGTCAAGGAATACTAGTGGTCTCTGAGTGTTGGAAATGATCTGACACCTACCTACCTAGTAGTGATATGATTATTTCGAAATATATGATACTGCGAATTACCATCTTTACAATAAAGCCCTATGCGTCTGAAACCACGTTCAATGAGAGTTCGACTGAGGTTCATTGAGAGCAAATACATTCGGGGCGTGCGCCAGTCTCCTCTAACTTCCAAGGTTCCGCGATTGCTTCGCATCACTGATTCTCGTTGTGCCCGAGTATAAGCCGACACGGACACACAGTATTGTTGCTATAGCTGTATCTGCAGGTTCGCTATTATTAAAATTGAGGCGAGGTCGACAGAGGGGAGTCGCTGACCAGCTTCAATCTCCCAACCAGTCACTGAATTCTCTGATCTCGGCAATCAAGACACCATGAGGATGCAAGTGGAAGTCACCACCTGGCAGTCCTTGATTGTCGTGAACTGCCAGGTGATACGCAAGTCGCTCAATTTATGTCTCATCTTGTTCCATCGTCTTGTTCACAGCTATGTTCCATCATGTACTGTTCTATAATCAAAGTCTCACATGCATCCGGAATAATCATACCCAACTTCTGATGACGGGTAGAATCCAAAGAGACCAGTTCAAAGCACTTAGGGACATCGCATCGACCATAACCACAACCCAAACCCCAGCTAGACATCATCTCAGACCCCTCAAGCGACAATGCCCCCTGCAAAGCGACTAGCCAAGTCCCTCCGTGTGGGCGAGTTGAAGATCCCCCCACTCGGTCCAGCTCCGCAATTCGCGGACCAACCCCCAATTCGCAATTAGGAATCAAATCCGGGGAAGCGGGGAAGTTGCAGTGAGCTTGAGCTGGGCATGACAGCCAAGAGTGGGGCTAGCCTGGTTAGATACTATCAAGGTGTCTTTCTCTTGACTTCCAAGGCTGGTGGCGGATCGTTTCGGTGGGGGTGAAGGGTCGGCGTGGACCCGATCCATGGACATTGCTCACGTTGTAACTTATGAGCCAAGGCATTGCGAGCCGTCTGAGAATACTATAAGGTCTTTGGTTGTGGTATTGTTGCGCTATCGACCCGTGCAAAGTGAATTGAGATAGACTGGCCCAGCAAAGAACTAGCATTTTCTATCTTGTCGGGTGTTATTTTTGAGATTCAATTCCAAAGCAAAGTCACTGCATGTCATCATGGCAGAAATGGAGAAAGGTGTTGGAGACCATATTGAAATGGTCGATGGTTCCCTGTCGAAGCAGCAAGTCCCTGCTACTGAAGTCGAGGTAATGGGAACCGTCAAGTTGACCGAGGACACGATTGTCTACATTCCCACTGCGACTGCTGATCCTCGAGGTATGATCAAAGAGGTCGTTTCTTTCAAAGCATGTGCCTGATACCAAAACCAGATCCATTGAACATGTCCCTGTGGCAAAAGATCATCATCCTGATCGTGGTGTCAACCTGTAAGCTCCCATTCAACCCCTGGAAAGACCGACTTTCGATCTAACGCTGATTCTTCTGAAATAGACTCGGCATTGGGAAACTCCCTGGTCTCCGGATTCGGAGGCTTGATCACTTTCTACCTACCAGAGTATACTGCCGCGGGCAAAGACTATGCAGCAATCACAGCACTATTGACATACCCTACACTATTCATGTGAGAAATGAATCATCCAGGGCAGTCTGGCTGTCCAAGATTATCTCGGTCCTGACACATGCCCTTGATAGGGGTATTGGAAATCTTATAGGAATGCCACTGGCTATTGCCGTCGGCCGTCGCATCGTGCTACTCATTTGCACCTTAATCCTGGTGCTGGGAACAGTGCTCTGCATCACGGCTGAATCATACGAATGGCATCTCGGGGCACGTATGCTGGTTGGATTTGCCGCTGGCCAAAGTGAGGCTTTGGTTCCCATGGTCACGCAGGTAAGTGTCTTTTTTCTTTCTTTGGAATGAGTCCCATATAGCCACAATTACTGATATTCAAATAGGAAGTGTTCTTTCTTCACGAAAGGGCCAAGTATCTCATGGTCCAACACACTGTGCAGGTCATCTTAACTACAATCTGGACTCTGTTTGCTAGCCCTATCGCCGGCGCTATCACGCCTCAGGGATGGTACGGCCTTGGTGCAGGTCTAGCAGGTCTCCAATTCATCGTGACTCTGTTCCTCCTGCCTGAAACTAAATATGACCGTGATCTATCCTCATACCAAGAGTTCACCAGAGATCACAATCTGCCCGATGACGTCGAAGCAAGCGATTCCAAGAAGCCAGCCGCTGTTCTATGTACGAGAAGACCTGCCTTGGATTTCGTCAACTACCAGGCGCGAACTTGGAAGTCGGACATGCGTCTTTGGGTCGGCAAGCCGGAATGGTACAAGGCGGCCGAGGTCATCAAGGTGAGCTATACCATCAGCCCAAGTCAAGATAGAGATGATAGACTAATGCGAGATGCAGCAAACATGTGCTCTGTTCTTCTTTCCCAATGTCTTCTGGGCTCTTTGCTTAAATGGACTTACACTAGGCGTCAATATCGCCATGGGAACAACATACGGAACCGTCTTGACTTCCGCACCGTACAACTGGCCAGATTCGAGCTCCAGCTACGTGAACTGCGGACAGATTATTGTGGCGCTTATAGCACTGCCGCTTCTGGGCACAGGTTCGGATAGGCTGATCCGACGATTTGCAGATCGCAATGGGGGATTCCATGAGCCGGAAATAAGGATTATACCCTTGATCCTCCCTATCATTGTTGGAACTGTTACTATCATATTGTATGGACAGGGCGCCGCGCATCCAGAGAAGTATCACTGGTTTGTTTATGTGTGGGCCATGTCGGCATACTACTTTGCGTTTGTGGGTGCAAATATTGTGGCCATTACTTATTTGCTGGATAGTTACCCTGCGCGGGCTGGTCCGATGCTGGTGATTATATGTGCGTTCCGTGGATTTATCTCTTTTGGCACGAGTTATGGGACGACGCCTTTTGTGCAGCGTCACGGTTATGATGGGGCATTTGGGATTTTTGGTGCTTTGACTGCTGCTTTTGGACTGCTTGGTGTGCCGGTCTTTATTTGGGGGAAGAAGATTCGCCAGATCACTGGTAGGTTTGCGAAGAGTAAGGCGGATTAATGCGATGCATGAGTTGGCTGTCTGCCCTCTGCTTATTGTTGAAGAGCACATTTGTCTATATTTCATTCTTTGAACATACTCAATTGATACAGCTGGGACTACGATTGAACATTGCTACTAGCGGTTACAAAAGGATGTATGAACACAATTAATCCATTCACAATAGGGTATAAGCCCGAAATAATAAACAGCATTGGGTCAAACCTCAATGTACTCTAACGAGGGGACCCAGCCCGAAGCCCTGGTATATCACGAAACGCCGAAGCTCAAAATTGAAAAGACACACAATCAGAAAGGAGCAAAAGCAAGCTCGTAAGCGAACGCCAGGCTCATCTTCGCATGCTGAAGCATGTGGTCGAAGCTGAGGTACTCGATCTTATCTTCGGTGGTGTGGATCTTCTTATCGGAGTTCTCGAACTGAGACTCGATGACGAACGCAGAGGGATATCCGTACCGACTCGCAGAGGCATGGTCGGAGCAAGCATATCCACACTTTGTCTCGACGTAAGGCACATCACAGTAGTTGGTGATGACTTCCTTGATGAAAGTGGTCAAGCCAGGGTCCACGAAGTCGATGATGACACCGACGGACTCCTTCTGGCCCGCGTCGAGGGTGCCCTGCACGTAGCCAGTCATATCTTGCTGGAGCATGGCCTTGACGTTCCGCGATTCCTTTTTGTACTGCGCGTAGACAGCCTGGGATCCGAGAAGACCACCCTCCTCGGCAGAGTACCAGTGGAACTCGATGGTGTTGCGGGCTTTGCCGTGCGCGATGTCCTCCGACCGCAGCAGGGCGCGGAGAGCTTCCAAGATGGTCACTGTGCCGCTGCCGTCGTCATCGGCGCCGGGGGCAGCCAGGATGGAGGGCAGGAACAGGTTGATGCTGTCTTGGTGGGAGCCTAGGACAACAGTGTTGTTGGTTTCACCGGGAATGCGGGCGATGATGCTGAACTGGCCCCAGGGGTGGGCGAAGCGCTCGACGGTCGCGCCGTGCTCGCTGGCACCGGATTCGTGAATCGCGGCGGTGACTTGGTCGAAGAGCCAGGTTGCTGACTCGATGCCCGTGGAGGACTTGTAGTATCGGGTGTAGAAGGAGGTGAAGTGCTCGAGGTTGCTTCTCATATTCTTCTTGTCGAGGGTCTTGGCCAACGGGAGGATGTCGTGCGAGTGGGACATCTCACTGGGGTACTTGACGACGCGGCTGGCGTGCAGGGTGCCGTAGGAGCCTGATTGGTATTCCTCCGTCACGTCGATGAAGTTCATCCCGTCCTATCATCATTAGCGCGAATTCTGATGCTGATTGATGCTGACTTACCAGCTTGAGAGACCATTTTTCTTCCTCGGTCACCCATCGGGTCTGGTATGGTGCCAGTTCGATCAGAGACTTGGACTGGGGGTTTTGGACGATGGAGGGTGCGAGTGGCTGCTGCTCGGGGTTAACGAGAGCCAAGGCAGTCGCGGTAGCGCTCAGCGCCAGAGGAGAAAGAAACTTCATGATGAACACGATGAAATGGGTAAAGATATGAAGCTGGGAAGAAGTTCTTTTAAAAGCTTTCGGCAGGGCGCTAGGGTATCGCCAAGTCCCGTTTTGGACCCCGCGCTAAACTCCGAGGCTCTCACATATTTCGCCCTTCCGTTTGATCCGAGACAGACTAGTAGTTGGCTATTTGTTTTACATCGTAAACAAAGGAGCTCATTGTCTACAACCTATGGTGTAGGGTATCTATAGTCTACTCTATCCATGGATGCTAATACAGTACTGAGTACTACTAGTAGCACAGGACTGCACTGTGTACAAAGGCATCGAAGGAGTCTGGGGGCTGATCGTAGGTGGAGAAAAAGGTGCCTAAATATTCTCCACTATGACTGCGCCTTGACTCACAGCCTCGATAAGGCTGTCACCTAGTCGACCTAGTCGAACTAGCAAGTCGAATACGGGAAAGACACGGGAAGTCCTTTTCGCGTCTAAGGGCCTTGGCGTGTTGAGTTGGTTTGTCTCGTTTGCTCTGTTTGTTCAGTCCCATTTGCACCCCCGATAAGGAAATCAGGGCTAGGGCTCATATCTAGGCCAATCAGCGACGCGCCAGTGGTCCCGTGCATCTGAAATCAAGATCCCCGGGTCCCTTATCTCCTCTTATCCCATCCGATCCCCTCTCATCTCCTCCTACCTAAGTATATACTAGAACATCATGGCCATTCATCCCCGTCTACGCGCAGAGGGCGCGCATCTCTCTCCCCAACAGGCACGCGCGATTTCCGCATGGACGGAGCAGCATGCAGCAACCTCCCTGCAGGACATGACCCTATCGGACCCTGGCGAGCCCACTTCGCCAACTCCCTCGCGGGTGGGCCTGCGCGGTGCCACCGTGTCGTTGTCAATCCCGCTGGAGGATGAGCCAGTCTCCAAAGCCCCCGAGCCCCGTCCGCCAACCGTCAGCTTTCGACGCCGGGCGCCACTCCGCGAATCGAAGACGCGGGAGACCCTGCTGAAGGGGAAAGATGGGAGTCGACGGAGACAACGGTGGGAGAACGGTACGTGACCGAATCGGGGATGACTGTCGATAGCAGGTGTTGGGACGTCATGCTGAATATACCCAGATCGTCTGTTGCACAATCCCTGGGCAGAGCCACCCTCGTCGAAGGACTGGGACGTCACACCTACCCACACACGTCATAATCCCATGCCGTACTATCTGGCTCCGCTGTGGGATGTGCATTACTCACACGTCCAGGACCAACAGTTGGATGTCAAGGCCGTGGAGCGGGCTAATGAGAAGCATCACGTTCCCAAGGAACTACGGTCAAAGTTGAAGCATGCGCGGGCTGCAAGGGGTATGTTGCAGGACCTGGAAGAAGAGGTGCGGGTGTTCATCCGCAAGTGGAATGAGAAAGAGCTGCTATTGGAGAAGGAGGGCTTGCAGGACGCACCCGATCATTCGGCGAGCGATGATTCGGAAGATGAGATCGTTTTTGTGGGTCGCAATGGACAGATGCATGATGCTCCCGAGAGGAAGGAGAGACTTCGCTTGCTGCACGCGGAGATCAGTTCACACAGTGAGCGAGACGGTGAGAAGATGGTGCTCGAGACGATGAATGACGACCGTGCCGCTGGGTTTGGGTATGTTTTTTTTTCTTTTTTTTTTTTTCCAGTCTTTTCTTTGGGCTAATTGATGGGTACAGACGTTGGCTGGTGCACTCCATCGCTTCGTACTACGGGCTTCACACTTGGACTGTCACGAAGGATGACCGGCGTGAAGCGTATGTCGGTTTCCAACCTCCAGCAGCGGGAAGCCGAACCGGTCTTGTTTCTTCCTCCGCTTGTCGGACGGAGGCCTTGATCAAGCCTGGTGACGAACTTCCCCAGCCGCTGTATGCGCAGGTGTAGGTTCTTCCAAGGTCGTTTGTTTCCGCTTCTAGATTGGACATAGTCGGGTTTTATCGATATTGTAATTCGCCCCCAGTTTCGGAATCGTTCTCCTGGGATTTACTGTGCATGTGTAAATACACTATCCAATAGTGGTACATCACCAGTGTTGGACACGGCGAGATCTGTCTGTGCGCTGAAACGGTGTCGTCATGGACCCATGGATCAGATAACCTTTTCGGAGAGAATGTGGAGTACCACGGTTCAGGGTGTTGCCTGACTGGGTACCAGCGGGAGTGATCCCACGGTTGGTACCTGATCCAGAGGTTATTTCGGGCTCATCGATGCTCTACTCCAGGACTGTACTACCAATCCGTATATCCTTGCTGAGATCCAGAATGGATCTATCGGGTATGGGGTAGATTAATTTATCGGATCGGTCCGTGAGGGTCCACGACTATGACATAGCATGACATAGGATACTCCCGCGCTGCAACTTCACCGCTTAGACCCCAGAGGTCTGAACCCTGACACAATCGGAATTTCGTGTCCAGACCAGTTCCATGCGGGCCTCCGCTCTCTGACTGGTTCGCGGCCTGGGAACAGCACTGGCCGGGGGGTCAGCCGCGAATCGCGAGCAGACACAGCTCAACTACGGAGTCTGGCCCTGATCGGGGAACACATCACACAATTCTAATCCGCGCTAGAGGGGATTCTCTCCCCCGTGATAGGCTGTGTGGGTTCGATTATCGACGAGAAAATCAAATCAGATTCATCGTGAGGCTTCTTTCACGCATTCTTTGACGGGTACGCCTCGCATTTGTGGCCTTGTTGGCGTTTGCAGGTTATGAGGCTTATGTTGGAGAGTAGGGGGGAAAGGAAAAAAAAAGTGGGCAATTGGGTACGAACAATGACGAGTTGACATTCTCTTCTAAATAGTACGGACACATTGTGACAGTCCAGTTTTGGACATTTACTCTCGTTTCTGGTTTCTGCCCAAGTCCCCCCCTCTTCTCCCACCTTTAACCTCTACTCGTCCCTTAAACAGGAAAGCCCCTACCCTTGCTCCAGACTCATTTGGCTATCATCTGACTCCAAGACCCCTGATAATAATTCGTGTGGGGATTTCATATCCCTTTGCTATCCCTTCGGACCCCACGTCATGGGCATTCGACCCCTCTCGTGAATTATATTTCTTCGGGATCATTCGGATTTGCAACGTCGGGTGTGATCGCAGTGATAGTCCTTAATTTATCACCCGGCTGACGGCGTGATCTGACTGTTGACTGATACTCGGCCCTAGATCCGTGTCAGCTCCCAGAGATTCTCTATTTGGGTCCACAGCCGCAACCTCCATACTCCATACTCCATACTCGACAGCGACTACTCCACATTCACCATGGGCTCATTAAAATCATGCCAAGACAGCAGCTCTAGTTCAAGCGACAGTTCATGTTCGCGAAGTACCGCGGCCACAATGCACAGTCAAGGATCAAGACCGCACGACCACGACCTCCCGGTCTCAAATCAAAAACCAGCAGTCCCTTCGCATCTCTATTCATACGAGCCAGTGCATGCAACAAAAATCCCCAGGCCCCGCTCTTCAACCTCCACTTACGCCTCAACCACCCATTCGGTTGATCTTCCCCAGGAAGAATATCAACAACAATACAGCGTCACGGACCGCACAGAATTCTACCCCCTTGACGCAATCCCCTCAACACCCTCTTCCTTCGCCCCACTGTTCCCCTCTTCAAGGCGCCTACTCATTCGCCATGATGACGCTACCGTCGATGGAAACATGAACCTGCGCGTCGACACCCCAGTCCATATCCGTGACGGCTCCCAGCGCGACATCATCCTCTTCCACCTGCGCATGCATGATCTCCTCTCCCGCAAATTCTCCTTCCGTCGCTACTGCCGAGACTCCGGCCGCGAAGTATGCCACTCAGCGCGAAAGGAGGTCGTCTCGGCCGAGGAACGACGACCCCAACCCCATCGGTCATGGAGTACTGTCTTCAGCCGACGGCCCGGCTCATCATCTGGCGCATCTGGGCCCGGGGAATTAAAACGACAGGACTCCGGACTCTCCGTCGAAGATCTAGATAAAGTCAGTGAGGAAAGACCGATTCTGGCAGATACGATCTTGCTGGAGTTTTCAAATTACGCGCATGTCGAGCTGCGGCGCAGGGGTGGCCCGACTAAAAAATACGAGTTCGAGTACTGGTCTACCAAGTATCAGTGGCGACGGGAGATGCGTAAGGAAGGCGATCTGCAGGAAGTCTCGTATTTCCTGGTCGAGGCGCGAGGTGGCAAAACAGTTGCGCATCTGGTCCCGGATACCCTGGCGCCGCTGGAGGTCGTCGAGGAGGAAAGCAAGGGTGGTTGGGTGCCTCCCTCCTCGTTGTGGATCAGTGATCCCGAAGTGTATCGGACGATGCCCGATATTGCAGAGTAAGTCCAACTCTTGATTCAGTTAAGATGAGCGAGCCTAGCTGGCAGTGTTTGCTTCTTCCCCCCTCTTTTTGGTCTCTCTTTGCTTTTTTGGTTCTCCGACAGAGGGGGCGTGGTTCGTGGACAATGCACCACGCATCATGCAGCCTGCAGGTCGTGGAGCTAGACAACCCTACAAGGTCAGGATGTGAGGCTGATATACCCTTTTGTACACAGTGTGATTGTCGCAACAGGGATTGTTGCGCTAGTTGACGATTGCATTCGTCGTCGCTGGCATCCTGAGCGTCGCCCTTCTTGGATTTTACCGGCTCAACACACGCTGGCTAAGAGTCTGGAGCGCATGGGCCCTCGCCACTTGATTAGCCAGGTCCTCCAGCGACGAGGATCCGCCTAAGCAGCTTTAGCGCTCTGTCTCGGATCCGAGGCTCGGACTGGACCAGGATCCGCCGGGTTCAGCTCGACCATATACCGCCAATTCGCTACGGAGATGAGTTGGTCCTGCATAGCATGGGATGTTCTTGGTGCGGGGGCTTGACGCTCGCGGTTTAATGATCTAACGATATTAGTGGCGATTCATTTTCTGATGATTCGGTTCTGGCTAACCTGTGAATAATTCTTTGATTCAGTTTCTTTCTATTACCCTCACTTTTTTTCTCTTCTTTTTGTTTTTTATCCTCATTTTTACATTTTTCCCATACGATGGATCCCTGATCTCATTATATTGCATCTGGCCATGTCTCCCACTAGGCTCGGCTGGGCGGGACATCGGATCTCTCCAGACCTATTTCCGGGCGATCCTCTCACAAAACCGCCAGAGCAGCCGTGCATATTAGGGCTCCACTTCATATGATCTCTAAGACCGTGATGGGATCCCAATCACCCTGTATTGCCTCGCGGGATCTGATTTAGGCGCTGCATGTCTCGTAGCATGGAGCATCGGAATTTGACCGCTGATTGTCTTCGAGTGCGAATGCCCTATTTGATCCTCCGTTTCCCAATTGGCTCTAGTCTCTCCAGCGTACCATGGTTCAAGCTCACCCTTAGCGCTAGCCGTTATGTCAACCATGGTTCCCTCGGTGGGGCCTGGTCCATGCTGTGGCCTCGCGGCCTAACACTTCCCGTTGACAACGTTAAGACAATGCCAATCATGGAGCTAGTGCCCCCGGGGAAGTGAAGATAATGCACGTATCTCGTCTAGCTGATCGATTGGCTCCGGTTGAATCTTCTCGCTAGCGCAAGTCACGGCCCAAACCCTTGCTGGCCTGGGTGCCTTAACGGGCCCGAAAGCGACCAATGCGGTGCGCTGGGTATTATTAGCAACTGTAGCTTCCATAGCTCAATTCCCAATTGCCTGAAGTCCCGGAGGGAACTCTGTCGTATGCAGTACGGGAGATTAGATTGGTGCGGGGCAACGAACACCGTCAGCTTGCCCATTTAGACGCCCTACAATGAGCTGGTCTAGTCCCCTGGGATATGACGAGCATACTCGGCTGTTTCGCTCGAGACGTGTTTCGTGCATACTCGATGTAGCCGCATCACTGAGAACCATGGTTGACATAACTCTGCATGAATGCCCAACTGCTCCGTCAAAGCGAACCGCCCATCCGCTCCGACTGGGACGTTCACCCAGCGAGAAATGCATATGAACACAAACGACGGGCTGTCACTGCATTCTGTCGCTCATCGTTCCATGGTTCGCTCTCTGCACCGCAGGCGGTTAACCCAACAACGGCACTAGCCGACGAGGGCGAGGAAACCGGGGACTCTTGGCCGTACGTTTGCCCTCTGATCTCTCTGCAGGACACGGCCCCTGACGATTCCTGACCTCTACGAAGGCGTTCTTTCGCCTCGTTTCGTAGTTAACTTCTTCTCATCACCCTGGGCCGACAACGAGTCCACATGCAGGGCGGCCCGGCCTGTGGCTTGAGATGTGCCCAGCACGAGTCAACGCACAAGGTCAAGTTGAGCTTCCCTCAAAAAAACAAATCATGACCTCATCCATCATGCTGAGCTGGCAACGCTCTTTTCCAATGCGGCCCAACTCGAGCATCGAGTTTACGTTTTCGGGCCTCCACTTTTTCCTTTGGTCTGCAGCCGAATGAATCGGATCGATGACACTGACATGGCTAGAAGTCTCCTCGTTTTGGGCAGAGATCATATTTCCGATTACCTCTTTATGCGGTCCATACCTCAGGGTTGTTCTAGAAGCTCGCCGTTCCGCCGATATGGTTGAAGTCCATGCGCGGCTAATCTGCGTTTGGAGGGAACGGCTTATTTGGTGTTTTATTCTCTTTTTTTATTTCTCCCCTTTGCTTTTTCTCCCCTCAATTTCATTTTTAATTATTCACTGTACAATGCTCGAGTGAGGCGGCAAGAGAAAAAGAAGGCCACAGAAGAAAAAGAAAGCATGCAAATCCCAAACCAACGTGGGGTTCTCTGAGTTGTTCATTTTTCCATCCAATCCGCGTTCCACCTCGGAACGGCTGTCATTTATTCTGGAGCCCTTCAGAAAAAACGAGCCAATATCACCGGGCCTCTTGTGCCTGTCGAGATGGGGCAGGCGTCGTGGAAGCCTCCGGTTTGCCCCTCCTTCCTACCCCTACGTTTCCTCTAGCGTTTCTTCAAGGGTTGGATTTTGCTTAGTCGGCGTGCGCCGGGCCGTTCCAGAGTGCAGCCTCAATGATCCGCAGCTCGTTACCTCAAATGTGGTCCTTGACTGGTGGATAAGGGAGGGGGGAGTATGGCTGACGCTGTGCCATGTACGGGCATCGACTTGCATAAGCCCCTCCGTTAGGTTTTACGGTTAGGCTCTTGTTTGCTCCCAGGGGGAAGTAATAAAGACGAAAAATGAAAATATTAAAGAAATACCCTGACAAATATTCTGGGAAATAAACCCCAATGAAAAAATCCCTAAAATAAAAATCGAAAATCGAAAATTCAGCTTCAGAACGGTTTTTTTGCCCTTTTTTCTCTTTTTTCTTTTTGGCCTTGAAGATATGGCCCACTGTTTATATGACTCCCCGCTCCCCATGTTGTCTTCGTTTGGAAGGATATTCTTATAAGTCACCTCTAGAGATTCAGAACGGGTCCAATTGAGCTCGTGTGATCGGTTCTCTTATATCTTGCATCTCCCAAGCTGCATTTGTTTTTCCCTTCTACTTGATCTTCAGTTTCCTCAATTGAGTTGCAAACTAGACTCCAACGTCCCTCCCCCCCCCCCACCAATCCCACTTCAAACCACCTCAATTGCAAATCTAAGCAACGCTCGACTTCATCTTCAGTTATACCAAGATGTCATACGCCAATAATGTGCAAGGAGGTGCTGGAGCTCGTCCCAGCTGGCAAGATCAGCTGCAAGGTATGCCATTGTCCAGCATACACGGCCCTTCACAGCCCCTCATTCAGCAATTTGTATGAACGTGATCTGACTGACCTTTTGAAGAGCACTGCAGGAGCACCAAGATGAATCCCCCTGTGTTCAACATTGTCTCCGATCGGCGAGGTACTTACCCTATTCCCGTTCTTCCCTTCCCCCCTCAATCTTCTTCACTTCCCGTCCTTTCCTTCTTTCCTTCTTTCCCTCTACAGACTGGATGATTCCTGTCCTGTCATTTCCCTCTCAATCCGCAGACACCCAGGTCAGGTCTCGGTGTCCCACTGTGTGCTTCGAGTGTCTCGCGTGTCGGCATTGCAGAAGGAGTGGAGTCTTGCAGAAATCGAGAGAGAAAAATGCCCCCGCCCTCAGTCGTACACCGACTTTTAGTCTCCGAGCATTTGACAGCGGATAGCTAACCGTTTTGACCTCGGTATTGCAGGAGGTCGAACTGCCTGGTCCAGCACCGTCACCGTCCAAGGCCAGAACATCGCGGCTCGCTACTGGTATGATGGCCAGTACATCAACAATGCCAAAGAGGACGCGGCCGAGGTCGCCTTGAAGACCTTGAACCAGCAACCGCGGTCGTCCACCGTCTTTCCAGGCCAACTGTATACGCAGCAGCCCGCGACGGCCGGCTATGGTCGCGGAGCCGGCGGGTTCTGATCCTCTTCTTTCAAATATTTCCTACTAGTCTTGGGCGGCTTTCTCTTCCCTTCTTGTGTTTTTATCAAATTTCTTGGTTCCTGATTTGGTTGGAATCCCTGTTCTTTCCTGGGGATACGTGGTGTCCTTTTTGGTTGGTTTTCGATTGATACTCCTGTGCGCTGGGTCCACAGTTCTCATCCCATCTTTGCTGGGTGTTCTCTCACTTGCGCCTTCGCGCATGCAGGAAAAAAATTTCCATCCTCTACACCGCACTCCTTTCCACCTTTTCCGTCGTCGACAATCCTTCCCCGAGCCCTGCAGGTGCATGCATTCCTTCGGCCGTCGACTCCGCTCTCAGCTCCTTCATTGTCCACCCATGGTGGCTCACCGGGGTTGCAGGCTTCATCTTGCAGGCGCGGGAGGGCTTTCGGGGTAGAAAGAGCAGCAAAACAATATGCACCACACTCGTCCGTGTGATCGTTTCCAGATGCAGGTCACTACCTTGTTGTGCCTTTGTGGGACTCCAGATACGTTGTGGCACCGTACCTGAAACTCCAACAGTCCAGTGCAATACACAGATGGACTACTCTCTGGAGCTTCATGTTACACTGGAGACTGAATCTTTGATTCCATTGAGCTTCGGACGTATCTGCTGGCGACTGCATCGTGCATTCACACAGGAACAGACTTCATATTCTTCGACAGATTTTTCTTTTTGGCTTCATTCCCTGATTGGGGATCGCACAGACCTTCTTGGTTTTTGGAATCTAGTTGGATCTACCTATCGGGCTGCCCTGATACGAAATCCGGGTGGATCCATGCTACACTGTTAATTTGACTTTCTCGGTTCGCCGAGCCCGGGCTGAGGGCATATGCATTGCGTCAAGTGACCTGTGTCTGACCCTCGAGAACATATGACATGTCATAACAAGTGCAGATTCAAACATATTCCATGCACTTCTCTTGGGCGGCAGATTGATTGCATGGCTACAGTCTCGGCACAAGACAAGATCTCGCTTCCCGCGGGCCGTTGAGTCAAGAACTGCAGGCAGGCACGCGCATCGGTGTCACGGATACATTGCCAGTGACTTGAGTCATACGATACAGTGTGGCAATTCAGGATCTCGAAACAGAAGACTCCAGGAATCCTGGAATCACACATCTCTTCGAGTCACTGTGTCATTCTATTCGGGCTTCGGCTCGGGGTTTTGGGCTGAGCTGTTTCGCCTACTCGATATTTTTTTACAATTGCAGTGTATGTGCTTAACAGGAGTTATTCTGGGCAATTTTTTCTTCTTTTCTTTTCTTTTCCTTTCTCATTCTTTTCCTTGTTTCCCTATGTTCAGTCTGGTTGGTTTGGGGGAATTTGAATACGGAACTGGGGTTATTGATTGTGTGGGTATCATAAAGGGACGGTATTGGTATTGGACATGGGATTGTAATGTTCGGGGCTTGGTTTCAAGTGATCTCTTTATTTATTACTATATGAGTACAGACTTTTGAACCAACCGGATACGTTTCTCAGTGGATCTTGCTCGTGTTTGAATCTGTTGCGGGATTGGCACTCCAATTGGAATCGGTATGGGCCGCTACATGAGGGCCGTGGTACATGCTACTCTCGTTGGAGGTACCCAGGCACTATTGAATTGCGGGTTCGTGCCGCATTGGCCTCCCGAGATTCCACATCCGCGGGACAGCGTTTGGCCATGTGTCTAGCCAAACATTAATCTCCGACACTTTGGAGTTGGGCCGAATTCCAGAAATAACAAGGTTTCCTATTTGACTTCGACATTCACTGGGCATTTTCAAAAGCACATACATCCAGGAACTGTGTACTTATAAAGTAGGGGGAAAGATCCAAGTACATAGACCCGACGTCGGGTGTTGGTCTGTGACTTGGGACTGAACCATGGAACGGCGAACTCTAATAACCAACAACCCTAATTGTCTATTCCAACCTTCCCTCATCCCAGGCCTCTTTAAGAGGCCTGATACCATGCTAGAATTTGACGAGAAGATCTGTGATTTAGTCGAATTTTCATGTCGAGGTCTCTGTCTCTTTCTGAACCACAATGTGTGCACCTCGCCCAGCCAATGATCGTCGTGATAATTACCGAAAGTGGTCATGGGCCCCCAAATCAAATATCAACACCGCCCCATAGATCAAACGATTCGTGATGACGCTCAGCCTTGCTCGGGCGGTGGCTATGCTATTCGTTCACTTGGAATTGAGGCTCAAGCAAGTATCATCCAAAGTCTGAGGAAAGAAAAACGCTATAACTACCTTACCTTCTCCCATTCAACAAGTTTATCTTTGATTTTCTACCGTCTCACAAATAAAGCTAGAGTCCGATTTTGATTCTCATTCACCGAAAGTATCTAGCTATTGGCTATATTCGAGATTATATCTGCTGGTTCCGGTTCAACCATCGCCATGTGTTTTGGTCTTTCAGGTAACAAATCAAATAACTTGCCACCCTCGCGACCAGTAGGTTATGCCCAGTGGCAGCGATGCTCACGGTCTCTCACGCTCTGTGGTACTAACGAGAAGTATGAATAGTTATACGGCCGCCCGCCACATAGACCCAGTAACAGAGCTTCGATGGCTCCTGGTTTCTCGTGGGGTTTTGGGGGTAGCGGTGGAGATGGTGGCGGTGGAGGTACAAGCGGTGGATGTGATGGAGGAGGAGGAGGAGGAGGAGGAGGTGGTGGTAGTGGTGGCGGTGGTGGATGCTAACGTTGGAGATGGGCATTATAATTAAAAGTGAGGATCAAATGACTGGTTAATTTGAGGCCATGTGTGCTTAAATCTGCAGGGAATCATCCAAGGTTGCAGTTGAATTCGAAAACTAGCAAATGTATCATCGAGCTCTCCAGGTTACATGCACTTGATGTCTTCAAGGTTTTCGTTCATTAACGAATCTTTTGAAGATATTTATTATGCTGAACAATCACCCCAGACATCCCTCTATTCCCCTCATGAGACATCGAATCCCAGTGGTTGACTTCTAATAGTCTAGTATGCAAACGCTTTACCATCTCTAGCACCATCCCCGCGAAGATTCCTCCACCTGTAGTAAAGTCTTAGAAGAACACACCCAGCAGTAACAAAGAATAGCAACGCTGCATTCGTCCAATGGCCGGTCGGATACCCGATTTTGGCCTCGTTGCTTTTGTAGATCCACACACCGACAATCTGACCAGGAGCGCCAAACGAAATATTCAAAGCGATGGCAAGACCTGCACCGGCTGTCGAACTGATGTTTGAAGACAGCCAGCCCAGGAGTGGTGGGATGCAGGCAAAAGAGCCACTGGCCGCGACAATGAGGCATCCATAACGACTCTAATTTTCGTTAGATTGATACGAAACAATATCAAGTCGAAGAGAGATATGGGTGAAACTTACGAGATAGGCGCTTGCAGGGAGTACGGCGGATGCCAGGAACCCGATGGCGCCGATGAAGGAGAAGATGGCTGAATGAAGACCTCGGCTGTAGATGGAGTATACATTGTCAGTTTCAGAGCTCTAGAGTGACAGGCACGAAAATCATACCTATTAAAATGGTCTGCGGACCATGCAACAGCCACCGTCACAACGTACGCAACTGCATATGGAGGCACCGTCATCAGTTGAGCGCGAAGGTTAGAGTATCCCAGACCAGAGGTGATAGCTGGTGTGAACAGGGAAAGACTGGAGAATGGCGTGGAGATCCCAAAATAGATTGCATAATGAGCATACAATCTCCAATCTGTCAATGTATCCTTGGCATCTTTCCATGTCATGGCATGGGCAGAGCCCTTGGAGCCCTCCAGAGACAGTCGCTGGGCAGCAAGCTCTTTCTCCTCGGCCGTCAGCCACTTAGCGGTCTCGGGATAATCCGGCAGCAAAAACCAAACCAAAAAGGCAGATGCGCACGATGGTGCGCCCTCGATGATGAACAGCCATCTCCACGCAGAGAGACCGTGGGCACCATTCATATGGCCCACACCAAAGGCAATTGCGCCGCCAAATGCACCGGCTAAAGTCGCTGAGGCGAGAATCAAAGCAACTCGCATCGATCTCTCGGAGTTGCGGTACCAGAATGTGAGGTAATAGACGAATCCTGGGAACAGACCTGCTTCCATCACGCCGAGTAAGAAGCGTAATCCGGTTACTTGGGCGTAGTTATGAGCGCCTCCAAGACCCATTGTTGTTGCACCCCAGGAGAGCATGAGGAATGCAATCCAGCGCTGGTTTCCAGTCAGACGCGGAGATCAATCTTAAGTAGATTTTGCATTAGAAACTCACACTCGGCCGGAGCTTCTTGAGGAAGTAGTTTGATGGTACTTCAAACAGAGCATATGCAATAAGGAACACCATTAATGCGATCCTGGGAGTGTCAGTGCCTGGCGGTTGTAGGCAATTGATTCAACTCACGTGAATTGAAACGAAGTCATGTTGGTCTCTGTGAGCATATCATTACCCGTGTCTGCATTCAGGATTTTGGCATTTCCTTCTCTCGTCAGCTTCATTCATGATTCTGCGCTTTGAGTAACTTGCCGATGTTCGACCGATCGAGATAACAAAGCAAGTAGATTGCCGCACATAGCGGGACAATTCGTAGATCCTGTTTCCAGACCAAGGCCTTTTCCCGCGCCTCTAGAGTTGGATCAAACATCTCAGAGCTTCCCGGCTGCTTGAATGTCAGTGCTTGCTCACTAAACCCCGTCGCACTCAGCCATCAACAAGGGATGCCAAGATTGGCCGATACATCGTACCTCTGAAGCTTGCTCAATATCTGGCGCATACTTTTCAACCATGTTCAATGAAAGTTGCGGAAAAGTTGCGGGAGATAGTCGCACAGTCAAAGCAGAAGTGAAGATCAGGAGGGAGCCAAGTCCCTGAATTGCTTTTTTTCACTCGGCATTAGCTTCCCCGGGCTTTGTCCCCCGCACTAAAAGTGATCGGCCCCGACTTAGCAAAGTGAAAGGGCATCCGATCTCGGTGAAGCTTAGGGTTTTGAACTCGAATGCCCTTGTGGAACAGCAACTGTTCTGTACTCGGTACTCTGCAGTCTCCAGGGCTGAACAGAGTAAGTACTTGGTGTGAAATAAGTGTGGATAGGGGCTTCCCCAGATCCCCACATTAGCCTCCTACTCCCAGACCACAGGTTCCCATTGCCATGACAGCTCTGGATGAAATTGACTCGCGGGAAAAGTATGGTATATTGCGCTATCCACTAAAACTTGGAAATTGTTAGCTATCTGTATAACTTGGGGAGATTGAAGTGATCCTGGGCCATACCATCCTTAGGTCGAGTGCAACAGCCTCTACAGGGTACCAATCTTGAGATCTGCATTGAAAATTTCGAAAATCGTAAATATCCAGAGATTGAGACACAAGTGGTGCAACTGTCAACAGTCATATGGAGTACATGATTCATGTACAGAATGAAACCCGATGCAAACCAGACAAACAGCTTATCAGATAAATTGTTCTGGATCGCATCACAGACGATCACCCCTCATGCTATGCCACCGTCTCCCCAGACCTTCCGCTAGAATATACACGGCCCTGTCCGTCTCGGTCGCAAGCATGTCCACAACTACTGAGCCGCGCAAATCCATGCCCTCGGCATTGACCTTCGATCGTCACGCGAAATGCTCGGTACGGCCCTCCACGCTCCTCCAACGAATACCTAACTCATGTCATTTCGATTGCAGACCACCAAAGCGCGCGCGAGTACCCTTAAACTACCACACGGCGATGTCCCGCTCCCGATCTTCATGCCCGTCGCGACTCAGGCATCCCTCAAAGGCTTGACGTACGATCAGCTGCGCGAGACAGGATGCATGCTCTGTCTGAATAACACATACCATCTAGGACTGAAGCCCGGCCAGGCCGTGCTGGATGCAGTTGGTGGAGCGCACAAGTTACAAAGTTGGGATCGCAATCTCTTGACAGATAGTGGCGGGTAAGAATCACCGAATCACTCCGCGCGCATACACGAATAGTGCTGAGACAACGCTTCCAGTTTCCAAATGGTGTCGCTTCTTGAATTGGCGACTGTTACAGAGGAGGGTGTTCGTTTCCTCAGTCCGCATGACGGCTCGCCTATGTGAGTTTCTTTTTGCCGCGGTTGGATTCGCAGGCTGATTCTTTCAAAGGCTACTTACTCCCGAGCATTCGATCTCTCTGCAAAATTCTATCGGTTCTGATATCATTATGCAATTGGATGATGTTATTGCGACTACATCGCCAGATCATGCGCGTATCAAGGAGGCTATGGACCGCTCTGTGAGGTGGTTAGATCGCTGCATTGAAGAACACAAGTACCCCGAGAGGCAAAATTTGTTCTGTATCATTCAGGGTGGCTTGGATCTCGAGCTGCGCAAGCAATGTTGTGAGCAGATGGTGGCGCGAGATACTCCAGGTATTGCCATTGGAGGTCTTTCTGGCGGCGAGGCGAAGGAAGAATTCTGCAAAGTGTACGTGGATCTGTGCCAGAAACTCGACGAAGCTGACCAAATTGAAGGGTTGATACGTGCACCGGACTTCTGCCGGAAAATAAACCCAGATATGTCATGGGCGTGGTATGTCCTCTTTAAATCGTGATCTTCGTGTGCTAACTGTCGCAGGGATATCCGGAGGATATTGTAGTAGCCGTTGCTCTGGGCGCAGACATGTTCGATTGTGTTTGGCCGACGCGCACAGCGGTAAGACCTCCAATCAAGCACTTGAATATCGATTCTGACTGCGAATAGCGATTCGGAGACGCCATTGTCTCTTCTGGGACTCTGAAAATAAGCCACAAGGTGTATGCCGATGACTTCCGTCCGGTCGAAGAAGGCTGCACTTGTGTCTGCTGTCGTTCGACTGACCAGGGAGGTCTCGGGCTGACCAGAGCATACATGCACCATATTACTGCGAAAGAGACCGTTGGCGCTCACCTGTAAGTCGCCTCGCCATCATTCCGCGCTTTTTTCTAACGCACCGACAGTCTTACCATCCATAATGTTCACTATATGTTGAACATGATGAAGAACATCCGACAGGCCATCCTCGATGATCAGTATCCTGCTTTCCTTCGCAAGTTCTTCTCTGACATCTATGGGGGCGACAAAACAAAGTTCCCCGAGTGGGCAGTGGGCGCTTTGAAGGGAGTCGGAGTGGACTTGTTGGCGGATTCATAACGGCATCATTGATCGACAGAGGTACCTAGTATTGCGCTTAGTTCGACATCACGATATTCTGACTTCAACTACATTATCCGCAGCGTGGGCATATATTATATAGCGTTGATGAGCTTCATGGTTCAAAATTCTATTGCATCTAAGAACCACCGAGAACAAAAGTTCAGGTTGCTTGAACCTTGAAATCACGATATGACGATGTAGGGTATCAAAATCAAGTCTAGAACTACAAACCGCGCGCTTTTCTCACAGCCTCGAGAATCTTCCCATGCACCGAAGCTGGCCCAACAACCATGCCATGGCAGCTCGCCAACGTGCGACCCTGTGAACAATCCACCGGTCTCCCCTCCAGATCCGTGACAAGAACACCAAGCTCCTGCACAATGAGCATCCCACCAGCATGATCCCAGATCTTCGATCGATAGTCCTGCGACAAAGGCAGTTTCACAAAAGCATTGCAGCCACCCTGCACTGCAATCGCTACATACCGCATCTGCGCAGACCACAAATCCACCGGATTGGGCCACGCACACCCCAAGCCCGCCGCCACCCGGCCATGCGCCTCGAGATCCTGCGTCTTCGCCGCCCGCGTATCAATAAAGCTCACCCGCGCAGTCTCCGTAATCTGCGGAACCGTGTCCAGCACACGGGAAGGGAGCAGCGCCCCCGTGCCCAAGGGCCGAATCGTCGCCCCCTGCCCCGCAACAGCAGCAAGCATCTGTCCGTGTCCGTCCCGATCGACCAATTCCTCCGAAACGCGGCCGGAGGCTCTCAGATTCGGACACCCCAGCACACCCACTTTCTGTACCCCGTTTTCCACAAGCGAGAGACAAACGGCGTACTGCTCGCCTCGGATGAAGGTGGCCGTGCCGTCGACCGGGTCGAGGGTCCACGTGCGGGATGTCGGGGTGCAGGCGCCTTTGGCGCCGAGATCAATGAGGTCCAGGAGTTCTTCGCGAGTTGCGGGTGTGTGCAGCTGGGCCTCGCTGGCGGCGTCGTCGAGGTGAATGGAGGTTGCGAGCTGCCAGGTTCGCTCTAGAAGGACTGGGTCCGCGCGGAGGGCGGTGGCATCCTCTTCGCCGACGATGTCGTCGTTGGGGAAGACGTTGTGGATTGCTGCGATTATGGAGGCTTGGGCGGCGAAGTCGGCGATTGTTACTGGGGAGTCATCGCTCTTGTCGAGGGCTCCTTTGTCCACGGCTGAGAGGAGTTGTTCGGTGAGGAGGGCTGCTCTTTGGACGGCGAGGCTGGCCAATTGCAGCTCTTTGGCGTAAGGGCTTGGGACGCTCATGGCGATTGGATTGAGAGGAATTGAATTGGGGAAGTCGAGTACTTGAGATCGGGATTATTTTTGGAGGGGCATCACGTGCGATGACCGGTGAAGGTGACTACGTCATCGCGATACCCTCCAGCTAGATGGCGCTGTTCTCCATAGAGGGGCATGTCTCATTCTCGTGGACAGCCCTTGGGTATAAGTCACTGGCATATTGGTATACAGTACTTATTTTTGATGCTTGAACTGTGAGCCAATTGAGACTACTGTGTCTGCCCGGGTGGATATATACTTCGGTCAACTTTATGGCCCCTGAACATACTGTGGTTGAAGTCCACAGTCCACTGAGACCTCGGAGTGAACAGCTTCCAAGGTTGCAACAAGGACTCCATCCACAGAGTCAGTCTATTTCCTCGGGCAGCGGTGAGGGTAAGTTCAACCTTAACCTCTCACTCGCTCAGTGATCTTTCACCAGCACTGGCCCCTTGCCCCGCAGGTCCTCGGTTCTGTCGATCATACGATGCCCGATATGTCAGTTTAGTACTGCAAGTGGTGTCCTTCCATGATTAAAGGCGTAGGAATGGCGACTCGTACTTTGCTACTTCCAAAGCTGTATGGCCCAGGTATTGACGTGTTTCATTGGGAGAGCGGGTCCTGATTCCTTGATTTTTCCCTGCCGCGTTGGTTTCAAGGTTTCAGCTTCATCCCTTCCAGCACTCTCCACGTATGAGAAGCCTAGTTCCTCCTGTCGGATGGGGCCGTGCATGGTCTGTCATGGAGACATGGTGGATTTCTTTGATCCTATACTATGACTACTGACAAGTATATATGTTCAGTGACTGCTGAGTAGACAAGTATGACTAGATGACTATATGACTACCTAGGTATATGACTATAACTATATAATTACTATATAATATCTAAGTATCAGTTCCCCTTCGAAATAAGGTTGATGTCATCGAAGTTTCCTGTTTCGGTTTTGTCGGATGACCTGAGCTTTTTATAAGACTTCCCCTCTTCCCTCTCTCTTGGCTACTAGCTTCACAACATGGCTTCTTTCAACCCCTTCGCCAAACGCGAAACTCACAGCGCTAGTTCGCTGAACACCTACCGGGTCTTGGTACCCCTCAGCTGGGCACTTGTCGTCATCGTCGGCATCTACTACTCTCTCCATTCGCCAGATGAGAAGAAGGGCAAGAAGCTCTGGAAACAGGGTAATAAGCACAACACTCCATTCAGTCAGAACACCACCGTGACTGGTGTGTATTGGTGAGTGCAATCGCTTGTAGATCATGCAAATACCTACATGCTATACCTGGAGCCGACCAACGGGCAATTCGATGTCCAATGCTAACCAATGCTAGGATTCTCCTTCTGCTCTCTCAGCTCAGCTACGTTTGGCACCTGTTCTCTAAGAACAATGTTCTGGTGGCAGCCGCCGCCAATGTGGCTACCCACTTCATTTTGAACAACCTGTTCCTCTTCGCCTGGATTCTGCTCTGGACTCGGAACCATTTCTGGGGTGCCGAGATCATTCTCATCGCCCACTTGATTAACCAGACAGTGACTTACTGGCGTCACCGCGGTCTTCCGGCATTTGTGCACCTTCCCGCAGTTGCCGGGCCCTATGCCTGGACTCTGACGGCCTTGTTTTGGAATGGCGCTGTGGCCGTCCACAGCCACAACCTGCCTGGCCGTATCGTTGCAAACATCTTCATCTGGGTGATTCTGGGAGTTGGTCTGTTTGACATTGTTCTCCGCGAGGATTATATCCTTGGCTATTGTTTGAGTTTCTTGACATTGTGTAAGTGGCTCACCTTTACCTTCTGGTTTCATGCCTAGTAGGACTCTGCTAATATATATTTCCAGCCTTGGCTCTCCGGCAATTCGCCATCAAGATCATCGGTTTGCAGTGGATCTTTGCCTTTGTTGTCTTTGGCGTGTTCCTCGTGGTCTCTCTCTACATCTCCGCGACCAAGTCCACGGGCCGTGACAGTCTCTTCCGCCGCGTTGCTCACCCTGAGTCGGATCGCGAGCGCGAGCCACTCCTCAACGAGGGGGTGTAAGGGTGAGGTCATGGACCCACCTGGGCACTGAATGAAAGGCCTAATTTTAGGCGCAAAGAATGTGAAGGCAAGGTCGTGAGGCCTGCCATGCTTTGATTGAGTACCTGTACGGAGTATTGATTTGGATCGCCTCTTTTGCGGAAGATCGACGGTTAATATGCAAGATTGAATATGTGTTATTGGAAGTTCTCACCTGCAAGGCATAATGCAAATAACACGATCTAAATAGCTACTGTAGTAGGTTTAGCGGAAAAGGCGCAGGAACAGCGTGAGGCGCGAGGCCCGTTGCCCGGACGACCACCCTCCACCTCCACTTTGTTGATCTCAACCTGCGGACGAACCGGCCTGGACTTGTTTGGGGGCTTTTGTTCTTTTCTTTTGTTCTCCGCATTGTCTCTTCTTCATCTTGCTTGTGTGTCAAGCTCGAATATTCAGGTACATTCCGCACATTCCCTCCTCGGAACCCTCGCTGATGTGCCGAACTTGACAGACGATCTACGCTTTCTGAGTGAGCTGTCGAAGTTGTAGTATTGCCATGAGGCAGTGAGGTTGAGCATATCTCGCATTCCTTTCACAATGAATCGCCGTCCAACCAATTACGGCGATGCGCCGCCCTCATACCTCGACCAAGAGACAGCCTCCTTTCTGTCCGACGTCGAGTCGCCGACGCATGCTTCACGACTGAACGGCGGAACACTGCGCTTGCTTCCAACCAGTGGTGACGGCGCCGACGATATGCATACGAGTCCGAGGGCGGCTTCGCCTTCTCATTACAGTTATGACCCAGTTTATGACCACAGCCCGTATGTTTTTCCCGCACAGATGCAACCCTATACCTCTTCACATTCCAATGACCCCCTTCGTGACGGGCCACATTCACCATCAACTCTAAGCCATTGCTTGACGTGACGGGGCTGGAGGAGACCGTGTGCCTTGGGCGATTGTTCGTGTCCGAACATAGCTGATGCGCTCGGTTGATCCTCCTGCCCTATGCTGATCACCCTTCCCCAAACACACTGTACACTTGGTATATGTGATCGAGTGCAGTGCTTCCCTTGCCACCGTCTCACAGCCAGCTTCAGGCCAAATGGAGCGCCCTTTAAGACCGAGGTCTAACACCAGGACGCGATATTCTAGTACCGGACGAGAGCCGTCATACGACCATTATTATCAAGTCCCAAGCGCGTCCTCGCCATCGCGTCCTCAATCCAGCTTGTCCAGCGGCCGTCACATGCCCCCTCCTACGGCAAGCCTAGCAGACGAGTCAATTTACCCTTCAATTCCTCCCCGCAACGGCTCTCCAATCCGCCCATGGAGCCCGTCTCACATCCGCCCGCCATCGGTTTCAAGTGTCGGATATGAGCGTTCAGACATCAACGGAAGCCCGCGGCCGGGAACTCCCAGCTCGAGATACGGCGGTAGTCCCCGCCGCCCTTTGCCTCCCGCTCCGTTGTTTTCGGGCCCGAAATCCAGCGCCGTAGACTCGAGCATTGATATTGGGGATGGAATCACAAATGACGACCCATTCGGCGGTGACGGTCGGACCATCAATCACGGGTCGCGAGGTAGCGTCCGATCATTCATGAGTGAATCCACGATGCTGGGCGACGAAAAAGATGAGATGCACAAAGTCGACCTCGAAGACGACCTCGACGACGATGCATCCGGCATGGTTGATCCCAACCTTCACTATGGCCCTGCCCCCGAGAAGCAGGGCCGTCGCGGCGTTCGCTCAAAGCAGGTCGCGAAGAAGGAGGTCCAGCTGATCAACGGTGAGCTGATCTTGGAGTGCAAGATCCCCACCATCCTGCACAGCTTCCTGCCACGTCGCGATGAGCGCGAATTCACTCACATGCGATACACGGCCGTCACATCTGACCCTGATGACTTCGCCGAGCGCGGTTACAAGCTGCGCCAACAGATCGGATCTACTACCCGTGAAACCGAGCTGTTCATCTGTGTCACAATGTACAACGAAGATGAAATTGGTTTCACGCGCACCATGCATGGTATCATGCAGAACATTAGTCACTTCTGTTCACGAACCAAGTCCCGTACTTGGGGTCGTGATGGCTGGAAGAAGATTGTTGTCTGTATTGTGGCTGATGGTCGTAAGAAGGTCCATCCGCGAACCCTCAATGCGTTGGCTGCTTTGGGTGTTTACCAGGAGGGTATTGCGAAGAACATTGTCAACCAGAAGGAAGTCCAGGCCCACGTCTATGAGTACACGACTCAGGTCTCGCTTGATGACGACCTCAAGTTCAAGGGTGCCGAGAAGGGCATTGTGCCCTGCCAAGTCATCTTCTGCTTGAAGGAACATAACAAGAAGAAGCTTAACTCGCACCGATGGTTCTTCAATGCGTTTGGACGCGCCCTCCAGCCGAATATTTGCATTTTGCTCGATGTCGGTACTCGTCCCGATCACACTGCTCTGTACCACCTTTGGAAGGCATTTGATCAAGACTCGAATGTTGCTGGCGCAGCCGGTGAGATCAAGGCTGCTAAGGGAAAGAACATGCTTGGCCTACTCAACCCGCTCGTTGCCAGTCAGAACTTCGAGTATAAGATGTCGAACATTCTGGATAAACCGTTGGAGTCGGTCTTTGGTTACATTACTGTGTTGCCTGGTGCCCTGAGTGCGTACAGATTCTTCGCTCTCCAAAACGACGCAGATGGTCATGGTCCTCTGAACCAGTACTTCAAGGGTGAGACTCTGCACGGTCAAGATGCCGACGTTTTCACAGCCAACATGTACTTGGCCGAGGATCGTATTCTTTGCTGGGAGCTTGTCGCAAAGCGAGAAGAAAGATGGGTGCTGAAGTTTGTGAAGAACGCCGTCGGTGAGACTGATGTGCCGGACTCGGTTCCTGAATTCATCTCTCAACGTCGTCGTTGGCTTAACGGTGCCTTCTTCGCCGCTGTGTACTCCATTTTCAATGCGAAGCAAATCTGGAAGACTGATCATACCCTCGCTCGAAAGATTCTGCTTCACATTGAATTCTTCTATCAATTCCTTAACCTCCTCTTCACCTACTTTGGTCTTGTGAGTTTTCTGGTTTCTATTCCCCTTTGGGCTTGACTTACTTTGACAACAGGCCAACTTCTACCTTGCTTTCTACTTCATTGCTGGCTCTCTGAGTGACGAGAAGATGGATCCCTTTGGCCATAACATGGGCAAATACATCTTCCTTGTCCTGAAGTATGCCTGTGTTCTGGTCATGTGTCTGCAGTTTATCATTTCTCTTGGTAATCGACCGCAAGGGTATGTCAGCTTTTACCACCGACTGAATATGTGACTGACCTGTTCTCCAGTGCGAAAAACTTGTACCTTTCTGGAATCATCATCTACGCCATCATCATGTTCTACACTGTGTTCTGTGCACTCTACCTTGCCGTGAAGGAACTTATGGTCCGAGCAGGTGTAGGAGACGACGATATGGAAGTCGGCGACGGCTTGATGATGAACATTGTCATCTCCATGCTTTCAACCGTCGGTCTGTACTTCTACAGCTCCTTCATCTACCTGGACCCCTGGCACATGTTCACCTCCTCGATCCAATACTTCCTCCTCATGCCCAGTTACGTCTGTATTCTCCAAGTGTACGCCTTCTGTAACACCCACGATGTTACTTGGGGAACGAAGGGAGACAACGTGATCAACACTGATCTCGGTGCCGCTAAGGTCATCAATGGCTCCACCGTCGTTGTCGAAATGCCATCCGAGCAACTCGATATCGATTCCGGCTATGACGCCGCCCTCCGCAACCTCCGTGATCGCCTCGAGGTTCCCGAGCCCCCACCATCCGAGTCCCAGCTACAGGAAGACTACTACCGTGCAGTGCGTACCTACATGGTTTCCATCTGGATGGTCGCCAACGTCGTTCTTGGCATGGCCATCTCAGAAGTCTACGGTGTCGACGCAGGCGGCACAAACGTCTACCTCGCCATCATCCTGTGGTCCGTCGCCGTCCTCGCCGCTATCCGTGCCGTCGGCTCAACCACCTATGCCATCCTCCAAGTCGTCCACAAGATCGTCGAAGCAAAGACCAAGTTCGATGCTGGCAATATGACCAACTTCGCGCCTAGCGCGTATGGTGGATCTAGCGTTGGTCCAGCCTCGGAAACTGCGAAGTCTTCATCCACACGCCCCGTCAGGTATGGTGGTGGTGCTACTTTCAAGGACAAAATCAATGAGGCGCGCTGGTCCGCTGGTCGCGTCGCTAATAAAGCCATGTTCTGGCGGAAGTAGATCCTTCAAGTCGGCGTTTTGTCTTTGGCGTTTGGGATATCATTGGGTTTTAATTTCTCTTTTGTTTCATGATGGAAATATTCTCACGATATTGCCTTTTTACTTGAATTTTTATGCTCGTTGCTTTTGTGCTTTTTTGAAATGTGGACATGTCTCTAATGGAACTTGGAAGTATCTATTTGTTTTAGGATATCTGAATGCAGAAGATGATCCTTCAATTTGACTGTTTTTTGAATCAGGGTTAATTGATTCGTAGGTGTTGGTGATTTCTCCAAGGTTGTGATCCTAGTCTTACCAGATATCGTCTCAGGGCATCTTCCTACACTCCAATCCAGTCAAGTTGTGATATTTCCAGTTCTCAGTCCCGGCCCAAGACTTCCGATCCTAAACCAGGACTCTTTGGGCTCTGGACAGCCTCCCCGATTGCTCCTATGATGTTAAAAAGATTCAAAGAGGGTAAAGCGACAATTGATTAATATACCCAGAGGTAAGCTGATGGTTCTTAAATGACATAATGAGCGTAAGTGTGCAAAAGCACAAAGAAAATCTAGTAACAATCCACATCCAGAAGTCCAACATCATACAAATTGTTGATTCCACAATTCAAACATGCCCAAGATTTCCCAGAAAACAGCGGCGGTTGAAAGTGCCACTCACAGGATGAGGCAGTGTCAAAGAGTACTGCCTTAAGCAGAGGCATTGGCCGAAGCATCCGCAGACGCGTTAGCCGACGCATCAGCATTAGCAGAAGCGTTGGCAGAGGCATTGGCAGAGGCGTTGGCGGAAGCGTGAGCAGAGGCCTGAGCTTCAGCGGAAGCAGAGCCGCTGAGAGAGCCGCCGAGGGAGATACCAGAGCCGCCGGAGGTACCGGTAGGGCCGGGGGTGCCCCAGCTCACACTGGTGCTCCAGCTGGTCTCGAAGGGAGCAGAGCCAGAGCCGGTTTTGGTGCCTGAGAGGTCTGCACCAGCCGAACCAGATCCGGAACCGCTAGCACCAGCGGAGCCAGAGCCAGAAACATCAGCCCCAGAAGAACCCGAGTCGGAAGAAGAGGGGGTTGAGCTGGTATCGGGAGATGAGGCGCCAGTAGGACTCACGTCGGTTTCGCCAGAGTCGGAGCCAGAGTCGGAACCGGAAGCATCACCGGAGGCATCACCAGAGGCATCGCCGGAAGCTCCACCAGAAACATCGCCAGAAGCACCACCGGAAGCGCCGCCAGAGGCTCCGCCAGAAACATCGCCAGAAGCACCACCGGAAGCGCCGCCAGAGGCTCCACCGGAAACATCGCCAGAAGCACCGCCAGAAACGTCACCAGAAGCACCACCAGAGGCTCCACCAGAGACATCGCCGGAAGCACCACCGGAAGCACCGCCAGATCCACCGACAGCAGAGGCACCGGAAGCACCAGCACCTGCGGCACCAGTTCCAGAAGCACCACCAGAAGTGCTACCAGAAGCACCAAGACCAGCACCACCGGTAGCAGCGGCGCCAGCAGCACCAGTTCCAGAGGCACCAAGGCCAGCGGAGCCAGATCCTCCGATGCCAGCAGAGCCAGATCCGCCAAGGCCAGCAGAGCCGGAGCCACCAAGGCCAAGACCAGCACCGCCAGTAGCACCAGCACCAGCGGCACCAGTGCCAGAGGCACCAAGGCCAGCAGAGCCAGATCCTCCAAGGCCAGCAGAGCCAGATCCGCCAAGGCCAGCAGAGCCGGAACCACCAAGACCGGCGGAACCAGAGCCACTCACATCAGCACCACCGGTGGCACCGGCGCCAGCGGCACCAGTTCCTGAAGCACCCAAGCCAGCGGAGCCGGAGCCACCAAGACCAGCGGAGCCGGAGCCACCAAGACCAGCAGAGCCAGATCCACCGAGGCCAGCGCCTCCAGAGCCGCTCACATCGGCACCACCGGTAGCACCAGCACCAGCAGAGCCAGTTCCAGAGGCACCACCAGAGGCACTGCCTGATCCACCAAGTCCAAGGCCACCGCCGAGGCCGAGACCACCGGAGCCAGAGCCGGAAGCACCAGCAGAGCCTGATCCAGAAGCACCTGCTGAACCAGTGCCGGAGCCCTGACCGTGCAGCCAGCTGGAGATAGAGGAGCCAAGACCACCGCTGCCGGAGGCGCTGCCAGATCCGCTACCAGAGCCTTCGGCAGAGCCCTCGGCGGAACCGCTGCCAGAGGCACCGGCGGAGCCACCGAGACCGAGAGAACCGCTGCCAGAGCCGGAACCACCGAGGGAACCGCCGAGGCCGAGACCGCCTCCGTGGTGAAGGGCGCCGGCTGCGAGGGGCAGGAGGCAGGGCTCACGGGTTTCGAGAGTTTTGTTGACGGGTGCCGCAAGGGCAGCACCCGCGAGGAAAAGAATAACTGCGTTCTTCATGTTGCCGGAACGATGAAAGAGAGACTGAGAGTATTGATTTTTTGACTCTGGAGGGAAAGAGAAGGAAAAGAGAAAAGCGAAAGAATGAAGTTGAACCAGTCAACTGAAGCAAAAGAAAGTGTTTTTGTTGATGAGAGAGATAATTGACGCTGGAGGATGTCGGTTCTTATAGTTCTCGAGAGCTATACATTGAGCCGAGAGTTGCGTCTATTCTTGTCAACGGGCTCGTGCTGAAAGCTCCGTGCTTGAAAATTGAGCAATCCATTAGCATGTATTGCTGAAACTACGGCTCTGCCCGTGTCTGGTCGTGCCCTGTTTCAGTATTCAGCCACGATCGAGTTCATTTTCGAGATCTCTGGCACGGCTGGTTTCATGTGCCTGATCTTTGCGAATATTCCTCCTTTGAGCGTTGGACCGTCATGTGCCAATGAAAAACTCTTCAAGTCCGGACTGTGTATACGGAATCTATGCGGACGTATAGATCTGAGTGGAGATCTGGGCATCGTATTCCATGAGCCACCTGGTGGACCGTGTCTGTTCCTGGCTCTGAAGGTCAACAAAGGCTAACCTTGGAAGGATCCCTGCGTACCAGGGCTCGATTCAGGTACGTGTTTTCACTAGATGAACTGCTGTCGTTCAATTGGTTGGCCAGACTCAAAATTGAGGCATTTGGCCATGTTCGTCCAGAAACTTCACTTTGTGGGGCCGCGAGGGCGTCCTAGTGCCCGTGTCCGACGATTCCGAACGCCGAACCGTTCGCGATTGCTGTGAGTTCTGTGCGAAATGCTTATTTTTAGGCGGTTCGCTGTCAGAAGCATATTAAGGGGATGGCGGGCTCTGAGGAATCTGCGAGCCAATCGCATCGTCAACCCATTCGCGATCCACTCGATATGGACACAATCGGAGCTGGTGCATGTGTATGGAGTACGGAGTACGGAGTACTTGCCGGGAACTCATAGTTCGTTCGCAGGCCTCTTTGCTCCGGAGCCACGACCTCGAGCATCTCGCTAGCTTGTGCAGTAATGGCTCAGGGGTTAGGTCGTCAATGGCAATTGCGGCTCTGGGAGGAAATCAAAAGTCGCCATGCCCAGGTGCTGGGTCTGCGGTGTCAATGGGATGCACAGTTTGGGCTCTGCTTCTTGGGTCGTCGCAGAAAGAACGCCGTTGAATCAGTCCCGAAGATCATCGCCCCAGAATGCAAGGGATCGACGCAGTTCGTTTCGGCGTAAGGGGGTGTTGCTAAGACAATCCCTAACGCCCCACCTCCACGATTGTGGGTCTCTTCACTAAGCTTGGGCTGCTTTGTCTGGAGGATCTTCATGGCCGAGGAGAAGGAAAACCAATTCCGTGGAGGTCTCCTGTGAGTATCCCGCTAAAAATAACCCCGGAGCAACCCCTGGATATCCCAACCCACTCTATGTTAAACGTTCAAGCGAGGACGGAGTACGACGCTGCATACACCTTTTGTCAGCAAGATATTGGAGAATCTGGAAACAACAAAGGTACCATGGAAGAGGTCGTCCAGCCCCATGGATATCTCTGCGTGTCTTCCCGAGAGGATCCGTGGATCCTGATCAATTGGACCGGTGTTCAGCATCGGCAGGTCCAGGCCATTCTTATTGAGGGGACAGGAAGGATTGTCCCTGATATGTTCAAAGCATCCATGGATTTGCAATATTTAGGGGTTATCACCTGGGTATGCATCATGGATACACATGGATTGACCTCGGGACATAGTAGAACTTGGAAGCGGATACATGGCGTGACAACCTTGGAAAAGGGTGATGCTACTAGTACCTATGTAGGTACCTAGGTACCTACCTGGGTACAACATTGCATAGGGTAGACCGTGAATAGGTAGGTAGCAAACTTGGAACCTCTAAAGATCCATAGATGGAGATTGGAAGACGTGCAAGTCGACTTCGAGATTGCTGCGGCTTGTGGATTTCCAAGTTGCACTCTCAGCAATGTCATCGCCGTAAAGTGACGCCGGGCGGTTCAATGCTGATGACTCACAGCTGCCCAGGTCCACGGGTGTGAGCTGAGGAAGAATATTTCGCCAACCTTGGAAAGATCTAGCATATGTATAAGTTCAAGGTTTAAGGGGGCGATGATGAAAATGGACCTCGGGACCTTACGCGGACATTCAGGAATGTTCAAAGTCACCAACACGTTTGATTATATTATTTTGAGATTATGTCTTCAGGTCTCGAGTAGTGGGGGCAGAATTTGGAGTGTACAAGAGTATCTACCTAGGTATAGTTGAGGGTAATGCGTATGCTCATTTGTGGTGTTTGTAGGTTGCCACTTCAAGATATATATCAAGCGAGCCTCGGCAGTGAGCAGCACAACCTTATTCAATGTGTAAGGGATGAGGTTGATTAAATCTTGCGCCCAATCTTGGAAAATTCATTTCAGGATATAATATAACATAAAAATGGTTTATTCGCCTCAGAAGAATAAGAGAAAGGAAGACAGGAAGAAAAAAGCAACTTGGACGAAAATTTTCTATGAGATTGCTTGTGTATCGGGGAGGCTTTCTTGGCTTTTCCACGTAATATTTACAACAGCATTCGAAGACAGGTGTGCCTGCGTCGATTAAAAAACTAAGAGCCTGGAGCTATCTGGGAAAATGATATTTACGAAGGCAATTGTGAGATCCACCAACAACACCATGCTGATCAGAAGGCAGAGACTGAGCTTTCACGCGACTCTGGGGGTGCGCAACTTCGTTCAACAGGTTAATCAAACCGGCAACCCTTCCAAGTTTGGGAAGATGTTGCGATTAATAATCTATATTCGAGCATCGTATAAACAAGAGGCATGATGTCGCAGAACTGGCCCAAAGGGACCTGACTATAAATGAGGTCTCCAGGTGGCTTCTAAGAATTCCCGGACAGTCCTCGGCTTGAAGCCGGGGAATTTGTTTCCAATGCGCTGGTCTTCGGGTAATTGGAAACCTCGTGCGAGGTAAAGATGATAGCCGAACAGACTGTAGTCTAACAGCTCATTCGGCTGAATGCCACTTCCGTCAGGAACCTTCAGTATAGGGATATCGCCTTTCTCGACGTCCTCGGCCTTCAGATAGGTGACTTTGAACTTCTCGCCTTCATGCAGCAATTCATTATTAGCATAGAACGCGTGAAGCTTCAGAGAAGAAAACATACCGCAGAGCTCTTCCGCCATCCTCAAAACCTCACTCAGAGTAGTGTCATCGCCATTGCAAAAGCTGAATTCAGACCATTCGTCGACTTCTAGCAGCTTGGCCACTAACGTCGCAGCATCATAGCTGTAAATCATAGTGATAGGGATGTTTCCATCCCCAGGAATACAGGCTTCTCGATTCTGCACATCAACCGCAATGTTCATTGGGGCAATATTTGATCGAGCGTGCGGAATTCCCAGGAAATCCATGAATGCACCACAAACAGGGCGCGTGTAGGTCAGCTTGCTGTTCTTCAGAAGTTCTGCAGCCTCAAGGAACCAGTCAAGCCCTGGATCAACATGCCGTCGCCTGCCGGTGTATGTTAGAACTAGTACGCGAAGGAGATAGGAGATAGACTCGAAGCGTACTCTTCGCGTGTAAAGTAACCAAATTCACTCGTGATGAATCTTTGCACTGAGGTTGCCTCATCGGCGGCTTTAATCAAATTGACTTGGGCTTGGGAGCAATCATCTCCTAACATGCCAATGGCGCAGATCACCGTCTGGACTGCATGGCGCTCTAATTGCTGCACCAGCGCCGCGTGATCATCATAGTCGGTCTGTACATATTGTACGTTGTCAATTGGCGATTCCACGTGTTCCTTGGATCAATTGTCAATATGTATGCTCTGAGATACCAGGGGGTGGGGTTCGGATACCGTTCGTGTCAGTCCAACCACTGAGTACTTGTTCTCCTTTAGGATCTGCTCCACAATCGTTTTTCCGACGGCGCCAGTTGCACCGGCTACTGCCACTGTTAAAGCCATTGGGGGTTGCTGTACTGATACAGTAGGGAGGAGCCAAACAAGATCAAACGATGTTCCGCGGGGCGTTCCAACACGTGACTGGGTCCGGTTGTGGCGATCACCTTCCCGGAGCAGTGGCTTGCAGGAGCTAGAGGTCCCAGGGCCCGGAAGCCCGGGTCTACACGATCATGTTGATATGCTTCTGTAGCCCAGTAGATGATAACTTCTATACAAATTGAAGGAGACCTCTGCCCAGGTGATCACAGTTCGCAGATCCCTGCACAAAGCTGACCACGTGATGAACAGAGCCTCAGAAGTTCCAGGGTTCTGGGACAAAGTCACATGATCTCTGGTGATTGCCCAGGTGGCCCCCGAGATCGTCGCAACTACATCATCCTCTCTACGTGGCATCAACGAACTATTAGTTCCTTCACTGCAATCGATTTCAAGGTTTCTCGATCGGAGTGCCTATATGACCACACGAGACACTGAAGAATCGCCAGACTATCACCATTGCTCCAAGAGTGACCCCCTGGCCAACAGGAGAAGGGCTGTCTCGAGCTCAGCTCTGCAGTGTGCACAAATTGCTCTATTTCGCGCCTCCGCGCCACGCATTTTACTCACTTGAATCAATTCTAGCTCGACCTATCTCAACAATATACCCATCAACCCAAACTCGGAGAACCACACCCCTAAGCAGACAAACTACCAGCCAGGTTAATCTCAAGCCACGTCGCCATGGATGACGCCAAAGATGGGACTACCTAGGGATAAAGAGCCTCCTTATAAGATGCACCAATCGGACCAAATCGACAGTCTCATTCACATTTCCCACCACCTTCAGAGCTCGTGGGCTTTGATTATCTACGGCAGTGATGGCAATCATGAAAGCAAACAAGAACCATCAGCCACTTTTGGAACTCAGACCTTGAGATCTCACTCAGTCATGGTGCAGACCTTGTTATCACCCACGCTCTCCCTCCATGTCTGCACGAGGACCGGCCTGTGTTAGACACCATCCTTATGCGGTATGCTACACCAAACGCTGAAGGATTTTTGTCATCGCTCCCCAAATAGTCCGAGCTTGCAGGAGTAAAACCGACCACCGAGTCTCTGGAATATGCGTTATCTTGATAGGTATTGAACCACCGCGATATGCGTTTTGAAAGACGAGCGAGACTGGCTTCATCTCCAAGCTTGGCAGAATGTGCGCCACAACATGAAAGCACTCCATCTAAGGGCCGGATTTGCTTACAAGCAGTGTCTACTTCCAGTATCTTTCACGACAGAGAATTACTCAAAGCCACCAAGGTGGAGGCTGAGATGTAATAGCTGGCCCCATCGATCAGGAGGCTTGCCCTGAAAGCCACATCTAGTTGGCAAAACTACTGAACACTGAACAGATAAGGCCAGCTAAACTAGGGGGGGGGGGGGGGAGAGAGAGAAAGAAATCCGAACTTCATCAACCACAGAATACTTTCGGTATCCGGGAAACTTCGAAAAGGGACGATTTGGATATACACTAATCCTTTCGTACTGTATGAGCAAAGTCAAAGACGACACTGGCCAAATGTCTGCTTCAAGTTAGGTCCTAAGCATCAATGCATTTCTTCACCTACACCATTCGCACAATTTCTTTTTAATCACGGTAGAGGCCCTCGCAACCAAACTATATACAGGCCGTATAACTTTGTTTGAATTAGAGATGCCATCGGAGATCCCAGTGACGGGATACCAAGGCCTTCGTTACACTGTAAAAGTGACCGGCATATACAGTGAACATAGGGGAATATCCCCGACTCTGTCTAAAGGCGGCAAATCAACTACATCCGTCTGCCGTCTTGAGTACGTCATGTCTCCTTAACGGAGTCCTGCGATGAGACACATCCAGCAACTAGCAGTCTGGTCCCACAGAATTCTCGGCAAGACGGCTGTTGGCAAACACGACCCATGGAAACGACGGATCAGATAAAAGACGCCACCCGACGCTAAAGACTCGTGGACCTCGGAACACTCGAGCTAATTACTCAATCTAATCAGATGCACGAGAAAAAATTATCAGATTGACGCTATTTCCTTGAAAACGGGACTCTAGGCATCAATATAGGAGACCTCGGACTTTGCAAACAGCGATACCCACTTTCTGCAGAAGCCAAACCTCGGGCGAGTTTGCCACGACAAGAAGGTCTCAGGGAGATCACTATCGAGCCATTGCTTGACTAGTGACTTTGCTAATGAAAACCCTGACGGTGGACCACGACTGTCATCCACGTGTGAATCGCAGCGGCTCAATCCGACATCCTAGACCTCTACTCGGACGGGAAGAGGTAGCGATGATCCCGCGCCTGACCCCGGGACTGCAGAAGGAGTTATCTGATCCTTCAGGTCCCTGTCTCCGCCCAAAGGTGGAGCGTGAATGAGACACCGGACCTTGTGCCTTACCATGGTAAGTGCTGCCGGCTCTACGGAGGAGACTCATATTGATTCTATACATACGAACAATACTTTGTATTTAGAAAATTACCCATTTATACCATATATACTAGTGGTATGTTAGTAAATTATGAAATAATATCATGTCTGTACCCACCTGGTAATGTGGGCTATTCCACTTTCCCTGCAAACACCGGACTTGCCATAAGCGAGCTGCAGCTCGCCGAAAAAATGGCGAAGGCCTCGCATTAAGGCACTTGGCACTTTGAGGGCGGAAAGTCGTCGCGTCCTTTGTACGCCAGAGTCTTGGCAATTTCATGCAAAGCGCGCTTAGGGATGAAGCGCGACCTTGCTGGCGGACGTCGGTGCCAAGGTGGAAGAGATTATTGCCGTGGTCGTACGAGTACGATTTCGTCTCTCTCCGAATTGACAGGGAAGCCCGCTCCAATGATACGGCGGAGAGTCAGGCAATATTGTTGGGTTTCAGGTAGAGAGAGTGGCAAAGGCGAAAGATCCCAAGCACACTAGAGTCGGAGTACCGCCCCTCGCAATCTTGGAAGATGCAGAGACATGAGTAGTATGAGCGTAGATTTACACAGGCTGGGAAATAGATATGTGGTGATCATAACATTCTGCATTCAGATCGTTATTTGAATAATTAAGTGATAAGGTTAAAACAATAAAGCAAGTTGATGACAGCCAAAATGCCGTTCATCGGATTTTATATGGATGAGATGAAGTAGGAAATTCAAGATCAATCCGTTGCCCAAAGGCAAGATCGAGTGCCTTAGAAGACAGTACCCTTGACCTGGGGAACCTTCTTCAGATCGATGTTGCGGATCATCAGAGCCCAGATAATGGAAAGAGCCATAATACCAGTTCCGGCCGCAAGCATTCTTGTCTGGGAGTAGGCGTAGGCATTTTGGATAGCGAGTCTGGTGGGAGATCCGATCGCGTAGCTGATCTGGTCGTCAAGGGACTCGTAGATAGTATCGATGTTGGCCAAAGCAGACTCGGGGAGTCTGGCTTGGAGAGCTCCGTAGAAGGTGTTGGTCCAGATGGCACCGGAGATGGTGGAACCAGCAGCACCGCCAACGGTACCAACGACGTTGAGAAGGGCAAGAGCAGTCGCAACGTGCTGGTGGTCGACAGCGGCCAGAATGGCAAGTTGCTCGACAATGATGAAGACGGCTCCACCGATGGAGATAAAGATCTGACACATAACGAGGTATCCGACGGATTGGTTGGGGCGACGGAAGTAGATCATCAGGCCCTGGGCGAAGATGTACAGAGGAACGGCAATATAGAGAATCCACTTGAAGCGGCCGGTGCGACGAATCAAGAATCCAACACCGATCAACAGAACACCGGAGACCACATCGAAGGTGTTGCTGACGTATCCAGCCTCGGAGATGGAGAGGTTGTTGACAACCTGCAGGAAGGAAGTGTAGTAGTGGTTCCAGCAGTAGTACGAGATCTGGTATGTGGCGTCAAGCAAACACGCGCCAATGACAGTGCGGTCTGACAAGATGCTGAAGTCGAACAAAGGTGTAGGGGCAAAGCGGAGCTCCCAAACCAAAAAGATGCCGAGCATGACAAAACCGACGACAATCATGGCAATGATATAACCGGAACCCCAGCCGTTGGGGGCAGAGGAGGCAATGCTGAATGGGAGGAAGAAGACAACAAGACCGATCGAGAAAATCACGACACCAAGGAGATCGAACTCCTTGGTATAGTGCCAAATACTCTCGAGCATGTTGCGGCCACTGGACTCCTTCTGGTAAAGTCCATTGGTCTTAGCCTTGTTGAGGTTGACCTTCAGGATGACATAGAGAGGGGAAGCCACGATGGGGAAGATGATAGAGAAAGCACCGAAGGCCCATCGCCAGCTGATGTCTTCGTAGAAGCCCTCTGCGGCCTTGGGGCCGGCGAAAGCGGTGATAATGTAGGGCGAGGAGGTGAAAGCGTAAGCAAGACCTCGGTTCTTCAACTTGGAAACATCGGCTGTAATGACATCCACACAGTAGGTCATACCTCCGAAACCAATGCTGTAGAACACGTAGGCCGCGCAGAAAGTGGGAAGATTGTGGCAAGCAGCCATGAGGACAAGACCGAGGGTCGCGAAAATGGTCATGACCAGGAAACCTTCAGCACGGCCCCAGACATCCATGACCTTAGCAGTGGGGATATAGACTGCGGCTGTCATGGCGTCTGCAACAATATAGATAACGTTCAGTAGCGAGTGGCTCTCAAAGTCACTAGTAACAAAGCCGAGCAAACTGTAGTTGATGGATTGTTGCATGGCATTGACGAAATACAGGAACCAAATGCTGTTGAACACGTTTGTTAGTATCCGAATATGATCCCACCAGTCGATCAGCCGGCGGAATCGAGCGGGAAAAAAAGCTTACTTTGCAAAGACCAGAATCAGTGTAGTCTTAGACCAGCTGAGAGTGACGGCCTCGAGGTCCTTGACACCCTGCTGGGTATCCTCAGTGGGAACCGCCGGGTTCTCCGCGGTCGCGGGCATGGCGGACTCAGCATCCTGGGGGATGTCCTGGTTCTTTTCGCCATTTGCAGTCACGGCGACTGGCACCACACTCTCCTGAGTTGAGGATCGCCGGAAGGCAGATCGAAGCCTTGAAACACCCATGATGATCAGGATGAAAAGGAATAGGTTGGATGAACTCAAAAGAAAAGCCACCGATCAGGAGAACGTCTGCCCTTATAAAAGTCAGAGATGGCTCTCTACTAGCGCTTCCGATGCGGCGCTTAATAAAAAATCACCGAGCTCGGCAGCTTGGTACAATCTTGGAAAACTAATGCACGCCACGCGGTGGAAAATAAACCCAACAAGCCTGAGTCTTGGCGATGTCTCAACTTGCCATTCGCCAGTCCGACAAGCGAGTCCTCCTCCGCCCTCGGTGTGGCTCTGGGGGCCAGGTAGAGGGGCGTTATCAGCCCACTCCAGCCCATGGCCAGGCTCGGGGGGTCCGAGGACTGAATCTAATCAGATGTTATAATAACTTTTCCTCATGCACGAGTAAGGATGCAGTGTTGGCAGGGCCAACCGGGGATGGGTCCGCTTCAAGCTTTGGGCGTAGTCGTGGAAGCTTCCTGGACAGGAAATTACCACGACAAGCGTGCCTTGGCACGGCATGCCAAGCTCTTGGCACATTCCATTCGCCGCGACAAGAGCCGGAAAATAACACACGACCAAGAATGAGATCGGATAGGCCCATATTGGGTCGTGGGGGCCAGGGCTAAGAGCTTCTTGGTCAGGAGCAGTGCGGTTTCACCCGAGGAGCCTCCATGGGCACGCACTAGTCGTAGTCGTTAGAGATATGCTGAAACACGGTCATTAAAGGACTGTGCTGGACGATCTTGATGTGCCATGTGTGTTAAAGTGCTGACCTCTCAATGTTGTTGTGAAGGTCAAGAGACTGAAAGGAGAAGGACCGAAAGATCCCATGGATACCAAATATGATACTCAAATACCAGATACCACAATACACGTAATATATTTCATTACAATCTGATAATTCTTCAAGCTTTGGTTCCAAGGTACTGCGTCCAGGACCCATGGAACGAACAATAAATTACAACTTCGAGTTTTTCCACGACGGAGACCGCTTCTCCACAAACGCCTGGATGCCCTCGGCGAAGTTAGGACCACCCACCAGACGAGGATACCACTGATCCGCTAGATCTGATACCGTGTCTTCCACACTGCCAGCTTCCCAACTCATCCGAACTCCGAGGCGACCGACAATCAGCGCATCGGGGCTATTCTTGCACATGGTTTCCGCGATCTCCACCGCAGCGCGGACGACATCGGCTGCATCCACCACTCGACTAATGAGGCCCCATTCCTGAAGGGTGGTGGCGTTCACGTTCCTGCCGGTAAGCACGAGGTCCATCGTCCGCTGGAGACCAATGGTACGAGTCAGTCGCGGCAGACATCCGGCAACTGGCACGATGCCTCGCTTGACTTCCGGGAGCGCAAAGACAGCGGAAGCAGAGGCCACAATCAGATCGCAGTTCGCCACCATCTCAAACCCTCCACCCATGCAGATGCCGTTCACGGCGGCGATGATCGGCTTCTTGCCCGTTCGGCGAGGCAATCCGGCCAGACCCGGGGCAGACATATCATTCACGACACCAGCCTTATTCATAGCGTTCCATTCTATTTCCGCGGTCAGCTTCGTATATTTTCACTCGTTTGGGACTTTTTTCTGTTTTTCTGTTTTTCTGTTTTTCTGTTTTTCTTTTTTTCTTTTTCGCATGGCGGACTCACCTCCGAGATCAGCTCCTGTGCAGAATGCCCGCCCAACACCGGTGATGATGGCCACCCATAAGCTTTCATCTGCGTCAAATTGCTCCCAGATTTTGGCAATCTCGTGACTCGTAGCCTTGTCGATGCAGTTCAACTTGTCAGGTCGGTTGATGGTTACCTGGACAACGCGCTCATGTGGAAAGGAGATATAGAAATTCTCATGGTTCAAGGGTCCTGATCGTAACGACATCGTGAAGTGCAGAAATGGGATTAATTGGGATATTTCTCTTGGGGTATAGGGCGTTATTGTACTAAGTCGTGTCGTATCAATCGGGACCTCGGACCTTGGCGGGTCGGACTGGGGCCCGTCCAGGTAAATGCCCATATGCCGTTCGCTAAATTCCGCGAAACACAGAGTCCTTCAGGAGCTGGCTGCTGGAATTCTCGGCCTCGGTTACTCCATTTCTGCAAGGATCGTCCTTTTTTTCAGGGTCTAAGGTCTGCATATATTGCGTCTGCCTCGCGCGGGGAACAGTGTCTCACTTTGTGTTTTTCTTATATTCGAAGCTGTCCCGTTGGCATTTCTGTCATTAACTATACCCCAAAATGGCCTCCAATGCACACCAATATCCGCTGGTCAAGCTGCCACATCCATACTTGACCTCATATCGTGTCAACACTGTCGGGGGATCGACACCCGCTAAGCGCACCCTGACACTCGATGAACAACCCACCAATGGCCGATCGTTGCCCAAATCATTGCATTCAGATGCGCTGTCCTGGCTCGACTTGACGTTCATCCCCAAGACCGAACAACCGCCTATCTCAGATAACACGCCCTGGGGCCGCGCCCGTCGCAGTGCGCAGACCGTTTTCCAATGGACGGGAAGCTCTGCGCCATCTCTGGCGCAAATTTGGAATGTCGTCCACGCAATCTATCTCGGCCACCCAACAATTGAATATTTCCGATTGACCTTGTCAGGAACAGGAAACGAAGTTATTCAAGAAGAGCTCCTGAACACAGGGCTGGCAATCAAACACCCCAGGAACCTCCGGGACCGCGAAAACAAGGCTCTGCAATTCGATGAGCTGCTGGTCCTCCGCAGCGCCTTCTGGCAAGGCGCTGCCTCCCCAATGGGTCCGCGTCCCATTTGGGTCGTGGGAGACGGCACAGACGGTCCTCTGCGCGAGCCGCTCTCGCAGTTCCCCGTCATGCCGGAGAACTACCAGATCACAAACAAGTTCCCCGAAGAGCCCGTGTATACGCGTCACCCTACCCGTCGCCCCAAGCCACACCCCGGGTCCATTGCGTACAGTCGCTACATCCCCGAGATCAATGAGCACTTCTCACTTGAGGTGGTGGACTGGGAGAGCGCCGAGCACGTTCAACTCTTCAACAAATGGCAGAATGACCCCCGAGTTGCCGCCGGCTGGAACGAGACTGGAACCATCGCAGAGCACACTGAGTATCTGCGCAAATTGCATTTCGATCCCCATGTGCTGTGCCTGTTTGGCCGCTTCAACGATACCCGCTTCTCCTACTACGAGCTTTACTGGTCCAAGGTATGTTTTTCGTTGATTTGATTTATAGACCCAGAGCTAATGATTCTCTCAGGAGGACCACTACGGAGCGCACTACGATGCCGGCGACTACGATCGCGGTCGTCACTCGCTCGTCGGTGACTCGAGCTTCCGAGGCGCTCACCGCGTGAATGCCTGGTACTCCAGCTGCATTCACTACGTGTTCCTGGACGACCCACGGACCGCCAATGCGGTGGGCGAGCCCAAGGCCACCGGTGCTACTATTCTCTCCTACGAGAACGCCCAGGGCTTGACTATCGGCAAATACGTCGACCTCGGACATAAGCGCTCGGTGCATTCCATCTGCAGTCGCGAAAAGTGGTTCCAGCTGTGTCCTCTCTTCTGGGACGGACGCGAGCGGCCTTTGGAATCCGCCGACCGCGCGGCGTGGAACGCCAAGCTGTAGATTTCTAGCGTTTGACATAGAATTGTTTAGCCCTCATTGTACGAAAAAGTGTACGCAATATCACGTCTTTGGATTCCTTGCCGATAATCTCCACATTCAAGACATGTGGGGTCCTCGGACTCCATTTCTCCTAATACGACTTATATCCACTCAGTTCCAATCAGATAAGTTGAAGACTCGAAATTTTCACGGTGTCGCGCTCACCGCAAGAACCATGTCGCATATGTAAAACAAGGTTGCTGTGGTACTTCCAAGGTTGAGATACTATGTATCCGACTATGCCCAAGTGTAACCCACCTATCCAGGGTCCACCTCAGGCTGGCAGTGATCAACAATATACAGTAGTATCTGTAAGAATTAAATGTCAATACCCGACTGTACTACAATGATGCTCTCACTTCGATAAATTACCAATTTCCCCCAAACCCCACTGGTAATGCGAAGCTCGGTGTTGTGTACGGTCAGGTATAGATTGCGTTTCCGGTTTCGAATACAGTCACATACGGACCGTGGGTGTATTAAAACTAGCGCGTTACGAGGACCACGGGCTGCCCCACTTCGATCAGATAACTCCGGACGAAAAGGAAATTCTTCAGTGGGCACTTGTCGGAGATCTCAACTGTCAAAACCGATGTCGGCTGATTTTTCGCCAAAAAATCAGATCGACATGAAAACCATCCTCAAATCCCTTTTGCATCCTCAAACCTTCTCGATTCTCGACCTCCTGGACCTACACGGGTTATAGCCGCCAGAACCGCTCCACCGAATGGAATCACGCTAAGGGGTGGATGCTGTTTTTCTCTGGTGACGCCACTGTCGAGCTAGCCAAGCGATAAATCGAACTCCGTCGCCAATCTCCCTTCTTCCACACTCGAACAATACGAAAGGCGTGGGATACGCCTTCATCGAGTCACCATGGGATTCGCCAAGCTAGGTAGCTACCCCAGGCTGCTCGTGGCCGCTGATCCGTCGCGCCTGGAGCTGGGGACGCTTTTTGTTGGTCTGGCATCCTCAATTGCTTCCGGTGTCCCCTTCCCCATCATCGGTATTATCTTCGGTCAATTGCTCGATGACTTCAACTCCGTCACATGTAGCGAGTCCTCTGGCGGGGGCTCCGACTCCGACGAACAAGGTGGCATTAACAGCAAGATTCTCCTGATTGTGTATCTGGGAATTGCCCAATTCGTCCTGATCTACATTCACTTGCTGTGCTGGACTATGACGGGCGCCCGTCTCGCGCAGCGCCTGCGCGAAAAGTATCTCAAGAACTTGCTTCGTCAAGAACCATCGTTCTTTGACAATTTGCCCGCGGGTGAGGTTGCCTCTCGTTTGAATACCGATATTCAGACCATTCGCTCTGGTACTGCCGAGAAGGTCGGAATCTGTATTTCCAGTTTCTCCTTCTTCGTCACTGCATACATTGTCGCGTTTATCAAGGATTATATTCTGGCTGCGATGTTGATTTCGCTCATTCCTGCGTACTTCTTGATGTCGTTCGTCGGAAGTCATTATATTGAGAAATACACCGGGCGCATGTCTGACTTTGCGGCCTCCGCCGCATCTATCGCCTCCGAGGCGCTCAACAACATTGTTGTTGTACAGGCCTTCGGCGCAAACAGTCGCTTGGAAGAGAAGTTTTCCAAGGCCTTGAAGGACTCTGAAACCGAGGGCCTGAAGAAGGCCACCGCTACCGGTATCCAAGCTGGTGTCTTGTACTTCATCGCGTACGGTGCCAACGGTCTCGCGTTCTGGCAGGGAAGTAGACGTATCGCAGATGCTGTGCGTTCCGGTACTGCCGGAGCTACTGTTGGATCTACCTTCACTGTCATCTTCGTTTTGGTTGAGGGTATGTTCTGGTATTCTTCTTCATGGAAACTTCACTAACACAACCTACAGCCACTCTGCTTCTGAGTCAAGTCGCACCCTTCATCCACCTGTTCACACAGGCTGTTGCTTCTTACCACAAGCTGCGCGATGATATTGATCGCCCATCGTTGATCGATGGATCCTCCACCGAGGGTATCCGCCTTTCTCAGGCAGAGGGCGGATTCGAATTCCGAGATGTCTCTTTCATCTACCCTTCCCGCCCCGAGATCACCGTCCTCAATGGTATCAACCTTTCCATCGCCCCGAAGAAGCACACTGCTATCGTCGGTCTCTCTGGAAGTGGAAAGTCCACCATCGCCGGTCTCGTTACCCGTCTCTATGATGCCACCGAGGGTGAAATTACCTTCGATGGACAGAAGCTCACCGAGTTGAACACCCGTGACCTGAGAGGTTTCTTGAGTCTTGTGCAGCAAGAACCTTCTCTTCTTGACCGATCTCTTTTGGAAAACATCGCCCACGGTTTGATGAACTCAAGCAACCCGGCTCATGCCCACCTCAAGCCCATTCTCCTTGGTACTTCTCTCGATGACCTCGCCACCGAGGTGAGGGAGGGTCAAGATCTCAATGCCGCCGCAGAGAAGCGCGGTGCCGAGGTCGTCGAAATTGTCGAACTGGTCCGCAAGGCTGCCGGTCTCGCTGATGCTGACGGCTTCATCGAGGCCCTGCAATACGGATATGCTACCATGGTTGGCTCGAGCGGTCGTTTGATCAGTGGTGGTCAAAAGCAGCGTGTCTCTCTTGCCCGAGCTCTTGTTAAGGACCCCGCTGTTTTGATTCTGGATGAAGCTACTGCTGCTTTGGATTCACGCAGTGAGCAGCGCATCCAGCGAGCTATCAACAACATCTCCACCGGCCGAACTGTTATTACTATTGCTCACCGTCTGTCTACCATTACCAACGCGGACAAGATTGTTTGCATGCACAAGGGTGACATTTTAGAAGAGGGAACACACTCCGAACTGATGGCCCAGAATGGACCTTACTCCGACCTCGTCAAGCTGCAGACTCTGGGAGCTGCGTCTGGCTCTGCTAAGAACGATACCACTGTGAGCATCGAGAGTGTCAGCAAGTCTGATGCTACATCTATCACCGATGTCGACAACGAGAAGGGCAGCGTGTCAAACGATGCTGAGCCCACCAAAGAAGCCGGTGTTTCCACCACCGAGGCTCCTGCCGGTGATTCCGCCGAGGAAGAGGAAGAAGAGCCCGAGACCCCACCCAAGACCCTTTGGGCCCTGTGCAAGGGGTACGCGCCGGCTCTCAGACCTTACCTGCTTGTCATCTTCGCTGCGCTTTTCGGTGCCAGCATGGTTGGTGGTGCCTTCTCCGGCGAGGCCGTCATTTTCGGAAACACCGTCGGAAGCTTGAACCCCTGCCACGGTGCAGCTGAAATCATGAACCGGGGTAACTTCTATGGTCTGATGTTCTTTGTGCTTGCAATCATCGAGTTCTTCGCCAACATCGTCAGCTGGGGAGGTTTCGGCTTCGTCGCTGAGAAGATCGTCTACAAAGTCCGTGTCTTGTCTTTCCGCTCCTTGTTCGAGCAGGATCTGCAGTGGCATCAATCTGCGGGCCGTTCTCCCGCTCTCCTCCTGTCTTACATTACTCGCGATGGTAATGCCCTCGCTGGCCTGAGTGGCTCTGTCGTCGGTACCCTGTTCTCCATCACTGTCAACTTGATCGCCGCCATCATCCTGACTCATATCATTGCGTGGAGAATCGCGCTGGTCTGTCTCGCCCTGGTTCCTCTTCTGCTCGGAGCGGGTCTCATGGAGCTGATGGTCCTTGGCAAATTTGAGGACCGCCACGAGAACGCCTACACTAAGTCGGTCGACATCGGCGTGGAAGCAGTCACTTCCATCAAAACAATTGCCTCGCTCTCCCTCGAGGAGAACACTCTCCAGACCTACCGCCGCTCTCTCAAGGGACCTCGCAAGGAGACCCTCAAGGTCACTTTGCAGGCGAGTTTGTGGCAAGCCATGACCTACTTCTTGGGTAACATGGTCAATGCCCTTGCCTACTGGTGGGGTTCCAAGCAGATCATCAACGGAAACTACACCCAAACACAGTTCCTTATTGTCGTTTTCTCCCTGCTGGTCAGTGCCTTGCTTTGGAGTCAGATGTTTGCTCTGGCGCCCGAGCTTTCTGCTGCACGATCAGCAGCCGCCAGAATTCTTGGCCTTATCGAGATCGGTAAGGACAAGATGAACGGCAAAGTCAAGGCCATCAAGGGCAAGGACGTCGAGGCAATCGAAGAGAAGCCCACATACGACTCCGGCAACAAGGCCTCGAGCGTTCAGCTCCGTGATGTCCACTTCTGCTACCCTGCCCGCCCAGACATGAAGGTCTTGAAGGGATTGAACGTCGACATCAAGCCCGGCAAGTTCTGTGCTCTGGTCGGTCCCAGCGGTGCTGGAAAGTCGACTATCATCTCCCTCGTGGAGCGTCTCTACACCCCTGAGTCCGGATCCATCATCATCGATGGCGTCGACGTGACAAAGACCACAGACGTGTCCTTCCGCGACTGGGTCTCCCTCGTGCCACAAGAAAGTGTCCTCTTCGAAGGCAGCATCGAGTTCAACGTCGGCCTCGGTGCCCGACCCGGACACGACGTCACCATCGAAGAAATCCAAGATGCCTGCAAGCTTGCCAACATCCACGATGTCATCATGGCCCTGCCGGATGGCTACCAGACTCTTTGCGGTCCTAGCGGTAACCAGTTCTCCGGAGGCCAGAAGCAGCGACTTTCCATTGCGCGTGCGCTTGTTCGCAAGCCTAAGCTTTTGATCCTGGATGAGTCTACCAGTGCCTTGGATGCGGAGTCTGAGAAGCTCTTGCAGGATGGTTTGGAGAAGGCTGCTCGTGGAATCACGGTTATTGCCATTGCTCATCGTCTCCACACTATTCGGAAGGCAGATGTTATCTTCTTGATCGATGGTGGTGTCTGCACTGACTCTGGATCGCATGATGAGCTCCTGGAGCGCTCGGACAGCTACAGGGCTAATGTCATGCACCAGACTGTGGCCACTTAAAATTTAGATTCTTTGTATATTCCCCTGACTCGTTTAATCATATTACTTTTTATTTTCACAAACTCCACTGTCCGCGTAGCCCTCAATAAATTATCGTAATTCCTGAGTTGGCTATATCTTCTCCTGAGGTCTTTGGCAAATATTTCAAGCAATGGGTTGAAGGCGAGGAAGCCTCAGACCTGTCCAAAGTTCATCACAATCGTTTGGAATATTTGAGTGACAGAAATTACAAACCTGCACTGAAATGAACAAAACATGTGTTGGATCAGATAAAGAGGAAACGAATAAATGACTATCAAAATCTATTGGCTATGAAAAATTAAGGTCTATACCACTCAAACACTGAGGACCAAAGGCCCAGCCTGACACGCCGACAACTCTTGAACAGCGGCAGCCAATTCATCAAGAGTGGCATCCACAAACGCAGCATCCCTCTCACTTCCAACGAAACCAACATGCATCTTACCCCCCTTAACAAAAGAAACAGCCTTAAGAGGATAAGCAGCATCACCATGCGGGTTCGAGATATCAACCTTGGCAGAAGATCCAGCAAAAGGCATATCATCGAAATCCTCCCAGTCCTGGTGATGGACGATCGAGTCGAAGGATCGCATCTCAGACGACCACTGCGCGCACTGCTTGGAGACCTTGTCGAATCCGAGGAAATCGTGGGCCGCGGATTCGGCGCTTTGCTTCTGCACGAAGCGGAGGAGGTCCATTGCTGTCCAGTCGGAGTTGAATTTGACTCGCACGGGGGTCAGTTGGTAGCAGGGGCCCATGACGTTTTCGACGTTTGCGAGGTCGATGGTTCGGCCGGAGGTTACGGTGCCGAATGTTACGTCTGGTTTGCTGAGACGGCGGGCGAGGACGAGGGCCCAGGCTGCGGTCAGGACTGTGGCGGTTGTGATCTCTTCCACGGGTTGGAAGTTCTCGACTGGCTTTTCGTGGAAGATGGCCTTGTCGGTTGGGTGGACGGTGGGTCCGTCGAGGACGGACAAGGATGAGTCCTTGAGTAGGTTGGTCCAATAGTTGACGGCTTGTGTTTGAAGGCGTCCATCGGAGATACGAGCGACGTATGACGCGAATGGTTCGAAGTCGACGACCTTGCTTCCCTTGTACAGGGTCTCCAGGTCCTGCAGGAGTCGAGGCAGTGAGACACCGTCGTATTGGGCGTGTGAGAGACCGAGCACAAGACACTGCTTTCCATTCTCGCCTGCGACATGGAAAATCTTGAAGAATGGTGTCCCGAGTTCGAAGTTGGACTCGATGTCGGATTTGCAGACATCACTGACGTACTTCTCGAGTTCTTGGTCTGTCTTGTGCATGGCAACATGAACAGAGGCCTTTTCAAGGACGACCTGAAGGAAGCTTGATTCGTGCTCGACGAAGACTGTGCGGAGAATGTCATGAGTCTGCACCAAATCATCGCATGCGCGCAACAACCGATCGGTGTCAATGCTCTGGTCAAAGTACAGCATGGTGTACTGGTAGGAGGTGCGTGGTGCACCAACAGTTCCTCTGATGTCGAGGGCCTGTGAGTCTGTAACGGGAGAGACATCTTGGACTGGCCATCCCGGGTTCGCAAGCTTGGGTCGGACAGTTGAGGCCAGGAACATCTTGACGTCCAAGTTGCTGAGAGCAGCGAAAGGCTTGTAAGGTTGTACGTTGGCGGTTGCCTGGTCCACTCGCAACACCTTGGCAGCATCACCAAGACGCATGTGTTGGAAGATGTCACCGACTGAAAGACTGTGTCCGTCGGTTCTGAGGCTGGAAACCAACTTCATCGCCAAGACGGAGTCACCGCCAAGACGGAAGAAGTTGTCATCGACATCAATCTTCTCAGAGCTGAGTCGGAGGATCTTTGCCCAAGCGGCCTGCAGAATCTTCTCTGTAGGTGAAAGCTTTGCCTGGGCAATACCCTTAGTCCATGCGTCCTTCAAGCCCTCGCGGGCCTGATCGAGCATGCTCTGAGGGATCTTTGCGGCCAATTGATTAAGCAGGTTGTGGTCGAGCTGCTCCAGCTCAGCGGGCAACTTGTTGACCACGACGTATGCCGAGGGGGCCATGTAAGAAGGCAATGAGTCGCGGATATACTTATCAAGCTTCTTGAGAGACACGGCAAGCGTGACAGGGATGGTATCGCAGATGATGGCATCACTGCCAATGATCTGGTACTGCTCTGCCAGAACCTTAACAGTCTCCTCTTGCGACGAGATGTTCTCAACGAAGACAACCAGTTCTTGCTCCGTCACCTTCTGCGAGCCCTCCCTCAAAGGCTGGAACACCGACGCAGCAGCTCGGGTCCCCGTTGGAAGATGCTTTGCAAAGTGGCTTTCAAGGTCAACAATATCCACTGCATGACCCTGGAGTGGCACAACATTCTCCTTTCGGCCAACGAAAATGAGGCTGCCATCGTCTTGGAGCTGCACAATGTCGCCCGTGGGTTGCAATTTCCCAGATCGACCAGCACTGCCGGAGCTACCAGCCGTGAGCCAGGCAGGGGACTCGGTTGTCTCTCCAGAAAGGCAAGCGCCCTCGAGCCAGAGCTCACCAGCACTGCCAATGGGAGCCAGTAGAGCAGGGTTGCGAGCGTCACAGACCCAAGGAATCACTGCGCGAGGATAAACCGATCCTTGCTTGGCAGTGACATTTGCCCGAAGGTTGCCAGTTGACTCGTCGACCGACAAAGGAGGGACTTGGTTCCATTGCCAGATCTGATCGATCTCCGCTTCAGGCAAGCAGGAGATCTCATCGATTCTCTTATCAAGACCCCGGGACAGCTGCACGCAGGCAGTCTCAAGTTGAGCGAGGACGCGCTGCATCTGCGAGCCTTCGATCAGAGTGCTGTCAAAGCTTGCACAGACTCTGAGTCCTCCCTTGCGGATTCCAAACGCCACCATGAGCGGGTACGGGTTGAAGTGGAGGGCTTCGCGAACAACATCGCCAAGCTCGAATCCAAGCTCACTGCCCACGTATTCGGGATCGGGCTGGATGACCAGACCTGTACCTGCCTCACATGCATATTGGGCATCTTGGCTGACCTTTCTGATGTTCTGCATACCCATATGTTGGTAGGGTGTGCGAGCCAAGATAGCCTGTTGAACAGTCTGCAGGTAGTCTTCAACCGAGCTGGAACGGCGGACGTGAATTCGGATCGGAATGGTCGCGATGAGAGGTCCAACAATGCTCTCAACACCTGGCAAGGAAATGTCACGACCAGTCAGTGTCTCGCCAAACACGACATCATCACTGCCAGTGTACTGCGATGCGACCAGAGCCCAGGCACCGCGGATCAAAGTCGCCATCGTGAAGGGTGATCCAGCACCGGTCTCGAGGTCGATTTGATGCTCAATCAGACCTGTGGGGGTGGGCACGAAGTCTCTGGATGGCAGACGGGGGAACTGGGGACCGACGGCGCCCTTCAGTTCCCGTCTCCAGAATTCATGCATGGCAGTCTCGTCTGTCTCGCGGACGTATTTGACGAAGTTTCGCATTTGGGTCTGAATCTCGACAGATTCTCCCTGCAAGGCATCGCTCACCTGCTTCAGCACAATGGGCTCGGACCATCCGTCGTAAAGGACGTGGTGCACAGTCCAGATCATGTACCGCTTGCTATCAGCTTCACTGGTGACAATGCCGTAACGAGCTAAGCTTCCGCCAAGGTCCATGCGCTCAGTTCGGTCGTCTTTCAGGTATTGTTCGAGATCGCTGGCGTATCTCCATGAGATGCCTTCCTTTAGGACAATCTGCTGAAGACCGGGGTCCTGGAGCGGTGCCAGGCGAGAGCGCAAGATGGGGCTTGCTGCAACGACCGCTTCCCATGCCTTCTTCCAGGCTTCGGTGTCAATATCGGATGGGATGCATGCCACTCGTTGGGCAATGTAGGCCTTTGTTGACTTGAGCGAGAAGGTGAAAAGGGACTCCTGAGTGGGGGTGCAGAGATAGATGTCTTCGACGTCAGCCTGAGGAACTCCACAGGCTTCTGCTGCTTCAAGAAGGGCACTTTCCTTCGATTGAGAAATCAATGAGAAGGGTGGGATCTCCACAGTCTCCTGAGAAACACACGGTTGGACCACACCGGCCATAGCTGCCAGGGTAGGGTTCGCAAATGTGCTGGTAACAGAGAGATCGAGATCCTGGGATCTGCAGGCAGACACGAGTCTCATCGCTGCCAAAGAGTCACCGCCCAGAGCGAAAAAGTTATCGCCAGGACGGATACTCTCAACGTCGAGCTTGAGGACCTCACCCCAGCTCTGGCGGAGCCGCTGTTCGAGCTCGGTCAGCTCTCGGGAAGCCGTGCTGGCTGCCTCTTGGTCAAGTTGGCGCAGATCGACCGCCGCACCAAAGGCTCGGAGTTGCTTGCGGTCGGTCTTTCCGGAAATCAACACTGGAATCAAGTTGACGGGGATGTAGGTCGTTGGCACCATGTACCGTGGCAAAGTCTTTGATACTTCCTTCTGGGCATTGGAAAGAATTTCGCTCAACTCGCTGGAAAGCTCATCGAGAGCAAGCTCGGTTTGGCCATGTCCCTTAGGCTGGAAAGCAACGAAAGCCACCAGCATGGGTTGACCGCCATAATCCTTGGGCGTGATAACCTCGGCGATGATGTTAGCCTCCGCAGGCAGCACAGCTGTGTGTTGACTCTCAATTTCGCCAAGCTCGACACGCTGACCGCGTAGCTTGACCTGGGTATCTTTGCGTCCGACGAAGACAATGCCTCCCAGTCCGTCTGGGTCGTATCTTCCAAGATCTCCTGTCTTATACAAACGACCCCGACGACCAGTGTATTGCTTGTGGCCTGCGACCAACCAAGGGGGGTCGTTGATGAATGAAGCGGCAGTCTTCTCAGGATCGTTCAGGTATCCCTGGCCGACGATTGGGCCTTCGACAAGAAGCTCACCAACGCCGCCGACGGGAACGAGCTCGTTGTGGTCATTGGGGTTGGCAATCCACATAGCTGCTCCATTACCGGGGCCGATCGAAAGGTAGTCCCGGCCTGTGGCGGCGCTGCTGTTAACTGTGCATCCAATGGTGCACTCACAAGGACCATAACCAATGATGATTCTGGTTTCCTGGCCCCAGTGGTTGGCATCCCTTGCGGAGACAGCCTCGCCTCCTAGACCGAGACCACTCAGGGATGCAATGACATCGCTATCCAAGATGCGGCCTACTGAGGGAGTAAGACCGGCATAATTAATTCTCATCTTTCTGATCACCTCGTTGATGTCGTTGAGTCGGTCCTCGTCTGAGGGAATGCATAAACATCCACCGTTTCCGAGTGTGAGAAGCATGCTATCGATACTGACATCGAAAGCGTAGGAAGCAAAGTCGAGAACTCTGGACTCTGGTGTGTACCCAACTGCCTTTGCTCGAGGGATGGCACTGCTGGTATAGGTTTCGTGGGAAATCTTCACTCCCTTGGGCGTACCGGTACTGCCGGAGGTGAAGATGATATACATAAGCGTGGATGGTGGTACCGCAGGGAGGGTGTCGACAGATGACGAGGCCTTGAACGCATCTTCTTCGACAACGAAATGCTTGCCTTCCGGCATGATGGTCAGAGACAGCTCATACTGCTTCCGGGACGCGACCATCGCCTTCGCACCGACCTGCACGGCCATGTTCTGCAGGCGAGCCAACGGAAGTGTCGGGTCCATAAGTGCAAGTGTTGCACCTGCTTTCATCACTCCGAGTACGGCCACAATGGTCCATCTGGATTTCTCAAAGCAGACTGGGAGAACATCGTGCAGCTCGACGCCCATTTCCTTCAGCGAGCATGCGACGGAGGTGGACCACTGGTCGATTTGACCGTAAGTTAGACTGCCATCCCATGAATCGATGGCAATCTTGTCTGGGTGCTCGCGAGCTCGGTCAGCGACCATTTCTTGCATGCAGAAGCTGTATGTGGGTGGCAATTCATGGTTCCAGCTCCAGATGTCGTTCAGATCGCTTGCAGTTGGTTTCAAGCATTGTGCGATGGTTGCATCGAAGTTCCTGATGCAGACTCTGATCGTATCTGCCAGAGCCTCTACATGGTGATTCACTGTGTAGGGCAGCATGTTTTCAGTCTGCCATACCGGGCGGATTTCGACATTCCCCTTGTTCATGCGGACTTCGAGGTGAATTGCGCCCTTATTGATATTAGCACTGCATCAACTCGGTATCTCGCACACATACTTCGTCTTTAATTGTTTCTGCGGTTCGCACAAGCGAACTTGTGCTCAGAATGATGGAGCCCGAACTTGACGAACCCGGGAGAGTTCGCACAATCGCGGCCGCCACTTCCCCGACATTACTCTCGAGCCCTTTCATAACTTCGTTCATGGACAATTTATTAATGCGTTGGTCATTATCGCCAGTGTACGACCAGTCGTAAGATACTTGACTATCTTCGCGGCTCCGTAGTAGAACCATGAGCCACGACAATAGAACAATCTCTTCTTTCATGCCTGTCGGTGTCGTTTCACTGGTCAGTTCTTCAATATTGAATGAGCTGAAGTCGTCATTGTGCTTGACTCCATTTGTGGGCTCCAGGAGCGCATCTTGAGATATGAAGCCCATTCTGACCAGCACCGCTGCTCTGATGTGAAGAGTTGAAACTTGGCGGAGGTCTCGGGAGTGGTATGGACCTATATAGCCAGATATCCACGGTTTGAATTACCCACTGTGTATGTATACTGCGAATATTTCACATCGTCACCGAGACCGGCTGTTGCGGGGTGCAATTGCAGTTAGGCCCTAGGGAATGCGAAATTCAATACGAGTCTCCACCCGGCCCACAACCTCGGAGAAAAATGGAACTTGAAAATTGAATATGCCATGGGAAATAAAATTAATTATTCTCTACTATACTGTACACAGTAGCAAAACCGCGCTCGGTGCGCCGTCGAGAATGCTAGTACTCCGTACAGATGTCGTACTTTGCCCAGGTGTACTAGCCTTGGGTCCGAGCATTTCCTGCAGCCTGGACTAAGCTCGCGAGAACAAGGGTACGGAATAGGAATCCAGCACCGAGGTTTCAGACTCGAGCGATGATCCTGCGTCTCAGTCGGAATAAACCGATGTGTAAATCCAGATCTGTCATTCCGAGACCCATCTGGACGATCGCGCGGTTTTGCCCCTAGCTCCAACGCTCCCAGTTTTTACTGTAGTTCAATGCAGTAAGGAGAACCGCATGGGCCGCAATAAGCGTGCATTAATCCAAGCCACTGCAATTAGCGAAGAAAAAGCAAAAAAACGGGGGAAAGCCCCGCGCACGTTCTCGAGCTCTTGGCTCGCTTGTAGAAAGCCATTGTCGGTTTTCGTTGGTCCCGGCCTTGAGTGCCACTTTGTGTCCACTCGGGTATATTAACTTCGTGGCCTAACGGGCATTGCAACATCGCCTGCAGTAGCTTATTGGAGTTGATGTTCACTTCAAGACCCTGACTTTGCGTACCTGCAACCTCTCTCGGTAAGGATCATCTTGCATTCAGCCTTAGCTGACAAGCATTACCAAGACTGTTCATCAGAAATCTTGTGGAAGGATTCGAGTCTTACCGAGCTAGAATTTTCCGGCGGGGCTATCTAATCAGATTCCCCTGCGGTCGACCAATCAATCTAATCTGATCCGTTGATCTTGCCATCTGCGGTTGGTGTGACCACGCCTGCATACGTACCAAGCACTTAGTCTGGGAAGTGGAGTGTGGCTGGCCAATGGTGATCCTGGAAGAACTTAGCGTTGTGTTACGCTTGTACTAGGCAAAAACAAGGGAGCAAGGGCATGTGTATTGGTTATTTCATTTTTACAGTATTGGTAAAACGAATATATCCCTTGAGAAAACGGAATACGTGAAAAACGGCTAGAAAACACTTTTCATTACCCATTACATAATGTTCCCGGTACGGTAATCTGATTGATAAGATGACATGAAACAACCCTGGAAGTGGGTTGGACTCGGTTGCGACTTGCCGCGAATGCCCACACTGTCGTCACGGAAAGACACATAGCCGATCCCGGCAAATCGTTCGATCTCTTTTCCCCTCGACACCTGCATTCACTGTACACACACTCACACTCACACACACACACACCTACGCACATCATGTCGAAGTTCTGGCCCAAGGGAGGTCTTCCCGGTATTCTGCACCACTACGTAAGTCCCAGAGCTCAATCCAAACTCAGAATCTGCAACTGACAAGCTCCAGACCGAAACCCTCGTCGCGTTCGAATATGCCTCATCCACCGTCCGCCAACCACACAGTCTCCTCTTCGTCGGAGGTCTCGGCGACGGGCTCGCGACAACCTCCTACATGGCCGACCTTGCGCGCGCATTGCAAAATTCCGAATGGTCCCTCTTCACTCTGAACCTCACATCCTCATACCAGTCCTGGGGACTGGGACACTTGGATCGCGACACCAACGAGATCGCCCAGTGCCTCGAATACATTAAAAGCTACAAGGGCGACAAGTTCGGCGGAGGCAAACTCGCCATGATGGGCCACTCAACCGGTAGTCAGTGTGTGCTGCACTATCTCTCCCAGGCGAACCCGCACACAAACATCCCTGCCTTCGACTCCGGGATCGAGCACATTAAGCGACCTGCTCTCGATGGCGCGATCATGCAGGCCCCCGTCTCTGATCGCGAGGCTATCTTTTGGGTGCTGAAGTGGGGTATTGGTGATACGACGCCTGAGAAGGCGCGCGCGACATATGATGAGATGGAGAGATTGGCTAGGGAGGCTGTGGCTGAAGGCAAGCCTCATGATACTATACTGCCTCTCTCTTTGACTTCCATGATCTACCCCGCCAATACCCCGATCAGCTGTCGTCGGTTCTTAAGTCTGGTTAGCCCGGAGAGTCCTCAGGCGCCGCAGGAGGATGACTTATTCAGTTCGGATCTGAGTGATGAGCACTTTGGTACCACTTTTGGTGAAATCCAGAAGTATGGCCTGCTGAAGCACAAGCTGATGGTGCTTATCTCTGGGAAGGATCAGTCTATCCCTGACTGGGTTGATAAGGAGAAGATGCTGGCCAGGTGGAAGAATGCTACCGACCACGCGGGTAAATATGAGATCTGGGATGATAAGCACAGTGGTGTCATTCCTAATGCGTCCCACGCGTTGAGCAATGATGACCAGGCCGAGGCTCGGCAGTGGCTTGTGGGGAGAGTGTTGGGTTATCTGAAAACAGCCGAAGAGAAGGCATAGACATGATACACAATAGACATATATACCATACCCGAAATTCACACTTCGTGACACTGTTATAATTAATGAGGTATATATCGATTTGTATCCCGGCAGGAACTTGGTGAGGTGGTCTTCGTCCAGTAGCGTCATGACACGCCCTGTCGAGGCGGATATTAAAGTGAGGCAGAAGCAAGCAAGCAAGGGAATGACTATCGCTGCTGTCATCCGCCAATACGAAGTAAGTGTGGGCGAAGTACTTTTGTGACGGTTGTAGGATTCTTCCAAGTTGGAATGCGGTTCCCATCGTCGATTGTCATCATCATCATCAAATTGATCCAGTATACGGATAGCTCAAGCTGGTCAGTATCGAACGCGCCAGCCCCAGCTGTCGTGCTCATGACTCCATGGTGTGTTGTAAACAGGGTTCTCGCCCGCCTCTCAGTTGGTTCTGACATTCCTTATTTCCGCAGTGGATGACTTTAATTCGTACAGCTGTCACATCACCAGTCGAAATGGTTTCTCGCCAGGGGCATGACAATTTGTGTGAACGTAGGATCGATAGTGCCTTGGTTAACCAATATCGAGCGACCCAATGAAGTAACATCAGAAGTTCAAAATGGTGTCGTTCTATAAGAGCTGGGAGCTTCGAATCGTTAGAGACACGCCAACGATGGAATGGAGTTTTGTCAACACTTACTTCTCAAGGCTTGTTCTTCCCTGCACATCCAGAACAACTTCAACTCGGGTAATGGGTCATAAGGGATAGGGATGATCTTCATCGCGTTCTCAGTTACTATCGCGATACAAACGCAATGCGACTCGGAGTAGGACATGTTGGGCATGGATGGAATGAAATACCCTTGGGCCATATCGGAACCCCGGTGAAGTGATACATGCCCAGTGATGCGCATTGGAAAGCTCAAGTTTGAGATCCGCCAGCATTATCACGCCGAAAACAAAAGCAAGAGTTAAGAAATGACGGGACCAGTTTCCTGCCAGACGTGTCTGGGGCTTTTCAATGCATTCTCAGTTTGGCTGGTCAAACTGTTCCCTCACTGGACTTCTCTGAATTTCTTTCTTCCAGCTACAACTAAAGTGAGCCATCATGGGAGCTTTCACTTCTTTCCTTACTCACTTGCTACATCTCATCCTTAACACCCAGGCCTCTCCTTGGGTAAAGGGTCACGTTAGGGTTTCCGCACGAAAAAAGATCGGATGTTAGCTTGACATCACCTTATTCTTTAGACGTTCCTTCCCTCTATCCCACCACGCCGAGGCACCAAGAGGACCGAAACCATACAGATCCAGATCAAGAACTTGAGTCAGGAGTCAGCCATCAGAAAACAGCTGGCTACCAGCCAAGAAAAGACTTCCGTAATGGAAGCGGCCTGGCTAAGGCAAAACGGCGCGGACCAAGCGTGTCTACCCAGGCAAAGGCGGCTACTGACCCAAATGTTATCGGATTGAAACTGGCGGCTGATGAGCGCAGTGTGGCCCAGAAATAAAATGTGATCCAAGCAGCCTTGAATGGATTTCACCGTGTCATGGTGGATTTCACTAACGCTACCATCGATCACCTCTTGGCCGAAGAAGAAGATGACTCTGTACTGGCCAAAGATGACCAGATGTCGGGCCACCCCTGACCTTCATCAATGAGCGAGAATACCAGGCGATTCAATCTATTGGATTGCTGCGGGAGGCCTCTGTGTCAGACGGCCGATACGATCGCCAGTTTAACCGCGAGTCAACCTCCGACATGGCCCCTGCCTCAGCAGTCGAAAGTGTGGAGATGCCATGATCAAACGACACCTATCACATGGCTTTTTCGGTTCAACCCCTGGAATCAGAGGTCAATATGGAGAAACCCTTACAACTTCCAGAGATATGCACAGCAATCACGGGTCAAAGAAGGGCCTCGAACCGGACTGGACCCGGGCGATCTGTATGCATTCGGGGATTCTGAGAACCCAATGATGATCCGGACCTTTCACAGTCGCCAAGATGGACATGTAGACCTTCGCCATCTAATTCATGACATCGAAGAGTATGTCAAACGTTAATACACCTCCACTTTTGCTTTACTTCGAGCTCATGCTGGGGCCCACTAGGCATTTTCATTGATCCGTTTCAACTCATTGCCTCATTCTCTCATTGCAGCCACTGCGAGAGCCAAGAGAGCTCCGGAGTCTCAAAAGACAGCACCAAAGGCTGAAATGGGCAAGGCAAAAAGGAGCAAGGCCTCAACAAAATCCGGCGCTTGAAGCTCGAGTCGCAGAAACAGGGAGCTGGAGATCAATTCCCCGCAAATCCAGGGCTAGGTTGAGTGCTAAGCTCAAAGACTTCTAAACAACTGCATGGAGCGCACAACCTGGCTACAGGTTGAGCAGTTGGAACTCAGTGTGTGGAAAGATGATGTTTCATTAACTAGGTAGCTTGCGCTAAAAGAGGCGCATGTGACAACAGGAGGTCGCACCAACACGACTGATCAGCTAGGCGAATGTTAACGAGCAAGCCGCAAACTCTTGCGAAAGCTCACCTGTGAACCAATCTAGGTACCGGGCAACAGTCATGGATCATATAGACAATGTCATACTGGCATGTCTATCCAAGGCCCCATCAAGCAGCAGGCACTAGCGTCTATGACCCAAACGAGGCTTGCTATTGGGATGCGACAAACAACGGCTGAACAGAAGTCTAACAAGAGCCAAAGCGTGGCGAGCGCAAAACCAGGAACGGAGACATGCCATCAGACGTTGCGCGAAGAAGCAGCGCGTAGCGGGAGGTAATGTCTTGCCTAGCTCTGCGCTACGTACATACCTAGGTAGGCTAGGGGTCATATCCACGGGTGGAGTCACTCCCCGTCTTCCATTGAACAAAATATATTGGTCATCATCATCATATTTTCACTTGGTATCTAACTCAACGCAGTCGACTCTCTATACATAAGCCGCGTCTATCCAACATTCAAATATACAGGCTATTTACTGCTTGTCGGGGAAACCGAAGTTCACCCCGAAGGGAGGGTAGACAAAGCGCTGAAGCTTGCCCTCGGCCTGAAGACCGTCACTGTACTTGCGCAGAGTGGCCATGTCCTCGGCGTCCAAGTGGATCAAGTCGGCACGGTTGGCCTCGATACGGGCTGGGGTGACAGACTTGGCGAGGACTGAAGATCCACGGGCGACTGAAAGACCAGTTAGTTCATGATTTCTTCAAAATGGAGAATGGGAACTTACTGTGGTAGCTGAGGAGGACAGCGGCGGGAGTGACGCCGCGCTTCTCGGCAATCGAGACGATGGGCTCGGCGGTGAACATGGGGCTACCGGTGCTGCCCAGAGGGCTGTAGGCGGTGATGTGAATGCCGACCTTGTTGCAGAGGTCGACGATCTCCTGCTGAGGCAGGGAAGGGTGGTTCTCGATCTGGTTGGCGGCCGGGATGATGGTGGCCTGAGGCAGCAACTCCTCGAGGTACTTGACACTGTAGTTGGAGACACCGATGGCGCGGACCTTCTTGGTGCCAACGAGCTTCTCCATGCTCTTCCAGGTGGTGACATGGGAGTGGCTGTGGATAATGTCGCGAGAGCCATCGGCCAGCTTGGGGAAGAGGTTGTGGTTACCTGGAACGGGTCAGCGCTTGGCAATTATATTCAAAGAACACTACTCACCCTTGGAGTTCATGGCAAGGGGCCAGTGCATGAGGTAGAGGTCGACATAATCGAGACCAAGGTCAGTCAGACTCTGCTGCAGGCCTTCCTCGACACGGTCGTGGTAGGAGGACCACAGCTTGGTGGTCACGAAGAGGTCCTCACGCTTGACGATGCCAGCGTCAATGGCCTCCTTGATACCCTGACCGACCTCATTCTCGTTGCCGTAGCACAGAGCAGCGTCAATGTGACGATAGCCCACCTTGATGGCGTGGGCAACAGCGCGGGCCACCTCGCCGGGCTGGGATTGCCAGGTTCCCAGGCCCAGAGCAGGGATCTCCGCACCAGTGTTGAGCTTGAAACGAGTATCACAGGCAGCCATTTTGAAGATGTCGAACAGGAAAAGATTATTTACAGAAGCAAAAGGGAAACAATAAGAAGAAAGCGTCTCGTAGTAAAGGACCCCGAGGTCCCCCACGCGGGGTTCCCCCGCGTCGGCAAGTCGGGTAATTTTCCATCAATCACCATTTCCTTCTTTCTGCCCTCTTCTGTGCCTGTCGCAGCTGATTTACGTTTATCCGTGTCCTCTTTCCATCGCGCATTTGGAGATCAACAGGGCGTCCCCGCAAACCAGGTTCCAGGCAGAGGGCATGAGTCAGCAGCGGAAACCGTCTTCCAGAACTCGCCGTTCGACTGCCCCTCGACTCCACTTGACATCAGCGACTCTCCACTCTGAATGAGGGCTGCAGCGGCTGCCAATCAGCGAGGCTCCTGGGTAGCGCAGACCAAACCTTCGTCCAGTACGGAAGCCAGAATCCGTGATGTTGCACAGTGATGATTCCCATCCCGCATAATGGGGTGGAATCAGGGCAACTCGGGGCAAATCATGGTAATTCCTGGGGTAATCCTCGGCGCACAACTGTCTGAGATCGGAAATCTAGACGCGATTTGCTCTTACATGCTCTTTCGGCACCCCAGAGCCTATATATACGCTTCCATCCTGTGATCTGGTCGATTACTTCTCAAGCCTTCCTTTGATAAGCAAACAATCTCATTTGACGAGACTGGAAAACTCAAAATCAAAGATACTTGAAACAAAAGCACACTTCCACATCCCTTCACAATGGCCCCAGTCGCCGTCTCCCCACAAGCCACCCCCGTCTTCAACAAGCGGGATGGTCAGGCACTCGAGGACCTCTCCGATGCCATTGACGAGGTCAACGTCCTCAAGGACATGAAGAAGCGCGAAGCCGAGAAGCTCGCCGAAGACAAGGGTCTCTACGACGAGTCCGAGTTCGACAAGGAGAAGGACAAGACCAACTTCCGCCAATACGAAGATGCCTGCGACCGCGTGAAGAACTTCTACAAGGAGCAGCACACCAAGCAAACAGTTGCATACAACCTCAAGGCACGCCACGACTTCCACAGCAAGACCCGCGCCGAGATGACCGTCTGGGAAGCCATGGAGAAGCTCAACACTCTGATCGACGAGTCCGACCCAGACACCAGCCTCTCCCAGATCGAGCACCTCCTCCAGTCCGCCGAGGCTATCCGCCGTGACGGCAAGCCCCGCTGGATGCAACTGACCGGTCTGATCCACGATCTCGGCAAGCTGCTCTTCTTCTTCGATGCCGAGGGTCAGTGGGATGTTGTGGGTGACACTTTCCCCGTGGGCTGCGGCTTTGACGAGAAGATTATCTACGGACGCGAATCTTTCGTCGACAACGAGGACTACGGCCACAAGATCTACGATACCAAGTACGGTATCTACAGCCCTGGCTGTGGTCTTGATAAGGTTATGCTCTCCTGGGGTCACGATGAGTACCTCTACCACATCGCCAAGGAGCAGTCGACTCTCCCCGATGAAGCTCTCGCTATGATCCGCTACCACTCCTTCTACCCGTGGCACAACCAGGGTGCCTACCACGAGTTCATGAACGAGCATGATCGCGATATGCTCCGTGCTGTCAAGGCTTTCAACCCCTACGACCTGTACAGCAAGAGTGATGGCATTCCTAGCATCACTGAGCTCAAGCCTTACTACATGGAGCTCATCAACGAGTACTTCCCCACCAAGGTTCTCCGGTGGTAGATTTCTGTCCGCCTCGAGGCGCCTTTGTTATCCTTTTTTCTTATGATTCCCCTCTGGACTCCTTGGGTCCATGAAAATATCCATGGTACTTACTATCAATGACATGAAATGAGCGTTTTTCTAGAAATACACTGTATCTTTCCAATTCCAGCCCTAGTATCCCGCAGTATCATGTAGATCGCCTCTGTGTTTCTAAGTTTCACTTCTTCGACGTGCCAGCTGGGTTGTACATACATCCATGCCAGGTGGAGATAGCGAGGCTAAACCCTGACTTTTGCCGGGCGGCCGCCCGACTACACCCAACATTGGGATACTCCCAAGCCCTTTTTACGCCCCACTGTCGCCAAGGTTGAAGCTATCCCTACCCATTTACGATGTCAAAGTCCGACGAAATATTGATAATGTTTCTAGAGATCAAGTCATACCCGATTCCGTCAAAAGGCTGCGATTGAAGGATAAAGACTTTTTCCTCACATATCCAGTCAATCGTGCATAGCGTCAGTGACTTGCATTCAACGTATTCCGAATTTGGTCGGCAGCAAGTTCCGAGACAGTATCAGGCTGGTATTGCCCGATGTCTCACTCGACCTCGTCCCAGATCCCATTCGCCATGTCGAATGCAATGTCATTGAACTGGTCAGGCGTCAGCTCGTGTGACAGGGTGACTCGAATCGAATATGTGGTCGCCAGGACTGAATCCAGCTCCAATTTCTTCTTTTCGACCACCTTCATGATGTAGCATAGGATTGCCTCCATGGGGAAAGATCGTGATGCACGGAAACTGCACTCGGCGGTGTCAATGTGCACACTCTGAATCCGGATGTCGACTGCCGGTGGACCCATGTACTCTTGATGATCGCCGTCGGCTGCAATTTTGATTTCACCGGTGGCACGATCACAGTACTTGCCATCCACGACTGGTGTTTTTCCCTCGTCGTGCCAGCCAGGGGCGTGGAAGGACAGGGGATGGCTGGTGGACATGGTCGAGGTGGAGTGGGATGGAATTTGTAGGTTTTGTTTATTGTTTTGGCCCGGAGGTAGTGAATGCGATGGAAAAGGGAAGAGGAGCGACTTGCTTTTATATCCAGTCGAATGCGGGGGATCAGGTGATACAATTCGAGATCCCTGGAGGTACCTACTACGTAAAGTAGGCAGCATCATACACAGGCTTGAGCCCAGTCGTGAGGGTTCGAGCTGGCAAACCACCAGTTGACGCCACCGGCAATGATTGGTCGATGAGAAAACATCCCTGCATCTATAAAACAAAGCCATATCCTTGGCGGTTCCTAAGCATGGATTAGCTTCTACGTGGAGGTTTCTCTATCGTTTGGCTACATGTATTTCCACTGGCTGTAGGGACACACTCTGGAACGTAAGACGAGATCAAACAGGATGTATTGAAACGACTGTGCTATCTGCTTGTGTTTGTCGAGTAGACATTGGTAACTTGGTGCGTTCCCCATGTCATTTCCGCCGGATGGTGACATTGCATGCTGCCGTGTTTCTAAACAGACCAGGTTAGAATTTTGATCTCAAGCTCTAATGTGTGTACTATTCTACACAAGAATGATACTCACCACTGCTTTTGGCAGCCACACTTAGCACACTGACCTCCGCTCTTGGCCAGAGATGAAGGGTCACAAAGATAGGTTCCACGGCTGTCGCATCGACAGCCGTTTTTCTTCTGTCCGTTGGTGCAACGAGCATCGGGGCGCTGACCCCCGCTGCACTTGATGGTGTACCTCGCACGGGGAGCCACCTCAATCGAACTAGGCTCAGTGTCGGCAACGGGGTTGGCCATGGCGGCGGCACCAAAGACACCGGTGATGAGGATTGCAAGCTGAGTAGGCTTCATATTCAAGAGATTGAGGCTTGCTGGCGACAATGTTGTTGATGCTCAGGTGTGTGGGAGCATCGTCTGTAATTTATAGACAGACAGTGCCAGGGGTATTCTTTTGATGTTGCTGAATACGAACATATCGAAGGATACATGTATAGCCCCGACCAGGGGGGGGGGGTTCAGCTCGAGAGGATTCAGGATGCGTGTAAGCAGATATTCATGCAAGACGAAAAAGATGTGGCGCTAGGCCTACGGGACATGTGATGACCTTTGATGATCATGACCCGTGGACATTTGAATTGAATGATAGTACATTGGGAATTCCATCCTATAGCAGCATCCAAGTAGGAATGTCTTCAGAGCGTTGCCAGTCCAAGTGCTGAGTTGCCTCTCGCCCTCGCCCTCGGGCAATGTTAAACCACACACTTCAATCACGTCCCGGGCAATGTTCAGTTACGGCGATGAGATCTGCTGGGGCTCAGTGAATGTGCGGAAGGTTTGCCAAAGGTTTTAGAAAAGGAACCTTTATCTTGGCACGCACGTTTTGCTATCGAACGTACACGCAACAGCTTGGCGTCGGGGGATGTCAGAGGTGAACACCCCTCTCAGTCCTCTCTCTCCCTCTATCATTTTTGACGCATGACAGCGACTTCGCTCCCTGGTCACTGAATCAGCCCTAGTATCATCGTAGCCTCTGTCTCCCAAGAAGCAAACATGCAGTCGCCTAGAAGGGCACAGAGCATAGCCTTGTTTTGATCCTGTGCCATACCGTCATTCCACGAACGCAGCTCTACAAGTCAAACATTGGCGTCATCATTGGACGCCTGAAAAGCTGTCGTAGATGATCAAACCTGGAAGAAGAGGATGGTAGATTACCCCTAACGCATAGATCTTTGATTTGGCACCTGGGTCTTGTCTGATTCTCAAGTATCAGCAGCAAAATACTTACTTGAAACTACTATTTTTCTCGTCTGCGGTCAATCTGAGGAGCAAATTGAGCTCCATCTTCTTGGTGATTTCTAGGGCGAGGCCCAGCTTTCTGCACAAAGGTCCTCTCGGGCTCAAGAAACTTATCATATGATCCTATTCTTCTTTTCTAATTTGCCATGATGCTCTTAATGTTTCTTCTTCTTCCATAAAAACGGTAGACTGCGTATCTTCTCCTCGTTAAACAATAGTAACAACTCTCATGCCTTGGGACATCGAATTATAAATACAATACAAATCTCGGGTTTGCATGGCTGTGACTTTCTTCCGTTGATGTCGAGTGATGTATACCGGTCAAAAATGAACAAAACTACTCCCATCTCGAAAATGTTCGCCGGATCTGTAAGTCTTGGTGTCAGAATATAGGTATTTGAGGGAATATCAATTGATATTGGTGTTGCTTTTTGTTTCAGTTTTCACTTCCCCAAAAGGGCATATTCGACTCACCTCCCTTCAGAATAGACCCCAACGCAGACAATGCATCGAGCCACGCTTCTAGTTTCACCTGGGCGAGCCGTGACATCACCGCAGAGCCTCAGTTTGCGTTTTTTTCTGTGATTTTCGAGTTCTCTGTACTTACCTCGCTGCGTGTGGATGCGGGGGCTAAGTATACCCTTGTTAACCCCGCGCTGCCCAGGTGCAAGCAGTGGAATCAAGTCTGGGATTACTGCTAGCATATGCATTGTTGAGACATCCCCGTAAATAGAAAGCAATATCTGTGGTTTTTCCTAGACTTCTATTACTTTGGAAGAACCAACCTGTAACAACAATGAGGCCAAATCAAATTACATGCGGCTCTATGTATAAGTTTGGGGAAAGGATCGATTACAACCTCTAGGTCGCCTGGCAAAGGACTTTTATCAGGAATGTGGCACCGTCATGTGGGAAAATGTACCTCTTGTCCAATTGGGTGATGGTACATATAGCCCTAGTATCTTTCCAAGGTTGAATCCAATCCTGCCAGATCTCCCTAGTAATGGGAACATCCACAAGGTTTGCGATCCTTTAGGTCGGATGGAAATTCAAGTGTGGTCTCCATGGGTTTTTCGCCATGCAACCGCGTTTTGGGAAGCGGTTTGCCATCTAGACTGTGGTAACCATACACGGAGGTACGCCCTGCATACGGAGTACATTTTTCCTGTATCGCATCACCCTTTGCCCCGGGGCCAGGAAAGAACATCAGATCATACGGAATAAAATTCAAATAATTGTATAATCGAGCCGGCCTCGGGGCTCTTGAACTACTAGTTTCATAGGAAGGTGGCATAGTTGGATCCTGGCCCCCAAACAATCTCCGGAATGTCAATCTCAAAAATTGTTTAAAATGTTATAACCAATTGCGATCACTTTGGGAACTGCCTGTTCCGATAGAGAAACAAAGCACCTCTAAATTGAGGTTTTTCATCCGGCTCAATACAGGCCTACATAAGGATCCCTATCTAATGAGGTATAAAGCGCTGTATGCGTTGAGACGCATGGGTGCTGTTTGTTATACCTCGGCCTTCGCACCGGCCCGACTTCCGCTCTGATAGGCCAAGGCGTCGATCACCCGGGGGCTGGCGCCCACCAAGGCGCTAATGGTTGGAGTAAACGGGGGCTGAACTACTACCAGCAATTCACCAAGACACCCGTAGACAGCACACACGTTTCCACTATTGGTATGCCCAGCACGCGAAGTAAAGATCTTATTTCTAGAGAATTGTGAAATGTCCCGTTCCAGGTGGAAATCACAGCCACCCCACGACGAGTACCACTGAATATTAATTCGCTGTATATTATGCCCTGGATTATGGGTGAAGATTGAATACGTTGTAGAGTCTGCGGAGTACACGGCGTAAAAAGCTCAATGTAAATCACCCGCTCAACCCTGACTCCTCCGTTAGAGCCGCAGTTGATTGTTATTGGATCGCAGCTTTGGTTCTACACCAACTATCATCTTGGCATCTGCACCCAGGCGCGATGGTCAGCTGTATCCGTAAAGTCGTTGATGACCAACAAACTCCAATATAACACCAATCCCTACGGAGTCCTTACTATACTCCGTGCATATTTTTGCATTCGACCGTAGAGTAAGATTTCAAACACTAAAATTCAGCGACACCTTAAGAGCTCTGGGGAAATTCCTTGGCAAAATTGTGTGGCGGACTTGGCAGGTCTAGCTACTCGTATTTGATTGTCAAGTGAACTGAAACTAACCGTTTGTATGGAGCAGATCCGAAGTACCCCTGTCATTGGCTTGGTTTTCTGGCCACTCAGGGCTGACCATTGCTTTCTTTTTTCTTGATCCTTGTATCTCTACTCCGCACATTTTCTTCGCATCGCTGGGACACATTGGACTGCGAGGGTTACATCTATTCGACTGAAAAGCGTGACGAATTCCTTTTCACAGGCTCATAGGATGTCATATAGAGTATACCGTGTGCTTGGACATACAGATTATGATCTTTCCTTGCAAAAGATACTTTCTACCAAGCCCCGCCCCGGCTGCTTTGGGAAGTACTTGTATGCGCCTTGCACCTGGGTGTTCATGCGTGTCAGCCAGTATCGGCTAATGCCGGTCGTTAAACCCAAGTTGGATCATGCACCGGCTCATGAGAGTCCTGCACTTCCCTCTCCTGGAAAGACATCGATTCCACGATATTGACTAGATAATAGACCGGTACACGCAGGCTCCTGCCTCCCGTCGAACTGAACTACATATGCATTCATTCAATCTGGCATCCTGATACTCGTCTCCCCTTCTCAGTCATGGATGAAGCTTCTCCTCTCAACGGCCATGACCATAGCCAAAACAACGATCAAGAATCCACTCCCCTGAGACCACCGTCCGAGGAAAGCAGCAAAGAAAAGCCCACGGATGTTGTCAAACGGCCGAAAAGAGCAATTCTGTTAGACTCGTGGCTTCTCGAGTCGATAGCAGTGGGGTTCAGCGCGGGCTGTTTCATCGCCATCGCTGTCGTCTTATATGTATTCGATGGTAAACTGCGACCAGAGATTGGCCACGATATCAACCTGAACACAATCGTCTCGATACTTGCGACGGGGTCCAAGTCAGCCTTGGTCTTTGCAGTTGGAGAAGCAATCGGACAGTTGAAATGGCTATGGTTTCAAGATCCCACAAAAGGCCAAAGCCCTCTGGTCAGCATACAGAGATTCGATGCGGCAAGTCGGGGCCCTATTGGCTCGCTCATGATCCTTGTGCACCATCGGTCTTGTTCTCTTGTCTCACTCGGCGCCGCTGTGATTGTTCTCTTGTTGGCTTTTGATCCATTCGTGCAACTAGTTTTGAAATATCCGGTTGGCTCAACTGATGATGCAAGTGCAACATCCAGAGCAACTGCTCCGCAGCTCCGTCAATGGATCACCACGGGCGATGACACGCGTGATATAGGCACTGCTTATACTGAAGGGTATTATTCCCAAAGCCAGGACTTCAGTGTTCCTCCTATCTGTTCTTCTGGCAATTGCACCTGGGATCAATTCTCATCGGTCGGCATTTGCAGCCGTTGCACCAATATGTCCACAACCGCCAAAGTGAGCTGCAAATCGGCGTCGACAGCCGCCATACGTAAAGCTTGCAGTATCACGTTTCCGGGGGGTTTCATTTATGATTTCAAAGTCGTTCACAACCAAACCCACAGTATGGCAATCGATACTAACAAAGACACAATGTCGATGTTGACGTCTCACGATGTGACCTTCCCGAGTCCAGTCGTTTGGCAGCCATTTTCCTACAACGCATCATGGATCCTGCAGGTTGCGTCTGGTGCGGTGGACCGTCAGCTCCCCGAGTTCCCCAATGCCACACTGGTTGGTGTGAAGGACCCCCAGGTCGCGGCAATATATATCGAAATTGGGCTCAAGAACAGTTTCATTCCATCCATTCAACGGAATACGTCCGTTACAGACATGCTTTAATTAGGAATGCCACTGCGTGCAGCCTCTCGACATGTCTACGCGACTATGAGGTGATTGTTGACAACGGAACGCCGTCTGTCAAAACCAAGAACATCGATTTCGGTACAATATACGAAGACACCATTCCTGGCGGGCTGTGCTGGACGCCTGGCCCACCTGACAGTTTGGGCTTTCAAGAGGGAAAGAATTTCACCTTTTGCGAGCCTAGAATGAGCGAGTTGGTGAATGTTCTAAAGTACTTCCCACAAGACCAAAGCAGATCATACACTTGGTATTACAGTGACCTCGACGAAGAAATTGGGTCATATAACCTTTCCAGGGAGATTAACTCGAATTATGCGTTTCAACAAGATCAGCTGAATCGCAACGGTTTCGAAAAGAGCATCGAAAATATGGCTGCTGCCCTGACTAAATTCGGTCTCGAAGGGATGAACCAGAGTGCCAATGGAACCGTGCAAGTTACAAAGGTCTTCGTACACGTTCGATGGCCATGGTTGATTCTGCCTGGGTGTTTAATTGTTTTTGGATCCATCTTCTTGGTGATCACCATCGCTGTCAGCAGCAAGAGCCGAGCTCCTCTTTGGAAATCATCCGCTTTAGTGCCCTATTACCACGGCCTTGAGGTTGAGGATGATGATGAAAATGAGTACCGGGCCTCCAGTGCCATGGAGAAGAACGCGGAGAAAAACGATGTTCGATTGCGGCGATCCACGACCAACGGGCGACTCATGATGCTACGATGGCAAGATGACACGGACGACTCAACATCGAGTATTCGGGGGGACTCATCAAGTACTACCAGGTAGTACTCAGGCTATTCATATCAAGGTTAACATCTACCTACAAACCGCAAAGCAAGCAAAATTCAGAGCAAACCGTGTTCCATTGAAGATTGTGTGAGAATCGTAGTAGCCAGTATGCTCCCAAAAGTGCCACTGTAGAAATACTTGTGTCTGGAATCTCCCTACAAGATACCTTCTCATTTCTTTCTTCCTCGCCCAACTTGAAAAAAAACAACCCCTCATCTTCAAATCAACAGATCGAAGAGGTGATGACCCCCGCATTCTGCAGCTAACTCCGTGACCTGCTTTCTCTGACATTTGAAGCTTTAATCAAAGGAGATACCCCGATTCAACAGAAAACCCCCGATCCTACCACGCGCACCCAACCATGTCGCTACTCTTCGACACCGTCCACTTCGTCTCCGATGCAGTGATGCCACATGAAGAGATTCCACCTCTTACTGGATCGAAAAACTGGAGAAAGTGGGATCGTGAAATGAAAGCGTTTGTCATTGGAAAATCGCGACATTACTGGTATTTGATCACGGGCACCTGGGAGAAGCCAGAGGATCTCACCGATGATGAGGCCAAAGCACTTGTCTCGGAATACACTGCTGAGATCCAACTGAGCGCTCAGCGGGCTATGCTGCTGCGTGCTGTCCGTTCTGGGCCCACCACCCGACCAGCTACTACTGCTGCAATGAAAATCGATTTCCAAGGCGTCAGGTTCCTGCGGAAAGAGGAACAGAGTGACTGGTCCCGAGTCAATGATCAGTGCTTTTACTGGATCTACACAAAACTCGCACCTCACATGAAGATTTACGCCAACGAAACCGAATCTGCGGCCGAGTTGTATGCCAAATTGAAGCAGACCTGTGAGGTATTCAGCCAGCAGGACAAAATTGAGGCTTTTGAGGCATGGGTCCAATGGGCCTACCGAGGCACCAAACCAACTGAATTTGTTTGCAACTGGAAGCTGAAGAAGGAGAATTTTGAATCAATGATCAAGTCGAATGAGCACATCAGTCCAAGTGTGTGCTGCATCATGTTCATGTCGGCGGTCACACGTGCTCAGGTCGCTTCGGTGTTCACCTACAACATGGATCCAGCCAAGACAGGTCTACGGAACCTTGAAGCACTGTACGATGCCTTCATTGCCGCAGAATCTCGCCGTCTCGAGTTTTCTGGCAAGCAAGGATGAAAGCGGCTCTTCTCCCTACAACCTAGATAGTTTTGCTCAGCTGGCTTTCAGTTTCTATTTTCCTCAACCAATTTGAAAAACAATCCTTCGTCTCAAAATCGGTAAACTGAAGGAATGGAATGACTAGAGCCATTGACAAGGTGTTTCAATTTTGATCACCTGGTGCAAGTATTCTTATTACTCAGGTAAGGTCTCATTGGTGTGCAGTTATAGTCTTCAATCGAATGAGAAAAGGTATTCATTGAATCATAAAGTGAATGCTGAATGATGGCTATCCACACATCACCATCCTCCCATCACTTTCATATAACCTAGCCCTCTCAGTCGGCAACCCTTCATCCGTCTGCGGCTTCTCATTCTGACTGTTCCTGCACAAATCAATGATAGGCATCGTCTCATTCTTCCACGCAGGAATCATCGCCCGTCGAGTCTTCCACATAGTCCCCACCAACGTAACAAGACCAAGCAGCCAAACCAACGCAGGAAGCACAATCCACTGCCAATGAATGGCGATATGAGTGGCGCTCGTCATCGCATCTCCAGAAGAACTAGTCAAATTCGCAGGCAAAGACGACGATTGATCCCGAATAGCCTTCGTCATAGCCTGGGCGACATGCTCCATCGCACACCGAAGCTTCTCAGCAGTGGAAAGGTTGCAATCAGTTATGTTCGAAACGGTCATCAGCTGCATCAGATCCCCACTAGCGTAATTCGACGTCGACGTCATTTGGCTTCCCATCCCCGTCGAGGTGGAGGTATCTGAAACAAAGCTGAGATCAAATGGGGTGAGTGCCATTCGGCCAGAGAAGAAGTTGGTGAAGAAGTATCGGATCGATGTCAGGGATTGCTTGGCTATCGTGAAGCTCTTGCCTTTCTTCAGACCTTTGTCTGGGCCCCAATTGGGCTTCAGGTTGTAGGGGCTTCCCAGTGGATAGCTTTCGAAGGTGCCGTTTTTCCAAGTGTCGAGAACGTCCTCGTAGTATTTTCCGCGTGAGACTCGGGGACGGATGCTGCGTACGATTGGGGAGATGCTGCATTCTATCGCTTGCCATGTGAGGTGCATAAGTTCCCCATCCTTTGATGATCCCCATATCGCATTGCCCAGCAGGCCGTCTGGGGCAATGAGTTGGATGGGAGGTATGATAGTGTCATTGTAGATGATTGGTGAAATAGACCCCAGCGCCACGGGTGTTCCCCAGACACTTTTCACGACGACATCGGCAGTGAGGTTTTTGGTTCCACTCTGAAGAGTGATTGACTGGCTCTGTTCTGTTGTGTTGGGGTTGCGGGAGCCATTTGTACCATTGTATATTTCGTATTTCAGTTTGTCGGTGATGTTGGTGCAGCTCGCCTGCATTTCCAGCGTAGCGATTGGATCCCAGGTGCAGTTTCCAGAGCTGCATGTATATCTGGGGATAGACCATGGCTTGGACTCGTCACTGTTAAAGAGGGCGTTGTAGATATTTGCCTTCATCTCTGCATGGAGATAGAAGTCCCCTACCGAATATGATCAGTGGTTGAAAAGGCAGTTGGTATGCTTGACCCTCACCAATTCCCAATGGTGGCCCCATGGCCGAGTAGATGGAGTTGCTGGATACATCTGCAGTTCCCGAAGGATCAATGATGAGCTTCGGGTAGTAGTGAATCAAGTTCTGGATGAATGGATCAAATGCAAGACCAAGAATGACAGCCAAGCTGCCCAAGGCTGCAAAATGCCTGTTTTAGGTTAGCAGTTGAAGGAGACTCCAGTAGAATACCTACTTTGCTCGTAGTCTCCAAATGAGGCCTGCACATCCCCATATCCCACGGCTAGCCCCGTCAAAGGTGCCCAGATCCACCAAAGGCTGGGTCTTCTGGGTAAACCAGACCCATTTCAGCTGCCCAATGCCTTCACTCAGAGTGAACAATACACAGCCTTTCGACAGAGTACTCAACCATGACACAACCGAGTTAAGAGATACATATTTCCAGGTTGGCTGAGGCTGGTTGTTATATTTGTCCAGAATCACAATGATCGCAATCAAAAGCCCCGATGAGATGAACATGGCCAAAATCTCCCAGATGAATAGGTCAGAGATGAATTTCCATAGTGAAGGCTTGACATTCCCCTCTGGTGTTTCGGTTTCTTTGCTTGGGTCCTCTGCTGGCTCCTCTGCTGGCTCCTCTGTTGGCGCCGGATGAGGCTCCGGATGAGGCTCCGGGCTTGGCCGACGGGAATCTTCATGTGAAGGCGCCGGCGAGACGGGGGAGTATGTCGCGTCCGGCATTGTGGCCTGGTGTGAATATCCAAGGACAACCACGGCGGCAGTCCAGTATATAAGAGTTTTGCGAGGCGCAGTGGCCCTGAATCCCGTCTTGGCGTGCAGCTGGGGCTATGCGGGGGCCGTGATGAAACACTCCATCTGTACGCACTATAGTGTACATTGTACAGTACTGTATTCCGTACATTTCAAGGTTGTACAGGAGAAAGATATCTCACTCTGGTCTGAATGACTCTTCTGGAGCCTTTTGCAAAGTTTGCAATATCAGAGAAAAGACCAAAAGAAACAAAAACATACACAGATGAAGGGACTGGGGATTGCAGACAAGCTCGTTTAGCGTAGTGGACCCTGACCATTTGGCCCCCAGCCCCCCAATTTTACTAAGATCGGCAGTCAAGGCGTTTTTCGCTGGCTCGATAGAGCTAGATCTCGGCTAGAATTAATTTAGATGCTTATTTGTGACTGCGGAGGTGAGATAGAAAGGTAAGAATTTCACGGTCGTCGATCATGCTGTACTAGTCGACGATCCCACAATTTGCACCTCGTGCAACGGGTATCGCGCATCATTGCATTTCGCAGCTTGGGTGTAGTTGTCTTTGATCATAAGAATGACTGTATGAGTCCTGTCAATGTTGACGGTAATCGGCTCGCGACAGGCTGCGCAGGTGCTCCATCTGATAGTAAACATCACCACCCTGTGTTTCAAGGTTCGCAACTTCAGTTCATTATTTGACCGAGTCGGTCCATTTCTTCGTCATCTCTTTCGATCGTTTCCTAGAACCTGCAAAGAAGACCATGCATAACTTCACTGAAAACGCACCACCATTTGACCTCAAGTACTAAAGGAGTACCACCGGCGGGGGGTTTTCCGGGGGTGATATCACTGTCTCTGGTGAAGTCGAGTTGTCTGTTGCCGATTGTAGATATATGCCCGAGTGGAGAGGGCTTGGAAGGAAATGAGACCAAGAGAATGGCGTTTCCGGGGTAAGCACGATGCCCATGGATGTCATAGCGAGGGGGCTTGAGGAAAGTATAGGAGTATAGCCCGAGGCGTAGGGAGAGTAGCCTTGGACATATGGGAAGGGATGCTGAAGATTAGAAGAGAAAGAGACTTGGAAAATTCCTCGTGACAATAACGGCACTTAGAAGGGGTTTGAGATTGATTGAAGGCAATTATTTCCTATCGAAAAAGTTTGAAGATAGAGTGAGAAGGGGATGAGGACTCCCAGGTTGGTCATTGGAGAAGGAATGTAAGGTCGGGAGAGGTATGCAAAGACCTCCGAGTGGGGGCTAAGTAGGTAAGGGGATGGAGAAGACCCGGAATATGGTATACGCTTACCTAGTAGGTATGATACGGAGACGGTCTATCAGTGGAAGGCCATTCTCTCAGCGATATGTATGATGTCCGGGTAAGCTCGGCGAAAATATATATCCGAAAACGCAGATTGGACAAGTCTACAGATTCAGGAGTAGATATCCATGGATGCAGGAAGAAACTACCAAGTGCATTTCCATATGTAAATCACTGTAAATCACACCTTTATATAGTATGCCACCAACAGCAAACATGAGAACAGTATCTCGTGCGGATACAGAGGCCCCTGATTGGTGCGGGAGAGTGGGCAGCACCGGACCAATGGGAGTGGCCAAAGACGCCCACGGACCACCAGGGCGGGCCACATGGGGGCGGAAGTGACGGTGAGTGGACAGTCGAGCGCATCGCTGCATTCGAACCCAAATGCGCTTAAAGTTGAAGGTTCTCGACGATCAGTACTAGTGACCCCTCGTGGACGATGAAACACCCACGCCGGGCAGGTCAAGGGTACCTTCCCCAGTCCGTTGATCTCCATGTGGTTCACTGATAGGACGAGGGGGAACGCTGCACCTCCCAGTGTACCCTCCCTGCACATGGGCGCGTGGTCTTCGTATCATTATTTGACCCCTCCTGATCCTCCTTGCTTCTCGCATCATTCTTACTCAACATGGACTGGACGCATACATACATTGCCGGCACGGCCGTGCTGGTCTTCGCCCTCGTGGGCCTGGTACTCCTGATCGGGTCGCAGCAAGTCAAGATCGCGAATACTCGTGCGGGGCCTTATTTGAAGTTTATTTGGGCCAATTTCATCAAGCCGCATGACAAGCAAGCTGGGGGACAGCAGGATGCGTTGGAGAGCTTCTACAAGACACAGGTGCGCGGTGCAAACACGAAAGGTGGAGATGGAGCTGACCAGGACAGGCTGCGGTTTACGATGCGACCCGTCGTCGATTGCTCTGTGGTCGAGAGGATATGCTGGGACTCGTGGGCGCGCAGCTGAAACACAAGATCGAGAACAAGCAGATCAAGGCCGGCAAGGCTGTCTGGGTGGATGTGAGTGGTGCTGCTGTATCGCGACTGGCGATTAAATGCTAACGGGTTTTCAGGTCGGGGGTGGTACAGGGTATGTTGATTGCCCTGGGCTGAGAATCAGGGGACTAACTTGGTGAAGATACAACATTGAGGCAATGGCCGCTTTCCTTCCCGTCGATAAGTTCTTCAAGCACGTGTACCTGGTCGATCTGTCGCCCTCCCTTTGCGAAGTGGCCCGGAACCGCTTTGAACGATTGGGATGGAAGAATGTCACAGTCCTTTGCCAAGATGCACGTTCCTTTACGCTCCCAGAGAGCATGGATCCTCGGTCTACAAGTCTAGTCAATGGCGGCGTGGACCTGATCACCATGAGCTACAGCTTATCGATGATTCCAGGTAGGTGGGATTTGATTGAATGGTCAGGAGGAGGCTAACGGCTCTAGACTACTACAGCGTTGTGGACTCACTGACCTCTCGCCTGAAGTCGACTGGACTGCTGGGTGTATGTGATTTCTATGGTGAGTCCCAATTCCTTCAGCCACCAACAGATGCTGACTCGAATACAGTACAAAGCATTGTCGACGTGTCATGCCGCAACTACACCGGTGGTGCTTTCAACCGTCATGTGAACTGGCTCGGACGCATGTTCTGGAGAGCCTGGTTCGACTTCGATCGGGTCAGCTTGGAGGCAGCCCGCCGGGACTACTTGGAGTACAAATTTGGAACTGTCATCTCAGCCAGTGAGCGAAACTACCTTCTAGGTGGCATTCCTTACTACATTTTCGTTGGATGTCCCAAGGAAGTTGGCTCAACGCCCTCCAGCCAATCCATCGAGAAGTTGGATGCGTCCTTCACCGAGTCTCCATACCTGTTGCCCGCCAACCATATGCAAGAGATGGACAACGCAGTTGTGAAGAGCTCCCAGGAGATCCGATCGAAGGCGTATGAATCAGCAGTCGTCAATCTGAGTGCTAACCTTCCACTCCCCTCGTCATTCTACCAGAACCACCACTATCGCATTCATTACAACGACATGCTGCCCAAGCACACCCAGTTCCAAAACGAATACATCTATGCTTTCACCTGGGAGGATCCCAGGGTGGACCACCAGCTGCTGAACATCAATAAAGACGATGTGATTTTAGCTATCACCAGTGCTGGTGACAATATTCTGGACTATCTCCAAAAGAACCCCCGTCGAGTCCATGCCGTCGACCTGAACCCCAACCAGAACCATCTCCTCGAGCTCAAGGTCGCATGCTACTCCGCCCTGGGCCACCGTGACATGTGGAAGATCTTCGGCGATGGAAAGCACGCCCAGTTCCGTGAACTGCTCATCTCCAAGCTCAGCCCTCACTTGTCAAGTCAGGCTTTCCAGTACTGGCTAGAGCACACCCAAACCTTCACATCGACTTCCGGTCACGGGCTCTACGAGACCGGCGGCTCCCGCCATGCCATCCGTATGGTTCGCTGGCTTTTCAACATCTTCGGGCTCCAGGGTGAGGTCCGCAAGTTGTGCGAAGCGCAGAGTTTGGCCGAACAGCGTGAGATCTGGCCTCGTATTCGTCGCGTCTTGTTAAGTCGGCCCCTGAACTGGGCTATTGTGAGCACTGAGTGGTTTGCCTGGAAGGCTGCCGGTGTGCCGCGCAATCAGCGAAACATGATTGTCGACGACTATTTCCGTCGCAACGGGCTGACTGAGGGAATGAAAGCGGGTAAGGATGTCAGTGGCCAGTCGATCTGGGAATATGTTGTCAACACTCTGGATCCGGTTATCAAAGATACCATGATCAGCAACGACAACTATTTCTACTACCTTTGTGTTCAAGGGAAATTCTCCAGGAGGTAAGTCGAGCATTCTGCTTGGAAATATCCCCTACTAACCATAATTAGATGCCACCCATCTTATCTCTCACCACAGGCTCATGTCAAGCTCTCGACTCCAGGTGCATTCGATGGTCTTCGTATCCATACCGATGAGATCAACGAAGTCATCAACCGCATCACCCCCGGTACCCTCACGATCGCCGTGGTAAGTAGAGCTCAAGAATTCCACGAGTATATCAGGCTAACTCGATGAAGGTTATGGACTCAATGGACTGGTTCGATCCTGAAGAAGACTCAGCGCCCGCTCAAGCCCGAACCTTCAACCACGCCCTGAAGAAGGGTGGTCGCATCCTCCTCCGCTCTGCTAGCATCGACCCCTGGTACATCAAGCACTTTGAGGAGAACGGCTTCACTGCTAGTCGCGTCGGAGCCCGATTCCCCGGCACATGTATTGATCGGTGAGTATCCAGCAACCCTAGGCCTCGAACGAGACTAAACTCCTACAGTGTCAATATGTATGCCTCCACGTGGATCTGCACGAAAACCAAAGAGATCTTCCAAAGCAACGTTGATCGCAAGATGTCGACCCTCGCTCTGCCTGATAGTGCCATTCCCACGGCCAAAAGGGCAGGCAGTGTCGAAGATCTGCAGATTTGAGGTCGTCGGCTCTTAGATACTGAACCTACACTATGTAGTTTTTACCCGGTGATGATACCTATGATTCGGAGTTTAGAGTGTTTTGGGACCGGTGCTTGGAGCTTGGGGTTACCTGGCGCGTATGCAAATTCCATGTTCCTAATTTGACTACCTAGGGATAAGCGAGAATACCTGATGAAATAATAAGACATTTGTATGGAAGTCATGTATTTATCTGTCGCTACACACGCCTACACCAACACTTGTTATGGGGACGTTTTCTATCATGGAAAGTGAAGAGAAAAAATTTAGGGACATGTCAGAGCAACTCCATCCGAGGTCCTATCTCACTGGTACTACCTGCGAGTCATGTTCGTGATTGAGTGTTTTCCGAACTCGGAGAGTTTGGATTGTGTGAATAATTGCAATATGATCTATCCTCAGGCAATTGAGGGCATGAAGGGGATTCATAAGGCGGGCGTTGTTCATGAAGACATCTACGCTAGGAACATGATGTTGATCCGTGGGGAGCCTGATAGGCTAGTTTGGATTGATTTCGATATTGCTATGACTTTCGACGAGGCTGGGCCCGAAGAGTTGGCCCTTCATAATCATAAATCAATCTTGTGGAGGCGTTTGGGGATTTGCTGGTAAGAACCTGGGTCCCATGGACCCTGTATATGTCCACGGGTCCGAAGCAGCCATCGCTAATGGAGAACTACAGAGAGCTGACCAGGCTGAGGGACTTCCGCATAATACAAAGTTCTAAGAGGCTCATAGAGGCCTGGTAAATGATTCAGAACCACATTCGGATACTAATGTACAAGGCAAATTCTTGCAGGAACGCTTTTCAACATCATATATTGCAGGAGTTTCATCGAGTTCGGGTCTAATCATATTTCACAAGGGAAAAGACTGGGACACGCCGACGCGGCCCTCTAGTGATTAAAAGATTCGGAGGAATTCATAAATAGTCGCCATGAGCCCAACGCTGTCACCTATCGTATCATTCCAAGCCACTGCATACCAACGGCACACATGTCCGGATCGTGTATAGAGACAGAGGGAGAAAAGGATTTGAGAAAACACTATGACCGGCCGTATCTCGTCTTTCCGAACGAGAAGGGTACGTAACGGTACTTGATCATGTGCTGGATTTGTCGTCGCACTAAACACGAGTTAGCAGCTGGTCATTGAACCCAGAGTATCATGGCGGCTTCATGTAGGTCCGCAGGTTGTAGAACTTACTCGTCAACACAAACAAGATGATCCAGTAGACCACCAGGACGGGCCAGAAAACGGGAATATCAAAGACAGAGAGCCAAGAGCAGACGAATCCGATAGCAATGGCGCGGGTGGCGGAGTGCCAGAACTTGAACTCTGGGAGACGACGGATGAAGGGTCGGAATTCCTCGTCCTTCTTGGTGGGGAGGCTGGGGGACCCCGCATCACCGTCTTCCAGACCCTCATCCTGCGTGAGAGAGGGGTCGAATTTGGGAGTCAAGAACGCAAGGAACAGGTTCAGCAAGTAAATGCCGAGTGTGTAGGCAACTGCGAAAGGCCAGAGTTAGCCATTTGTTTACCGGAAGTCTTTCTCGTCTTGTGATGTCGGCTGTATAGCGCGGATTCCGCGTCCGATCTCATCTTTTCCCCGGATCCTGGAGTCACATACCGATATACCAGCCCTGCGCGAAGATGATGCGCAGGAAGAACAGGAACAAGAGCGCGCCGGATCCCACCCACCGGTAGGTTGTGTACGGGGTTGAGGCATCAAGGTAGGCTTGGTATTGCTGTGATGGCGCTGCGTTAGCGAGCTGTTCGATTGCTGGTTCCGGGATTCCCAGGACATTGCGCAATGCGCAATGAAGATGAGTCCGCTGGAGTACTCACCCGGGTGATCTTGGACGTGTGGACAGACACGGCCGTAAAAGGCGACTGTTCGGGCTCGGGGACATCCATGGTGAAAGTGACGGAGAGATGGAGAGCGCAGGGCTAGACCACCGAGAGAAGAGAAGTACGAAGGGCGACTAAGATAAGCTGAAACCAGACATTCCAGGACAGGCACTTCAGGAGCGAAAAGTGTCCACTGCGCGTCAGCCAATGAGACTCGGGATGACTCCCCAGCCACCCTGTCCAAGTCACGTGTCTCTGTGGCGGTGCACTTTCCGTTGACGTGGCGCTAGTCCTGTTTCGGATGCTGACATAATTTCACGTGATGCCGCCAGGACCTCGGGACGGTTAACTTCGGCGTTGCGTCGGTCGCGGGGAAACGGAGTATGATGTCGACGCAGTTACTCTGTCTTCATAACAGTTGAAGACCTCCCAACCAATACTATTCTTCACACATACACAATGTTTGCTCGCCAATGTACTCGTCTTGTCAACTCTCGGACTTCCGTCCCTTTGACATCGTATCTCGCCCGAGTCCGGGGTTACTCGTCAGCCGCTGGCAGCTATGAGCACATCCTCACCTCGACTCCCAAGCCCGGCGTCGGACTCAGTAAGGACCTCAAGAGTTACACAATAATGTCCAAAATCCCAATCTAATTCACCATCTAGTCACCCTGAACCGGCCCAAGGCACTCAATGCACTATGCACACCACTCATGACAGAGCTCAACGAAGCATTGAGCACCTACGACAACGACAAGAGCATCGGAGCCATTGTCATCACCGGAAGCGAAAAGGCATTCGCCGGTATGCACTCCCCAATCGACCGGAAATACCCAATCTAACCAAATGCAGCCGGCGCCGACATCAAAGAAATGGCTCCCCTTAGCTTCTCGGCCGCATACAGTGAGAACTTCATTGCGCCATGGTCTCACCTCGCCAACTCGATCCGCACCCCAGTCATCGCAGCGGTGTCGGGGTACGCACTCGGCGGAGGCTGCGAACTGGCCCTCATGTGCGACATCTTGTATTGCAATGAGAAGGCCGTCTTTGGACAGCCTGAAATCAAGCTCGGGACTATCCCGGGTGCGGGTGGATCGCAGCGTTTGACTCGTGCAGTTGGCAAGAGTAAGGCTATGGAGTTGATCCTGACTGGCAAGAACTTTAGCGGGAAGGAAGCTGCCGAGTGGGGAGTTGCGGCTAAGGTTGTCGATGGTGGTTTGGAAGAGCTGCTTGAGCACGCGTTCAAGACGGCTGAGACCATTGCTTCTTATAGTCGGGTTTCGGTCCTGGCGGGTAAGGAGGTGGTGAACAAGAGTCAGGAACTGTCTCTGAAGGAGGGCATTGAGTATGAGAGACGGTTGTTCCATGCTCTGTTTGGGAGCAAGGATCAGAAGATTGGTGAGTTTTGCTCGGATATCTTGCTGGGATGTGGTTAACGATTCTGCTTTAGGTATGACCGCCTTCGCCGAGAAGAAGAAGCCCGAATGGTCTCATGAATAGAGACGTAATCAACGTGAATCCTGTTTTGAGTGAAGAAGCTGGCTCTTGTCTTCGCCTGTGTATCATTCATGGGTCATTCATGGTGCTGCTGTAAAAATAGAGGATTCATTATATACACATCACAACATGGATCTCATTACCACTCCTCTTCCTCTTCCTTTTTGATCGGATCCACGTCCATCTGATCGCCCGGATGAGCATTGCCGGTAGGTGTTCCGCATTTGTATTGCTCCAAGCCACGATTGATACCGACAATACCCCACGCAAAGACTGCGACTTCGCGAATGGTATCCATGAGGCGAGAGGAGTGTGGTCCAGTCTCTCCCGGACCACCATGGGCCTCAGAGGATTTGCCAGAGACATACCCGGAATCCGAAGCATCTCCAGAGCTGGATTTCATGCCTTCACGACACAGCGTGGTCTTGACTTCTGGGTAAGCTTGAGACCCTGTCGAGCCAGATGCCAGACTTTCGCGGCACAGCGTGCTCCGATGCTCCGGCTGCCGCGCCACAGGGACCGATGCCTGGATCGGAGGCTGGGGCGGTCCGCCGTAGGAGTAAACCGGTGACGGGGCCCACGGTGCCGCAAATATGCCACTGGTCTGAGCTGGCGCAGCGGTAATTGAAGGAGTGGCAGTGGGAATGGGGGCACGGGCGCGACGAAGAATCACAACTAGACCGTCAGAGGTACATGACACGACGGCTTCCAGCTCGATGGGCCTCTCGGTTTGCGCGTTTGGCAGCGGGTTTCGGAACCAGAATCGCAGATATGCGATCGAGTCGTTTGCTTTCGCACCCTCCAGGCATCGGATTGCGTCCCGCAGGCACTCTTCTTGTATGCAATAGTAGAAGCTCTGCGAGATCAGCGCATTCGGGTGCATGCCTAGGATCTCCGAGACGCCATTGGTGGCATACATGATTGTCGCTGTGCGCGTGAAGCGATTGACGAACATGGCTGCGCGAGGCTCATGGATAGGCTCGACCAATCGCTGGGAGAATTTGTTCGAAATCCATGTCAACATGTGGTAGCGGGGGTCATTGGGTGAAGAGGTGAACAGCTGGCGGACAATGGGGGCATCGACAGCACGTTCTACACGCGGCCAACGAGTCAGCGAAACAGTCTTACGAAAGTCGTCAATGGCAATTGCAAGTAGATAGTGTCACTTACTTTGGCTACCCTGCCCTCCACCGTAAACAGTGGTACTCGCGATCAGAACATCGTAGACCACGGTGAAAACACACTCGCAGCCAACCCAGGATCCATTCTTATGACGAATCGAACAATAGTTCAACACGGCCGCTTTATCCAGACGCACACCACGGCCATGAATTGACCGGGCAAAGGGCAGTTCCTGAGGATGGAAGTAGTCCCAACATGACCGATCCAGGACCTCTATAGGCTTGTAGCCCAGAACCACCGATATACTGTCCGAAGCATAGCGAATTGAAGCATCGCGTGTCAGATCTGATCTCGGTTAGTGTCCGTTCACCAGAACAGGGAAGTGACAGGCTTAGGCTCGATCGAGGACCCCCGATCGGGGGGTCCCCTCGATCGGTGCGATCGCACCAGTCAGAAGCAGCAAGACTCACCATGAATTGTTATGAAGGTGGTGTCCATTGCACTGCAGAAGAGTGGAACCTGAAGAAAACAAGAAGCATCGAGAGAGTGGAGAAGAAGAAAAATGCCACGGAGGGGTTCTGACAGCGGAACGGGAGAGTCCACACTCAGGGCTAGTAGGGTTATTACAAGATTATTGGATCTATATACAATATGTACTATGTACAGGGGAAATAAATGCTAGTCGTCACACATATCACACATCATATCCGGTTTTTCTCCAATTGGTTGGGATCCGCGTGTGTTTCAGCCCGGTAGTTATCGATGACATGGCCTTCGATCGTCTCATCGAACACGTCCACTTCCGTCTGCGCGAACTTGCGAGCGCTGACACCGCGCTCGAACAGCAGATCCAATTCTGCAAAGGTCCGTCCGCGTGGTTCAGGAACCCGGAAATAGGTATAGATGATGCACAGGAAGCAGATACCACCCCAGAAGAACCCGGCATAGTTGCCCCAATCCCAGGCACTCGGGTTCAGCATGTAAGGGGTGAGCACGCCACAGACAATGGCGACAATGTTGTACAGGTTTCGGCCGAGAACGACCGTTTTTATTTGCAGGCGACGGGTGGAAAGCTCAGCCACTAGGGAGTAGCAGACTGTGCCGACGGTGAGTTGGTAGAACAGGGCCCAGATCAACATCATGGATCCGGTCGCCAGGGATGCCTGGTCTTGGTGCGCCTCGGGCACTAGGCCCAGGAAGCCCATGATCAGCAGCATGGCGCACAACCCACAGAGACCGTATAGGCACAACGTCCGCCGACCGATCCCCAGGGTCATCAAAAACCAGGCACCAAAGACTCCCACCATGTTAATGCCATACTGACCCATGGCAAACGCGTAGGAGTTGCTGGAACTCAATCCAGCCTGCTCCAGGAAATAGGTGGAGTAATTCGAGAAGGAGTTGCCGCTCAGATTCTGAATCGCCCAGACCATGCACACAATCTCCGTGCGGCGCAAATCGGTACCCCGGAAACAGTCGAGATAACTGGCTCCGTTGGTAATCTTGGCCTCAAGCGCGGTGGTGTGAACCATCATCGCGACCGTCTCGTCGGGATCAAATTCTTCATCCTTGTCCTTGGTGGTCAAGCGGACCAATGCCCGCTTCGCATCTTCGGTCCGACCTTTTCGGACCAGCCACCAGGGCGACTCAGGCGCCAGCCAGATTCCAATGAAGAGTGGCAATGGCCACATCCATTGCAATCCATAGGGAATCCGGTACGCCCACTCGTCATTGCGGCTCAACATTCCCTTGATCACGCCGATGCCGATCAGTTGGCCCAGTCCCCAGCAGAAGTTGACATATGTCGTGAGGTATCCACGCAGCGCCACGGGACACACTTCGGATGCGTATGTGATGGTCAGAGTCTGGAACACACCCCAGGGAATTCCACACAGGATCTCCGCCGCCAAGAGGGATTGCACGTTCTGCGCCGTGAAAAAGATCGACGTCCACGCACTAACAAGAATGAGGCAGGCCATGATCGTATACCGGTAACCGAATCGTTCCGAGGCCCAGCCGTTGATGAAGAGGCCGATGATTTCACCGCAGTAGGCGCCGTTGCTGAGACCCGCTTGCCACTGGATGGAATCAGTATTGTATCGACTTCGACCAGTCCATGGCCGGACTGGAATTGACTGCTTCCAATGTACTTACCGCCGCAGATACCTGGTAGGAGCCATCGGCCGTCATCTGGCCATATTTCCGGTTGAATTGGGGGAATGCATAGAAGTTGTTCACCAAACTGATATCGTACCCCTCCATTGCAATACAGGTCGAGATAATCACACTCCACATCACCGCCTTGGGGTACAATCGAATGCCCTGCAGCAAGGTCATGGAGCGTTCCTTCTCCGTCGCCGCCTTTGCATTTTCAATCACTTTGGTCGTGGAGTCCGAGGTTCGCCCCTCATCGTAGGCGGGGCCCACCGGCGTGATGGTGTCTGGCGCCTTGGGATCGGCCATGGTGAAAACGGAGCAGTAAAAAGGGACACTCGAGCTCACAGTGTGAAGTCGAGGGTTCGGTGGGTTCGGAAGTCAGGGGAGACGGAAAAAAATCAAAGTACCCACAGTGCCAACATCGCACGCGAGCCGGTTTTGAGGCCCAAGTGACAAGGGACAAGGGTCAAAGGGTCAAAGGGTCAAAGAGTCGAAGTCCAATGGGGGAAATCGGAGAAATTCAGCCTGCTAAGGTTAGGTCTCGACGGCCGAAGTAAAATTTTGCGGGATGAGAAGCTTGGCGAGGCCGGATGGGGCGAATGGGGCCTTCGCATTGATCTGTTCTCGGCCTTTTCTCTTCTTTCTTACTCGTTGCCTCTGATACGACACTTTGGACTATACTACTCTGTCTGCATGTTTCTCGCTGATCTCTTGCTGGTTTGGATTACCCCACATACCCCTTGCTTGTGACTCTATTCCCATACTTCCCCGTAAACCCCGTATACTTCCCGTTTTTCACCTTCGACCACATCAATTTGGCCACTTGAATCAATGAAGGTCAATAAAACCTGTTCGAATCATACTGCCGGCTTCTGAGTGCACCATGATGGTAAATTTATTTGCATGTAACTTGGTGCTCTCGGGGAGGAAGCACCGCATTAACTCAGGCATGGCTATACGGGCTGCATGCACTCAATCAAATAGGATATATACTCTATAGTCGTGCCGACGGCGCACCAGATACATTCGCCTCAGTGGCGGACTGGATACGGGCACCTAGGTCAGCATTGACGCGACGGAACATCTCGTAGGTGGCCTTGCGGACACGCTCCTCCGCCCCACAGAGGTGGCCGGAGAGATTACCGACAAAATTCTCCTGCTGGTCGGGAGTCCGGCCAAGGACCTGCCAGAGATCATTGGCTTGGACGTAGTCCTCCGAGGTAACGGGGTACTGCTCGGCGAGAACGGCGCCGGTCCACTGCTCGTGCTTCTGGCTAGCCGGGACGGGCTGGTACGCGAGCGGGCGGAAGGTGGAGGGATAATTGGGGTTGGCGCCGTAGTTTCCGTTGACGTTCATGGCACCATCACGGTGGGTGGGATTGAAGGCCTTCAGGGGGCAGTTGACGGGGATCTGCTCGTAGTTGCCGACCAGACGGTGGCGGTGGGTGTCCGGGTAGGAGAAGAGGCGGCTCTGGAGGACGGGGTCGGCGGAGGGCTCGGCGCCAGGGACCATGTGGGAGGGGGAGAAGGCGGCTTGCTCGATCTCCGCGAAGTAGTTTTGCGGGTTCTCGTTCAGCGTGAAGCGCCCGAAGCGACGGAGGGGAACGTCCTTCTGGGGCCAGACCTTGGTTAGGTCGAAGACGTTCCAGCGAAACTTCTCGGCTTGTTCGGGGCTGAGGGTTTGCACATAGCAGGTCCAGGAGGGATTCTCGCCGCGCTGAATGGCGTTGAAGAGATCCTGGGTGTGCCAGTCTGGGTTCTCGGCGGATAACTTAGCAGCCTCGTCGTTGTTGAGGGTCTTGTTGCCCTGATCGGTCTTGCAATGAATCTGGACGTAGTTGAAGGTCCCGTCGGGTTTGATCCACTTGTAAGTGTGACCGGAGTAGCCGTTCATGTGGCGGTATGAATAAGGAGTACCACGGTCACTGAACAGGTGCATCAGCTGGTGGACGGATTCGTGATGGGTGGACAGATAGTCCCAGAACATGGTAGCATCCTTCAAGTTGGTCTGCGGGTTGCGCTTCTGAGTGTGGATGAAGATAGGGAACTTGGCAGGGTCGCGCAGAAAGAAGATCGGGGTGTTGTTGAAGACCCAATCCCAGTTACCCTCCTCAGTGTAGAACTTCATGGCAAAGCCCCGGGGATCCCGGGCACTGTCAGGCGATCCCTTCTCACCTCCAACGGTCGAAAACCGAGTGAGCATCTTGGTCTTTTTGCCAACACCCTTGAGCATGTCGATGGTGGTCTGGGATGGGTTAGTCTCACAATGTCAGTAGATGCATGTCTCCCACGTACAATGTCGCTGATATCATCGGTGACCTCGAATTCACCGTAGGCGCCAGCACCCTTGGCATGCACCACGCGCTCGGGAATACGCTCGCGATCGAAGTGTGCTAGCAGGTCGATCAAATGGAAATCCTGCAGTAGCAGAGGGCCATTAGGACCAATGCGCTGCGCAGCCTGGGGGTCCATGACCTAATCGTATGTAAGACATTGCTGTTCGAGCCTAAAGAGAGAACCTATCGTACTGGACAGCCATTGGAGGCTGTATATACCGGCGCCTCGTTATAACGGTAGGTCTCTGGAGGGAGAATCAGTAGGTGCTTCGGCTCTGTGGATCTATACTCACTCGGCGTGTTGCTCATGTTGCGAATTGATGTTTCTGATAATATTCAAAAACAGGGAATTCCATATATCAAAAGCCAAACGGCAATAAGAAAAAAACAATAGAGACACGGGCCCACTGATGTGGAATCTTCTACCATTCATTGGTTGTCGAAGACCTCGGGATTTGATATCCACTGCGTTTCGCGATCTTTTCGGGATTGTTTCATCCCGGCAAGTCCTGAGCATGGAGTTCAATGAGTCTTGTCATTCTCCTTGGGATCAGGTCCCGGACTGGCCCAGTCGTGCTGGTCGAAGTATTGGATACTAACTTGCCAAGTTCAAGAGAACTGTTTGTAATGTCCAATTTGGCGAAAATGTATTCATGCGTCTAACCGAAATCCTAATAAAAAGTTTCAAATTCAAATTCCCCGGTTGCTTGTGGGCAGCCATTGAGAAAGCACTAGTGACATTGCCTTTGGCCGGTCGTGGACAGATATCCTTGGGGCAATGGGTTTGTTCAAGCCAAAAAAGAAACAAAATGCTCGCTCACATGGCAATCGTATAGTTTATAGTGCAAGGGCCAAAGTCAACCAAAATCAAAAGAAGCATGGAAAGTAAATGGGTATAGTTAGCGGGGCCTGGGGCCAAGAGGGCAGCTCGATTGAACGAGCGCGTAAGTACGGTCCGGTTATGTGGAAGATCCATATACTTCAGCGAGAGGTTGGTGTTGCTACCAAGCCAGCGGCTGTGTTTGACAATGTGCTGGTAGGATCACGGCACCAAAACCACCCTGGGGTGTGGCAACTGGTGCTCGGAGTCGCTGCCGGGAAAGTGGTGGTTACTGTGGACACGGGTGCGGCAGTTGTAGTAGTAGGGTCATTGCAACCAAACCACCCTGGACTGTGGCAAGTGGTACTCGAAGTCATGGTAGGCAGAGTAGTCGTAAATGTGGATATGGGGGCAGCTGTAGTAGTGGTAGGGTCATTGCAGCCGAACCAACCAGGGGTCTTGCATGTCGTAGTGGTAGCGGTAGTAGTTGGGGCGGTCGTAGTGGCGCCAGTGGTACTTGAATCCAAACATCCCCACCACCCAGGGGTCTTGCATGTAGAGGTTCTTGTGAAAGAGGTGGCCGTTGTCGTAGAGGTGGTAGTCGTAATCTCGGACCCATTGCTTTTAAAAAATTTCCACAACTCACAGTCGTAGCACTCTTCCTCCGCAACGCATGCTGGAACTGTATCGTATTTCTTAATCACGTCGGAGATCACATTCTCAATCTTGTGGGTGCCAAGGCCCACACGCCAGCCCTTATCCCCGACCGTGTCATAGGCGCACACCTGACCAGTGTGACAAGCTGACTCCATTGCGTAACCACCCCATGTGCAGATCGAGTTGATTCCATTACAAGTTCCCATGTAAACTGGGTCTGCGGTATGCCCGAAATGGTAAGCTCCAGTGAATTGTCGCGCCTGCGGAAGTCGCGAGTCATAGCCTGGTGGGCTAGGAATCCCAAGTCGAGCTGCAGGCAAGGCTTCCGGCACGGCCTCGAAAGTCACTACGGGCAATCCGTATGTCAACCCGACCAGGCTGGTCATCGCGCCACCCAAGGAGTGGCCGGTCATCCAAACATTCGCGTCCGGGTAGATCTCGGTGACGTTAGAATAAAGATCCAAGGCCTGCTTGTAGTAGTGGTTTTCGTCATTCATAGATTCGACGATGCAAGTCAAATTTGCAGTATATGTTTTGGTCTGGCAGTCGCACGACTGCCTCCATAGATAAGAGCCTCCTTGGCCACAACAACAACTGAAGAATAGATTGTCGTTAACTTTATCGTTGGTAGTGGTACCAGCGCCATCGAACAAAGCGGGCGAAGTCCCCTTCAGGGAAATGACGATGGTGCTGTTAGACTTGTCGGAGTAGATATGCCCTCTAAGCCCGTCCTTCTGCCATCCAAAACTCCCTGAGTAGTTAAATTGACCATGGATGGTATGCCACTCGCCCGTTCCCGGTTCTTGAATATAGTCGTTTGCAGTCATTTCTGCAAAACTCAGGACTGTCTGTTTGTCCGTAATGTTGGGCCCGGGCAGAGTGTCCATGACCCATTCTTGTGGAGAGAGAGCCGACGCAGAGCCCGAAGACTGGGCAGCTGCTAAGTGTCCCTCGACCACGGAGATTCGTCGGTCGGCCAGTCGATGTATTTTCAAGGGGCTGGATGTCGCCAGAAGTGGTGATTCCGATGCGAGGTATTCTGTTTCCTCGCCATCTTCAGACACGGCTCGCAAGCGGGTCTCGGGCGTGACGTCAAGCCTCGCATGTAACTCGGTTTCATCGTGTGTGACCCGGTGGAAGATGTGTCTAAGAGACTTAAGTGTGATGGTCAGTTGCTAGTTCACACGACATATCGTAAGTTGGTCATCTTACAAACTCATGGGCCTCCGCTGTAGGCCCCGGCCCGTCCAAGGGTACCTGTGGCGGGAGTATGGGATACTGCTGATAGTCCGAGGCAGAGACCGGTAGTAGAGTCGATAGTAATAGGCAGGCACTCAGCCCAAAGCGTAAACGTTTGCGGGACATGATGATGGGGGGAATCAAGGAGAAGAACTATCGTTATCGACTCCAGGGCTGTCACTTATCAAGTGACGCAGTGCGGAGAACAGGATCTGCACGTGATTCGAGTACCGTGACGCGATACGGTAATCCCATTCCTGATCTTCGGATCTTCTGGTCTGCTGCGCCTTACATTCTTGTTCTTGCTGTGGCTCTCGATCAGCTGTCTAGCTGATCTTCGTCTGCTGAAACTACCTACCGACGGCCAAAACGGCGGAGCTCGGGCAGTGATCGACATAGGCCTATCAGCGGCATCTGGAAGCGGAGACACGCAATTAGTGCCTGATAGACCCCATCTCGCCCCTGGCCTTGAAATGTCTGGCTCTGAAAATGGCATTCGACCCCATTTACATCCCACACAGTCATTTACCAGGATGGAAAGCTCAGATCTGAAGTCTGGAGACTCGACTCCTGTCGCCTCAGGCAAAGAGGGGCAGACAACCGGGCCCGACGTGTTCGAAAGACGCGGTTCGGCAGACTCGAATATGGCTGGCGATGGACAGGCGGATGAAGGCTTTGTCCTGTCACGCAGTCTGCAGGACCCCTCAGAGGAGCTTCCGATTGAATTAATCAGCCTAGCAGATCGGTAGGTCCTTTTGCGTGCCCACCAGGAGCAGTCTTTATCTAACGGTCTCCAGATTCGTAAATTCTTTGAGCGCCAAAGTACACAGCTCGCCTCCGACGATCGACAAGATCTCCGAGCTCTTCCAGGTCTTCTACAGCCGCGCCGAAACCCACATAGCCACCCACATATCCGCCCTCATAACTCGCATCAACCGCGATCTCTCGCCCCAAGTCCCCGCAAACCCTCCACGTGGAAGCGCGTTGTCAAAGTTGACAAACAAGCGCTCTCAGGATGATGTCCGACAAACGGTTTCTGGTCGTCAAATGCTGACCGCGTCAGAGGTGGCTGAAAAGCGCAAAGCTCGCAAGGATCTTGAAAACAAGCGAAGTGCCCTGGAAGAAGCCGCAGAGCGCAGGGTCTGCGAATTGGTCTACGATAAAATTTGGAGGCACAAGAGCACACTGGATGATGTGCGAGACGAGAAGCTGCGCTCAAAGACTGCAGCATTGCTGTTGGTTGGTATTAATCTGAAGGACCTTGGCATTGAGATAGATCTCGAGTCCATCGAAGAGCAGAAGCAGGATGAGGCGAACGAGTTTCTCGCCCAGGCACGAGAATGCCTCGCAAAGATGGACGACTATAAGTATCCCCTTGGGAAGCTTCAGCAGCTAGCAGCGGCTCACAAGGCCATTGTTGATGCCCTCACTAAAATTCTGCCGTCGTCCTCCTCGGCAGACGAAATCCTTCCCACCTTGATCTATTCGCTTGTGACATGTCCGCCTGAAGGGATTAACATTGTCAGCAACTTGCTCTTTATTCAACGGTTCAGGTCCTCAAGTAAAATTGACGGTGAAACAGCTTACTGTCTGACCAATCTTGAAGCTGCTATTAGCTTTTTGGAAAATGTCGATCTCTCTACACTGCGCGCCGATGAGCTACAAGACGGCCCGCTCAAAACCCCCGAAGCAACCACGCCATCTGCGGAACATGTTGATCCTTTCCGGCCATCAAAGGAAACGACCACTTCATCTGTTTCAGCTGTCTCAGCATCACCGGAACTGGCCAAGCCAGAGACCAAGGAGCCTGCATCAACATTGCCGAGACCTCGTCTTACTACAACCCCACAGCAACGACGTCTGAGCAACCTTTTCCAACCTCCTGCCAAAGTTCTTGGTGCTGCAAATGACGCCGTCCGTACCACCGCGGATCAAGGCCTGAAAAACATCGGTGCCACCCTGGACAGCAGTTTCAACTTCTTATTCGGTCGTCTGAAAGAAATGCAAACCAACCAAGGGCCGAACACAGAAGGAACCGGACCATTGCTCCCAAAAACACTGGCAGAGGCCCGACGTCTAGTGTCATTACCGCCTGCCTCCTCCTCCAATCAAAGCCTAACCCAAGGAGAATTGGCGGCGATCAACTCTGTCTCCGTGAACGAAAGCACACCGCCACGCAGCAGCTCAAGGCTCGCCGAACCATCCAGTGGGGGTCCCACCCCCCGTGATCGCAGCGTGGACAGCACCCGAACCCAGGGAAGCAGTAAGAAGTCCATAACCACCTCTCTGCGGGAAGAATTCACATCCAATTCGGCAATTAGTCCAACCCCGCTAGAATCAATGCGGAACTTTGGCAACACCCTTAATCCTTTGAACCACATCCCTGGAATGATGAGAGGCTTTGGCCGCAACACACCAGAGACTCCCACCGGCCGCTCTGTGTCCCCTTCTGGTCTTGATAGATTCAAGCCATCGCCTGCCTCGGTGGAAACTAACAGTGGGGCGCCCAGTCCGCTGCCTGCGGCGGCGAAAATCGATCCTCCCATTCAGCGTCTCCTTGAGACTCAAGATGCGCAGGCCCTCCGCATTGGGGATGTAGCTGTTCTGCTGGAGGATTACAAGAGGTTGGCTGCAGCCCTCTTTAAAAATACCGAGTCCCGGTGATTTTCGGATTACTTTGGCGTTTAGCTTGCACTATCGGCGTTATAGATATCTTAAACGGCATTTCATTTTGGCGAGCAAGGGCTAGGTAGCATTGTTTGGCATTGTCTATACCATACATCTCTAGCAATATATTATCACTACATCAAAATAAACTTCGAGGCCGCTAGAAGAGTTCCACAAATCCAATCAGACGTCAAAGGGGTATTCGGCAATAATCATCAAGTCCCGGTTGGCAATACGCTCTCTCTCAATAGAAATTAGGCAAAGAATCATCAAAAAGGCCCGAAGGTTCAAGGGTAACGCCCACGGAGGACCTCTGCACCGCCACTTCTCATCTCCGTCAACTTGTTCGTCAGTTCCGTGTTCTGAGATTCAACTTGGTCGTGTCGACGTTTCACTTCGCTTTCAAACACAGCAGCTGTTTGGCGGCGAGCACGCCTCAGGTTCCTCATTTCTGAGAGAAGATGGGTAAATCGGTCAATCACTTGATCCCCGCAGTCTTCCCATTCATACAGGCTCATCTGGGACAGATAGGTCTGGCGTTCTTGGGCGGTCAAATTCAACAAGTCAGACACAGCATTTTTGGGCTCATGATCATCCGGGATGAAAGTTGGTTTGGGCGGCAAGGGTGGTGATTTAGCAGGAAGTGGAGGAGGAGCCTTGTCGAATGGTTCGGCTTGCAGCTCTGAGAATGACTTTTGGTAGAGCACCTCAGGGGGGTAGTCAGCTTCAAGTGGACGCTTTTTGTTGTGTATGATAGTGTTGCGGCGAGTTCGGGTTGAGGACTCGGGCGCTCCGCGGAGTTCGTGAGGTTCATGCATTTCATGCATTTCTTGTGGTTCGCGTGGTTCGTGTGATTCGTGCGGATCTTGAGACTCGTCCAGGTCGTGCGCAAAAAAGGGATCATGGATGGTGTCGTCGACATCCAAGTCGGTTAAGCTAGTCATGTCAAAGGCATTGGTTGAACGACTGACTTCTCTTCTACCGTCTGCGCGGATGGTAGGTTCCATACCATCATCGCTTCCGCCGTCACTGTCAATGTGATCCGGGAAATACGAGATGCTGGGTGACTGGGCGAGTTCAGGTAGAGGTTGCGGGTGGCGTGTGGGTGATTTCTCAAGTTTCTTGTCAAGCTGTTCAAGAAGTGAAGGTTTGGGTGGACTGAATCGCGTCCTAGGTGTTGATGAAGTATTTTGGGGAAGCACAACTTTCCTGGGGCCGGTCGAAGGAAGCATTTGACCCAGTTTCCGTGGCTTGGGCTTGGGCTGCGACTCAACTGGAGGCTCCGGGTCAGAGCTTGCCATGACAGGCTGGGGTGAAGATGTCCGCTTTCTGGTTGAAGACCAAAATTTCTCTAGGCGCTTGCTCAGGGGCTCTTCGGCCATACGGGGCTTGTGTGACCAACCGGCTGGTTCGTCGGTTTTTTCGTCATCTCCGCCATCCCCTCCCAAAGACGACGTGATTTGACTGCCGAAATCCTCGAGTCCATCTGAATCGAACGCTGTCTTCTTCGTGGGCTGGTCACCCATCGGTTCGTACCATTGAGATCCATAAGCTTGCCGTGCAGGCCTCGGTTGGTGCAAGGGTTGTGGATCAGCATTTGCGTAAGGCACATTTTTGCTCAATGCTGCCTGGGATTTGCTGTCATCAACCTCGTAGACGCTTGTTCCTGCCACGGTGGAATCATCAATTTCTTCCACATCCGTGTCAAAAACACCCCGGTCCCACTGCCCCTGCGGAGGTTGCGGGCCCTGTAACGGCTGCGTAGAGAAGCTACGGGGCTGATTTGGGAACTGGGGCATTTGGAACCCCAATGGTCCCCCTCTGCCGTTGGTAGCTGCAGCTCCTGGGGCGACCAGTTGTGTTGGGGGCATTTCGACTCTGGCCAATTCCGCACGCTGCTGGCGTGACTGCGCGGGTTTGGCGGCTCGAGGCGGTCCGCCTTCCTTTGAATGAATATAGTCCCCCACCCCCATTGTCACGGATCTCTGATTATCGGGGGGAAGTGCCTGCCTCGGAGGTTGGGCGGTGGGATTCGTGACCGCCGCGCATACGCGATAGTACGCGTGGTCACGTGCATTGGCTGTCAACCTTTCAGGTTGGAAACGAGCGAGGACGAGGCACTTATATTGGGTACTATGTAACATGGATACTTTCAGAATTGAAGAGTACTAGGTACTGTTACTGGGTATAGAATACAGATAGTCCAGGCCCAGCCCTTAGATACTGCCAAGGGTTACCATTCCTAGTTTCGTCCATGGATGATCGATATATGTAATCACGGTTGGTTCCAAGTTTTGAATTTCGAGCTTCATGTTTGTGGGTATAATTGATATCGTAGGTTTTGTAGATTAGTTAGGTGGCGCCGACCTAGCTGAACTCTCTGATGTGAAAGCTTTCCAGATTCCGAGCGAGATTCTTTCCGCGTTTCTGGGCCTTCTCAAAGAACTCGGCTGATTTCTTTACTTCGACTGATTTCTTGTCGGTGGCAAGTCTCAACTCGCGCCTGGCTTCCAAAAATCCTGGGGCTTCGTCAAGTTGCATGGGATCGTGATCATATTCGTCGTCAAACTCGACCGGCAATGCTATTGACGAGATCAACAAATCGCCAATCCACAGCGAGATCATTCCCCTGAGTTCAAGCAGTTCAGCTGAGTCAGAGTATGGAGGGGATGCCAGAAGTTGATCTATACGAGCAGCAATGTGCTGCGCTTGCCCTAATTCTCGAGCTCTGATTGAGCTGATGGCGTTCTTGCCTCGTTGTTGTCGATGTTGCCCGAGGTCGGACTCTGATTCATCGTCAGAGAACTCGTCATCGTCATCCTCAAGACGTGTAGCAACACCCTCTCTTGCTGTATTGCTTTCTTCCTGGGTCACATAGACCCACAACCCGAACATAGCAGGGTAAAAATGCAAAGAAGAGATAGATTGCGGCGAAGTTTTCGTGTATGGATGGTTGAGGATAAGCCGTTCATAGTATTCCCTAGCCTGCGCAAAGCCTGCCGTGGTGAAACTGGAGAGCGTACTATTGGTTGCGTTTGGGGATTTGCTGCCAGTAAGGCTGGCCGAAGTAGGTTGCTGACCTCGTCGAAGCAAGATCTCTGCCCCAATGCCCCACCTTGTTTCGTTACGGACATCCATTGGAGAACCTCGGTAATTCTCTCGTAGAATTAAGCCCCAGGCTCGTCCTGCTCGAACATAGTCGCCTTGAAGCATACATCGATGCAAGATCGCGGTCATTACACCGAGATGCTGAAAGCGAATGTTGCTTTGTTCGGCTGTTTGAGGAGGGTAGAGTGGAGGGGACAGATCCGCCAACGCCTCCAGTGAACGTGCATTGGTCTCCCTTTTGGGCTCATCTTCCTGGGGTGGTCCATGAGGGAATTTGCCTTGAGGCAACTCCTGGTGAAATGGAAAGCCGGCAATACGGTATTGATGAGATTCATTTGGTGTCAGTACCAAGGATGGGCCCGGCTCAGTCTCTATCGACGCGACATCAGTCGTTTCGTCATCGGGACCGTCATCTTCGACACTCTTGCGTTTGCGATCATACTGAGATACACGAGATCCTGACGGTTGAAGCCAGGATGGCAATGGCAGAGTAAAGACCGAGGCTGAAGGCGTAGTCGCCATCCCGTTGGGAACAAAAAGGGACAAGTCTCAAATTTGCGGCTGGAAGATGGCGGAATGGACAATGCCTCAGGCATCAATGGACCACTTATCTTTCTATCAGGTAGACACATCAAGAGCCATATCACATCTTCTTTCTTTCATCTCTCTTCTTCTTTCCCCCCCTTTTTCCAACCCTTGCTTCTATCCCTCTTGTTTCTGTTGCTCATCTTGCTTTCTCTGAGTGCGGGCCACCTCAGCTTCTCGGCAAGCCTCTCGGCGGTTATACCAGGAGTGGGCTGTGTCTGGACGTATCCGACAACTCGAGACCGTTCAGACTCTTGGCTACCGTTGCTTGCATGAGAGGAGTTGCTTGACGCGTTTCATCTTGCAAAAAGCCCCCCTCAACCTCTTTCCTGAATTCCTCCTTTGTTTCAACGGACACGGACTCTAGAACCATTCCCGAGGACCCCGACTGCCGCAACCTCGCCGACTTCAACCGTAACAAAACCATCGGAATCACCGGGAAATCATCAACTTTGGAACATACTGGTTGAATTATCTCACATTCATCTTCATACGGTCGCCGCTGCCAATCATAAGGTCGGTCCTATGGCAGTGAACGCCCTCTGACATATCGCATCGAGTACAATTGCCACAATTATTATGGGACAGTCCTCTTCTACTCAACGTGAATCACCTAACACCGGAAACCCGACACATCTCACACCCCCTATTGAACGTCGCTCGCACCCGAGGTATGAAGACATGAATCACAGGCGGGCGGTTGAACACAACGGAGACGGCGGCCATTCTGCGGGCGAAATGAGAGCACATGATTACAATGAGGGTATGACGCCGGATCAGTCTACCGAGCGGTCAGACTCGTGGCGACAATACATGCGATCTGCTCGACCCATGCGAAGCATCGACGAGGACGGCCTCGAGTACGAAATGCCTTCGCGAGAAATGCGCAATGCAGCCTTCGCTCGAATGACAGCGCGACGACAGTCAACCATGTCAAGACTTGGCTCTAGACTGCTTCCAAATTCAGTCATCCGGGGCCTCCTCAACAGTCAAGAAGAAACTCCCGCCGAAGGGCATGCACATCGACATGGGCTAATCAATAGACCCGCTCCACGGACTGAAACTGCCCACACCACCGGTCGATTTAGTTCCTTTGGATCTAGAGGAATCACCAGACGGCGATCTACCCAGGCAACTTACTTCCCACGCGGAGAGGCTGCTGGAATCCCAGATGGACCAACGAATGTCCCATATCGTGATCCGGCAGATCAGATACCTGAGCCCTCGCGAGCTTCCTGGCGCCGCAGTGTTCGACTCAATCGTATGCGTCATTCAATTTCATCGCCCATTTCGCACATTTTTGGGCAACCGCATCCGGGTTTGCACCCCCGGGAAAGCGCATCAATCCCGGAGCTTCCATTTGATGAGAGAGCTATGGACACCCACATGGACTTAACTGAGCCACCCCATGAGCTCGATTCCGTGGAGCCAGCGATTCATCCTGCGGATTCTCTGCCCAGTCTAGGCACTGGCCCAACGAACCCCAATCTGATGCGTCGTCTCCCTGGTATCATCAGAGCAAGGTCGTCTAGAGTTTTGCGACGAGAGGAGCAGACCCCCCTTTCCAGAGTTCTTCAACTTGCTGCAGCGGCGATTGCTGCTCAGCTATCTGGCACTCCTGGGCCAGCGTTGCCCAACATCCAAGCGTTGGGAAATGATGGAATAGATGGGTCTTTGGAGAACTTCATACAGAGTCTGCAGCATGCGACTTCCGGTCAGGGTAATCCCGCAGCACCTGGAGATGAATCAAGCAACACCTCAAATGAGGCGCCTGCGCAGCCAGTCAATTTCTTACGTGTGTTCCGATTCGCCAATTCGGAGCCGCCTGCTAGCCCAGATATCCCAGGCCAGAGTACATCAAGTACATCAAGTGCAGACGACCGCTCCAATGACACTATGGACGTTGATGACCCCAGAGAGGGCGAGGAGCGGACCGTTACTTTAGTGGTGGTTGGAGTTCGGTCGGTGCCGTCTGCGAATGGAGGGAACGGGGAACAGCCTTCAGGTCCTGCGCCTGGTCTCGATGCCCTGCTTGGACTCCCATTTTTGCCGCCCAACGCCATCCCCCGGCCTCCAGGGGCTCCTTTGGGCCCGGCGCCTCCAGGCGATGGACAATCCAGATTGCAAATCCCTCGTCAATCTGATCTTCCCGCACCCCGCGCTCCCACCAGTCCTCCGATTTTCGCGCGCCCCCCACCCCCTGTCGCCGCTAGACGCATGTCTGAGCCCCATCCCCCTCTATTCGAAAGCCCCCCGGGACCCCACCCGCCACCATCGACGCCCGCGGAACATGCGGTCTCCACCGGGTCTTCAGGAACCTCCACTCCCAGTCAAAGACCATCCTCTGCTTCAGCATTGCCATATGATCTTCCAGAAGGTTTCCATAGCCACCACATGCAGCCGACGGTGGAGCCCACCCGGGAGCCTCCTGCATTCAATCCCGTCCACCAGCGACGCCGAAGCGATTCTGAATTCGCACGCCATAGGGCACTTGGCTCTGGCTCCCTTCGACGCAATGGCATGGTTGAGCCTGATCAGCCTCCACCCAGTGGGGGAGGCCGCAGTTGGCTGATCTATGTCGTTGGGACTAACCTCTCTGCGAACCACCCCGCCTTAACCACCCCATCTCTTTTCACAGATGTAAGAATCACAATCATGCTCCTCGAACCTCCCGCTGACCATAGCCAGAACCCGACATATGAGGATATGATCCTCCTGTCATCACTCCTAGGCCCGGCCAAACCTCCCGTTGCCTCCCAGACTGACATCAACTCCGCAGGCGGACTGTTCCGTCTTGTGGAATACGGCGGTTCCTTGGTCGCTGAAGCCGTGGAAGGCCTTGGATCTCTCCAAATGCAAGACGGAGAGCGCTGTCTGATCTGCCTCAGTGACTACGAAGTAGCTGAGGAGGTGAGAGAGCTCAATAAATGCAAGCACGTCTTCCACAAGGAGTGCATTGACCAGGTGAGCCTTTCTCGTGTCTCCATTTTTCTTGCCCTTTGCTAATCATCACTCAGTGGCTTACTACTGGACGAAACTCGTGTCCTCTGTGCCGTGGCCAAGGCGTCCACGAAAACGCAGCGCCCGACTCTGCTCCAGGTCCCGCTGTACCTGATCTAGGCCCGACGGTGGTCTGAATCCTTGGTCCGCATTGCTGTGCCCTTCTCACGGGTGCACCCCTTTTTGTTTTAGCATCAAGCGCCTGCTTTGAGCCTGTAACGTTTTTGTTTGTTTATCATGGATATCCCCTTTGCATATCAGTGTTGCGCATCGCCTTCTGGGTGCTTTATTTTCAATTCATTGGATTCTTTACAAATCAAGGTACGTGCATGGCTTCGATATTAGCCCATGTACACATTGTACACTTTGGTTAAGCGCCATATCTTCAAGTAGCAAGTAGTATCCAGTGTTTCAACTATATAAATGTCGCTATAGCTAATTTGGGCGACCTCGGAGCCCCGCGGCTGAGTCAGCGCTGGCGGGGGATGCGCAGCAAAAATTTGGAAACCCAATTGTCGGACATTGAATCATCGCAATTGATCCTAGTCTTGTACAATTTGACGACCTCGTTGGCCGGAGCTGCATCTCAATCCCACCAAACCCTGGAAGCTCGCAGAGTCCAACTACCCCACCTGGACATACTCAACACGCACATCCGTCATGGCCTCCCCAATCCGCATTACTGTTCTCATCTCCGGCAACGGCTCGAACCTACAAGCAGTGATTGATAAAATAGCCGCCGGTCAGCTCAATGCCTCCATTGTCCGCGTGATTTCCAACCGCAAGACGGCATTCGGCCTGGAGCGCGCAAGCAAAGCCAACATCCCCACTCAATACCACAACCTCGTCAAGTACAAGAAGCAGCACCCCGCAACACCGGAGGGGGTCCAGCTTGCACGCGAAGAATATGATGCCGAGCTCGCGAGACTCATCCTTGCCGATACCCCGGAGCTAGTCGTTTGCCTCGGCTTCATGCACATTCTCTCCCCGCAGTTCTTGGAGCCCTTGGAGGCCGCTAAGACGAGGATCATCAACCTGCACCCTGCGCTCCCGGGGGCTTTCAATGGTGTTGTGAGTAACTTTGTACCAAGATTGGGGGACACTGCTGATTTGTTAGAATGCGATTGAACGCGCTCACGCCGCGTGGCTGGAGGGCCAGATCGACAAGACGGGTGTCATGATGCACGATGTCATTTCCGAGGTGGATATGGGGACACCGATCTTGGTCCGAGAGATTCCCTTCCAGAAGGGCCGGGATGAGAACGTCGAGGCCTTCGAAACTCGAGTCCACGAGACAGAGTGGGGGGTTGTCATTGAGGGTGTGGACCTGGTGCTGAAGGAACTGCAAGCTCAGAAACAGCAATCCAGCGCATGAACTGCTGTGTGGATGATGCTATAGCCGGGCTCCGGGCGAAAGGAACTCGCGATCTGCGTACGGAGTACGGAGTACGCAACGACATTCGACCCAGGACTATGCATTCCTCACCCTTGGAAGGATACCACCGTTGACGAGTTATGACTATAAATATATATGTATGATTCCAAAAAGAAAAAGAGACAAGTCGCATGTGATTTCTGGCATCGAGATCTTGAGACCGGAGATGGTCACCGAGGTGAGACCAGCCAAGGAGGCACGCAAATCCCAGGGGCTGGGCACAGACCTAAGATCAGAGGCGCCGAAAGGTATAAAATGAGGGCGCCTAGGTCCAGATGGGTCCAGGACAAAGACACCCCGGTGAAGCTCCCTTTCACATGCCAGACGTAGATCTTGATTCTACGCTGGGAGCAATCATGTCCGACCACGTGATATCACTATCCTGGCTCCGTGAGACAGGAGACGTCAAGGCCAATTCGAAAATGGTCCAGTGCAACCAATACGAGAGGGCAGATACGCTGCCCTGACCGTTGGACCTCCGGTGCCAACATGACAGATCAACCAGAGAGGTCCCGGTCCACCAGGCGTCTGCCCCGGGCTCCCACTGGGCTATCTGCCGGTGGGTTCGGTGGGTTCAGTGGGCTCGTTTTGGCCCCCGACTGCACCGGCGTCAACTCAATTAAATGGACTTCCGTCACCTGGGGATCGGCCGATGTGGTGACCTGTTTAGGCAAAGACTGGGATCTGTCCCGGTGGGGCTGTGTGGCCTTGTTGGTTGATCATATCCGGAACACCCAGACTCACATCTCCGGACTAGTCTTGGGAATTGTAGGCCGATCATTCCTGGTTTGTGCATTGAGTTCTCCAGTCGGGCTAATAAGTTCCGACTACCGTTCTGAGCTCTGTCTCTCAAAGATCCTGGTCTCCACTCCTGGCGTTTGCTGGAGATTCCATTCTCACCTGGTCTGATGGCCAATGACAAGCGGAACAGCAGACTGGATATTCTTAGCTTCGTGATGGCCAATGAAGAAGACTTTGAAATCCCGACTCCGTTACTAGTACCGTTACTAGTCCCCAGTGGAAGTCGTCCCTCGGCATCCTGGGATCTCATTGCTCAGGGCTGAAAGACGATCCGCCACCCCAAAGTCATTTCCGCACGGAGTCCTCCGTACGACTCGTGTGATCTCCCGCAAATCGCATTGGCATGATCCACCGATTGCCCCTGGAATTCTGTTCTCATAAAAAGCACCGAATCAGGCATGGTAGCGCATGTGGGGACCTTAGCTTCTTCTCTCCCACGATGCGGAGATGTTTCCTTTACCAGTTTAACACATAGGTTCTGTCGAGCTCGGCGTCTACGGAGTCCAGTACGGAGCTTGGAGCTTGGAGTACGGATCTTGGACGAGAAGCATCAGGAGCCTCACTAGTAATGTACCGGTCCTTAGGGCCCACCGGATGTCAAGTATACCTAGGTAATGATCCAGATGCACGGCCCGGTGATTAATTTTGTATACTTCGCACTACTCCGTATGTATGCGCCAGTGCATTGGAACCTTGTATTGGATTGCCACCTGGACCGAGTTTGCCCCTATTCTTTCTACTACAGCGCTACTACCTAATAATCCGTAGTCCATGGTATTCTGGCATGTGTCTGAAAGGCGGAGCTGTCTAAATTGAGAATGTTGAGCCGACGCAGTTGAACCAAGGCTTCGCCGTGCTAGTGCCCTTTGATCTATCTCCACCCATTGTCGTCGATCAGGCACGACAGCCTGGAATATACCTAGGTATGGGAAATGGAATAATATAGAATGTACTGTGTAGATGCAGCTAAATAAGGCCAAGGTTAATTTAATTAAAAAAACCTTGGTGAACAGTGAATCATCACTATATACATTAGCTCCACTGGGGATCTCCAAACGTTTTCGGCATTTTTCACGCTGGCGTCGAAGTTTCAGATTTGCCGAGTATCCCAGTGGGCCTGATTATTCATAGATGACCGAGATTGCCGATCCTGACAGATTTATATGTGCCCAGGTGTGCAGTAGAGAACTCGTACTCGTATCCTGATAAAAGGCAAATTAGTCTACATTATTGTACGGAGTAGAGTGTAGAGTGAATATCCGTATACTCCGTAGTATATGCATTGAGCCCTAAGCGCTACCTAGGTAGAATGCATATCCCGAACTTGGAACGGAATTGCCTTCCAGATCGCCGTTTGGATCCCCCTTTTCATGATTTATAGAGGCCCCGAGGTTCATCCGCGAAGATCAATGTTCCTGATCGTCCACAGTGATAGGGGGTGTTAGCGTCATGACCCTGCCCCGCTGGACTAATGAACTATGACTTAAATGACCTTAAAGGCCGAGACTATTTTAATAGTATTGGAATAATATTTATATTTTGTGCAGATCAAAATACCAAATACAGTAAAACGACTGAAAATAAAGAGCACATCGGGGGTAACAAAGGTAACTGACCGAAATACCGTAACTCCGTAACGACAGCTGCTCTAATCTCCGCACGTCCCCGAGATCCTATTACTTCAACCTCACAACTCGACTGACCATGACTCTAGATTAATTTCTAATGAGGGGCGACATGACGAATTCACAGTCGTCCCACGCCCTGTCGGGCTTGCTGGACTCAATGCAGGATCCAAATGCATCCGCATATTCCCTGCTGGGCCCGACAGAGTATCCCGAGAGCGTGGCATTCTGGCACGACCCCTCCGCCCCGACCATGAGGGTAGCCCCCTCATATCAGGCCGTGCCTCTCGCCGAACAGAAGAAACATAAGCGCACTCGCAGCGGCTGCTTCACCTGCCGCTCCCGCCGAATCAAATGCGACGAGAACCGCCCCGTCTGTGAACGGTGTAGGAAGGGCAGTCGGGATTGTGTCTATCCATCACCCGCGCCCTCATCCTCCAAGGCCAGCGCCAGAAACGCCAAATCGCGCGGTTATCGGCCTCCCTCCCAGGGGAGTGACTCGTCGGGGAAGGTCGAGGCCGAAGCTCTCAGCCCTTTGGAACCCATCCTCGACGAGGAGGAACCCGATGCCACATCGGATTCCCGACCGTCGCCCATCATTTCGAGCGCACGACCGAAGATCCATAAAAGCCGGAGCACACAGTCGCTGTGGAAATCCTCCTGGCAAACAGACACCGCCTTTGTGAAAGAACAGAGTAGCTCACCGTCAACCGAATCATCCCGCTTGGAGTCGATGAGCGTGCGCTCGGGCAGCATCGGACATTCCACGGCGGAATTGATCAACAATGCGCGCCTCTCGGACGATGTGCGCTTTTATCTATCCTTCCACCAAGAATTTATGACCACCCCCCACTTCTTCCTAAGACAGAGCTGTTTCCATTTCATCCACCATAACCTGATCGAGCTGGCCTTGCAGTATGAGCCTCTCCTCTACGCCCTGGTGGGCTTTTCGGCCTACCATCACAGCCTGCACACCGAGGGGAAACTCTCTACATTCCTGAAATACTACAACAAAGCATTGGTCCTCCTCCGGAAGTCATTGGGCTCGGGGGAGCCGCACACCGAGGCCACACTTTGCACCGTTCTGGTATTAACTACAATCGAGGTATGTCTCACTCTAGACCATGCACCGCCATTTGATTGACCGAGGTAGGAATACATCGGCGACTGGATGAACTTGATCGACCACCATCGAGCGGCCCATGCACTAATGCGAGAACTGCTGACACCGGAATCATCTAATCTGAATGAGTTACACACCAACATCTTCTTATGGTACGCGCGATTCGATGTCGTCGTGGGCATCCTAGCCGGTACCGAAACATGCCTCAGTCGAGACTGGTACCTAGCCAAGGAACAGCACGATGCAGAACAAGCCGCCCTCTACCCCGACGACCCATCCAAACAACTCGAACTCGTGGGATCCATAAATCGTCGCTTTGGCTTGGATATGGCTTCTCTTTATGCGAAACTGTCTCGCGGCATGGTCTCGATGGAGCAATTTGCTGTTCAGAACGAACAGCTGGGCGCGTGGTTGGAACAGGCGAAGATCATTCTGAGAGCTTTCGACGATTACGAGTACAAAGTGCAGGAGTTCCCACACAAACAACCCTTGACCGAAGACGATATTACGGATCCATATATGCCGGGTGGGTTACACCGGGGTGCTCTCTGGGATTTCAACTACGCCTGGATTGACATCCTCTCCACGGAGACCATGTATAAGTTCCAAACCATGCAAGTTCTCCAGCAGCCCATGCTTCAAGAATTGCAGGATTTGTCCCAGGAACAGTGCCGTCTGATTGAAACCATGGAGCGCTGGCCATACAAAGAGAACGGATATTGCATAATGTTCAAGAACAGCATCGGAATGGCGAGCATGTTCCTCCCAAAAGACCACAAACACCAGATGTGGTCGCGGCGCAAAATGGCTATAATGGAACAGAACGGGTATGTTTGAACCGTGAAGTGTCGAGGCTTGGGGCATGACATCCAAGAACAAGGCTAACATCTTCGCAGATATATCATCCCACCTTCGTTCCGCATGGCCCTTTCTGCTATCTGGCACCAACCCGAAGTCAACCATTGGTGGCTTCCCAACGACGAAGGATATACAAACATCGTCCGAGAAATTCGTGAATTAACAGCCGAGCGCTCCGCACAGCCGCGGGACGAGCTGCGTGAAAACGTCCGTGATATGAAAACTCTCTTCGGGCGACTTAATGTCAATGACTTGGAAGATGGGAGTAGTCCCACCAGCACCAACAGTGGGCATCATTGATTTTCTCCCACATACCTGAGTCCCCTTGGGGTCAAGCCTTTATAATAGAGATGATCAAGCCTAGGTCTGCTCTTGCAGCTTCCATTCGACCCTTCAATGTCATTTGGGCTCTTCTATCCTGGTTGTTTCACACAACATCCGCACCTGTGCATAGTGTCCCGACACATTCCCACACCCACCTCTCCCTTTCTACCTTTCTCATCTTCTCTTGAACAAGATGTTTCTCGGTCATGACTTGATGTACATTTATTATACCCAACTTTCTATAAGATCATTGACTGATACATTTCGCCTTGACGTGTGGGCATTGCACCCCTCTGCTGGCGATTTCTATACAAAAGCATTCTCAGTTTATACAGACCAGATCAATAACCGGTCAACCTTGAAAATGAAAGCGCGCGTTCTTTTCGTGCTTATATACAAGATTCAGTATTCAACATCCATATCACCGTGGAATAGAACACACATCACTTCGTGACTTCAGCCCGAACCCCAGCCTTCCACGGAACATCCTCAGCTCTAACCACAGTCTCTAAACCCCCTGCGAGCTCTCTGCCAGCCCCAACCTCACCATCAAGATCCTCGCCCCACGGCAATGCATCAACGTCAACATCCCACCCCAACAAACACCGCAACACAACCCCCGCGCCCGCCTTGCTCATAACAACATTCATATCCCTACACCGCTCATCACAAACGCACTCCACACACCCCTGCGGCGAAAGACAAGAACATGCCTCGATCCGCGCAACCGCCCGCCGAAGCAACAACCCAATGAACTCAAAGGCCTTACCCGCAATACCGGAACCGCACGACCCGCCCTTCGCATCGTAGAACGTAAGCCGAGCAGGCCGCTGCCGCGAAGGCGGTTTGAGCTTATCTTCAAATTCAGCGGGGACGTTCGCCCGACGCAGCGGACGGCCGAGTTCCTTCTTGGCGATTTTGCACTCGGTGCGGACGTCGCCGGGTGACGAGACGACGAATGATGGCAGGAGCGAGAGGACGGCGTGTTCGGCTGCGTGGATTGCGGCAGCGACGTTGAGTCGGTGGGATTGGAGGATGTCAATGGCGCGAGTGGGTACGTCCAGCCACATTCCTCTGGTTAGGCGGTCTATGGGGGGATTGTCGACGGCGACGGCGTCGAGAACACGGCCACGTTTGTCGACCTTGAAGAAGCCGTAGACGACGGCGTGGATTTGGATTGTGCCGAAGAATGCTCGGCTGGAGCGCGAGTCGGCGCTGACGCTGCGCATGGTTTCGGTTTCGATTGGGTCGATGTCTGTGTAGTCTCTTTGCATGGTGCTCCAGTCTACGTGGACGCGGATGACGCGGGCGAAGAACTTTTCTGGATTGAGTTCTTTCACTAGGTAGTTCGTGCCTTGGTGGAGGAAGATGCCTCCTTCGTAGATTGTGAAGAAGGCGCGCGAGGCTTCGACTTCTTCAAGGACGATGTTGCGGTTGTTGGTTGTGTCTATGACGGCGAAGTGTTGGTCTTCGGTGTCGCGGATTGAGACGCAGCGGCAGGGCTGGGGTCGGAATCGGGCGTGGCAGTGATAGAACCCGAGAGGGTCTTTGGTGAGCCGCGTCGGGGCTAAGGCGAGAAGTTGATGGCCGAAATATACGCTGTCTTCTTCCGGGCGAATGGGCATCTCAAAGGCAGCGCATTGGACATGGCCCTCGAGGATGAGTTCATTGGTCAGATCGATCTGTAGTTCGCAGTTTGGTCGTGTGAAGATCTCGTCTGGGTTTTGCATGTAGTGCTGATCGGTTGGGAATTTGTCCCCAATCAGCACCGAGAGGGAGTCCTTGTTGCGTCGTCCAGCACGGCCGCTTTGTTGCCGTAGGTTGGATATCGAATAGGGGAAACCCATGGTCACAACGGCATCCAAGGAGCCAATGTCGACACCCAGCTCCAGGGCGCTGGTCGCAACAATCCCCATCAACTTTCCCTCAAACATCTCTTTTTCAATTTGACGTCGGTCCTGAGGACTGTACCCGCCTCGGTAACCCATCACCATCTTCCCAACTTCGCTGCGCTCCAGCCTGTCAAACTCGTTTCGCACAGCCTGTAAAAGCACCTCACATAGCTGCCTGATCCGACAGAAAGCTATGACCCTCACGCCTCTGAGGATAAGCTGACTGAACAGTCGGGCCGTCTCGGCGACAGTGTCAGTCCGTCCAGAGGTAGGATCTTTGGGGTCTTTGAATGGGGGATTCCAGCAAACAAACTCCTTCCGCCCAGAGGGCGAGCCATCGAAGTCAATCAACTTCACATCCTCTATCCCGAAGACAGATTTCATGTGATCTTCGGGGTTTGCAACAGTAGCAGAGCAAGATATGAACTTGACGTGGCGGTTGCCTACCGCGGCACATATTCGGCGAAGCCTTCTCATGACGAACGCGACATGAGACCCAAACAGGCCATTATAAACATGCAATTCGTCGACTACAACGAACTTGAGGTTTTTCAAAAAGGTCCGCCAGGCACCTTCTTGTGGCAAAATTGTGATATGCAGCATGTCTGGATTCGTGAAGATGATACGTGCTTCATCTCGGATCATGTTCCGACTGCTCATCGGAGTATCTCCATCAAACGTCTCGACCATAGTATGCTGCAACCCTTCCATGTATTGCAGAAGATCCATCATACTGCGGCGTTGATCTTGTGCCAGAGCTTTAGTTGGGAAAATATACATTCCCCTGCTCTCTGAGTCCTTCTCCAGCTCATGAAGCATGGGGACTTGATAGATGAGTGACTTTCCAGAGCTCGTTGAGGTTGACACTATGACATTGTGTCCATCATACAAGTGATTGATTGCCTCTGCTTGGTGGGCATAGAGCTGGGTAATGCCTTTGGTGTTGTACAAGGCATTGACGAGGTCCTGCGACAGTTGAAATGTCAAGTCACCAAAAGCAGGAGACTGTGCTTCAAAGACCCGATGGCCTTCAGGTACAATTTGAGCATGGTACCATTCCATATCCCGAATCTCCGCAATAATCTCATCAATGGGTTTTCGCTCTTTGGGGATAGTTGCCGGCGCTCTTGCTGCCAGAGCAGGAGTATTCTCTCCGCTATTAGGGGGAGTAGGTATGAAGGCGTCTTTCGCTTGTTCAAGACACTCGACCGGATCTGTCTGGTTATCTTCACATTGTACCAGGAACGCGTCCATAGCGTCCGAGAACTTGGAATTCCGCTTCTCGATCAATCCTAGCATCTGCTTTTGACTGTAGACGGGCATTTTCAGATCTTCATCTTTCATCCGACGCACGGGTTTCGTAGGCTGCCCTGTCTTCGGATGCAGTACTTCCCGTTTTAGATCGCCGTCTACGAATTCAAATAGAAGGACATGCTTCGTGTCACCTAGGCAGTCAAGACCTTGATCTTCGGTGTCGGTTTCTGTCGCGTCGTCCAGGTTTTGGCGTTTTCGCGCCCCATACGGTGCCATCTCTTGGTCGCCCATGGTCATGACTTCGAGTTTGGCTTCGTCCACGTACTCGAATCGGACGGCCCCGGGAACCAGAACCTTGACGCGTGCGACATCTTCGATGGTCAGTTCTCGTCCTTGGCCAAGTTGGGACTGAACTGCCTTTTTGATGTTATCGAATGTTGTGGCGAAGTGTTTGCGCGTGCAGCAGAATGTATAAATGAGGTTCAAGGCTCGGTGTGTTTGTGAGAGGCGCTTCAATGCCTCCGGCACTGGCGCAGATGGGGTCCGCTTCGGCGGCTTGGGCGCGGCCTTCTTTCCTCTTCCTTTTCCTTTCCCCTTTCCTTTGTTCTGCTCGATTGGCTCGGTTTGAGGAGGTTTGAGGCCGGAAACAGGCTCGACTTGGTCTAGTGTGGACGCGTTGAGTGGAGATATGGAGTCGATCGGGCCATTGATCGACTCATCACTTCGTTTCCGTTTAAGCGATACATTTTGAGGTAGCTTCGAGGATGAATCTGCCATCTCGAAGCGCCATTGTTGTGCGTAGTGGTTCGGACGTTGGTGGACGAAGTCTGGCTGAGGACGCGCGATCACGTGGACCAATATTACCTAAACGGGCATAAAGTGGCATACCTGGGCATTGAATGTGAAGAATTCGAACGCCGAAATGGGAATACGGCTACCTGAAGACTGTGTAAGGCTTGAACCAGGGCAATGTACTTAGTACAGAAGGATGGTGTGCGCTGGATTTCTAGCGATGTGCTGCATGATATATAAGTCACTTTCCCTTCTGGAAGTATACCTAGTACGTCTGTCATGAAAGCGTTGTTTACTTCATACAAATTACCCTCTAACTTTCCCATAGTGTTTGGATTCGAAGAGACTCAAACCGAGCCTGATGAGACTGGGTAGACCGGGGACCTATTCCATACCTAGGTATCTTTTTCTTTCTTCTTTTTCCAATGTTCTTTGTGATTGTGAATCTGACAGCACCTGCACATTTCCCACGAAGTGCATACTGATATTTTGGCTGTATTTAGATGCAATGTTACCCGATCCTGACAAGCATTCAAAAGGCCCATTTTGACAGTATGGGTCTTAATTGGAAATCATATTGCTCGCTGTCAAACTTCTATAGACTCAACGCACTCAATAAATTAACAACATCATCAAAGCAGCGCATCGGGCCCAGATACAACATGGCCTCTGTTACAACTCTAGCATCACAATCAAACCTGGCGCTTCTGCTTGCCACACTTGGCCAAACACTCCTCAACCTTGATGACCACATCACCAGGGATCGCATCTCTAACTTTATCAATATCCTCACCGGCAATGCTCTGTCCGAAAGTAGCAGCAATCACATCATCGCTAAGCGCAAAGGTCTGCGACGCCACCAGGCCAATACCAAAGTCCTCAGACGTAAGCGCAGCCGTGAAATTAGCCGGCTCACAGTCCGGGTTGACTTGCGTGTGGAACGAGCCAGCCGGGAAGATGGTCATCATTCCAGGGCCCAGCTCGGCATGGATCACTCGCTGCTTGCCTTCGGAGTCAAGAACACCAACCTCTGGTACCATCTGGCTGAGCACATGTCCAGAGTTGACGACGAAGAGCTCTGTGGCACGAGGGTGGAGATGAAGGTAGGCCATGCTGCATGCTATAGGAAGTTAGAATATGGGGTGTCTCGCGTATTCGCAGATCATTATGAATGTTGACTAACCTGGCAATTGAGTCATGCTGAAGGAGGTACCGGAGCCAACTAGAGCAGGGAAGTTCTTGCGGTTTGCAAAGGGGGCTTCACTTTTGGTGAAGTCGAAGACGAAGTCTTCATCCTTTGGCAGGAGCTTGTAGCGATCAACGGCACTACAAAATAGGGTTAGTATGTCTCTTCCAGGGTTGATTTTGTAATCTTTGCAACTCACGTATCGGCAAGTTGTAGTTGAGCAGTCAGGCTGAGCTCGGGGGTTGAACGTCTCATCGCCTGGGGTGCTGCATTTACAGAATGGGCACCAGCAAGGATGATGGCAAGACCGCTGAGAATGATGCTGACCATAGTGGCGATGGGTTTGTCAGGAAGATATTGTTGAATGAAAAGAAGACTCAATGGATTGCTGATGGGTTGAGGATGATGAGATGCAAAAAGATGCCGACGGCTAGGCCTTTTATATCTCTGACTTATATCTGACTGACTCCGGCTAAGAAGACTTCTGAGTAAACCTGAGATATTCCAAATCTTCAAGAATATAGTTCTGCGCCTCAATCCCTTGGCAAGTAATTGGGAGTGATTGGGGGCCAAAGAAAGAGAGCTGAGCCATGATGCGCCGCAGTCAATCTGGATACGCGGTGACCATCTGCACGCAGAGTCTGAAAATACTCCATCGACGGCAGGATAGTGATCAAAAGGTGAGAAATAGGTAAGGTAAACGGAAATGCCAAGCTGATTAGCGCGAGAGATCAGCGTAAGAGGGCGCGGAAGTGCGTATTCGGCCTTGGCGGGCGTATTCACGCTCAGCCTCTCTACTCTTCATATTTGTCAACGACCTTCCCATTGTAACACTCGCTGCAGCCAATTGAGGCTTTGACAAAAATATCGTTCCGCAAATGTGAATGGCAGGAAAAAATCAAACAACTCATCATGCGACATCTGGGGATGCTAGCCCAGGGAAACCGCCCGCAGAGAGAGCACTCTAGATTCAACCATCTGTTATGGATATTCCTCTCGAATCGCCAGAGTATGTTATCCATTAATCTCCTACGACATGACTGACACACTATAGAAAATGGTACTCTGCCTGAGCTCGGCCATACGTACAGCATGAAGTATAGACCTGGCCCTGTGACGAGTCCCCGGTCATCATTGAGGGTCTCACAAGTACGTATGTACTACTCATTGACAATATGATACGATAGGCTGATAGTTCCACGGTTACCTCAGCTTTTTACATTTCGGCCTTTTCACGTCAATGCCCTTCTGATCATCTCGGGTCCGCAATTCCTTGACATATGGCCGAGTTGAATATTTTTGGTCTACTGAGGCCTATAGTTCTCGGCTCACGATTGTGCCGACATCGAGTGAGAATGACTTCAGAGTGTACCCATTTTTGGAATTCTCACTACGAAAGTGAATGTTATCTGACTACCCTGGTCACCTTCACAAAGTCAGGATGAAACCAACAGCAAACATGAACTTCAGGACACCATGGTAAGTGATATAGAATTATCCATCTTCATCTATTTCCCCAGAAATCGAGCTTGTACTAATAAAGCTAGGTCCATTTCTCAACCTCACGCTTCCCTCCTCGACTGCTCATTTATCCATCATGCTTCATCACCCAAATGACGAGCCGCAGCAATCAGACCGGGCATCTTTCTGAGACCTACAACCAACCTTGGAGTCAATCAAAACAGCTTTTGCTTACTCCTCTATGCACATGGGATAACTAAGTTTGGAAGAGCGGCTGGGCCTGCCGTCGTCCGGGATCAATACCGGATTATTAAACGCTCGTCCTTGTCTCCGGAGATATTCTGCAGAGCGAATTTCTCAAATCTCAAATCACTTCTCGGACATTTCGAGATCTGATACTGAGATTATCCAGTACGGGGAAGAAACTCATCCACCAGCCAATGATGAAGCCCTTGGAGAGAGGACACTATGGACCAATCCGAGCAGATCAAGATGAAGATTTGGTTAATCGTTTGCGCAACAAAAGGCCCAGGTCTGATTCAAACGGTGGCCGCATATTAAAAAACGAATTTCGAAGAATCCTCCAAAGGAAGACGTTTGACAGACCTTGGAAAGATCACCATCACCAGATTTGCCGAAACAGCCACTCCATGGACGTCGCTTCCTTCCAATTGAATGATCAGTACACCCGGGCTGAGCATACGCTCGGTATGTTTCGATACTAGGGAAGTGACTGGGTAAATGCTGCGTTGTCGCAGTCTGGTCGACAAGGCTTCAGAGAAAAACATCCACTCCTGATCTGGGGTCATGCTCAACTTCGAGCAGAGCGTCTCTCGTCATTTAGAGGCACACTTTCCGGGTTTGGAAGACACCCACACCCAAGGAACTGCCACTGACGAAATCTTGCCATCGGTTTACCGGAGCTGCGTTGCGGTATGGCTCTATGCCACGGGCAGCGTGGCTCTAGTGAAAACCCCTGGAAACAGCCCTGCTGTGTTCCACAGGGAATCTCCGATTTGGATTCTCAGCTTTGGCAATGCCGTCAGGTTCGTGGAAGGCAAGCCTACGGAATACAGCCAGAGGCTAGGAGAGGCCGTCTCCCACTAGTCCTCGAGGTAAGTGGTTGACCACTTACTATGCGTGTTGACGGGGGATGCTGGATGGATATATGAAGGGAGAGAGCCCTTGTAACTGTCATCGATGAATACTCCAACCATCTCAAAACAGGAGAACTGGTTGTGACCTCGAAGTACTCTGAAGCCCGCTGACTGGTCTTCCTTCAGATGACTGCGCAGCTTGTTCCTTGGTTGTTGTCCCTATTTCATCCCCTCTTTTGCATCACCCTGGCAGTCCTCTGGCTTCCTCTCACAGGAGCTCCCTGGATTGTTGTCGGATACATCCTGACTCAATGTCTCATACTGGGTCTGCTTCCTCTCGCCGGGCAAAGGCAGAGCGATGCAGAGCGATGCAGGGTGATATGCCGGATTACGGCAAAAGGGAGACCCCATACCTGCCACGGATACGAAGCCCGCTGGCTGGATATCTAGGTCGATCAAATGAAAGATGATCCCTTGCCTGAATCATTTATATCATTTCCTGAGTACCCCGGGAGCCTGAATATTGCATACATTATGCCAGCACCTGAGCATCGCGATAGATGCTTGGAGCGTGTTGGGTGGGCGCCCTCATTTCCGTATCGTCTGCCCAAGGAACCCACGAGAATCAAGCAACTGCAAAACATGCATCGCGAAGAATAAGCCGTGCCAGAGTGTGAGTTACCAGAGTGTGAGTTCATCGTGGCCTTTGTGTTGGTGTTTGGCTAATTTGGCGATACTCACGGCCAGACTCGCTTTCAGCTCCTCGCGCCCCTGAGCTGGGTTGGCCGTGTCTGGATGACAGATCATGATACTCCGCATTCAGGCCGAGACTCCGACAAGTCTCACAACCAGTCTCCCAGTGAGGATGCCGAAGTGGCATTGAGTACTTCGTCCTGGGAGCGGCATTTGTCAGAGCCCTGGAGGTCCCAGGCAATGATGTCAGATCTCAAGTATGACTTGAGCCAGTGCATGAGAAAGGGAACGCTCGATCCCATTTCTCCGGCGGGGGACTCCCACCAGGTGTTCGTCAACATCCACCCCTCCATCGACGGAGATGGGCGTATGTGTAGTATCATGCTTGATGGCATGCCGCTCAAGGTCGGAGACTTCCTGGTGTGCATCGGAGGTGGAGAGAAAACTGTGCTCTAGGGTTTCCTACTCGGCTTTGATTCGCCCTTCAGGGCACATACAAAGAGATGCGGACTAAAGGGTACCCGTATTTTTGTGGTATGTATTCAGTGCCCATTCGGTACCGAGTCAGTATAGGTGGACACGCTGACTGTGCGTGACGCCTTCGCAGACACGCACCCAGGCGAGCTGCACAGCTGGACTTCCTAAAATCCAGCAATCATGGCCTCTCGACAGGCTCACTGCGGTCTTTGACGTGGCACAACGGAGAAGAGGCCACCCGCATGGTTGGCTTCAGCCGATGCACTACAGACACGGGTTCGAATCGCCCTCGCCGCGATGGAAGGCCAACTAAATTACATACCCCGGCGAGGTAGGAACCCATGACCAGTAGACTTTGGGTATATCGGTCAAGATATCATCATAAAAAGAAGCACTGTTTCTCACCTTGGTGTTCAAGGTCCAGCATGAGCGACAGGCTGGAATGGACAGAACTCAAGCTCACCAATGCCAGAATCGTTCGACTTGGAAGCATAACAAAATGGAGTTTCGCCCCTGATGGCAGGGCTTAAACCCATATGAGAGCATACAAATATTTACATGTTTCTCAGCCAATTGTGAAGGGACAGTTCGAAGACGCAAGGCATTGACCTTGTAGACCATCAATCATGGTGCCTCTAGCAGGCTCAGGAATGGTGTGGCTCCAAGCTATCTGAGCCCGAACGCATGGCACTTTGTACTCCCTGTGACAGGCAGTACGATCCACGGTGCTCAGAAAACCACGCAGATCGAAGTCAGTGGACAGGGTGCCCAAGCCAAAGCATACATGGACACACGATGTGTCACATGCAGATGAGCCTGCGGCAAACGCAGGACATATTATACTCCTGTCCTCTCAGCGTCCCCCGGCGCTATTGCGAGAAGAGCTCGCCTGTATGAAAACCGACGCCACGAGAGTCTGCAAGCAAGATTGACTCCACGCGTGGCTATTTGGTGGAAGACACTGATCTGAAAGAGTCCGCCAGAGTTGCGTGTTTGAACGAGAAGGAGAAGAATGTGAGGGAGACGGTTGGGAGTCTTTGAGGTCATGCTGCCCCTTTGATTCCCTACATAGATCTAGCCCTCTTTTTTTGAATGCTATGCGCTTTTCCGCTCTCTCTCTCTCTGTCGTAAAGTCTGCCAACAATGCCACATATAATGGAAGTTCAATCTCCCCCTGTGCGCTCGTCACAGCGTAGTGTCTCGACCTTCGCATAAAATGCAACGAATTTGTGAGACTTAGAAAGCAGTGGCGGTAACGACGGCGCCATTTGAGTAAAGCCTGGAATGAGATTCAGTATATTGGCTGACAACCGGAACATGTTCAGTATGTCCAGGTGTGTTCCTACACCTCCGAGAGTATTGTGGATGCTGGGTCCATTCCATATAGCCCAGCCCACAGTGGCCTATGAGCTCTGCTTCCAAGGTTCTCGGGCCCAATCCAGCCCACAGCCCCTTGACCTCGGATGAGGGCCCATCAGGCTCCATTGAAGCCCACACCTCTGTAATTACTGTACTAGTACGATGCTTTTCCATCGACTATATTTAGGCTCTGTCCTACAAATGCATCAGTGTCATCGCCGACCTTCAACGAACCAGAGATATAAATATTGTAACTTGAAATCTCGAATGGCAGTGTGATTTGAGAAAATGCTTGCTTTTTATCATAACACGTATAGAGGCTCCCATGAGTATGCGCTTTGCACCAAACACCAAACATAAACAGACAGAACATGCACAACTTTTTATTTAATCATTGCTCGAAGCCAGCCAGGAAGGACACTACAGCCGACGCAAAGGCCTTGCGGTCGCACTGGTCCTCCTTCAGGTCATCGCCCACCTGCTCCAGGAACAAAGCCAGCTTCGACTCCTTCCAGCCCATCACCGGCGCGGCCTCCAGACACATCTTGGTCAGGCCGAAGGCATCCATCTCGTAGTGGCCCTGCACGGTCAGGACCCGGCCGGGGTGGTAGAGACCCTGGATCGGACAGATCTGGGTACTTCCAATATTAATCCAAGGGGCAGGCAGCGACACGGGCGGCGACTCGGTCACCGTCACGGGGGTTCCCTTCTCGACAGCCATGACACGGTCGCCGTGGAACATCTGAATGCGCAACTTGCCATCGGGCAAGTGGCCCAGCGCAGCCGGGAAGGCATCCAAGAAGCCCTTATTTAATTGCACATTATGAATTCCGACCTCGCGGCCAAGTGGGCACTTCTCCACCCAGACGTCGCGCGCGGTGTCTTCCTTGTTGCGCACGATGGCGTGCGAAATCAACTGGTGTCCGAAACAGGTGCCCAGAATGCGCACCTGCGGGTACTGCGCGTACACGGTGCGCACGAAGCCCTTGAGTTCCTGCATCCAGGGGGATCGGTCCATTTCGTACACGCCCGGCGAGCCGCCGGTGATCAGGACGGCGTCCACGGGGAAGGCCACGGGGTATTGGTCCGGGCCGGTGTGGCCGCGCAGCTTATACAGGTCTGGATAGTGGCCGCCGCGGATATCGTAGGGGGTGATCTTCACGTCGAGCTGCTCCTTCTCGGAGAAGAGGGTTTCGTTCAGCCGTGCGGCGGTTTCGCGGAGCACGGCGCGGAAGTGCGCGCTGCATAGTCCGCGGGCTTCATACAGTTGACGGGCTGGAATGTCGACGTCCAGGACGGCAATGTGGATGTGGTGCACCATGTTTAAAATTATTATTATGTGTTATGTGTGTGTTGGAAGAGAGAGAAGACCTGGGACTAAATAAACCCCATACTCCCCGGGTCCATACTTCCCACGTAAAATTTTTTATGTAAAACGGAGAGTCTCCTAGTCAGGCCATTAATAAGAAAATTCCCTAGGATGGCCCTCAGAAATGAAGAATCGTGTCTCAAAGGACGATCTCCATATTTCCTGAGTCTCCAATCGACTCCAACCGCATGGAGCCCATTAGGTAAATGCAACGAGCTGCACTCGCTGAGCTTATATTTGCTGCTCCACCGGGCCAGTCGCACACCGAGGGCTCGTTAGATCCTACGGCCTTGCCTCGCGAGAATAAACCGGACACATTCCGAGGCTGAAAACAGGAAAGAGAAAATTTGAAGAACCAGACGGATAGGGGCAAAACCAGCGAGTTAGGGTTGTCGGGATCACCGCCTCCTAGGAGTTTTTCTCTTCCTAATGACCTATGCATGCATAATACTCATACTACAAAGCCAAGTCACTAACTGAGCACTAAAAAGTAAGAAAAGAAGTCTATCTCGTAAAAAGTGGAGTCGAATTTGTCAAAATTGCACATCGCCATGTTCACCCGACGACAGCAGGCTGAAGATGCCAATCCGCTATTTCAGAATCTGCCAGACTAAATACCCACCGCCTTCGGCATTAATACCGGTATATTTTCATTACAGTATACCTCTGATGGAGGCGAATACTAGTACATTATACTGAAAGAATTCTTCCTATCCAAATATACTCAGCCTAAGTAATACGTTGGAACAATCAATGTCTAAAATCTGAAGTTTTAACTAAGTATATACTCTACAGTATATAATACATGGCTCTATACTCCGTACTCAACTGAAATTCGTAAGACGTAATGTAAACGGAACTGGCAGAATCCAAAAAAGCGGGCTGGCCTCTGCCCCTTACCGTAGCCCTACGCAGGACAGAAGTACAGCGTAGACGTGATCCTTGACACATATATTGCTTATGGGAACGTTAATGCCTTGCCCCCCGTGAAATGCACCGGGTACACAGACCCTCGGAAGACAATTTCTGCCTCGACATCCTCCGAAACCTCCACCTCCAAATCCTGCTCCCAGCGCACCCGGACATGGCCAACAGAAGTGGCAAAGGTACCCTCCGCCCGCGCCAGCAGTTCCACCCGAGGCTCGATCCGAAGCCGTTGACCGGGTCGCACAGGCTTGACGCCATAAATCTGCGTGACGATCTCGTTGATTGGACACGCACTCCACCCATGGCAATCGCTCCGGGGATTATCTTCAAATTCCGCCCATGTGGTCAACTGCTCTGCCAGCATCCTGCGCCAGGGATCCAATAGCGTCCCAAACAGTCCATCGTACAGACCCACCTTCTCCACTGCCCGGAAGACGTAGAATTGTAGCGCGCTGGAGCACCGCACCAATGACGTCTCTCCCAGCCGCCCAACCACCTCCCGCGCCTGCTGGCCCGTCACCGTCTCGGAGAGAACGGCAAATACCTGGCTGTGCTGACTATACTCCTTCGAGGAGGGTCCGTCCAGGTACAGCCCGTCGTAGCAGTGGGTGTTCACGGCATCTCGGAGCTCCTGCGCCCGACGCCGGTATTCGGCCGCGGTGTCGTGGCGCCCCACGAACTCGCACGCCTCCGCCGCCTGCATCAACCCCAGGATGTAGACGAGGCTGTTGATGGTCGCAGCCCCGGTGGCATGGTAGGACCGCGGCATGCAGGAGTGGAAGATATTCCCCGGCACCGTCCACTCGGGCACCCAATCGACGAACGGCCAGGTGTCGTCATCGAAGTGCCCGACGAGTCCGAGGGCGTTAATGCGTTCGTCAAAATGCCCGAGAATCCCGTCAATAGTGCTCAGATACCGGCGCACGAGTGTGCGGTCCCCGAAATATCGCATATGATCCCACACCATCGCTACGAAGGATAGCGAAAACTGCGGGATCTGCTTACTCCGGAACCCGGCGGGAAATTGCGCCTTGATGAGTCCATCCGGACACCGGCTGGCGTGGAACTCTTCCAGCGTCTTGCGCGCGAGTCGGTCATCTGACGAGATCTGGTAGGTGAACAGCATCTGGAGGCGGGAGTCTGAGGCGAATTGGTTCTGTTCGTAGAATGGGCAGTCTTCGTATGTTTCATGCCGGCAGTTCTGCAAGGTCCGCATACTGACGGCCCAGATCTGGTCGAGCTCAGGCCCGGCTTGGATTTGGGTCGAGATCTCGAGCGGGTAGTATGTTTCTCGTAGCGTGAATGCGTTGAGGGTCAAGGGGTGTGAGGTGGTTTGGATGTGCAATTGGATGTAGCGAAATGCGCGGAACCAGAATGGCTCAAAGGTTTGGTCGCGTTCTCCATCGGTCACTGTGTATACGTCTTTCACGCCGTATAGTCGACCGCTGCTATCTGATCGAAGAGATTTGGTTCGAGGCATGGGGAATGGTGCGGTCTCGACGCCGAGATCTTTCTCGTAGCATTCGGCATAGAGGATCGTGATGGTTGACCCTACTCCGCCTGCGCATTGGAGATTCACAAAGGCAGTTGTCAATGAAAGGCATTCGATGTCCACGATTGCGCTTTCGCCCGCGGGGATGTTGACGGGGGTGCCCTTTTTGATCAAGTCGGTCCACTGATCGTGAGAAACTGATCCCTGGCATTTCACAATTCCATCAAAGGTTCCCTCGATCTCTGGGAGCACAGGGATAGTTCGCTCGGTCAATTTCCACGGACTCAGCATTGGCAGCATCTTGGCCGGACGGAAAGCCGAGACAGCATTTTCCCAGTTGGAGTCATCGAAACCTGACAATCTCCATCCCGAGAGTGATCTGTCCTCGGCTACTCTTTCATTGTTAGACATGAATGGAGGCCCCAGGATGTAATTCCATTCTGCATGTGGAATAATCCGCCGGCTAGTCTCCTGTGTACATTTCCATGAAGAATCCGTAGAAAGCGAAAAGCCCTAGAAGAGGTCAGATCGAGATCTATCGGCCAAATTGCAACACCTACCTCGATCTCGCCATGCATCATAAACCCAGGGAGCTCGGTACTGATGATAGAGGACGAACCAGCATGGACACACGAATATCTCAACACACGCGCACTAATGGTGTTCTCCCCCTCGATGAGGAACGGCAGAATGTCCACAGTCTCATAGTACCAACGCTTGGGATAGCTCTTGCAGGGACCAAAGCTCACACGTTGACCGTTGACGAAGAGTCGATAGCGGCTATCGGCTGAGATGTGGACTGGGAATGCATAATGTCCGTCTCGCTTCCAGTGGAAGCTTTTGCGGAACAGAAAGTACCGACCTGGTTGGCTTTCATCTTCGTGGTGGGTTGGTAGCCATATCCAGGGGGCTGATTTGGTCCAGTCAGAGCCCATTTTGTGATCTTGTACGTATAGTAGCACAGACTGAAGTGGTGTTGAATGTTGTTCATATAGCGAGCTCATGAAGATACTCGGATATCCCGGACGGAGGGCTTTACCCCGACTTTACCCCGGTCCCCGATCCCCACTATTGCCTCGTCCTCGGGCAATTTCGCCCACTTCGGGTCAGTTACTATCTCAGTACGGACGGGACTTCACATGACGGCCTTTATTTTCTATACATTGGCCAATTTAGGTAGAGTCTAATAGTATATACAACGAACTCACCCTTCTAGATCTCACTCCAACTGTCTCCCCCCAACATCAATATTGACCTTGTAATGCTTGAACTTACGACTCGGCACTTTCTTTTCGAACAAGATATCCAGCTCTTCAAAAGTGCGCCCCTTCGTCTCAGGCATACAGAAGAAGCAATAGATAGCACAGAGACCAGCAAGCCCCGAGAACAAGAACCCAATCTTACCACGCCAGTTCCCTTGATCTTCATTCATCGCGTAGGGAATGACAACCGCAAAGATAACCGACCAGACAAAACAAGTCACCGTCGACAGCGCAATTGTAAGGCCGCGAAGCTTGGCCGAAGAAACTTCCGCAAGAAGCACATAACAGAACGGACCGAGACTGAGGTCGTACACAAATGTACATACCAACATGAGTCCGCACTGTGCCCACGTCGTGGAACTTTGTCGTGGAGCCAGGTCCACGGCGCCAATGATGAATTGCACAATGGCAAGCGTCGTGCATCCGAAGAGGTACATTGTTCGTCGGCCGACGTATGAAAGAAGGAACCAGGAAATGCATGTTCCCAAGAGACCAAGTGCTGTCAAGCCGATGTTCATGGAGAATGCATCGGACGCATCGAGACCGGCCAATTCCATGAAATGCACGGCGTATGTGAGGAAGAACACATTTCCAGCGAAGGCTTGCATATCATATGCCATCACGCAGACCATCAGGCGACGGAAGTTCGTTCCCCGGAAACAGTCGAGATACGTCGGTTCCTCACCCTGGTAGCTCTCCTCCAGACGCAGTGTCTCCTTGATGTGCGCCAGCTTCAAAGAGACATCAACGGCCGGTGTAGCAAGACGGCGCAAAGACGCCGCCGCTTCCTCATGACGACCCTTCCGACACAGCCAGTATGGTGGATCCGGGCAGAAGACCACCAGGGCGAGCATAATACACGGCAAAGCCCACTGGGTCGCGATGGGGATCTTATATGACCATTGATTATCCATCGTCTCCGTACCTTTCAGAATCCCCGAAGCGATGAGCGAACCAATAGAAAACGCCAGATTGGTCATGGTGGCCGCGAATCCACGCAGCACCAAAGGCGTGACTTCGCCGACGTACGCCGACGCGCAGATCGGGTAAAAGGCAATAACGCAGCCATTGACCAATTCGCCGACGAATAGCTGCGCCGGTGTGTGGCTGAAGAATTGGATGAAAATGAATGCAATGGACAGAACACAGCAGCAGCCTGTCATTCGTCGAGGTCCTAGGCGCTCGTAAACCATGCCTGAGCAGAGGGCGCCGACAATCGCGCCGAGCAGATTGGCATATCCGAATGCTGAGAGCCACTGTGCCGCAATGATGTATTTGCCATTGTGGTAATAGCCAAAGGTTTCCTTGAAGACGGGGAGACCAACCAGACTACGGACAATTCCTCCGTCAATGCCTTTGAGAATTGTTGCCTGCGATAGTCAGTAGAGATTCAATTCGATGCGCGGGCTTGACTGACGATGTTCATGAACAATCCCCAGCCAATGGCGGGGTAGTGCAGGCGCATCGCATCCCACCAGCCGAGAGCATGTTCCTGCTTGGTGAACTGGTAGGACAGCTCGGCCTCTTCCGATGCCTCTGCAGGAATGGCGTGAACCACCGTCGCTCCCTTGGATGACCCCATTTCCTCCTTAAAGCGGACAATCATGACTAGGAAAAGTCGGCGTTATATCTCGACGCCAAGACTTGGCGGCTACGGCGGAGGCCGCGGTGGAGCGAGGACCTTGTTGGCCGTTATTCGCTGTGCTCTGGTAGGCTGTCGCTACTGTCGTCTAACGGTCTAGTCTTTGGCACTTTGCCGAGCATATCGTATGTTGAATTGTGTGATATAAGCTAAAGAATTTAAACAGGGTTGATCTCGGACTGAAGTGCCCGTTTCTGCTTGGCAAATTGTCTCGCCGGTACTCTTGCCTCATAGAGCTCGTCAATGTCCTCTGTCGATAATCCAGTTGTGTCTGGGACAATTGACCAAGCCCCCCAGATAAGTAACACCGAGGCACCCGCGAACACCAAACCAGTCCGGGCACCCAAGTTGCCCGAGTCGACATTGTACATATACGGTACAATGAACGTGATCAACCAAGTGGTGAACGTTTGAGCCATCATCCCCAGCGACATTGATTTCGCACGCAGCCGGTAACTGGAGATCTCGGCCGCAATGGACCAGCCAGGCGCCTGCATCAAACTTGCCTGCAACGAGATGAGGACATTCCTAAAATCACAATTATTAGCCTTATGTCTCACTGTGAAGAGAATATATCTCACATCAGAATGGCGATTCCCCACTTCGGGCCTGTTCCATGGACGTAGTATAGAGCTCCCACAATCAGGTTAAAGAGGAAGTTGACCACGCAGCCCCAGAAGAGGGTATTTCTCCTTCGAACATTCTTGAGGGCGAATCCACTAGCAACGATGAGCACGATTGCGAGTCCGAATCCGCCGATTGAGATGTCGAAGACATGCACGCTGGGCAAGCCCACGGAGATGAGGAAGTAGATTGACTGGGACAGGAAAGGTGCACCGCCCAGATTGACCAGGCCAAAAAGGAACATCATGGTGAAGGTTCTCTTGAGATTGACTCCCTGGAAGCATTCGATGTAGTTGGCTTGATTTTCCTCGCGCTGCGAATTCTCCTCTTCAATGGTCTTGAGCAAATGGCCATACCGCTCTTGGCGATCAGTCTCGTCTGGATAGAGCCAGTTGAACAATTTCTTAGCACTGTCCTGCTTCTTGTTCATGATGCAGTAGACAGGGGATCTATTTCCATTAGCGTGAATATACACTTTGGCTCATCAAACATACTCTGGTGCTATTGCGTATGCAATAGTGACAAGTCCCCCGACGGCCCACTGGATAGCAAAAACCGTCCGGAACGCCTTTTCAGCCATGTCCGGAACGAAGATTCGGATAACCCCCATAGCCACAGCCTGCATGATCAGGATGAACACGACCATAGCCTGCTGCACAGCGGGGACCAGACTGGGGGGCACGATCTCAGAGGCATAGGTCATGCCCGATGCCATCGCCATGCCTATCCCCAGCCCGCCGACAATCTTGCCTCCGAGTAGAGCACCTCGTGTCTCAGCAGTGTATTGCACGGAAGCTCCAGCTATAGCAATCAAGCCTGCCAAGATGCCTGCCCATTTCCGGCCAATGCGATCGGCCAAGACACCTGTCCCTGCTGCCGAGAGGGCTTGCGCCAGTGCCGACATTGAGGTCCACAGGGCAGTCCATGAAGATGGTAGATACAGGCCGGAGGCATTCGTATCGCCAAAGTACATCATGAAAGCCGGCATGGCCATCGAGGCGCTGTTGACGATCGTATCACAGCCGAACATGGCACCAGAGCTAAATGATAGACTACCTGAAGGCGAAGTTAGTCTCGAATCGTCTGCAAAAAATGAGTAGATCTTACATATCAACAGTGATCTCCAGTGGGTCTTCACCGTGTCGATCAAGCCCAGCTCTTGATCTGATTGAAGAAAACGGGGTTCATCTACTCCCCACTCAACGTGAGAGGATGAGGACTTGAGGTCTGTCATGATGTAAAAGAATTGGTCTGCGAGTCTCACCAGACGGATCGAGCATCTTAAATGCAGACCTCGGGAGCAGATGGAATCTGGGGAAAGTCCGGGGGTCTGACAGTTTACCCCACAAACGCAGGGTCGGATATTCCGAGGGCTGCCTTCTTGTCCGCCATCCAATCGCAGAGTCTCTGGATTGTAATTACCGTGCGTCCAGCACGTGGAAGTAGTTGTGGCTTGAAATCCAATGTGCAAGGGAGAATTGAAGTTCTCTGTGTACCTTGTACCTTGTACCTTTCCCAGTGAGGTTAAGAGGAACAGAAAGAGATCACCTTTTGGAACACCCGTCCGTGTGGCCTAGCGGCATTCAGCTAGCACCGGCAGCTTGCACTCAGGCTGTGCTGGGTAGGGCGAGCATCCGGAGGTGCACATCTGTCGAGCCGCCTGCCAGCTATGGGGGCAGCAATTCCTTTTTTTGGTTCCCTGTTCGTTTCCTCCCTTGGTCTTTCTTTTTTAAACTTTATTTCCTTTCCTTTCTCCTTTCTCCTCTTTTCTCCTCTCTTCTTTTGGTTTTCCCTTTTACTGAGTACGGAGTATGTGAGATGATATAGGTGAGTTCCAACTATGGCATAAGTGGGTCCAGAGCGGGTCAATGCGTGGCCGGGAATTCCGATATCCAACCGTGGAAGCGAACTGAGCTACCTACATTCAGAACTACGGACATTCGGGCTATTTCAACTTCAGGACTCCGTACGGACATTCGGGTTATCTCTTCATCTGCCATGTTTCCGTTCTGATTCTGTGCTGCTTACAGTGGCTCCGCGAAGTATGTTCAATCACTGCTTGATCCAATCACTATAGCGCTTATATCGCAACATCTAACTCCGGCATCCACTCTTTCCACTGTTCCAACCAGGTCTTCATAGTGCTCGCATCCAATCCCCCCAGAGCATTCAGTGTCGACGAATCTTCTCTCGCATTGCTCGTCAAAATACAAGGCTGCAATTGTCCCTGTCTGTGAAGCAAGAAGTTAAAGAAGTCCAAAAGCTGCGCGGCTGGTAGATCATGTAGATCTGTTCCACTTGATGCAGATCCAAATGCCCGCTCTTTCACACTCTCAATCCAATCACTCAGTGACACAATCTCGGCAGCGCAGGCTTTGGCGATCAATGGAGAAAATGCGTTCCATCCAACGGCATTCGGATTGATGATGTGGTACACCATCAGTGAGTCCTGGTGTGCTCTTCGAGTTTCGACTATCTCTGAAATAATCTGGGCGGCGGTATCCTGAAGCACTGTGAGTTTCTTTTGTACTTTTGAGTGCATCACATCAGATCCTGAGTACTCACAATAGGGACCCAATCCACCTGCATCGGTCCAAGACTATCTGGCACCCGTCGCATAGTCAACGAAGACCTGACCAGAGATGAGAACCAGTCGCGCGTATTCCACATGCCACCAGAGAGATTCGAGGGACCGCCCAGCTGTCCAACACGATGGATGGCGATCCGTGATCCGCTCTGTTTGCTAGAGAACTCGCAAAGCCGCTCTGCAATATGCTTGGACTCTGCATACCCTTGCGGAAGAACACACGAGATATCATGTGCTTCCTCACGAACAATGTCTTCCGTACTTCCTGCAACCGTCGAAATGGAAGACACGAAATGGAAATCGGGCTTGCGCGCCGAACTTTCTACAAAGGTCAATAGTCTTCGCACTCCAGTCAGATGCGACGCAAAGCTTGGAAGACTCTGATTGAAATTCACTGCCCATGCGTTGTGGATGATGATTGACACGTCCCGTTTTAGTGTGTCATATATCTCCGTGTCGAGTCCGAAATACGGCTCGTGGAGCTGGCATTGTCGGAACTCAATGCGGGATGTGTCGGTAAGCCAGAAACTGGATAGTTTCTTCTGTTGGAATGTTTGGAGTTGTCGCTCGGCAGCATTTGGAGAGCGATTGAGACAGATGACTTTGGCAATTGTAAGGTCCTGGAGGAGCTGATTCAATAGGAAGCTTCCAAGCTCGCCGGTCGACCCGGTTAAAATGACTTGGACTCCTCCGCCGTTGAGATGGCGTGCTTGATCCCATGCATATTTCATTATTGTATCGCCTCGCGACAAAGAATGTTCCTCGTCAACCTTAGGGATGTCTCCATTAACTTGGTGATGGAAGGATTTTGCAATCCTCTGCGATGTCTCACACTCGTACAAGAAGGCACTCGTCCAGCGTCGAGGATGTGCCAGTGAATTCATTCCATCGGTGGTGTCTTGAAGAACTTGTACCAGTCGTACCAATTGCAGAGAATCCATTCCCAAGGCGACAATCCCGTCTTCAAGATTGATGCTTCTTATGGAAAGAATGTGGGATACGACGGCTTGGATCCATGTCTCTGTCTCTTTCAGACAGGATCCTTGGAGCTCTGGAAGTTGAGTCACAGTCTGTGGCCTCCCAGACTGGAAGGAATACAACGCATCAATCACAGGCTGATACGCCTTCACGATCTCCCGACGACGCAGGGTGCCTTTGGGTGATAGCGCGAATGGCTTTTCTCTGGATGCAAAAGCGACATGGCTATAGAATAGCTTTCCGTGCCCTGGCAAACTGACATTGGCTTCGTCTATGATCGACTGAAGATTCCGATGAAGCCATGCAGCATCCCAGTGCTCAGGTAAGCTGTCCCATTTAGGTTGAACGAGCAGCGATGCTTGGAATCTGTTCTGGCCGAGAATGGCTGCATGTTTGACCAGGGGGTGTGTCTCGATCACCTTCTCGGCATCGGTAGGATTGAATTTCTCTCCATTGCTGAGAACGATTATGTCGTCGCCGCGACCCTGGTACTTCCACAGCCCAGGCTTGGAAGGATGTTCGCGAAACAAGTCTCCTGTTCGATGCTCCATCAGATGAGGATCGGTGTGGAAGATTCCTTGACATCGGCGGGACTCCGCTCGTGGGATAACTAATTCGCACAGCCCATCGCCCACATCATCCATTCGTGTGGCGGTATTCGGGTTCCACTCGAGATAGTTCCAGTCTGCAGGGTCTTCACACATCAGGGTCGCCGTGTAAGCACTCTCGCTACTGCCATATAGAGCCTGCAGCGGGACTAGGTCCATGATGACATCCCCGGCAGTTTTTGACAGCGGCGAGCCTCCAAAGTTCATAGCCGACAGCTTCGATAGCGCAAGCCTCCCTTTCTCGGAGGTGGAGAGCTCTTCCAAAACAAAAGGTGAAATTAGTCCCCATTTCGGTGGTGTGTCCAATGACATGATATGCGAGAACAGATCTGCGGTCAAGGGCCGGTCTGGCGCGAGCAGGAATGAAGTGCGGTAGAAGATGCACTCTGCGATACATACCAGACCAATGAAATGGAACAAGGGTCCGCTCATGATCCGAAGATGTCCCTTCATCCGAATGAACAGCTGTGTGGTCTCACGACCTTCTGGCACCGGCAGAGTCTGCATGTAAAACAACGTTGCCAAGTATCCATACGTGATGCGAACTGGCTTCGGGAGGCCAGTCGTGCCTGAGCTGTGGATGACCACTGCTGTTCGGTCTTCCAGCACATCATAGCTCTCTCCGTGGATGTACGGCTTCACTGACTCTGATGAGAAGATGTCCCAGATGGGACTGATGTGCCATCTCTCCGTTTCTGGACAGGAGGCGTCCAGCTCGTTGACTAGGGTTCGCAGTGTCTGTCTTTCGGTACCGTCAACCAATACTGGACAGTTGACACTGCGCACTAAATGCTGGTTGGCAGCCAAGGAGTTTCGGGTGGAAAGGAGTAGGGCCTAGTACCGTTAGGCGTCTGGCGGTAAGTCCTCCAGATTTCACTTGCTACTCACCGAATTTCCAGTCTTCATACAGGCTAGAATGAACGCAGCATAACGCAAATCATTCGTGCCGATGTATGCTAGCACCTGCGGCTTTCCTGCAGGGAGCTTGCTGTCGATCCACCACGACAAGCGGTCAACCGCCTCACTCATCTGCTTTACGGTAATCCGATGCCATCCTTGATCCGAATCTTGTGACACCGGGTGAATGCAATATATCTGATCGGGGATTTCGAATGCCTGCTCATCGAGCAGCTGCGTGAGAACCGGACCGCAGACTTCTGTAGAGCCCATCGTTACTTTATCTTCGCGGTTTTCACGGTCACGGCAGCAGTATCAGATGTAGTGAATGGAAGTCTTGAGGCCGGAATGCCTTAAGTATTCCTCTCGGTGGGCTCCAGCGGTCTGTCCATCACACGCCAAGACAATCTTAAGTGTCGAGATAGGTCATCCAGAGTCTGCATTTGCGATGTAGCGAATACGGACACAGTCCGATTGATCGTCTTAGCAGCCTTGCGTACCTATCGAGATGCATGCGTTTTCTTCTCTTTTGCAGCCCCGTGTATTCCGTAACTCATCTGGTATGTGCATGTTCACTGCTGTGTACTCGACTTCCCTAATTCAGCTCAAAGGATCACATTCTCAGCTTGCATGAAGAAAAAGCAAAGTCCAATCAGGTTGCTGAGGTGGAATGGGCTGGAATGAGCTGAAATCGAGCCTGCAATGGAGAATAATGTAACTGTCTACTCTTAGTCCGATATATTTCAAAGAGACTGGGATGTCAAGTTAAGAAGTGAGGAAGTAGAAGTGAAAGTAGAGAGAACGAAGAAAGTAGAAGTATACGCTAACGCCGCTAAGTCCGCGATGCTCTAACCGAAATCAGAAAAGCCAGAACTCGCCAATTGTCACGTCTCACCTCCTCATGGCTTCACGGACAATGACCAAGGAGGATCTCCGGAGACTCCAAGGACAACCCAAGAGCGCCCCCAAGCGCGTGGACAACACCTGGGCCATCCCCCTCGCTCTCATCGGCGCCATCCTCGCGCTGTACGCACGCGATCCCTCCGAATCCAACATCCTTCACCGCTTCATCTTTCTCTCCTACAAACAGGATGACGGTCAATACGGCAAGGGCCTGTGGGACATTGCCTTCGTGTCCTTTTACGTGATCGTGCTGACTTTCACGCGCGAGTTCATCATGCAGGAGATCCTGCGTCCGCTCGCGCGACTGCGCATCAAGTCACGAGGGAAACAGGCCCGCTTCATGGAACAGGCCTACACGGCGATCTATTTCGCCGTCCTCGGGCCGGCGGGTCTGTATGTCATGCGTCAGACGCCGGTGTGGTACTTCAATACGCGGGGAATGTATGAGGCATTCCCGCATCGGACGCATGCTGCGGAATTCAAGTTCTATTACCTGTTCGAGGCGGCGTATTGGGCGCAGCAGGCCATTGTCATGCTGCTGGGGATGGAGAAGCCCCGGAAGGATTTCAAGGAGCTCGTCACGCATCATATTGTCACTTTGGCGCTGATCGCGCTGAGCTATCGGTTCCATTTTGCGTATATGGGTATTGCCGTGTATATCACGCATGATATTAGTGATTTCTTCCTTGCTGTAGGTGTTCCCGCTTCCGGGTCGGTTCATGGATGCTGATGCTGATGCTCGGTTAGGTTTCGAAATCCTTACACTACTATGCTCCGGATATTATGATTCCGTTCTACGCGGCTTCGATTATATCCTGGGTGTACCTGAGGCATGTACTCAACCTGCGCATTTTGTACTCGATTCTCACGGAATTCCGCACCGTGGGTCCCTACGAACTGAACTGGGAAACGCAACAGTACAAATGCTGGATCTCGAACGTCATCACGTTCTCCCTGTTGGCAGTTCTTCAGGGGTTGAATCTGTTTTGGCTCTACTGCTTGCTCCGCAGTGCGGTCAAGTTCCTTGTCACCGGTGAGAAGAAGGACGACCGTTCTGAACCCGATGAATCGGAACTTGAGATGGAACAGGCCCACCTCAAAGCGAACGGTCTCAATGGTCATGCGAACGGCAATGGGTCGCTGAATGGCGACGCAAAGAAGCTGAACGGCAACGCGAAGAGCCATGTCAGGGCCCGATCGGTCAAGATGAATCGCTCGCGCTAAAAACCCGGTCTTGGGTGGTCTTCTACAAGCTGCACTGGCTCCGTCGGTATATCGGCAGCTTCATAATTTCGGGTTGGTTTCACTCATCCCATCATGGATTGAATGATTGTATTGGTTCTAGACAGCCGCGATGTAGCTGTCTCTAGACTCACGTCTATGTGTATCATACTACGAAAGATATTGGATATATAAATAATAATAAGGTCGAGGTGACCTGCATATTGGTATGAAAACCTCCCGAGGTCGTGTACCTAGTATTGATTCGTAGCAATCATATATGCATTTCAGGTATTGCCAATACCTATTGCGCTCGTATATCATGCAAGATAAGTACACATCCAGACTCCAGATATGTACGATCTAAAACTTTTGCCCATCAGATCAGGAGAACCGCAGGCCCTGACTGGGATCCCATGTGGTTTGCTGAGGTCGAGTAGGATGACTCGGTGCAGTTGCAGGTGCAGGTGCAGGTGCAGCAGGCGTGGCACCGGGAGGAATGCCGGCAGAGCCGAACCGGATGCCCATTTCAGGGCTCCACATTCCAGGCATCCCACCCGGCATGGCCGCGGAAGAGACGGGCGGCGGGGCGACGGGCGCACGAACGGGCTGCGGTGCAGTGAGAGGCGCGGTTTCAATCGGTCGGGCAACGGGTGGGAGTGGCTGGGCCGGCGGCTGCGAGGGAGCAGAGTAGGGGGAGGGGGAGTGGTGTGCGCGCGCTGGCTGTTGTTGGGGCTGTTGGCGGAGATGCGGCTGGGAAATATGGAGTGAGGCCATTGCTGCGGCGTTGGAAATATCTCTATAGAAGGGTCAGAATCTTTCAAAGGGACATACTTGGCTTCGTTGTACTAGGTACGTACGCTTCCACTTGGCTTGCCTCCATCCGACGCTGATGAACAAATGCCTTGGAGTCGTCACGGAAGCGGCCGACAATTTTGGCGAGATCATTGTAAAACTTCCGTCCCACGTCGATATTCGAGATAATCTCTTTGTACTTCAGATATCCATTTTCGAGATCTTGTAGGGCCGTTTCACGTTCCTTTGTCGACGCATCGCCCTTGTGTGCCCCGGTAAAGGCGCGGTTCGCTTCTCGGACCTGATCTGAGAGATGGTCCTGGTCTCTCCGTTCTTGGGCTAGCATTTCACGGTCAGTGTCATACAGATGAAGCTCCTCTTCAAAGAGATCTTCAAATTGACTAGCCTGGATAGGCTGCATGGGGAACTGTCGTTCCAGTCGGGCAGTTTCTCTCAAAAGCGCAGGATCTGTAGACAGTGTCAGTATTCGAAAAGCAAGATGAGGAACCAGACTTACGAATGTCATCGCCACGGGCCTTGTCCTTCAAAGTCTGGATACGCCGGCGCCGGCGATTCTCCATCCGAGTGACCTCACTGAGACACCCGCGCAGCCGATTTGACTCGCGTTCGACCTCAGCTGGAATGGCAGCCCTGCGGCTACTCGGCACGTAAGCCTCCAAGTCATGATTCGTGCCCGTGAGGACGAGGAAAACCGATCGTGAGTCTCGCAGCTTACGCTGCACAAGGTCATCACTGCTCTGGGCAGAGGTGAAGTATCCACTGATCTCGTTCAGAGTCCTGTAGATTTTGGGGGCAGCAGACTCTGATGTTTCACGAGTCCAGCGATCTGTCCCGTATTTATTGCGGGCAGCGATGTCTTCAGCCTTTTCGGCTGCTAAAAGCTCTACACCCTCGTTGTAGACGGCCATATCATTGTTCTTGACTTTGACGGTGTCCTCAATAGACCGGTGCAGGCGATTAAGCCCATCCTGCTGCCGCATCTCTTCAGCGTGTGAGACGAGGGTTGGCGGGAGACCCAACGGCTTCTCGAGTGCCTGAAGCGATCCTGGCAAGTTGAGAGATGAAAGCAAGCTGCGTGGGAGAATTAGCAAGGTTTTGGCTCAGCAACAAGTTCAAATACATACTCTCTTAGTTTGTCGGTCATCGATTCCAATTCTCCAATGAGAGTTTCGTTGACCAAGCGGTCGCGGCGGTCGGTGTAGATGCTCGCAGCAATGTGGACTGCGTACGGCACCAGCTTGGAAAAGAGTGGCTGGCCCAATGGACCATTGTCCCCCAGCATCGTGACAGCATCAGTGACCTGCGAAGGCGCTTTCGCAAGCACCATGCTTGCACGTTCGATCGTCTTAAGTTCGGATTTTGGCGGCACAGGACTGAGATAAATAACGTCGTTATCTTTCTCGGCACGCTTCAAATCCTCCGCAACCCGGCTCTTAAGCCCATTCAAGTCGCCAAGCACAGTTCTGTTGATCCATCGCTGCTCCCTCAAACCGTCATTGACGCAGATCAGACTATCACGCAGTCGCGCAACCTCCTCTCCATACTTGCGCTTCTCCAAACAATCAAGCGACTGTCGGAACTGAGCTGCGGCTGAAAAGTGGTGATGCTTTGCGGTCATATGATGGATCCAATCGGTACTAATCGCATTCGACTTCACAGCCAAGTCTCCCGCATCACCATAGAAGTCGGAAACCTTGGCTGCCAGCTTTGCGATAGACACGTCTTTCAACCCATCTTTGACGGCCTTCTGCCAGAAGCATTCCTGTCCCTGTCCAAGCAGCAGCAGTTCCAAGCTCTGCAGCGTCATCTCGTCCATATCCTCCGGTGGTGAAGTACGTAGGTCCGGAATAATTTCAGTCCTGAGGTGACTCAATACGCCCGCAGCCGAGCAGAGGTAGTTGCATGCCTGCTTGAGTCCATCGGTGGTTGTCCGGTTCGCCGCATATGCGAGTTGGGAGTAAAGAGCGGCGAGGTTGAAAATAACATTCGCTAATTCAAACCGGAGGTTGTTCTGGGATACTATGAGCGAAAACCATGCATGTCAGCGTCGTGTACGAGTCGTGAAGCAGTCACATCCCGCTCCGAGAAACGACTTACTCGGTCGCGAAGCATTAAATCCGAACGCAGGATACCATGAAAAGTCCACACCAACCTAGATACACTCCATCAGCCGCGATCACTCGAAAAAAGTCAGGCCCGGGAGTGAGGGGCCGCGCACATCGATCGGGAATTTCCCGCCTAGCCACTTCAGCTGAGCTGCATAGGTTACCAAGCGCGTGACGCCGCTGAAATGCGGTTCTTGGACATTGACAGCCTCGGAGCGTAAACGATCGATGATCATCAGATCCTCCGCGAACATATCCGGGCGTTGGTCATATTTGGAGGAAATATACTGCGTGATGGCATCGGACAGCGAGACTGCGTGCGAGCGCCGAAACGGGAGCTGAAGGATATTACTGCCGAGTCCCGGTTAGCATTGTACTCTGGCAGATTCCCCAGCACCTTGTTCATCCGGAAATACTCACGACGCCATTGTCGCTGGAAGCGGGGGTTGCGGAAGACTTTCGTTTGTTTTGAACGAAGTTCCCCCACGGACATGACGTCTTGGAGGCCTAAGGCAGCAATATCTACTTTACTTCGTACAAAAAGATACATTCTGATATTTGCCGAGCTTCGGGCTCACACACGTATGTACATGGATAATAAATGTGACCAGATAGGACAAGATGTTCAGAGATACGTTAATTTGGCAGGTCATCAATGCGCATCTTGATGTATTCGAAGATGCTCAGCAGGATCATGTTGTTGACACCAGTTCGGATGAGGATGATGGACAAACCCTTGTACATGCTGGATTTAGCGACTGCTTGCGAAGCCTGTCCGATTTCACTAGACTTGCCAAGCAGCACGCTCTGTGCGCGAGTCTTGCGGGTGTCGAGAGGATAGGTCTGTGGGCAAGGTCAGTCACCCATCTGTGTGAAGCAAGGAGGGCGCACTTACGCAGAACCAAGGAACGGTGCTGCAAATCGCACCAGCAATCATCGGAGCCCCGAAGGGGTTTTTGTCTTGACCTAATTCCTTCGCCGCCAGCTGCTTGGCGGTTTCGTAAACGCTAAAATACAGACCGGTTCCCAGGGTGTCGCGCATTGCATGTAAGCGGAAACCAGTGTACAACCCCCGGACCCCGTGTCGCTTGACGATCTGATTGATGGCTTCAATGGTACCCAACCGAGGTTTGCGGCGGATAGAATGGTCCCGCGCAGCATCGGGGGCAGCCATTGCCCGATTTGACACCAAGACGGAGGTCTGAACCACGTTCTTGGCTAGTTCAAATGGGCCTAATTGAATGTCAGCGCCGTGGAATGTGAGGTGGAGGTGTAGACTCACAGGCAAGAGGTGAGGAGACCAAGCCCGCGATCATGCCTGCAGCAGTGAAAGTCACTACTCCTGACACGGTGGGCGTGCTTCCAGCCCGCTGATAATCGGCCAGGGGGTTGAACCCAGTAGCGCGTTCGACATTGTCTGAGATGATTTCTTTGAAAGCGTTGTATGTGGTAAAATTGACAACTCGAACAGCCGTTACACTGGCCAGGGGTGGGAGTGCGCCTGAATTGTCAATATTCTGTGCAGCACTGGCTCCAGAAGGATCGACTTACCGGCTACATAGCCGCGGGGCCCTTCAGTCCGCCAGAGATAGCGAACACATTGCCAAACATTCTTGAAGTTGTGTCTTTGGGATCAATTAGTGTAATTCTTCTGCTGGATCCCAGAGAATGCTTACGTCTGCATTCGAGTCTTGACATTTTCCAAAGGAGTCTAAAGCACAGAACAAGAGCCGTCAGTATACTCCAAGCAACCCATTGAGGGATCTCGCAGTCCACGAGAAGAGCTTACCACGGAGAGCGTCGCGCACACGGTCGACGTCGCCGAAGCCACCTGTGTTTTATACTTCTTCAGGAGTCGATTGCGCGTGGAATCATCCATGTTCCAAGCGCGGTCCGGCATACTGGTAGATCTTGTTGGAGTAGACGAGGAGAAAGGCGCATGTTCAGGATGTTTATCAATAGTCATGCCGAAGTGTCCTCCATTTGCGATGGAACAAACACTGTGATTGGCTTTCAAAATCCCTCCAGATGAGATCTGGTTGAATGAGTATACTGGCAGGCTGGGGAACCCGATGGAACGCAAAGCGATCTCTCAGAACCCGAGTAGATCGTTCGGCGTCCCACAATTGTCCATTAAACGGGCCCGACCAACCCCGTTATCCGTTCAGCTTGGTGAAGACAGCCCCGGAAGACACCTGCGGGATCGAGAAACACGTTGGATTCCGTATTGGCGTTGGTGAAATCGGATCGATCCTAGTGGCCGAAGCAGGTGAGCCCCGGTAGTGGATTAACCCCGCGTTTCCGAGCGGGATCCTGTATTTCAGTGGGGAAGGGAGCAATTCGAGGGGTTCAAGCGATGGGGTTCCAATGCCCACTATTGCCAACGGTCGGATGATGCTTCGCCCTGTCCCAAGCCTGTCTTCCACAGCAATGGGTCACTAGTAGCAATGGAGCTGCGGCATGACTGTCAGTCCTGTCTCGGGCTGTCTGGTCACGTTGAGAAGCAAATGGGGATTGTGCAGGGTGGGGGATCAGAACTTACGCAAGCAATAGGACTTTGCTCATGCCTAGGAAGTCTGTACAGAAGTGAAGAAGCGAAGAAGCGAAGTAGCAAAATGGCATGTGGACCGAGCTTCATCCAAAAACGGTTAGTGTGGAAATGGGTGACGTCGTGAACCAGCAACTTACTTCTTCACTCCTTCACTTCCCTCCAGTATGCAGTCCTGTTTGTCTGTTTCACAGCCCTGGGGGTGAATGGCCTGGATCTTGGGATTCGAAATCGCTGATCGGTTTGGTGTTCTTTGATCCAGGGTACACCCAAGACACTATCTTCATGATCTTCATGTGTCAAGGCTGGATGAGTGAGCACACTAGCTGTAGTGCTATATTGTCAATGCCCTCTGAAAAGATTCCCTGGGAGAAAGGAGTTGCCATAGGCCTCTAGGCCTGGAGACCTGCAGGAATCCACCAAAAGAAAGACCAATGAAATCATGTTGACTTTGAAATCCAAAATTCAGGCTTCAGATCAGCTCTGTCCCCGCGCGGTATCTGTGAGATAGTCTTGAATAGACCACATACCCACTGTATCTGCTGCAGCTAGACCAGTCGTGTCTCGGATCGACGGGCTGTGGCGGTCAATGCGGGTGACTTGCAGCTGCCGTTCCCTAATAAAATCGTGGGAGTAGTTAAGGACATTGCAGGATGGGAAATGATAAAAAGGGTGTTCCACTTCCAAAATTGAATCTCCGGATGAGGAGAGTGATCTGCGATGGTCGACATATGTACACAGCCAAATCTTGAAATCAAGCTATAACTTGGAACTTAAGATCCCGAGGCTCTACTAGGTACCAACTACTAGGTAGTACACCTCATATATATATTAAGGTCGACTTCGGACACGTAGGTTCAAAAATAGTAGACCGTAGCCGCAGAAAGGAGACCAGAAAAGAAATAATAGGAATGAATAGAACAAACAGAGTATGCATAGTACATAAGCACAGGATAAAGAAGCTCACAATTATGCCGGGTTCCTCGGGAGTCGGGACCTCGGCCCCTCCCCGCAATTTCACACTCCCCACACGCGTATATTAGAACCTCCATTTCCCCATACTCTCAACTTTTGCCTCTTAACACATACCTACACATACCTAGTACACACACTCACACACATCATGGGCAAGAAAGCAAGTCCCGCATACGTCCTGGGCGTGGGCATGACCAAGTTCATCAAGCCACGCGGCAAGGTCGACTACCACGAGCTCGGCTATGAGGCCGGCATTAAAGCTATGCTCGACGCAAAGATCAACTACGACGACGTCGACCAGGGCGTAGCATGCTACGTCTACGGCGACAGCACCTGTGGCCAACGTGTCTTCTACCAATTCGGACAAACCAGCATCCCTATCTACAATGTCAACAACAACTGCTCAACCGGTTCCACTGGTCTCGCCATGGCCCGCACAATGGTTGGCCATGGCGCTGCGGACTGTGTATTGGTCGTTGGCTTTGAGAAGATGAACCCCGGTAGCTTGCAGTCAATGTATAACGATCGCGAGAACCCGACTGGATTGTTCGGTATGATGATGGCTGAGACGCGCGGTGTGACGAACGCCCCTGGTGCGGCGCAAATGTTCGGAAACGCCGGCGTGGAATACAAGGAGAAGTGAGTGCTCTGCAGTATTTATGTGCACTACCTGTCCGAGGATCTCAGCTAACCCCGACTCAGATACGGAGCCAAGAACGAGGACTTCGCCGAAATCGCGCGCGTCAACCACGAACACTCGAAGCGTAACCCATACTCGCAGTTCCAGACCGAATACACCCACGAGCAGATTATGAAGGCGCCCATGATCCATGAGCCCCTCACCAAGCTTCAATGTTGCCCGACCTCGGATGGCGGCGCGGCGGCTGTCATTGTATCACAGGATTTCTTGGACGCACGCCCCCACTTGAAGGAACATGCCATTCTCATCGCGGGTCAGACTCTTGCCACCGATACAGACACCGTGTACAGCAAGAGCTCGATCGATCTGATGGGCTTCGGCATGTCGCGCCAGGCATGCCGGTCCGCTGTCGCCGAGGCCGGCGTGAACGTGAAGGATATCAAGGTGTGCGAGCTCCACGACTGCTTCTCGGCCAACGAGATGATTACCATCGATGCACTGGAGCTCAGTGAGCCTGGCAAGGCTCATGAGATGGTCCGTCGTGGGGATATCACCTATGGCGGGAAGATGGTCATCAACCCATCGGGTGGACTGATCTCCAAGGGCCACCCTCTCGGTGCCACAGGCATCGCCCAGTGTGCTGAATTGGTGTGGCATTTGCGTGGTTGGGCCAACAACCGTCTGGTTGACGGTACCTCTTCGGCATTGCAGCACAACCTTGGCCTCGGTGGTGCCGTTGTCGTCACTGTCTACAAGCGCGCTGACGGTAAGGTCGCTGCCGCCGTGCCCTCTGATGTCGTCGGAAAGATCAATGGTCTTGGATATAACCCTGCTGTCGAGGCCAAGGGCTTTACGGCTGAGCAGGCCAAGTCCGTCGTCAGCAAGAAGCACAGTGTTGCATATGCACTGTCTGATACTGAGGAGCGCGTTCTCGCCCGATTCTAGAGCAACAACGCTCTGTAGATTGTACATAACTGAAATGACATGATATCCATTCTTTATTTTTTCTATACCGTCTAATCTATGTGCCCAATATTAGGTGTTTGTGTGTATGTTTTATATGCAAATTCCACTGCATCATGGATGCGTCTGCTCCCAATCCTCAGGAAGCTTGAAATACTTCGGCACCACATACTGCCCTTGACAGCTGCCCGGTTTCCTGCAGGTCAAAGTACATTTTCCATACAACCGACAATAGCAGTCTTCCGCGCTCGGACAAGAATCCCGATTCAAGCCATCGAGATCAATCCCGTTCTCCCCTAGTCGCGCAAATAGAATATGCCAAAGATAAGAGACAATCCTACCGGCAACCCGATCATCACCAGGCGCAGCCTTCGAACCACCCTGAGGATTCCTCGCAACTCCATCATCACTCCCATCCAGCAACCACTGTCGCAGCGCAATGTACTCATCCCTGGAATGCTGCCACACGCGCTCCTGCGCAACGACAAACTGGGCACAGCACTGCGCGCGCACCGCATCATTTCGCGCAAGCTGCACGACCTCCTCGCCGGCCTCCTCACCAAAAATATGGCGCAGTGCCTTGGGAAGAGCCAGATCCGATGCAGCGCGCGCACTCCACGGCGAAACCGTCGACGAGAGCCTCATCTCGAGACTACCCTGCGCGGGAACCGACGCAGGACACGTGCCGGCGCTCCAATCACAGCGTAAATTGTGATACCCGACTGGTTGCAGGGCGCGTTTAACATCCAGCGCCCGCAGGAGCTTGACATTGTCATACTCGGGGTGATCGTTATGCCACGCGAAGCGATTGCCATGAACGAAAACCGCTCCCGCGGCGGGGATGTCCGCATAGTTGTCGATGAGGAAGGTCAGATAGGCCATTGCCTCGTGGCCCCTGTTTGCAGGGACTTGCAGGACCTTGGAGGATTTGTCTGCTGGGGCGTCGACATTGTAGATGCAGATATGATAGTTAGGGGATAGAGAGTCGAGCCAGGATGTGTCCCCATCTGCTACAACATGTGATACGACCAGAGCTGGTTTGGTCGATCCTGCTAGACCTGGGCAGATGCCGCGGGCTTCAGGGATGATAGAGGATGAAGTTTTGTAGCGAATGCGGGCCCATGAGAAGGTCTTGGTGGTCCCCTGGGGCCGGTTCAAAAAGATGATGACGCATAGGACGACCAAGAAACAGATCACTTGAATCAGTGATCTCTGGACTTTCCGGGGCATTCTGTCGTCTTGCACCTCAGCGTCGTCGGAGGTTCGTTCGGGCAGCTCGGAGCCGTGCGGTATGTTTGCCTGAGGTGTGGATATCCCCTATTCGGCGATCCGATCTTTGTCGATCGCAGATTTTCCTGTTTCACTTTTCTTTCACTTTTCTCTTCTGCTCAATATGGTTCAGTGTGGCTCAGTGTGACAAAGAGAGTGCCATATATATAGGCCCAAAAGAACAGAGGGACAAACCGGTAAACCTTGGCATCGATGAGTTTTTTTAAAATATATTGAAAGAGTTTCGAATGAATACCGTCTTTGACAGCCTTGAAATGGCCTGAATGTATTGCCTTACTATATTTAAATCCTCTATACAGTCCGAGACTTGGTCTCAAAAACAACTGAAGTTACTCTAGACCTCGAGAAGCAGATGTTTAAGCCGAGCATGGATGAGGCAACACTCCGACGAGAATGGATGTACCTCCAAGATCTACAGCGCGAAACGTCACACGCTTGTTTCAAAATGGAAATGGAAATGAATCAACGCCCAACGGATATCTTCATTGACGACCTCAGGCGAGCGGTGGAATCGGAGTTCCTTCTTCGAAAAGTGGCCTGTAAGTGATAAAATCCATCCCCAAGACAAGTTACTGATAGATCAGCCTGGCTGGAGAGACGGCTCGTCGAGAACCACGGACATGATCTGTTTTATGTGATCGGCCCTGTGCCAGAAGAGGAATTTGCCCATTATTCGGCACATCTCCGGCATAAAGAGGCTTTGGTTCGCTATTTGTGTTTGCGCATCGCGGCCAAGCATACCGAGGCAGAAAAGCAAGCGAAAGAGGTCCAGAGGCTGTCTAGGGATATATCGAACTATAAGATATCGCGGTGATTCCACCCCTGACGGTGCGGGCTGGACATGATGTTCCTTTCTAGATTGGTGTCATTCTCTGTGCATGCTCCGGTCTGGTATTTCAATAAGAGTAGTGTAAGCCAACAACCATACTGGAAACGTCTCATACTAGGTACATGACTGCAATCCAATAACTATCTCATAGATTTGAAAAGCACAGAAAGGTGTCAGTGCCCAGGTGAGGATATAGTAGACACGTGACTGCTGACATAAACGCCGCTACTCGGGGCAATAAAACCGTGCGCGGCACAATCTCTTTTCCTTTTCTTCTTCACTTCAAAACATATTCACGGTCCCCAACACACTCTTGTCGATGGAAAATTCCTACTCCATCTACATATTTTAGCTTTGGGACCCAGACCGAAGAATGCTCGTTCTAATCCCGCCCCCTGACATTCAGCCAGAGGGGAACGGGTTCGCTTTTGAGCCAACATCCCTCCAGCAGAATCCTGCTTGGATCAGATGCCAATCACAGTGGTGAATCTTTAATGCCAAGATTCCTGCTCTGGGCGAGATGGTATCCTATAGATGGGATTGCTTGCCATGCTAACCTAGTTAGACGTAGACTTTGGCAACTTCGAAGTCTTGTTTGTCATATTGATGATGCTCGAGGTCAAAAAGTTGCCCAAACTAAAGCCTTACAGTTGGACAAGTCCTTCTGAAGACTCCCACGTGTTGCGTCCACTCCCTCCATGGAGATGTGCGTGTCAAAGTAGGGAGATACATTCCTGTAAAAAGCTCTAGTCCGATGACCTGGCCCTCGCTGGCCCACTGGAGTAGCCCAGTCAAGTTCTGTGGAACTTGGAATGTCGTGTGGATCTGCATTTCTCATGTCCGAAAGAACGACCCCTTCAGTGTTCTATTCATATGTGTGCTACGGAGTACATAGTATTAGTACTTCCATGACTGCTGTCTTGGGTTCCAAGGTTCAAGGTTGTCTTGCTGCTTGCAGACTCGCACGACCCCAAAGATTACAATTACATAGGTTTAAAGCTGTTTAACCCGCATACTTCCAAGGTTAAGACATGCCCGCGCATGTGAGCAGGCTCGCAATTCGTGTGAATATGCCGCACATGCGATATAAACAGAACCAAATGGGTTGGAATGTACGAGACTGTCAAGGTGCTGTATGTAAACTTAGACAAGGTCAGCCACAAACCCTTGAACCTGTTGCTGATGCTATCCCTTTATTGGTTCGCGAAGATGATTCGACGCAATACATACATAGTCCGTATACAATCGCAGCTTCGTTTATTGTATACAGTACGTATCATGCTACATGCAGGAAGACCTTTCCCGTCTAATGCAGCCATTGAGAGTCAACTGGCGAAAAATGCGCCACTATGCTTGTTTGTTGAGTGCAAATGCCATCGACGCGATGGTGTCGACCATGAGACCTAGCTCCCCCTTCGGTTCGCGTATCCGTGACTTCAACGAAGGGGTTCATTTAAATCCCACATAACTCCCTGTCAAACAAAGGCTCCTTTCCTCGCACAGCTTCTTCTTGCAACTCCGCTCTCTTCCTCTCGGTCTCCAAATCCACTCGTTTAGAAACAACTTGAACATACATTCTTTCTCTTGATCTATATCTTCAACATACACAATGGCCCGTTTCAGTCTTTCATTCCTCGCTGTCCTGTTTGTCCTGGCCGCTGTGGCCTTGTCAGTGCCCGTGAAGCGTGATGAAGGCAAAGCTGCTGCCTTCAGCCTCGAGAGTGCCCTAGGCCCTCTGGAGGTAGGTAATTCACCGTTAACACATCATTCAAAGCTAACAGTACACCCCAGGGCGCCACCAAGCTTATCCCCGGTCTCGACAAGGATGACGGAAAGCCCAAGCTCACTGCCGAGGAAAAGAAGCAGAAGAAGGAGCAAGAAGAAGAGCAGCAGAAGAAGGATGACGAGGCGACGATCGCCAAGGCCAACAAGAAGATCGCTGAGGCTGATGGTGATGCCAAGCCCACTCCTACAGCCACCCACAAGAACAAGGTCTCGTCGGGCAACTTTGTTACTCCCTCCGCCACTCCTACTCACAAGGCCAAGTCCAAGCCCAACTCGCTGAGCAAGATCCCCATCATTGGTGGTATCCTCGGCGGATCTGGAGTCGGTCTGTAAGCGAGTGTGCATCCCATCGACGAAGATGGGAGAATTCCATGATGAGTTCATGTATCGAGAATGATTTCTCGATGTTATGTTATATCCCCGGAAATCTGGCCCAGTGTGTCTTGGGCGAGATTGACAAGTTCCACATAGATAGGCAAAAATGATTGTTCAATTTCATGAAAGATCGGATTTGAAACATTCAATTATGCGCTCGTTAATCTAGAACAGAGCGGGATGGGAAAGAATTATCATTAGAAACATGAACGCTGGAGTGTTGGAATATGCAATCGATCGTGGGCCGTGCAGGTGGCCACGGCAGTTTATGAGCTCTTGCCCTGGCTGGCTTGCTGTTGACCTTCATGCAGTCCGGTGTAGTACCCCGCATAGTACCAGGACATCATGAGGTTTTTCAAAGCCTCGTCTTTGACTATACAAGTTAGGCTTTGTTCCACACGAATCGCAAATGGGGACATACCATTGGCCATCACAGGGTGAGGCATTGGAAGGGCAGCAGCGGGAGCCTCAGCGGCGGACGAAGTCACGGTCTGGGATGTCAGTTTCTTGTCAATGAACAGATGAAATGAAATGTAGTGCCGCGTCCACAACATACCTGGGTAGTAGGCGCAGGCTCAGACGCAGGCTCATGCTCAGATGCAGCTTCATCAATGGTCATGGCGACATCCTCATTCTCAGGATCCTCGGTGCCATTTTCTGCATGAAGATTTACATCTTCGACCACCTCAACTCCAGCCACAGAGCCAGACTCCGCAGCCTTCAAAACTTCTTCCACATTCTCACCCCTGGCGTGAATGCTGTGATAGAGCTGCCATCGAGTTAGATGCCGATCACGTGAATTGGGGTTGGACCGACCTGGTATTCTTCGACGGCATCGTCCCAAGACTGAACTAGGGCAGAGTCATCCCAGATCTCCTCGTGTGTCATAGACGCATTCTTTTTCTTCCCCATGTCTACTATCGTTGCCCTGGACAGAAGGAGGTTGGAGGTGATAGCCTGCGATAGGTCGTGGGGCTCACCGCCTTCCAAGCAAATCAGCGAAGAAAAAAAAGTTTCCCGATAATCTCGAGCAGCGTTCAGACTTCATTTCGACACAGAACGTCAAAATGGCCCCCGATAAGAAAGTTTCAAAGCGCAAGGGTATGCGAAAGACCAATTGATTTGTGGGATTCCTTTTGATTTAACTAATGCCAATCCAGCCGCACCTGTCGCCGCCGACTCTCCCGCCAAAAAAACCAAGAAGGCCGAGACCAAGGCCGAAGCATCCAAGGAGGATGTTCCTAAGTCCACTTTGAAGAAGAAGGAGACTGCGGCCAAGTCCAAGGCCGACAAGACCGCTGCCCCAGCCAAGCCCAAGGCTGAGCCCACCCGTCAGATGAAGCCTCGCAAGCGCGCTGCCGATTTCCTCACTGATGAGGAGACCGAAGCGCCTGCTCCTGCAAAGGCTGACAAGAAGGCCGAGAAGAAGACCACCGAGAAGCCTGCTGCTAAGAAGTCCAAGAAGGATGAGACCGAAGCGGCTCCCGCTTCCAAGAAGGCCGCCCCCAAGAAGGCTGCCGGCAAAAAGACCGAGAAGAAGCCCGAGCCCGTCGAGTCCGAGGACGAGGAGGAAATTGAGGTCCCCACTGCTGTTGTTGAGAGCGAATCTGAGGGCGAGGATGACCAGACTGCCGACCTCATCAAGGGCTTCGAGAGCAGTGACGATGAAGATGAGTCCGGCGAAGGTTACAAAGAGGGCCAGCCCATCCCCAAGGCGCCTGATACCAAGAAGGCCGAGCGCAAGCTCGCTAAGGCTCTGGCGAAGGAGCTGAAGAAGAACGGTCCCCCCGAGGAGCCCGGCACTGTCTACATTGGGTGAGTTTTACCGGACATCTTGACCATACCGATCTAATATTCAATTCCCAGACGTATTCCCCACGGTTTCTATGAGCATCAAATGAAGGCTTACTTCTCTCAATTCGGCGACATCACCCAACTCCGTCTTTCACGCAACCGTCAAACCGGTCGCTCCAAGCACTACGCCTTCATTGAATTCTCTTCGACCACTGTCGCTAAGATTGTCGCCGAGACCATGGACAACTACCTCATGTACGGCCACATTGTGAAGTGCAAGTACGTTCCCAAGGAGCAGCTTCACCCCGAGGTCTGGCGTGGTGCCAACCGCCGTTTCAAGGTCACTCCCTGGAACCGCATTGAGAAGAAGCGTCTCGAGAAGGGCAAGACCCGTGACCAATGGGCCAAGCGTATCGAGAGCGAGCAGAAGAAGCGATTGTCCAAGGCCGAGAAGATGAAGGCCCTTGGCTACGAGATCGATCTTCCTCAGCTGAAGAGCGTCGACGATGTCCCTGTCCAGGAGGCCCCCAAGGCCATTGAGGGCGAGACCGAGGCTGTCAAGGCCGTCGAGCCTGCCGTCGAGGAGCCCAAGCTCGAGGCTGCCCCCACTGATGATACCCCCAAGAAGACCAAGAAGGGCAAGAAGACCGAAGAGAAGGAGGTTGTGGAGTCACCGGCTGCCAAATCCCCTGCTGCTAAGAAGGGCAAGGCGACCAAGAAGGCCGCTAAGAAGGTCAAGGCCTAGGGATCATGTAAAAATTGTTTGTAATTTCATTCATCTAGCCTCTTATCGAATGCATTCTTATTTCACGAATGATCTGAATTATGGGCAGAAAACTGAATGTATACCTTGTATTCCGTACTGATTCAATCTGTTGAACCGAGAGTACTGTACAACATAGACGACATACATGTACGGAGTAGCGAGTAGATAAGTCGATGGCTCCATAACTAAGAGAAGACGCTAACCCTAGGAAGGACACACTAACCCGGACAGGCTAGCAGTCACATGACCCTCCCGACTCCACATAAAAAATAAAACCCAGCAACGCCGCTTCCTCTTCCTTCAACTCCTCGTTCAAAGAATCGCATTCAAAGCTCACACACAGAGGCCTTCGGGCCTCTCACTTGCTTTGGGAGAAAGTCCCCGGACACCCTGCACTTTGCAAAAAGATGTCAGGCATTGCGGAAACGCGCCGCCATAGAAGCAATTCGATAGCGGCTACGCCCAATCCCAACCGTGCACCGCACCGTCCGACACTCGTGGAAACAATGGGGCGACTGCGGTGTTGCGGAAGGGGAGAACCTCGGTTCGATCGGGTTGCCTTTCGTCAAGTTCGATAGTCATGCGATTGCTCGTCCTCAGGACGGGTAACTCAATGGGGCTCATTCTTGAGGCGAGGAGTTCTCAATTCTTTCAAAGTCTGTAGCTTATGGAAAGCGGTACGGGTTCGCTCGGCAGATGCCCCGTCGAACGGGTCAGACTTTTTCAATTGTTCGCGTGATGATATACCAATCATAGAGTCAAGCACAGAGTCCCAAGGGATGTTGACGATAAACGATTTAAAATTATCTGATGAACACTATATAGCTATTTTACCTTTCGTCCTCTTTTCAATACCCAATATCAGATGCAATGGAAACATGATTTAATGCAATATTCATGACTATATCGTAGCATTCCTTATATGATACAGATGCCTGATCATCTATCCCGTTCACTGAGCCTTTCCCTCGGCCTCAACAGGCTTCTTGGTCTCTTGTCCCAGAACCCGCACCAGTAGAGCCCCCACAAACTCCGCCGCAAGCGCAATCGCTGCAGCGCACACATTGCTCCAAACCTGGATACTGACTGATCCCAATGGCGCGCGAGGGAACGACACAATCCACTCCACGGGGTAAGGGAACCAGCCAACCGGCAGCGGGAAAACAGGTGTTTTCGAGTACCAAAATTGAAGGAAGATCTTCAGCCCGTTCGTGCTGAGCCAGCGGGCGATTTTGACGGTCCAGTCGAAGGATGATTTTTGGGCTGTGAGGTCCTTGTCTGTGAGACGTTAGTTGTCTGTGGGTGTATAGCTAGTGGCTAGCGAGAATCGACTGCCAACGTACTCAACGCCTCGTATTCCTCAAGAGTCTTGTCGTGGCGTCTGCGCGCCTTCGCCCACTTGGCGAACTCGTCTTGGGAGCTGGTGTTGTTCATTTCGCGCTTTTGCTCAAGCACCGCTCGCTTCAGCTGCTGCTGCTTGCGGGCTGTTCGGGAGGTCGGCGTTGGTAGGCGCAGGTAGAGTAGCCATAACTGCCTGGGGTTAGCTTGTGCGATGAGGGTATGAGTCGCCATCTGCGCGCGCTGCGCGCTGGTCAGACTCGGGTTGGGATACGGACCAGCTGGTCGATGGTGCTCGCACCGATTGTGTTCACTAGGTAGATTGCGACATGCACAAAGAACACCGTGAGAATGAGAGACAACATGGCGCCGAGATGAATGCGACAGCCTGGAGGAAAGGCCTCAGCTCAGATTTGGATCTGAGTGGAAGTACAGGGCGAGAGTGTCCAGTGGAATATGGTGAAATGACGTGGGAGAAATAATAGCGGACTTGGCCTTTCCGCCTTCGCCTTACAGAGTACACATCGCGACTCTTCATTTCCAATGTCAACACAATGACCTCGACATTTGACCAAATTTAAATCAAATGTCAAATCCAGATGCCTACCAAGAACTTGCCCAGGTCTTCAAATCCAGAGGCAACCAGGTTCTGGAGATTGAAATCATCCCATCCAGCCTAGGGTCATTCCTACAAGATGGCAACGCAGTCGGCACAAGCAAAAAGACATTAGTCGCAGCCTACACGGTGGCGCGACAATTGTTCAGCAACTTACAGCCGGGGGACTTTTCCCAACACGTCATCACAGAGATAATGCTGCTCTTCGACTGTGAGCATCTGACAGCCTGTAACTGGCGGAAGCGTCGACTCAATGCAGCGATGGCAGCGCCAGGATTCTCGCAAGATCTGCTTCAGGCAGAGCTCACGCTCATGACGAGCTACCAGTGCTCACCGCTACATCGTCACACCAAGTCGCCGACGCTATGGCATCACAGATTATGGGTGCTGGGCCATCTCCTGCAAATGCGCAGTCACAGTCCGCAGGATTTGTTGGACCTTCTGAAGTCAGAACTAGAGGGCGTTCTTCGAGCGGGAGAACTGCATCCGAGGAATTACTACGCCTTCAGCTACATGCGACAGTTATCTGTTCTTCTCATTGACAGTGGCGCGCATTGGGATTCCTTGACGATCGACCGCATTGTTGACTGGTGTCTTGCTAACCCTCGCGATATCTCGGGCTGGAGCTTTGCGGTCTATGTGTTAGGTTCCTCGACCCAGCAGTCTCAAGTGCAGGCGCTTGAGAAGGTTGCTCGATTTGCACTTGGCGTTGGGTGGGAAGGCGAAAGCCTCTGGACCTTCATCGCGCAATCTGCTCAACGGTTCGGCTTGGAAGCTTCTTTGGAGAGGATGTTGATCCCCGAGAAGACAGACACCATTCATGAAGCCATCCCGGACGGCTCGCGGTGGTCGACATGGCTGGAGTTGGCGAGAGCGTATTGGGCGCACAACGGCCGTTAGATGAGATGTGTATATACGACATACAAACGATTACAACCATAACAACACCTCCGTGATATTTCTCAGGTATCTTGCGGTCAACGGTATACATGCTGCGGCTAAATATGATGAACGCCAAGTGTCAAAACGCCTCGCTCGGCCTCTGTAGTTGCAGGGCATGAGTCCCTCGATATTCAAAATGCATTCTGAAGTGCCGTTCCTCGACCAGCCCAAAAGGTGCGCTTCGGTATTATGTAGGCCAGCGCGGGGACCTCGGGAACATCGAGGATGGAGAATCGGACGGGTTATTTTTTCCCTCCGGCTGCTTCTGCGGCTCGTTTTTCGTCGGCTGCATGAAGTGATCAGTAGGGATACACTGCATGGCACCACGGCGACATACCTTTCTTCTGCTTCTCACGCATGATCGCCGCAGCATCCTCCTTGGTCTTCTGGTATTGGGTACCGGTCATAGTGTTCTTGTTCTTCTGTAAAGGGGGTCAGTCATCCGCAGGCCGTGAGAAGGAAAAAGGACATACCGTGTTACCGGCTTTCTTCAAGGCCTTGGCCCGATCATTATCGCGCTGGTTACCCCGAGTCATGTTGTGCTGTCTGGACGAGAAATGTGAAGAGGGAAAAAAAGTTGGAGGGGTGTCGCCGGCGCGGGGGGGCAAACCACATCCGCTTTTCCCACTTCCGACCAGCATCTATCGGCTTTTCTTGCTGCATTTCTTCGGATCTATCTCTGCATCTAATTTAGCTCGATCGAGGGCGGCTATGTCTGAACACTGATCACAACACTTGATCAGGTACTACCTAGGTAGTCCGCGGCCATTATCTAGGGAGCACCTCGTACCCTTCAGCAACAATGACCTGCCATTCCCAGCTAGGGAAAATCCAAGATGGTTCCGTCTCATCTCGTCTCAGCAGAAGATGAGGCCCAAAGTACAGCCCAAACTATAGCCCAACCCCTAATGGCGGAAGGGAGCGTTAGCCGCCAGGGACCTGACCTGGTTTCAGGATTGACCAGCAGGAGCTATTGACATCCAATGCTTTCGACAGCTCGGAACTCAGTTGAGATACGAATTACACCTGCATAGAGACTATGCTTAATTAGATCTCTACTGCGCTTAGGTCTATTGACCTGAAACCCTGTGGCTCTTTCGCCTTGTAGGTTTCAAGTCTATTCATAGTCCTATTCATTCATCAGGTTCATTCTTCATTCTTCATTCTCTCTTTCTTTCCTTTCTTATTATATCAATCCCATTCATTTCCTTTGTTCCATTCTGGCCTCGAGTTGATCTCGTGAGGATATCAAGCTTTCTGCTGGGCAGTGGGCTTCCTTCCTTTTAATCCCTTCCTCCCCTCAGATTCCATCTGTACACTTCTTCCACTCGGCATTATGATTGCTAGCTTGCGCAAATCCCTGGCTGGTCCAGGATATGTGATTTTGAATGCTATCCGCGTTTTCAACATCGTGACCTTTCTCGATCTCATCGCGGCGTGTGTCGTCATGCTGGTCAAGATCGATATGCTGAACAGCTTCTTCTTCTTTGAGGCTGTCACTCATGCCGTAGTTGCTGTGATCAGCAGTAAGTTGATATCCTTTCCCTCATGACCCTATACTCACAGCAGATAGTCTTCCTGATCGTCTCCGAGCTCCCCGTTTTGCAAAACTACTTCGATCGCCATTGGCCCATGTTCGGTCGAGAATCAGGCTTCTACTCTCTCGCCGGGATCATGATGATTCTAGGTGTCTCGACTCTCGGCAACTTGAACACTCCAGCCATGGCCCAGGAGAAACTCGGAATGGTCTTCTGGCGCATCATCGCCTCGGCAGGGATCCTGGCCATGGTGATCAGCATTTTGAACGTCCTGGCAGTAAGTTGATTTGTCCCAACCCTAGTCTAGTGCATGCTAACATCTCTCCAGAGCTTCATCTTCACCGACTCTGAAACCGGCGTCAGCGCCCGTCAAGTCCGTGTCGACGGCGCCGTTGCCCCTCAAAAGGCAATGAGCAGAAGCAGCAGCCACCGCACTCTTCATCTCAGTATGAAGCACGAGGAGACTTTGCCAACCTACGAACGCCAGAACCCCGTGAAGCGTGCCACCAAGCGTTTGACGGGTCGGTTCCCGTTGAAGATCTCCAAGCCCATGAACCCGACTCTGGTTGCTGAGAATGATGCGGCTTCCTCCAAGTATTCTCGGGATTCTTGCGATATCCGCCCTCCTGACCTGGCGCACCACCCTGCCATGTACACTGGACAGTATGTTTGAGCTGGACTCGGTTGAGCCTCTGGGGAGGATGATTTGCGTTCTTGCGATGGCGCTCGGCTGGTTGATTCCCATTGATTATTTTGCTTTCGGTTTCTTTCATCGGATGTACTTAAGTGCAGCTGCTTGGTAAAGACAATATGCGACCTCTGTATCTATAAAATATCCAACTTTCTGTGTAGATTCTAGACCCTCTACGCTGCATATCACCTAGTCGTACCATAAGATCTTTGACAATAAATATCTGCTAGCAGACATTAATATTATAATATTATAATATATCAGACACATCAGGACAAAGCCCAACTCGCATGTGCAGAACGAAGTCAATAATGAAATCGGACCCACCCGTCCGAGGACACTTCACACTTCCACCTCAGGGCCTCACCAACTTTATGTTTCACCTTTCTCTATTCTCTTGAATCCAATGAGGTAGAGATACTCCCAGAGCTGCACAGATGGCTATAGCAATCTCATGGGGGACGTAAGTATTCCCACTCCTCCGCACTGTCCCATCTAACCCCGAATAGTGTCAAGTCCCTCCTCATATTCTTCGGTCCCGTCCTCCTCCCACGCCTTATTAATGCCTATCGAAGTCTGCGAGTCTCCATCGCAAGTCGTCCACCGCCCCGACCCCTCCCTGCTGCCCCAGGCCGGGCCCTGAACATCCTCTTCGGAGGCATTGTCTTCTTCCTCCTCCTCAGTCTCCCATTCAACCCTCACGCTCCCGAACCCAACATCTTCGCGCTCACCCGATCTCGCTTGAACACGCCCACCGATGTCATCTTCAACCGTCTGGCGCGGTTCCGCCCCGACAACCTCCTCTCCCACACCGACAACCTCCTCCAGTCCAAGCTGACTTCCCTCGGCGCGCGACGTGTCTACCTCACCTTCGGACCAGACGCTCTGGTCTCGTGCCAATTCTGCTCCTATGACGACCTCACCACCTATTTAATGTACTACCTGCCCTTCCATGTGCTCCTCCCGCATCTGGGGCATTTGATGCTCCTCGGCATCGCAACCTCCGCCCCTATCGCAGGCCGCGAAGCCGCCCGCTGGCGCATGAAGTTCACCTTGGCAGGCCTCGCTCTCGCCGCTATCGATGTCTACATCATCGCCACCTACGACGCGATCAACGGCGCGCCCCTGTCTGTTCGCGCAGGCCAGAAACCTCCGACCAGTCTCTACAATCAGATTACGCTACTGCGGCCGCTGGCGATCGTGGTCTGTGATGTGATCTGTGCGGCCATCATTTGGCTCTCCGCAACTAACCGCTTCTTCTTCAAGCCGCCGGCTGTGGGGGAGCAGATCGATGGTGCGATTGATATGGTGGTGAAGTCATTGAAGGATACCACTACGAAACTGCATGCGAGCAGTGTGACGCGCAATGCGGTGGTGCGGGACAAGGAGCTGAAAAATCGGGATGATTTGTATTGGCGGACGATGGCGGCCTCGGAGAGCCCCACCGGCGAGACCGGGGAAGGCCAGATCCTCAACAATATCTGGGAGGAGGAAGAAGTTGCTCGAGCCATGTCGCGGGCCATGGCGGGTCAAGGGGGAATTGATTTGGCTCAGCTGGGCGTGAACGCCAATGACTTTGTCCAAGGGGTGACGGAGGGTCTGTAACAAGTAGAGTGAGCTCTTATATGTGTCATTTTGATCGCCAAGACTTTTTGTCCACCGGAACAGGCATTCTGTTGACTGCCTCCATTCAGTAGGATGTAAATAGTGAGAGCCGAAGTTATCCGTAGACGAAGACGCAGACGAAAGGGACTAAGAGTAGAATTAACCTACGTAGTTCATGCAGTCGACATTTGGACGAGGCGGTGAAGTGGAGAGTGATCGTCGTTGTTGAACAGATGAAACCACTTCAACCACGTTCCCCCCCCCTCCTCTCCTCAAAAGAGGCGAATTTCCTTTACTCTCACTCGGGTCTTCTCTGATCTTTGGATTCTCGTTGCTGGTCGAACGAGTGTCACTTCGGGGTTCAGATGCAGGTCCACCTCTCGGCATAATTTCTCAACTCAACTTCTCTCGCTTTTTCACCATGGCTGACGTACACCCCGAGCGCAAAGAGCGCAATGCCTATCTTTCATCCGGACGAGTGAAAGAGACCACTTTCCGAGAATGGGTTGTGGCCAACCAGATTGGTATGTCTTCTCGGAGCTGCAGGGGCCATCCGCTAACGCTGAGACAGGAATCTCCATGACCACCCTGGCTATGTTGCTGGCTCTTCATAACCTCTACCCGTCTCTGCGTCCTTACACCGCTCCCTTCTTCCAATTGTCCTATTACAATGAATCCACGGATTCCTACGTCCAAGGCTGGGATGATATCTACTTTGTCTTTAGCGCCGCTGTCGCCCTCACCGGTATTCGTGCCATTGCAATTGAATGGGTGATGCAGCCAATTGCCCGGGCCTCGGGCCTGAAGCGCAAGAACGCAGTCCGCATCGCCGAGCAGGGCTGGATGGCCATGTACTATGGATTCATCTGGGTGGTTGGATTGGTGAGTGGGCCAGTCTGGGGGAAATAAATTGTGGATCATGGCTGACTGGTTTGGCAGTACCTTTGGAAGACCTCATACTACTGGGGGGATTTTGCGGCGATGTGGTCCCAATGGCCTGCTCGTCCTTTGTCTGGTATGATGAAGTGGTATCTTCTTGTCGAGCTGGCATTTTTGATGCAGCAGATCTTTGTGATCCATGTGGAAGAACGCCGCAAAGACCACGTCCAGATGCTGTCTCATCATATCATCACTAGTGCGCTTCTAGGCTCGGCCTACATCTATGCCATGTACAACGTTTCCAACGTTGTCCTGTGTCTCATGGATATTGTGGATGTTTTGCTCCCGGTTCGTCAAGTCCCAGCTATGTGCCAGGCGCCCACTAATGATAATGCTTCTTAGACTGCCAAAATCCTCAAGTATCTCAAATACGAGACAGCCTGCAACATCGGCTTTGGCTTGTTCATGAGCACCTGGTTCCTGACCCGCCACCTGATCTACCCTGTGGTGTGTTGGTCAGTGTATCATCAGCTACCCCTCAATCTCACCTACGGATGCTACACCGGCGCCACCAGCGAGTTCATCTCGGCCGAGCCCCCTAACGCCTTTGCGTACATGCTCGGTCCCTACTTCAGCCTAGACAATCCCATCTGCTTCAACCCCACCCTCAAGTGGATGTTCCTGGGTCTCCTGCTGATCATCGAGGGATTGTCTATCTTGTGGTTCAGCATGATCGTCCGCGTCGCTTACGGAGTGGTCTGCGGCGGTAACGCCGAGGACTCCCGCAGTGACGAAGAGGACGAGGCTGAGGTTGAGGATCAACCTGCCCACAGCTCGGTGCACCTGGCCGCCAAAGACGGTGTCACGGTTGAGACGATTGAAGGCGAGGCCCCTCCCGGCCTCGACCGTCGGCGGTCTAACGGAACAGCCTCCGTTCGTGCCCGGGGCCGTGGACGCGTGCCTTTCGACCAGAGCGACCGGAAAGCTCTTCTCGGCCGCATTGGTTGCGAAAAGCCGACGTAAACGCCATCTTCTATTTCCCTTTTTTTCCTGAACCAAAATTTGACGAATCCCATGTCGACCCCGTTGTACCTGGCGGTCGGTTCGGCCTCATATCTGCAGTGATGGCCTTTCTGCAGAGCTTGATATCCAACCGCTGCACTGGTACAACGGAGCACTCGAATCACGATGAACTGCGCTTTGAATTTGTTTCCGGTATGATGTTTTCCAGTCTGCTTGCCGGGTCTTATATCCAATACGTTTCTGCGTTTCCCAATTTCAGTTGCATTCTCATTCTCATTGTCATTCTCGGCCTGGGTGGTTTGTATTCTGCTTGATCACAGATCCCAATAATACCCCATTTGGATACATTTGACGTTGTACGGAGTACATGAATCATAGGACTTTCTCTCCCTGAATCTCAATCTCCAGCCCTTCGTGCACGTAGTCCTTGAGCACTGGTTCCCTCCCCGAACTCTCCCCATACAGCAACACCTCAATAGGCCCTAACACATCCGACACAGCCTCCATCCCCAAAAAGTCCCCAAGCCCGAGCCCCGGCGCCAACGAGTCCCGACACACCCCGAGATCAATCCTCTCCACCCTCCCCGGCCCTTCATGTCCCAACGCATCCAGGAACAACGCATACGCCAACGGATGCACCAACATCCCACTATGCGAATAAAACCCACCCCCAGCCTCACCAGCACAAACAACCTGAACCTGCGTGTTGGAAACCCCCACCCCCCTCGCATCCCCCAGCAGCCCCGATGCCCCCTCCCCACTCTGCGGCTGCACCACAAAATCAACATCACTGTAGACGCTCGTCGTCGGCACGAAAGCCGAATCCCCACCATCCCGCAACGCCCGCACAAACCCACTTTCATACCCCTGCTGCCGGATCGCAGGCGTGCACAACGCCTCATCAAGCACGCACAGGGACTGGACTCTTGTGCCGTGGAAATCGGCACTCACGGCTAGAAAGTCGGATACGACACTTCGCGTCGAGGGCCAGTATTTCAATACCCATTGGATGTCCAGGGCGCCCTGGGACCAGCCCAGCACGCCGATCGAGCGCCCGCATTGCGTGCTGAGGTAGTTGATCGCGTAGGCTATGTACTGGGCGTTGTCTTGGATGTCGGATAGGGAGTTGTCGGGGATGTTGACCCAGACCGGATTGGTGGTGTTGGTCTCGAGGAGTCGGCTGTAGCTGAATGAGAAGGTTAAGCCGGCTGGGTCGGCGGTGCCGGGGACGAGGAGGATAGGGATCTTGGTGCAGGTGAAGGTTGGTGGGATGTAGATGGCGCTGCGGAGGTTGGGCTCTGGAATATCGTAGGGTGCGTCGGTGGTGGATTTGGGGTAGATGGGGGTCTTTGGGGGTGGGTTGGTGTTGTTGTAGGAATTGATGGGGTTGGGGTTGAAGATTGTGGTGATGTTCGAGGGAACTAGTCCTGCTGATACTATGGCGATTGCTCGTTCGAGGGAGGTGGTGTTAGGAATATTGGCCAGAAGTGTAAGACCTTCATTGATGCTCTGTACGGGGTTGATCTTGCCGCTGGTTATGTCTGATATGAGGCTGGAGAGCTGGAATACTTGCTGGGCTGTGTCTTTATTCGTGTACAGAGATGAATCGAGAACCTCTAAGATCTCTGGGATATCAAGTGCTTCTCTCCTAAAGAGAGGGTTGCACATCGCAGTGGACAGAAGGAAGTAGAGCAGACGCATTTTGTCTCGAATTAGGACTCATTGTCTTTGCTCTCTTTGATCTTCTCGCGAGTTTGTAGATCCTCATCTTTGGACTCGTCAATTCATTTAACTTCATTCTTTCGGAGTCATTCCATCAAGCGCACCTCAGCCCAAGACTCACCACGGAAGCTGGATGAAAAGTCTCAAGTTGAGATCTCGCGAGCGCCGTTCAGTCCCATCAGCAGTCCCCTTCTGAGTTCTCAGACCCCAGCATTGCTTGGTGCTTTAAAAGGTGAGAACGGCATCCCAGTCTCGTACCTTTTATACTTGTAGGTTGTGTACCCCGAGATATCCTTAAGCCCGAGTGCGAAAATTTCTCAAAACCGAACATCTAATCGGCCGAAACCACCGTTCAAAACCCAAGCCCAAAGAACTTTTTGTAACATGCGCTCTGTAAAGTTTGGGCACAAGGATGAGAGCTGCATATACAGCCCCGGTCTGATCTTCGGGGCACCATATATATACGGATCGCTACCCAGCAGCCTGGTAAGATAGAGCACAGCCTACTTCATTCCAGGGTGCGATGCATGGTGGCCTTGTCTACGCTTCTACCCGATTGGCTGCTATCGAAACGATCTATGTGAGACTCGTACATACTGGACAGCTGTTTAGTTAGCTTGGTCAGGCTCCACGCGCAATCATGATTCTGGGACTGCAGCATGTGGCACTTAATGGACAACGAACTCTGAATATGACTTCCGTGTGTGTCAAAGTGTAATATCATCATCGAAACATGCAATTCAAATCTCCTCACTGCGAGTTCGATATCCGTGAAGCAGTGGTACAAGGTGGCCGAACCTAGGAGTTAAGTTTTACCTGCAACCAAAACCGAGAAAGACACTTCTCGCCAGTTCAAGCTCAGTCAGCATGAATAGTTGCTACATCGAAGCTGAATAGAAATAATAAAAACATTCAAGAGCATCATCGGAGCTATACGAGCTCACTCTGTACTTCAGGCGCTCCATACTTATAACACAGCATCACTCAACAGGCCAAACCTTGTCTCTTCTACCTAGGTAATAGTCTGAGATAAGCAGGGAATTAAAGGCTTTGTATGAGAATTCGTATAAGGCCTCGCTTGCGTTGCACAGATTCTGTATTGTCCGATGGTCGTGCTTTTATAGTGTTCTTTAGCAATTCCATCCCGAGAAATTTCGGACATTGCTTTGCCTTGCTCGGTTTGACGTTCAATGATGGCGAAGGCTGAACTTTCAATGGCCGATATCGAGATTCAAGTTGCGAGTAGCCCTAAGATCAGTAGTGGCCGGGGAAATGTCCAACTGCGAGATCCTGTCACTGCCGAATTGATCTTGATCCCTTGTCCGTCGGAGGATCCGAGAGATCCACTCAATTGGTGAATCCGGTGTCTTCGAGCGCCATATTTGTCTGACGAAGAAATATCAGGTCAAAAGGATTTCGACTTTTCGTTGCATTCATCGTAAACTTCGCTGTCTATCTTGCTCAGCTCCTTGCCGCCGGTCCAAGTGTCAACATGATTGAAATAGTCGACGACCTCTTCGGCGCAAAACCAAATAGTTCGAACTTCCCTACTCTGGTTGCAAAGGCTGCGTACTTTTTCAGCGGCGTCGCGTTCCTGCAGGGCATGTCAAACCTGCTCTACATGCCAGTCATCATTAAATATGGCCGTCGTCCGGTGTATATTGTTTCATTATTGGTCTATGGTGCCTGCTCGCTATGGGCAGGATTGGCGAAGAGTTATCCTAGTGAGCTCGCTGCGAGGCTGGTTCTAGGGCTTGCGGGTGGATCTGCTGATTCCCTAGGTCCTCTCACCATTACTGATACATTCTTCCTACATGAACGAGGACTGATCATGAGGTATGTCCCATGAAATGGGTATAGCATATTGATAACTCCATACAGCTTGTACGCAACGGCGGTATCTTGTGGACTTGGGAGTGGCCTCGTTCTCTGTGGTCTGATATCCATCCACGCCAGTTGGCGAGTGATATACTTCGTTGTTACAGCCGCATCATGGACACTGCTCGCCCTGATTGTCTTGTTTATGCCTGAAACGGCTTATAACAGGTATTCCACTCCCAAGGACCCGGGGTTGAAACCTGTTGCACTCATTCCTGACGCACATCTACGTTCAAGATTCGCGCCCAATGGCAGTGATCCGTCCCAAACAGGTACTCACCGAACCTGCTTTCAAGATTTGAAGACCTTCAGCGGCCCATTCACCGAGGAATCATTGTGGCAGCTATTTTGGCGACCCGTCAAATTACTTTGCCTTCCGTCTGTTCTCTGGGGAACGCTGGCTCAATCGGTTTGCATTAGTGCGATGGTCGCCATGACCACGAGCCCTGCAAGCGCATTCTCTGCCACATATCGGTGGTCAGTGTGGGAGTGTGGACTCGCCTACATCGCGACCGTCATAGGAGCTACTCTTTCAATCTTTGGAGGTGGATGGTTATCAGACGCGACTGCGGACTGGCTCACACGACGAAACCACGGCATGCGAGAGCCGGAGATGCGACTGCCGGCCCTAGCAATCTGTTCGACTCTCGGTCCGTTGGGAATTGCATTGTACGGAGTGGGTATTGAACATGGGCTGCACTGGATGATTCCTGTTTTGGGAATAGGGCTCTGTAAGTCTTTGGTTGTTCATGGCCTGAATAGAAAGATGTCTTATTTTCCCAGTGGGCTTCTCAGCTGCTCAGGCTTCCAGTACATCCTTATTATATGCCGTGGAATCCCACCGGCCTATAGCTGGAGAAGTGGTTGTTGCTCAGATGAGCTTTAAAGGTCTGTATAGCTGAGATGAATAATGCCATCCGGCTGATGCGATGCAATGCTCCAGGGGTATTCGGGTTCCTGCTCTCTTTCTACACGAATCCGTGGATTGAGTCTGCTGGATATAGTACCTGCTTTGGTATTCTTGCCGGCATCAACGGCGCAGTGTTGATCATGTGGGTGCCCCTCTATATATGGGGGCGAAGACTTCGAGGATGGTATATGCAGCTCAGCGTCGCCAGATACCTCCAGTGGAAATCTGACCGTGAAGTTGGTGAGTGATCATGTTGAGGAGGCAATTCTGTCCATAGCCATAAGACGGTCGCGTTTCGACGTCCAAACAGTTTCCAGCAGGTCAACGAGTGCCATGATCTCCGATCTATAGGGGCAATATAAGCTTAGTCATTCCCCAAAATGGAAAGGCGCCGACGTACGTCTCAAGTCTCTGCAGCTGAATTAGTTCAATGCGTCCAACATGTCCCTTAACCCAAGGCGTCGTCTCAGGGTGAGCCCGCGGTCCAAATTGGGATGCAAAACATGCAAGTAGGTGTCTCCCCATCCCGGGCCGGGTCCGATATTCAACACCAAGTAGAATCCGCCGGGTGAAATGTGGAGAAGAAAGGCCAAGTTGCCTGCGATGCACCAGCACAGGTCGAAAATGTGATTTCTACACAGAGCCCACTGTCTTCGTCAACCCGTCACTCTCGCCAAACACGGTATCCCGAGAGCGGCGCGCATTCGCTTATTATTTCGAATTCGCTTCCTCATCTATAGGCGGCGGGTTGGATTTCGATTTCTGGCGTACGGTCGTGCCGCAGGTCTGTCGACATGAGCCTGCAGTCTGGGATGCTATCATTTCCATCGGTGCCTTGTTTGAGTGTTCGCAGAAGGGTCCGAATCTTTTTCTCCGTCATGCCAATCCGAAAGATTTGGATCAGAATCATCAGGATGTATTGGCGTGGTATGCCCGCTCGGTGTCCGCTATTCGTCGGCGCATTGAGTCGGGTAGTGTCGATGCCTTTGTCGGGTTGATCAGCTGTATGCTTTTCATCTGCGTCGAGGCTCTGCAAGGAGATGCCGGTGGGGCGTTGCAGCTTTTTGCTCAAGGAGTGCATCTCATTCTTGCTTTGCGTCCGCAGATAGCCTCTGGAGCTATATCGGCGGCCAAGGCTGAATTGTTGGATGATACAATTATCCCAATCTTTCTTCGTCTGGCTGCTGGAGCTCTCGCTATCTCTGGTCTCCCGGTGGCTGTGCTGTTGGAAAACCAGGCCCCGGAGCTGGTGTTTGATTCGCTCAAGTCTGCGCGGAAAGCCATTGCGTCCCTAGCAGTAGAGGTGCCAATGTTTGAAACTAAATGCATTGATCATCTACAAGGCAACGCAGTCTTACCTGACGAGTTCCTCGTCCAGAGAAACATCCTAGCTTCCAAACTCGGGGGTTGGTATAATGCATTCGTGGCTATGGCAAATGTCTGCAAGATTGCATCTAAAGAAGAAATAGGGGCCGCGGCTCTCCTCTCATCATATCATGAAATGCTATATGTGATGCTGGGAACCTGCACCTCATTATGCCTTACCAACTTCGACGCCTTCATGTCAAACTTCCAAAGGATTGTGGAACAATCCGCCATTGCACTCAGAACGTCAGTGAGACCAGACGGGACACAACCACCCTTCACATTCGAGATCAGCGTTGGTCTACCGCTTTGGTTTACGAGTCTCCGATGCCGTGATCCGCAGACTCGCCGTCTGGCGCTCACTCTGCTCCATCGCGCACCCCCCGTTCAAGGATTCTACCAATGCTCCATGGGGATGGCCATTGGCGAAAGGATCATGGATCTTGAGGAGTCGTGCGGAATGGAAATAGGTGCGCCACCAAGCATCAAGACGCTGGAACCTGAAGATGAATCCTCGGGCCTGGAGCTGATTGGATCATATACTGCTGTGGACATCAAACCGGATCATGATTCAGCGGTATTGATCCCAGAAGAGGCACGGATTGGACCGATCAGTTTGTTCAGGCCGCGGGACGGCCTGCCGAAGGGAACAAGACTGGAAGATCTCGCAGAGTGGAATCATGGTCCTGATCAAGTCTACCTGCGTTTCACTCGCAATGAACGCGACTTGGCTGATGGTTCTTGGCGAATGACTTACAAGTATGTGCCTTTTGACCATGCTTTGCCAGATTTATACTATGTGGTGTCTTGCGTCGACTCAACAGATCAGCCACGAGCCATGGTGGCCTGAAGATACATAATATTTGCGACTATGTATCGAAGTATAGACTTGTTCTGCTAGGCAGGCTCGGACCTTTGGCTGCATTATGCAATTCCATCGAGGTTCCACACCCACGACAGACCAGAAGATGTTCTCTGGGCACTCTACAGGCGATCAATGACACCTGTCAAGATTGAGTTACTCAACTATTAGGCCCAGGAGACTTTCCGATATTGGGCAACGGCTGTTACCGTGGTAAGCACGGCCCCAGTCAGCTTGGCCGATGCCCAGAATCCATATATTGAGCCTTGGAGCCCCCGGGTGTGTGTTGTTGGTCATCAAGGTCTTGTCCCGCCCGGGCGAGGTCTGGCACAATCTCTATGGTGTTGGGCCAACTCTTTGGAAGAAACCCCATGGTTGCTTTTCTGGGCCAAAAGGGATATGACGCATAAAACAACCAAGAAATGATTCGGATTCCAAGAAAAATGTTGTCTGAAGGAACTCTTGCTCTCAGCCACCATTCTCTCGCAGTCGTGCGAGGGCCGCCGCGATGCCGTCACTCATCTCTTCGGGCTGACCCGCCCGAGGTTCACTGGTCCTCGCGGCCTCAGAAGCTGCCGTTTGCCGGCTTTCTTCCAAAACAGCACGCAGGATCGCCTCTTCTTCATCCTCTTCGTCGACATTCTCCGAGGGCTTATCGACCGCAGGTGCTACAGGTGGCGGACGGCGTGCTGGAGCAGAAGACTTCTTCGAGCCCTCCACCCTGAAGTCTTCGCGGACAGCACTGCACCACTGCTGAACCTTCTTCTCTCCCCAGCCCGGCACGGCACTGATTTGCTCAGGTTGCGCATTGATAGCATTCTGCAAGCTACCAAATGTGGAGATCAGACTCGCCGCATCGGACTTGTTGATGCTTCGTGGAACTGTCACAAATTCCACAAGTGACTCTTTGTAGGTCTGCGGTTGTTGGGCGCGGATCGCGGTTGGCTGGGCATTCTCCGAAGACTTGTATAGCTCGAGGTAGTGTGCTGCTTCTGGTGCGGACCAGCACAGGATCAAGGTCAGATTATTAATAATGGATGTCTTTGATAGTTCCCGGAGACTGTCTTCGTGATTTTGTATGTCAACCATGACCAGTACCAGGCGCAGATTGTATTTTCCAGCCAGCTGCTTGACTCGGGCGTAGATGTATTCCGGATGTAGGCGGTGGTATTTTAGCGAGAGGAACATGGCGCAGGTTGTGGTTCCAACTACATAGTCGGCGGGGATATCGGCATATTCCCAGGGGAGTAGCTTGATGTGATTTAGAATTGGGTTGCCCTTCTGGCGGGTGGACACGAGGATCGCGGAGGGTCCAGAGCGATTGGCGAGAGCCTGGGGTTTCGGCTGTTGAACTTTGGGTCTTTCCGATGGGCCTGGGGCTGATGAGTCCAAGGGCCGAGATGGTAAGCCACTGCCAGGTCTCTGAGGATCCATCTTGTCCAGAGGTATGTGACTGGGAAAGCGTGCCAACCTGGGAAGTTGACTCGGAGTCGATAAGTAGATAAAGCTTATCGATGCGACCCACACCGCCCAGGTCCGGTCTGGTCCAATTTTCTGCCGCTAATTTTTTTGTTCTTCCATCGACAGACAAGTTCAGTCGCAACATGGCCAACATGGTTGAATCAAACAAGAAGCGGCGCTTCTCTGACGCTGAGAGCCCCGAAGTCAAAGTCGAAGCCTCTGCAGCTCCCGCCGCCCCTGCGCCCCAGAACAACCGAACTCTTTTCGTTCGCTCACTCCCCGAGTCGGCCACTACAGAGAGCCTGGCTGAATATTTCTCGCAATCCTACATTATCAAGCATGCTGTTGTCGTCTTCGACAAGGAGACTAAGAAGTCAAAGCAATTCGGTTTCGTTACGTTCGCCGATGTTGAGGATGCCGAGAGCGCTCTGAAGGAACTCAATGGATCCAAGTTTGACGGAAAAATCATTCGTGTCGACTACGCCGAACAGCGTAAGCGTGAAATTGACGAGAAGGTTGGACGCAGTGTGCCCACTGCTGCGTCTCTCGAGTCGAAGAAGAAGAAGGAGGAGGAAAGAGGTCAGGGCTTGCCGCCCAAGCTGATTGTTCGCAACCTGCCATGGAGTATTAAGGAGCCCGAAGATCTATCGGTCTTGTTCCGCAGCTTTGGAAAGGTCAAGTTTGTCACTCTTCCCAAGAAGAATGGCAAGCTTGCTGGTTTCGGTTTCGTGACACTGCGCGGCCGCAAGAATGCTGAGAAGGCCCTCCAGACTATCAACGGCAAGGAAATTGACGGCCGTCAAATCGCAGTCGATTGGGCTGTCGAGAAGGACGTCTGGCAAACTACGAACAAGGATCAGGAAGAGGCGGAGAAGGAGGAAGAGAAGGAGGAAGAAAAGGAAGAAGAGGATGTCAAGATGGAAGATGCTGGTGGTCCTCTGGAGGAGCCTTCAGAGGACGAGACTTCCTCTGACGAGGATGACGAAGAGGAGGATGATGAGGACCTGGACGACGACGAGCTGGACGATCTCGACGACGAGGACGAAAACAAAGAGGACGACCGCAACAACTCCACCATCTTCCTCCGCAACCTTCCCTTCACTGCCACCGATGACTCTCTCTACGAACACTTCTCCCAATTTGGACCTCTACGATATGCCCGAGTGGTCCTGGACCACGAGACCGAGCGCCCCCGCGGCACTGGTTTCGTATGCTTCTGGAAGGTGGACGACGCCAACACTTGCATCCGCGAGGCCCCCCGCGGCAATGATACCATGGCCCCCAGCAAAGACAAGCCCAAGGCCAACACCGCCATGAAGCACTCCGTGCTCCAGGACGAGAACACCGACCCCAGCGGCCGCTACACCCTCGAAGGCCGTATCCTGCAGGTCGCCCGTGCCGTGAGCAAGGGCCAAGCCGCGAAGCTGGAAGAAGAAGGTGTCTCTCGCCGCATGGTCCGCGACACCGACAAGCGTCGCCTCTACCTCCTGAACGAAGGAACCATCCCCTCCAACTCCCCCTTGTACAAGAAGCTCTCCCCCTCCGAGGTCAAGATGCGCGAGGACTCCTACAAGCAACGTGAAACCTTCATCAAGAAGAACCCCGCCCTCCACCTCTCGCTCACCCGTCTCGCCATCCGCAACCTCCCTCGTCACATCGGCTCCAAGGACCTGAAGCAGCTTGCCCGAGAGTCCGTCGTCAACTTCGCCAAGGACGTCAAGAAGGGTGTCCGTCAGCCTCTGTCCCGCGAGGAGCAGCAGCGCTCCCGCGACACCATGAAGGAACTCGAGCAGCTGCGCAAGCAGAAGAAGATGGGTATCGTGCGCCAGGCCAAGGTTGTCTTCGAGACCCGTGAAGGAACCAAGGTCTCCGAGAAGACCGGTGGTGGTCGGTCCCGCGGCTACGGATTCATCGAGTACTTCACGCATCGACACGCACTGATGGGTCTGCGCTGGCTGAACTGTCACTCCATGGTTGTTCCTGCCTCTGCGCAGGACGCCGAAGACAAGGACAAGAAGAAGAGTCTGGTGGTTGAGTTCGCGATTGAGAATGCGCAGGTTGTGAAGCGTCGCAATGAGCTGCAGGCCAAGTCGCGGGAGCCCAAGCCCAAGCGCGACGACGACGATCCCAAGGACCTCAAGCGGAAGCGATCGGATTCGCGGGGCAAGAAGGATGATAAGCGCGATGCGAAGCGTGGCAAGACGGACGCCAAGCCTGAGAAGGAGAAGACGGAGGAGGAGGACAAGGCGGCCAAGCGCAATCGCATTATCGGACAGAAGCGCATGAAGCGCAAGGGCCGTAAGGGCAAATGAGTTCTAATGTATAGTTTGTGTATATGCGATACCACCCCAAAAATGAAGCCTGGAATTTGTTCAAACTGAGCTTTCCCATGTAATCTTGTAAATTCTCTCAAGTATTCGTCGCCCCCTCGACCTTGCCGACGATGTTATACCGCTTGCTGAAGAAGGTGAACCACTCATTTAACGTTGTCTTCTCCTTCTCCTCGAGATCGTACCATTCCGGTACGCAGTTTTCGGGCTTCAGTGAGGAGCACGCGAGAGCCCGCGAGGCATCCTTGCCGGCGAAGACTGCTTGCGTTAGCTGGTTTCGGCACATTGCTCCACCATCCTTACCTCGGTATTGACCCTGCGCTCCATAGGCTGCATTACGGGTCACATCGAACACGACACCCTTGATGGCGACGAGAGTTGGACGGCTGGGGTCGGAGCCTGGGCGCGGTTAGTTCGGCATGTGGCCTGGGGCATGGGGAGTGCGTACCATCGCATTTGGCCAGCTCCTCGGGGGAGATGAGATCGTCCTTGGGAGGATCGAGCTGGACGGCCACCTTGGGCGCAAAGCGCTTCTCTTCGGTCATGTTGATGGTTGGTGGTTGAGGGGAAAGTTGGAGGTTGGCGGGGTCGGATTACTATCCTCGGCTCTTGATTGCTCTGCTCCACCATATCCTGTGGAGTACATTGATGTAGAAATGTAGAAATGTAGAGATTTGAATAATAGAAGTAGAAACTGAACAAATAGTACATCTACTACCAGTAGTATGTAAATGCAGATTTAATTACTTTCCAAGGTTATCTGTGGTCAGGGTCTTTTCATCCTACTGATGGAGCGGAGACTTTAAGGATATCCATACCTAGGTAGATAATGATCTCGATACATGACAGACAGCAGGATGGCAATGGAATGTTTGTGTTGCCCAGCATATATGTACTCGCCCAGATGAAGTATACAAAGTCCATTCCATGACGTCAACCGAAGTATATCTACATGACCTGACCTCTTTCGACTTGGATTCCCTTCTCCCTCAGACACAAGATGACATCTCTCCCATATATGCCCAAGGTTCATCTGGACCAGGTTCCCCCAGAGTCGGAGATCCACCACCGTTACTTTGAAGACAACGACGGCTTCTTCCCTCCTACTTGGCTGGGAAAAGACCTAGCTGCCCCCAACCCTTCCCCCGAAAGTGATAGCACGACAACATTCCAGGGTGCAGGGATGGACACGGGCAAAGATTCCATCAAAGACCGCGAAGACCGTGATTGACAGGCCCGCACCTGGTCCGCGGGGACTCCGCATCCGTACTCCATACTCGGGGAGACATCATGTGAGATTGCAGTTGTGAAACTATCTGAACTGTCGGGGACTAACCTGAGTAGTGTGCATATCAGTAATGCAAGGCTACCAGGGTCACTTAATCCAGGGCATTTACGGAGTATTGATCGATATACTGCCCTCTCATACTCAATATCATACTGCCTTGTGCTATGTGTCAAAATATATAGCGATGTCGATGTGCATAACTAGGAACTTAGTACTAGATCAGTATCTTTTTCCCTGGCGAACACTAAGCTCTGCCAAGTATTCCAAGGTTGGATCACCTCACTGTGTCCTGAAAGGTGCTAGCCCGGGGCTGCAAGAGATGATTGGAGAACGTTATCCTCTTGCATCCTGCAGTTCACCCCTATAGAATCCTTGCATTGCCCTACCAATCAGCAGTGTGCGCCGGGGTGATATTAAACCTGTGGCTTATGTTTCCTAGATTGAATAGATCAGGTCGGATGAAAGGCTTATATTAGATGTAAGCCAAGACTGTTTCGTAGAGAGCAAGTCCAGATCTGAGAGAAGAAAGCAGGTCAAGGTGTGAAGGGAGTAGTGGGGGCAGAACTTGATCGGACTCTGCCGCTCGAGGCCCGAGGTCCAAGTCGCCAATTTAAAAAAAATGCATGGCTTTTCTTTTCTTCCTTTTTTTTTCTTCTATATGTACTTTCTTGATCTTTCTTGATCCTTTTTTGATCTTCTTGATCCTTCTGTAACTCTTTCGGTATTCCCCTTCAATATATTCCAACCTTGGAAGGTTATGCTGCAATGTCCATCATGTCGGACATCCATGCAAAACACCCCGACCCTGAATCCAAGCCCATGAAGCAAGAGGTCGCCGAGCAAGACCCGAGGCGCGACTCGGTGGACAGCGGGTCCATGCAGTCCACCTACGACGAGACCCATCGCAAGCTCAAACCCCGCCATGTCCAACTTATCGGCATTGGAGGCACCATCGGCACGGCCCTGTACGTGCAGATCGGATCGGGCCTGCGCACGAGCGGCCCCGCCAGTTTGTTCATCGGCTTCAGTCTGTGGTGAGTGTTCCCGTCCCCGGGGTGAGAACATATGTACGGAGTAAAGCAGACGTAGTAGCTTCAATGTTCCATGTTCACCCCAAGCCCAAGTGCCTTTTCCGTGGAAGGCTTCTCTTATACCATTTCTAGGAGTTGTGTGATTCTGATCATCACCGTCTGTACGATTCACCCCCTTTGCGTTGCCCTTTGCGCCGAAACCCCCAATGCGCCAACTCGGTTCCTTGCCCGCGCGTCAATGGCCCAGTGCAATCTCCGTAGTATGAATACTCACCCTTTTTAGGTCTGGCGGAGATGGTCACTTATCTTCCCATCTCGTCGCCTTTCATCCGCTTCGCGGGTCGCTATGTCGATGAAGCCTTGGGCGTCGCGGCGGGATACAATTTCTTCATCTTTGAGGCCGCCCTGGTCCCTTTCGAAGTCGTCGCCGTCAGTCTGATTGTCAGATATTGGACGGACGTGATCCCCGTGGCGGCCATGAACGTAATTGTCCTGGTGCTCTATGGGTGCGTGTCTCCATACTGCAGCCATCCGGGAATCCAGACTAACCCCCGTCCAGTGCGCTCAACCTGTTTGCCGTCAAGTGGTACGGTGAAGCGGAGTTCTGGCTCTCGCTAGGTAAAGTGCTGCTGAGTATCGGGCTGATCCTGTATACGTTCGTCGTCATGCTGGGTGGGAATCCACTCGGTGATCGCTTTGGCTTTAGATATTGGAACGAGCCTGGCGCATTCAATGAGTACTACAAGACCGGCGATACAGGTCGCTGGCTGGGTGTGCTGGCCGCCGTTATCACAGCCAGTTTCACCATCGCAGGCCCGGACTATGTCTCCATGGCGGCGGGTGAGACCATCAATCCACGCAGGGTGCTGCCCCGAGCCTTCAACGGCGTGTTCTATCGTTTGACGGCGTTTTTCGTGCTGGGCGTCCTCTGCGTGGGAATTCTAGTCCCATATAACGACAAGACCATGGCCGATGCCTTCGACAATGATAAGCCCGGGGCGGCAGCTTCGCCCTATGTGATCTCGATGGATCGTCTGAACATCCCTATCCTGCCACATATTGTGAATGCCGTCGTTCTCACGGCCTCCTTCAGCGCTGGCAACAGTTACATGTACTGTGCCAGTCGCAGTCTGTACGGTCTCGCCCTCGAAGGCAAAGCCCCCAAGCTCTTGACCGTATGTACCAGCCGCGGCGTGCCAGTCTACTGCGTCATCATCGTCCTCGCCTTCGCATTGCTCAGTTTCTTGCAAGTCTCCAACGGTGCAGCTGTCGTGTTGAACTGGTTTGTCAACTTGGTATGATCATTCCTTTCCCCCTCTGAAGCCATCTAATGCAGCCAGGTCACCGCGTCCCAACTGATCAATTTCTCGGTCGTGACGTTCACCTTCATTCGCTGGAAGAAGGCTCTCGACGCCCAAGGCATCTCTCGAGACACCCTGCCCTACCGAAGCTGGTTCCAGCCGTACATTGCTTGGATCGCCTTTACCTGCACCACCGTTATGGCATTCGTCGGTGGCTATACCGTCTTTTTGCCTGGCAATTGGTCTGTCCCGACATTCCTGTTTTCTTACACGATGATCGGACTCTTCCCAGTCATGTATTTTAGCTGGAAGTTCGTCCACAAGACGAAATTATTGAAGTCCGAGGAGGTCGATTTGGTCTCGGGTGTTGTCGAGATCGAGGAGTATACGAGGGATTTCGTTACTCCACCACCGAAGTAAGTGAACCCTGAACAGTCTCGAAGGTACATGAGCTGACTAGAGCAGGACTGTGCTCCACAAATGGTTCAACATAATCTTCGAGTGAAGCGGGCTGAAAGGTTTGCCCTCACGAGTCACACGCATAATGCATTGTGTCATGGAAGTCATGTCTATGTTAGCATTGATGATACCCACTGCGCGTTAGCAGTACATCCAAACTCTTGTCAGTCATGTCAAAACAGAGGCTCTATTTATATAGGAAGTCGAATAAAATTACATCGTATCTTTCACTGGTTCTCCTTCGCCTTCAAAGCCTCCAACCTCTTCTGATTCCTCTTCCCGATAATCCGCATCGTGCTCTCCTTCTCCGAGTCGGTCATCTGCGCCCAATTGCCAATCTGCGACAAGGTCCCGTCAACATTCACGACCATCGGGCCCAGGTGGTCGAGCTTGACTTCGGTGCCACCGCCGCTCATGTCGAGCTTGATCCCGCCGGAGCCCTGTGCTTGATTGACTCCCGTACCGTCACTTTCGGGGAGGGAGAGTGGCTTGGACTTTGGGGAGTTGTCTGGATTTGAGGAGTCGCTCATGGTGCGGATTTGGCTGTCGAGTCGGATGGCGCACTGGGGGAAGAGGACGCTGTGGAGGCGCGGAACGGGGGAATTGAAAGAGGCTGAGGCGCGCGCGAGGAATGGATTGACAGAGAGGTGGAGGAGTGCTGCGCGGTAGATGGTGGTCTTTTGCATGGTGAAGTGGTTGAGAAAAGATGGAGATCCCGCACATCGGGCTACTTGCCCATGCGCACGTACCCGTGGACATCTAGTTGTCTGGGCAGATACGTGTACGAAGTAAGCAGATGAATTGGCAGTCATTCTGGTTTATTTGTATTTTACATTCTAATTAGACTTGGACTTCACATCAACATACATCTACACTTTCATCTAAACCACCAGTTGACCTATAATCATTAGTTCGACTCCCAGACAAAGACGAGAAGCCACTCACCGAGCCAGTCACACCCTCTCCAACGCCTTTGATACTATGCCACCATCCCTTAGGAATGAACAAGCCATCACCCGCCCCAAGTCTCGCCTCAAACCCGCGATCATCAACCCCCCAAACCACCTCATCCAATAACGCCCTCTCACCACCCTGCATCATTTCCTCCCCGCGGAACGCCGCCGCTCCCCGATCTCCACTCTTCCCCAACCGGGCCCTCACGGCCGCAAACACAGCCTGTCCCTCACTCGGCGCAAGCAGCCGCACCACCTTCTCCCCGGCAAGCTGCACGAACAGATTCGGATTCGGGTCGCGGTGGAGAGGCGTATACGTCGGCGGGTGCCCAATCCACACATTCGTATCATACACGTCGCCTCTCCCGGCATGCGACACAAGCGAGGGTGTGGGAAAGTCGGCGCGTAGAACCGGGGGCAGGTCAAGGAGTTGGCATTGAGCCAAGTAGAGTGTGGACGGTGTTGGTGTTTCCATCCAGTCGAGGAATAGACCGAGGGGCGCGTGGAACGAGCGGAAGCTGGGTCCTTCCGGGGTGGGTTGAGTCAGTTCGAGAGGCACGAAGGCCTCTCCGCCGTGTTCGCGCAGGTAAGCGGTATTCAGGCTATTCGGGCCGTTTGGGCCGTTCGTGGATGGCGAAAACCATTTTCTCATGGCGGGGAGGTCGCTGAAGGACCGTGGAAGGATCGCTGGTTGCTCGGGCTGAAAGCATTTCGTCTGGAAGGTCGCGAGGGCGTCATTCTCGAGACGGTGAAGAGGTTGGTATTGCAGTTGTGAGGAGGTAGAGAACTGACGACTGACTCGCGTGTCACGGAGTCGTGTCCGGATCAAAGGCCATTGGAGCTTCATGTGGTGGAGAGCGGAGACTGTCAGCTCGGGGGAGCAATTGTACCCGTCCCCGACCTCCAATCACACCCTCGGTGATCGCCGTGAACGCATTACCGAGGCCTGTGCCTCACAATCATGGGCTATATGGACCGACGGCCTGCTATTATTCTCATCACTGTGATTCTCATCGAAACTCCTTGAGACTGAATTTGGTGAAATCGAAACTTCAATATGGCGTCGGTTGCACGCATTCACAAGCGTCATGCGTATAGTCGAGAGGGCCACACCTACTACCCAGTGCTAATTGTCGGCGCTGGAGAGTCAGGAGTGGCCATGGGCTGTCGCTTGAAGGAGGTTCTAGGCAGAGACCAGTTCCGAATCTTTGAGCGCCAGTCCGGGATTGGAGGCACTTGGTGGATTAATCGCTATCCCGGTGCTGCTTGCGACATGTAGGTCGAGAGTTCAAGTCTCGGCTTACCATACTGACCACGTATAGCCCCGCAGCCTTGTACTCTTTCTCCTTCTGCCAGAAGAAGGACTGGTCTACGCTGCACCCGTCCGGCCCAGAGCTAGCGCAGTACATGGCGGATGTGTGTGAAAAGTATCAGATTGTGGACAAAATCCAGTTCAACACTGATGTCAAGGAGCTTCGATGGATCGAAGAGGACGAGGAGTGGGAGGTGACCCTCTCACACCTTGTTCCTGGCACTGGTGATCTCGCGCAGCATGAGCGCGATCGGCTTGCAAGCCAGAACGGCCACCATGCTGTTTATGTGAAGACGGAGATTGTTCGAGCAAAGATCGTCGTCAGTGGTGTCGGCGGCCTGGTGGAACCAAAGACACCACCAAAGGACATTCCCGGATTTGATGACTTCAAGGGCGAGATCATGCATACGGCTCGGTGGAACGACGAGATCGACCTGCGAGGCAAGGATGTCATCATGGTGGGATCCGGGTGCAGTGCTGCGCAGGTTCTTCCTGAAATAGCCAGGGCAGAGGCTGGCGTTCGCTCGATCACCCAACTCATGCGCACTCCCCCATGGGTCCAGCCAGATATCATCCCCCCGAAGCATCTCCCTGCGTACGAAAAATGGTCTCCCAGACTCATGACCCACGTCCCTGGGTTGTTGAGCGTGACTCGAACTGTTCTCTTCCTGATGTTCGAGCAAACCTACTTCAAATGGTTCACGGACTCGGCATACAGTCGACGGGCGCGGCCGAAAGGCGAGAAGGTGTTCCTTGATCACATGCGCGCTGTGGCCCCAAGTGAATACCATGAAATCCTAACACCAAACTACAGCCTCGGCTGTAAGCGACGCATCATCGACGGAACATGGTATCGGGCTCTCAATGCCCCCAATGTGGAACTAACAACCCAGCCTTTGGTTCGCGTCAACGCCAAAAGCATCACCCTAGGACCGGGGAGTCACTACCCACCGGACAAGCCTGTAGCACACCAGCCAAGAGATCTCCCTGCCGATGTGATCATCATGGCGAATGGGTTTGAAACCAACCAGTGGTTGCACCCATTGAAGGTAATTGGCCGTCAAGGCCAAGACATGGAAGAAGTCTGGAGGGAGCGTGGAGGCGCACAGGCATACCAGGGCATCGCCATGGATTCGTTCCCGAATTTCTTCATGCTATTCGGTCCGAACACAGCGACCGGGCACACAAGTGTGATCTTCGCTACCGAAAATGCGGTCAACTATTCGTTGAAGTTCATCGAGCCCATTCTGAACGGGCGTGTCAGCTCCTATGAAGTCACCGAGGATGCGGAGCGTGAATGGACCACGCAGATCCAGGATGATCTCCAGAAAACAGTATTCCGTCTTGGTGTATGCTCGAGTTGGTATTCCACCGACGAAGGTTGGAATTCTTCCACCTACCCGTGAGTCTTTGAGCTGCATGGTATGTGTGTCAGTGGAGCTGATCTCCTTTTAGATATACCCAAGTCCATTATTGGTACCGCTGCACATTCCCGTACTGGGGTCATTGGAGTGCGAAGCTCACCGCTAGGGGACGGACTCTGCGAGCTGTGCGCAAGACCCTTCGTGCCTCGGCGCTTTTGATTCTTGCCGCCGGTTTTGGTTGGTTGCATCAGAACCCTCATCAGAAGGTCCGGCTTGTGCAGTCGATTCTTGGTGGGAAAGAGTGGCTCTTCTCGGCTGTGCAGGGATTAATCTCGCGCTAACTATCGTCGTGAAGCTGCAGTCCTGGAGAGCACATTCTTATTGTGGCGTTCATAGTTATGGCTCAATGGTTTTACCTCGTAAATTTAGCCGCGATGATGTTGGGCAGTGTCTCTAAGATTCTGAACCGTTCTCTTTACATATGTACGTGGAATATTTATCATTTCAGCTTTCGCCCTTGCAGTCAGTACCTAGGTAGATATTCAGATCTATAAAGTAGCCAATCACACGCGAGATAATACGATGAGATAAGCAATCCGGGGAAAAGACGGTAAGCCCCGCGACAGAGGAATTTCTCCGCACTTCGGTGTTTCCTCTTGCCCACGAGTCCTGCTTGTCATGGCTTCAGAGTCTCCCCAGATGGACCGGACGCCGCCCCAAACAGATCCCCGCGATCAGTCCATAGGGGCCTCGGATTCCAATAAGAGGAAAGCGGAACAGGGCAACGGAACACAGACGCGCACAAAGCGGAATCGTTACATCTCCATTGCATGGTATGACATGGCATGGCATGATCCGGCACTTGCTGTTCCGCTGATAAATTGAGCTAACGGGAGACAGCAATGAATGCAAACGTCGCAAAATCAAGTGCAATGGGCAGGTCCCGTGTCAACGCTGTGGCCATCTGAATCTAGAATGTATGTCCATTCTGATCTTGACGTCGGGCTTCTAGTCTAGCACTGGTGTCTGCAGTCTCACTGATACCACTAGGTCGCTATGCGCCGAATTGCTGCAATAACAATTTCAAGGACTCGGAGTAAGTCTCCGAGCGCAATACCGGGATCTCATCACTAATTCCCATTATAGTGAATTCCGGTCAATGACCGAACAGATCACTACCTTGCAAGATCAAGTCAATAATCTGTTCACCAATCTGAATGATCTCCGTACGCAGAGGCCGTCATTTGAGTCGCCACCGTTCGATCCATTGTCGCGGGATGGCTCGCAGGTCTTCACTCCCTTGCAGGGGGTAGGAAAGCCTCAATCTCGCCATCCTCGGTTCCATGGGCCAACTAGCTCGGCTTTCAACTTCGACGTTGCCAAGTCTAGTCTGCAAAATATGGGGATTACCCCTGCAGAAGATGGAATCCCTGATGACTTGACTACAGCACATGTTACTCCGGCGACTTCGCCGCCACCTCACATGGGTCAGCTTCTCCCTACTGTACATCCGACGAAAGATCCTATATGGACCATTCGTCGGGAAGAGGCGCTGCGGCTCTGTAAGGTATATGAGGAGGAGATCGGGATTATGTACCCTGTGGTGGATATTGCAAAAATCACCCGACAGGCAATTTTACTCTACACGTTTATAGAGGCTGCAACGAGAACGGGATTCGCGCAAAGGGGTCTTCCGGGCTCTGATGGTCTTCATGACGAAGCTTCCATCATTTTGAAACTGATCCTTGCCACCACGCTGGTCGTGGAGGGAGGAGGCCAAAGCGAACTTGGGCAGAGACTTTATCAGAGTGTGAAACCCTTTATCGAATCGAAGCTATGGGAGCCCCATAGTATCAAGACGATTCAGCTGTTCGCCATTGTTGTGAGTTATCCCCTTAGCCGTGTGGTGGACAAGACTGACACTACTGCCAGGCTACATATCATTTCCACACCGACGACGATGCGATGGCTTATCGTGTCATTGGTTTGGCTGCCCGGATGTGTCTCGAGATGGGACTACACCGGCGGGATGCGATGGTCAAATCATTCCCGAACGAAGAACACTGGGATGAAATCACTCGCCTGTTCTGGTCTGTCTACAGTCTAGATAGACGGTGGAGTTTGGGCACGGGATTGCCCTTCGTTATTCAAGATGAAGACATTGATCCCAATCTGCCTGAGCCCGTAAGTCTTTATCCACTGCATGATCGACACAGCCGACTAACATGAGCAGGATGCCTCTCTGCCGTATCTGCGCTGCATGATATTGTACAACCGCATCAGCTCCAAGATCTGGTATTCGGGCCTAGGCTCCGAGGGCACAACAGATATCCGCCGGGATGAAATCGGATACCTCGATTATCAAATCCTGCAGTGGTACAAGCAGGTACCCGACGAACTCAAGTTCTACCCCGTCGAATCCCCCAAAAATGGCGACACTGTTAACAGGGGCATGAGACGACTTCGGGTCCTCCTCTACCTACGAATGAACCAGCTTCGCATCCTGATCTATCGCCCAGTCCTTCATTCACCCTCCAGCATCGCCGAAGACCGCGGTCATGCCCAGACCGTTGTCGACATCGCCAAAGACACAGTCCGCGTGCTGACGCGTCTCAATCAAATGTCTGATATCTACCGCACCCAGCAAATCACCTTCAACTACTTCCTCGTCGCGGCGCTGGCGGTCCTCTTCCTTGCGGTGTCGCATGCCCCTGCTGACTTCAATCGCCAAGTCCGCGATGAATTCTACATGGCCCTCGACCTGATCAATGGGTTCAGCACGAAATCGTACGTGTCCAAACGTCTCTGGAAGACCATCAAGGGTCTCCGAAAAATTGGAGAGAAGCTCGGCGTTCTGGCTCGTCCATTCGGTTCGGATTCGGCCGATCCGCACTCCAGTGCTGCCGTGGCTATGGCCGGTTTGGCGGGTCACCCCATCGACGATTTGTCGATGTACGGACCTGTCAATGGCCATGAACTTGGGAACAGTCCCTTGAATGGGCTCCAGATGAGCCATGAGCTGACCAATTTGTTCGAGGCAGTTGGTTCTTTTGGCAACTTCCTGCCTGCTGCCGATGGCATCAGTGGGTTTGTTGGGCCCGATGGGGAGCTTCAGAATACCGGGGAGGGACTATCCGGGGTTTTGGGAGACGAGGGTGAATTTGCTCGAGCGATTCGGGATTTATTTTGACATTGTCACCTTTCTTTATGATACCCGTAGTTCTTTCGAGCTGTTTCCCACATAATCTAATGTACGAAGAGTCCAGATGTCGACATCTGGAGGTGAAGCTGCACATGTGCAAAGACCATACGTAAGCTGCACGTGATCACCCAACCTGAGATGAAGTTCGCAGCAACCTACAACCTCACGAAGAACATTTGCTTGCTCGATCTACAGTGGCCCACCGCCTGTGAACGCTAACCCCGATTCGTTCTCCACAACACCCCTCGACTCGGCCCTTTTGAACGGGTTTCCTCACCTCCTTCACCTGCCAGATAAGAGTTTGGTGGGGCTTAGATCACCGTTGATCGCACATTCTCTATTTACGTAGACCTCTTCACGGTCGAACATCTCAATTCTAGCCTACGACCCCGCCTTCTGGAGCCAGGAGAAAAAAACACAGGCCCCGTGACGAGATCGCTTCGTCCAACCCTCCTCGAGCCCCTCACCCCCCAGCTCGGCAACGTGTCGAGAGAGACAGGTTCGGCGTTGGCCGACGGCCTCGACAGGCTGGATTTGAGTCAACTGTCTGAATCAACCTTGTCGTCATCAGTGTCCGCTTCGTTCGACATGTCGTCTTCAGAAGGTGCACCCGAGTCATGGATCTCCTCGTTCTGTTCGTTGATGGGCCATGAATTTTTCGCCGAGGTGTCGGAAGATTTCATTGAGGATGATTTCAACCTGACGGGTCTGCAATCGCAGGTGCCGATGTATAAGGAGGCTCTGGAGATGATCCTCGACGTGGAGCCCGAGGATGACGAAGAGGAAGAGGAGGAAGAGGAGGAGGAGGAGGATGAAGACGATGCACTTGGCGATCAACCGGTATACAGACGAGCGGGCGATCGGCGACACGCTCGCGTGGCCAGCGATCTCAGCGTCATCGAGAGCTCCGCCGAGCTCCTATACGGCCTCATCCACCAACGCTACATCACCTCCCGGCCCGGAATCCAACAGATGCTCGAGAAGTATGAAATGCAGCATTTCGGCACCTGCCCCCGCGTCAACTGCAACGGCTGCAAGGTCCTGCCCGTCGGCCGATCCGATACCCCCGGCCAAGAGACGGTCAAGCTCTTCTGCCCGGGCTGTCAGGACATCTATACCCCGCCCAACAGCCGTTTCCACTCCGTGGACGGCGCATTCTTCGGCACCACCTTCGGCTGCCTGTTTTTCATGACCTTCCCGGACCTGGACATCGGTCCTCGGCTCGACGCCTCGCTCTCTCTCATGTCCCCGCGCGCCCAAACGTCCCGCACGGGCTCGGTGACCCGCCCAGCCGCGCGCCCGACCTCCCCGACCCCGGAAAATCAACCGCTGGAGATCAACGGGGTCCGCACGCCCAACCTCTGCCCGGGCCTGGGGAAAGGCAAGATCTACGACCCCCGTATCTACGGCTTCAAGGTCTCGGAGGTGTCGCGGGTCGGCCCGCGCATGAAGTGGCTCCGGTCGAAACCCAAGAATGTCATTGAGCTTGACGAGGCGTGGAATCATGAGCAGCAGCTGTCCCCGGGGGATGACAAGGATGGGGATACGGAAATGAATCCGGAGCAGTTGCAAGATGCGGCCATTGCAAATCGCAAGAAAGCGCCTATGCGTCGGCGGCGCAACGTCGCGGCAGATCCGATGGGGGTGCACGGGCGATAAAGTTCTCTCTTTTTTTGGAATATCTAGTGTTGGAATGATAAGTTTGATGACGCTGATGACAGTTAGCTTTTTACTTTTGAATGCGATCCGTTCCCTAATCTCGCGCCTTGTAGTCGGAGTATCCGGAACATCTAGGATCCCGGGAATTAGCATTCGCAGCCTCATGGACACGTATTGGATCTGCATGTCGGGCTCCCCGAGGCCCCAACTCCTTGAGCCTCCACTCGGTGTCCCCGGTCTCTCGTATCCAACCGTTGCCTTGTCCCAGGGCCCCGGAATCCAATCACCGGCGGGACGGCGGAATGGCGGATGGGCGGGCCACGACGTACATGTGTACATCTGCATCAGGGCGCGTATACGTTGCTCCACATGTGTTTTCGTGGCCCGTCACATGTTGGTTAGGTTATTGCCACGAACAGTTGAGAAACTGGTCTGGAGCACGTACTCCGTACTCCGTACTGCTTCTCATTTCAGAGAGGATCTGGCAACTGTCAGATCTTAAACCCTAATTGTCCCTGCATGATCTGACTTCTTGGCAATGGATTCGATATCTCACTGAGCATGCTATGAACCGTTGCGGTTACTATAGTCGCAGCTGGCTTTGGTCTATACAAGGGTCATGTTCGTCGGGGAGAGACCAGGGTTGGCGCTCTAGCCAAAGCACCTCGACTCTGGGAATTTTTACATCTCAAAGGGTATGTCTTGGAACACTGAGCTAGGGTATACTCCCCTTTGTGACGAGACGTACGTGCTCCTACATAGATCACCGTTGGCCTTGCTTCTGGCCCGTGACAAAGAAGCTTGGCCAAGTTGAGTCCGAATATAGATATCACCCACAGATCAGCTCAAAAATAGGACCGTCGATCTTCCAATGATTGGCGACAGCTGTCACCCGTGGACATCAGGCCAGCCAAATTTCCCTTGAAACAGGTGCGTACGGAAATCAAGGAACACCCCCTGAGAGACCAACGCTAGCAGCCCAACCTTGTCGGGGAGAGCAGAGAGTCCCAAAGAGACGGCAAACCCCCGAGTCTCTTGTTTCATATGGGCCCATCCAAGGTGATGAGTCGCGGGCTTAACGCCACGCACCGACATAGCGCGACCTCCCTACTTGGGTATCGCGTCTTAACGTCTAATTCCACCACGCTGGTCTCCCGTGCTGACTGCGGACAGCCCCGCTGCAGAATGTGGAGTTTAGGGTCTGGTGATTCTCATGATCGGCTCTACCGCCGGATTTTGCTCGGGTTTTGGGTGTGTTGGTTTTTTGGGGGCCCTTTTCGCTCGGGAATTTTGTCTCTGAGGTACGCGTCTGATTTGTCCGTCTTTGTCTGGTGAGTTGGCAGCCAAGCCCCTGTAGGTCCCTTGTGCGGGCATAGATAAGGTTGGAATGCGGGTGAATCCACGGGATTTAAAGTCGCGAGTCTAGAAGGCGACAGTCTGGAGAGTCTCCAGTCGAGTGGATAGTACGAATATAGTGACTATGGAGTCCGGAGTAGAGGGACAACGACCTTCCGCATTAGAAGCTGCCAGAGCCGCCAATTTTTGATAAGAGAAAGGCCCCCAGGCTAAACCGTTTCAGGGAAAAGCAGACATCCTGGTCGTGCCCTTTAACCCTTTAGCATGGGAACTGTGGGCTCAACGGGAAACTAAGGTTGCTCAATAGCCTCGCGCCTTTTGGCCCCAACAGGACCGTGCAATCTTCGCCCCCCGGTGCAGCCCTGCCATTGGACGCAGTCTGAGTCGATATTAATTGGCTGCAGGTTATCAAGGCAATCAAATACCCGAGTCGATTAAAAATCAACACGGCCAGAATAGCCCCAGACAGCAGCCAACAGCCAACAGCCAACAGCCAACAGACAAACTTAGAAATCAATCACAATGAATCACAATGAGCCCCACCGTGTATGATGAGTCAAGAGCCTCGAGACGGACACTTCGGAGCACCTCCGCTCCCGACAGTCTGGATGGGATGGAGACGGGGGGGGGGGGGGGGGGGGGGGGGGTTGTGGCTGTCAGGGGTACAAGCGACGTCGCTACCCGTGGGCTAGTCCTGGGGAGCGTGGCTTCCATTGAA